GGGGGGGGGGGGTGGTTTGCAAAAAGGTTATGAGTTGGTGGGCAGTCAGGGAAAAAAGGCAACCAAATTGTAAGAGCTTCCAAGGTCAGTTCTGTTGTTTTAAATTGCTCTCCTGGACCTGTAGTAGAGTTGCGAGATGTTTTCTGGTACTACTGTTATCGTTAGGACGAGAAATTAGGAAAATTGAGAGCAATCGGGATGACGGCCATTGTCACGAAACTCTGTCCAGGAAAACGATGTCTATGAACATAGGAACAGCCCTCTGGCATCATTGATGATGGGCGATTCAGGGTCTCAGGATATCCAGCCGCGTCAAAGGAAGTAGCACATCTTTTCAATAGCCTAAGTTGAACGTCACAAAACAATCTCCTGGAAAAAGGTCCCTTCCAAAAATTGGCATTGGCACCGGTTGCTATCGTAAATATATTGGACGATTACGATGCTTGGGATTTTCTTCCTAGACATAGGCAACGACCACAGAACTGAGTGTCCCTCATCAAATCTAGCGGCCCCCCGCCTAACCATAATCCTGCGTTTTCCAACAGCGTCTTCCAGTTTGACATATACCTTGGTGGTATCTTGACACTAGTTATAGAGTTATTCATTCAGGTACGTTGTATCTTCTATCAATGGCAAGGGAATAGCGTGCGTTAGCCGCCCAACCAAAGAACTGGATGACCTAGCTGATGTCCAGGCCAATCGAATATCTATCAGTATTCTAAAACACTAGTTGCCCGGTTTAACCGAGGTGATAAAAAACTCTTACCGTGACGTTTCATAAAGACTACACTATACAGTAGCTAGCATTAGCGGGAAGCCGCGTTGGCGTACCTCCTTCGGAGACCTTGCGAACAATTCGGAGCCGTCACACTGTCCTTCATAGACCTGGTGGTGCTAGTTTTCCGCTGGTGAACATATTTGGATTAGGACGTGGTTGCCAGCGCCGTCAGTTCAGTGGGAAATCGCCAACTCCTACAAGCAATAATCTAACGTCACAAGTGATATCTAATTTAACCGTTAATCGTTTTAAGTTCCCTCGTCCCAATTGTTATAACGGCTCATAAGTAGTTGAAGAGGCGTTTAGTGAGATGTTAGGAGGCTATTTGCGCTCTCTCTGCCGCTTCAGAAAGACTAGTTTGAGCATTTCTTTGATTGTAACTTATGGTTTGATTGGAACATTATATATATGGGACCAAATTAGATACGAAGGGTCCACACCAGAGGGACCTGAGCAATTATTGCTGGACGATGCTTGGCTCTCCTTGCAGACTATCACAGAGAGTCCTCATGAATATGTGTCGAGAAAGAATGATGTAGTTCATGACTTCATCTTGCAGAAGGTTCGGACTGTGACAGAAAATGTGTCCTATGCGGAGGTGTCTGATGACTACACATCTAACAACAGACTTCTGTTCAAACAGCCTGACGTCTTTAACTCAACCTCACAAGAGACGCGTGTGATCTCCTTTGAATCGTCCAATGTGTTGGTGAAAATTGAGGGGACAGACCCCAGTCTGGAGGGCTTGCTAGTTTCCGCACATTTTGACTCCGTTCCCACCGGATTCGGTGCAACTGATGATGGTATGGGAGTCGCTACTCTTTTGGCGCTGCTATCGAGACTGTCAGAAAAGCAACCGTTACGAACCGTTGTTTTTAACTTCAACAATAATGAGGAATTCGGCTTGCTGGGTGCATCAGCGTTTTTCAACCACTCTTGGAGCAAAATCGTTCACTATGTTCTTAATTTGGAGGGAGCTGGTGCTGGCAATAAAGCGGTACTTTTTAGAACTTCTGATAGTGCTACTTCGTCGATTTACAAGCAAGCAGTTCAAGAGCAACCTTTCGGAAACTCCATGTATCAGCAAGGCTTTTACGAGCGGTACATTTCTAGTGAGACCGACTATAAGATATACGAACAGAAGGGCTTACGAGGATGGGACATTGCATTTTATAAACCCAGAGTATTTTACCACACTGCTATGGACTCTATCTCTCAAACAAGCAAGGCCTCGTTGTGGCAAATGATGAGTACTGCTTTGCAGATAGTGGACTTTGTGGCTTTTGAAAAAGTGGAAGACAATTCTGAAGATCGAGTTCCGGCTATTTATTTCGATGTCCTAGGATTAATTTTTATCACCATGAAAGCCAAAACCTTATTCACTATCAATTGTATCCTCTTGGCAGTCGTGCCACTCATCATACTTTCGTTAGAAATCATTATTTCGAAGAGGAAAACCCATCAAAAGTCGCTAATGCTATGGTTGAGATTCCCTTTGAGTTTTTTGGTCTCGTATCTCGTAATAACCAGTGGGAAATCCTTTCTGTTCCGTAAAAATCCTTTGATTTTCTCGCGGAACTATTTCCTGCCGACTTTTGCGTTTTTTTCGAGCTTCGTTACAGTGAACTACTTGATTCTATCTTTCCTGGAGTATGTGGCACCAACGCAGGATCTGAAGACAGTTGCCTTAGTTGAGTTGTCTTTCTGTTTTTGGGCTCTTCTCTTGCTGGCTTCTGTTCGCCTGTATACTCACAATTATGAAGCCACAGGCGTATATCTTTTCACAATTCTTTTTGCATTGACTTCTCTTAGTGCGATCATAGGACTTTTGTGCTCGACTCTGAAGGGAAAGGATGTGGAAAATGTCGATGCTCTGTCTTTGAGTTCAAGAGGTGAGCATGACCATGAAGAAGACGCGACTGTTGAAGTGCAGTCTAATGAGGAGCCAGATGAGAGAGCACCTTTGTTACGAACTTCAACATCTTCTCGAAGCAGTGCCCTCACTCAACTTTCAAAAGCTGGAAATGAAGGAGTTAGCCCAATTTTGAAACTAGCTCTCAACTACGATTGGAGCCTTCAGTTTCTCGCCCTCGTGCCGATTGCGACGTTTTTCGCTTTCACTTGTTTATCGCAAGTGCTTGACGCCGTGAACCAGACCTGTCAAGACGGATTTCAGGCCTCATGGAACGTTTCGCTGATATCAATGCTAGGGTCAATGCTGGTTGCTTTGCCCCTTTTACCCTTTTCCTACAAACTAAATTATTTTGCCTCCATGTCGATCATTTTTCTTGCAGCTTGTACAGGCATATCGACTTTCATCGCAGAGCCATTTACAAGTAGTGCTCCTCTCAAACTTCGATTTTCACAGCACATTGATTTGACGCAACATCAGCAATCCGCCGTTGTCAACATACTCGGTCGACAGGGCGCTGGTATTGAAGGAATCCTAAAAGATATGCCTTCTGTGAAAAGCTCGAATGGGCATATAAAATGTCATGCCAGCGGCCAAGGTTCAGAAACTTGTACTTACAACGGTCCCGCTCCAAACGTCGTAAGTTCAGCGAAAGAATTGCGGTCTACAGAAGTCATGTCTGTTAAAGTTCTTTCAAACAATAGAAAAGCGCCAGAAAGATCACCTTATGAACCGATTTATGCTGAGCTGCAGATCAAAGCATTGGAGAATCGACTATGTTCAATCAAATTCAATTCATCTCAATATTCAGACTTCACTTTTGGTCAGTCCCCTGTAAAGCAAATAACGGTGTTCAATTCACATCACTACGATAACCGGACTCAGGTAGAATTATTAGCGGCGGATGGATCATCGCAAGACGTGAGCGGCGATCAGGTCTTTAAGTGGGGAAAGGGCATTGATAGTCTCCAACTTCACAAGCTTGACTTCGAGAAGAATTTCTATCGTGTAGGGATACAATGGATTCCTAAGATCTCAAGCCAAGAAGCTGATGGAGAAGAGGAAGATAAAGATGTGCTTGGGTTGCAAATCCGTTGTTTCTGGGGCGATTACGACTCTGTGTCGATTGTTGGAGGCGACTCCAAACGTAAAGTTCCTGCTTATGATGAGTTACTGAAATTTTCTCCCGCTTCGGTCTCTTATGCAAACAGAGAAGCAGGGATGGTGATCTTCAATGATTATATTGAACTATAAGCATGGTTATAGAGGTTTTTTATTGTCACGCACACAAGCGATACTGGATGGTAAACAATAGAAATATAGTTCAAACCATAAAACATGATTTCGACCAGGACTACTATGCCTGTGAAAGTCAGATATCATTCTGAAGTTAGAATAATAAGTAAAACAAGTACAAATTTTGATTAATTAGGAAAAGAGCAAATGCAAGGTCAAGGAACTATTAAAATAAAGTTTCGAATGTTGGGTCTTTGAAATGAGTGTTAGTTTCACATTTTAGTTGGAAAGATGCTTTTTAGGCTGCGGCCATAGGCGGAATTTGTATCATCATTTGAGTCCAATGCATCGACGAGCTTAGAGCCCACATGCAATAAAGGTGGAGGAACAACATGTGAAGCACCAAGTGATTGAGGAATAAAATCTTGAGGAACGTGATGTGGGATCACATAGCCGTTCGTCATGGTTTGACTATTAGCCACTTCAAGGGGTGTAGCAGGACTATGTGGCACGGGAGACGAACGGTGAGCTAGAGTTTTGTCTGGAGCACCACTAGCAGCTATCTCAGAATCTAGACTATAGATACCAGCATCATAGTATAGAAATAGTTCTAGTAGTATCTGCGGTGGTACATTCATAATCACACAGACGGGATTTTGCCCCACTGATGCAAAAACGTCACTGAAGATCTGGTCAACTTGTCTCGCGTGAACAACGTCGCCCTCGGATGCGAATAACACAGAGGCCTGCCGTAGAGCATCCAATGCCTTTTGTTTTTGAAAGGTCGCCACAGATACCTGAGATAACCCAACCCAGGCAAAAGCGGCAAATAAACGGTTAAAGCGAAGCAGATAAGGGTGGCCGTTATTCTCAATCTTGGAGGCATAATTGAATGCGTGTGAAAATGCAATATGGGCATCTTCAAATTGACGCATTCGCAAGTAAAGGTAGCCTATTGCTATCCATAAGGAGGCAGCTTGAGGCTTACAACTTATCGCCAACTGATAGAACTCATAACTTTGCTTAGTATCATCAAGCATATCATATATCCTACCCAGAATCCAGCTGTAGATATAGACCCTATCTTGATCGCCGTTGAGTAGAGCTTCTCGCTCTAGGACTAAGGTGGGTAGCAAAGACCCTAAGCTGGTTACATCACCGTCAATCATGTAGAATTGCGCCAAGGTAGCCAGCAGGCGACTGGTGCGCGAAACTTGGGGGAGAATGCACATTGCCTCTCGAAGAAGACCATAAGCATTTGCACGCTGGTTCAGTTTGAACTGTATGATGCTCATGAAGTTATACAGGTAACAAACAACACTGATCGCACTTGGTTTCGATAGATCGAAAAGAGGACTTTGGCGCACCAGCGCCAGACACTGCATCAGCTCCGCGTGTGACTCCGCGTAGCATGCAAATCTATGATAGAGTTGGGCAAGCGACACTCTTGCCTGGAGCTCTTTCTTGCTATCCTGACAACTCGAGGTCACTTGGACTGCCGTGGTAAAATAAGGAACGAGTGTCTGCAAACCCGTCTTGCTGTCAGCATCCATCCACAGGAGCAATATTCTATTTTGAAGAACCCACAATTCTGGGTCATTGACGCCCTGCCCCTCACGTCCCGCTATCGCCCTCGAAACGCTTTGAAATGCATCTTCGGGTTTGCTCAATGTAAAATAAGAATGCGCTAGTTGGGCCCAAATCCGGTAGTTCGTGTAATCCTCGCAGAGTTTCAAAGCGTCGATGAGGGTGGAGATGACGATCTCTTCCGACCCGGATTGTAGACCCAAAGACCGCGCATAACCCACTATTGCTTCTATATCTTGAGAGTTCTTCTCTACAGCCTTGGAGAAATTGGCCGTGGCCGCCTCTGGCTGCCCCATTTCCAGCGCTAGACGGCCACATAAGTTATAAGCCTCGCCTAGAACCCGGTCGAATTCCATCGCCCTGCTCCTATGTTCGTGAGCGCTGTCCGGCCTGCCATTGAGCTTTTCGCTACAGCCCCCGCTAGCGTTTTCTGGCTGTGACAAACCGGTTTGCGATGCTGTACTGCGAGGGCCAGTTTTCTGAGCCCTGAGTTCTTCGCCCTTTTCTAATCGTTTTCTGGGCTTTTTCGAGGTGGACACGCTCATGGATGTTGAACCGACAAGTCGTTAGAGAGTAGATTCGGCAACGACTCTTTATAAACACCCGCGTCCTTGATCCAAAAGTTACTATCTCAAACACTCGTGGCGTATCCTGGGGTGTAGTTTGCTGGCTTCAACAAAATCGCAGTGTTTCTTTCGCTCGTACCAAATACTGCTGACTCGCCCTTTTTGTGCTCATGCAGTGGCAGTAGATCAGGCACCAAATAGATACGTAGGAACTATAATTAATGTACACATCCACGGAAATGGATCCAACTTCTTCAATTTGGCAACGCCCGAAAAGCACTATCTACAAGAAGCCATTCACAGTCCTAGAACGGCCCGCTTCCTCCAGACGCAAATCCACTCAAAAACAGTCCCGCATCACTGCTTTTGCCACACCGCGAGCGCAGGCCGCGATCAACGCAGCAGGGTCGACAACACCTAAGCCGAGAAGCCAAGTCAATTGGACACCCAGTACTTCGGGATGGAGACGCATGGAAGCCGGAAAAACCTGCTGCAGGCATGGCCCGGAATAAACTGTCGAGAAACACTGGCGTTTTTCCGGCTTCTGTGCAGCGAGCACAGAAAAAGAACTATATGCAGAGAAGCCATGCATAATCAAGTGAGAAACCCGGTAAGAGCCGGTGCGGCATGAGCTCACCTAAGCACGAGATCTCGAGCTCCCTTTTGGCGCCAATACTGATATTTGCCAATTGACATCATTACCATACGCAGTTGGTGGTCACATACTTGTAGCCTAACCATATATTCAGATAGTTTCAAGGGGCTCGTATGTCTCTAAGCTTTCTGTGGACAAACTTTTTGAAGTTCTGGTTTGCTTGCCCCTGAGTCCGATATCTTTGCAAGCGGAGTGGGCAAAAACAGTGCTAAGTTGCCACGTGTATCAAAGCTGCAGCTTTTTGCCGTGTGCGCCTGAGGGCACTGGACATACACAAAAAATTTTATAACGGTTTAGCCCGACGCAGACATATTCTAAGCTTGTCTTGATATGCCGCGTCGAAATGCTTTGTAGGTTAGGCAACGAGAGCTGCTGAAGGTTTGACAAAAAGGTTGAACAAAAAAAAAAAAACACAAAGATCAACAGAAAATTGCGGAGGCTGATCAATAGGGCAGATGGTGTTATTGCCAGTGCTTGTCAGGAGGGAGCGGTGATGGCTCATTTTGGAAATGGCCGATTATGTCATGGCCCTCAATATACTTCCAGCGCCAGTCTGGTACAAAGTGATCTCGAGCGCCACAGGACATACATTCGCTGGATCTCTTGAGCAGCGAGAATACCTGTCGTCTGGCGAAGCTTGCTCCACCATTTGTGATCTTTTCATTTGCGATTCATTAAGAGTGTCTATAAAATAGTAACGTTAATAATACATTGAGTTCGGCCCCGGAAGGTGCGCGAACTTTCAGAAGGTTTTGTAGATGGGTTGGTCTTTACGGGCCAGTGCACGAGCTGCCAGAAGTATTGTAGATAGGTCGGTCTTTATGGGCTAGGGCCATTCTCTATGCCGAAGAGTAAGCAAGCCCCCCAGAAAATGCCAGCGACCAAGTCCTTGACATACCGTTGTCCAAAGTACCATAATCGAAGTCTGAGGCCGAAAAGAACTCATAAGCGCTCACTGGATCGTACAACGCTTGATTTAATTTCAAGAGCCCTTTCCAACCATCGCTGAGTCCATCGACCACCGTGCTTAGTGTCCCTTCCCATTCTTGCTGCACAAAAGACGGCGTTCTGATTTCGGAAGATACAGGTGTGATCGGAATCATGTGAATACCGTGCTTATACTGCACTGCGGTGCCAAAGTAAGTCGTGTAGTCGATGATGTTGTCAAACAAAATGCCTGCAACCTGATTTCCGCAGATTTCAGAAGGTTCCACTTCGTTGTCTTCAGCCATGAGGAAATACGAGTTCATGGACCTCTTCATTATCGCAATCATGACATCCGCGCGTCTTTCCATTGATTCATCGCCAATCACAGACCCCCAAAGCTTCATTGCGTACGCAAAGTTGTAATCCTCGGAACTAGATTCTTCATTTTTACCGTTAGGATTAGCGAAGAGCCCGGCGGCCCATGAGTGGCCTCCAAACCAGTCAAACATACGGGAAACCGGGAAAAATGAATCCGAAGAGCTAGGGTTGGCGACGTCCCTTATCAAACTGTTGACAAAGCCCTTGTTCTCCTGAGCCCAGGTTCCACCTTGTTCTTGATCTATCCGCCCCAGGACTGCCGCAGCGTGAATGATGTACCCGTAATGGAAATGATGGTCGTTGTAGTATGTGTTGCCAAAGTCATAGCCCGTGGAGGTGGATGCCCAATCCCCGGATGAAACAATACCGCCGAATTTGGTGTCGTAGTACAATGGATACAGCTGTTGGTTCAAGGCCACGTTGTCCATCGCTTCTTTCAAATTAGCGACCACGGCCTGCGCGACTTCAGAGTCTTGCAAGATATCGGCGATTGTTAGAAGAATATAACTGTACTTGTCGGCTACCTTGCCCAAGTAATATGTGTTGAGCCCGCAGATTGAGTCCCAAACATTAATGTTGATTTCTGAATTGGCAGTTTCCGCAAGTAGTTTTAACTGTTCGGTGCTGTAGCTGAGACTGTTTTCACCCAACTGAGAAGACCAAGGCAACCAGCCTATTTCAGTGTTTATGCTTTCGGTGAAAGATATACTATTGGACAATAAGCCTTGCATAGTACCCTTCGTGGTCGATTGTAACGTAATGCCAGTGAGAGCAGCTTGCGAGGCCGTAGAAAGAGCAGACATGTGGTGGGGAAATGCAAAAACCATGGTGTTACCGGAGACTGACTTACCTGAAGTTTGGTACTCGAATGAGTATTGCGCGGTGGCCCCATCTGAGGAACCTGTTAATTCGAAGGTTGTTGGGTACATACCAGCCGCGTTATCATAGTAGGTTTCGTAAGCGTCGTCATCAGGAGCCACGGCAAATTGAACGATCAGGCCGTCAATTGCCTGAGATCCGAGTATTGTCGAGGCATCTGAATAGGTAAAAGAAAATGAGTCTTCGGAGTAGCCGTCCGGTAAGGTCACATATATCAGCCAGGTCGAGCCGCTGTTCAACCCAATACGATATTTCAAAACACCCTCGGGCAAGACATCAGAGGAAACTTGTTCTAATGACATGAATGCTGCAGATGTTCTGATAACTGGCGTTAAAGATCCGTGGTAGATACCGGTGGAGAAGCCCATGCCTTGTACTAGAGGAATTTGTAGAATATTGCTGGTAGAGCCATCGTTGATGGTAACATCGCAAGACGACATGGTCATGTCACTTACGAACATGTTGAAACTCGACTGAGCGAAGGATGTTGCCGAAAATACGAGTGAGGCAATGCCTAACGGGTTGACTAGATACTCAGAATAGCCTGCACTGTCATAGTTTCCAAAGGCGTACTGCTCTTTCGTAGTGTGAGAAACAGCAAACCCATACGCGTCGTTGGATGAGTATTTCCATAGGGAGTATGGATATACGAAGGATGCACTGGATTGATCACCTACAATCAAATTGGTGTAAAACTTGTTGGTTTCATAGGGCGCATCAGAGTTGAGAACACCATTTGAGAGATCGAGCGGGTTAGAGTGTCTAGCAAATACGGAAGGAGGAGCTTCTGTGTCGATAGCGTTGAATAGGTTGACGCTAGAGGCTGTGGCGGAGGAGACGGAAGTGGAGGACAATGCCGGGACCGAGGTCGAGGAGCTTGAGGAACTTGACGACGTTGACGAGCTTAAGGTAGCTGAGGAGCTTGAGGAGATAGGGGACGTCGATGAGCTTGGGGACGCCGATGAGCTTGGGGACACCGATGAGCTAGGGGACGTTGATGAGCTAGGAGACGCTGATGAGCTAGGGGACGTTGATGAGCTAGGCGACGTTGAGTATATATGGGGTTCAGATGAACTTCCAAACTCGCCTGCGCTCATGGTGCCGGACATCGATACCGGGAGAACATTTGTGGTGGAGCTATTGGACGTAGAGTTGTTTGTAGTTTCGGTGCCGGTTGAGGAGCTGGATCTCACGCTTGTTGCTTGTGTGCTGGAGGGGAAAGTCGCTGAACTAGCTGTAGAATTCGCCATACTAACAATAGGGAAGGCAGAATAAGACGAGGATGCCAAGGACGTGTTCGAAAATGGGAAGGCGGTGGCGGACGATGGGTCGACGCTCAAAGATCCAATCGTTAGGGTAGACGTAGAGAAGGAGAATGAGCTTATCAAAGCCGAAGCCCCCGCAATAGATGAGGCCCCAGTAACAGTGGGCACGCGGCTCTCGGAAGACGCAATGGACAATGAAGGAATGATCACATAGGGAGACGAGCTAAAGGAAGTGGAAATATCGGAGCGTATTATGTCGTTGCTCATGGAAGCCACCTCTCTAGACTCAGAAATCGAACTCATTGAGTTCATCCCACTTTTGCTTTGATGCAAAGTGCTTGGCCCACTGCTGTTGCTGCCGCTGCTTTCGTCACTAGCTACACTTATGGTGCTCGACTCTGTAATGGTTTTCGGAGCAGTATAGGAAGTGGATATGCTCTGCGACAGCGAGGAGCTGGCCAAAGAATGGGTTACCAATGGCATTTCGGATCTGGACGAAACTGTGGAGACGTACGATGCAGACACACTAGTCGAGGTAGTCACAGTAGCCTTGTGAATGGTACTAGTGGACGAGGACGCCGTGTGGGTAAGCCAATGGCTCGCGGGAGAAGTAGAGACTTGGACGACTGATCTCGGGCCGCTGGTGCTCGCGCTGGTGCTCGCGCTGGTACTCGCGCTGGTACTCGCTTCATCGGCAACACGGTCAGTACTCGAGTGTGAAACTGTACTCACGCTCATCGCTCTACTAGCTAGGCTGCTCACTCTTAGCTGTGGGTTCCCAGCAGTCGTGGGGCCCGTTGCTGCACCACCCACAGACGTACTCACAGTATTCGCAGTGCTACCGTCAGTTTCGAACACACTCAATGAGCTCGCAGTACCAGCTGCGGTAAGACTCTCTGCACTGCTCGAGGCCGAAACCCGCACGGGTCTGGAATCTGGCGTTGTCACATAAACCTCACCGTACTCCAAAGTCGTGTAACTCAGCGTCTCAAGAGCGTCGGTTTCCAACACACGGGCGGGGCTTGCTGTTCCCCAAGTCGAATTGACATACATTGCCGTCGAATTGACATACATTGCCGTCGAATTCGCAAACATACCCGATGCGACGGGGACATAAGCTGCGGCTAGAACCAACAGCGACGGGTGCATGGTATACTGATCGTTGAAAGTGAAGCTACATTCCTGATTTGATACAAGCATCCGCCAACGTCCCTCATTAAATACTACGAATCAATGCACGGCCCACCATCTTGGCGGGCCCTTTAACTACCTAACCAGCCCGTTAAATCAGGCCATTGTATGAAAAGGTTGGCTTTGGCATAAACCGTTAAATTGGCCATTGTATTGAAGGTTAGCCTTTTCATTTTCATTAATGGCTGGTATCACTCTGTACGTATGTGATGAGTAGCTCTCTCGTACACAGTGTCTTAATCACTGACAGCCTAGCAGCTATGATATCGTCGCCATTGTCGACGACGGCTTGGTAACCAGCCATGCAAATTCGTGCTGGTGCTGAGTTGTATGTTCATCCACCTACTTTATCAGTCAACTCATCGGTAACCCAAATTCGCGAGCTGCAGGAGCTGCACGGCGGAACAGAAAAAAAATTCAGCAGGTGAGTGACGAGGAATGGGTTCACCGAAAGAACGTTTGGCGCACCTAATCTTTGATAAAATGTGGCGTTTGATAGCATCACCGGGAATTATAGCCTAATCGGGACGGGAATAGGTAGATGAGCTACTAGCTGGCCGACTTCCTCCACTCATTGTTCTTCCGTTTGGACGATCCTCTACTGCAAGAGACGCATCGCCACTGTGACGCACATGCAAGAAGCCGCGAGATGTGGAGCTACTCTACTTGGGACCTCGCATGGTAATAATAACTAGTATATAAGAATGAAGATTACTCCTTCTCTCAAGCTTGAAGCTAAGCGATGAGAACAGGCTCAAGCGCTCGCGTGATCGCCACCCCACTATGAGTTCGAGTTCCAACCAGCAGCCCCCTGCGTTCTGGGAAACGGCCGGCGCACTGGAGTGTTCACAAGACTACTTTTTCCACACATTCAAGTCTTCCGAAGAGGTGCTCAAAAGCCTGGGACCGGGGTCGCCAGACGAGCGCGGCGAGGTTGACGATCTCGATACGCCCGGTGCACTGAGGCCCTACACAGATGGGCATCCGAACGATACAGAAAAGCCATGGCCGTGGCCGACGCTAGCCATAGAGGATGCCAAAACGGACATAGACGGGAGCACGCTCCCGAGTACCGGCTCCAGCAGGAGTACGAGTACGAGCACCTTCGCGAGTACTCCCGTGCTGTTCACTCCGGAAGAACACGCCTCGCTGCTACAATCGGTCTCAAGCGTCACCACACCCTCTGAACCGTGTGCGCCGAATCTCAAGCGCTACTGGTCCGCGGACGACGTTCAACACCACTCCCACCCGTGTCGCGTCACCTGCAAGCATCCGGCACGGCTACCACGTGCGCGTTCCCAGCTAAAGTACGTTTGCCCGGAGTGTGGGAAGGTCTTCCAGAGGCCTTCCTCACTCGCTACTCACATCAACATTCACACTGGCGAAAAACCGTTTCAGTGTCCATTTCAAGGCTGCAGGCGTCACTTTAACGCGCGATCAAACATGGTCCGTCATTACAGACTGCATTTCAAAAATGGCGACCCAAACTCCACACCTCCAGGACTCGGCGACATTGGCGGAGCTGAACAAGCAGCAACGCCGCTTTCAGCGCTGAGGAGGTAATCTAGGGCGCCCGTGGGACGCTGGTCGTCGTGCGAGCGTCAGGCATTACTACTATTTAAACACAACAATGTATATAGCGTTGATCGCCGGTGTAAATATGTATTGGTGTGTATGACTAGCAGTACAAGGTTCTTGTAAAGGTATACTCTCTATCAAAACGAAGTATTGTATGCCCACAATGCTCGTTTCACGAGTCCTGCTCAACCCAAATACATTTCTGCCGACCCCACGCCTGGATGCATGTTCTACGCAGTATGTAACCTTTCGTCACAGTCTTTTGCTTAGTAATTATAGTTGCATGCATGGTGCGTCGTGCAGGTGGGCACACTTCTTCCGTGAAATTTGAATAACTGACTCGGGATTCGGGTATAGAATTGAGTCGCGGGCATGCGTACCCCCGGCCCCAAGAAGTATGCAAATTTGACTCTATTACAAAGCTATACACTATTAGAGATAGCGTAGTATTACGTTAAAAGCGATTTGTAAATGCTCGGGATGCTGCTAAACGCTCGATTAAAGCATCAATGGGTTCAAAATTCAAATCATCATGCGCAAACTCTTGATGTTTCTCGGAGCCAATGTGTTCGTCAAGGCATTCGTATTTCACGCGGCAATTTTCGCAATAACCCGAAGTCATTTTCACGTGATGCGCAGCCGGGGTGGCAGTGGGAACAGCGGTGGCAGTCGTACCCGTGGATGTCTTGACGGTCGCAGCACTCGTGGTTGGCCGCTTCGCAGCGTCCGACTTGACGCTGTGCTCTCCTTCATCTGGTTTCGTGGATCCTATTGATGCATTAGCCGGACTCACAGTGGCCCCATGAAATTTCTTGTCAACCACCAATCGGTTCAGGGTACGCATGTTTTTATTCATCACCGAAGCCCTCGTGGGCCCGAGTCCGTTACCCTGTACTGCAGAGCCGTCGTTCGATTGCACCACCCCACTGGCTTTGATCTCTTGTGGGATGCGTGGTTTCTTGCGACACAAATCGTCCGCACCCATGTCCTCCGTATCCTGGCGGGATAGCATCATCATGGGTGGCAGGTTTGCGACCGCGGGAGTCTTCCACACGGTCTTTACAGGTGGCTTTATCGCGTTAGCGGTGGTGGTGTCCGCATCCACCCTTGAATTTATTGATTCCACAGATTGATTCGATCGCGTTTCTTCCGAGGACTGTGTATTCACGCCCATGAGCTTATCGTGGCACTCGTGTGAATTTGGGTAGTTGTGCGATAGAATTAGCGGTTTCGTAGTTTTGAACTCGTCGAACGTATAACTCAACGGTTCTGCGGACTTCTGGTAAAGAATCCGCAATTGTAATGCATATTTCTCATTCTGGTTGTCGCGTTTGTAGCGCTTCATTATTCTCTTGGCGCTGAGCTCATCGCAATGACCATCTCCAACGAATGGGCACCTTCCAAAAGTGCCCGGTTTGACGCGAGGATACGGCAAGCGATCGGGGTTGTTTAGCTCCTGGGGCCTCCATTCTGCTATCACTACCGGCGCCCATACTTGCCACAGGTCATATAGATAAACGTGTGGGTATTTGAAGTAATGGACGTCCTCACGCTTAGCCCTAGGATCTCGGTCGGTCGGTCCATAAAGTTTTTCGTTGTGTAGTAGATTTGACAAGGTGGATGGTGGAAGGGGGTTCTTGCATTCTTGTGCTTCCAAATCCACATCCAAGTTGTTCAGAAATCTGGAGGCTTTCTCGTAATCCCAGATCTTCATCTCGCGGATCATGGCCCTGGCCAACACATCTGTTTCAGGCAACCGTGAATATTCTCGAATCACCCTCTGCGTAACGACAATAGTGACATCGGTATCGAAAAAGGGTGTAATGCGAGCGCCTAAAGACATGAACCCTCGCTTCAAAAGGTCTCGTTTCTTATCGTTTTTGTGCGATGCTTCTGTGGTATCGAAATATATTTTGGTGTCCCGCCGCATTATTCGTCTCCAATTGGTTTGCCATTCGAGTAAATCCTGTGGTGTGACCTTACCCCCACCGGTTTTGGCGGACTTGGCACCCGTTATGTTATTGTTCGAAGTTTTGTTGTCATTGACGTTCTGTCGCTCCTCACCTTCATCATTCCCTTCGTCCACCTTTTTGAACTCCGCTTTCCGGTGCTGGTGCTGGACGGCACCCTCGATAGTTCTGCTGCGGCCGCCTCCCTCCACCGTCCTCACCCTCTTGCGATGTTGAATCTCGAGTTTTTCCACGCTTCGCCTTTTGACGGCGGCTTGCGTTCCAGCCCGAATGTTGCTATCCGTCTGCTTCAAAGGCGATCTCTTCAACGTCGACATTGTAATAGAGCGGCCCCGGGCCTTGCAATAAAGCTGGTGAGTGCTGGAGATGTGATTCTGTATTTCACCTCCTTGCTAAGCTTGCTTCTGAATTGAATTTTCCAGCTTGACGCGATGATAGTTACAATTCGCGTTTCCGTAATATGTGATTATGAAAGTTTAGATCACTTTTTTCGTAACTGACGCTGTGAAAATGTATTATGTTAGCGAAAATACTCGGGGATTCGAGCGGCGTGGTCGGACATCCAGCGCTGTATTCAGTGCGTATATGATAGGTGTTATTTATGATTAGTGTAAGCCCAGATCCCTACCAAGTTGCTCAATATGAGGAACATCACGAAATGGTGTGCCGTGGCCGTTCCTAAGGCTCCATTGGTGTCAAATTGATCCCCAGCGCAAGGCGCCGCTCATCTGAGATCGCCATGCCCTCTTTTTTCGTTTTAGTTGTGGCAATGATGTGAAGGGTAGAGCATTGTTAGATCATTAAGCACGTTTTCGAACCTGCTCGCAGGCAGGTCGTTCATTGCATTCGGACCATTACTTTCGGCCCGTCTATCCGTGTTTCCCGGTCTTCTTCTAGTTCAGCTTGTACCCTTGCATACTGGCGAGACCTTCCAAGGCAGCCTTCATTTTGAGGACTTCAAGCCCGTAGGGATACTGCCCACTGCCGATGAACAGCAGTAGTAGATCGCTTCTGGGAATCTGTGCGACACAAGCATGCAGGTCCTCTATCTCGTAAGTGTAAATATGCGTAGCCTCTGAGTTTCCATCTTCAGGGTCTGTCCGCAGCTCGCAAGTGTAACAACTCGATGTGGACTGCGCACTGGGATCCATTTGGTCTTCATTCCATTTGTCCCGTATGAGGAGGGACATCATTTTCAAGTTGTTGGTAGATTTGTTGTAAGACGCGGGAGTATCTTCGCGGTTTGCGTAAGATATAATGCTTCCATTGAGGCCCGATAATAAGATCGATGAGTAGAGTACTTCCTCGCGGTCAGAGGTTAAAGTTTGGACCGAACGTAAAGTTTGCGTCAGAAGCTTGTGAATATTTTGACCATGTAGCATGTTGTGATTACACAGCCTTCCCAGTGCTTTCCAAAGACACTTTCGCTAGCGCTGCGAGATAAAGCTGATACCTATGAGTAAGTGTCTTTACGACTTGCGCTAAAACAAAACCATTAGGATCACTATTCACGTGTGAATTACATAGGTCTATCGACATTTAGCTAGGCTTTCGGACTTTCCTGGAGACATCCATGTAAGCTTTCCGTGTAAGGAAGGGAGTAGCTGTATGCAGAGGGATTCCTCGGTCTCCTCGCCAGGCCCAAGGAACTCTCAAGGATGTCCACAAACGATCTACAGGCCCCGGGATTTGCGGACCACTCCCAAAAATTAAAAAAAACCAAAAAGTGAAATGACAAGTAGTAAAATAATGATGAAATCCCCGTTGTCGTCGTTGTTGTGAGAATTCCGAATGGGCACTGCACTTGGCAGTGTCGTAGTCTGTCACTACGTGCAGGACGCTGCAATATGTGTCGGAAAATACATGTAGAGTAGATGTTGCATGCAGTATGTCGCCGTCTTACTTTTCCAGCTTCATCTCGTCCTCAAGTTCCTCACTCTCGTCTTCTGCCTTGCAAGGTTGCTTCCGGTCCATCACGCTGTCGTTATCGACGCTCAGGTCATCGTCTTCCTCGAACTGGACGTCCTCGTCGTCCTCATCGTCATCGTGGCCGTACCCGTAAATGTCGGCAGCGGGCTCGTTGTCGTCATCGTCCTCCTCGTCACTGTCGTACCAGAAGTTGTCTCCGAGGTCACGGGTGTCCTCTGGTTCTGTGTGCTGTTGAGCCACGTAGGCGGTACGTGCAGAGGGCATGACAAATCCTTCAGGGATATCTTGTTTGGAGCGTTCTACCTCCAGCCGCACCCGCTGCTTGTACTGGTCTACATTCTTACGGTAGTCCACGGCAGCGTCGACGTTAGCTGGAGACGAGATGTTGGGATCCTCCAGCAGCGATACGATTGAGATCAAAACGCTCTCTACGGTCTGCACGGGTGACCATGTCTCGGAGTCCGGTTCCTCCGAAGTTGGGTCGCCGCTAGTGTGCAGGATCGAAATGCATAGCCTCCCATCGCGGTAAACGTTGGGATGGTATATCGCAGGCGTAAATCGGAAAGTGGGCGGGGAAAATGGGAAATCCTCTGGGAACCGCATCTGCGCCTTGAAATATCCGCCGTGGTATATTGAGTCTTCGTTAAGTACCATCACACCTACGTTCCACAGGAATATATTAGAATCATCGTCCAGCTCAATATGAAACGATGGAATCGCTTTTTTGGCATCGGTAAGCTCCCGATATTGTCGCAACAGTAAGTTGGCGGCCGTGTTTTTGCGGTTGCTCATTCTATCGTAAGCGCAGATCCTGCTGGGAGTGAACGAGCCCTGTCTTTTTGACCTTGCGATTTTGGCCACCTCTAGCAGGAAGGTGTTTGTAATAAGTCTTTTGTAAAACTACACATTGGGATATTACAAGATGGGAGACAGCTCAGAGCATCTTGGACGAGTGTGACGCGCTTTTACTATCCTGCCGTTACCATTCATCTCTTCGAAACGTGAATGCAAGGCATCTGCCTTTGATCGGATGTTGTGGACATATACAACTAGCCAAATATTTAGCTTAGGAGCTGCCTTGCTGTTCGGAGGGAACGGATAACGCCGTGCTGTGAAGTAAAGTGATGTCAGCCGCGGCCATTCTGAAGCCCTACACATTTGAATATCCTAGTCTTACATTCGGGAAGATGCAGTAACAGGAGAAGATCTCATAAAAAAGTCAGGGTTTTCGTTATTTCCCGCAAATTTCGGGGCAGCCCTTTATCAAGGTGACATTGTGTTTTATTCCGCACTCTACTAACTTTAGGTCAGAAGACAGGTGAAAATTTCCTCCAACTATTCCATAAAGCTTTTGGTTTGCTGGGAGGATTTCCATGCTCTTCCAGTATGTTGTCCGGTTCCGATGGCCAAACCGTTACCAATATAGTATAGCAACCTCATCGTCACTTGATACCATAATGACACATCCACCCAGCGAGATAGCTCTAGTAGCTTTGCACAAAGCTAGCTGCCTATCTCGGTTCCATCCATGCCGAGTATCATTACGCTGCTCAAAGCCCGAGATGTCTGCGCTGACCGCGATATTTGGGATTCCATACCAGCAACACGCCACTATAACGATTGCAGGCGGGCCCTTCTTTGCATGTACGCCCATATCAATCCCGTGAAACAATCCCAAGATAATCCAAGCTTGCTGCGCCTACCCTATCGCTGATATGGTCTTGAAGACTGTTTCGTACAACCTCTCGGCCTCCAGCAAGTACCAGCCGAGCCCAAACGCATGGACTAGCCTCCAAAGCCACCCGTCTCAGTAGTGAGGAAAATACATAAGCCGGTATCACCCCGTGATGAAGCTGCTCGTCGATTTCATTCTACATCCACTTGATTCCCCGGCTTCCCTCAGCATGCGGACGCGCCGCCCGTCCTATTGTGTCCTTCCTGTCTGTAACCGCACCTCGTCCTCATTGCATAAACCCACTATAAAGAAGCTACCCAAGAAGCGCTCTTCGCATATTCCTGAGCACATTCCTCGTGTCCTTATGACCGGCTGCTAAACGACACATGCAGCGAGATGTTGGACTGCCAAGCTCAACGACTATCATAATCTCCGACAATACACCATTCGCCTCACGTACAAATACCGCATAGCTGCAAACTCGTCATCTATATGCGTTCCCCGATTACCTGTTCCGCCGGAACAAGTCGATGGCCGTCTTCAAGTTACCAGCCACATCACCTTGATATTATCTGTCACGAGATAATCAAGTTCTCAGCACGGTGGAGCTCTGAACCTTCGCTGCTCGCTACCGTATACATACAATAAATCAAGCGCCAGTCCCGTTGACTCGTTATCGTCCGCACTCACACCGCGCTTTTCCTTCGTTCCAATCAGCTTTTCCTGTGGAACCTAAGCGTGTCACTGTTATCGTGCGCTTAGGTTTAATATAATTCTTATCAGAGATAAGAAAATCGCCCTTTAGCGAACACATATACACAGACGATAACCGGCTCACACCGCACCCAGCAATCCAAAGAGATGGTTATAAATGTAATAGGCGACAAGCTGTTGCGATTTTTCTTTCTCAGTTTGCTTGTGGTTTTCTTCATACTAGGCCAGTTTGAACAATTGACCAGGCCAGACGAAAAACGTCGCCTACAACAAAAACTCAGCTATCGCAACAGTAGTTAAAGCCCCATCGAGGTACTGTATCCAAACCATGACTCAAGATAACTCTTATCCTAGCGAAGATGCTGTCAAATTTGCCACCTTCGGGCCAAAGATTGACGCCTACAACAAGGATGCGGTTGACCAGATGCAGGCATTTGATCCAGAGTTCTACAAAAAATGTACGGCAGCGATTCCATCGGCAGAGGTGCTGGACTCAGATCCTGTTGATGCCACCAAATTCTGGAATTTGCTGTCGTCCGAGGAACAAAATATAGTGGGGAACCTAACTATTGCCGATCTCACCCAAAAACAGCTGTCCGGCGAACTCACAGCGCTGCAGATTACCGAGGCTTATATCAAAGCAGCTATTGTAGCGCAACTTGCTACAAACTGTGTGATGCAATTTTTGATCCCAGAAGCCCTACAAAGAGCAAGGGAGCTTGACCAGTATTTGAAGGACACCCAGAAACTTGTGGGCCCATTGCACGGAGTAGTGGTGTCATTGAAGGAGCACATGAACTACAAGAATAAAATGACTACGGCGTCTTACGTGGCCTACATGGATAATTTCCCAGAAAACGAAGCTGTGTCTATCACCATCTTGAACAAATTGGGTGCCGTCTTCCACACCCGGACGGCGCAGCCTCAAGGTATCATGCATCTGGATACGTGGAATAACATCACCGGAAGAACCAGAAATCCTCTCTCCACACGTTTGTCGCCAGGCGGGTCCTCCGGTGGTGAATCCGCGATTGTGGCTATGCACGGTTCAGTTGTGGGTCACGGTAGTGATATCGGCGGTAGCGTTCGCGCGCCAGCTGCTTTCACTAACTTATTCGGTTTGAGACCAACCACTAGGCGTTTGTCGTTGATGAACGGCTTGTCTAGCGGTAAGGGCCAAGAATCGATTGTGGCTGTTCAAGGACCTCTGGCAAGATCTATTGATGAATTAGACAGCTACATGAAGGCTTATATCAACGAGGGAAAGCCATGGCTATATGATCCTATGTGCGTCCCAATCGAATGGCGCAAAGAACAATTGCCAGCAAAAATCAAGATTGGTGTTCTGTATGATGATAACTTGGTAACTCCCTTCCCTGCTGTTTCGAGAGGTGTTCGTGAGACCGTGGCCAAACTTTCGAAGTGTCCAGACATCGAGATCGTTGAGCTAAACCCCACATGGTACTCTGAGAAAGAAATGTTCGATATTTATACCGCCAACCTAAAACTATACACCTGCGATGGAAACAAAGTGCAGCTATCCATGTGGGCCCCAAGCGGCGAGCCATTATTGCCTCTCACCAAGCATTATATGAAATTTGGTGGCGGTGAAGAGCTCTCCGTCTGCGGTAACAAGGAGTTGAATGGAATGAGAGATGCCTTGAGAGTTGAAATGTTGCAGAAGTACTTTTCAGATCTTGATTTCATACTTTCGCCAACTTACAATGGGCCAGCTGAGATTCCAGGCCAGTCGCTCTACTGGGGGTACACGTCCTTCTGGAATCTATTGGACTACCCCAACGTTGTGTTCCCAGCAGGAGTTTACCACGATGTGGAGAAAGATGCTGTTGTTCCTGAGCTAAAAAATAACGCTTACGAGAAAATGGTCTGGTGTGACGACAAGGGAGGTATCAAATACAACGCAGAGAGTTACGTTGGGGGTCCCGTTGCCCTTCAGCTCACCGGTAAACGCTATTGCGATGAGGATGTTGTTGCTGCTACTAAGAAGATTGTATCAATCCTAGGTATTGAAAGACGCTAGTCGCAAGACAATCCGTCCATCTACCTGTCATCTTCCACCAGCAAATCGTAAAAGCTTTCATGGCCAAAACGTCCAGTCTGTTTAATATCGTTCCTCTGCAATGCCTGTCTCTCTTCAGAGTAGAGACCTTCTTTAGACTTTTTGCATAATTCCCACACGTCATCATAGAATATTCCAAAGACTGAAGGGGCATCACCATGTCCTTCCATATCTAGCGCCAAGCCTCTCAGTGAGACGTTCGTTTTGGAGCCTGGATATTGTTTCCTGTAGTTCTCGACAAACCCCTTCACGAAATCCTGCTTCTGTGGCAAGCTCAGATGTATCCACTTTTTATAGGTGAAGTCACTTTGGAAGCGTCTCCCGAATTTGATAGCAAGTGGTGATCGCAGCATATTACTCAGAGAGGCCAGACTTGGTGTGCTTCGCTTCCCGCAGTGTTGAATTGGGTCTATTAGATACTTTCGTTATTTAGCCTCAGCTTCATATATATGAACTATTTACGTATATAATGACTATCTGGGTAAATGCCATGCCAATCAGTACTTCAATGCCCATCTTGATTCAATCACAGACTGCGCCGAAGTTTACAAGGTTCGAGTTCATTTTAGTACTAGTAGCTTCAACGTTAGCATTTTAGTCCTTTTCTTTGCGTTGATAGGCCGAGAAAAACCCGCATATGTATATAAAATTGTACTTGAATGTATAATATGTGTATAACTAAAACTCATTGCGCTGTGGTACTCAGCTAATTCCTATTCCTATCCTTATTCCATTTCTCCCTTCCTTTCCGTTTACCCATTCCTTTATTACCCCTTGGTTTGCTGATGTGCTTCGTCGACTTCAAGATCCTGCAGTTGAATGGCGCGGTTGGCCTCTTGGTCGGTCAAAACTGGTGCTTCGGCCTTCGGCTTGTACTTGAGCACGCAAATCGCAGAGCCGATTATGATGACTATTCCGCACCAAGACCACAATCCGGGTAGGTGGTTCCAAATTAAGAGATCCCACAGCAAAGCGTAAAGGATCTGCGAGTATGACATGAAAGCGCCTCGACCTGCACGCTCTCGCTGAATCCCCATAGTCAAGAGGAGTTGCATGAAAAAGCCCGAAAATCCAATGATGGAAAACAAGAGCCACTGGCGGCTGGTTTGTGGAGTCTGGAAGCCTATAGATGGGATCGTGCAGATTCCTACCACGGATATGACAGATACAATGAGCGCAAAGTAAGAAACTGTCATGATCGCATGGGCCCTGTTACCTATGTGGCGGATGATGATATAGACGTTAGATGCGCCAAAGACACCCAGCAGAGCGATCAGCGAGGCAACTAGGCGGTCCCGTGGACTGTTCGACTCAACGGCGTCATTGGCAGGCCGATTGTCGGGGCTTCCAAACAGAAAAGCTGGCCGTACGATCATTACAACGCCGAACAGCGAAACAAAAGCACCCGAGGCCTCAATTTTTGAGTATCGCTCGTGCAATATCATCCAGGCCATAATACCTGTCAGCGACGGGCCGAGAAACGAAATCACTGTAGCGTCCGGAACCGAAAGGTACATCAAAGCATAGTACATCCCAAACACCCCGAAAAATCCAAAAACGCCACGAAGCACAAACCACTTTCGCAAGCCTGGCGGTCCCCACGGCACATGTTCTATTTTCGATCTGTTCATATACATGTAGATAAGTGTTCCCCCATATGTGATAATCATTCGCACTGCCAGGATCTGCAATGGTGTTATCGGCTTTTCCAGGCTAGGATCTGTTTCCAACAGCTTGGTCGAAACAACCATTGCACTGTTGAACAAGTTTGCTGTCAAAAGATATATCAACCCGATATTCGGCTTCAAGTAGTCGCTAGAAAGCCGTTCTAATTGGGTTTTCTCCATGGCCCCGAGATCTCCATCTTGATGCTCGACCATGGCATCCCAGTCGTGATTTCTCTCATTCATGATATGTTTCTAAATACCTCGAGGCCCGGAGTAGAAAGGGGAAGATGACATGAAATTAGCAAGCCAAAGTAAGTTTATAAGAGTGAAATTTAGCAGGGCCAGATAAATCGAGATACTCAAGCCATTAGTGGAGGCCCTCCGACCTTTGAATACAAACAGCTGTCATTTACTAGACAAGTTTCATAAGATCTTTATTGTCGGAAATGTCTTTGGACTCATCTCGCTGGGCCAGTGCGCCCACCAAAGCTGAGCCTAAGACGGTCGTAAAGGGACTCAATTCCAGTCGATGGGCCACACCTAACGATGGGGTGGAGCCTGAAAAGAGAGAATCATCAAGTGAGAAAGGCTCAGGACGACCTCCAAGGAGACCCCGCCGTAGTTCGGGCGGCGGAGGAAAGCCGAAGCATGAAGGCGGATCTGATGTTAACGCTCTGGCTGCTCGACTGGGCATGGTTGATATCAAAGACAATGCTGCGTATTCATCGAAAGAGAGAGTGGGCCGCGGAAAAAATGCCTCTGTCAACAGCGAATTGAAGTCAAAGCCAAAGTCAAAGTCGATCAAGGCATCGGCAGAAAATTCAGAACATAAAAAACCAGCGAACCCACTCGCCGTCCGACTTGGTATGGTGGACTCAGGTGAGCAAAGTGAGGAAATAGACTCCGACGAACCTTCCAGGCCTTCTACAAGCGACAAAGGCCGAATTTTTGATCGGATCAAGCCCGTACGCAGCTCGGCCAACACAGAGGAGCCTCGGCATGCCGTAGCTCGCTCGAAGCAACCTAAAAGCGAAATATTGAAGCGCAAGATAGAGGAGCAGAGAAAGATAAGAGCAGCTAACCTCCACAAGGCACAGCAATCTGACTTGCTAAAGGACTTTTTAAATGACGATTCTTATACAAATTGGGACGACGAGATATAGTGCAGATAAGTGAACTCTCTAATTTCATCTCGCGTTGCTTTGGTACAGCACGTAGCGCACTAACTTACCTTTTTCTTTGCGCAAGAGATCTACCTGCTGCAGTTTGATGTCGACATGGTACCGACCTTTGAAAACTATCCTGTCGTTTTGACCCAAATCTAATTCCCCCATAAAGCACAAGTTTGTAGCGCGGTGATTTTGCGAGTAATGTGGTGGTCTTTCATATTTGTAACCTCCTGGTTCAAGGCTAGGATTCACTATTTGGTATATGTCTGACGACTCAACCCCAAACAGGCCCAAAATGCGATCTGCGAAGTCGGTCAGATCGATGGAACGAGTACTCAGTCTCCACTTGAAAAGGAATGGAACTAAATGCCAGCCAATACCGTCATTCGGTGAACTCCGTGGTACAACTTGGAATCCCGCAAGACACGGGTTAGGGTCCTCCTGCCAAACTGAAAATTCATGAGTCTTCAGAGAAACGCCAGGAGACTTATGCAATGGTACACCGTACTCTTCTTTAATCATTGGATGCATCGATAGTTTCTCCAGGAGTTTGTACTCTGCCATTTCCCTGATTTCTTGGGTATTGATAGATCGGAGCTCGTCGTCACTAAAATTACGAGCTTTGGGCACCGGGTATACCGGTATAAAGGACTCTTCATGTAAGTATACCACTCTATAACCAATAGAATAGCCGAGTATTGTCCCCACTAATGCTACTGCGAAAGCACCACATATATCTCTTAAGCGCTTTCGACGCTGGTTTTTAATAGACTGCTGAATGCTACCGACGACGAGCTCCTCTTCTGAGACCATTTTCGAGTCGGGACGAGAGAAAAAATGCATGGAATCCGGAACTTCGTTGTTGGAAGGGTTTGTAAATACATGTTTTGGATCATGGACGTTATTGACATTGAGCCATCGGCTAAAAACCCTGGGTGCCTCTAGCTTCGTGCTGCTATGAACTCTCTGCTGCGGCAACCAAGCATTTAGATATAGTCTCCGCCGCGAAAAGGCTTGAAACCGGATCATAAGTTGCTTGTAATTTTGGATCTTCAGCTAAGTAATAACTTTTCAAGATTCTTAGATTGTATAAGTGAAGAAGACACAGACGCCCCTTATACTTAGGGGAAATGGCATTGAAGAAAAGGGAACTGAGGAACATTGGAACCTACCACTACAAGTAAACCCCCATGATTTTTTAGCGTGCCAACAGTTTAGGTGTGATTGTTTTCGTTCCAGGAATATTCTTGTGTTTACTATGAAATACACAATGTGCTATATGCATAACGAGTCAAGTTCGCGAGTGTATTCTTATCGAAAGTAACGTTGGAGCAACGCGATTCGGTGGCAATGGGGAACAAGCCATAGGAAAGTTCGGCGTCTAGCCAAAGATACTGTTCTAAAAACCCATAGATCATCCTTGGTCGCATAGGAGAGCTTTCCTGAGTTGGAGATTTCCTAAAATCGTGTCAGTCGAAGTCTCCAATTCTTGTAGAAACAAATGTGCGAAACTTAGCTCATGGTTGTGGTGGTTCGGGCTTGGGTTCTTGAAAAGGATAAATAAAAGACAAAAAACAAAGAAAGAAATGCTGACAGTCTCTGACCCTGCTGTATCTGGTGTGGGCCACGTCACACCTTAGTTTCTCTTATCCTTGATACCTCTGATGGTGTTTGGGAGGTAAAGGAATGGTCCCACAACGGCCACGGCGAACAAAGCGTAGAAAGGGTACAGGTACAAGGCCGATCTTGGGTGTCTCCACCACAATGGCTTGGAAGAAGCTTGGAATAGCTTTTGGTATTCGATAATCTTGTTGGCCATTTTTGCACGCACAGATGAGCCTTTGAGTGGATTGGAATTGAAGAGGACTGATGCGTTGTAAGTTCTTAAAAGGAGAGGTGTGGAAATCACACTATCAACCAGAAAATTTTCTAAAGTGGTGAAAGTTGAGCCAATCAAAAGCAGCGCTGATTGTGATCGTCAAGTACGAAAGCGTATTTCCCGAAGACTCAGTCACCAGGGTTCTGTCCTTCCAAGAGCACATCGGGCTCTTATTCACTCGACCATACGTTAAATCTGCTGTTGTAATTTTGCCGATTTTGTTTTTTTAGTTTCATGTTTACCGCTCTCTTTTGTCGCAGCCTATTATGTCCGGGCGTCACAGTAAAACCAATATGTATTGTTTCAAACTGAGAAATGGTCTGACATGGTTCGGTTACCGTCTACTAAACGGGGCACCTTCGTGTGATCTTGTAGATTTTTAGATGCTGCCCTTAATATGCTCTGTGGTAATGACAGTAAAAAGCCGCAGCATGTGTTTTTCTTTGCGCGGGCGTGTTCACATCCGTCTCTTCGTGAGCGCGTTAAAGCTTATCTCCGGCCCCGCACTTTTGCAACTAAGCACTTATTCTTCGTCATCGGTGTCATCGACTACTCGAAACCTGCGTTTCTTCGCCATCGTCTTTCTCTGAGCGCGGTCAATGTCCTCCATGTCCAGACTGTCTCCGCTCACAAACCCACCGCCATCATGGTGTTCCCAATAATCGCTATTAGGCTCTTCTTCTTCTTCTTCTCCTTCTTCGTCAATATCATCGCTCCCGCCAACCTCAGGGTGAGAGTTGCGAACTGAGTTCTCGAATTCCTGGGTAAGACGTATATGCTCCTCATCCCCTTCGCTTTCATCCTCGTCTTCACTTGAACTTAACAAAATTGGCCCATGGGAAGTAGTTTTTCCTTTTCGAATCGAACTAGGATCGTCATACTCGTTAGGGTCAGTTCTTCTGGAATGAAGGTCATCCTGGTCGTCGTCGTCAATAAAAGAGTCTAAGTCGGATCCCATGTCATCCTCATCTCCTGATATGTGCCTGCGGTCCTGTGCATTGATGCGATTCAAGATATCTCTGGCACTCCCGAATGGCGCAAAACGATGTCGAGCTGCGTGACTGCTCGGCTCCTCGCTGTCGTAGTCACTATCGGACTCATCGCTCTCCCCAGGCAGGGTATGGTGACCGTGACTTCGAAGAGTGGCCAGATCATGTTCAGATGTATCAGAGAGCGCTTCCTCGTCCTCATCTTCGTCGTATTCGCGCGATCGGTTTCTCATCCTTGCACTGCAATGAGGACATACATCACCTTCAACTTCCCAATGGCAGTTACTGCATCTCGCTACGCCATCGTCGTCGTCAACAACCGCTACGGCGGTGTTTTTGAAGACGTTTTTGAATAAAGTCTCATTTTCGTAATCCTCCTTGTATTGAGTAATACTCTGTCCTCTTAGCAGATCATGGGTATCGTTCAGTCCGCAAATCTCAATAACTGTGTTTAAGAGCTCTTGTAGGGCTGAGTTCAGGGAAGGTGCATCTTTCAAGGGAGTGCGACATTGTGGACATGTCAGCTCATTTGCGTTATTACTTACCAACCAGTTCGAAAGGCAATCATAACAATAATTGTGGCCACAGGTAGTCATCACTGGCACGTACATATAATCTTGACATATTGAGCAAGTGCTTGTCTCTAAGACCTTCAACGGTATTAACTTCAGGTCATCTCCAGGCTAGTAATTAATTTTTAGTTAGTTTCCGATCACCGTGCTTGAATTATTCAGTTTCGGGACAGTTTTGACTTACAAGTGTTTTTACTTTGTCTAGAAAATGGCCAGTCATTACCAGAGAAGCTTCTGTTTGGCAGTTTGTTGTAGTTCGCCCGCCTGATTCTCGGTGGTATTGATATTTTAGACCTAAATTGTCTTTAAAGCTTAATTAAAGATGCATACATAGTAAATAAAATATGGTGGAAAGCGGGCAACGAAGATCATATCCCCAATGGTATTCTTTCGACCTCAGCTTTGTTGTAGTAAGCATTAAATTGTAGATATATATCTTTTTATACACCCATCTATGTACAGTCTTTTTCTTTTACTCGGGCGTTAAGTGCCCTCATTTGGTGTGGCGTAACAGAACACTCTTGTTACGCATGCATAGGGTGATCGTTGATGTAGTGAGTAGTGTGTATCTTCAAGTATGTTCAGTGTTTGAGTAAGGCGGAGCTATCCTTGCTTGCCATAGTTGGGGCCTCCGCAACTCTCTTCTTGGCATCGTTATTCATCCATTCGTGTAAGAATTGAGATGCCATACGCATATCATTGAGGCCCTCAAACTTGTAATTGACGTATCTTACCAGAAGTGCGTCAATCTCCTCATTTATAAGCTTTATCATATCCCTGTTGGACATGTGTGAGCTCGAGGCAGCAGAATGCTTTGTTAAATATTTCACATAGCCCTTACAAGATCGTAAAGAGTCGCGAGTGATCAAACCTGCGTTGCGGTTTTTGTTCCATTCGCTCAACACTGACAGAAAACTGAGCGGATCTCGAGCACGCGTGTGGATCTTCAAAGCATTAGAATAATAGATGAACCAGTCCCTTTGGTTATTACTATTCATACGCTTTTTACCCTGATCTAGGCAGAATGTAGCCGTAGTAGGATCCTGAAGCACAAGAAATATGCTGGAAAGTTGCATGTAATTTTGAAAGTTTAAATGAAGGCGGCGTTCTCTCTCAAAGTCTTTGACTTTCTGAGAGGCCATCAGAGATGCCTCCGTCTTTGCAGCTATTGTGTGACCTTTTTGTGCAGACTCACTGGTAATCTTGAGAGTGCTATGCTTAAGCCACAAAATGTCCAGCTTGAGCGGAATATTGTGGTACGTTTCACGCATGATATTATCAACTATGCGTGCTGACTCTATACAATCATCCATTAAAATTTTGAGCAGTGAGTAAAGAACCGGAAAGCGTGGCCTTATTCCGTGTTGCAATTCATTCAAAATGATAGCCCTGATGCGGGCAGCATCGCCAATTTCGACGCAGTCGGCTATGGCCTTTGCGCAGTCCGGGCTAAAGTGCGGACTCAAAGCCAAGTATTTGTGGAGAGCCCCTCCATTAGATTCATTGGTTAGCAGCCGCCTGTTCAGTTTGCTAGTGATAAAGTGTCCGAGCCAATGGTACTGGCGAAGATAGCTATCTTTGTCAAGAGTCAACTGCAAATCTTTAGTAAACTCTCTTGAAAGTATGGGATAATTCTCTATCGCACAAGACCAGAGCTGTTCAACATATACGTGGTTTATTTGGCATTCCGGAGAAGTGCGTATGACGTCTCTCATGTACTGAACAAGTGTCTTTAATAATCCGTTCTTGACAAAATAATGGCAAACGCGCTTGTGGAAACCATTTGTTAGCTGCACAGATCTATCGGATAGTGCTCTCGTGGTGATGAGTTTGATATCAGCAAGATTGTTTCGAGAGACGAAGGCGTTGAGCGCTTCAATATAGAATTCAACTCTTCTTGGTACAGCGGTTTGAGCGAGTAACAATTCAAGTGCGCCAGTGATCTCGAGAGTGGTCACAAGCTTACTTTTTGCTAAATCGTTGCGAAATAAACAAAGTCGATAATCGTCGCTATCATTATAGTTGGATATTTGTATCCTGGGATGCGAATTTAAGGTACCAATTCCTTCGAAATCCTCAAAATTCAGCAAAAGCCTGTGAAGCAGAGCAATTGTCCTGTTTTCAGGCATAAGTTGGGGAGCGGATGCTTCCTTCAGCCACGTATAAATGATTTGTTTCAGTAAAGCCAGATCAGAGGCCTTGAATATCTCGAATGCAAAAACATGCAATGTATGAGGAGTAATTGGGAAAGTTTCGGGGTCTTTGAGTATTTGGGCATAAAATTCTTTTGCAAGTGGGATGTTCTTGTTCTTGACAAATGTAACGAGACCAATTTCTATCATTCCTGGCTTTATTTTAGGAAACTTGATATATTCGGAAAACAGTGCTTCGCAAAGATCGTAATTCCGAAGGGCAAATTCAGTCTTGAGCATTAGTTCGACGAGTTGTGAGTATGTCTCCGGTAAAATGCTGTGTTTGGATGCTAGTAGGTGAAGTCTGAAAGTTTTATAAAGTTTGTGTATCACGTAAAACTGGTGAAGGCGCCCAAGTGCGAAGAGAATATGTAACAACTCCGCCGGCAGGCTCGCCGTGACCTCTTTGCTTTGAGAGATCAGTCGATTAGCTGACTCAAGGGAAATATTCAAAGACGCCTTGTCTACCACTTCCTTTTCTGGCTTATTCACACTCAGTGTTGCATTTCTCTCCGCCTTCGAAGCACCTATGTGCGAAAGCGGAATTCGCTTTATCCCATTGATTTGGTTGCTGCAGGCCAAGTTTTTGAAAACCTCCTTGTACTTCCCACCTTGAAAAGTTGAGTCGTATCGTCGGAAACATAGCGCTGCGCGTATGCGACTTCCTCTTGTCCTGACCGGTCGCTGAAACAAGAAGAAGCCATTGCCGTGCTTTAAATGGAACATAATGCCTTTCGTGTATCAGGTAATTGCATGGGTGCTTTCGATACGCTATCAGACTGATTTCTGTACGTTAGAGTACTGATTATTAGCTTTCTATCCCTTCTCTCCTTCTCGTACCTCTTGCCTCTTGCCTCTTTGGTAGGTTGCTGTGCTTTATGTACAGATGTCGTTCGATTAGAAGATGGCCAGCCCAGGTACTATTATTGCCCAATTAATAGCTGCAAACCTTAGCAACACAACACCGTCTAGACTAAATGGGAGCCTCAAGGGCTTCTTGGTTCGATTTTGGTTTATAACTTATGCCTTTTACAAAATACTCAGCTGGGCATCGATAGTAGTCTTATAAAAATTTTCGAACCTAGCACTACTAACACTTACAGAAAAACATACTCGAAAACGCAGCGAATAGCCGTCATCAACTGACTGGCGATAAATCCGTTAGTTACTGTCGTATTCAATCGTAGATCGACCTATATTCTTGTTCGCCGTCCACGGCATAGTAAACTCCGGATAAAACGCAGGAACGTAAGCTTGGAAGAAGCTGAACTAAATGATCCATGTATGAATTGAAAAAGTGTGCAATACATCCAGCCAACGCTATGTATACGGACTCATCATAGTGACAATCAAAATCGTGGAAGTGCTGGATGTTTTCATAGCCGTGTAAATCCCAATAGTGAGCAACGGGACAGATAGACCAGGTGTTCAAATCCCAATCTGTGGTAGTAACGAAGCGCCGGGAGAGAGCGTCGCCAGTAAAACCAAAGAAAACTGTTGGAATAATGTCTTTGAAACGGCCCTCAGAAAATGAATAGAATTGATGGTTCATGATGAACTTGTCGATGACAGCTAAAACTTTAGTGCAATAATCACACTCGCATCCATTCCAAAGTAAATCGCATACAAGCACCTCGTAAGGAGCAATAGACCTCAGAAATGTTGGGGCAATGAGTGTCTTGAGGCTCGTTAATCTGGGAAGGACGCTTTCATAAAGCGTACGACGGCGAATGTAATTACCTTCTACTGAGTCTTTTTGAATTCCATTCAATGGCGGGTTGTGACGAATAGCCAGTTTTTCCAGCCTATCCGAGACGTTGGGGAGGTTGATAAGAAATTTGTTTATTGTCAAATCCCAGTTTTCCTCGGTATAGTGATCCCCTTGGGTGACAAAGGTTTTCTCTATAAGACTTAGCTCTTTGAGATTGTGTACGTGGGGAGCGAGAGCCATTAAAAAGTCGTGGAAGCAAGAACAGCCTGGAACCTCGCATGACCCTTCTAGCTCTAACCGTTTTATTCGATCGATTTCCAGTACGCTATCAAGGAATAGCGTGGTGAATTCCCTCATCGTCTTGTTGTAGTTCTGCATCCCGTGGACGTGATTAAATTTAAGCGACTTCAGAGCACTCATGGCCATTTTTTCGTCATGTAGGTATTCAAACAGCCGCAGACTTGAGTGCTCTAAGTCTTCTATGGCTACTTCCTCAATGTTGAGGGAAAGTGCGCTCTTGGCATTCTCATTCAGGCATCCAGCTTCAAAGGAAACATGCGAGAGCATGAGTTGTAAGGACTTCACTTGTGCAATTGATCGCAGCTGGTTCAAATCTGCAAGATCAAGAATGCGGCACTTTCGTAAATGCTGCAGATTCAAATAGTGAGGATAGAACCTCGCGAACAATTCGTTATCTCTAATATCTAGAACTTCCAACAAACCTAAATCCAGCAACTTTTGTACCAGCTCTTCCAGCACGACAAGCCCGGCTTGTCGGTCGTGGAACACGTCTTCTTGGATGATTACTTCCTTTACCAGGTGAAGATGTGAGGACTCGTTCAGCCTGTTAATTCGATCATAGAGGAAAAGATCGACTTGATCGGGGCTTTTCTTCACTGATCTGTACCCGGCAAGATATGTTTTTCCACAGTCCAAAAACCATTCCCCAGAACGTAGAACCGAGTCTCTTGATATAACAATCGTATGATATATTTCCTCCACGCATAACTGGTGAAATTGTGAATTTGTGCGGGCCAACGATAGAAGATCATTCTGATTCAAAAACTCAATTGCACTCTTCCAGAACCCACCATTCAACTTCGCTGGAGCTGGTAGAGGTTGGTAGGTCGTCATATCCAAAATGGTACTAGTTCTGGGGATCAACGAAACCCTGTTCAAGAGTGTATGAGCATAAGCGCATCTCCATTTCATACCATCCTGATCACGTGAGTTGCACTCAGCATCAAGCTACATCGATGATGACGGCGCTGGAATATATCCGTTACACACTTTAATACCACAGGTCAAACTTCCACGGTTCATGAGCACATTGGCTAACATGGACCAGCCATGAGGTTACTAAAATTGCGCCGGAAAGTTTCAACATGAGTGCGTGACCGCGCATCGCGTTAGTTCAGGTATATTTGATATAATTTCCTCGGTGCGTACCTAATCTTATCACCGCCAAACACATGTTGAGACGCGCAGTGACTCATATATTCTAATATATGCAATTTAATCATGTTAGGATCCATTTTAGTCTCGCCTGGGCGTATATACCACCTAATAAAAATATATCGCACACAGTGACGCCAGCCCGACCGACGAATAGATACCTTCGCAAACCTAAAAATTGAAATATATATGCTCTGCTTCATCTTTACGGCTAAAAGGACACTCGTTGAGGTGTATTTATCACTTACAGAGCTTAGCTTTGAGGCAAAAATAAAAATTAACGACCTCGGTGAGGATTGAACTCACGATCTTGCGATTAACAGTCGCACGCCTTAACCAGCTTGGCCACGAAGTCAACTTGTGATTATTCCGATAATCTTTTCAAAACATATAGTGTTAACTGCTCCATGCGATACACTGCCAAAAATGCTGACTTTAATATGACATAGCCAGTGGATCATTTCTTTCAATTTACCTTCGACGTCTCCATTCCGAACGAGGCTTGCGGATCCAGTTTTCATGCGCTATACAACACTACTTTACCTCTCAATTGGGCTCAAATGAAATCAGGCTATTCATGCTATCCATGCTTATTGTTCTCTAAGTTAATTAATGTTTGTAAACAAAAACCCGAGTTTTAGAGGCTTTTCCAAAAAGTGAAAGACACATTGGGTTAGATGACGTTTGCCACAGAATTTACTTATTATATGATGTCTTTGTGTCCAGGAATACAACTAGGCGCTTCCGGAAGAAAGTTCAAATACTGACGGATGACAATCCAAGGACGTCAGATGCTGGTCCAGTAGTTCTATTTCGGTGATTTCAAGGCTCAACGCCAACTTGCGTAGGATGACAAGTTGCCCGAAAAGTTTATAGTTTGAACCCCAACCCAGTGGTGCATCTTTTACCACATAATGGTACATCCTTCTATTCAAGACAAGGACTAGCGACAGAACGAAACTGTGAAGCTCTTCTTTCAAATCTTTAGCGTGCCTCAAAAGCTCTACATGTCGTAGGCCCTCCTCAACAAAGTTTCTAAATTGATTTTCTGGTTCAACCTCGAACAGCTCGTCTGCCTCTTCATCTTTTTCCCAGCAGGTTTGAGACGTCAAGGGTTCGAGATCCCCCTTGACAGCCGCAAAGGCAATAGCGTGTGCTTCTGGATTATTTTGCATGTGCGCTACGAACAAATTGGCTGTAACAGGAAAAGCAGTTCCAAGGGACACTGTGTCTGTCTTGAACAAAACTCTGTTAAGATGTGTTGAAGACGTTTCGCGGAGTACGAGGTCGTCATCATACAGAAAGCGGCTGATCACGAAAAACATCTTTACGTCAGGAAAACGATTAGTTGCGTTGGTCAATGAAACAAGCGCGGACTTTCTGAGTTCAAAAGGTATCTCATCGCGTGACAATTTCTCTACGAGCCCTCTGTACAGATTGTCACCTGCACCCACAAACAGGCCAGCATATTCAAGGGCAGTAGCCCTGAGATCATCACTGTGAGTTTCCTCGATCAGCGCCATGAGCTTTTTGACATCTATAGTAACTTTCAATGTGATTAGGGCCCTCAGAACCGATAGTTTGATGTGGTTCCACACCTTTTCTTCGAAGAACAGTTCAAGAAGTATTTCGGCAATGACGCTCTCCTTGCCGATATTCAAATTCTCATTCTGGGCAACGTACTCTGCAGCAGCTATTTGAACTTCGTAAAAAGGCGACAGCAGAGCAACCGCTGTTAGATCCAACAAATTATCCTTGCTTTCTCTTTTTGTTAGGATGGAGAACAGTTCTTTGAGCAGGAGTTGTTTGGTTCCATCCATTGAGTAATCATCGTTGAGTTTTAGAAAGTAAGTGCCTAGTTGGGATGTCAACCTCTTTCCTTCTGCAGTGCTTAGGGCTCCCTTTGATAGACAAATGTCCACCAAGCTCACGAAGGCCTTTGCGGTAACGAAGCACTTATTCTCGAAAATGAAGCTGCCGGCCAAATCTACGATCGAGTTTACCATGTAAGCCAACTCAGTGCCAGACAAGAATTGATTATCCTCGGAGCCAAGAAACTCATGTATGGCCAAAATGTATCCGTGTGCCGTGTTCTGCTTTAATCCAGACAATTGAAGGTTGCGTACGAGGTTTAAAATTTCGGCGGAGGAATCATTGACGAGATTTGGCAATGTTCGCGCTGCCAATTGCCGAACCGTCCAATTCTGGGACTCCAGACACAAGACTACCAACTTTTTGAAGTCTGCCAGTCCATCAAAACCTGGCGTTTGTTTGAGTCTTGACAGTATCGTCAGTACCAAGAATATGCTTTCGATCTGGGAATCAAGTGTAGGAAGGTCAGTCCCACTCTCTCTCGTTCCTTGAATGAGTAGTGATTTATTGAGAGATTTTTCAAATTGTTCGCGTAAGCTACTCTGTACTCCTTCATACCGTGAAAAGAATAGGCGTGCGCTTACACTCTTTCCAGATTTACCAAATAAGCGATTTTGCAAGGCAGAGAACAACATAAAAGAGCAGTTTCTTAATGACCAAAGAGGTGACGTGAAGGATCTCAAGCACAATGCCAGAGCAGGATAGACGAAAGGCGCACAGGCATCGGACAACGTCGACTCTATAAATAGTACCTTTATGCAATTGAAAGCATTTACTTGCGGCAGATCATTTCTCTCCTCGTGTTCTGAGACGGGTATTTTCGCAATTTTAAACAAGTGGTCAAACGTGAGCTTTAGTAATGGTCTCTTGACAGCAGTCTCCGGTGAAACTATGCTGCAGATAATATGGGGTACACCGCCAGATCGCCGCGTAATGAACTGGGTCTTTTTTTCAAGTAAACCCAACATTCTATGAAGCCAAATCTCAGTAATTTTGGGGCATTGTTGATAACAACGTTGACAGCATGCCACAAAGCTGGGTACAACGGATTGAAAAGCGCCACTGTGACGAATGGTAGCAAGCTGCTCTAGCATCAACTCACCACAAGAAACAAGTTGACTTTCAGACAAACTAGGAATACCTATAATGGTACGCAAAAGCTCAGCGGAATCCTTTATAGACCTGAAAGCATATGTAATTACCTGAGGATCCGACACATCGAATCCAGCTTTCATGCAATCTTTTTGATTTTCGAATGGATCATCACACAGTATGTGCTCAACAGTAGCCCAATTGAGTGCAATAAGACGGATGCACGTATCGATAGTGGCCTCTATGTCGCCCAATTCTCTGATAAAGTCAGACTTGTGGAGCAAGAGACTTAGCGCTAAAAAGTAACCATGTACCGATTTGCTAAAGTTAGCTATCAGATTGTGGTTAGATGACTCAATTCTTTGACTAAGTTTATCCAGAAGGTTTTGAATCACACTTGGTTTGTTGGTGCTTACGATGAAAAGAAATTCAGCTAGTTTGGAACCACCCTCACAGCCCTTGTAAGAGCCTAACAGCGCATAGCATTTTTCTAGAAGCACATCATAATGAAGATTTATGTTGTTTTTCTTGTCGGTAGCTTGAGAAAATATAGTCAGCAATTCCAAACAATTATCTCTAACGTCATTATAGTTGTCCGTTAGGTTGTCTAAAAGCAATCGTCCCAACGCTCGATCATCAGAAAGGAAGACGTTAAAAGGAAAGTTCATGACCAGTCTGGGGTCGAGGTAGAGCTTGGGGATATTGGGGTCAAGACTAGATGACACAAGTGTTTTTAGCAGTTTAGTAGCCAGAATTTGCCGTTGGTACTGTGAACCTGGGATAATTTGAGATTTAAGAAATTGTACAAGCCAATCCATGAAAGCAATGGCCTCACTTATCATTCTTCTCTTCTGTGCTTGTTCTTCTGGAAATTTGTTTTTTGCTTGAAGCTTGAGACTATCTCTATTGAGTGAATAGGTGGAGTCGCGTATTCTATCGATAAACTTTTTGAACAGACTACGAAACTCGTTCCTACATTTCACCTCGATGTCCACGAAGAATAGGTTCATGTTTCGCTTTATGATATCGTATATGTATGAGGCAACAGGCATTGATTTCTTCGTTGCGAAGGTAAGTAGCTCGAAAACAGGCAGCTTGTATTGATCTTGCCGCAGTAGTTGTTCCATAAAGCTTAATGAAACAAGTTTATCATCGTGAAATGGTTCCTCCTCGAGAGAAAGCTCTTGGCCAATCTTCAGAATGGGAATCAACTCGGGAGAATCACGCTGAAAGTTACGCGAAATAAAGTGATTGAAAACATTCTCCTTGACGGTTGTGAAAACAGGGACTAGGATACAGATTTCTATGCGCTTGCGCATTCGAGGATTTTGGAAAAAATGCATTGTTGACCTCTCCCACAATGAAAACCAAGCATCTAGGTCACTTGCAGACCTGTAATGGCGATTGTAAGCATTGATCAGTATGCTCGCGATACATTTCCCGATAGGAGTCGCCAAAGATTCTGTCCACATTAGGCCAAGTGAGTGCTCTATGAAATCGGGTCGGCTCTCGAGGATTTGAAGAACATCAACTTCGGGTGCTAAAACGTGAGTCAAATAATACAAAACACGCATAGTGTAGGGAATCTGCAGAGTCTCCGATAACCACGATCTCAGCATCACTTGATAGTCCTCTTCGACCCGAACTAGTTTCACAAGATGCAGTAGTTTGTGCAGTAGACCATCTAGAGAGTTTGCCAAAGCTGCTCCGCTCTCATTCCAGAAGTCGATGACGTAGCGAAACAGAAAATCACAACGCACTTGTGTCAAAAGATGAGTATTCAGTTTTTGCAACAGCAACGCCTGATTGTCATCTAACGATTGCAAGTGTCTCACGATTTCGACCCACTGCCGAATTCTTACCATCCATATCCCTAGTGTGTCGGTGAGGAGGAGCCGCGCCCGGTCTTCAATGGCGGTTGTATCGCTTAGAATTTGGAATATATCATTGAAGATAAAGTAGAGCTTGTCAATGGCCTCTTTGTCCAAGTTTTTCAAGTCCCGTGGTTTTATACCTATAAGAAAGCGCTTATAGGCAGCTATATGGTCCATCGAACCGATCTTGGGTTTCCTATCCGATAGCGGTGTTGACAGTTCAATATCATTTTTTTTTAACTTCAATTTCAAATTCTCGCTATCACGACAATGCTATTAGCCAACTGGTACCATTACGATGAGAGGAAACCGATACTTTCCAAATAGCCTGTATACTATCGAAACGATACATAGCTCATGTTTGGTTTACGACAAAGTTTGTTGTATGTAAATAGGACGTACCTTGAGCCACACCTCGGATTTGCTCGTGAGATTTGCTTCAACTTGAGAGGCGAGCTCGACAGCTATGCTTAAGAATCACTTCGAATCATCCATTTCCATGATAAAGACGGCTCTTCGAAAAAAAGGGCCCTCTTGCTATTTTTCACAGCTTTCTTCCAAAATTTCCGGTGTCGCGGAAGGCCGAGATGATGAGCCTCAGCTTATATGCAAGGGCGACCACCACTTGTGGTCCAAAATACTCCGGGGACCGTAAATACCGGAACTAGTCGCTGAAAAGAAGACGCATGCTGTTCTCGACTTCCAGGGATCAGAGAAATCCCTTCTGAAATGGAGTATAAGGCGAAATAAAGTCTAATAGTTAATTGAAATTTAAATAAAGGTCAAATAAAGGTCAGATAAATTTTCAGAACCTTGAAGTTTTTAATGCAAGTAGCAGGAATCCCAAAGCCCGACTGAGGCTTTATAATAGTGGTTTAAGCATGAGATCAAGAAGTCTAGAGTACTAATCATTTTAAGGTTAATTGAGTTCATTCGTATATAGGTATCAAGATCTTGGTAACTCTGTTCATAATACGCCTACTTATGCACAAAACAGTATCACAATTCAAGTAATGGAATAAGACTGGTAGCTCTATTGAACCTTGGCCATGCTGGAAGATAAGTATATCGGTTTGCTCTTGGCGATAACGTCCTCCTTGGCGATTGGAAGTTCGTTCATCCTTACGAAAATGGGATTGAACGCGGCATCAGAACAAAACAACTTCGAGGGAGCCGGTTACGAATACTTAAAAAATCCCATTTGGTGGGGAGGTATGACAACGATGGCAATTGGAGAAATTGCCAATTTTGCAGCGTATACTTTCGCTCCCGCGATCATGGTTACACCTTTGGGTGCTCTCTCGGTGATCATTGGTGCCATATTAGCCGCATTGTTCTTGAAGGAAGAATTGGGTACTTTAGGGAAGCTCGGGTGTACTGTCTGTCTTCTGGGCTCTGTGATCATCATTTTGCATGCTCCATCAGATAAAAATATCGAAACGGTAGATGAGATTTTGGGCTACGCAATGCAACCTGCCTTTTTGTGTTATGCCCTGATGGTGGCTGTGTTCACAGTTTTCATGATCACCAGAGTGGTTCCTAACTACGGAACCAAAAATCCGATGGTCTATATTTCCATTTGTTCTACGGTTGGATCGATTTCTGTGATGTCCATCAAGGCCTTTGGAATTGCACTAAAGTTAACATTAGGTGGCAATAACCAATTTACCCATTTGTCAACTTACTTGTTCATCATAGTGGTAGTGACATGCATCATGACCCAGATGAACTACTTCAACAAGGCTTTGGACCAATTCGATACCTCCATCGTGAACCCACTATACTATGTCACCTTCACCACAGCGACGTTAGTGGCTTCTTTCATTTTGTTCCGCAACTTCGATGAAAGCGACCAGAAGGATTCAGTTTCGTTAGTTTGTGGCTTCATCATTATCTTCACCGGAGTTTACTTACTGAACTTGGCTAGAAAGAAAAATCACAATAATTTGTTCAGTCATCAATCAGATGTTGAAAATATACCAATGGACAATAACGTCGGCGGTTTCACGGTGAGAAAGTCCTTCCAAGGGACACATCATCGCGTGGCTTCACAACAGTATGAAAGTGAAGAGATGGTCCACTTGACTCGCGACGACCCAGACCTCGACCGGTTCAGAGTTTAAGTCGAACATGTGGCCTCACTCTTGCACTTATGAAAGCTAGGGACTTGAAGTCTCAACAAGCATGGCCCAAATATGGAGGGCCGCTGTCAAATAACGAAAGCAGTGCACCTAAAAAGCATTCTTCAAAGTCGCCATTCTTGGCGCTACTATGTGCTCTGAGCAAAATATACCCTTAGATAGAGTCAATGGTATATGGATTTGCTTTATATAATGGTACATAGAAGAACACAGAAACAAGTTGCACTTTTTCTGTGCGCGCTGGTCGTGTGCGAATGCTAAAGAAGGTATTGTGTATGGTGAACCCTTCCAAGGAACTTAGATGTCATCAATATCAAGATCATCCTCGTCTTCTTCATCGTCGTCGTCATCGGCATTTCCAAACTCAAAGTTGACGTCCTCATCGGACTCGAAACCAAAGTTGTCAGTTTCATTGATTTTGGCGTTTTCTGGCAACTCTCCCTGGTTTTTCAAAGTACGAGCTTCGTCCAAATTGTACTTGTGAACAACATCGCATTGATCGTCCTGGAAATCCCTGAGCGACACTAAAATGATGTCACCTTGACCCATCCACACTCTCTTTCTAAGCTTACCTCTGATATGTGCCATCCTCTTTTCACCATCGAAGCATGAGGCCTCTACTCTACCGTTACCCAACATCTTCGTGATTTGAGCGTACTCTTGGCCCTCGTCCTTGTATATAAGCTCACGCTTAGGACCATCGGTATCGTTCTTACCTCTTCTACCTTTTTTACCACCCTTGGTATTCTTCTTACCCATATTGAAAGGAGTACGTGGATGTGCTTTGATCTGTTAGAGTAACGAAGCTCTAGATTGTTCAGACGCTGCCTTCACTGTTATAAAAGAGGAACTTTTAAAATTTTTCAATTGTTCGTAAATAAAGATCTTTCATAAGAGATGTCACATAAGTTTATAATGATATAAAGACCAAACAGCTTGGTAGACTGGACTTTTATCTGCGGAGTAGCGTCTGGACTCCATGAAAGAGGAGCCAACATCACACGCATAAACCTAACTACCGAGACCCATTCAGCTTTTCTCGAGATTCGGTAAAGGGAAATTTTCAATGAAGTTACAAGGACAATGATTATTATCTTACTTCAACTGAGTCTTGTTAAGCTTTTCGAGCATCGACAATAACTCGTTCAACCCTTCAATGTGCTCTTTAGCATACGTTGACAAAGAGACGCCGTACACAACACTGTATCCTGCCTTGAGAGTCCTACTCTTGGCAAGTTCGTTGACATATTCAAACATCGGCTCGATCACTGGGGAGGTAGAACCGGTGACCGATAAGAAGTCAATGTGAGATGTAGAACGACCCATTGCAAAATAAGAGTTACCTGTTGGTTGTGCATTAGGAGAAAGTATTCCATGAGCAGCAGAAGATCCCATGATAGGACTCAACAAGGGCGAGTTTTCGACGGAATGTTGAGGAGTCGAATTGGCAGTAGTGTTCACAGAATTGAAGTACGCAAGGAGGAAGTGGAGGGCTTTCAAAGCAAGTCCAACTTGTTGCACAAAGACGACGTTTTTATGCAAGTATGCATGAATACCTTTGTCACCGAATAAAGTGTTGACATGAGTTATTGCTTCCCCTACTACGCCTGATACACGATCTTTATCCTCAGCGTTTTCGGTATGGAAACGGATCATCGATTCCCCTTCCTTGTAGTACGAGCCAGGAAGCCTTTCGACTTTATCTTCTATTACCCTCACAATATCATCCTTCCACGAGTTATTCTCAACGATACTGAACCAGTGTCCATTGAGTCTAACGTATGCACCATTTTCAGCTATCAGTCCGACGTGCGTGGTTCGTGTGTATAGCCTTTCCATGGTAGTTCTTGAAAAAGAACTGAAGACGTAGACAATACTGTTTACGGAAAGGTCGGTCAAAATCGATAGGACCCGCGGGGTAGGAGGCTCTGAAATTTTGAGAATGAACAGACGTTTTTTGGAGGCATTGTAGCTTGAGAGCATAGTATCGAAAGACAAGTTGAACACGGTTGATCTTTCTCGTTCGAAGTCCCACGCGGACGCGGTGCTGCCCAAACAGCTTTGGACCCACGAATCTGAATCATTTTTCATTATACTTTTGAATAGCCGCTTCCAACGACGTCTTTTGTCCTCAGATGGTAATTCTAGAGCACGCTTGATTGTCTGGGCTACTTGTTTCACATTCCAAGGATTGACGAGGAAGGCACCATCCTTCAAAATGTATGCACTACCAGTAAACTCAGACAAGACTAAAGGTGCATTACGCTCTCGCGACGAAATGATGAATTCATGACAAGTCAAATTCATACCTTCTCTCATGGTGGTCACCAAGAATAGATCGGCCTCTGAATTCAATGCCAAATATTGAGCAAAATCGATGTCTTGATGCAAAAATACCACAGGTTGTGAGACGCTAATATCCGGTGATAACGCATTTATACGATCGATAACTATCATGATCTCCCGCTCCATTTCTTGATCTTTGTCTGATCCTAAACAGATCTGAATCAAAACGACCTGCGTAACATACTCTGGATTGGCACGTAAAAATCTTTCGTAGGCTAACAGCTTCTTCTTCAGACCCCTTATGCGGTCGAACTGGTCACGGCCAACAATCAGTTTCTTACCAGCCCATCTGCTACGAATTAGTTGACGCCAATTTTCGACGTCATCTGACCTCAATTGAGCTTCTAACATAAAAGTGTCAACACCAATTGGCGCACTACCCACTTGTATAATGCGACCCTTATACTTCAAAGTTTTGCTGTCAACGTCTGTCATTAGCAGCCTATTAGTCGTTTGTAAAAAATGACGGGCGTATTCTTCAGTTTGAAAGCCGACGTAATTAGCACCTACAATTCCGTTCAATATCTTATCCCTCTGTGCAAAACATCTGAACACCTCACTGCTGGGAAATGAGACATGCAAAAAGAAGCTAATCTTGGCATGTGGCAACTTAGCTCTGACCATACCTGGAACCAGCATCAAGTGATAGTCATGAACCCAGATAGTGTCACCATCCTTGTAAGTTTGCACAATTTTGTCTGCAAACAGTTGATTCAAATCCTGGTAAAAATTCCACGAATGATCCTCAAAAGCTTTGGAATTGGGATTATCGGGAATCTGATAGTGTAATGTTGGCCATACAATCTGCTTACAAAAGTTCTTGTAAGCGACTTTGAATGTGATATCATCGGAGATGACTGGAGCACAATCATAACTATTGCCCAACTCAGCACACACTTTTTGCAGAACATCCTCAGGAATGCTATCAGTCGGAATACTCATGGTTCCTACCCATCTGACGGGCTCTTCTATGGTCTTCTCGACCGCTGCGGTCGAGACAGCATTTTTTAATCCGCCATTGCCTTTTCCAGAGGGAACGATTTTCCATGGTACTTGAGCAAAAATGTTCTTAGATCCTAGCAACACACTAGCCCTAGCTTTGGGATCTGTAGAAAATCCACCAAATTCAGGAATGAATGCCTTTTCCTCTGCGTCGTCGTCGGAGTTGAAATGATCGCTGTCGCTTTCCTCGATGACCTCATTCTTCAGAGTCGAGGGTACCCGAAGGTTTGACTCTTGGGTGCGAGGTGGGGGTCTCGAATGATGTTGATGGTGTGGAGTGGCTCTGTTTTCCCTTACATCAGAAGTCAAAGGAGCTGACGCGCCAGATGATTTCCGGTGAACTCGTCTCATGGCAGGTAGAGAGTACTGTTGCTGTTGATGCTGCTGCTTTGCTTTTGGCAAGTCCACAACACTGGAACTTAAGTCTGGTACTTCTCTTGACTTTGGCGTGATGACCGTACTGGAGGGTTGGGAGGCTTGTGGATGACTTTTACCTTCGAACGCGGCCGCTGCAACAGGACTGCCACTGGACCCGATCATGTTTTGGTACAGAGACTTGTTGACATTCTTCAGCAAATTGGCAGTAGAATCGTGCTGCGGAATTGGACTGAAAATCTCTCCTCCGGGTGTCGAAGTGGTGGAGAAGTTCCTGCTAGACAAAGAGCTGTGATTGAAAAACGCCTGCATTGAACCTCCTGGATGTGAGTTAAAAAACTCCTCGACTGAAGTGTTTCCCTGGTTATGGACAGGGTTGGCCGGAGTTCCACCAGCCCCCGTATTGACAGCGTTGGCAGTCAAATTCTCCATGAACATCTCAGACGACATGCCGGGGCTGGCCAATCGGGCACCAGACTCGCTCTCCCGTAATCCTGGTGGAAAATGGTGATCCGCGACTTCTGCCGATGCAATCCCACTTTCAGGGTTAGAGAAGGGCGAGTTCGAGTGCACAGAGCTGGTTCTGTTCCGGCGTAGCGGATCAGCGTTTTCCATTGGCCCAGGACCAGAGGGGTTCGCTTGTGGAACCTTGACAGCGTCATGTTCGAGAAGGGCAGCTGTATCAGCGTCGGATCCACACACCTCGAACTGTGGTTGAAATGGTAAGAACAGAGACGCAATAATGACAACCATACTGCTTTAATGTTCCCTGCGATACCACCAGCACCTCAATGTTATACGGGGACTCAATTGTAATTGAGCTTAACTGTAGATGTGTCGACGCAAGAAGGTGGGTCAAACGTGGTTCTAGTTTGCTAAGAGTAGGGCCCCTTTAGTTCACCAATATCATACTATACGGTATATACATCTTCAGAGTGCCTGGTAATGTCAGTATATTGTGGTGACCAAGTAAGATATAATCCAAATGATCAACGTCTTGCAAGCGTCCTTTTGCTGTCAACAACTCTGTCCCAGTCTGCCGCACTTTGAGTACGGAATCTACTCGCGATATGGTGTAGCACCTCGAAATGTTCTTTGCGTGCGCCAGTAAATTGTGAGAGATCCTCCAGAACAACAATCAGTAGGTCGACTATATTAGTGCGCACCCTTCAAAAATTGGCTTGTGCATTTCTACTGCTTCCTTGACATACTGCTGGGAGGGGAGCAGTTCAAACTGTAAGGGAGAATGCACGTCATGTATATCTTAGTTATAGTGAAGCAAACAGCAACGCTGCACCTGGCAGTGCGTAGATTTTACTGCATGAAGTGAGCTTTCAGCAGTGGAAGAGTGGTATAGGCTGGCGGATGGCCACGATTGGTCAAGAAATATAACGTGAGTACATGAGTACCGGTAGCACAGCAAGTGGAAGATTGTAAAGCAAGTAAGGCCAGTTCTCGTCGGGAGGGCCTGGCAAGCCGGGACGATGACTCCGTATGTTGACTCCCACTGCCATGTCACGACCAGCATAGAACCAAAATCGATTCGGCTGCCAAATGTGCCCTTTCAGTGCTGTATCATGTCCAACAATGGCTACGACTGGTGGAAACTGGTAAACTCCCCTGTTGCAGATGCAAATACCAAACTGGGCTTCGGAGTGCACCCATGGTACAGCCACCTGTATTATTTGTCAGAAGATGGGACGTCACCCTCTAAAGAAGCCCACTACAGGTCAATTCTTCAGGGTCCACGAGAAGCGGAGTTGAATCGCATCATCCTGCGGCTTCCAGAGCCCAAAAACTTAGTCTCTTACATCGACGCAAATTTCAGCACAACGTCCTGCGACTGCATCGGGGAAATTGGGCTGGACAAGCTTTTTAGGCTGCCTGAAAACGGGTTTTACCAAGGTGACGACACGGCTCCCTTGAGTCGCGTCAAAGTGAAAATGGATCATCAAGTCAAAGTGTTCGTGCAAATGTGCCAATTGGCTGTGAAGCACTCACTACCAGTCTCGCTTCACTGTGTGAAGGCTCCCAACCAGATGTTCGAGCTGTGCCAGACGCACTTGCTTCCACACAAGGGCATCAACATATGTCTGCACTCATACACCGGATCTGTAGAGACGCTGACGGGCGCATGGCTCAAAAATTTTCCCCGCGAGCGTCTTTTCTTGAGTATATCAAGCTACGTGAACTTCAAGAACTTAGAATCGGCATCCAAACTGCTACAGGCACTACCTCTAGAATGTATTCTCACGGAAACCGATTTCACCTGGGATACTTCAAGTGAGAATGACATCCAGGAAGCGTTAGATTTCGTTCTTTCGCGAATTACTCACGAACATGACCTCCCCTCTGTCGAGCGCGCCAAAGAGATTGTGTATGCAAATTTTCGTCGATTTGTGGAAGGCGGTGATGTTTCTACGCCTGCTTCAGACAGTATGTACAACGTCCACTAAAGTAGATGAGTCTTGTCTTGCAAGTTAGAACTGAGTTGGAAAGCGACGACAAGCTAGTCTCGGGAGCTGGCCGGTAACTCCACTCAGCTCAGGTTTCTATGGTGCTGTTTCGCTTGGTGCGCCGTGTGCTTTGTATATTTAATAATATCAATCATTGTATATAAACTCACTGCTCATCTTCAAAACATTCAAATAAAGGATACAAGAAGTAACAGCTAGAGATGCCCCCTAAAGCCCACAATTCAAATTCAGAGTCTGAATCTCGCACGAGGTCTAATGCGGGGCACATGAGTGCTGGAAATGCCACTAATAATTCCAGAAACGCGGGCAAGCAACGGCTCACCACCGCTCAGCAACAATATCTGAAAGACCTGGTAAATACTCATGTCCACAACAATCATCCAGATACAAGGATTAAACCGCACCCTGTAGACTTCGAAGCATACTCAGACAGCTTTTTACGTCGGTACAAAGATCGTTTCAAATTGCCGCTCGAGGACAACCTCTCTCTGCAGGGATATCTTCTGGGATCGAAGTTAGGTGAAAAAACGTACACCCATAGGAGAAACGAAGGCAGGGGCCCAGATGCTCGAGTTACCAAGAAGCAGCTTGCTTTGGAGGTGAAGAAGCATTTCACAGCTCACAATGTCAAGGAAACGGAGTGCATCCCGGCATTCATATACAAAGTCAAGAACCGGAAGAAAAGCTTCAAGATGGAATTCAGAGACTAGATGGCGTATTTCGCGTGTTACGAATCCGTTGCGATAGCGGTTTCTCCATCTTTAGCCTTTGAAACATTGGGCTGTCGACATTCGTGTGAGTAGTCTCGGAGTACGAAACAGGTCCATTTTCTACATCAACCACTTCCTAACTTCTGTGCACACTGGAAATTAGAGACAGGACGAGAATCAATGGACGCTTCAACGCTAGCTTTCTTCGGTGTTATACTAACGACATTCGTATTGGTAAAGTGGCTTTTGCAGTCTGAATCCCATCCATCAGCTCTACAGTCGCCATCTTCCACCTCTAGTGATGGCAGTCCTGTAACTGGAACCGGTTCGGGCCGTTCGTCAAATATCTCAGCCATTAGAAGGCGACCCAGGAGACCGGTCACAAATGACATGATAGACGTGGTCAGAAGTTTAGCTCCCACGTTGCACGAAGAACAAATAAGATATAGTTTAGAGGAAACAGGATCCGTGGAAGAAACTGTGGAGAAGTTTTTGAGAGGCGACGAATTTTTGATGCCCCCAGGCTACACCGGTCAAAGCTCCAACACTGGCCAAGAGACATCCGATCAAAGATCAAGAAATGTGGAAAGCTCAGATCCTCGGAAGAAGAGCAACATTCATCCTGACAACCTCTTGAATAAATATAAAGTTGAAGTCGATGCTGACTTGAAAGGTGTCAATTATCCCGAATTGAGCATTGAGGAGCGGAAAAGATTCTTGGTGTGGCAGGCTCGAAAGGACATGGAAAACCGTTTAGAAAACGATGATCAGCTAGCACAATTGCTGAAGTGAACCTATTCCCAACTTTTTGACCTATATATATATAAAATACACATATTCACTTCATTGCGCCCTCTAAAAGCGTGGGCTGTATCCTGCGCTTTTTGGGTCCTTCCTCGCTGCCAATTTCTTGAGAAGCAGCTGTTAAGTCGCCGACATTTCCAACTGAGGGTGGCATTTTGTCAATCGCTTTGTCACGAGGCGGCACCTTCCGCTTGATCTGTAGCGTATTTATGATCGAAGGAGTTTGAGTTTTGAAGTCCGGCGCCTTTTGGGAGACTTTGTCCTGCGGATCGACTTCTTTTCCGGCGAAAAGTGACCCCAGGGTTCCTTTATCAATGGATACATAGGAACAAAAACCATCCGTAGACGATATCATTAGCATTGAACCATCTCGACACCATGACAAGTCGGTTATCGGCGTATAATGTAAATTGCCAATTGTGCAAACTGGCTCGACAGATTCTGTATCGTAAATGAAAACCTCATCAGTGGTGGCAACAGCGAAGATCAGCTTATAAGGCACTTGAATATATGGTTTTCCGCTACCAGAAAGCTGATAATACCGAGGGTTGAATGCGATGACTAGAGCCGGTTTTTTCAGAAATGGCAGAACGAGTGCTGGTGTGTTACTATTTTGCATCAGGTAAGATCTTGTGAAGACATACACCGCATTAGCGAGTACATCACTACCGTTACCACTTTCAGATGAGCTATCGCAATTCTTGAATACACCTGTGGGCACGCACAAAAGGTTTCCGCAGGGCGACATGGCAAGACGGCGAAAAAAAGATGGCAGAGTCTCATTGTGGAACAAAAATGAAGACTTAATAACAGAATAGTCTAGTTCTGTGGAATTGAACCCTCTCCTACTGGGAAGCTCTCCTTTTGTAATTTTGTTGATCAGCTTTAAGTCGACTATCGATCCGCTGGAATCCCTATCTATTCGATGCAAATGTACCGAACGATCTGCAGACTGCGAAATAATGAGCTCGTTCTGCGGGTCCCAAACAACACCTTGCACATAGTGATTGTGGTCACCACTAGTAGCTACACAAGTACTTTCCTCAACGTCAAAGACTCTTATGCTGTTATCCATTGATCCACTTACAATGTACTTGTCATCGGGACTCCAAGATATGTCATATATTTCTGACGAGCCAGCCGCAGCAGAAGAGCGCAGCCTCTTCCAAACGTACCAGGATTCCTTGAAATCTGCGTAGTCCTCCTCGCTCAAACCAAAATCTTTGGTCATGGTATCGTTCTTTTTCCAGAGAAGCAGTTGCCCATCATCACCAGCGGAAGCTAAAACTTCGTTTCTGGAGTCAAACCTCACTACATTGACGGCTTGTTCGTGCTGGTTCAATGAAGACAGGAAATCAATGGTATCCACTTTTCCGTTGTTGGTCTTGCTGAAGTTCAGTTGCCAAATTCTTATTTTATTATCCCCGCCGGCAGTGACTAGTCTTGTTGGTTGATCCTTCTCCCTTTCTATTGACTGAAAGCAGAGACTGTAGATCGGTTGCGATTCATGCCAATATATTTGCAAATTTGAGGCCTCCATTGGGTTTGATGTATGCGCTAACTGTTGCTGTTCGCGTAAAGATGAACTCGATCTTTATGACAATTTTCCAAGCCAAGTATACAATCAATTGACAATCTGATCATCAATATATAAAGTTAAACCAGCTACACCATATGAATGAATGATTGATAATGATACAAAGATGGGTTTAGTGGTATGCAATTTCTATGATGAAATCATCGATACTGGATCAAGACTGAGGTCGAGTTCTTCTTGACTTTTTAGCTTTCTTGGCCATGATAGCGGTGAGGGCATAGACATATCCAAAATCCGTCTCAATTATGGGTGCAGGCTCCTCTACGGATCTCCACTCAAAAAGTTCGTCAACATATAAATTGGAGGTTGTATCGATGTCTTGTTGACGACCTGCCGTAGCAACTAGCAAGCGGAGTGTGGCAAACTCGGTGTAGGTGTAGCGTTTTTCATCCTCGGGTTCCAAATCACAAACGCAATCTCCACTGGACGAAATCCCGAAACGACTTATGCGAAAGCGTATTCGAGACTTCTCCACGCCGCTATTCATGGCCTGCATAATTTTTTCGATAATTTCCTCCGTAGGTTCGGTTCGACAGCCACTAATGATCATAGTGGCAATTTTGCGCGTCGTAATTGTACCATACTGGGTACATGGTATTGATCTGGCAGCTATTCGAGTGCCATTAGAATCGATCAGATGGCCCATTTCGCTGACGAAGTACTTTGCCAGCTCTTGCCGTGACGCGGTAGTCAACACATAGGCGGCGCACAGGCGCTTTTCCTTGATAAACATTTTTCCCATATAAAAATGCTGTTCTTTTATAGTAGATGGCTGAAATATAGCGTTGCTAACCGCGTCATTGTGCTCTTTGAATATCTCTGTAATAATGTGTCTTTCTTTCGACGGCTTGAGGAATTTGATAATCCCAGGAACGTGTACCAAGTTGAACTGCAAGGACGGACGCATAGCTTCCACAAATTCGTTCAAAAATTGTCTAAATCCATGCAATTGTCGGGGCCGGTCATCATAGATGGTGATGGCGTCACACCGGTCGTAATGGACCAAAAGATCCGTGAGACATGCAGTCTTATAGAGCATAGTGGTCTTAAAACCATCTTTTTTTAAACATACTGCGTTGAAGTGAAGTTTGTCAGAACCAAAAATCGGCTGATCCAACACCTTCTTAAACGTAGGCTCGAAATGGGCCTCTTTGCGACCCGTCATCAAAATTGATAATGTATGGGGATCTTTATGAGACAGTCTGCATAGCTCAACAATGTCTCTGTTCCAGTAGCCATCATCTATTCCTTCCTGCTCCACGACATTCGACGTGGATGACCTCAGCGCGATCCATTCATCTACAAGTTCTTCCAGGAAACGCGGTTCACTCCACCAGCCGCCATTGCTGAGTCGCTGAGGGTCAGTCAATAAATTAGTCAAGAAGGAAGATAATAGATTTGGATTTGGAGCCGGGGATTTGAATAGTGTGTTATCGAAATCATAGATGTGGATACTGCGAATGTGCTGTTTCGGGAGACGCTCAGGAGCATTCAGGTGCGAACTACAGCTATTCCATTTGTCTAATGGAGAGTGCGTTCCGATACAATTACTCGGGCCACGATTATCTTGAGGCATGAGCAATCAGTACATCACAGACAGGAATGCTTATGTTGTGATCTATATGGCATCACTGAGGCCTATTTTAAGATGATGTGGCACTACACACGGCTGCGGTACTAGCCCAACATAAGTCAGACGAGAGCGTCATTGATGAGATACTGAACACACTCAAGCGATAATCATCCACCATAGACTACCATTTTCTAACTACTCGCCATATAACGATGTCCAATGCCTTTAACCAAAGCGCGGCTCCTGAACATAAATTTCCGGAGAACTTCAACCTAGTGCTAGAGGGTGAAACCAGAGCCTTATACCTTCACCCTTTCAACCAAACCAAACTCTGTACTGATGCCAATACATCAGTTGTTAATATTCTTGACACTTCCAAATTATCTAAAATAACGGGAAGATACAAAATCGCGGAAGAACCGAAAAGTATCGCAACGGTGACGCTAAGCTACGAGTGAACACTTTTAAGTCGGATGAGAGTTTTATCATCTTGATTGTGACATCTTGTTTTGTTCCCCTCTATAGTCGTTTTTACAAAAATGAAAAGAACGCATTTACATACCCAAGGTTTCCACTTGAGTCAGTGCATCATTAATTGGCAAATGGGGCGGCTCCATAGCTCTCCAGCTAGGGCTGACAGGAACTAAAATGTCTCCAGTTATGAAGATTGATCTTCAGCTTCAAACACCTATGTGATAAGACCAATTAACCGCCAACAAGAGCCGACTTCAAATGAAGACACTCACATCCACTCTACCGGTGAGAGTCGAACTCTCGAAAATGAAAGGTAGGACATTCGTTAACAAGGTATGATCCACCAGACCAATCGTTTGAACAACTTTAGCCGCGGAAGTCGGTAAACTCAGTGTTACGATAGGGCTTTTGACGATGAACATGAACAACAATCTCAATGAGAAGCATACGGCCGAATGACGTTAGCTATAGTCATTTACCAAAGCTCTTGGCATCAATTTGTCAATTCGGACTATGGCTGTAGACGTGAAGTTCAATCTCACCTAATGTGGATTGATAGCAGGCTTGGTGGCAAGTACTTGTGGAAGATACCTGGGCTTTTGTTGCGACGGAGAACTTGCTTGACGGTGTCGATGAGCCTGAGAAACCAAAGATCGATTATATGGCTGACCTGCATGAGTTCCCCCGAAATACCCAGGCACATAGACACATGAGGCGAGGTATTTGAAGCTCGTATATGAGCCAAAGGCAGTTTGCTTACTCACAGGCAGTGGTGAACCTATTCTTCTCAAGATGTTGATCTGCGGCGGGGCAAGGATCAGTGTGACCAACCACGGTTGGTCGCGAATCATGAGTGCCCGTGCAGATTTCACAATCTGCACGTGTTTAGTCGCGCATGCGACGACAACCTCGACTCAGATCGAGTTACTATCAACAACCACTTCACACACGCCTCAACTTCCGCGCTCAATTGTTCTGTTGCGCGCCTACATCCCGTTTCGCAAGCGACCACTGAACATGGACCCACGGACCCAGAATGTTAATTCGGTGCGACGATACTATGCATATCTGGAAGGCTGGCCGCAGAAAATGTTTCTAACCGTTGGTAACTGTGCAGACAGGCAACAGTCATTCACCGGCCAGTAAGAAAACAGTGCACAGGAATTTTCAATACTTTCGTGGAACCCGAGCCACCCAGCCATGGGATTTTCGAAATGATGTCGTTAGCATGCATCGCGCCAAGCACGCCGATCAACACCTGGCAAAAGGTAAGGCTTTAGCAGCCCATTCCCCGTTGAAATTTGCCAAGCAAGCCATGGGCCGTTATCTGAATTCCTTGCATGTTCGCAGGCCCTAGAGAAAAAAAAGAAATTTTAGGACAGGGCTGAAAATCTAGCACAAAAAGATAAATAAATCAACCTGCGATGGCTATTGCTGATTTGTTTGGACTCTCACACTCGTGCCAATAACTAAAGGTGATTCTTTTCAAGTAAAAGCCCGAGCTGCTTATCCCGGTACCGATAGAGCCCCATATTTTCGGTCCTTTGCATTTCACATCAATTGCCGTTCCGGGCCTTCCTTCAGCTTGTCGTATTTTTGTGTGAGTCAAGATGGCCAAATCTAGTGACAAGGCTATGGGCACCCAGCAGGTGGTCACAGCCATAATTGCCAACGGTATTGTTTTCCTGGTGTTTGTGCTCATATTCTTGCTTCAACGTTTGAAGCTCAAAAGAATATATGAGCCCAAGTCGTCGTTTGACCTTATCAATGATGAAAAACGGCCCGATCCGCTGCCTCGCGGTATCTGGCAGTGGTTTATGCCCCTGTTGAAGAAATCAGATAACTTCATTATTCAGCAAGCCGGTCTCGATGGCTATTTTTTTATCCGTTACTTGTTCATAATGGCTTGTTTCCTTGCCGTTTCTTCGCTTTACGTGCTGCCTATCTTACTTCCCATAAATGCGGCCAATGGTGTTCTTAAGAAGGGATTGGATATGTTAGCATACACAAACGTGGACAAAAAGGGCCGCTACTACGCCCACGTATTTGTCGGGTGGGTTTTTTACTGGGGATTCTTGTTTGTTATTTACCGTGAATTGGTGTACTACACATCACTCAGGCAGGTAGTAATGGCCTCCCCCAGGTACGCCAAAAAGCTTTCCTCCCGGACTGTTTTATTTCAGACTGTGCCCAAGCAGTTTTTAAGTGAGAATGAATTCTCCAAATTGTTTCATGGTGTAAAGAACGTCTGGATCGCTCGGGCTGCTAACGGACTTGGCAAACAGGTCGCAAAGCGGGACAAAATGGCTGTTCAACTTGAGAATGCGGAGACCAAGTTATTGTCTAAGGCTGTCAAGGCGATTGCCAAGCTCAAGAAAAAAGATCCATCGTTCGTTCCTACAACTAACATTGGCGACTATGTTCCTTTAAAACAGAGACCACAACACCGCTTGAAATTCCTTGTGGGCAAGAAAGTCGACACAATCGATTACATTTCTCAGGAGTTGCCCAAATTGAATGCCGAGGTAGAGGAGTTACAAAAGAAGCAGGCGGAAGCTTCTCCATTCAATTCAGTATTCGTGGAATTTGAGTCTCAGTATGCTGCGCAAGTGGCTGCTCAAACTATTATTCATCACGAACCGTTGGCAATGGTCCCTGCGCACATCGGGATCGCTCCAAAGGATGTGATTTGGTCAAATTTAAGAATGTTTTGGTTTGAAAGGGCTGTAAGAAAATATGCCGCAGTGGCTGCTATCGTTGCGCTTGTTCTATTATGGACATTTCCCGTGGCCTTTGTTGGTTCTATATCCCAAATATCTTATTTGACAGAGAAAGTTCCTTGGTTGGGCTTTATCAATAATCTCCCCGACCAGCTACTGGGTATTCTAACTTCTTTGGCCCCTATTATCGGTCTAGCTGTTTTGATGATGCTCCTGCCTATCTTCATCCGTAGGATGGCATGGCTAGCGGGCAGTCCTTCGTTGCAAGCCGTTGAATATTTCACTCAGCAGTCCTACTTTGGGTTTCAAGTCGTCCAAACTTTTTTGGTTACAACAATCGCTTCTTCGGCCACTGTGGTGGTCCCTGCGATTATCAACAAGCCTACTTCCGCCATGAGTTTACTTGCCCAAAATCTTCCTAAAGTTTCCAACTTCTTTATCTCCTACATTCTATTACAAGGTTTATCCATTTCTTCAGGAGCTCTATTGCAACTAGTGACTTTGATTCTATTTTACATCATGAGCTTCCTGTTTGATAGCACTCCAAGGAAGAAGTGGACCCGTTTCACAAATTTGGGCTCCATGGCATGGGGAACCACTTTCCCCGTCTATAACACTTTGACAATTATCATCTTCTCTTACGCCATCATTGCCCCTATCATCCTGCTGTTTGGAGCGGTTTCATTTTTCCTACTATACGTTGCCTATTTGTACAACCTGACCTACGTTTTCAAGGAATCGCCAGACGCCAAGGGTGCACACTATCCCAGAGCCCTGTTCCAGACTTTTGTTGGAATGTACATTGGGCAAGTGTGTCTACTGGGCTTGTTTGTCGTCGGAAAGGGCTGGGGACCAATTGTGCTACAAGCCTTAAGCTTGGGTGTCACAACGTTCATACATTTGAACTTCAACTCCTCGTTTGACAGACTTATGAAATACGTTCCTGTTGACGCAATGATGCCACTGGATGGTGTTTCTAATACACCCTCTTTCAACACTCGTGACCACCCGAAACCAAAGGACCAAGATGTTCAGGAATTACCCCATTTCCCTATCAGGAAGTATCAAGCCAGACACTCACCTCTAATTGATCAAAAGACGGCAAGCGTGAGAAGTGAAAACACAATTGATATTAATGGCACCGTCGGATTCGACAATGAGAATAGTGTAGTAACAACACCACTTTTAGCAGATGGTGACGGTACGGTGCTATCGGCTACACCCTTCTGGAAGCGTTACTTCCAACCTCATATTTTCCTGTCCTATAACGCGGTTAAGTCTGTTTTACCAGATATTTATAACCTCCCTGACCCAACTCCAGAGGTCCCTCCAACAAACGCGAAACATGCGTACGACTACCCTGCTGTAAGCGCCAAGTGTCCCAGCATTTGGCTCCCTCGCGATCCGTACGGCTTCTCAACCGTAGAACTGGTTAACCTCTCGCACATTACTGAAGCGAGCGACAGCGGTGCCGTTATCGATGAAAGAGGTAGGATCTTTTGGGAAACAGGTCCCCCATCCAATGAGAAGTCTGATGATAAATACAATCCGTTTAATGAAGAGGACGAGGACATGTGAAGTCAATCCAATTCTAATTTTAATCCAAGTAATGTAATGTATATAGATAGATACTCAATAATTTCCACCCACTAGTACATCGACCTTTTTTCATTTAGCCACATTATTAGTTGAAAGTTCTGTTATATATTAGTTACTCTGAGAAATGCAAAGAAATCGCCAAAGCTCCAAGTTAGCAGTACTGACGTTATGATTAGAGGTCTCAATTCAGTGATGAAAAGACTATTAATGACCAAGTCTCATCTCGAAACCCCTTTCTACGGCAAAGTTGTACAAGGCAGCAAGTTCACTTCAGAATACGCACAATATTTAAAACTACCTAATGGCGAGGTAGGTTCATACTTTCATGACATTCCGATAGATATCGATCATAAAAAGCACACTGTCAACATGGTTGTAGAAGTACCTCGTTGGTCGAATGCCAAATTCGAGATTTCGAGGGATCGGGCTTTCAACCCTATAGTACAGGACAACAAGAACGGGAAAGTACGCTTTGTAGACAACGTATTCCCCGCTCATGGTTTCATACATAATTATGGCGCGATTCCACAGACTTGGGAAGACCCGACCGTCGTGAGTGCCCATGAGGGCGTTACTGGAATCAAGGGCGACAACGATCCTTTGGACTGCTGCGAGATTGGTTCCGCTGTGCTTTCCATGGGAGACATAAAAAAAGTCAAGGTTCTAGGCTCATTGGCGCTTATTGATCAAGGAGAACTGGACTGGAAAGTGCTGGTCATAGATGTTAACGATCCCCTAGCCACAAAAGTGGGAAATCTGAACGATGTCGAAACATATTTTCCCAAACTTCTGGGGTCCACTCGTAGCTGGTTTCGCAATTATAAAATACCTACCGGTAGACCTGCCAATGAATTCGCGTTTAACGGTCAATACAAAAGTGTGCAAGAGACCTTAGAGGTGATTGAAGAATGCCATGCTTCCTGGGTCAAACTCCTTGAAGAAGATTTGACCGATAAGAAATTACCACAGCGCCAAAGAGCTGGTGGTGGGGTAGTGTTTCACCCTAACGAGCTACCCGACGCTCCCATTCCACCAGAAGTTGGAAGATGGCATTACCTAAAAGAAAATTAAGTGCTGAGCTTCGCAAAGTACCTCTAACCTAAGTATTCAACACAGAACTTGTGAGGCAATCAGTATGAACTTTTTGAGACAGAATGGCATCGATCTGTATGATCAATAAGCCAATCATTACTGCTTACAACCGTTGATCCTGGTAGGTCACTACAGACGTAAATGACATGTAATGTGGGTCAAAATTTTAAGTAAGTTAGGTATTGGCCTGGAAGCGGAAAACGAGGACTCTTGAAGCCAAAGCCGTGTGTAGACCGATTACTCGTGGTCATCTCGAGTCTCGAAAAATCTACATCAATTGTTCTAAGAAAGTGTATTTCCATTCTTGGGATGGACATTTCGTATTTATGCTTTAGCAATGTTTGCACGTATATCACGGCATCGGAACGTGCTTCACAGGATGTGATAGAAGTACAGGGCTTGGTATCACAGTTTTTACGGGCCAACCGTCAACTCATAATTGAACCTGGTGTTTTCAATGAGTTGGGACCGGAACTTGCGGGAAAAAGCTCTCCGCTCAAGATCGGAGGGATCAGCTATGAAATCGTTGGGGAAGATTGGAAGGATGCCATAAGACTATCCAAATTCTTCAATATAAGCTACCAGCAGTGTTTGCGAGTGGTGGCTCAAACTCACTCCCGAAATAATATGGGCAACAACCGAATGATAATCTACGCTAAGCGCATTTTACAAGAGCGCAATGGGGTAGTAGAAACGCTGCTAGCCATCTTAAACGCAGAAGATGAGACAGTAGATGTAAGGAAAGAATTCATTAGCGCGATTGCCGCTGAAAAGACAACATTTTGCCTGCATTTGATGCAAAATTTATCAAAACTAGCCAAAAACTTTACGAAACTAGATCAAACAGACCGTCTCTGGTCCGAGGAAATACAGGATATCAAAAACTGTTATGATATTGCATATGCCGGAAGCATTTTAAAACTTTTGTCCTTACTAATAATGAATACCGAGACACCGGTAGGTGTTATAACTGAGTGGTTCTTACTACTGCAGGATACTAATCACCTAACATGCTTCAAAACTAAAAATTTTCCATCCGAGAATTTCGATCAAATAGAGGCTTTTACCTCCATTACCACCGTTCTGATGCTTGGTTTGAACGCTTCTTCTTTTTCAATCAATACAGATGCCCCGTTTTTCCAAGATGTTGGCTGCTTCAAACTCATCAATGATATACTGTTAGATCATTCACAAAATGGTCTGATAGTATACTACTGGTCATTTGTCACTTCATTGAAGGCTTACTTATTCGAGGAATTTCCTGAACAGAACTCTTCGTTTGTCGAAAAAGTATACGGTGAGACTCCGATCAATCAGATGATTTCTATTTACGTACAGAGGGCCGAACAGATAGGCGTTCTTGAATCATTTGTGAAATATTCGCATTGTCTCAATTTTGACGAACTATGGATTACTGTTTTAGCTTCTCTTCTTGGAGTTGCATTGCATTTCGTAACCATGACCAAAGCTACAGCTAAGACTGTAAGGGATATTTTGACAAGAGTTCCGCAGTCTTTCGTGGAAAAGTTCTTGACAAACGATGAAGTTGAGAAAAAGCTGAGTTTAATCCGCAACAAAATACCCCTTGTCAAAGAAGGCCTTCTTCCTTTGATTTATCTAACCACTGCACATCCCGAATTTGCTAACTTTGAGTGGAAGAACATGAACACTTACACGGTTAAGCTTCCACTTTCCAGCTTCTCATATGACCTTGCCGACAGCGATGGCCCTTTCACCGAAAGTAGTGACCTCATTGTACTTAAGCAGGAACTTCTTGTTTGCCCGCCATTCGAATACCGGCCAAATGTTCTCATGCCCATACCAGAAGGTACAAGGGGTAAGGTCATACCTACTTCCTCCTCTACGGAGGATGCAGTCATATTCATGCATTCCTACAATGGTTGGTCCATGCTAGGTCGAATTATACAAAACATCTGTGAAACTTATACACAATTCGAAGAAGATCAAGTAAAGATTGAAAAGACGGAAGTCGCCATCGCTATAATTGATCTTATTGCCAGCGCGGTAGGTGTTGACGTTCCCCTGGAGAGGTCTACAGAAATATTACAGCACCTCTCTGGCTATGTGGAAAATGGTGACATTGTGTCAACACTTTTCAAGTTATTTGAATTGGCCCTACATTCAAAAGATTTTAAAGTTATCAACGCTGGTCTTGGGTTAATGATCGAGCTAACTCCAAACTTTCCCCACTTTGTCTGGTCTCATTTGGCGCGTTCAAGTCTGATTGACAGGAATGGGAAGGAAAGCTTAGCTGTATCAGTCTTAGACAGTATGGGGCGTGCTTCAGCCGATTTTGAATCGACTCTCTTGCTGATAAAATTAACGAACTGCTTGATTTCAGAATCACTGAGTATTGAGGAGACATTTCCCGAAAGAATGAAAAAAGAAATCTTTGGCAAACTAATGACGCATATGGTTCGAATTTACGAAGGATTTCAATTTCAGAGCTATTCTTATCAACGGCAGCGTTTAGAGATTGGACAGCTATTAACCTCGTTATTTACTAAGGTTCTTTACGCGGTTTATGGGGTTGATCCATCTTCTCCTCCGGAAAGGAAAGTAACTAAAGTCTTAGCTGAATCTGCGCAAGTTATTATCGACGCTTTCTTGAACTCATCGCGGCTAGACAGCAGGACCGTCAATTCCTTGATTACGATTTTGATTTCTATTAACACTGATGGTGCACTAGCCCGTAACAGTTTACCATTTGCCTCCTTGTACTCTCAGTTGATTGAGCAAAGCTTCGATCTTGCCAACCTTCTTATATCGGTGAGGTCACTTCTAAAAAATCCTCCTTCAGCATTAGAGAGATGCATTTACTCATCATCCGCTAATTTGGTTAACATCTACGCTTGTTATTGGGACCAATGTGTTCATGTCACGAGACTTCTCACGCATCTAGTGCGGGCCCCATGGAAGATGGAGCCACCCTCATTGCTTTCCTACTTGGGACAAGACAACTCGAGATTGCTGCTTAACTGCGTGGCCTACGACCTGAAAGGGCCTTTAATAAACTCAAATTTGGCTAAGAGCCTGTACAGCTTCTTTTCATCCATAATGGAGGGCAAGCAGGATGGTCTAGCTATTTTATTCCTCACCGGCAAATTAGTATGTACAACGGAGAAGGCCAAAAATGCCGAAGGTGAGGTTCTACCATCTAACTCGCTGCTAAGGATTTTGAAAGATAATTCTTTGAAATTAGACAAGCTGTCAGAGGCTGTCAGTTCTCAATTGCTCGACGCTATAGCGTATGCCTTCAATACCTGGACCGCTGCTACAGGCTACGAAAACGATTCCAAACTCATTACTATTCTTGTTAAGAGGTTAGAATCATTTGGGACTTTGAGTTTGAACGATGATAAAGAAACAGATAAGTCAAAGGAAAACGTTGTACAACTGTCCAACCAGTATAGGGTGCTTTCTAGAGTTGCTGAAATTCTCGCCTTGGCTCTATTTACATCAACTGCCGATAACGAACTTCTCATGACAGTCTTGAACAAGCCTAATCTTGCGGTTATGGTGAAGAAAATATTTCATATCGATGGATATGATAAACAGCTGCAGCGCTCTCTGCAAGTAAAATTCAAAGCATACTGGCCAGAGTTGGACTTATCAATGTTCACATCCTCACTCCTGCTACGTTCGAGCAGATCATTTCAATCTAGTTTTTTTGACATACCTCTTATGGATCAATTTTTCGGATCAGATGAGAGGTGGGTCGGGTCGCATAATACACCAGGTTTCAGAAACGAGGTTATGTCAGCTTCAAGCTCCCTACATTTCATAACGTATCAAATATCCGCCTGTAAATCATGGGGGGCTTTACTCACATCATTTATTCGGAGAACACCTACACCATTGAATGACACCTACTTGGAAATTGCACATGAATTACTGGAGCCTGATTCCTTAATTGGTATTGATGCGTCTATTTTCCGGGATGTTTATTTGACCAAGATTGAACTAGCTTTTTACATTCTCTATTCATGCCTCCAAACAAACAGAAAGATCCCAGATGATAAATTGAAGGGCCTGTTATTCTGTGCGGCTGGTATGATGAAGTCAAAAGAGGTCAATTACTTGAATAGCGTTGCACAGCCTTTCAAATATTCTTACTACAGGCCGTTGATTCGGATAGTAATAATTATTTGCTCTCTGGTGAAAGATGGGAAGTTATTCGCCGAGTCGGTGTCAAATTGCTTACTTGAATTTTTTGAGTTAACTTTTGGCCACGGTGTAAATTTGATAATGTCAAATATACTCTCTGAAATCAACCAGTCAGTGTCACACGGGAAGAAGCCTGTCATTCCAAATTTAGCGGATAAGATACAAGATCTTCTATTGCTTCTTTCGCTGTTCACTAAAGTCAAGAATCTTCATCCGCCAAGTGACTTTGAGCTAATACTGGCTTCGTCCATCAACGAAGTGGGTACAATCAAAGCCATCCTCAATGTCTACTCAAGTTCACATCTTCTAAATATTGAAGAAGAACCAGTTCTTTGCGATTTATCACTGACCTTTTTGACCGAACTTTGCTCTGTAGGGTCCGTGGCCGAAAGACTGCTTGGCAACGACCTGTTCTCTGTTATCTTGGAGAGCCCCATTTCTGTGGCCATTCAGCAAGGAAAGGTGACAGCTGATATACAGCCCAAATTACACGCTCTATGGTCCGACGGCCTTTTGACAATCATGCTACAGCTACTTAGTAGATTTGGAAAGAAAGTATTGCCCGAATGCTGCCTATTCCTTTCCTACTTTTACACCCAGGTCAGTTACTCAATTTCACAGTGGTCCGATTCTTCTCTGTCAGTCTCTAAAGCGGCAGTTAAGGAGACTTCACAATTGATAACTATGCAGGGAATCTTGAATACTCTGGACTATCAAAATTACTTGACAGACTCAAATATACGAACCAAAGCTGTTAGTGGTGAGGTTGTGTACGAATTATTCCCAGGGCTAGACACCGACACCGAAAGAAAAGAACTAAGTTATTCTTTCAAACATCTTTTGACCCACCCCAAGTATTTGAATTCAAGAATAGTGGCGACAACCCTCGAGGAGCAGCGTATCTTAGAAGATGATGATGCTAGAGCAAATTATGTGAAAGCCATCACAATCAGCCTCAAAAATTTGAATCAAAGCCTTTCGTCACCTTTGCATGAAACTATTTTATAGAAAGCTAATACGTGTTATATATATAATGCAGTTTATTAGACTCCCAAAAACATCTTTCTGAAATCGTCATTCGTCATTTTCTTAGTCGGAGCATCAATTGACCGATCGTGTACCGATTCATCTCTTTGACTCTCTTCCAAAATTTTAGAGCTGCCGGTTGAAGCGGAAGCGGCAGCTGGTTTATGACCTTGCAATTCTTTGGCACTTCCGCATCGTATTATCCTTTTACCAAACTTAGCGCCAGAGACACCTAGCCTGATCCGGGCTGCAGAAGAGGCATCTTTGGTGACAACCAGCGCACCGTGATGGTCATATGCCAAATAAATCTCCTTGATGTCAGTTTTTTTGACTTTGGATTGATCAACAATGAAATTTTGTAGTTGCGTGATGGAGGTCCTATCATCAAGAGGATATAAACTTAAGACATTTTCCATCGCACCATTTTTTGCAAAAAGACGCTTTATGGCCTTTCTTTCAAGAAAAGCCTTCTTATCTGCGATTGTTACCTCAATCGTAGTCCCTTCGAACTCCTTTCCATTCAGCTCCAGTGATTGCTGAGCCGATTGCAGCTGCGAGAAATCGATGAAAGCGAAGCCCTTATTCACTTTAATATCCTCACTCTTTGAACCAATGTCCTGTTGAGGCTCTGGAATGGTGACCTTTTCTATTTCTCCAAAACGACCGAACTCTTCTTCAATCCTCTGCTTAATAACCTTGAACTGGTTTAGATTTTTTACTAGTACTTGTCTCTTCTCTAGCAGGGCTGAATCCGTCCTTTTGACAGCCATCGAAGGTTGTGATAGTTTTACAACAAGTCTGTACTTTTCGATACACGAATCATGGAGTTGGTTCAAGACTTGGGTAGCTTCATTTTCCGATGCCATGTCAATGAATGCAAATCGTCTATGCGAGTCGTACCTAAGCGAAGGCAAGCGTACACTCATAACAGTACCACCGGATTCGCCAAATAAGCGGCGAAGATCGTTTTCGTCGAAACTAGGTGGGAAGTTCGTTACCCATAATGTACAATTTTCTATTGGAACAACTATTATTTCCCTTCCGCCAAGAGACTTATGCGACTTCGTCAGAGCGGTAAGAACATCGTTATAATCTTTGAATTCAATTCGCGCTATCCTGGTATCACCGGTAGCACTTTTTTGCAAGTCTATGTGCTCAATCTCTCCGCATGCTCCAAATAGTTTTCGTACTTTCGAAAAATTGTAGTTCAAAGGCAAGTTACTTGCCAGTACGGTACAAGTCTCTCGATTCCTTTTGCTGGCTTGATTAGCCCGTTTAGCCTCCACTGCATTGACAGAGGAACTTGGCCTCTTCATGCCGATGCCTTTCTTGGGATGACATTACCACATTAACGAACTGTCCAGCTCCGAGCGCTGCGCACAAATATTAAACGCACACGTGACTAAGCTTTGTGGTGATGACAGCGTCAGTATTGGATCCAATGGTAGCAATGTATGATAGCTTATATCAAGAGCTCTACCGAGTGGTATTGACATAGTGTCGCTTGGCAAGTATCGACTTTCATGATAGGAAACCGAGATTATGACAGAATTATTTAAAGTGATAATCCAAGTGTTTCTAATCGCACTGTCCATAGAAAAGTTGAACGATGAATTTAACGAGTCATCTACTATTGATGCTGGCACAATTCACCAGAATCCTTGATGTCCCTCGAATACGAGAAGGAGCAGCCTAACAGACTCAATAGTTTTGACGCTAACTTCCGCCGGTAGTTTTACAGCTGGGTGCAAAAAACAAAGCATTGAGCAAAGCGATCAAGTTATTTTGTCCCGGAGTGACTTATGCAGCATCCATATTGATACCGAGTGTTATTAGAGTGATTTATCGAAAACGCACAAGACAAAAAAGGCGATTTGGGTGCTGGGAGTTTGAGCAAGTGTAAGATGACATTTAATCAATCACAAAATGAGTCTTGAAATGTGTTTGCTTGGCACCTAGCCCTCAATTACTGATCTCGAGAGTGTAGACTTTGTCGTAGATCTTATTATACTTTGGTACGTAGCCGTTAATTTTACCGCTGTACGTTCGATCTGAAAAACTTCAACGCGATGAGCTGACGTCGATCAAGTATACCCAGAGCTCTAACGCGGCCCAATATTGTTACCTTGGTCTGCAATGGATAGTAGGAGCTACTTGAAATCTTATGGCTGGGTTGAAGGGGAAGCTCTGAGGGCAGGTGGCTTAAAACGACCCATATTGGTCAAGCACAAGGCGGATAAAAAAGGTTTAGGTTCAGCTCCGGGCGGAGACGATGGAGACATGTGGTGGGAAACGTTATTTGATGGTCACTTGAAAAACCTGGAAATAGGCAAAGCTAGTGACGGTAACATCAACTTCAAGAAGAATATTGCTAACAGCACGACGGTAATCAAGGACAAATCGCCTTTATATAATATGTTTGTGAAAGGTGAAGTTCTGAAGGGTACTATCGATACAAATGGTAAGAGCAGTGAAGTAAGGACAGTAAGGACGACGGATGGAAGCAAACGTCGTCGAGACTCGGAAGAGGAGAGTAGTCTGATAACATCTAAAAAACGTCATTTAAGCGATGAGGTGCCGAAAGGTAAGGAAAAGACGGTGAAGAAGGTGAAGAAAGATAAAAAGGACAAGAATGATAAAAAAGACAAGAAGGTCAAGAAGGTCCAGAAGGTCAAGAAAGACAAGAAAGAGAAGAAAGAGAAGAAAGCCAAGAAAGAGAAGAAAGACAAGAAAGACAAGAAAGCCAAGAAAGACAAGAAAGAGAAGAGAGACAAGAAAGACAACGGAAAACTTAATTCTTAAATTGATAGAACAGGGAAAACATTCAGGTGATAGAAAAACTGCAAAAAAGCTGGCATTGAGACGATTGAAAATATAAACGTTCCAAGAGCATAAAGAAGGGCCTAAAGTTAAGATGAGACTTAATGCGGGAGAACGATGGCGACAAGTAGCTCCTTTGGGATGACACTGGTAAGCCCCAGGCTTCAGGCAAAATCCAAAATGAGTCAAGCACTAGTTCCCAGTGTTAATTTCGCAGCCGCATGTATTGAAACCTTTTACTTCAGCTTATATACATGCAGCCGAACTTGAACGAAGATAATTGCTAGAAAGTACGAACGAGTTCTGGGGAATGTTTCCCAATTGATTATTCCATGTCGAACGCTGTTCTCGTGAACGGAGGTAATTAATTCCCGAACTTCGTAAAATTACAGACCACAATGTCAGAAGACTCTTTTTTTATGGGGCAAAATTTCCATAGGTACAGATGATGATCCTCGTACAGTTTAAGGGTTTGGTTCCTGAGCAGTTGTTCAAATGACAGCATTTAGTCGTCCCACATTGCCCTGCATAGTTTTGACTTATCGTACATAGTGCTCGACAAACCAAACACTTTAATCAAGAAAAGCGCTTACAAGTATCCCGAACCAACAACAATCGCTGTTGCGCCGCTACAGTCTTGAGATTAAACCTGCAACCCATGTTAATTTGACGCACTTAAATGTGGAGAGTCTCATTAACTATTGTCTGCGTTCTGTTCGCAACAGTACTCCAATATCTGTCAAGTTCAAAACTACGGCAAAAGATCATTTTCACTAGCATTGCCGTGGCCATTCCTTTTACAACACCCTCATGGCAAATTATTCCCTTTTTACTATTAGCTTTGGGATCTGCAGTGTTCTTTCGCCTGGTGCGTCTTTTATGGTTAGAAGAGTTTCAAGTGGTACCAGATCCTACGGTACGTGGAGTACCTCCGCAGAAGACGAATATCGACGAGGCTCATGTTTCCTCAAAACCTAGGCGACCCCTTTTTCCACAATCTCAAGATATTTCTCGTGAAGTGGAACTGATCATCGACAATATTGTGAGAGATTTTGTTGCGAGTTGGTACGGATCTTTTGATGACAATCTTGACGCACCCTTTTTGATGGAAATTAAAGATCTTTTGGATTTAGTGGCTCGGAACATTCAATTGGCATTGTCAACTGTCAATCTCCCAATCCTTCTTGTTCTAAAGATTTTACCTCTTATCACAGAGCATGTTGTTGCTTTCAAAGCTGCTCACAAAACTGTGCTGGGCACATTGACCACAGAAGAGCGATTGAAGGAAGACCATTCATTTGCGATTGCCGTAGAGTTCGGACGCCAATATAGTATCCACAAATCCATATCATTGGGCTCGGGTAACCTGTCACTGTGCATTGAGAATTATTCCAGGGCCAACGCGGATTTTTTGCTTCAAAATCTTGTCCCACCAACAGAGCTATCATCTAGATTTGTAAAGGTAGTTGGTCGAGAAATATTGGGCTGCTGTCTCTTGAGCCCAATACTAAAAATCGCTTCAGATGCTGATCATTGGAACGTACTGATAGCTTCAGTTTCTAACACGCTACTGAAAGAAAGGTATCAGGTTAAAGAATTTCGAGCAGCATTGTCCAGTCAAGTCGAGGGTACTCCTCAGAAGTTAGATAATAAGCAGCATTCAAAGGGCGATACACTCCTTCATCAGCTGATTCTAGAAAGCGATGCTGGAGGCAAGAACTTTGAGGAGCTACTCAAAAGGGTTAGTAGCATAGAGACTAAAGGAGCCTTAATGGCAGCTAAGTTTTCCATTTTGTTACAACTATTAAGAAAAAAGAAATCCAATGAAGTCGACAAGAAAGACTCACTTATCGTCAACCGGCTCCTTTTAGCGCTGAACTTGATAGAGAACCGCCTAAAGTACTTGTCAACCAATTTGTTTCAATTACCACCCTCAAAAATAACCTTCAACTCTGCACAAATTGATTCATTTGAGAAATTCGTCAGCTCTATCACTTTGGATGATATCTTAAAGGATAGACTAAGCAGCGAACATTTTTCTGAATTCCTTCAACTCAATGATACTAAAATGTATCGGTGTCTGAGATTTTGGCAAAAAATTGAGGATCTGAAAAATCCGTTGGAAGATCCCAGTAACGATGAACTGGCAATGACATCTGATGACGATTTTGAATGTCTCGTGAAAGTTTCAAGTGAGTACTTTAGCGGAAGAAATCTTTTTATCATGCAATCGCTAAACGAACAATGTGTGTCTGATATCCAACTTTTCCAGGATGCTCTCAGCAAAGATGACAACTTGCTTGCTCATCAATTCTATCAAACTGCCCGAAGGAGCGCTTTACAATTACAAACACTTGCGTACGATGTTCTGGGTACCTCGTTTCAGAATTTCAAGCTGTCTCAGCAATTTGTCAGTATGATTGCTACGGTCGAATTCCCCTGTTCTGATGATTATCAGAAGGCGACTACGGGGTCTCAATGCAACTATAAAGATATGGGCAATGAGACCAGCCCCACAGTACTCACCCAAGTTATAGACTCTCCAGCTAAATCATTTAGAAACTTGCCCGTTGTTGGTGAAGCGGGGGAAAGTGAACCTCGAGGACGGAAATCATTTTCAAATTTGTTTGGAGAAAATGAAGGCAGTAGTTTATTTGAGAACAAGCTTTTTGAAGACGATAACTCCATGGACGAGCTAGAGGGCTTCAGCGAAGATGATGCGTCTGATTATTTGAACAATTCCGAGGCTTCCAGAAAGGATTTTAATGAGGACACGGATCCGAATCTGGTTGTAAGCAGTCTGAACCAATACACTTTGAAAAACACAATCGCGGAACTTACTATATCAATCGACAAATTAAAAAAACAACTCTCCCTTTTAAATCACCTTGGGCTTAAAGCTGACCTTACGGACAGCACGTCCGAGCGTAGAATTCTAAGAAAGTCAGAGCGAGCTGTTATCAAAGAAATGCATCAACAAGAGCTACTGAGGGAACAACTCATTGTACAGGAAAATGATAATAGCCTCTTTGGAAAATGTCAGACCTGTATCAAAGCTCATTTGAGTGATATCTCTCCAAAAAGCGGGCAGGAAGTGGTGTACTATGTTATAAGTGTAAATCATTATTCGGATGGAAGAGTCACTTCTTGGGACATACCGCGCAGGTATAGTGAGTTTTATGAACTCAACGCGTACCTAAAGAGGAGATATCGAAATCTAGTTAAACACTTGCAAAACAAGGACTTTTTTCCTGAAAGGGTCAAAATGTCGCTAATATACCATGTTTCCAAGACATTACTCTACAAAGAGAGGACTGTGAAACTCGAGAAGTATCTACGAGGCCTTCTAGCAATACCGGAAATTTGCCAGGATATCAGCGTAAGAAAGTTTCTAACAGACACAAATTCGGCATTTAGTATAAAGGAAACGTCAGAGAATTTCGAGAATAGGAAGAACCTTTTGTCGAGGATTGACTCTGTGTCATCCAAGTTATTTGATAATGCAGTTGCGAGCTCGCCGTTTGACAACCTTGCCTGTGAGGAAGAATTAGAGCTTGATGGGCTTGGCTCTCGTGGCCGAGATCTGCTATCATCGCACGAAGAAAGTTCCAAAAAGGGTTCCTTCATCAAAGCTATTTGCGATCTCTTTGTTGCTCTTTTTGCATTCTCAAAATCGCGCTCGAGCTGGCTAAGAGGTAGGGCACTGCTAGTGGTCATTCAGCAGCTATTGGGGGGTACAGTAGAAAAATACGTCAAAGATTTGATTGATAGAATCACAAGTGAGGACAATATTTCGGAAGCTACAAGCAAAATTCGTTCAAAACTTTGGGTACAGGGTATTTTTTTAAAAAGTTACCGGGAGGGGAAGAGGGTTCGCCAAAAACGAGAGAGGAGCAAGTCCAAACTCGGAGAGACGCGAAACAAAAGTTGGAGACATTACTCGGAGAGACCTGTGGTAGAGTAGTTGGCCTGGCCAGCTCCAAAATGGCAAGTGACGAAATTCATGCAATGCTGCAAAATGAATATTTGAATGCAAGTTTGGTTTTTACGTTGTTAGATATCCTATTGGCGGAAATTTTTGCGAGCGACCCTTCTACGATTGCGAGCCAGCGGAACGATCCAGTCGTTGATGCTTAGGGCTTCACGCGGCGTGTATTCAGAATCGTCGGGGGTCGGGCCCTTCACCCAAAGAAAAGTTTTCTGATCGAGTATATGGTTGCGATGCCTATGGAGGATTGACCTTAGTTTTGTCCTGTTTTCAAAGGACAAAACATTCTGCTTCAGTAATTTTTCTGTGGAAATGTACCCGCTTTTCGATCTAGGCACGGGTTGCTGGTCATCCGTCCGCCTTTTCTTTGACGCGTACTTCATAAGTTCTCTTTTGGGTAATTTGAATTCCTCTTTTCGATAGGTTAAAGGTATATCTCCATACAGCTCCAACGTCTTCATGTAAATGCCATATATGTCCTCCCCCATTTGGCAGCCACGCATGAGTACATCCCTGTAATCAAGCTTGCATTTCTTATTCATCGCAACTGGTTTCTGATTGTGCTGTAACTCGGATATTGTCAAATGAGAAGAACCATTTGTCTGGGATAATTTAAGCTTGTTTGTAGACGCCAGGGTAGTATGCAGTCCTTTAAAGAATCGGTCCATTTTGTCCATTATTACCGTCGCCACACCGTTTGGGATGGTCATATTGTCAATATCGAGAGTGACTCCACGGTCAGATGCCATTTGCGCCATTGACTGTTGCCAGACAGCATTTAACTCTTGCTTTACCATGGTTGAAGCATGGCGTAGAGCATTTGGAGATATCTCACCAGGCTTTAGCTTATCCAGGTCAATGTTACTCAACGCTGTTGTATCTTCATAAACAGTACCGATTTGCGGATCGATGACAGTAGATGGATTTGGCCAACTTGTCCAATTATCTTTAACCTGGGTCTTTATGTAGGTCTCGGTCTCCAAAGCAAATTTCTTTCGGTTAGCAGCCCTAAGTTGCGTCTTTAACAAATACGTCGAGTACAGATGCAATGCCAAGTCATTTCGATGAGTGTGTTCCAGCGACTCTAACAACTGATTGACCTCTCTCAACGATTCGTTGTCAATCGAGGATACCTTAGAGATTTCTCGTATATTTTGAGCCTCTGATTCAATGCAATCAACGTTGGAATGGGCGCTCATCTGACAATGGCCATCAGCTTCGCTAGTTGGTGAACACTCGCCCAATACATGGTTTACGGTTATAAAATGGGACGTCGGTTCGTTTTACGTGACAATGATACCTCACAGATATATTCTGCTGTACTCGCTGTTATGGCCATCCGAGAATTTCAAGCTACTCATCTGGTTGACATGGCTGTTCTTGATTTAGGGAAAGAAGCATTGCCCTCCGCGTTTTTGTTTTGTCATTGTGCTGGAATGCTTTCTTCTGCCTCGCTTCGCCAACTTTGCGCTTTCCTCAAATGGTCTAGTTCGACCCTTATGACTAACAACCTTTGATGCGGAACTAGAGGAGACTCTGGAGATATTAAAAAGAGAATAGTTCACCCTGTATCGTCACGTCGTTAGCTGTAATTTTTTTTTTTTGTCATGGCATGGTCTACATGCTTCATTCTGGTAAAGCGTACTATATCAAGCCGTATTTTAGCTTCCGTGTAATTTTCCCAGTCCATAACAGCTACATATCAGATCAGTAGTAAAATTGTTTAAGTGTGTCATTCGGGAGGGGTGGTTACTAAAAGCAAATTTCGAAGTTAGGCCCGGCCTGGGTATCGGCTATTTTCCTGAAATCTTGTTGGGAATGATGATGATGATTATGATGACGATGATGATGATGATGACGATGATAGTGGTTCAAATAACTTTTAAAGAGTATTTGATTTAACTTACGTTTCGTATGAACGTACCATTCTTACAATTAAATTTAACTGTTCAAGTTGAAGCCCGCAACCAGCTATTGTACATTAACGGAACTACGCGAAACATCTTAAAACTGCTGGTTGACGCACCTGCTTAAGACCAGATGCCTAAGCTCGAGGAAATTGACGATTATGATGATATTGACAATCTAGATATGGATCTCGCGGAGATTGATCCAAATATGACATCGCTGGTAGCGCCGAGAATTGTGCCAGAGATCAAGAGAAGTCAAGATGAAGAACCGCCACTATTCCCAACCAATAATAATCCGGTTCCCAAGTCGAATCAAACGGCTTCTGGACAACCACAGGTGGTCAGTTTCACAGAAGAACAAAAACAACAGCTCAAAAAGTTTCAAATTCTGTACCCATGCTACTTCGATAAGAATAGATCACACAAGCAGGGCAGAAGGGTGCCCGCTGAGTGGGCTGTAGAAAATCCCTTGGCTCAAACGCTCGCTGATGCGGTAAGCAACTTGAAAATTCCGTGTGTTATCGAACCCCACAAATGCCACCCGCAGGACTTTGGGAACCCAGGAAGAATACGTTTGTTCATGAAGGATGAAGGACAATCGACTGAGCCCTCGCTATTTAAGAATAAACGCATGCTTCTGAAGCTTATCTCCAAGTATATGCAAGAGCATCCCACTACTCTGGACGTCCTGAAAGACGTACCAATGGAAGCAGGAGCAGAAGGGTACGAGCCAAGGAGAGTTCCAAAAGTCAAGGGTTTTGTCATGAATGATCTCGTCCCTATTCACAGTCCTTTTAGTATGGGTCATCCGATGGTCAAGTCCATTTATGAAGCGCCAGCGCCTGTTGTGGCAGAAAAGCCCATGAAAGTTCCCAAAAACAAATATAAAGTCGTTCGTAGATGAATGGTAAATGACGATAACATGTATATTAAGAGTTTCAATCTTTCAACGATGTTTACAAATGACGGTGGAGAAAAGACCTGCTCTTCTAGTTGTGTATAATAGGCATTTCGCGAGAGCTTTCATGTACTTGCAATTGACCAAATTTCAGACGGCCCTGGACATGCTGATACTCAAGATTGCGAGAGAATGACAATTAGCAAATCAAAAATACATATTAGTTGAGTTTACGGGTGATTGTTCGTGTATATGATGAAGACCCATCATTAACGGTGGCGACAGAACCATCAACATCAAAGAAGTGACCCTTCCAAAGGATTCTGGCTAACAAATTTTTGGAGCGGCGTAGTCTATTATCGGATTGGAACAGCCCGAAGGCTCTATGAGGCGACTGGACAACACCGTACGCTGCAAGGCTGTTACACACCGTAGGTCTGCAGATACTCCTCCATCTTGCGCTTGTCTTCGGGGCTGATCTTGGACTCGAGGTAGTTGATGATGTTGGCAAAAGTAACGATGCTCAAGACCGGGATCCCGTACTTTTGGGAAACCATCTGCGTGGCACTTAGTCTTTCCTTGGACTCGGTGTTGAGAACCTCTTGTCTGTCTAGAGAAACGATGGCCCCAACCACGTTACCGTTATTCTGGGCGATGATCTGAAACGCCTCGTTGATGGCAGTGCCAGCAGTCATCACGTCGTCTATGATAAGCACACGCTGCTCCTGTAGAGGAGCCCCTACAATAGTACCACCTTCTCCGTGCGTCTTCGCCTCTTTACGGTTGAACGAATACTGCACGTTTTGAAACTTGGTCCCTCCGATCTCCGCAAGCTTCACGCACACGATCGCCGCCAGGGGGATGCCCTTGTACGCAGGCCCGAAAATTACGTCGAATTTCAGGTCCGACTGGATGATGGCGATCGCGTACGCGGTCGCCAAGTTCGACAGCAGTTTCCCGGTGTTGAACTCACCCAAATTGAAGAAGTAGGGAGACTGGCGCCCGGATTTCAGCGTAAAGCTGCCGAACTTGAGCGCCTGGCTCTCCACGGCCAGATCCAGGAAGTTTTTCTGGTAGTCTTCCAACACTGCGTGCATCGGTGCTATTGTTCTTAACCTTAAGTTGACAAGGATGAGGGGGCGTGCTTGCTCTCTTGTACGCTCTCCACGACTCTTTACTGCGGAAAAAAAGCGGCGAAACGACCTAACAACGAAACCGCACTTCTGCTTGTCTCTCCGACGGTAATAACGGCCTGGAACACTCCTAAAAACTAGTCTATCACTAATGCCAAAGCGGAGGGCTCTCGGTTGTGAAATCTACTTGGAAACTTTTCCGTACAAACTACACTCGTTTTTCAGCACTTTGTTTGATCAGATTTTCGGTGAAAAACATGATGAGAAAAAGTCAAACGTATTGAGACCTACGCGGCGAAGGAGAAAAAATTTTTGAGCTATAAAAGACACTACAAAATCCCACAACCTCGACAAACTTCTCGCGCTACAGCAGAGAGTGCTGAGGTGCGGTTCCTGCTGTTTCTTTGAGTAGTAGTAAGCCCAGTGCTTTCGTTAAGAACTTTAGGCTGTTGTAATATCTAAAATTTTTCACCCACGCAAATTGGATCCTGGTCGCTTCGTACGTCATGGTCTGTTCTGGCTGCTGTGAGAACGAAGGACGAGCTACCGGCAGTGCAGCTTTCTATTGGCAGCCGTTGCTAGCGAAGTGCTGGCCACAGCGGCGGGGGGAGCGGCGCGTGAAGATCAGGAAGTAGGAAAAACCATCTTATCACTTCGCACTAATTCGGTCACCAGCGCTCTGTGTCACGTGATTCTGTCACTCTGTCCTCATTCTGTCGTCGGTATTCACCATATGATTAGCTACACGTACCAGAGGCAGGTTTTACCCTGGTGGTTCAGTCTTTTGCGCCTGTAGGCCACTAGCTCCAAGCTAATTTCAGTAGGCTGCGTGTTCAGGTTTGTTGATGCACGGCCGCGGTTCCCGTTCCACTATATAAGCAGAAATACCGCAAACTGGTTGATGGATTGGCACATCGGAGTATTCAGGTTGGTAGTACCCCATCGTTCGCTTTGGACTCCTAGCCTATGCAGTGGAGGCCACCTGTTGTCCCCCGGTTTATATTTCGATGCTGCTATTCCCGGTAGGCCCCGCCTGTCACCTGTGAGCTGTCACCTGACACACTTTGCCAATCATGTACTGACCACAGTCGTCAAGTTTACTCAAGTTTGGCCCATCACTGTTCGCAGCCCAGGTCTAGCACGGGGCATGGATGACAGCTTACTATTACGGTTGCAGACCTTACAGCAGAAACTGAGGAGTCCCAGTGGTCCCAAAGCCCTTGTGAAGGCCCAATCGCCAGCCCAGCTTATCATCAATAAGTATAGATACAAGTCCAAATCTAAAAGGGTCAAACGGAATGCTTTTCTGCCAGACCACTTGCAGGGCGTTGGAAAGCCTTATGAAAATCTCATGGATGGGGAGTGTGCCCTCGCGTTTGGAAAACAACGGTTTTTAGATGATTTGAAGCTTTCTGCGAGTGCCACCCGGCACACTGCAGTAGCCTGGGAATCTCAGAGATTCAATATTGCGGTGATATCTAGTTTGGGGTGGTACATACGGCCGCAAACCAGTTCCAAGGGTGCTGGAATGTTGGTTCTCAAGTGCTCTCGGTGTGCTGAGGTGGTATACCTAAAGATTGAAGACCACACGGGAAAAGACTCATTTGATGAAAAGGCTACTAAGCTTTTATGTAACGCTCACAAGCCTCGGTGTGCGCGTCCAAGGCTTGACCTGGGAAAGGACTACTTTTTGAATAGTGGGAATTTGTCATTGGAATACCAAAGGATATCAACTTCCTTGCGTGGATATCAAGATCTTGAAAGTGGATTGAAAAATATTCCCAGCGCTGACAGTGTGAGAAAACTTGTACCAATATTCGCCACTCCCGACTTGAAGATAAATCCCACGATATTGCATTTTCTGCTCAAAGGCTACACTTTCATCACACCTAAGATCGTCGAGTGCTCGGGATGCTATCGGCGCGCTTTTGTCACTTCATTCCAAGACCCAGACTTTTGTGGCCATACAGCATGGTGCAAATACCACGACGAAATGAAACTCATAAATATCATGCTCTCATCTCTCGACGATATAAACGCAAGCCGGGAGTTGTCGGAGAGGTTCGATAGTTTGAAAAGGTTACTTTGAATACAAGTGTGCATATCCTTATCATGCATTTACTCCCGCAAACTTTTAACAACTATATCTATGTTGGAATTTTAAATAACTCACAAGATTACTCAAACTTCATCTTGGACAATGGAGCATCATCTCCTAAATAAGTGCCAAAAACTTTATCCCAAAACCAAGAAGTCACGCCAAACCCTAACTCGTAATTCTTGTAGTGGTGCTCCATGTGGTATTTCTTTAGTTTCTGCAAATAGCTAGGAAGCTTGGCATGGTGAAGGAAATAATGCGTCAAGTCATAGCACATATAGCCAAACATACCACCGGCGAATCCGGCACATCCCCAGTAATAAGGCAAAATGGCAAATACTAACTTGTGGAAGGGAGTGCACAACAACACAAACAAGGTGGGTGGCATCACCAATCTGTAGCGGTCCATTGGAAGGTAATGATGGACGCCGTGCAAAAGGAAATGGAGGGTGAAAGCAATTTGGTTATTTGGCAGATACTCATCCAAGTGGAAGATAAAACGATGCATTCCGTACTCGATGAGGGTCCACACGAAGAGACCCACAGCGAACAGAAACGCTGCAAAAGGTTGGTTCATATTCTGGAAAGCCGTGATAATATGGTATAGAATTACTGGGAGCCACACAATGGGGATCACGTACCAGGATGTCTTAGAAAGCGGCTCCAAGAAATTTCCAAATAATGGCGCCGAGCCACGCCCGTAATGACGAGGACGGTGGATCTGATCCAGGTAGAACTCTTTCGTAAAATCCGCACGTAGCATTTGTATCAATAAAGGCTTGTTCAAATCCAGAAACTTGTGACGGGTGTAGTCACGCGAAAAGTCCGTTACGATGCTAAGTTTCTCCGCAGCGGGCACTTCGGGCACAAAAACAGTGGAATCGTACTCGTCCTCCAGCTTGACCTCCATCTGTTCATTGGTAGCAGAGCCTTTCAACAGCTTGGCCTCCTCTTCCGGCGTGGCCAGGTAGCCCACCAAATAGCTGTCATCAAGTATTTCGTACGCAGTGAACGAGTGTTCATGCGATGCCACATCCTTCATGATTTCAGTGATATCTTTGCCGGCGTAGTCCACGATCAATTGTGCGCCACCTGGGTGGTCTTCCAGAAATGATGTGACGTCGTAGATTTTGCGGTCATCCAGCGAAACCCAACAATCCTGTTGGGTATTATGCTCTTTAAGCTGCTGTGCAGAGTACAACGGCAAAGTCTTGGTTTTAATGTCCATATTAGTGTATATTGTTCTTCGACGAAGAGGGTTTTCCAAGTTTGATCTATCCCAAAGTGTCGCTAGATTCTCGCGGATATAGTAGTCTCTATATGTACTGCCAACACTTGAGAAAGATCGTTTATACGATGTTGATGCTTGCTCGATAGAGTGAATATTTTATGTTTCCTTCGTGCCGAGAATGGCATCGGCAAGCTCCATATCACTATTAACGCTGTGTAAAAAGGTTCACCAAGCTACGAGCGAGTGAGAGCTATCGGAAACATTTGGCGTCAGTTGGCGTCAGGCGTTGAAGCTTCCGCTTCCCGATGGGCTGATACGATATGTCCCATTCGACTTGGAACGAGCCATAAATAAACAGTTGTATCCATAGCATCTGCGATGGATCCGATGGAGCTCTGCTGGCGCGATCAGTACAGAAGCATAGTGGAACGAGGAAGGGTAGCAGTGTCGGTTCGGAAAATCAATTGCCTTATTAAATTTGGTCTTTTAAAACCCATTCGACAACGTTAAAATTCGTAAATTCACACCTAATCATTAAACTTGTTGTCTGCTCTGTACCAATTCAATAAAGACAAGGGAGGGCAAGGAGGAAGCTACATTCAAAACCAAGGCCAGGAGTAGTAGTTGGTCTTCCTTCAAGTAGACAGTGAGATTTTGAGTGACATGCTGCCTGGCACCTGACCTTGCCCAGAATAATATCGGATAGAATTACCAGTCTCTTTTAAGATAGTGGCAATTTGGCCGAGTGGTTAAGGCGTAAGATTAGAAATCTTTTGGGCTCTGCCCGCGCAGGTTCGAATCCTGCAGTTGTCGTTAATCTTCTTTTTGAAATTTTTTTGCTCTGAGGACCTGTGTTTGAGTGTGATCCAACATAGACCCATTCTACTCTTTCAGCAGTCTATCTGCGAGCTCTCTATTTTACCTTGGTAGTTGAGCCTCCTACCCACGTTGAATAAGTGTGCCAACCAAAAAAAAAAATGCGTGCCTTGTATATTTATTGTATGTTTATCTTATAGAATTCGTTGCTAATTTGACTCTTCGTCATTGTCGTTATGCTCGGTGGCTTCGGGAACTAGAGTTGACTCAACAAACCTACGGACTTGGGCCACCACTTCTTCGCGCGATCGATCCAGCAACAACACCACCAACCCATCACTGCTAATTTCATACTTTATGAACCCTTCATTGGGAATGCAAATGTCAGAATCAAACTTATCAAACCACAGATTCAGCTTGTCCATTTCTTCGACGTCGAATGGCAATATCAGCTCGTCCACAAATTCGTGTGAAACCTTGGCGGATTGATCGGGCTTTTCGCCATTTTGAAGTTGCTCGCAGCCGGAATTCTGCGCCCCGTCCTCTAGTAGAACCAACATGCGATAACTGCGCTCGTCACTCATCTCTTGACCTCGGATGATGTGTGCTTAGGTGGTTGTACGTGGATCTCGAGCCCATCAAGTGAAAAACACTGGCTCATCGCTTTCACTTTTGTGGGAAGAAATTCCGTACCACATGATATAGTAGTCGGACACTAACAAAACCTGTAAACGACGGTGGAGGTCTGTACACTTCCCTGGTCTAGTTGTCATCCTTGTCAGGATGATACTAATTATTCCATGTCATCTGTTGAGATGGAGGTGGCATTTTGTTCTTCCAGCTGTTGCAGATACAAGCTATGGTTGACCAAATTCAGGTATGCATACATGAAGTTACTCAGTACGACCTGCTGACGCAGTTCCCTTTTGGGATCTCCTAGCTTCAGGTGACTAAGGCGGTAGATTGCACGCTCCACATTGATTGGTAGCCTTTGGTCAATCATTACAACAGTTGAAATGGTTAGTGGCGGCAGGGGGAAGCCGAAAGAACTATCGCTGAAAACCATGGGTGAGTTGGGTCGTTCCGGTTTCATCACATCATCAAACGTCAGCTTTCGAGGTGGCAGAATATATCCTCCTGCGGCGGGTGCGACAATTTGGGCAGGTTTCTCCTCCAAGCCCGTTTTTGTTGCTTCGGGGTGCTTGGAATCGATATCACGTTTCAAAGAGTCAGCGGAACTACTCTTTTGCAATACATCCTCCGGGTCCTCTCTCACAGCAATACTGCTGTCGATGTTGGCTCCCGTTTTTTTCTCGGTATCAAAATGCCCTCCGTCAGCCAATTTCAGATCAATTTCATGTTCGAATTGTACCGTGGATGAGGGCGAGTCTTCCGAATTGTCTGTTGAGTATAGACTCAACTTTTCAGAAGAGTCCAAATCTGTAGTAACTGTCTTTTTGATTGTAGATGTGACGTTGACAGACGGTTGGAGTTTTGTTATCGGCTCTTCGGCATGCCCTTGGAAATTATGTGTGACCCGTGACGGCTTCTCTTGGTCACTTGGTAGACCATCAATGCTATAGTCGATACGATTTTCTGAATTGGGAGCTTGATGACGCTCTGTAAGATTGTTTGACGATGCCCTCGTTCTAAGTACGCCGCTAATCCCTTTCTTGATGTTACCTTGTGACCCACTTCCTTCATCGGTATCTCTGTGACCCGTCGAAGAAGAACGATTGCGTTTGAATAAATGTATAAATTTGTTTCCTCGTTTTGCCTTTTTAAGGGACGAAGTGTTCGCATGAGTTGTAACTAAGTCTTGCCTTTCCCGCCCATCATTATTCTCGAGCCTGTGATGGCGATGTCTAGAGTGACTCACCTTGTCTAGCGGTCTGTTTGTGGTTTTTGTTTCGTTCTCTTTCACGTTGACAAAATCGTTTGAAAATCGTCTCTCAACCCCTTTGACAGGCTCTTGGTCCTTCGCAGTCTTTTTGCCAAACCAATTCCAACCTGTCTTCTTTCGTGAGGTTTGACTAGTATGATCTATATCCACCCTCTGCACCTTACCAATATGATTGAGGGAATCGTCGTAGAATTCGTATTGATCTTTTATCGCAGCGCTTGATTTATCATCACTTGCTCTAGATGTCTCAAGTGGGTCTTCGTGGTCGTTCTCAGTCGAGTTCAAGTCTGAAAGACTTCCTAAGCTGCTTTGTCGGTAGTGATCGTAAATTTCATTGAAATCACTAATGGAGCTCGGGGACTGCACAGCGCTTTCAGTAGCCCGAGTAGAAGGGACGCTGGGTTTTTCAGCTTGGGGCTGTGGTGCGGCTTCTGAGATGGACGATGGTAAGCTAGAGCTACCTAAACTGCTTCCGCTAGGTGTCCTTCTGCGATATGAGTTGAATTTGCTACGCCTCAAAGAAGAACGTACAGGAATAGCTAGTCCTCCCTTGGTAAAAATGCTGGAAGCATATTCCAGTTCACCGTCAGTCTGATTATTAGATCCTGGGGATTGATTGACCATCTCAGGATTATCGTAAGAGCCTGCCATACTAAGAGTCCGGGCTAACGACACAGCATCCTCATCGGTAAAGCCAGCCCTATTCGAGATTCGCGTCAACTCTTCTGTGATGTCCCTCAAAGATGTTGATCTAGTTGCCTGTTGGAGACCAGTGGCACATTTTGCACCCCTCGCTTTTTCGTTGTGCTCTCCACCATCGTTTTCCAGCTCTTGCTTCAGTAAATCCTCCAGTTCTGTATACGATTTGCGCAATCCGGATGGACGGCGAACAATTGCGCTTGAACCCGATCGTAGTTGATTGGAAGGTGAGCTGGTAGTCTTCAATGCAGATTTTGTTGGAGGGTGCTGTTCGGAGGGAGCGTCGAAATCTTTGTCTATCTTCAACGTATGCAATGTATCTTGGACAAGTTCCAAATAATTTTCGGGTTTCACACTCGGATGCTGATTAGCAGGGACCCACAGAAGATTTTGTTTCACTGGGCCCTCACGGGATTTCGGATTTATTATTTCATCAGAAGGTGATTTACTAGAGAGACCACCTCTGCGAACGCCGCTTAGACTACGCCCTGAAGAAGAAACCTGGCTAATTGCTGGTGCCACCGACTCCTGTAAATATTCAGCACTTGTAACATCTATGCTATCATCATTGGCAAATGAAAGCGTTTCACCCACAGCTTCTTCAACGCTATAACGTTCACCATGCTCCTCCTGTGGTAAGGATTCTATAGATACAGAGTCGTCACTTAGTGACGAGGCTTGCGATGTCGTAGGACTCACACGATATTCCATTTCTGGATCAATCAGCATATCCAAGGAGCCGATCGATATCCTTTTCAGATTCTTAACATGTTGAAGTTCAGAATCCAATGATTGGGCAGCGATCAAAACCTCAGATTTTCTCTTTTCAGAGCGTAATTGGGACCTTCTTTTCGCTTCAGAGCCACATTCAGAGCTGTTTTCATTGTGTGCTTTATCGGTTGACATTCTTTTGACGATATAGTGGAGCTCAGCTTCAAATCAGCTACTACAGCCCAGTGAAGGAATGTGTATGAAATGGTTCAATCTGTATAATAATAATACGCGCTAGACCTACCAACTAACACACGCGAATAATGAAGGAGCTAGATTGACGGCCCCAATGCCAGTTGGAATCGATCAGGCTCTGGTCTCGACCACTCGGTTTTTCCCTCTACAAAATGTTTGGCTAAGGTATACATTTTCGCTAGACGCGTAACAATTAAAATTTGATACCATGGTACGAAATTCACCAATTAACGTCAGTCAAATTAATAGTGACAGCTATGATAAAACTTGATTTTAGCTGGTGATTTAAAAGCGCAGCAGCCCTATAATAGCGATCATTGAAGTTCGATTGAATACTTTCCTGAGGTGGAGGCATGAATATTGTTTTTGAATGCAACAATTCCAACCACCAAGCTCGCTACATAGGCGTATTTCCAGATATGGGCGTAAAGCTTGCGTAAAGGCGTAGATCCACCACTAGCCACTAGACAGGAAGCCAACTCCGAGCCTTGAGGTAGCCCCATGTAGTTGGCAAAGCAGTGTAATAAAATGCAACACCACAGATTGCCGCCACTGCGCAGGAATATGAAATTGGTGAAAGCACCGAAAATTGTAGTATAGGTCAGTTGCAATAGCGTCGATAAGATGACCTGCCCAGGGCCATACAGACCAGTAGAATGTAGTTCCCAAGCATGATGTACGTGAGCAAGACCGAAAAACAGAGGTAAAATCCATAATACTGATGTCTGCGTCGGAAGATCAGGACTGGTTAGTATATGGCAGTTGGTTAGCATCGCAGTAAAAAAGATCTCCTCTGTGACTGGCCCAAAAATATAGTTTCGAAAACCCCATATAGTGAAGATTTCGTCTCGTACATCGGACCACATCTCGAACACGCTGGCATCGGGGACTAGCAGATAGTAAGAGACATTATCTAATAATGGACCACTATACAAAATGCATGCCAACTTCAAGCAGCTCAGAATACTCTCGATGAATCGGGGAATATCGTAATGAACTACGGTACCGTCAAGGCTCAAATAGACACCAGGGATTAGACCAATGGATAGAAAAGCGCTGATGAAAGAGTGGTTCCCAAAAGCAGCAAGAAACCAAGGTATAAGTAACAGGTTCAATGCTGTCACAAGCATTACGCGTCGTATTCTGGATTTAATCACTCTGGGGTCATCTCTTCTAGTTTTGTAGCGACCAATGGGGTGAGCCCATAGATGTATGGCTGCAACATATGAGGTAGGAATATAGAGCAGTATGAGAAAAGTCGAGGTCTGCATTGGGAGAGTTAAAAGGACCCAAGAGCGAGCAGCTATTGGATGTCGGCAACCTTGGCTTTAGTTATGGTTGCACATGATTTGGCAAGGTTTGACAATACTCTATCCATCCGTGTTTAACGATGGGAACAGCCAGTCAGCAGATGGAGGAGGACGCCCAAGGAAGGCGCAGTAGCCATCTTAGATGTCCGAACATCGACCCTGCGGCATGAGTAAGCTTTATATTCTCACAACCTTGCTCTATTGATTTGTCTGACGTTCGTCAGTGCAGTGTGTCCTCATCTGGTTCTTTCTCAGAATGGTAAGAACGATTGAATATTATATAGAGTATAGAGTACATGATCAGGTAAAGCTTCAATGAATTGGAGATTATCTTGGGCTAATGTACATGCATCAAGTGTTTCGCCATGCCAGAAACCATTGAGATGTCACATTACAATACCGCTGTAAAGTGTCGACAAACTTTCAGCCTACCAATCTTTGTTCCACACTAAAACTACTTCCTTTACTAGAAGCTAGCTAATTTTAACTCGTTGAACTGTTTTTTCGAGACATTTTTCATAGGCATCGCAGGGCATCATCCTAATAGGTGATAAATGGTCTAGAGGATATGGTGGCCTGTTGGTTATCTCCTTTTGGCTGAGAATGTACCTCTAGTTCATCTCTGAGACGTATAAGGGGTATATGTGTAAAACTTTGGCTGGATCAATGTAGATATAGGTAGGCCATGATAGTCTCACTTTAACCCAGCAAGTCCAATAACTGAACTTTCAGATGCATTGCAAATGGTTGATCCTGTCATGTCTATGTAGTAGCTTTTATTCTGGTGGAACGTACTTTCCTCTTTTACTGACGTTGTATATATCACTTTTGACCTGTGTTGACGGTCACCACAAGGAGGTTCTTCATAGTTGCAAGCAGGGCAACAACTTACATTTCAGACAAAGGCTGCAAACCAAGGACAATAATGATAGTTAGTGTTATAGCAAGTAGATTAGTGGTGAGCAGTAAGTCCCAACCGTTGAGTACCGACGGGAGATATGATATTCCTGACTGGAGCTGTGGTTGATTATATTCAATCAGATGATATTGAATTGCATATACAGCCTTCAGAAAATTTAAAGATCACAAGATCAGCGGGCGTGTGGTCTAGTGGTATGATTCTCGCTTTGGGCGAAGTTCGAGCCTTAACTCGGACTAATAAACCACAAGCATGCGAGAGGCCCTGGGTTCAATTCCCAGCTCGCCCCATTTTTGCCCTCCTTATCGTTTATTCTATTCCCCTATTCATACGTTGCAACACCAGGCATGTTGGGCTTTGCTTATTTCACCTTAGGTTGATCCTCTTTTTTGGAGTTTATCAACGGTAGTGCATCATTATTCATGATATCCAAAATGTTCACTTGATGCCGGAAAATCTTCTAGCTAAGGTGCTTGGCAATTCATAAACGAATAATGAGTCCTATCATGCCAATGCCAGTAGAGCTGTCGGTGGTGGCGGCTCACTATTCTTCTATTTCATTAATTAAGGCTAACTTTTTTCGAGTCGACCAATAAGTAGTATGTAATAATGAAAAACTCAACTATCACCAACCTTACACCTACCTCAGAGCTCCAAAAGCGTTGAAGAGGCGCTTTCGAAAGTTTAAGACTACGCAATATAATCATTCATACAATCATTGAATTTTGTAAGACATGATGGTGAATAAAGTTCTAGTTAGACCCGCTTGGGTCAAACCCTCCATACGGGCCTTGCCTATGAGAACCTTACGTCAGGCAAGAAATGTGCATTCGACAGCCAAGGAAACTGCAAAGGATAACTCAATCGAAACAACGCATTTTGGATCGAAGACTGTGGCAAAGAGTGAAAAAGAAAAACTAGTGGGATCCGTTTTCTCTAATGTTGCCTCCAAGTATGATATAATGAACGATGTGATGTCTTTAGGGATTCATAGGCTGTGGAAAGATCATTTCATCAACAAACTAGATGCCGGGAAGAGGCCCAATGCCAAAGAACCCTTACATTTCATTGATGTTGCTGGGGGCTCTGGCGATATTGCTTTTGGGTTGCTAGACCACGCGGAGCACAAGTTCTACGACAAAGAATCTACAATGCATGTCGTGGACATCAACCCAGATATGTTGAAAGAGGGCGAAAAGAGGGCTATGAACCAGGGTAAATACTTTAACGATCCGAGAGTCAAATTTCTGGTACAAAATGGCGAAACCTTGGATCAGATTGAGTCCAATTCTAAGGACGTGTACACCGTTTCCTTTGGAATCAGGAATTTTACCAATATACAAGCAGGATTGAACACGGCGTATCGTGTCCTGAAGCCAGGTGGGATATTTTACTGTTTAGAATTCTCAAAGGTAGACAATCCTCTTGTTGATACCGTTTACCAACAATGGTCGAAAGTTTTACCGGTCCTAGGTTCTGTTGTTGCGAACGACTACGACTCTTATCAATATCTGGTTGAATCTATTCAGAAATTTCCAGAACCTGAACGTTTCCAATCTATGATCGAAAAAGCTGGTTTTCAATCCGCCGGGTACGAGCCTCTAACATTCGGTGTTTGTGCTATTCACTGGGGTATCAAAACTTAAAAGTTTATGCGAGTAATATATCATTTGGCTATCTTATAGATGTATATAACAACTCTAGGCTTCCAGTAGCCTGACTTGAGCAGGGACGTCAATGGAAGCAATACCGAGCTGTCCTTCAAATTTCACATTGATGCGAATGCAGTAAAGTCTTGATACTAGACAACTTTCAAAAGTGGGAATCAAAGTTTCTCTGATATCATCTCCAAACTGGAGATTTACTGTAATCACCCTGTCATATTCATGGTCACTTGTTCTTACCCATTCTCGAAACAGCTGTTTTCTCAACCGTTCTGTCACCGAGCCCTCATGGCTGCCAATTGAAGAGCCGCTGAAGGTGGCTGACAAAAGGCTGGTGGCGCTGGGACTTTTGCTTGGTGAGCACTCTAACGAATCATCCTCGTCGACAAGTGTATGTATTTGCCTTTTGAAGATATGCGGGAGAGTCTGGATCCCACTGCGAAGGGTAGCGATGCTTTCAATGTCACAGAGGATTTGATCTGACAGAAAATTAGAAAATCTTAACTCCTCATGTACACCCGGCCTTGCACTTTTGTTGAAGAGTTTGTTCAAGTTTTCTCGATTTTTTTCAAAGTTTACCCTCAACTCGTCTGCTTCGCTCTTAAATCCTTGGAATACATTTTTAACTTGCTCTAATCTTCCTTTTCTCAAAATTAGATCTGCGTCAAGCTTGATGGGAATCGAATTTGTGGAACTGACTGACATAGAGACGAGCTCTGTAGTTACAGAGTGAATCTGGGGTGGTTCATGCGATTCTCCATTATTAGCCTGGATACACCTCATATTAATGATAACTTGATCTAAAATTTCTTTATCCTTTTCCGGCAAGGATGTGGTGAGATTTTTCCAGTTTTCCTTATTCTGGGCACCTTTCTTTTCGAATTTGTTGGTTTTTCTTAACAAGGAAGGTTTCATATAAGAAAGCCCCGCTTTAGGAACTTCACTTGTGAGGACAATAATCCCAGACTTATTGCTAGAGGCATTTGCTGACCCGGTAGACGACGCAGGCGAGCCCGCTAAGCTTCCAAAGAGACCTTTCTTGAGTTTGTTAGATGTTTTTTGCCTTCCTTTGACACTATACTTGAACTCAGTCTCGATCATTTTGGTTTTCACTTTCCCAACTTTCGAGGCCCTGAGAGGAAACGATGAAGAGATTGGATCGATGCGGTTACTGATATACACTTGGTTAAGCTTTCGCCTCAATATTTCTTCTGAGTCAATTTCGGTAGGATCACTTACACATCCACTGACGTCGGTATTGTGTAAATCCTGATTGGTGATCTGCTCGTTCGCTTCTAATCGTTGCATCACATTTTTCAGAGCCCCGAGCCTCTCTTGAACAAGTCGTGTAATATCTTGTAGTTGATTAAGTGGACTTCGTTCACCGCTGAATGGGCGGCAAAACCCAAATGGGACAAACCGCAAATTGTACTCGCGTTCTTTCAAAATGTTAAGTTTTCTAGTCCGAGCGTCTTTTCCAACGACCTTCGTATCAATGATATAACTAATGGACGTTTCTTTGCCACTCAGGTCATCTGTTAAAATGGGAGAGCCTCTGGTTCCCGTATGCCCATAGCCCAGCAAAGGGTTTATTTTTATGCCAGAGTATTTACCACTCCCTTTGACAGGGTCTATTCCGAGAGTTGGCGGTACTAAACAGTGGGAAAATTGTTGGTGTTTACAAGAAACATCTAAAAGATGCGAGGGGAACTTGAACATAAAGTATTTTTTGTACCTGGTGTTGGGCTGCAGAGTCCTACTGTTGAGAAGTCCTATGGTACAATTTTCGAAATCTTTGGCACCTGGAAGATAATTGACTCCATTTGCGACGTCAATATCCGAGTACGACCAGCTGGCACTTAGGTCCACCATTCTAAGAAAGCGCTTGACGGTGCGCTTTCCGCACTCTCGATCTACAACCGTCGCATGGCCCTCCAGTGTTACATAGAACATTTCAAATTTGATTGGTACCGAAGACTTATTGGCGATGATAACATAACCGTGCAAAATGTCTCCCGAAGTGTACTCTCTCAATAGCGACTCGTCCTCTGCTTTCTTATCGACCGCTGCAGGCTCCTTTGTAACGTGAATGTCGATTTCAATTGGTTTTGTTGATTTTGGGAGGGAATAGATTTTATCGATGTAGATACTGTCCGTTTCATCAACATCATCTTGAATAGGCTCCTGCACGGTACCCAATGCCTCCAAGTTGTGCATTTCATCCCTGACACCACCGCTCGGGGATGGCGCAAGATGATCGAACGACTGAACGGAGGCTTCCGAAGATTCAGGAAGTTGACTATCAGTTTCACTAGAGAGTAGAGGAGATCTTGCCTGCACTTCTTGATAAGTAGGTGGAAAATCGATCCTGTCAGGGTCGACATTACCTTGCGGGATATGCCTGTGAAGTGTATTGTAAAGCTCAAAGGATGGCAGGACTTCGACCATCATGTCATTGGGAGGTCTATTCACGCTTTGTTCGGTACTTAAAGACGCAGCAGGGTCCCCTGTTTTGGACGTTTGAATCGTGCTATCCAGTTCGTTTCCGGTTGATGCTCTGCTATCTCCAAAAGATGAATGTGCTTTCCTGAGTTTCAGCAAGTTTGACGAGGGCGAGCTCTTAAAGAACAGAGAAGGAGATGGCGAGCGCGCTCTATTAGCCTCTGACTCTCGCTTTCTGATTTCAGGTTTAAGGTGCCTTTCATTGCGCATATCTCAATGCTCTAGGTCGTTAAAAGTCTTACACTCACGTCGAAAGATGAGCTCAAAAGATCAACAAATGAATAAGACGTTAATTGCGAAATATAGAATCGGGTTCTGTTGACTTATAGAAACAACCCCACACCTCCGATGAGTATACTCAGCAGGTGTTTAAGGTAGGCCAAAATATAACACAGCTTCTGAAATCTTGAGCACTCTGAACGGCATATCGCGATCAGTGAATAAATAACCACTGCCCAACTTCTAACAAAGTTCCAGTTCATTGAAGGTGAGGATTTCCCGCATCCACACGAAGTATTCGAGTGAGTTCCGTAGTGACTGAATTATCCTTAGTTGTTGTTTTACAAAGTCAGTTGGCCCTTTTTTGCGGTGCGAAAACCACAGGTCAGGAAAGATACAGACCATACTACTAAGCCCAGTTTATAGTAGTTGTAGAACGCTTATTTTGATATCACTTTCCATCCTCTCTATAGTTCCTCGCAGCATTCAATTGTACATGTAGCTACTATGCGCAATTTTGTTGAGTTCTCGTAGATCACAATAGTCATTTCGGGCCATACCCTTGCAAGAACTCCACAGGGTCTCAAATTCTTGGGCATCAAGAATAAAATCTCTTTCGGTAACCCACAGATGCTCTTTTGATTTTTTATGTCTCTCGCGGTCATTCTCCATCCGATGCAAAAGTATGCTAGTATTAAAGGAACCAGTGACTGAACATACACCGTTTTTTCGATAGTAGTCCTGTAAGAATGCAGCACGCTGTTTGCGGTCTACTAATATTCGGTAAGAGTGCACCATAGCTTGTTTGTGATCACATCGATGACCTTTGTCTATCTTTAACCATGAGCCCTCCAAGGTGGGTAGTGTCTGTGCTTCAGCAGCTTGACTCACAGGCTTCTTCAGCAAAGTTTCAGCAGTACCGCTGTCTAACACCTGACACAGTCGATTCAAGTATTGTACGATTTCGGAACAAACTTTCAAGTTCGTCAAGGCCTTCCAGTCTTGGTCGGGTAGAACCAGCAATATGATTTCATCTAACTGTCTCAATAAGTAGTTGTGTACAACCTTTCCAGCAGTATTCTGCTCACCGTCGACACCTTTCATGCACCGCGGCCACAGCATTGATATTAAGCGACTCCAGTAAACCAGGACGTTGAGCCTGTCCAAAGAGTCCATTTTCGCAGCAGAATCAAGCATACACTGTTGAAAATCTTCGAAGTGGTGCTCATAGTGCTTTAAGTAAAAGGATACCGGGTCGTTTTGTTGTTGGTTTCCGCCAGAAAGCGGTGAATTGTCTTTTGAGGCATTCAAGGTCTTGTGTAAGTTTTTTATAACTTGCAAAAACTGTAGGCGAGCTTCAAAGGCGTCCATTATATGCGCCAACGTAGGACCACCAGCGTGCAGTTATGCTCAAGCTTTTTTAACTTTCCGCGTCTCTCTGTTCACTTGCATTATATTCAAGTTGCGTACTAAATGATGAATATTTAGACTGCTTCAGTGAATCCTGGCTAAAGTGGCTATAATTAATGAGAATCTACAAGAACCCAGCAATTCCCGAGGCAGTTCCCAATACGTGCCCAATACACAGTGGCAGCTTTCATTCATCGAGTGCTACTCCCCGTCGAATTCTTGTTTCCAATGGCTATTATAAAACGGAATGAATAGTTTGGACAGATTGTCTACCATTTACGAGACTTGGTATATCTATTAATTTAGACCATCTACGCTAGACATCATTCTGGATCTGTTCTGTATCGAACTCCATATTTCAACCTTGTTAATGATATTAACTTATTTTTTAAATGCTATGTAAACTTTTCTGTCATTCGCGACCGAGATTCGAATGCGTTGCAAACGATGCAATAGAGTCTGCATCTCCCGAAAGATTAAAACGGTCCGGAAGATATTTGACGGGCTGCGAGCTCGAGGTGTTAGGTCGCGTCGACTGTTGCGCCAAATTTGAAGGTGCAAAAGGGGAAAATGCAGGTAACAACGACGAAGGAGCCTGCGAGGAGGGCCAAGGTTGCACAGGAATGAACGCGTTGGTAGCCGGTTGTAACACAGGAGGCGTTTGAGTTCGGTTGAACAATTCAATTGCCGGAATGCGGGAGGTGTGATTCAGTGACATATTTGGGTGGTGAATACCGTTGACATTGTTGGTTTCAATATGAGTCTTTGTTGAGCTACCAGAGCCATCAAAGATGCTTGCAGGCGTCGGCCGCGCGTTGGCGGAGATACCCAGCTGCAAATACATGTCTGGTTTAGAAGTTAGCCCGGCCGTAACCGTGGCCGAAGGATCGCTATTCACGGATAGAGGCAAAGGCCCTCTGTTAACCTGATTGCGGCGCTGAATCTGATGCACGGGCGAATCAGCATAGGAATGCATACTTGTCTTGGAATTAGAGTGGGAACTGGACAAGCTGCCCCCACCCAAACTTTCGGCAGCTATCGCGACGGCTGCTTGGCCCGCTTCACTTTGTATTTGAGCTTGCAGAACAGCATTGAGATCTGTCAGTGCATCTTTCTTAGTCACGTGACCTTTACTTCCCGGTTTCCTGCCAGACCCAGGTTTCCTGCCCTGGGCCAATGTTTTCCCCTTACCAGGTTTCCGTCCAGAGCCTGGCTTTCTTCCTTGTGCCAACGTTTTTGCCATGGATTTGAACAGACCTAGTGTTTACTTTTCAGGATTCTCGAGGCTCGGCTTTTCGATCCGCTTATGGAAAGCAGAATCAGCGTGTAACTCAACCACTCTACTCACACAGGCTTCTTCAAACAAAGCAAAATTTCCAAGAGTTCCTGACCCTTTTCGAGCTTTCTCAAAAGCCCTTTCCCTCTTTGTTGCCAAGCTTTTGGCTCTTCTTTCCCTGTTCCTGATTTGCAGTTCCTTGCGGTCTATTATTTGAGCCCTGCTACAATCGGAAGAATCTGCTTTCAGCTAGATGATGGTTGATGACCTCTGAGTTTACAATATCCTGCTCCGGTCCTGGACAGAGCTGGTTAATCACTGATGTGCTGATGTACTCATCGGTAAATAGCTGAGGAAAAAAAAAGTTCAACATGACGAATGATCAGATGTCACGGAACACGGACAGTACTCCCACTATCTTGCGACTCTACGGTCGTTCCCGAGCCATGGGTCTCAAATTAACTGATACAACGGCAACGATCGGCTCTTTGGGACATCTAAATCGCCACTACCTGTTCTTTGAAGATGTTTAAGAGAGGGTAGTCGATATAAACAGTGTATGTGAACCTGAACATAAACACCTTTCTGGAATTGGAAAGTTGGGCGAGCCAGTGGATAAGGATCTTGGTACCCATATTATGTATAGCTGCTGCCAAGATGTCTCTCGCTTTGCGACCTTTTGTGTCAAGCGCACGAGCTCGAGAGATTGTGTATGTTTGCTGAATGACAGTATTATCAAAAGTGATACAACGAAACTCCACGGTGTCACGAAAATCAGATATAATAAAATTATTGACCAACCGAGAAGGAAAAGCATTCAAAATACGCTAAATGGCTTTGGCCATACATCAAAAATGTCACAGGCACTGGATTAGACGGGCATTTCGAGGCACAAGGAGCGTAGGCAACTTCAAGGCCCTATTAGGGTCGCACCGTATCTCTCCATAACTGCCGTAGGCATATAGACACACGCAGGAGCTACATCCGGAGTGCTCACATTAGATACTTGCCATCGCAGTTCGAATCTAACGCTCTCACGGCCTAACCGCAGATTTTCGTTCCACTTGTTTTTATGTGTTAATGTTTGAATAAGCGTTATGTCGGTCTATCTCCAACAGCTGGCATCTCTTCGAAATTTCAACTCAGGAACCCTGAATGAAGTCGAGAGTCCCAGGACCGCCTCATGGTCTTGGTGCTTGCTTCCTTGCTAGTTCGGGATAAGTATTATCACACTAATCATGTTCGACGAGAATAAAGTGAGGCGCTCTCGTGTAGCCACCTCAATCACAAACCTGTCGATTAGCGAGCCAAGTTGGTATTCTTTACCTTACTAGCTACCGCACAAGAAAGGCAAAGAGTTCAGCAGTTCACTTCATAAATGTCCATCACAATTCATGTGAAATCTGGTCAAAACAAATGGGACGTGTCCATCGATTCCACCAGTTCGGTTGGCGAATTGAAAAGGGCAATCGCTGAGATTTCGGACATTCCAGCCGAAAACCAGAGATTGATATACTCTGGAAAGATTTTGAAAGACGATCTCACTGTAGACTCCTATAAAATACTCAATGACCACTCCATTCATTTGGTCAAGTCTGGTGCAAAGAAAAGCACTCCCGCGGCTCCTGCCGGTGGCACTACAGGGAAAAGTGCCTCTGGCTCCGAACAGCGCACCGAGTCCACGCCAACGGCGCCTGCCAATTTATCAACGGGCCAAGGTGGTGGCTTCAATCCACTGTCGGATCTCACGAGCGCTCGTTACGCTGGGTTTTTGAATTTGCCTTCTGCCGACTCGTTTGGACCTGATGGGGGCCTTACAAGCGCTCCAAATTCCGACGAAGTTCTCAGGATGCTCGAGAATCCTGTAATGCAATCTCAGATGAATGAAATGCTCAGTAATCCGCAAATGATCGACTTTCTTATCCAGCAGAGCCCACAACTACAAAGTATGGGACCACAGGCAAGACAGCTACTTCAAAGCCCGTTTTTCCGGCAAATGATGACGAATCCAGATATGATTAGACAAAGTATGCAATTTTCAAACATGCTAGGTGGCGGAGACGGATCCTCGGAGGCCAGTGCATTTCCAGCTCCGGGTTCCACTGAGCAAGACAATCCGGGACGTAGTCAATCTTCAGAACAAACAGGAAGTGATGCTTCTGCGGCCGGTACTAATCCCTTTGCCTCTCTTTTAGGCAGCATGCCTCCCCCCCAACAATCTGGATCTCAGGCCAATGGTGGTGCCGGTGCCAACCCCTTTTTGTCTATGTTAGGTGGAGCTGGCGGAGCTGCAGCGCCCAACTTTGACCCTGCTCTTCTGTCATCCCTATTTGGAGCAGGTGCAGGAGCAGGCTCGAGTGCTCCAGCCCAGCAGGATACAAGACCTCCGGAAGAACGTTACGAACAGCAGTTGAGGCAATTGAATGAGATGGGATTTTTCGAGTTTGACAGGAATATCGCAGCCCTCAGAAGAAGTGGAGGCTCAGTTCAAGGAGCTCTAGATGCCCTACTCAATGGCGATGTCTGAGTTTAGTTTTACTTATACCTTAGACCGAATGTCTGCGGTTTTTAGTACACAGTGATCTACATAGTTTAATTCGGCAAAATAACATTTAGACGGTACAGCCATTTGATCGTTGCAATATTTGAACTCGGCCAGCTCTTGGGTAACTGGCTCTCTCACAAAATTATTATGACATCTACCACTACATCCGATGATGTCTCTTTGGCTAATGAGTTCAAGGGAGTCCAGTTGAAGAACTTACCCAGTTTAAAAGTGGTACCTAAGGCTACCTTAGATGACCCTCTAAAGAAAATTCTCGAGAAAGCTATTGCTATTCAACTGAAGACTATCAATACAGAAGTGTCTGTCTCGCAACTTGCGTTCGAGAACCTAATATTACTCGTGGATGAAACATTGTCCGACATGCTAATGAGTCTACACAAGATTGCAAACATTCAAAGGCGGCATCAAATTTCCAAAAAAGACCTACTGTTAATAATCGAGGGATATAACTTATCTTTTGCAGATCTCCTTGTGGAGAGCCATAGGTCTCAATACGCAAAGTCTCACTCTGTTGACATAGCGCAGAAAATTAATGAATCCGGTGAACTTGTTTTGCGGAAGGAAAGGACTCCACTCTCGCAAGAGGAACTGTTAAGAACTCCTAATCCAGAATTTTTTGTAAAAGATACTGACATTTTAACCCTGGTACCGCCCTCCGTGAAGAAGATTAAGCATGTGCCCAAATGGCTTCCCGACTTTCCTCCCGACCACACATATCGATTCACTTCACTCTACAACACTCCAATCACAGATGAAAGACAAATGAAACGTAAGTTGGCTGAGGAATCAAGTCTTTCCGAAAAAGCTTTGATAAATTTGTCTAAGCTTGGTACAGAGGAATCAGCTACGCATGTCGACAACAATACTGAGCTTTTCAAAGAAAGCCAGCAAGACAATGATCTCATCTTTGAGCCTGCTAAGAAAAAGAGAAGTGCTGTTATTAATGAGATGAATGACCTTCTGAGGACTTTACCTCAGCAAAACTATAACGTTGAGGAATATGCCAGAAGTCGGCTTGACTTAGCACGTCGTAAGGTCAGCGATTACGAAAGGAGACAGTTACAGCTTCAAAGGGGCCCTTTTATCAGAGCAACGCACTTGTTATCTCCATTCTCCAAACAGCGCCTCAATTGCAAGGTAGCAGAAAAGGAGGTAAAAAGCTTGCTGCATCGCAGTTATATAGGGCTATTAACGACTGTTCCACTTCTTAAAGAGCAGCGCAAACAACATACTGCTTTGGCCGAGCAAAATAGACGCGAAAGGGAGGAACAGCTGCGTATTCAGCGGGATGAAGGAAATAAGCCGAGCAAGGAACTAGAAGAGCTTGACTTTAGCAACTTTAACGAGGATCCGTTTTTTGGAGGCTTAGAAAGTAGCGATAGTGAGCCTGAAAATGGTACAATCGCCCCTGCATTGAGCGAAGATCCCGCTATAAGCGATTCTCCTTCAAAAAGAGAAGTCAAGTTGCAAGAGGAACCTACTGACCTGGCGACTGCTGGCGAGAATCCCGCGTCGATTGGTTCATTGGAAAGCGAAAAACAGGACGAAAACCCTTCCACCGAGGCCGACGCAGGAACGAAAGACAAACTTGAGCATAACAGCGAAGATCCAAGAGTAGGCGGAGAAGACCAGCCCGGGCCTGAGAGTCATCTCAGCAAAGCAGCAGAAGTACCACAAAACAATTTAGAGAATTCTCCAGATGGGTATTTGGAGGGCCCTCAGGATTTACTAGGCTCTACAGCTTTACGTGACGAGCAAGGTGAAGATCGATCTGATTTGCCAAAGTCGAGTGAGCTGACAGCACAAAACGAAGAGGACTAGTTAGAAAGACGTGCTATAAGTGAGAATCATGTTGGAAATGAGCACAAGGCATTGCTGTCATAGAGAGCAGCTTCAAATAAGCTGAAAGCAAAAAAGGGGTGAGCACTGAAAATTATATTGGGACAGTTCACATTTATCTTTTGACAAAGTCATAAATACTTATGAAGGCAGAATTAGGCTAAAAGGCTTTTGTGCTCTGGTGTGTTCCAGGCTGATTTTATGCTATAGCTATTTGTCTGGCGACCGAAGTTTTTCTATTGAAAATTCCAAAAATATTTTCTTCCATTGAAAGTAGTCAACATATAAAGGGTCAAAGATTCTAACGACACCAATTCTACGCAAGGTACTGGCGATGACGACTCCGCTTAAACTGCCTTCCAATCTGCCTTTTCCTGTAACCATTGCCAAACTTTATGTCTCAACTGGAGATTCTATAAAAAAGGGCCAGAGACTTTTCGTCTACAAATACTGGGAACTACAAGACGTGATAACAGCTCCGAACGAAGAAGCAAGTAAAAAGAAGAGGCGTGTAGATCTTATCGGGACTTTTGATTCACCTGTAGAAGGTACCATTGTCACCCTAAACCTTGGGGTTGGAGATGAGTTTGTGAATGATGCGGCTCTAGTTGCGGAAGTGAGGCGACCTTGCTCCCACGACGTCACATATGGATCTCTGTGTGTTGTTTGTGGCCAGCCCGTAGATGAATATGAGGATCAAAATTTGAATGATGGAGGGTTTTCCGATAGCAAGCTCACAATGGCCCACAATAATACCAATATCAAAGTCTCAGAGCGACAGGCGGCATCCATTGAGAAGTATGCTCAGAAGCAGCTTCGAGAGCTAAAGAAGCTTGTTTTGGTGGTAGATCTCGATCAAACAGTCATTCATTGCGGGGTAGATCCCACCATTCAGGAGTGGTCTAATGATCGCTCAAACCCTAACTACGATGCTCTGAAAAATGTGAAATCGTTCACACTTGACGAAGACCCCGTCCTGCCGCCTTTCTACATGGGACCGAGGCCGCCACCTCGTAAATGCCAGTACTATGTAAAACTGCGGCCCGGTTTGAAAGAGTTTTTCGAAGCTATTGCTCCACTTTTTCAGCTACATATCTACACTATGGCCACGAGGGCATATGCGTTAGAGATAGCCAAAATAATCGATCCCACAGGAGAACTTTTTGGTGAACGAATACTTTCTAGAGATGAAAACGGTTCCCTGACACACAAGTCACTCGAGAGACTATTTCCAATGGATCAATCAATGGTTGTTATCATTGATGACAGGGGTGATGTGTGGAGTTGGTGCGCTAATTTGATCAAAGTGGTACCATATGATTTCTTTGTGGGTGTGGGTGACATCAACTCCAATTTTTTACCGCGACAACAAAATTCCATGTTACACATGGGAGGTAGACATCGGAAGAAGGCTGAGGAAGAAGAGCTTATTACGGACATCATGGACACGGAAAGGAAGCTTCAAGAAAAGATAGAACAAGAGGTGAAGAAACAAGAAGAAAAATTCAATAAGATTACGGAAGAGAGCCAGCCGGATCGACCAATTTCCAAAGAGGATTTGGCGAAGAAACTCGAACATAATGCATCACTTGAGGTCCAGCAAAAAAACCGGCCACTCGCAGAGCTACAGAAACATATGCACAACCAAAAACTGTTGATTGACGATGATGATGAACTACCTCATTTATCCAAAATTCTGATCAAAGTCCATGAAAAGTACTACGAGCAACTGTCTTCTGGTGTCAGTTCGCCTGACATCAAATTTTTAATGCCAGAAATGAAGACTGAAGTTTTGAATGGATGTCATTTTGTGTTTTCTGGTTTAATCCCGTTAGGCACCGACGTACGGCAGTCGGATATCGCTCTTTGGACTAATATGTTCGGGGCACGGACGTCTTCAGACATCGATGAGAACACTACACACGTTGTAACAAAAACGCCAGGCACTTTCAAAGCGCGGTTGGCAAAATCATATAAGCCTGAAATCAAAATCGTCCACCCAGACTGGATCTTTGAGTGTTTGGTAAAGTGGGAAAGGGTCAAAGAACAGCCTTACGAGCTGATTACCGATCAAGAAGTGACTAGCAACGAGCTCGAAGATTTCAAACGCCATCTTGAAAAAAGGCGACAAGTTGAATATTCAAGACGTGCAAAAGAGTCTGAAGCTGTGAATGAGCATGTCAAATTGCTTGCGGGTAACGATATGTGGCTTGACAACGACGATGACGAGATGGATGAGTTCTTAAATGAGAAGGATGAAGAGGAAGAAGACGACGAGGACGAGGACGAGGACGAACATGACGATGAGAAAGCGCATAATACTGGAGATATTAATCAGCATCATCGCGGTCAAAATGATGAGTATTCGAGGGAAGGGTCTGTTGATAGGGTCACAGTGGGTGAAAAAAGATCTCTTACACCTGACAATAACTCATCTGTTAAACGTCCCCGTCTAGAACCAAACAACGATATGCCCACATCTTCTCACGACAGCGACTCAAATGAAGATGAAGATCTAGAAGCTGAGCTATTGTTGGAGTTGGGTGATTAGGATTATGCGAGCTACTTTAAGCTACTTTATACCATTGAATTAAGTGATTCAATTGAGGGACACTCATAATGGACTATGATTAGAGCGTATCATCTGAGTATGTTCCTCGTTGCTTCGAGTAGGCATTTGGCAGCCTATCATCCTTTGGTCTATATTATCTTGTAAGTACACCTTGGGTCGAATTGTATTATCTAGCCGGCCCGAGTATTTTCGATGCCAGGCAGATTGCATTTTAAGCATCTCTTTGAAAGTAGTAAGGACGAGAGCTCATCGTATTTGTGTATGTAATTTTAAGGTCAATTGATCGCTTCAGCCATCATAAAATGATTGCTTGGGAATTATTACTAGCGTACACATGAACCCGAGAACATTTACAGAGGCTTTAGGTTTTCAGGCCGGCCTCAACACCACAGATGTGCACTAATATGATGACATTTTACCTATTCCATTTAAAGGGCCAATTAAAAACATAATGTCTTACGGGTACCCACTGCCATGTGAAAGCGTATAACCTGTCATGAAGTTCACACCTGAAGGTATATATAATCTGCGCTATGTCTGACAATCAAGTGGTAAAGACAGGTCTATTAAAAATGAATGTGGATTCCTTGGTATCTGTTTTACCTCCAGAGCTAAGCGGTAAAGTAACAGAATGGCTCAATAATGACCAAAACGAGCATACGAGAAGAGAGATTCTAGATCTGGTTCAGGCCCAATCTTGGACTGAACTGCATAAGCGATTGGATACGAGGATAGCGTTTGGAACAGCTGGTCTACGCTCCAAAATGGAGGCTGGTTTTAGCCGTATGAACACCTTGACTGTCTTGCAGGCATCTCAAGGTCTCGCGAAGTATATTTCAGATAAGTTTCCCGAAAACAAATCTGTTGTCATTGGCCATGATCACAGATTCAATTCCGATAGCTTTGCTCAAGTGACAATTGCTGCCTTTCTGCAACTAGGATTTAAAGTGTATGATCTATGTTCCTGCAGTCGTGCTGGCGAAGAGAACATATTTGTACACACACCACTGGTCCCCTTTTCTATTGATCGGCTGGGCTGTTCAGCTGGAGTAATGATAACCGCAAGTCATAATCCTAAACTCGACAATGGCTACAAAGTCTACTACGCCAACGGGTGTCAAATCATTCCGCCCCATGACACGTTGATTGCACAATCAATAGAAGCAAATTTGCAGCCTTGGGCAGAAGCCTGGAACTGCGCTACTATGCTTACGAATGCCCTGAAAACAGGCCAGCTTGTAGATTCAAAAGCCACCATGGTTGAGCAGTACACGGAAGCTGTGTGCAGCCGGTTAGTTACCACGACCATACGGACTTCTGGTAGCACAGATCCGTGGTTTGTGTATACTCCTATGCACGGCGTAGGATTTGAGATTTTCAGCAAGGTAGTTAAAAAAGCTTGGAATTTACAGGAAAATGTCGATTACCTCTGCGTGCCTGAGCAAAAATGTCCAGACCCAGAGTTCCCCACTGTTAGTTTTCCCAATCCAGAGGAAAAAGGTGCTTTTGATTTAGGAATTGCTTTGGCTGAGGCCAGCGGGATTTCATTTGTTTTAGGGAATGACCCCGACGCAGATAGGTTTTCAGCAGCTGTTAAAGTCCATGGGAAATGGAAGCAGCTAACCGGAAATGAGTTAGGATTCCTTTTTGCCAATCGCGTTTGGCAGGTATACAATGACCAACCCATCGAGTTCAAAGAATGCAACCCGAATCTTGCTCTCATAAACTCCACAGTATCCTCTCAAATGATCAAAAAAATGGCAGAGGTCGAGAAATTCCACTTCGAGGATACTCTGACTGGGTTCAAATGGCTGGGTAATAGAGCCCGAGGGCTGGAAAAAGAAGGTTATTATGTCCCATTTGCTTATGAGGAGGCGATTGGATTTATGTTTTCGGATATCGTTCACGACAAGGACGGCATTGGCGCGCTCGTGATGTTTCTGCAGATGATCTGGGACTGGAAAAACCAGGGTTTATCGCCTGTTGACCTTTTGAAAGACGGATTTGCTCGTTATGGTGTGTTTCAAGAGTACAATGGCTACTACATTGTGCCGGACTTGTCGTTAACAAATACTGTTTTTACAGAAATTCGGCACAGCTACCAAAAGGACGGATTGAAGTTTCCGGCCAAACTTGGTGACGACTTTGAATTTGTCACATTTACTGATTTGACTACCGGGTATCAATCAGACACCAGTGACAACCTTCCCAGGCTCCCCGTGGATCATTCCTCCCAAATGATTTCGGCCACTTTGCGTCCTAACAATAGTGGCTTTTCATCAACGGATTCAGTCAGGTTTACAGCAAGAGGCTCGGGAACTGAGCCTAAACTTAAAGTCTACATTGAAGCTATGTCTTCGACTAAGGAACGTTCAAAAACTCTTGCTAAAGAGGTTTGGGACGCTTTAAAAATTTACTGGTTCAGGCCGGATCAAACAGGACTGACAACAACTTTCTGAACAACTTCCAAGCTCATGTTAGCGGACCGTTCACAGAACTTATCAGTTGCTTGCTAGTCTGGCTACACGGTGATCTCTGACGACGGTGTGAAAACAAAAAAAAATTAAAAGTCTGCCGACATTGAAAAAAATGAACGGCTCTGAAAAGACAGACGGAAAAGTGACAGCTATTTCGACTTTACATGCAGCGTGTGTCATTTCGGGCGATTTGGAAACTCTTTGAGTCGTGACGAATTGCTGCTATAAAGGTATATGGGAGACTGGGACTATTTTTTCTTTTCAAAGACTCGAGATCAACTGGACAGACCGAAAATATCCACACTCTATGACTCGTACATCAATCAAGAGTTATCTGCTGGAAAACCCAGAAGCAGTTCTGGTCCTAGATGGTGGGCAAGGGACTGAGCTTGAGAACCGGGGCATACAGGTGGCCAACCCGGTGTGGTCGACGATACCGTTTATCAATGAGTCTTTTTGGTCAGATCCGGCCTCCAAAGACCGAGAAATCGTCAAGAGCATGTACCAAGCTTTTTTAAAGAGCGGGGCGCAAGTCTTAATGACAGTGACATACCAAGCTAGCTTCAAGTCGGTATCGGAAAATACGCGCATAAAAACGCTTCCGCAGTACACCGAATTGCTGACCAAGATTGTCAGTTTTTCTCGTGAATGCATTGGAAGCGACAAATGGCTAGTGGGATGCATTGGCGCTTGGGGTGCACACAACTGTTCAGAGTTTACCGGAGAGTATGGTCCAGAGCCCGAAAAGATTGATTTCTTGGAATATTTCGAACCCCAGCTGTCCACCTTCAATGTCAGCGATGATTTGGACATGATAGGGTTTGAAACAATTCCCAATTTCCATGAACTAAAAGCTATCCTCTCGTGGGACACCTCCATTATTTCCAAACCATTCTTCATTGGGCTCTCTGTGCATGAGAATGGATTGTTAAGAGACGGAACCACTATGGAAGAAATTGGAAGGTATATCAAATCATTGGGTTCGAATCTAAATCCAAACTTTTTTTTGATCGGCGTGAACTGCGTTAGTTTTAACCATTCGAGCGAGATGCTGGAATCGCTGCACCGAGAACTACCAGATTTCCCCCTAATTGCGTACCCAAACAGTGGCGAAGTATACGACACAGTAAAGAAAGTTTGGAATCCCAAAGAGTCGCACACCTATACCTGGGATGATATCGTGAAAAAATACAAAGCGAGCGGCGTCAGAATCATTGGAGGCTGCTGTAGGACAACACCTAGCGATATCGAGGCCATCAGTGAAGCAGTTCACCAGTCTAGACAGCAATAACAAATTATGGGACAACTGCTTGGGTACCATCTCATGTAGGTAGTTAGGCTGAAGAAATAGAAGTATTACCACCAGAAGAAATTTGCCCGGCTAAGGACTGGCCCAGCTTCAAGAATCTGGGATTTAGCGAGAGAGTATCGTTTTCAAGCTATAGCTGTGATTTACCATATTTTGGCTATACCCTCTCAAATCGAGGAAACATAGTCTGCAGATTGTTTCCATGACACGAAATGAATAGGTACAAGTGTCATTTGTTTTTAAACCAGATCTGGGTTTAGAAAAAACCCTTGTTTTTGGAATTCTCTTGTCTCTCTACATTGTGTGCTCCTGTGGCTAAATTTTAGATCTTCATCTGCCCTTTTTGGTCAAGGTGACAGCAGAAGTGTACGTTTGACAGTCAGCTTTATGCGGTGCTTCTCAGCTCATCTGATTTGGCGTTTTCTGCTGTTTCGTGTATAGTGAGTTAAAGAGACAATTATCTTAAGTGTCAAGTATCGGCTTTTCTTTCGACACGACTGCTTATGTTCACATTCAAAACATACCCCACCAACGCGTTTGCTAGCGATTTATTCAAGGTTTCCATCACTTTTATTCACGAAGAAGGAGATGGCTATCTTGTTTGGGAAGAAACGCAACCAGCTGGAACTCCCAATGTATGTTCTACCAAGAGTTTTGTTGTACAATCAAGGCGGATGATCTCACGAAGAGAACGTGGAAAGTGCGGAAAGTGGATTCTCGATCGTTCGCTCTTGAATTTGATGTTAGAATTGGGGTCTTAGTACTAACTGTCACAATTTTTGCAGCTCTAAAAGCAAACAAAAGCTAAGCCCGAAGCGCAGAGACAATGGTTCGCAATATTGGTTAAAATTGACCCAGTTTTGGAAAAATAACAATCGACTGCTCGTGGTGCTTCTGGTGATAATTGGTTTGCTTTCGCTGTCGCGAAAGCTGGTTTCAAATTGGGGAGAAAGTGGTACTCGAGAACTGCAGGATCTAGAGTACTACGACTTCGACTTTTTAGAGGCGGACATGGAGGCTCTGCAAAAGTATGACAATGGTGCAGATCACTTTTTGATCACCAAAGGCGGGAAGGATGTTTTGCAGCCAGGTGACAAAGAACTCTATGATCAAGAGATAGAAATGCTATATGGATCCACTGTGCAAACTTATAATTTGGACGCCTTTCGCGGAACTACAGAGGGCGCAAAAAACAGGGAACACGTTCTTTTACTGGTACCTCTCCGTAATGCCGAACGTGTTTTGCCACTCATGTTCAAGAACCTTATGAATCTAACATATCCTCACGAGCTGATAGATATAGCTTTTCTGGTCAGCGATTGCACCGAAGATGACAATACACTAGGTGCTCTTATAGAATACTCTAAGGCATTGCAGAGTGGGACCCTCTCGGATCTTTTCGCCGAAAACGTCAGCAATGAGCAACTGTTAAACGAAGAAGGAACAAGACATTTGTTCCTCAAGTATATGCGGCCCTCGTACTTACAGATGGTTGAAAAGGCCTACAGTGCACCATTTCATTCAGGTTATGATAAGCCCTTCAGATCTGTACAAATATTTCAAAAGGATTTCGGGCAAGCTATTGGTCAAGGTTTCTCGGACAGACATGCGGTAAAAGTTCAAGGTATCAGAAGAAAGTTGATGGGCCGTGCTCGTAACTGGCTGACGGCAAATGCTCTGAAGCCTTACCATTCCTGGGTTTACTGGAGAGACGCTGATGTTGAATTATGTCCTGGTTCTGTTATCCAAGACTTGATGTCTATTGGTTATGACGTTGCGGTTCCCAACGTATGGCGTCCACTTCCTGAATTTCTTGATGGTGAACAGCCATACGACTTGAACTCGTGGCCCGAGTCACCGGATGCATTAAGGCTTGCTCAGGGGCTAGATGAGGACGATGTTATCGTTGAAGGATATGCAGAGTACCCCACTTACAGAGTTCATTTGGCATATATCAGAGATCCTAACGGAAATCCCAAAGACGTTTTAGAACTAGATGGTGTGGGTGGTGTTTCTATTTTGGCCAAAGCTCAACTTTTTAGAAACGGTGTTCATTTTCCTGCTTTTACGTTTGAGAACCATGCGGAAACTGAGGCATTTGGTAAAATGGCCAAAAAAATGGGGTATAGGGTAGCCGGCTTACCAAACTATACCCTATGGCATATTTATGAACCAAGTGATGATGATCTCAAAGCTATTGCCGAAAGGGAGCGGGGAAGCAAAAGAACGGCCGAGGGTTCACCTTAAATCAGATGTTCAAATTTACAGGTTATTTGTGGCCCGATCGACATGTCGATAAAGTTAGCAAGTTAGATTAAAACTCTCGATCCAGTATATTAAATTCCAATGTATATTATTCTATCAATAAAATATCAAAAGTTACCGTTGCAAATAGCGTTTTATAATTCGTTGAGTATATCGTTTTGTTCACATTCAACGAATTAGCACTGGTGATTCCCTTTATTTCTCATCTCACTACGCTTCTGAGCTCGAAGTTTCCACCCGCTCTCAATCATGTACAGGCCACTGATCAAAACAGCGACAGATGCGAGACCTATTCCAACATATAGAGCAGCTCTGTAACCCTCCAGCAAATTATCACCTTCTCTGTTGACATAATGCTCCGCAGTACTACCCATGCCTAAACAGATCGAGCTTGAGTAACTAACCATTGTGCTTACCAAAGAGCCTGCCATACCTTGAGATTCCCTAGGTAGTTCGTCGCTCAGGATTATGGATGACGCTGGAAAGGACAAGTCCATCCCAAAACTCAATATAATCATGATCCCCAACGTCATTCTGAAGTAGCTTTGATCTACCGGGGTCACAGATAGCATTATGCATCCACAGTTGAAAGCAACCATTGATGCAAATAGAATGAGCGCCGGACCGCATATATGAAGTGTATAACCCACCAATAAAGCTGCAATGATCCCCCATATCACAAACATAAAATAGGTACTACCCGCCCACAGCGGTGAATAGTGTCTTAGATTCAAAACAAACGACATGTAGTAAAACGTCCAAATGCCAAATGAGCCCCACCCGAAAAATAGCGAAGACAAAATCATCAAAATGCGGCGATTGTGCATCACAACCGGCGGCAGCAATGGGTCTTTTGCATAGCGAAGCTCGTAAAAAACAAAGGCGATAAGCAAAATTAGAGATACCACCAAAAGAACGATCAAGTAAGCTTGGTTCCAGCCGTCGATCGGAGCTTGGTTCCAAACAAAATTCAGCATAATAAGGCCGACAACAGCCAGAAATGAGCCCAGCCAGTCCATTTTGTGTCGCTGGACATTTACAGGAATATTGCTAGGAATAATCCAGACTCCAACGCACAAGTTCAATGCTGCTGTCAATGCATGAGCATAAAAAGCCCATGCCCACGTTCTCGTACTGCTTCCAATCAATCCAGCGAAAACGCACCCAAGTGTCGCTCCAATGGGAGCACATGCGCCTATCAGACTGAAGACCATATTTTTGGCCCTGGTGTTGGGAACATATACGTTGCCCACAACGCCCATCACATTAGGAAGAACGAAGGCAATTCCTAATCCCTGAAATGCTCTTGCAACAATGAAAAAGTCGACATTATGAGCGTACGAGCACAAGCCACATATCAACGACCAGATTATGACCGTGACGTAGCCCCCAACGAGCGTCTTTTTTAGACCGTATATATCCCCCACTTTCCCACTTATCAGAATAAATGATCCCGAGACCATTGGGAAAGCAGCCATGAGCCAAGTCTGCTGTGAAATACCAGCTTCAAGATCGTTAGATATAACGTTAAACAGCGGATTCGCTTGAGTCATTGCCGCCTGATTTAATAACTGTGACATCATGCAAAACCCAACAAACACATACTCTTTCCATCGGCTACTCAGATAATCCTGGTTTTGTAAGTTTGGATTTCTCAGTCGTACCTCTGTAATGATGGAAAGAGCGTCGAAACGATCCTTCACTCCATCATCTGTCAATTCGACATTTTTGCAATCAGCAGCATCTTTGTCACTTGTGGTGTCTTCCATAAAGTATTTCGATCAGGACAGTCGTACAAGAAAAAAGCCCCCGTAGGATGATGTCTTGCAAATAGTACTCCAACTGATTCCGTAACCCGCTATGGACGATCTAGAAGGTAATGTTACACCGTCAAAGTTCCAAGAATGAAGTTGAGTTGTCATAGGTGGAAGACCTAGCCGCTTAATGATATCATGTAATCGTAATCCCGTCGGAAATATATTATGAGTGAATCTTCTGAGTCACGTGAGAGAGGTGTCACTTTACGCTCAAATGATATCAACGCGAATAAAACGGCATGGTGCGCTGGTAGTTAACGAGCCAAATGTCGCGACGAGACCAATAGATGAGTGACTTCACTTTAATGTAGGATGAAATCTTACGATTATATATGTTCTTAAATTAGAGGATCAGCGACCCCATTTTCGTCGTAGTATACTTGCGGATCACCATCCTCTACGCCCAAAATATTGGCAGCATACATAAAGGTAGAGTGCTGCAGTTGAGCCAAGTATTGGGCCATTACGTTGGATCCCGGAATGGCTTTTGACTTTCTACGACGGGAACCCGGCGGAATTGAGGAACGACTAGGGCACACTTCTGGTAGCGGATCGACGACGACACTACTGTTGCCGTCACGGACGGTTTTGTTTGAAGATTTTCTTGTAGCCGCGTGATACAGGCGACCAACAGTTGAGGGCGCCAATGGTGGTACAGCGTCCAGCGATGTGCTTGAATCCATCGGCGAAAGCCCAGTAAATGCTCGCGAACCATAATCCTGTTGAGTGTCGGGAAAGTAGTGTGGCTGTTTTTTGAAGCTCTTGTTATTGTCCCTAAGTTGGGAGTGTCCAGCAGAGTTGGGTGCAGAGACTATGATATCAACGTCCGACGAATCAGAGGAGCCATAGTCACCTTCCGCTGGTTCTCGGAGTGGACTATCGGCATTGCTGTCAAGCTCGGGTGAGCTTTGACGGACTGAAATACCCAACCCCCCATCTTCTGTTTCTATGTGACTATTACTCATGCGCAAATTTTCGCCCTCTTCTACGTCTGAATCTCCGACACTTGTTTTAGGTTTAGGCACTATGATTCCGAAAGCATCCGTCGGTAAAGCTCTGTTGCCAATTCCACTGTCCTCATTTTCCCTTAAATCAGAAGGTTTCTTGCTTTGTTGCTTGTGCATCCTAATTTTATAGCTCGTTTTTTTCACCTTTTTATAATGCTTGGAATTTTTGTTGGCGACGAGATTTTTGTTAACGTTGCCGCAGCGATCCTTACCATAACCAACTATGAGTCCCCGGTATCTTTCTCCGTACCTACCATGGAAAGATTTTTCATTGTTCATGTTATTGGCATCTTCCACTAATTTGATAGCGTGGAGAATGTTCATAAAATTAATCCAGCAGCAATGTCCATCTGGCAGAAAATTTATTTGCTCAATTTCGCCATATTTTCTAAAGTCTTGAAGTAATACCTCCTTTGACGGAAGTTTAAATTTCTCTTTATGAGTTTGGTACTCAGGGTCTTTGATGAACTTGTCTTTGAATGCATGTTCTGGCAAACTAACATAAACGTTTCTACTGGCACCTGCTGTAACAGCTAACGAAATGAACTTGGGGAGATCACCCGAATGATGTCCCCAACCAACTCTCAAAACGTTACCGTGAAGGACAATTGGCTCAATAGAAGCATTAGCAAAAAATTGGACAGCTGCAGCAGCTTCAATGAACGTGAAGAAACAAATTTGTTTCGATGCAATAAATTTGACCTTTTGAAGCAATCCTCCACGCACAACGTTGCAAACATCTTCAACTTTAGAGCGCTGGTTAATATTGCCAATGTAAACTGTTCGGTTGCCCAAGCCTCCACCCATAGTCGTGGCAAACTGGGCGGCCGTGCAATATTGTTGTTGCAATGTTTGTCCCAAGGGTTTGGTCATGTCCATGTAATAAGGATAGCCACCCATTGGATAAGCATGACTGCCAGTTTGATTAGGAACTATGGAAACCATGCTGCCGCAAGAGGAGATGTCATCGATGTCATTGATCAGCACTTCCTGAGGCGCTGGTGATGCAATAGTAGTCGACGAACCGTTTACCGACTCCATGCTGAGTGGTTTAGATGCAGTGTAATGAGGCAGATGTTGTGTGTGAAGCTGCACATAGGGTGGATCATAAGAAGTGGGATGAATAGTGATGGTTTCTCTAATTTTCTTTGATGCCAGTGGCGTACTATCTCTCCCTAGGGATAATGTTGAGATTGACGTTGATGGAGACTTTGGTTCTCTTAATTGGGAGCTTGACAGGGTATGTAACTCCGAAGTCATGGAGTTTAACGCCCTACTAATATAAAAGAACTTTTGTAGATCAGGAACAGAACGCTGATGGACTTTCAAATATTCAAGAGTCTCAATGGCCATAGCAATGCTGATAAAGTGAATGATTGCATAATGACTCCCAAAGTTCTTGGAAACCTTTTCAGTGTTTACAATCTCAATGCATTCAACAACGTATCGTGGCCCCCGGTTGTTGAGAAATGCTAAGTTTTCAAACAAGGATTTTGAAGTGATCTCTGATGAAAACTCTAGAGCCAGAGACCTCGTTGCACCAACTCTCAAAACTTCGAATTTAACATCATGCATAGTGGGCCCTGACATAGGATCTTCCAACCGAACGAAACTGAGAGAAAGTCTAGGCGACTGTAATTCTTTCTTGAAATCGAAGAGCTTTTGCAAAACTCCGTTGTAGAAGTCCAAGCATGTTTCTTGGGTTAAAAAGCTCACTATAATGGATTGTTGTTCAGCATCCACTCGAAAAAGACTTTCAACCCTTTCACTGTCATCAAACTTGGTCAAAAAGTCGTGCAAGCTCAACTCAGGTGATACGTTTGAGAACAGCAGTGAGGGCGTTCTTGATTCATCATCTATCACAGTGGGAGGTAAGACCTCAAACATAATCTGGAATGGAATCTGACGCACGCCGTCCTCACGACAGTAGCTTTCACTGTTACGCAATTTACGCCTATCATTGCCGGGAGGCATACGCAGTGGAAAAGATCTATATGAACTTAGGGGTATTGGGTTATGGCGCCTTGGCGTATGCTGTGGGGACGCGAGGTACGGCGAACTCACCAGTAAATGCGACGGAAGTAGCGATACCCCATAGGAAAGATCGAAAGGTGTTTGAGGAGGGGGTTGGTACCCTTGATAATTCTGGTAGGATCCGATTCCATTATGGGGATGATGTAAGGAGGGCCCGTGGGTTTTTATATTGGCGTTAAGACGCGTGTTGGTACTTCTAGTATGCGTGAACTTCGCACCATGAGCAGAGGTATCGTCGATCATCTCCGGATATTGATCACCAGATAGCACCGAAGAGCCTGCTAAAGGAGAATGAGAAGAACCTTGATGGTAGGAAGAAGCAACCACGTTAGTAGGTCGTGAATTAAGCTGATAACTACCGTCACTTCGGTACTGTCTCTGGAAAAATGTTCCAGAATTGATCCCTGACGCCATTTACCCCTATTGACCGTCGAAAGCTAATGTGAAGAAACGACAAACCTCTTTGACTTCACTCCAATCCCGTCTTATAACGCAGTACTAACAACAGCAACCTGTCTGTGCTATTTTTGGTAGTGAAACTAAATCAGCGATTCCTTGCAACTATCCAGTGGAGTTCAACACGCAGCTTAGCTCCAAAAGCGTCGCACTATTTGATTCGTGGACGATACTTTCAGCAACGCGTACTTGGCGAGCTTGGATTTACCGATATTATAGGTGCACGACGCGCACAATTAATTAGGTCCAAGGTAGCCTGTAAACTTTAGCGGTAATTGTACCAAGTTTGTTGCGCTCCACCAATTTCAAAACGAAATCTATCAACGCTGAAACTCAAGACTTATGAGGATGAGCCAGCTTTCGCCTTGTGTTGTCCTTGTGTTGTCCTTGTGTAGAAGAAAAATGTAAATACTTTCGTGGTTTTTACTGATTTCAGCATAAACTTTTTATTCTTTTATACGGGGTTGATTTGGGCGGTAATGCTGAGTGTTGAATAATGAAAACACCTAAAAAGCTGTAGTAATAAAGCTTTGACATTGGAATCAAATAGAGTAATATCTTTGTCACTGATATATTTTTACCTATGTACACAATTATGTAGACTTGGAAAGTATATTGTTCGGACGCCAAAACTGTTAATACCCGGAGTTCTGCCATTGGAACAGGTCATGAAGATTGTCGTCGCTATTGCTCTTAACACTTTCTTGTTCAGGTTTAGGCTGTTGCGATGATTGGTATGTGGAGTCCCAACGACGTCGAGGACCACGGTGGGGTCTCGAGGGCATCGTAATCGCACTGTCGTCAGGGGTCCCTTGAGTATTGTCGTGGGATTGATGAGGTTGCGATACAGGAGGCATTGAAAGGGGCGCAGAGGTCTGCCCGTTGCGAGCTAAAGCTTGGTTATTTGAAGACATTCCATAAGGCTGGTCATGGGGATTACGATTTCCGGAGTTCTGAGCCGAATTTGGACTCCATCCTAAAAGAGGAGCCAGGCCCAATGATGCATCTACAGCGAAGCCTGATCCGCGTCCCATCACAGTCGTAGGCTTAGTGTTAGCATCGGTAGGTGGTGGTGGTACGGCAGAGGCCCTGCCACTCAGGGTCGCGCTGTTACGATGGCCACTGTTGTTGCCAGAATTTGTCCCGGGTCTTCCACCTGTATGCCCTCCCATAAACATCAAATTTAGTTGCGACGACGAAGCACCCGGAATACGATAGTAGTCTTTGAGGAAATCACCATTGCTAGGCACTCGAAACAGGCCATCGTTGAAAGGGGTCTGAATTTGGTTCGCGGAAGACGAGCCCATGACTGGACCACTTCCAGTGTTATGACCCGCATCTTCACTGAAGTTCTCCATCCCAGCAAGATTTAGGATCGATGCGCCACCGCTAACGTTGGACAATCCACCATCCGTGGTGAAAAAGGCCGATAGGTCGGTATTGCTAAATGGATTACTGTTGAGCACTGGATCGAAATGAAAAGCCTCTGCGAGCGCACTTTGAGCACTGTTCAAATTTTGGTTGTGAAAACCGGGATACAATTGGTCGCTGTTGTCTGCATGGTTACTGTTACCACGCAGATTACTTACAGCTTCTATCTTCACTCTTTTTTCGGCTGGAGATTCACATTCAGAACTAACAGGAGTTAGTTTCATACTACCCCCAGTATTTGAATCTTCTTGCTTTCTCTTAGTACCCATTGTCGCGGACGACCCACCCATTAACTTGTTATAGTAACCTAGCCTCTTCTCCAGCAGCTTATCTAGTTTCTCGGTTTTGGTCTGGACAGGCTGTAGTATAACTGTCACTGCCATATCTAGTAGCATTAGACTATGCCACGATAGCGATCCAGGAATTTCCAATCTTTTGGTGAGTTCTAATTCCTTTATTACATCGAACAATCTTGTTTTGTTATCCTGAAAAAGTGTACCACCCTTGGTGTAATCTAATGTTCCTTTGGCGCTCAAGAGAACTGACTGGGCTTTAATTCTCGGCATGTTTATGGGCAGGGGCAAATAGCGGTTTTTCAAAGACGATTGAACCGTTAGAAAAGTGTTGATAGCTTGCTGTAGCAGCACGTATGAGGAAGAGCGATCCGAGGAGCTATTTGGATCCTCCGAAACTAAGCTAGCTTCGCTATCAACATCGGCACCAGATCCTGCTGTTAAACTTCTAGTTGCAAGGACAGGAAGATGAATCAAACATTTAACCATGAAATAAAGTACCATGAGTGTTTTTTTGTCGCCTTTTCGGTATTCTTGGCTCCACTGATTCGACGGGCTGAGGTCTTCGGCGCTAACAGCGCCGTTAACATCTAGTTGAAACCTCAAATTCCGCGGTAGACTTCTTCGCCAATCATCTAAGGCATTTTCATGGATCAAAGCTATCTGCTGGGTCGCAGAGGCAGTCATGCCACGCTTGAATATAAAGTCGAGAATATTACCCAGTATTTTGGAGAATCGTAGAAGAGATAGAGAGAACTCTGAAGCCTGGCCTTCTAACTTTATCACTTGGTCTGCTAGGCTTACGCCAACATTACTTTCTTCGCTGACGGGAAGTGCACATTCAATTTCTTGATCCTTAAGTAATCGAGGAACACCTAATTGCAAAGCCGAGAAAACGTCCAGATAATAAATACCCCAAAAGAGTAGCCTCCGATCACCTTGTTCATTCTTGCTCATTGTAGAGCCCTCATTGCCTAATACAGCACTGGGGCAACGATGGAGTCTTAATTGCTGCGACATAGATATAATTTTCCCCCTGGCGTCATAAACAGACGAAACATCTCCACTGTTTAAGTAATAAAATAGAAGCAAGGACATTAGCTGGAGTGTCTCGATGGAGGTGGTTTTGATTGTAAAGTATGGGTTTGACTTCAGAGAAGGTATTGCATTATTGTAGTAGTTCATTATTCTTACTAACTTGTGAGATGCTGCCAGTTGCTCGCGCTTAACTTTTATCATCAACCCAAATTGGCACACCACCATCAAAATACAGGCAAATATTTTGTAAGAGATGGATTTACCTCTGTGTGCGAAGGACGAATTGACCTCACCAAAAAAATCCTTGCTCGTCAAACTCGTTTTAAACTTGTCATAGTATTCATAAAACTCGTTCTCATTCAAAATTGGAATCAAAACGTGGCACTCGCCAAAGTATAAGGAAATAAGATTTTCAATCTCTGGGACTGATAATGACTCGTTATCGTTATTAGAACTGAGGTTCAACTTACAGCTTGAAACAAAAAATTCCATTGGATCATCGATCTCCCAAAGACTTTTATCCTTCAGCTGGCGAAGTGCATCTGTATAAGGCACAACGACTTGAGATGGTTCTTTGAGTGCGGCTAGTAATGAAGCACTGTAAATACATTGCTTAGACGTCAAACCGTGTACATTTCCCAAGCGCGCTAAAAGCTGGGGAATGAAAAGTATCTCTTCAGTCGAACGAGGAATCGACAATGCTACTAGACAGGCCAGCTGAGTGGAATATTCATGGTCAGTCATAGAGCTGAGTGCCTTAGCAGCCGGCAATCCTGGTGCCTCATTCTGTTCAAATGAAATAGTTTGGGGGTCACTCAATGCGGTACTCACGGGCTTGAAATGCAAATGTGGATGCGAAGCGTGGCTACAGCCTGTTCCTTGACACAAATGAGAACCCTCGATTTCTTTGTCTGTTGATGACGTTTTGTTCAGCAAATATAAATTTGTGGAACTAACACGCAAAGAACCACCATTGGAGGAAGTAAGTTGCTGCAGCATTTGATCATCCTCAGAAGAGGAAATAGTATTTGGTCGAGATTTTGAAGAGTATCTCGACACCAGCTGCAACTGTTCATCTTTGAGGTCACAGAGGGCGACAAGACGGCGGTTTTCCGCTTCCAGTTCTCGAACGCGCTCTTCCAGCGTTTCAGTATAGCCTCTGGGAAATGCTCGACGTGATAATTTATCGCTTACCTTACATTCGAACCCTACAGCGGCGCACTGTGAACACTGGGGCCTTTTGCCATCGCACCGAGTTTTCTTTGCTCTACATCGGTCGCACGCCTGAGCAACGCGGTAGTTCGTTGAGGGCGTTGCAGATGAATTTGTGGGAGATAAACTGGGAACGTTGTGTATCATGCTAGTAGTAGACCCTTGCCGAGGTTGAAGATTTGCAGGCGAGTGGGACATGGAAGAAGGTTGACTGGAAGGGGGATTCGAACCATTTGACGATTGGGTGTTCATTGTCCGTATAATTCGCGGTGCAAAAGGATCTTTTTCTGAATCGCCCATGATGCTGGTAGGGCACAAAGTGAGCTAGCTCGTGCTACGTCGGAGTGATAGGGTTTGGCCTGTAGCTCTCTCAAATCCAAAGCTATTGTAGTCAAGATAGCGAGAGCCTTAACGTATGTGCAGTGAATATTAAATGGTATGAGTGCAAGCTTCTCTGTACGTCTTCTCGGTGACACTGTGACGGTTAATTGCTCAGTCGAATTACTCGTTGTATACATGAGATGTATGTTAATTTAAAGATTTATTTATATAAAATAGGGAAGTCGGCATATGGTCAAGCACCGTAAACCTCGGCAGAACGTTTGCGGCCAAACATGCTAAGATTGTTCAAAGCCTGGTACTTGGTACTGATATTGTGCGCATGGTACATTGGTGTTTCTAGTCGTCTCGAGATCTGCAATAATAATGTCTTCGAACGAATGTTTATGGGTCATGGTGTTGTCACCTCGCTGAATTTAGTAATAGCCCATCCAGACGATGAAGTGATGTTTTTCGCACCAACGTTACTACAGCTCGATCAGAGACTTGGCCACAAAATTCCAGTGCGCATTTTTTCGCTCACTGATGGGGGTGCTGATGGATTGGGCGAAGTTCGAACCCAAGAATTGAGGGAATGTGCAAAGCTTCTGTTACGTCGAAAACAGCCAAAAGTATTTGTTTTGAATTTCGACGACGGAATGGACGAAGTTTGGGATTTAGAAAAAGCAGCAAGTGAAGTGGCAGCCCAAGTGCCAGATCGAAATCCCATTTTCATAACTTTCGATGACAAGGGTGTCTCACAACACGTCAATCATATCTCCTGCTACAAAGCAGTTCAGATCCTAAAGCACAAAATCCCGAATGGCCTTTTTTTCCGTTTGCTAAGTAAAACTCTCTTGCCGGAAAAATACTCAGCATTCTTACCAGCGTTACTTCGGTCATTTACTTGCAATGAGAAGCTAGTCTTCGTGAATAGCTTCTCGCATTACCTTCTTGCCTTTGCAAGCATGTTGAATGCTCATGTTTCCCAAATGGTGTGGTTTCGGTATGGCTGGTGGCTTTTTAGCTGTTACGTTTATGTCAATGAGTTGCAAGCAATCTGAGGGAAAATATTACTCCCTTGAAATTTTATTCCGTATGTAATATACCTACCAAAGTCTTCCAAGAAGCATTCTGTCCTCTTCTTCTTCGTCAAATTCTTTTTGCTTAAGTTGAGCGGATTCATGGCGTTGTTGTTTCCGCTTCATGTACCTTTCTTTGTGTTCAAAGAAGTAAGATCTAAAGAGGGCAGCGAATTCTCTGTTCGGTGAGTATTCTTTAACAAACCGCAGAGGTTTCTGGTAATATCCCATTGATGCATGCTTTTTCAATACAAGCTTGAAATACTTTTGAAGAACGGCAGACTCGATTGGGGAAAGGGGAGCTTGGTCGCGAAGCTGCGGTGCAAACCAAGAAATTACCTGCATTGCCCCGTTATAGTCGTTAGTCATTCGCAATACTTTGTATCTTTCCTCTAGTAATGGGATGTCCATATCAAGTTTTAGGCACCGTTGATCATGCCAAGTTGTCATTACGTTCCAGCATCCTTTTGACAGTTGACCGTAGGGATCTGATCTACGATCCCAAATACGAGTGCTATGTTGAAAGAGTCGTCTCCAGAATATTCGGTCAAGTTTTAATTCGGGGTATTTGTTAATGAACATGTCCATTAGCTGCAAAGCTGACACTATTTCTTTGTTGTAAGCAAAACTTGTCAGAATTGAGACCAGAACCTCAGAAGATGGAGGAAGAGAAGAAGACACAACTCCATTACTCTTGACTACGCCGAGTGCAATCTCCCATCTCTTAAAAATGTAGTCCTCAAGCATTTGAACTTGTCCCATAAAGCCCAAAGAGTATATTATGGCAGACTCCAAACCATCCGACGATTTACAAGACCAATTGCTTGAAGGATTATTCAAAGAGTTTACCAATGCTAATAATGTTTTTTTATCAAATGCCTTGTATTTGGAGGAGCTAAGCTGACCTTCGGCCGCGCCGGAAACGCGCACTTTGTACCGCGGTACATTGTTCACTCGCCAGCTTCGCGGCAGAGCTCCACAGCGTAATTGAAGGTAATTAATGGCGGTCGGGACATCGCAAGGAAGCTTATTACCGCCAAAGCTCAGAATTTGATCAAGAACAATCTGCGCTTTACCCAATTGAGAATGCTTAATGAAAAACTTGATAAAGCGGTTTAAGTCGTACAGTCGTAGAGGATCAAGTGATGTAGACCTGTCAGCTTGTGTGTAGAGCTTATACAAGTCAAAAACCATTTCAATAGAATGAGCGTCCTTGACAGCATCTGGTACGATGTCCGAATAATTGCTTAGACTCAGGACGCCTTGAACGACACTAGAGAGCTCAATTCTGGTCAGATAATTTTCTGCTAAAAGCTTCTGCCCGAAATTGGGATCCAGTTTGGCCTGCAACGTCAACTCAACTAATATCTTGATGTAATCTTGGGCTCGTATGCTCTCTGAAAACTTGCTGGGTATTAGTCCTGAGGATTTTTCGAATTGGCCCTCATTGAATTTATTTCCAGATCCACCAGTAAGATTGAAGGTACGCGTTCTGCCTCGATCTAGCAATGCATTGTGTAGAGTTTTTTCCACGATTGCGTTCCCGTGTGTCAGGATGGTCCCATTTCTTAGGTCTGTGTCGGTTGCCGGCACGCCAATATTGAGAGCTATCGTACTATTGAAGTTCCGAAATGCTCTTTGAAATGTCACACGTCTTCCAGAGAGCATGATAACCTACTTTTGAAAACTTAACTCTGGTCTTCAAACATGGGCGCTTGATACAAGAATCTTAAAATTTTGATGTGATAGCATCACACACGAAGCGCCATATTGTCAGTATCAAGACTTGTTGACCGGCTATCTATTATGATATGACAAAGGCATATAGACTGCGGTTATGAATATCAGCGCTAGAACTCTACCATTTGTAGACCGTAGTGTAAATAGGGCTGGAGTCAATCTCTTGCCCACTGCAAGTCAAAATGGCGCGTACCAATGGAAAAAACTCTTATTAATTACAGTTCATGGCCACGTAATGTATGCGCACAATATTCCAACTTTTATCATTTCATCGACATTTCTCGTTCTGCACTTAAACTGTGCTAAATTCATTGTTCGCGATTGAATTTAGCACCAGTGTTGCTTTAATTTTTGGATACTGATAATGCGCCAACCATGATCTAAAATGTACTTATTTGGTGAGGTTATTGGCTTAATCAGAGTGTACAGGAAGGTCTCGACGGTTTGCAGTACATGAGCTGATTTGCAATAGTATGAATCCCAGGCACTTATTACGCTCGCCAGGGCAATATAGAACGCAGCACTAAAAATCGCTTGATCCAAGAATAACTTTCTTTCTCGGTCACACTTACAATGCAGGCAAGTTGATGGTCATTGCATCAGATACGAGTTCACACTATTCAGCGATGCCCTTGCTGGATTGATATTCCTCCCATCGACCTTTGCAATCATCCGCGAAAGATGCTTTCTGATGATTGTCTTATGTATGCTAATTGGTTGGCCAAGTTTCCAATCCTCTGCGTCGTAATTTCTGCAAAGTACGCTAAGAAGGACGCAGACTGACATATCTTTCCCATCATTGCAGCAAACTAGAACAGGTAAAGCTTCGCGCAAGTATGATTCTATCAATGGACATAGCGTTATAAGCTGGACGCGTAGAGCTTTAGAGCTTTTCTTTGAGCCACTGGAAAGCTGGATAACTCTTATATTCGGGCTGGGCTCCTCGGTGCCCGTAGGCTGTGCCAATTCGACAGTTTCGCTCAGTATTACAACAAGAGAATATGATGCTAATAATTGTTCCTGAAAAGCTTTGGTGAGCTCTATGTTCGCGCTAATTTTTCCCAGATGTAAGTTATTCGTTAAAGCGTCTGTCACCACTAGTTTGGTGAGATCATGGTGCGAGTGCATAAGTGTTTTGTCGGCATTTAGTTGGCTGACAACGCATCCTTCAAGCACTTCGTCGCTCAGTTGGGGGTCTCTGAATACTTCCACAGATCTCCACAGTAAGCTCGCCGTCAGACCTTTCGACCAGAGTTCATGATCATCAGCAGCTCCTTGCACGTAGATGAACCCATTGCGATTATCGACGCCATCCTGGCATTGGTAGCTGACTGTGCATAAAACCAGCGGAATGAAACCAGCAGCTTCTGGGGCTTCCCACGTAGATGAACTTAACTCTCCCGTAAAGACATCACGCTGAGAGTGAAGCAACGATGAGCCTGGATAAACCCAAAGAGGGCGCAAAATTTTATTTCCAAGGGCGCGTGCAAGTTCCGCGCCGCTGATGACTTTAAGAGCCCTAAATTTCTCCACAAGTTGTGGGATCTTCGCCTCCATTTGAGCGCACTCTTGCCTGGAGACTGTATTCGGCGGGCAAAAAAGAACTTGCTCATTTCTTCTGCCTAAGTGCTCGAGCATGAGGCTATTTAACACCGCACACCAAAGTGGCACCGTTTTACTGAGTGCGTCCGGCATTCTTTTGCCTCGTCTGGTACTGTCAACAATAATAAGGCCACCATTATGGGAGATAGTAGGCAGCAAATGCAGATTGAGTCTTCGGAGACTGAAATCCCATTGATTTGTGTGGCCATCTGTGGATTTGAAATAACTTGTCTGTTTGAACGTCTCCGGGTTGCAATACCATACACCACACCTTTCATTTGGAATAATCGGAAACCTGGGGAATACAGGGATGACCTCCTTTTCCAAAAACGTGTTATCTAGAAGTATGCTCTGTATTCGATTCTTCAGCGATTTGTTATCTTTTCTTAAGGCTTTGTTTAACAAGCCAAGCGTCTGTCGGTAGTTGTCATCCATTCTCCAAAACAGAATTTCAAGCTCAAGAGCTTTAAACTAACTCTTGGTTCTCGAAACACTAATATGTCAGAGCCGCTGGATCCAGCCTTTGTGTGCGATGAGTTTACTTGAAGAACAACAATGATGCAGTTTTATCAACCGCTAAATCTGAGGATGTAAAATCAAGGTATACAATAGTCAGAAACTAGGACACCTTGCTTAAAGAGCTAATGAAGTTGGTTGTAGGTCTCAATGCATCATTCCAATCTTTGGCTAATTATTCATCATGGGAGACGTTTAGTTATTTTTTGTTAGGTTAATTAAAAGATGAGCACTGGGTAAGAGATGAGCTACATTCATGAAATTCAGTTTCGTATGCGCATGAAAAGGCACTTCCACATAGCTTCTAGTGTGCTCAGAAAAGCTGTCAGTAGCCTTGATGATCCAAATACTGTCTCTCAGGCTGCGAAGTTACTGTATCGAAGAGCAGGACAACTTGAGCCAGCTGTCGAAATCAAACGTCCTTCTGAAATTCAAAGTGGCCTAAACGAGCGCTACTATAATAGCTACCTCATACCCTCGAGAGAATGGTGCAAGCACAATGAAATAAATTGGGCAAGTATGAAAGATTGTCTAAACATGGACCTTCGCGCGCTCTCTACTAAACATCAAAAAAACCTTGAGCATTACATTGATAGCAACTTGTTCGATAAATGCAACAGCACTTTTCTCATCGATATTAAAAAGCTTAGAGAGAACTCATTAAATGTCGGGGATGTGGTACTACTTCGATCTGATCCCTCTCAACTATGCATGTGCGTGGAAGTGCCAACGGATATAATGAACCCTAGCTATACTTTCGCTACAGTAGACGGTCATGTTAAGTTTGCTTCGCGTAATTCCGTATTACTAAGAATGCCTTCCTTTCATTCTAAACCCGTGAACTACCTGGTTAGGGAAGAAATCCCATATCTGGACACACCAGTGGGTACAGTCAAGGATAATCCAAATCAGACATTCATATTACCAGTACTAGCGCGCTTGTTGTATTCTTCGTATATTCCTTTTGAAATAACGCGAGCAGCATGGAACCGAATGGCAACTGTAACTAAAAAACTCGAACTGTTGCACCGGTTTCTCCAAAAGAGCGATGGCCCATGGCAGATCTCGTATATTAAACTATGTGAGCTAGTGGCACTCTTAGATCTTCAAAAATGCCGATCAACATCTACGGTTACTTACCTGAATGAGCTGATGGCAACGGTTGGTGTGAGCCCACTACAAGGTGTTTCAGAAAACCTCTCAAACCTGAAGCCGCCTCAATACTTAGATTCCGCAAATTTTTTGGCAACATATTGGGCTCTGGTACAGCAACAGGAGCACTATTTGTGGGGGGAAATTCACCTTCATCGAGCGATGTTGACGCCGATATCGGTTACAGTCTTACCATTGAGATCGCGTCATCTGTACTATGATTCCCTTGTTAGGAAGTTAAAGAAAAATGATTACGCCATTTTCACTAGATTTGCGCATCACTTCAATGCTGGAAATACTCGAGAAGCGCTTGATACGTGTCCTGACATCTATAGAATGCTAATGGACTTTGCAGCAGGAAACTTTCAAAAAAATGGTATTATAATCACAACAATCTCCAAGTTATTTAGGAAACTTGATGATTATAAGTACAGTGATATAACCCGAGACCTATCACATGAGCTTATCCAAAGGCTCAGATCACCTTTGGACGGAAATCCACTTCTGGCGAACGATGGACTTGCATTAACTTCTGTATCTGGTGAAAAAACCATAGAAGACAAGATATATGATTTTGCCTTACCACTAGGCTCTCAAGATGTTACAAACCGCCACAATTTTCAAGACATGAGAGTGTACTGTATCGATTCAGCGGACGCACATGAAATAGATGATGGCATTTCGATCGAATTCAAGGGAACTAATAGGTATGCGCTACATGTACATATTGCAGATCCTGTTTCCCTGTTTGGAAATACCTTTGACAAGTGTGTTGCGAATGAAGTATGGAAGGTCGCCCTCGCTCGCAGCTTTACATGCTATCTCCCAGATTACGTGAAACCGATGCTGCCGAGTACATATAGCAAAGCTGGCGATCTTGGAAAAGATGGAAGTGAAACCAAAACACTTTCATTTTCAATCGATGTCGAGTGTGAGGACGATCACCTCCAATTACTCGAGGACACATTTCAAATTCGTTTAGGCACTGTAAAACGATTTCCAAGGGTGACCTACGATAGCGTAGATAAACTACTGGCAAGCAAAGTTGATAGCACAAATGAGGAGTTTGTAGAGTTGAGCGCCATTTACAAAGTGGCAACTCTTCTTCGGCGCAAGCGTGTTGAAGACGGTGGAGCGATTGTATTTGGCGACGGCTTTAACAAGGGCCTGGTGAAAATAAAGGATACGGGAACTATGGAAAGAGGTGGCTCACCCGCCATTGAATTCGAAGATCAGAAGGTTACCCCATCAACGTTAATGGTGTCAGAATTGATGATTTTAGCTAACACCATGACGGGCAATTATTTTGCCACCCACGGTATTCCCGGAGTCTTCCGCTCTTATAAAGAATTGGCCTTGAAAGGTAAAGCTTTCGAAGGGTATGAGCAGCTACGCTCTTTGACCCGTTCTCATGATCTCCCTTCCGTCAAAGATATTGCCAAACTCTCTTCACTATTGAACTCTAGCTTTTACACTGGCCATGCCTCAAACCACGATATGATCGGCGCACCTGCCTATTTGACTGTTACCTCACCCCTCAGAAGGTTCCCAGATTTGATCAACCATCTCCAGCTCCATGCTCACCTTAAACAATGGCCCCAAAATTTTTCACAATATGCCATTGATGAAATGCTTTGGCATATACAGTCTCGCGACGTAATTTTGAAGAAGGCCGCCCAGCACTCAGCCACTTGTTGGACGCTAAAGTATCTAAAATCACAGCAGCATAGACGTCCTGGCGTCCGCTATTCTGTCATGATCACCTCAGTTCCACAGATGGGGTTGGTGAGATGCGTCTTACCGGACTTGAGTGCCGCTCGAGGCGTGCTAAAATTACGACCTGAAATCGCATCCAAATGGTCGATTGGGGATGTCGTACACAACTGCAAAATCACAAAATTAGACTGTCTGGACGGTGTAATGGAATTAGAGGTACCACCAACGAATTGTGACGGAAACTAACAAAGCTCGAATGCACATATAAACACATATAAACACGAAAATGCTTGTAAATATCTAACGTTTGGCACGATAAACAGTGCAGTGAACTGCCCCCACTGGGCTCACCTGAATAAACTTCGATTATCAGCTCGTTAATCTTGTTGTGACAATAATTTCTTCTGGGGAAAAGACGCATATTATAACAATTGTAAACAATAACAAACTTTCTGAAATTCGGCCAGAGAAAGGCATCATTATAGGAATATATTTTCGGTCTAGGGTCTAAAAGTTTTCAGGGGCATTTGTTGGTCCGGTTATGTCAAACATGAACCCCCACACTCTCGACTTAAGGCAAGCACACAGTTATCCACCTCACTTGAGAAATTCACCGAACTTCCCAGCTAATGCGGTATACGTTCCTGTCCCGCCGCATGCGCATTTCATTCCTGTTTTCCAACCTCCTCCTATGGCTGCGTACAATAACGGGGCCGAGAAGAGAACTCTCAAAAATACAAGCCCACTGCGTAGATCCATTGCGTTAAATAACACGAGTCACCAAAAACCATCCCCAATCAGCAAAAGCTCGCGATCAATCTCTAATACAGGTGTTAAACTGGCAACCGACAATGCGACGTTCACTGAGCTAAAATCTATTGACCAGCTGAAAAAGCAGGACATTGCAAGCCCTTTTGAAGAAAAGTACATGGAAAAACCAATCCGTGCATCTTACGATAGTCCAACGATAAATGTGACATCTGCGTCCTCAGATGTGAAGATATACAAATTGTCAGAATTGCCATTCAGGCAACCGTCACTAAAGAGTGACGCGTTCATGCGAAAGAAGATCGATGCACAACAAGATTTGTATCGCCAGAAACAACCAGTTGGGCCTGCAATTGATGTCGACTTTGGAGCTCGAGATCTAGCAGAGGCTGCGAGCACGGTTGAAGGGCCAGCAACGTCCAAGGAACAGAAACTTCCAAGGCCCTCAAAAGCGAATCCTCTGGCCAGGGTAGCTTTCATAGAGTCAAGTGAGCCAAACGACAGCGTAGACTTGAGCTTTGACGGAAAAGCAATGAACCGCAGCGACGTGTTTAAGATTGTGGATTCATTCTGCCAAGCCCAGGACGAAGGCCAAGAATCCTATAACAACAGTACCTATGACCACGATGACGGCAAACACGATGAGATCACTGCAGGCTTTCAGAATATATCAATTTTGCCCCCAGAGATGACCAACAACGGAGCAACGGAGCCCACACTGTAGAGCCTCCACAATAAGCATACTTAATAATCCACCATTAGTGGTTTTGTGGTTCTCGACACATGCCTCTTCAAAACTCAATACTTTCGCTATATACAGGTTATATTTGACTGCCTATTGCACCTATACCCTCTTTTCCACCGTGAAGCCAGGGTTAGACTTCCTCAGCTCACGCTGCTGCTCTTTTGAAAGTGCATGCTCAGTAACTTCCACGTTTAGCACTTCTTTGATCTTTGCGATGGAACCCGCGATGGAGGGCGAGGCTTCTCTATAGACAACGGAACCGGTCTTGCCGAGACCAAGGCTCGATGCAACGCTCTTGCTAGACTTCGGAAGCCCTATAAGTGATCTTTTGAGGGTAATTTTGTAAAACACCATAATCGATAACGGTGGGCGCACTAAGAGTGGATGAATCCAATTTGAGTTCATCAACTGAATATTCGTGATGAATAGTAAGTTGACAACTGCTTAATTTTCATTGACGTTCGCGAGTCCAAATGTACTTTCCATTTGGCTGAGTATCTTTGTACTTACTCAATGGGAAGTTCCATATAACTTTAGCTATAATGGTTATGAACCATGGATACGTCCGCTGCAACGTATACCAAAGCCGGTCTGTGCTAATCATACCTCTTCAGATAATCATTTATATTCAATCGGACTTGCAGCTGCTTGTCGGAAAATGGCAACATCAGTAGAAGAACAAAATCTTGCGGAAACCATCAATAATCAAATTGACGAAGACAAAGAGAAGCATGCCAGCTCTACCAAACGCAATCGTTCCAGAAACAAGACGTCTAGGGGTTCTAAGGGCTCCAAGGTTAGTCCCGAGCATATTGCAGAGGTCCGTGCTAAAAGAGAGGCGGCCAAGAATGCTAGACGAGAAGAGATGATCGCCAAGGGCCTGGATCCTGATTGCCCTCCAGATTTGCAGTTTATCCGGCGACCCGTGCTTGCCCTAACGCCCAAAGATACGCCTCAGAAAGATTTTTCGTTTAGATTGATGACTTACAACTGCCTCGCACAGGCACTCATACGCCGGAAATTGTTTCCTACCAGTGGCAACGCCTTGAAGTGGTTTAAGCGCTCCCAAGTGTTGCTTCACGAATTCAAATACTACAAAGCAGACGTACACTGTTTGCAGGAGGTTGACTACATACAGTACCAGTCGTTCTGGAAAGAAGAGTTTGCCAAGTTGGGGTGTGATTCTCAGTTTCACAGACATGGAACTAAAAACCACGGCATCGCCATCATTTGGAAACGAGACCTATTTACAATGTCTGACAAAATGCTTATAGATTATGACAAGGAGTCATCTGGGGATATTGAACCCCGCACCACTACTAAAAACGTCGGATTGGTGGTTGCCCTCAGTTTTACGAAAAAGGTGCTCGATAAATTCCCTCAAACCCAGAAACGAGGAATCTTAGTGGGTACGACGCATTTATTTTGGCATCCCTTCGGTACCTATGAAAGAACAAGACAATGCTACGTTCTATTGAAAAAGATGAAAGAATTTCAACGTCGAGTTCAGGTGCTACAAGGAAACAATGGCGATGTCCGGAACGAATGGTCCTCTTTTGTATGTGGTGACTTCAACGCTCAGCCATTTGATACACCTTATTTGTCTATGGTTTCCAAGCCTATTAGTTATACGGGCAGAGCGAAAACAGTGATCGAGTGTAGTACGTCTTACACATTTTCCAAGGCTCGAGACGGGGAGGAGTGTGATAATGAAGATGGAGGGAACATAGAGAAGTACGGGGATGATCAGCCGGAAACTCCAGTCCCTGAGACTTTTGAAGCGACGGCAGCGCAGGCAGAATTGGTCAATAGGATGGCGGCGTTGCATAATAGCTTGAACATGAGAGCGATCTCCCTGTATTCAGTCGGTTACAAGCACGTTCATATCGAAAATTCAGGCTTAAACAATGATTTCAATGAGCCTGAAATTTCAAACTGGGCCGATACTTGGAGTGGGCTCCTTGACTACATTTTTTTGGTCAAAGAATGGGACTTTTCTGAAAGGCAAACTCCAGATGGAATAGATAAATTTCAAGAAGAAAATGGTATCAACATCAAAAGCCTGCTGAGGATGCCTCCTGCAAAGGAGCTACCAGACCATGGTCAACCACATGAGGGAGAATATGGTAGTGACCACTTGTCCATGATCAGTGATATAGGGCTGGTGATGTAGGACTGAACAAAGGATCGAACAAAGAGGGCACTACAGTCCCCTTACTAGGCAGGCAATTCAAAAGTAGTATACAAAATTTGAGTCATCACGCGAAAAGTTTACTTCTCGCTATTTTGACGATTTCACTTTTTTCGTGGCTTTGATTTTATCTGTGTCGTAATCGTATTCCTCGTTGTATTCTCTGTTGTAGAGAGTATTCCAAGCCTTGACATAATTGCTCAACCTTGAACGAGTCGGATCTTCAGCCTCGGCAGACTCTAGAATTCTATTTCTCAGTTGGTAGAGCTTAACCAATGTATCGTCTTCTTGAAGTAATTGCTCCGTTGGATCAGAGTTGTTATTTATTTCGATCTGCAGCAGGTATTCGCGAAGTAGCTTGAAATGCTTTTGAAGAGTAGGATTTCTGAAGTCGGAAGGCTTATATGGTCGACGCAAGTTGAAATAACTTATGAGCGTTTCTGTAATTTTACACATCTGATCGAAGTCTTTACCACTCAGCACTTTATCATGGTTGGTCAAAGACGGGAACTTTCGGGTCTCGTCCGCAAATGGAACTCTGGTTAAATAAAAGCCCTCATTTTGATCTTGTGGGTCGGATGGGCTCAGCACATAAATGGATGGATTTGAATTCGACTTCAACTTACCCCAAACGATTGCAGACTTCTGTTTCTTTCTGAGAGTGCGAAATAAGGAGCTGAGTGTCTTATAGGAGCCCTCATAAGTACTTTCATCTGGAACTACAAAAGAGCTATTGGAGATATTATTGAAGAAGAAAAGACACTGTGCAGTATGGCGGAATCCTATCAACTTTAAGAACGAAGGGTGCTCACAAAATTGCTCATTAATTTTGGTAACTTCTTCCTCCGATAGCTCTATATCTACCTCAGCAAATTTATAGACCCTGGTCAATGAATGAGTGACATCTTCGCCCGTGTTAGCATTTAGATATCGGCGTCGGGGCTGTACTTCCTTCCGAAGACCGTTATGGTCGTAAATTTGCTTGTACTTGGTACCGGCTCTTTCATGAGCTATCACAGTGTAGCCCTTCACGGAAATTAGGAAGTTACTTGCTTCATCTAGAATCAGTGGACACTGGAAACGGATTCTTTTAATTTCTTTTTTGCGTAAGGCGCGAGATTTTATCCAGTTAGCCGAAATTGGGGCTGTACTAGGTCCTTCGAACTCATATCCAGTATCCGACACCTTCTTTTTAGAACCAAATTTTAAAACATCGCTGTAGAAACTTTGGTCAAAGGGCTTTTGTTCGCTCCCCAAGAAGAAAGTGGTGAAATTGATGTAACAGTCGTCTAAGTCATCGACCACCTTACGAAGTCTCAAACGTGCATCAAGGTCCTCGGCCTCTTTGGGAGAGTCGTTGTTGGTGAACAGAAATATCTTTTTATTGTTGTAAGCTCTTTGACCCGAGACTTGCTTCAAAAACTCTTCTTGCAAAAGAATAAACACACTTTCCAAAGGAGTTGAGAGTGTCTGGTCAAGTGGGAACTGTTCGTGGAGTGTAGTGCTTCCGGATCTTATGTCGTCTAGCAAATCGTTTAGTTTCTTCATGGCTCTGGCATTGACGTCTTCTAAGGGCATAAATTCGTAGATTCCTCGGCGAGCGTTCTTGTTATTGCACTGGAAGAAAAAACATCCAATACCCGTTCCAGGTAGCGTTATAATTACTTGAGACATGAGCTCTAACAAGGTTTCCAGAATTTCAATTAGCTGAACCTTGTTTAGATCCGCTGGTTTCTCAAACATGGCATTAGATAACTCAATACAAAATATGATTCCTTCGTGAACCTCATATTTCTTGTATTTATTCATCTCTTCTGGCTTCGAATTAACCCCAAATGACTCATTCATAGCTATCGATTCTTGTCTTCTGTTTTACCGACGCCTTTAGCATATGATAGATAGTATCGCCCTTAACAATGCTAATTATTAAAGTTGTCAAGCATCAACAACTTGCTCGGACATAGAAGCCTGAGGTAGTTAGGATAGAAGGATGCTCAGAACTATTGATTTGAACATAGTTAGTAATGAGAATGATCTTCAGCCAGTAATTATGGACTGTATACGAAATCGCAGCCTTATTTTACTAAAGAACTACGCTAACATGGAAAGCGTACTCGCATTGCAAACAATACTAAGCAAAGAAGGCATAGATACAGATCAAGGTTTTAATGGTAACTACACAGGATGCGAACTCTTATCGAATGGCTCAAGTGTAGAACAATATGTGGGCACACCAGATGGCATGGATTTTCAGAAAACTGCAATGGGCCAGCTTGCATCACGTCTAATGCGAATCGCGACGTTTTTTGCAAGTGCATGCGTCTCTGCAGTTGACGCTAGCACCTCACTCAGTTCAATGGATGGTCGGAATAGATTCATCAAGGTTACTAGATATCATAAGCCTATTTCCAAATCGGTCCTGGACTTAGAGTTCGATTACGAGGATGAATATGCCATTCACCAGTCACCTGGAATTATATCAGTTTTTCCGACCGCCCAGGGAATTAAGTACAGGCAAGGCAACAGGTGGGAGACTTTGGAGGAGCCAAATTGCATTCTGATACAGACTGGAGATGTGCTATCTCGATTTTCGCAGGGACTCCACACAGCAGATCCAATCAAATTTTCCACTACTAATACTACCCATTTGACAATTTTCCCATCACTTGAGACTGAAATAGCTTCGACAATGGTCTCAAGTTTACTTCTGAGCAACCAACTCAAAGAGTTCCCGGAGATCGCGCAACGACTTCACCCCATACAATTTGCTCAAGAGGAATTGAAAAAGAGAGTTGATTTTTGTAAAAACATCTTCTATGTCAGCGAATCGGTGCTTTCTTTATACTCAATTTCCAATTCTTTGTTGACTTCGGCGCCAGAGCTGCGCACAATTCTGCCGCAAATATCCAACATGTTGAAACGAAAAGTTTCTCAAGAAGACTTTCTGAGAATGATGACACTTTGGAAAGAGGCCTATGTGTTGGAACTGAAGAATAACCTCGAAATTACTATACGACCTCCACCGGGTGGATTGCTCAACACTCTATCAAACAAATCTAGGAAACTGGAGTACACTCAAAAAGCGGAGAAGTGGTTATTGGAAATATCTGCGAGCTCTGAAGTCCCCCAAAATGTTCCTATGCTTGCTATAAAAAAAAGAAGAGGAAGCGATGGCTCTTATGAAGCGCAGGTCTCTAGCACTGGCGAGATGCAGAAGTTGACAAGGCCAATGGCTCAATTAAAAAAGAAAAGAAGTAAGGGCTATATAGCCAACACGAAGGACAAGTTTATGTTCAAGGAAGATAAAGCGGATTCGGGAAATATTTCGTTATTGGAAAGAATCCGCGCGAAAGAACACAGAGCTGCTGCTCTGTTGTCACAGAGAGAACGTCAACGTGAACAATATTTTAATGTCAAGACATTTCAGGTCTTTGATATCTTATTTTCATTGCCGCAGGATAAACCATATACAGTCACTCATTTGACATCTCTTATTGTTGACAGTCTTGCTGACAGTAATAATCCAATTGGTGAAAACGAGACATCAGAGGTTCTGATGCGGCTGCAACTCTTGCTCCAAGATAGAATCAATATGATTGAAGCAGACGGCTCGCTGAGGGTATTCCGTTGGGTTGGTCTTGATAGGTCTGTACTTGCAGAAAGAATGTCCCTTTGAATTTTACTGGTTGTTAATAAGAAGGGGATTTATCAGCGTTAGGCATTGAAGATACTCTAAATGACTCAACATCCACAACATCCGAAGCATTATTGCCACTCCTAGAGCCATAAGGAATCGAGAGCTATAGGGAGTGCCGCCTTTTGATTAATATCACGATCCATTAAAACCCAACAGCGTCAGCAATTAAAGACACACGACCTCCATCATATAGTCTACATCAATTTTTTATGAAAGCTGCAAGATACTGATTAGGACAACCAGGCAAATAGGGAACTAACAGAAGTCTATGCCACCGACTTTGAATTAATAACTAAAAATGTAAGTGAGTATCGACAAGATATATCAGAATTGAGCTGCTATAACAGATAAAACGGATTATGTAGAACTACGTTGCGCAATATCAGCGGCCTTAGAATCCATGAAAAAATGCTTAAACACCAATTCGACGGCCCAACTTCCAAAAAAGTCCACAAGTAGCGTGACCGTAAGCTTGATTTTGAAGATATCATCCATGGGCACAAATTTCATTGCCGCGTTCAGTTCAGGAGAGAACTCAGTTGCACCTGCCAAGGCAAGGCCACCGACTCCTAGAAGACCGTAGTACATTCCTTTATTGCTTTTAATGCTCTCTCTGAAAGGCTCACCTTGATAGTTCACCGCAAACGTGGACACCTGTTGAGTTAGCTGAATCATGAAAATACCCGTGTTCAACAACGAAGGACTGAAAGTCTTTTCTAAATCGACTTGAGGTTCTCTAGGTTCGATCTTGTAAATTTCGAGAGTGATATAAATCAAAGTGGCAATGTGAACCGCAAACTGACCCAAAATTGATCCCATAATATAAATGTTGAAAATACCAGGCTGCGGTCTGAGCTTTGACAATTTCTCCAAAGGTTTTCCGCGAGAAATACTGAGAAAACAAACCGACAATAAGAGACCTGAGGTCGTGGCTTGACTGTCGCCAAATTTCACGCCCGCCAAATAAATAACCGAGAGAGAATAAGCACTAATCAAACAGTTCAAGGCTAGAATTTTGTACATTTGAATAGTGTTTATCAATGCACAACGCCCTTGTCTGATAATATTCGTGACAGCAGAAACATTTGTGAGCTTTGAAGTAAAGGGGGCTGCACATGAAGCATCACCTAATTTCAAGGTAGGTGCGTCCTCACTTTCAGCATCACCTAGTGAACCCATAACCATATCGGCCAAATCACTGGCCTTCTGTTCAGGACGTGCAGACTTCTTGGCAACAACCGGTTTGGAAGCTGCTTCAGCTGCCAACTTTCTCATATCATCCGTAATCTGAACACCTTTCTTTTCGAGAGCCTTCAGGTAATGAGGGTTGGATGGGCCGGCAGGGTATAAATGGGCAATTGGCTCGGGCACTGGAGGGGCTGGTTGGTTCCATCTCTCCATAAATTGACACTGCTTCTCGTAAACACCTTTCGCCGCGTCAATGCGGCGTTGCTCGCCAATTTTCTTCAAGCCCTCTTCAGTTCCATTCAGTAGAGCGATACCTACATGAGCTTGCTTCAAAGCCCCGACATCATTCGTACCATCACCACACATTAAAGTTTGGTATCCCATGTCTCTCAAAGAGTTCAAAATAAATTCTTTTTGGGAAGGCGACACACGAGCGTAAACCCAGGTATGACGGATCAGCTCTTCCAGCTGATGATGACCGGCTAGAGCTTTCAAGGCATGTCCTGTAACAGCAAGGTCGTACTTAGCGAAGATCTCAGCGTGTTCAAATTTGTCACATGTGGGGTCAAATGGGATAACAACAGTTTCACTTACATTTCTCAGCACTAAAGCATGTTCAGATCCGTCAATAGGCTCATCAACTATCAGGCACTCCCTCTCAACAATTCCAACCTCTTTAGCAACGTGAACGGCAGTTAAGGGGTTATCACCAGTGATCATTACACAACGATGAGAGGATTCATTCAACATTTTAATAGTCTCTGTCGCATCTTCTTTTAAAGGGCATTGAAAAACCAAAAATCCCTTAAAGGTTAAACCACATTCCATTTCTTTGCGATCAAGATTATCAATTTGTTTGTTAGATAGGTTGGACAATTCCTTGGAGGCTAGAGCTAGAACTCTAGAGCCTGCACGAGTAAAATGCTTGTAGATGTGATCGTAATTAGATGGAACAGTGGTGAGTCTTTCACGAATCGTTTCGGGGGCTCCTTTAACAGCAACAAATGTCTTGCCCTTGTGCTTTGCGACAGAGGATGACCTCTTTAGAGCAGAAGAAAATTGAAAGCGGCGCAAAATCTCAACTTGGCCAACGTTCTCTTTCGTAGCAGTGTCTTTACTTCCAACTTTCCACTTAAAAGCCCGTAAAGTGGCCTTCTCCATTGGATCTCCAACAACTTCACCATCATCCAATAAAACGAGAGCGTGAGCAGCGCCGATAGCCAATGTAGTTTCCAGTGGAGCCTCACCCGCCGATGAAAGCGATTGAGACTTGTCGGCCTCTGCAGAGATCCCTGCAAGCCCTTCAAAAACAAGATCTTCGCCAGTCAAAGTTCCCGTTTTGTCAAAACAGCAAACGTCTATTCTTCCTGCGAGTGGAATTCTGAACGGCTCCGTACAGTAAACATAGAACTTCGAAAGAGCGGCTAGAGATGTGTTAACCGCCATGGTTAACTCCATTGGCAACTCTGGAGGAACAACAGAGGTGATAATCAAAATACAATCAACAATAAGTTTGGACTGAATTCTTCCCATTTTCGTACCTTCCGTCCACACATACCAGGAAGCAGCAATGGCAAATACTAGTAGAAATAGAATGAAGTATAGGGCCTCCTTGTTGCCAACAGAAATACGCTCCGCCGAATATATCATAACACGCACCAAAGACCCTTGAGAAGTTTCGAATCCCGTCTTAGTGACAACAGCCACAGCACCGTTGTCTGGAGTAGCCGGTACACCAGAGTGATGTTCTGGTTTATTGACCTGCAAAGCTTTGGTACCACCATGTAAAACTGCATTCTTATCGAGTCCTTCAACCTGTAAACTTTCATCGTGAGGCCTCAACTTAATGGATTCTTTCAACAGCGGTGTGGACTCACCGGACAACATCGCTTCATTTACAATACAGGATCCATCAATGAGGATGAGATCGCAAGGAATAGCACTATCCTCAGCGGTCCTGGTAATTGAAACGAGATCCATGGGTAGCAACTCTGTGGTCTGCAGCAGCTTCCACTTACCATCACGTAGCACATTGATCGGATATGGTTTCACTCCCATTGTTCTGAATTCTCTCAAGGTGGAGAGCCTTTGGAATACGCTCGCGCCCTCCATGGCAACAATCATAAACAAGTTGAACAATGAGTAGTACCACAAATCATCTAACAACCACAAACAAACACAGAATATTTGGAACACAAAGAAAGGTGCAACCGCGTGCTCCTTGAATAATTCCGTGAAAGATGGAATTGGGATGTCGAAGGAGTTTGTTCCATATACTCTCCGAGCATGTGTTAGATCGCCAGAGTGTCCCTTACAGTTCTGAAACACTTCAAGCTTGGGTGCTTCATCAACAAGAAACTTGGGAGTAGAAAAAACACCTGTTTCCTGATCAAGCAAAAACCTTTTCTTCTGGAATTGAAAGAAAACCTGCAAGTGGCCAGCCTCATTCAAACGCTGAATCTCAACAATATCATCGGCGCCATTGTTTGGAGTGGTTTGAACTAGGATATGAGTAGCCTGTTCAATGGAAGCTGAGCTCGAATAGTTGAATCGTCTGGCAATGTCGACATTCCAGTGCGGAAGTAGCATAACCAAAATATTCAAGGACAACAGCCCGCCGAGGTATACGAATGTCCACTCGCCCCCTTTGATGTAAACTTCATACTCGTTGAAATACAAGTGTGCAAAGGTCGCATACAAAGGGAAAAAAGGCAACACATAAGGTCTAAAAAGCGCATCTTTTTTTAGCAGAAGCTTTGAGTCTCTGACCAGCGTGCTTGCCACCGGAGACTTCATTTCGAAATGCGCTCGTCCAAGTAGCCACTTTTTGACACTCAATGCTATTGAGCAATGATCCAAAATGTGATAAAAAGATGAACAGCAGATAGAAAGTTAGTGTGCTCCCTGTCAGCCTAATATAGGTGTAACGAGTCCAACTTGATGTTGAAATATTCGGCAAATCGATCGACTTATATTTGCCACGAACAAAGTCATAAATCACGACCTCGCTTTAGTCACGAAAGGTAAGCCGCGCAGAAGAAAGGCAGGTGAACAATCAAACGGTCCTAGCAGATTTTCTGTAGAGGATAGAAGCTGAATATACTTTTGGTTGGTTTGATGTGTCCCCCTCGAGTGAAGATCCTCATGGAGGCCAAGTATTTTTTTTTTTTTAGGTGATGGTACCTGCTCAGTGGTGCGAAAAAGACTCCATCTATAGAATCCCTCTTCAGCCTGGTCCGCTTTTCTATCTTAATGCCATTCATGGCAATTTGCGAACTTGGTGTCTGCGAACTAAATGTAGGGAGCTGTTATCAGTATAGTACTAAGCGAGGTAAGTTTGGAAGCATGGTGACTTGAACTTTTGTCCTTCATATTCCGACATCCTTTGCGCTCACTGGACCCACCTTATGCACTTTTCGCACCTTCTCCATTGGTACCACTTCTTCCAGCGTCCAGGTTGAAACATTAGTTGAGCAGGTCGGGTGAAGGAGCGCGTGACTGTGATGTTGTAAACCGTTTTGACTCGTTGAGAGGATATCCGCCTTCTCTAAAAAGTATGTAGTTGTTAACTAAGCCTGAATCCTGTAGCCGCCGATACTTGTCGCCATTTTAATCAATCTCTCATCACGTCTGACGAGCGTATGTGCTCAACTCACAGCGCTACACGGAAGAGTTGAGATAAAACCGGATGCCCTAACGTGAAAGATTGTTGTTTGTTTATTTGCTTCAAACTCTCCATACTTTTTCTTCAGCAACCATCAGATTATTTCTTTCACTCATGATTTTCAAGCCAGCGAGATACTCTGGGGCTGAGAATTTATCTTCCTCTGGTAAATCATCATTGATCTTGTCTAACAACGATGCAACAGGGTAAGATTCGTCTTCAAAAAGGTCTGACTGCATCAGTTGAGCCATAATACTTGAGAAAAGGGAAAGTCTACTTGTACTGATGGTTCCTGGCTCAGTGGATTCTGTAGATACAAGCTCGTGTTGTCCTTGGGCCGATGCGGCAGAAAGTACAGGTCTACTGCGAAGATTCTCAGACGCCGACAAGATTGGTCTGCCATCCTCAGTAAGTGGAAAAGCGGATTGCCCCGTGGGTCCTCTCCGTCTAGGCGACACGCGTAGGCCGCTTTCAAGTCTCCTTTGCAATTCCTTTTCTTGGTCCTCAGGCAAAGCACTCATTTCAGCCTCATCTTCGTCAATGAACTCGTCGTCATGTTCCAAACTGACATTTTCATCACTTTCATCTTCAGAGAAAATTTGCCCCGTTCTCAATTTTTGCGTCCTAGTTGGTGTACTGGTATTCAGCAATGATGCCCTAGTGGGCGACGAATCAATATTTGCAACTGGGTTGATCGTATGACGAACCCGCTGCTTTTTCCGCGGTGATTTCGTGGGAGATCTCTGAGTGTCATCGCCAGCGTCAGAATCAGGGCCAATTTCGTCTTCACCCAGTAGAGCAAATTTGAGGAGATAGGCTGCAATACGCGCGTCCTTACGATCAACAGTCTTCGAGAGCCTCACCTTGGCATGGGCAGATGCCAATCTGATCAGGGTCTCTAGCGTTCTGGGGGTGATTGGCGACTTCTTGGTATTTTGATCGTTTCTCAAGTCCGAATAGGTCTTTACAATCAAGCTGGTAGCGTCCTGAGTTAGCACAGGCACAATTCTTTCTTTGGTGTACTGGACGTATTTGCGTAAGAACGGGATTGAGACTATTTGAGGCAACTCCGTACCTTGGCGATTGCCTCTATTTCTGGCCAATTTAGCACCCGCATGTAGTAGAGGATTAAACTTCTCAAACACTTTGCCCTCATCATCGTCATCATCTTCTTCTTCATTGAGCACTTCGTCGTCACCCACAGAAAGCGAAAGATTGATGGCTTCTCGCAAAGGTTCGCCTTCCAGGTATCCTGGAGGCAAATACCTGTGCGTTCTCAAGACATGCTCACTGATTGCTCTGTCTGTGTTTTCATTAATGTCATCAGTGACAACAAATAATAAATCGAATCTGGACAAAAGTGAATCTGGCAACGCAATATTGTAGTGTGGATCTTTGTTTAAATCATATTGACCAAAGACAGGATTCGCAGCCGCAATTACACTACAACGTGCATTCAATGTGGTGTGAATACCAGCCTTCGCAATGGTTACGGTTTGTTGTTCCATAACCTCATGAATTGCTACACGATCTACGTCGCTCATCTTGTCAAACTCATCGATGCAAACGATACCTCGATCAGCCAAAACCATAGCACCTGCTTCTAACCGTCTCTCTCCTGTTTCTCTGTCTGTAGTAACAGCAGCGGTTAAACCAACGCCTGAAGATCCGCGACCTGTTGTGGCGATGGCCAAGGAAGCTGTGTTCAAAACAAATCTTAACAGCTGAGACTTTGCGGTTGACGGATCACCTACCATTAAAATGTTGATGTCACCCCTCAAATGAGAACCATTCTCTAGATTCTTTTCAACACCACCCAATAGCATGAGCAAAATTGCTTCTTTTATGTGTTCATGTCCGTAAATTGATGGGGCTAAAGACTGGGCCAAAAGGCTAAATATATCCTCCCTTTTTGACAGCTTATTGATGTTACGAATATCAGAGTCCGAAAGAGCTTGTCTCGCAGCCACACCGGTGGACCGTGCGTGTAGAGGGTAAACTGTATTGGCTAAAACCATCGTCTTGAACCCCGACAGTGAGCCGGATTGGTCTGCGCTTGAACTCAGACCTCCGCCCCCAAGTGATTTGTAAATCCCAACAATATTAACTCTATCTCCTGGCTTGGTTTTGTCGACCAGGTCTTCGTCCATTATCACGTCAATAGATCTAGGTAATTGGCCTGGGGGCGCCTTTTCCGGCATTTCTTGCACTGTGATCCGCTGGTGGTCAATGTAGTTAGAGTATCCATACTCTGTGGTGAGTCTGTTCCCTTCGGGGTCCTCGGTTGGATAAATAGCAGGGGTTGGAATCTGGGTAGTCAAACTCGTGGTTGCATCTCGATAGTCCCTGTAGTGAAAACGGCCAGTCTTTTCAGCGTAGTGAACAGACCTTAGTAGCTTTGGCCTTACCAGTGATACTTTTGTTACAATGCCCTCGATTGAAAGGAGCTTGTTGAGGTGGTGCGAGTTTAACGTTCTGGGCGACAACGCATGCGCACCGAACGAGCCACGAAATGACAGCTTCCACTGCTGACTAACATTTAGGTTAGCTCCCAAAGTGGATCCAGATGGACCCTCTTCGAGTGTCATAGCTGTTTCGCTCACAGCTCGTTCTGCAGCTGGAACAAATTGGGCAGGGGAGTTGAGAATGCCTGCCCAAAAAGATCGATCAAACTCCCGCAAGTCGTCCAGCGACACAGTAACCCGCTGTGGGAGCTTCTTTCCATCGAATTCTTGTTTCTTCTCGGTCTCATACCCGTCTTTGGTGTCCGCTAGATTGTATAATTGAACTGACCTGATGGAATCCTTGTAGTTGGCGAAAGTATCCAAAAATTCCTGGAAACGGCGTACTCTATCGCTGAAAACCGCGTCTGGTGTCTCACTGATGGCCCCGTCCATGTGTAATACTTTTCGCGGTTAGTGTCAAAAGTCAATTGTCCCGTATGCGCGGGAGAGTTTCGAGCTTGATCTGCTTCGTGATGAGCTTGAAGTCTTGGTGTGAACTTTAACACTTTTTTAATTTGATTACCACAAATGGTAAGATGTATTGAAAGCATTGGCTACGATTGTGTCGTTATCCAACTTAAGTTAGCAGGGGAAGTATGTATAGATAAGTGACAGCGGTCTGCGTTTCGAAGCTTGGTCCACAGCTTGGGGTGAAGATTTTGATTTCAACACACATTTTGGGTGTGTCCGATACCTCTTTGTTGTTTTGATTTTCCAAACTCGGACGGCCACTATCGATGACGGTAACCAATATATTTTAGCAGACTATATAATTGAAACCGATCTTCACCTTACTTTCAGAATATTTGTAGATGAATTTGACAATGATGTGATTTTCGTTGGGCTCTATCGTATTGAGCCACTCTTGCGGGCGATTGGGGTTGTAATGGGATTATCGGGGTCGTACAGACGACTCCGCTTTACTCGAGAATCTCACATCCTTCATCCTCACATTGCAGCTTAAAAAACATAGCAATAAGCATGCCTTGTGCCCAAGGGCAACTATTAACTAAACGTTTAAATACATGGTACAAAGATCTGGAATAAAGACTGGAGCTGCACGGCAAGCGCTATCGCAACACACTTCCACCCGTCTCCTGACGAGATGTTTAGTCGGATCTTGGAGCCTCCTTGCAAGAGATGGCGGCTTCTTCACCCATGGCGGAGATGATGGTGACCATCAAGTCCTTACCTTCGTCGAAACCAGATTGGATTTGCTCACCGATGTCACCGTCTGGGGTACGGACGTCATCCTTGGTGTCACCGTCAGCGGTCATCAAAGACAAGAAACCGTCGTCAATGTCCAATAGTTGGTATTCAGTTCTCTTGACGTTTGGAACATCCATGTTGTGGGTGGATGGAGACAAATCTTCCAACTTCTTACCAGTGAAGATGTCGATGGCGACCAAGTGGACCTTGGCGTGACCGTGCTTACCGGTCTTGGAAGTAGACATGTCGACAATCTTGCATGGTCTGCTCTTGATGACAACGAAACCGTTCTTTCTTAGAGCGGAACATTGCATTGGGTAGGTCAAAGAGGAACCGGCATCGACGGTCTCAAAGGTGTGTTCTTCTTCAGCCATTATGTTAGAGTTGGATATGGGTTAAGTGTCTGGGCTATAAAATCGAAAGAGCCAAAACCTAAGAGAAGTTTTCAAACCACTGTAAGCGAAGCTAGGCCCGTCCCAGTCTAACCTCGGGCCTTTTTATACTCGTGAAACCCGATTCTTGGGAAAAAAATTTTCATTCCCACAATAAACTTGATTTCTGGCCCCCATGGCTCACGACCAAACTTTGGTAGGACAGAAGCTTGGGAGAAGCCCTGGACGAATACGTGGGTGGTGCGGGTAACCGCACCTTGGGCTTGCTGATTCGGGAACAAAATCGGTGCTTGAGGTGTCTGACTGGCGGGGATCTTGTGAAGAAAGTGCTTCTGCGGTACCGGCAGGCCTGATACCAGGCGCACACGTGCTTGTTGGCGACTGGTAAACCTGGAATGAGCGTAGTCCTCGATCACGTGACGTGATGGGAGCGGCAGACGCTATGTTTGAGCACCGTGCTTGTACACTCGGCGATGGTATTAAAGATCGCATATATCTGGTGCCAATACTCATTCATTGTGCTACTCTGTAGTGAGCTCTAACGGGGTGGGTAATAATTAGGTACAGACCTAAGATTTGAAGAGGCCTCCCGCATAATGCTCAGCATGGCAAGCCCAGAAGTAAGCGCCTTGGCAGCTCACGGTGGAAAGCCAAGGCGCCATTAGTGAAACAGGGAAGCTTTGGAGGTAGTACTGTTTCACTACGACAAACCTGCGTTCAGTCAGTATATGGAGTTGATCTCACTAGTCAACGTTGTTGCCTACTGCAGCGGTGCAGATTTGTGGAAGTGATAAGCATATAATCTAATACCCATGCTCACGCAAGCTGTTTTCCCAGCTTTGTCATTTGGGTTTCTGTTCTCTTCCAGTGCCATTTCTCAGGCCCCTTTGCTTTATATATGAAAATTCACACCTCGGCGGCTAATGTTAATATATATATAAATATAAGGCATGAATTCAGTGTTCAGTCAGAACTCTTTACATCCTAAGAGTTATAACAGCGAGAATTGTCAAAACAACAAATGGGCGGGAACGTGATCCACCTACAACCTTGTGCGCGACCTCCTGGAGGGAGAAGCCAGTTAGCGATGACTTACAACAGGCCCCTTTGCTACGAAGTAGCATAGTTGTTGATCAGATGAGATGGGCCACTGACTGGTATTAGTGTTTGCATATATGTTAGCCGCGGATGGGAAAATATGTCAGGCAGACTCATCCAACTGTCTCGAACCCGACCGTAAAACTGGTAGCTCCCATTCAAATATGACAGGTTTGAATTTCCTCCTTATGTATTATATGAAGCGAAGAGTCAGCACCCCTCAAGGATTGTGACAGTGTCGTGTCCCCCGCCCCAGGTATGCTTCCACGGTGATCTTACCAGGGCCAGCAATGAGACTATATTCAGTCGAAAGAAATTCCACATAGCTCACCCCTATGATACTCACCGTCCTCTCAGCAGGATGTTGGTGGGCTTAACGATGAATGTCCGCGTGTATCCACCCAACCATCGCACTCCCCTTTCAAAGTCCGCATTTAAACCCTGATGGTTTTTGACAAAAATCCTTCTTCGAGCTATACGCCTTTAATCCGCGTTTGCTGGAGGCCGCTGCTGCTGCTATGCTCGATTGCCACTTGGCCTCATCATCCTTGGCGTGATGGTCTTCACTGGCAGGAGCTGGCAAAGCAATTCCATATTGTCCGCCCGATCCAAAAAAACAGCATATATCCCGAAAACTGACAGAGACTCCAGGTGGCTTATGAGACCCCAGCCATATACCGCTTCATCAATCTTGCGAGCTCCCAAGCCTGTCTGTACAATGCGCACGCTGCTCAAATTCAGCATTTTGGCCCAGTCTCGTTGATGTGTTACCCGCTATTGGATGTTTCGTTTGTGGTGATCCTCATTCTGAAGTAGGCGATCATCGCCAATAGATTTTTCCAATTTTGAACCCACTCACGAATTATCCATGTCAACAAAATAGCCAGAATTACGCTTAACAGCAGAAGTGCATTCAAGGGCAACAAATTCCTATCAAAGGCCCTACTATGAAGCATTCCACGTCGGTGTCGGTGGCGGGCTTTGTGATAACAGTGCTGATTCTCATTCGCCTGTTATTAGGGGGAAACAGCGTTGTCCGATGGGCGTGGCCACCTATAATCGTGTTTAACTCTTACGTGCCATCGTTCGATCAAGTTCCCAATGTTCAGTATTATGACCTCCGAAACTACGCAGGTAAAGCCGACGGCTGGCAGAGAGGCGACCGCGTGTTGTTTACGGTGCCCCTCAGAGACGCAGCTGAACATTTGCCCATGTTCTTCGATCATATGGCTCAAACATCCTATCCGCACAACTTGATTGACCTTTCTTTTCTCGTGAGTGACAGTTCAGATGACACCATGGGTGTTCTTTTGGCGCATTTGCAGAGGGCCCAGTCGCAACCGGACCGCAGCAAACGGTTCGGAAATATCGAAATCTATGAGAAGGACTTTGGCCAGATTATCGGGCAATCTTTCTCCGACAGACACGGTTTTGCTGCGCAAGGTCCAAGAAGAAAGTTGATGGGTCGTGCCCGTAATTGGCTGGGTTCCGTAGCTCTCAAACCGTATCACTCGTGGGTTTATTGGCGTGACGTGGACGTTCAAACGATCCCACGCACGATCTTGGAGGACCTGATGCACCATGACAAAGACGTGATTGTTCCCAACGTGTGGCGTCCATTGCCAGACTGGCTCGGCAATATCCAACCTTACGATTTGAACTCGTGGCAAGAATCTGAGGGTGGTTTGCTATTAGCCGAGTCGCTTGACGAGGATGCTGTGATTGTGGAGGGTTATCCTGAATACGCGACATGGCGTCCACATTTGGCATATATGCGTGACCCGTCAGGGAACCCTGAAGAAGAAATGGAGCTGGATGGTATCGGAGGTGTGTCAATTCTGAGCAAAGCCAAAGTTTTCCGCGCTGGTTCGCATTTCCCAGCTTTTTCCTTTGAGAAGCATGCCGAAACGGAGGCTTTTGGAAAACTTTCCCGCAGACTCGGTTACAGCGTCATTGGGCTGCCGCACTACGTGATTTGGCACATATACGAGCCTTCTTCGGATGATCTTAAGCATATGGCCTGGATGGCCGAAGAGGAGAAGCGCAAATTGGAGGAGAATAAAATTCGCGAATTTTATGATCGCGTCTGGCAGGTGGCTTTCGACGATGTTCGCGACGAATGGGATACGGAGAGACTACAAGTTATGAAAAATATCGATCCAAACGTCATGGATCGTCGCATCACCGTCGATTGGGACGATATAGATGACGAATACCCAGAAGATGGCAAGCTGGCACAAGGTGAGGATTCCCTATTAGAAGCCGATGATGGAGACGACGGGGATGGCAAGTCTCAGAAGACTAAGCCTCAAGAGAAAGACAACAAAGACACTAAGAACTCAGATGACAAAGATGCAGAAGAGGGGAAGGGTGAAGATACGAAAAATCGTCCCGATGAAGTGGAACAGCTAGAGTTTGATCCTGATCGCTAAGCACCGGTCTCCTGGACTTTTCTCGTCCGCTTCTCTTCAAGCACTAGCCTCGGCATATTTTCCTGCATTCCTTGGTTTTTTAACAGTTGTATCAATATTATAGAGTCCCCTTACATACAAACATACCTCTTATCACCAATAGACTAGCATGGCTCTTGACTACTGAGAGTACAATATTTTAATAGCAGAATTGCGATGTGGTATTTTCGCATCTCTGGTCGAGCCTCTAGAGGTGGCCAAGACGTTGGCCAACGGCCGGATTGGCCTTGAGTTGATTGTTGATTTCCTTGTCAAGGTTGACATCCATCTTCATTTCGTATGGAACGCCAGTTTGGAGAGGTGGCAAAATGAGTACTATAAACTTAGCTTCGACAGCTAACATTTGACTCTCAGCAAGTAGACAAACCATCCACTACAAGCATTTCCATTCGCAGTATCTTCATTCGATGGTCAAGATCAATTTTAAAGATTTCAAAAAGCAAATTGTCGCTCTCGAATTAGAGTCCAATGCTACCATTGGTGCCGCTAAGCAAAAGTTAGCCGAAGACAAGAACTGTGAAGAGTCACAGATCAAACTCATTTACTCAGGTAAAATACTGCAAGATGAGCGTACAATCGAGGATTACAAACTCAAAGATGGTGATCAGGTTATTTTTATGATATCCAAAAAGAAGTCTACCACGACAAAGACTACGCTTCCGCCAATCGAACACAGAGAGGCTACGGTGCCAGTCCCCCAGGTCCCCAGCGCAGACCACTCAGAGCAACCAAGTGCAGCCACTGATGCTCCCGTTGTCAATGCTAGTACTGAATCCTCCTCTGGGACCGATGCAGGCTTTGTTACTGGCTCTCAGCGCAACGAGACCATTCAAAGGATCATGGAAATGGGCTACGACCGCGAACAAGTAGAAAGAGCTTTGAGGGCTGCATTCAACAATCCAGATCGTGCAGTTGAATACTTGTTGATGGGAATCCCAGAGCACTTGCAGCAGCAACCACAACCACAGCAGCAAGTCGAACAACAGCAACCACAACCACAACCACAACCACAACCACAACCACAAGACCAGGGTGGTGACCAAACACAAGGGTCAGAACAACCATCACACGCGCATTCTGCCCAGCACCAGGGTACCTCTGAGGAGTCCCATCCAGCTTCGGCGGATGATTTGTTTGCTCAAGCAGCTGCAACCTCAAGCACCGGTGATGCTGGCGAAGATGCCAATGCGCCTGGTACCATTGGCCTCACGATGGAAGACCTTATGTCTCTCAGACAAGTGGTTACTGGAAATCCTGAAGCTTTGGCACCACTGCTTGAAAGTTTAAGTACGCGCTACCCTCAACTTCGCGAACAGATTATGGGTAATCCTGAAATGTTTATTAGCGTGCTATTGGAGGCTGTGGGAGGATCTCTGCAAGAGGGTGATTTAAATTTGGAAGGGGGCCTAGAAGGTGCTCTTGCTGAGGGTGGTCCTGAAGAAGGTGAAGCGACCGCAGATATTGAAATAACCCCGCAGGATGAGGCTGCAATTTCAAGACTGTGTGAACTTGGATTTGAAAGGTCGCTTGCGGTCCAAGTATATTTTGCATGCGATAAGAACGAAGAGATCGCCGCCAATATGCTCTTTAGTGAGTACGCAGACTAGTTCTTGGACACGCCGATTATTTTTTTTTTGATTACGGGTACAGTGGGTAGATATGTGTAAATAACTCTAATGACATTTCAGAGAATCTCCATTACTGGGAGAGTTCACCAAAATCTGTGATGGTGTCGTAGTCGGATGCATTGTCTACAGGGTAGTTGCCAGGCCGTATGGCTAATTTTGTCTGCATACCACATTCTTGCGCAGCATCAAGTTCGGACGTGTTGTCACTGATGAACAGAACTTCTTCTGGTTTGCATCCAATTTCTTGGATGATTTTCGAGTAGGATGCGGGATCTGTCTTGATGCCGGTTGTTTTAATGTCGTAATAGTCTTTGATGTGTGGCCGCAAGTCGATACTCTTATCTGCGGCGCTCACATATTGTAAGAGTAGTTTCTGTGCTTGAACAGAGCCACTGGAATAAATATAGACGGATCGGTCGGTAGTCTGGATATACTTGATAGCATCTGCGTAGACGGGTGCAGCTAGTTGGCCACCGGCGTAGCCGTCATTCCAGACCAGGCCCTGCAGTTGTTTTAAGATGGGATCCTTGATATCGTGCGACACCAGACGGCGAATATGGGATTCGACATCATCGACGCCAAAGTCTCTTAGTAACTTTTGAACCTTAGGATCCTCCGATTTGAGAAGGGTTTCCACCTGCTGAAGAAAATAAGGGAACAAAACCTCCTTTACAAACACAATTGGGCATATTGTACCCTCAATGTCGAGGAGCACTGCGGAGAGAGGCATCTGTGGACTTCGAAGTGCAGCGCGCTCGATATTGTGATGGGCGGAGGGTGGTGCACTTGGGACAGTACTATGCTCGTGGCATATGATGTTAAGTAGTCTTCCTGTTATAGCGACAACAGCTAAAATAAGACACACGTCAATCGAGCCACCAGCACCTAACCACCCACCGGCTGTCTCTTCTTTTTAGAAGTAGCTGGAGTCTGTCAGCTACTGAGTGGTAGAAAGCTAGTACTGTTAGAATAGCGTTGAGTTGCTACAATGTAAACATCCGATTGGTGTCATAATAGTAAAAAGTGACACTAATTACATCAGTAAAACAAGACTACGCAAGAGGAGTAAATAACTAGTGGGATCCGGAAAACCCTTTCAACTATTCAACAGCCCATAAAGGTATATAATTGATAATACTAATGGGTTACTCTTGACTCTATGTGGCCATCCTTCACTATTTTACTCAAAAGCCTTGTTTTGCAGTCAAAACTTTAAACTAACCACAACTCTACTCCCATAAATTTAGTTCAAAATCATGTCTTATAAGAAGTTAGGGTCATTCGCTAGCCGGAACATACTGGATAGCAAGTACACAACATCCGGAAGCTACCGGGTTTATCCATCCCTCGGCCGTGGCTCCAGCACACAGTCACTTTACACATTTCTGGCGCGGTGACACATTCGTACAGAGAGACATTAAACTGTCAAGTGCGACATGAGCCACCGTCCAGAATCGGATTCCCACGCATATGCATTTTCCAGTAGTTCCGTGAAGTCACATTCCCACTGCAGTTCGTCCACGGTCTGCAAAACCCCGTCTACGAGAAGAACAATATGTCATGGCCCACGGACCCGATTGCTCCTTCGCCTCCTGCTTCGGGACGTGTCGTGTGGCCTTCGTGCATAATCAACCTGCCGGCGCTTCACCGCGCGCCCTACTGGGCTTTGAGCCTGTCCATGTCGTTTTAGCCACTCTCGGCCAATCACAATGTCCATCTCTTGAAATTTTCCCTACGGCTTAAGAAATTTTCGCACCATGGGATCCCAGAGATGAAGCCATGCGATGCCCATAAGCGAAAAAAATCCCAGCAGTCAATCGCTCGTGTCGGTGATTGGTGAGCTTGATGGTAGCATCCTGTGTGTTTGGGCCGATGTTTCCGAAATGGTGAGAAAGCTATAAATTGGAAAGATTATTCGCCTTGCTTGACCTAGTTGATTCTCTTTCATTTGTTTATCAGTCAAACTACCATCTTCAATAAAATAAACTCAAAAGACAATGCCAGCTCCATACAAGAAGGGATCCGAGAAGAAAGGTGCCACTTTGTTCAAGACCAGATGTCTACAATGCCACACCGTTGAAAAGGGTGGCCCACACAAGGTTGGTCCAAATTTGCACGGCGTTTTCGGCCGTCAGTCCGGTCAAGCCGAAGGATACTCCTACACCGATGCTAACATCAAGAAAAACGTCACCTGGGGTGAACAGACCATGTCTGACTACTTGGAAAACCCAAAGAAATACATTCCAGGTACCAAGATGGCTTTCGGTGGTTTGAAGAAGGAGAAGGACAGAAACGATTTGATCACCTACATGCTCAAGGCCTGCAAATAAGCGGGAAAACCAGAGCGATGACCAAATATTACGACACGAGAGCCGAGCGCCCCGTTAATATTTATACACTTGGAAAAGAGTTCGCCTGTAATTAGTATTGATTTGAATATAGATTCCATAATGACAAAAGAAGTTCAAAAAGCATGGTAAGCGGTGTTTACAAAATGGTGCACTTGAGAGCAGGTGTATTGCAGTTTTGAAGATCAATCTTTGACTGTCGCGTGCAACTATGAAGTGTCGAGCGTTGAGGGGAACAGTGGTTTTAATCATGCTCATCAAGCTCTTAAAGGTGGTTCGGAATTGAGATACTGAGATCGTCTCGCTGTCTCAGGTCTGGCGCATGCTTAATTGTCGATTTCTGATGGTCGTCTGTCCACGCGGCTGCCAGCATCGCCGTTAGCAGATCAAGGTAACTCAAGCCGTCCGCTTGGGCAGCAATGGCGGAAAGTGAGTTCTGATCGTCGCGACCAGGCCGACCGGGCCCTGTCATGTTCGGTTTCATATTCAGATCGAACAGCCGATAAATGCCCTGATGGTCGGCACGGCAGTCGATGCGGATAGGCGCCCGTGCCTCTACCAACGCCGCAGTTTTGAGACACGCTTTCAGCATTGACCTGACCAGTGGTTGCGCTAGCTTCTCGCCCGAAACCGCCAGGCTATTCTGCGAAACGGCAACTGTGCCATTGTAAGGAGCTACACCACCAACGTGGTTAACACGACAGACAGGTCTTAGTCCCCAGAAGGCAGCGGCATCCAAGGGTTCCTGATTTCCTTGTCGGTAGCGCGATTTGGGAGGCATTACCGTCACCGTGAGTTCCTCACCACTAAGGTACTCTTCTACAATCAAGCTTGATCCGAAATGGCCGGAACTGAGTAACGCTTCAGCTTCGATCTTGAGTTCGCTTAACGATTCTACCCGAACAACACCTTGACTTCCGCGCCCCCGTATCGGTTTGAGTATCATCGGAAACGCCAGGCCACATACGGCGAGGACAGCTTGGTTCAAGTTTTCCAGAGAGATTTCTGACTCGGCCCCATATCCAATTGAAAAGGAACGGGCAGCAAATATACCCTCTTTAGATAACATACGATTTGTTTTGAATTTGTCGTCAAATCTTTGAGCGTTGACTGGAAGCTGTCCGATAATTTTGACCCGATCCATTACTTGCACCAATGGATGTCCAACGAAGAGCACTGTATTCGCCCAAATGATAGTTGCTCCTTGACGAATTGCCACCTCAATACCCTCAACTGTATCCGGAAAGACCCAATCGAGCGCACAGGTGGGGTCGGGCCGTGGAACTGGCGTCAAAACTTCGCGTCCGGCTCTTTGGAGAGTAAAGCCTATATCAGCACCGCTATCCGAATAGCCGCCCGGTTTGGGTTTCTTGCGCTGTCCGTCGATAACAGGGGGCTCGAGCGCCTGGAAGAGGATCGCGATCCGTTCTTTCTTGAGACACGGTGCAGTCATCATACTAAAAGTCCGGATATAACAAATATATAGACATAACCAGTTCAAGTGGCAGATGATCCCTTGAGTGAGCCAGAATTTCCAACCAGAATGACCTCAAATCTATCGTACAGCTCGTCACTCTTAAATGTTTAGGCTCAACGTGGGTCTACCTTGGCCTTAGTTCGGTCGAACAATTGTTACTGATTGATCCAAATGTTTTGGATATAATAATGGCTACGCCATAAAAATTGTCATGATACCAGATTTCCGGACAGGCATACCCGATACTTCTCAATGACTAAGCCAGCCCGGCTATTTGACTAGATGTTGTTTAACTGGTCAGGGATTATGGGTATGATTATGGGTATGATAATTTATCAACTATTTAGACAAGAATTAGTTTTCATTTGACCAGTAATAAGAAAGATCGACTAATTAGTTCATGACACATTTTCGTAACGATTTTCCTGCAGTGGGCGCTGTATTACCGCCACTTCTTTGGCAAGACTGACACGGTATCGGGGAGCAGAAGTACTTTGGTAGAGCAATTCGTCCACCATCTAACGCTGAGAGGGTTCTTAACGAGGCAGCTCTCACAGGGAAAATCACACAATAGCCGATGCCAGTCCTACAACTACTGCAAGTATATGCATGAGAGTGTTGGAGCCCACCGAAAAAGAGGCCGCACCACCAGTACTATTTTGAGTACTGGAGCCAGTTTTGGCACCAGAGGTGCTCTGCATGTTCTGAACAAATCCGGTTTGGCCCTCTGAAGAAGCCGAAGAATCGCTCGTAGAAGCAGCCGCCGCATCTCCCGTGGCGGTGGAAGTAGTGGACGTTTTCTTATGGTTTGCGCTTTGCGTTGTAGATTTTCTAGACGACGTGGAAGAGGCGGATGAGGAAGAAGATTTGCCTTCGTCTGGATCAAAGCCAGTGTCGGCCAATGACCCCATTACGGTCGTATCGTCGGTGAATTCAACACCACTTAGCGTGAAGTTCTTTCGGTTGACATACTTGTATGCATTAGAACCGTTCTTGGTGGTACCAGCAGGGGGATCGTAACAGGTTATGTTCACACTTTGCAACCTGGCATAATAGTATCCCGGATCTTGAATATCAGAGGCATTCCAATCAATTTCACCACCGGCCCAAACTTTTGTCCAGTAGCTGCTAGTGTTAGCTCCACCGGGCCACAGCGAAAACTGTACACGAGAAGGTGTTTGCGGGAAGTCGTAGTCACCGGAAGTTGCGTTATAGGTGGTGTTTTTATACAGGGTTCTCGCAACCTCGCCGTCCACAATCCACGAAATATGATCCTCATGCCAGTCTACTTCGTAGTCGTGGTAATTGTCGAAAGTGTTGGTGGTTGAAACGTTCGTCGAGTGAGTCCAGTTCAAGCCACCCTCAAAGTAGTAATTCGTTTGTACGTTCGTCAAATTGGAGCCAATAAACTCGTAGTCCACTTCGTCCTGCACGGACGAAAACAAAATGAAGGCGGTGACGACACCCGCCCTGTGTGATGACTTCATACGTGCGCTTACTTTTCCGTACCACATGTATCTGGTGGAAGACATGAGGGTGCTTGAATCCTTAGGCATTGCCAATATCAATGCCTCATCGTCCGTGTCGTCCAAAACGTGCCCGTCGTAGATCCAAGCGTTGGCTTCAGCATCACCCAAATACGAATACTGGCTCTTCATCTTACTACTGTAGTTGTTGAAGATAGTTTGCGAATCCTTGCAAATTGGCATCGGCATGCATGCAGTCAAATTGTAAGAATAGCGAGGATCACACCCACCTAAACAGTATGAGCCGCTGCCGCAGACCCCGTATTGCGAACAGCATGGCATGTCGTCTGGACAAGCGCCAGCCGTCGAATTACAATAGACCACGTCGTCATCAGAAGCTCTGACGATCGAGGCCAATACGGATATAGCGCCAAAAAACCAAAGTTTACACCACATCCTTGCCAAAGTGGAGTAAAGTCAGAAAAAGGTCACCAAAAAAGGTATTCTAACCGAGGGCGGGCCACTTTGGAGTCTTTCAATTGAAAAAAGGTCCAGGCTTTTTATAGCGCGATGCCCTCTAAATTTTTCGCCTCGAGCGTCAAGATTTACCGTCCGTCGCGAAAAAAAAATTTAGCTGGTATTTCCAAATTATAACTACAATTGGAAATTTGGCTTTAATTTCGGAGTGTGAAGTGCAGATGCCGCTTTGGGCTTTGTCAGTGTGTTTTCGGAATCGGTCGTGTAATCGTCCTCTTCCTCGTCATCCGAAGGGGCCCTAACTTCGGGCTGGTCTTGTTTTTGTTTTTCTGTGTCGCTAACATAGTTCTTTTGGTTCTTCTGGGACAACATATGTGCAAAACTTTTCTGTGGCTCGCGCGCGTTCCAATTCAACGTCCTGCTGATACTGTCGATAAACTCTGTAGGGCTAGATTCCAAAGTGGGAAACGAATGCGGACTGGCAGTGATGCAGATGTAGTCACCTTTGAAGAGCTCCACACGATTTTTACCGTCAAAAGCAGCCCATGCGGTGGATCTCGAGTTCAAAGGCACCTTGACCTTGAGCTTCATGCTGTCAGGTAAGATAATGGGCCTGAAGCTCAAGGTGTGGGGACAGATCGGCGTCACAGCAATGGCATTCACGCTGGGATAAACTAAGGAGCCTCCTGCACTGAGGGAATATGCGGTGGAGCCTGTGGGCGTCGCAATAATCAAGCCGTCGGCCTGAGCCACCGTTAGCAGCGAGTTGTCGCCAAAAACTTCCAGCATCGAGATGAATGCACTCGGGCCCCGATCAATAGTGAGCTCGTTCAAAACATGGTATTCCCCGATCATGCTGAACTTCTTCCTTGGGCGACTGCCATCTTTGTTGCACTTGCGCTTGCGGAATACCCTACAAGAAAGCCGCATTCTCATTTTACTCCTGATCTTAGAGTTCAGGACCCGCGGCAAGGATTGTCTGAAGTTTTCGTAGTTGAAATTCGTCAAAAATCCCAGAGACCCGAGAGAAAACGACATCACCGGCGGAATACTTCGCTGGAACAACGAAGATACATACAGCACGGTCCCGTCACCGCCTAAAGTAATAATCAAGTCAAAAAAATTGTCCTTTTTCGCCACCAGCTCTGGGGTCCAGCACTTGATGCGGTTGGATCCACATCTACTATCCCTGATAATCCCATTGGTGTCAAATCTGTGAGAGTTCTCTATAGACTCATCGATATAAATTTCCATCGCTGGGTAGTTGACCAAAATCCACTCCACCATTTCCCGCGTGAGGTACACCAGAGAACTGTCTTGCTTCTTAGTTACTATCATAAGTTTTTTCACCTCGAGTACGACCATCGATTTCTGGATATCTTTCGAGAGTAGTCGCATGCCATGCGTAGTGGAAGAGAGTTGCGCGTGCGATGTAGCTCTCCTCATGTCGTTTGACCCCACTGACAGCCTTCTGAACACTTTTTCTGCGGTATCGACAGGCTCCGTCGCGTTGTCGACGTCGATTTCGTTATCTATCACACCTGCTGGGGGCTCTTCACTCACCAATGGTGTCATCCTGCTGCCCAAAATCTTATTCTTGTCTGCGAGATGAGATACACTTTTAGATCGCTTGCTCTTGGCTTTGAAGTCACTCTTGTCTTTCACAGCCGTATTAGCACTGGTCTTAGCGGTATCTTCCGTCAGTGTACGTGAGAGTGGTGATAATTCTCGCGAAAGAGGGGATGATGCAGGCGAATCCCAATCTCTGCCCATTGTGTCTGTGGGTCGTGTTTTGATGTTACTTGGTATAAAAAGCACTCCACGAAATCCAAAATCCGTAGGAAACACCGAAGATTTTGCGACTAGTACACTAAACAGCGGTACAACTACAGTAGCTCAACTGTTCGGCAAAGGCGTAACTTCTCGAGTTGGGGCAAAAGACCTTCCAGATAACCGTGATTCGAGCTCTGCAAGGGTTTGAACTTTAGGTATATGAGTACCGGCAGGTAAAATGTGACAACGTTCTTATCTAGCGACCCAAATTAACGTCCCTTTTACGACTAGAACCTTTTATCTTGCACCTCTTTTCTGAGTTTGTTAGATGGGATCATCTGAATCCCTCCCTCTGTGGAAATTCATTTCGTTAAAGTCATGTTCCACGATTATTCAAACCATCACATGTAGTGAGTATCGTCAAGTTGACAGAACTAAGCTGTGAAATAGACATAGAGATATATATGATACTGTGAAATGGTCTACCTCGGCTGAGATATAAGGGTTCTCCATCTATTACGTAGTTTAAATTTCGGAAACATTGCATTTCCAGTCCTTACCGCTCAGCAGAGGAAGGGAAGCGCCCAGACACCAGCCAAGTTCGCTGTCAGCAATTTTCTCAGCAGTTCTTAGCTCACGGTGGAGTGGGATATCGTAGCCGGTGTGTAATAGAGATACTTGGAATGTCAAGTCCAGACACCATAGTGGCTCCTTCTTCAATTCAGCAACGGATCCCTCGATACCGCTGAAAACGCTTTCCCAAACTTCTTCACCGTTACAAACCATGCGAGCTACGTCAGCAAGCTCTTGAAGTGTGAAGGAAAGTGGGAGCCCTAGGGGCTGGGTTTTGTCGTAGAAGTAAGAGAAAACGTATAGGTCATTCGTTTCTTTGAAAGTGCGGACCAGCGATGGCTGGTGAATTCCGTTGAACGAGCAAGGCGGCGAGGAGCATGCAGCGTCTTTCTTCAGTATTTTATCTGCGAGCGAACGACATTGAGCACCTGCAGCAGTGGTCGGCCCGCTGAATGTTACCTGGTATTCGTCGCCACTTTCTAGCGCGACTTTAACATTGGGGGCTACCGATCCTGGAGGCAGACAGGGTGACGTTAGTTTTGAGGTCTTGTCGGTTTTCTCCATACGACCCTCTTTGATAGCAGTTTCGACGAGTAACGCATTCACTTTGTTTCTCCCTTCCATCAACCCATATCCGAGGTGGGAGAATTGATACAAAGTGTAGTCTTGATCAGCAAAGCTCAAAGAATATTTGTGTTCGCCTTCAAGCATCACTTCGTTAGGAGGGAACGTTGGCTCAAAAACAATTTGGGTAGAGCCACCACCTAGATCGAAAGTGGCAGCCGTGGGCAACTTACCTCCAGCACCAATATTGCCTAGTAAAAAGTTGGCAGTGATCCATGCATACACACCTTCTTCTTCACCGCTCATCACCACGACACCATCTTTTTCAACCACAGGGAAAGGGTAGTCATCTTCCAAATGCTTCTTGACAGCTTTTAAAATTTTCTCGGACTTCAAGTCCCCCAGCTTTCTTAAACCAGCAGTGGCCTTAACAGCTACAGGTGAACAAGATTGTCTATCTTTAGGAATAGCCTTTACAGCCTCGTCTAGAAGCTCATCTAACGAGTGGGCAGCACCAACATCGTCATTGTCGAAGGAAGAAAGCCCTGGCTTGGTCATCTTGAATGTTTCATGGATCAAAGTCGGTGGCTGGGTACACACATCGAACTCGTAGACGTGCACACGGGAGCCAGTCGAGCCTGCATCAATCATGACAACATACTGGTGGTCCTTATTGCATGGAGAAGATGTGGAGTATTCGCTCCCCGGCGACGATTTCAGACTATCCTTGACGGCCTCTGCGACCTCTGGATTTTTCTGTTTGGCATTTGGATCGTCGATGTACCCCGGCGTTGGCTGTATGGGAAGCGCGTTTAAGGTTTCAGAATCACTTGGCAAAGTGACAGCCTCTCTTGTAGATCCAGAGGAAGTTCTCAGCAACAGTATCAGCATAATTGCCGTCAGCGACGCAATCACGAAGCGATAGTTACGCACAATCGAACCTATTCCCGCCATTGCTTGACAAGTATTACTTTTGGAAAACTGCAAATGAAGCGGCAGATATTAAGCCCGAATGAATAGAGCAAACGAAACTGAGTTGTGGATCTTTAACGCTTAGACTTGATCGAACATTGACAAGTACCATGAACGTGGTTTCTCTCGAAGCTTAACTTAATTCACGAAATTTTCGACTAGCGCCTGCGAAGAACCTCATGTCGTCAAAAATTACTTACATAGTAGCATCACCACTGTGATATGTCAAACCTGGAGCAGTTTTGGACAAATCTGTCCGACTCGCCGAGATTTCAGTTCATCAATCCTTCTCTCAGAACATCTGCAAAGGGACAAGTGTATCCTAGATGCGCGTAAAAAATTGTATTGAATACTCTTTGGTAAAATTTGAGAACTGCCAGAGTGTGGTGAATTGGCCTTACCGTTAACTTCATAGCTCTTTTCTTGGAAGCACCTCCGAGTTTAAGGTCTCACAATGGGTCATTTTATCGAACAGGCTCGCGGGATTAACTCTTGTCCGCTTCGAATATATAAGAAATTTAACAATCACCTTTAAAGACCCAACACATATCGGCTCGCAGGGGAAATGTAGAAGACTGATCATTGAGTCTTGTCACGCGGTCTTGAAAGACGATTTCTTCCATTTAAACACTTTTTACAGATTTCAAGGTTCGAATCATTGGGTCCTGTGTACCTCCAATATTAGAATTAAGATTACATTAACTCGCTATGAAACAATGAAATATTGGATTATCGAATGAATTTACGTTTGCATAGAGCAACGACCAGGGTACAGTCCACTCATGTATGTTTCAATCTTTATTTAGCGCCATACAACAAAGGTATGAGTCAGAATCTGTGACGAAATAGTTGACCACCATAGACAACAGGGAAAAGTCCATGCTTCGTCCCTAAAGTCACTAGTTTCCCACGCTTAGTTGCTGGACGTCGAAGTTTAGAATCGTGAAAACATTGTCTACTCCGGTGCTCACCTCGAATTCTCCCAGATAGTTTTCGCTGCTTAAAAAGAAGAGGTTAGTAGAAGAGGAGGAGCCGTCATTGAAAAATAATTCAATGAGATTTCTATCGATGAGGCCCTGAACATTATAGATGGGCAAACCATCTTCGGCGCTTTCGTATGGCTCTAAATTCTTGGACACCTTGTTGCCAAAAAATGGGTTTGCGTGAACAAAATTGACCCGTGAATTTCCTCTATCCAGAAAGAATGCCGCAGCACTTACCACATACCCAAGCCTCAAATATTCACTGTCGTCTTCAACGCCTTTGATTTTCAGAGACAGGTCGGCCATGTCGTGGCCGGTGGTAACCGCCGAGGAATTGACTTTCCACTCTAGTGTAAATTCCAGTAGACCATGTGCCCCGTCAGCCACATTGAAAATGGCACTTTCGTTCGAGTTTAACTTCAGGGATTTCTTGATCAATCTTTGCTTGGTGTTCAGGCCACTGCTTTTGAACACTGGCTGATTGTAGAGAGTGAGCTCCGAAGTTTCTGGGTTTGGGCTGTAGTAGCGCAAAGTAAGGTTGCGAACGACAGTCATCGAGCTCCTCCAGTCCCGGGTGGGAACATAGCCAGAATAGTCCCAGTTAGAAGCCCAGGCCATCGCCAGAACTTCCCCATTGGGTGCGTTTGAAAAGGTTTGCATGGCGTAGAAATCCTTACCGCAGTCAACAGCTCGAGTAGCGGCATCTTGGGCAGTGAATCTCTTACCATCGAAATCACCGATGAAGTACTCGTTGTAGGATCCGCCATGAGGGGCGCCAGGGTTAATACTGAGAAACATCACCCATTTGTAGTCCGCAAAACCGTTGTTGGTAGTGAGTCCAGCAGACTGGGTAAGGTTAGAAGAAGTTGTATGAACGATAGGAATCTTCGAAAGACCAGGGCACTCATATTGATACCCGAGAACGCCGTGATGCGAGAAATTGGATTGAAATTCCCAAGAGGTTAGATTCTTCGAGGTGTAAATTTGAATCTTGTACTCCTGGGACAACGCCAATGTCATAACCCAGCGTTCCGTTTCCTCATGCCAAAATACCTTCGGGTCCCTGAACTGAGTGGAGTTTATGTCGAGGACAGGGTTGTGTTTGTAGTAATTAAACGTATATCCACCATCTAGTGAGTATGCGGCATATTGTCTTTCTCCCGCTTCACTATGCTCAGTGTACAGGGCAACAATTCTTTGTCCAGGCAGGCATGTGTTATCGAAAAGCCCGGAAGTGTTATTGAAATCGATTACAATGGAACCCGAAAAAGCACCCGACTCATCATTTTCTGGTTCCAGCGCAATTCCGTGGTCATTCCACGTCACCAGGTCCTCTGATGATGCGTGTCCCCAGTACAGGGGCAAGCCCCAAATGTTGTCGTTGGGATTGTACTGGTAATACGCGTGCCACATTGACGTCTCATTGTCGAAAAATAAACCATTGGGATCGTTCATCCAACCAACATTGGGAGTTAAGTGAGCCAGTGGCTTGCCGGGATCAGCCATGGCCGAGTGATTTGTAGCCGCTAAATTAGATTGGATGTCTAAGGTGCTATTATAGGCGTGCACGCCAACTGCGGCAATCACGACCGCGAAGGCAGATACAACAATTCTCATAATACCGGGAGTTTGACCTAGACTGGATTTTGAACTGAGAGAGTCAGTGGCAGAAGGGTGAGCAACCCTCGCTTCACAGCCGCTAGAAGAATGAACATTTTTGGCGCTCTTATATCTTCCAGGAGCTACATGTTTTGCCTTGAGCTCAAGGCTTCTCTCCGAAGTGCCCATAGCTCCTTGGGTTCGAGCAGCGGATTTTTTTTATGTTCTAACGCTGACTTCCGTAAGTAAAATCCACCTGGCTCGGTATGGTATACGAAACAAGCGAATACACATGAACCCCACCTAACAAACCCACAAGAAATGCTCTCAAGTTCCCCACGCCCCATTGGACATTCCCATTGGACACATCGAAAATGGCGGAATTAGCCGATAGCAGTCGTGGTGTTCCTGAGAGCTCTACTTTTCCAATCCATGCTTACGGCTTTGATCACGCTGCACTCAAACAAATGCTTTACACCCAACGCTAGCATCTCGGAAGAATGTAACTAAACTTGACTGCTGGTAAGTCCGCGCTCGGGGCTGTAGGTGCTTGTACCCCACGCTATATTCATGCTTTGGGAGCAAAAGCTCGAACTATTATAGAATCATGTAAAGCTTAAATAAGTGCATTACCTATCTTCGAAGAATAAGGTGATGGTGGTTCTTAGTATGATAATTAGCACAGCGCCAATTCTAGCATAGCGAGTACCTTTCGCGCGCGGCACACCTCAACCACCGTACTTGCTCAAGCTAGCAAGATGTCAAGTTTGTGGCCCTCGAGATATTCATAGTTGATTGTTATCCACTTAGCGATGCTTCAAACGTTACCGCTGGTCGATTATAATAAACATGTCAGGAATTCTGGTGGTGGGAATATTCGTAGAAAGTGTTACTAATACTAACTTCGCTCATCTCATCTCAAAGAGACCGGAGCATTGATGTTCACCAAGTAAGAAGTAGCGTTCTATCGGACCTAGAGTGTACTGTTAAGATTATGAGTCGAAATGTGGATAAGGCTAACTCTGTTCTTGTTCGGTTCCAGGAACTAGAGGCGGAGAAGTCCGGAGGGTATAAGGATTACTCGAGGTTCAAGAGGCCTACCAGAATTAGGTCAATTCAGGATAGTCAGGAGGCCCAACAATGGCGTCGCCAAGTATTGCAGGATATGAACTCAAGGATTACACGAATGCATGACCCATCGTTGAATGAAATTCAACTTCGAGAGATCAACGACGAGATTAATGATCTGTTGCATGAGAAAAATCAGTGGGAGCGTCACATATATCATAACCTGAAGGGGCCCAACTTTTCTCGAGATAGTAAAGCGGGCGTAACAGGAACTTTGTTGAAGGGGCGAAGGTATTTCGGGAGAGCTCTGGAGTTGCCTGAAGTACGGGAGCTTTTAAAGCAAGACCGTGAGCACCGGACTAAGCTGCAAACTAATCGCCAGCGCCATCAAGTGCTACAAGACAAAGTACGAAAGTGGAAAAAGCAGCTGGGCCCGGCATATTATGGGTTTTCGTCAGATATCCCCGGGTTACAATTTCAGTTGCCCGAAGCCACTTCAAATACTGACCCTGAAGTTTTACATCAGAAACCCACGCGCTATTCCACGTTCATCGACCACGAGGAAGCGAAAACGTTAGAATTACGCTCAGAGCTGGGAAGCCTCGAAGCCGTCTCTGCACCGAAGGTAAGCATACCCGAATTCAAAGAATTGCCTGATTTGAAGGATATGGAGAACTGGTTGGTAGAAAAGCGTAAGCTGCAGCTACAGAAGCAATTAGATTTGTGAGCTGGCCCTTAGCAAAGAAAAGGTAAACTTTCGAATATCACATATAAAAGGCAGAACCTTTTTTCCCTCTCAAATGCTATATATTGCCTAAACTACGACGAGTCGTGAGTTGGAGACCTAAACAAGTGATTCATTCCACTTTTAGTGAGCAACTTTGACATGCGACGCTCACTTCCATGTGATTCTCGATCCTTGTGTTCGCCATTCGAGGACCCAGCAGTATTTCCTTTTGATTCCAGTTTGTTTGGCGATTTTTGCATGAAGTGAGGTAGTCCCCAGCTTCCACGGCTACTGGTTCTTGTATGTTGGGATTTTGGCGTATCATGCTTCTCCACAGTCGGAGTTTCAATAACTTTTGCGGGATTCCATATCGTGTTGAAATGAGGCGAACCAAAAATGCCCTCCTTGCTGAATTCCTCTTGCAAAGGCAATGATAAGGGCGAAGTTCTCATCGCGGGTTCATTACTGTAACCGGAACCAAAAGAAGTAAGGTCGTCCCTCTGTACCATAGGAGTATGAACAAACCCTGACAGCTCGTCTTCGCGTGGAACGGAAACGGGGACAAAGGACTCGTTACTTAGCATGCGGGAATGAGAGAAATTCTGGGGCTCGGAGATTGAGGCAGGTGACTGCAAAGGGAGTTGTGCAGGCGGTGAAGGGTGCCTTTCCCGCTGTGCCTGGGCCCTGAATTCAGGGTTCGTCTGACGACTCCAATAGTTGTCCAACTGGTCAGTGGTATATAACTTGGACGTACTGACATTAGTGGCTTGGTAATCTGCTTCTGAGATCATATTTTGGAGACCACTTAATAGATGATTGGCGTTGTCGTAATCAAAATTTTGATCTTCGTTATTGGCTTGAGCTTGATGACTACCGTTTAGGGGGATGCTCCAGTTAGGATAGATCATTCCGTTGACGCTTGGCGGAGGTGACGCGTGTCGGAAAGACTCATTGGAATAGGGCGCCTGGTCATGCATGGAATTCTCTGAAACGTATGTGCTGGGATCATGCAAAGTCAGATGGGGCGTGCCACCATTTGGCGAAGACGGATGGTTAACAGATGCATACGGTTGAGCTGCTATACTTGCCATGAGCTCTCGATTTTTCAAACTTATGTCGGTCCACATAGATTCCATCATGTCGTTGCGCCTTTTGAGTTTGGTCCTTATGGTACGCCATTGGTGGTCTAAGGCAAAGTCTTTTTTGGCCTCCTCTTTAATCAAAGCCACAACGACCGAATTTTCGCACAGAGAATTCAGGAATTCATGCCCCTGGCCACTTAGCACCCCAGTTCTTTCATTGGTGTACGTATTGATTTTTTGCATTATGGTATTCAAGCTTTGAGCTTGAGCGCCAATTTCAACAGGACTATTCCTTTTCGAAGAATTCGTGCTAGCTAGTGTTGTTGTAGAGGTAGCATTTTGCGTAGAGTCTAAAGATTTTTTCACCGAATTCAATTTTTTGTTTTCTTCTTCTTGGCTCACAACTTGATCGTGAAGTGCTTTAATTTGATTCGACACGTCATCGATCCTCTCAACAAGAGACTCTCTTTCAGCTTTAAACTGTTCTTGTAAAGCGTTCTGCCTTAGTTGGGTCTTTCTCTCCTGGTCCCATCTGGCCATGTCATCTGTCATTTTCTGGATTTTCTTCAAGCTTTGGTCAATATTCTTGTCTAGCTTGCCGCGCTTGAGGTCGTAAAGTAGCTTAGAGTTTTCCAGTGATTTGATGCTAGACTTTAGACTTTTTCTTAAATCGATGTCGTGGGCCCATTGTGCTTTCAAATTATCCAGCTCTAGTTTCAACTGAACTTCACTTTCGTGGAAATCTTGTAGTATAGACGTCTCTTGCTGTAGAACGTCGTGAAGATCTTCTTGGGCACAAACTAAGATATTCTTCAAATCGGTTATCGAGTAGTCGTCCAAGTCTGGGAGAGAAGTTAGACTCGCATAAGATGTGGGTGACTCGGTTGTAACAATTTTCTGGCTCTTTCTCCATTTTGTATCAGCCGGAAAATTAGGCGCTAACATTTGGTTGGCATCAAGTTCTTCCTGGTACACCTGGTTGGCGTGTTTATCGGGTCCTTTGGGTTTGGTCATCACATAAATGGAGGGCCCCTTATTCATGAACCCATCTTGATTGATACACACAAAGTCGAACTGATATTGGGTGTGAGGCGAAAGGCCTTTCAATAAACAGCAAGTGTACAGCGAAGTAGGTATGTTCGGTATGGAGCCAATTTTGACATTGTTCAGATACAATACATAGTGGCAAATTGAGGAGCCGGTCTTCTCTACTGCAGTGGCGGGCTCGTTTTCCCATCGCACTGTGATTGTTTCCTCGGTCACTTCATCAATGGACACTCTTGTTGTCTGTGGTACCTGAAGCCCTAGTGTCGACACGATCCGCCAAACTGGAATATTTAAAAAGAGAACCAGTCGGTAGAGAAGCCATGCAACGGCAATAAACGTAAATGCCGAATATGGGAGCATGTTGCCGCTAATCATCAACCATAGAGTTTTATACTATACAGTTTTCACTATGATGATTAAATGAACATCGAGAAATCATATCGTTTAGTACGTTGCTTAACTATTCCGGCCGAGCACTGCCTGGCAGTTTACGCCAGGCAGCGATGCCAGGTTATGGCCGCGGAGCTGTTGCCGGTGAGCCAGATCCATGTAGATCGCACACCGGGCACAGAGAAAAACCATTTGCCGTGCTCCAAACCCCCCAATAACGTCGACATTTAGTAATAAGCAGCGAGTGGATCCAACAAAAGACAGCATTCTAGCCGGGCGGTTGCTGTGTTTGGCTGTTTCTTCAGTTCTGTAACTTGCGGAGGCGGATTTTTTTGATGTTTCATTGTCTTCTTCCTCGAAAGCATCCGCTTATTTGAGCACCACGTTGTCGCCTCTCAGTTTCAAGTACTGCTGATCGACGCCCGGGGCCATGGGCTTGATAACGATCGAATACACCTCGCTATTGCAGAATCGCAGCCCGTTACCGGGTGATTTGTAGTTGGCCTTCAAGCCTGTGATGTCACAATACTTCTTGCTTGGGATAACGCTAGGAGGCGCCTCGACGTTGAAGTAGGTGAGAAGGTGTTTGGTTTCCTCGCTACCACTGGTAACCCTCTTCCATTCGTCAGTGATAAGTTGTCGCGTGGCCTTGTGCCGTCTGTGGGGTTTCTTCCATGTCGAGCGCTTCAAGTGGAGCCCATGGGTGTCATTGTCGGCCGCCACAGATCTGAGGAACTCGATTTTATCCATCGTGCTCGTTCTTGCGCTGTTCTGGTGCTTCCTTTAGATTGGGTACACGCATCGTACTTTTCAATTGCCGATCGCCTGTCTCGTGTCATTTGATGAGAAAAGCGACCATCAGCGGACAGCTGATATCTCAAGGATGGGAGAGGCCGATGGGCCCTACCTACAACTACCCGCTACTCGGTGCAAGACAACACGGTGGCGACTGAAGGGCAGCGTGGGATTCAGTAGCACCACAATCTGTATGCGTCAGCCATGCTGTATCGAGGAACGTTACACTGTTGAGTCTTCATCTGCTGACCTGGCAAACGAGGAGCACTAACAAAAAGCCACGAGCTAACCTAGCTACGGTTTTATAGTGTAGTGGTTATCACTTTCGGTTTTGATCCGAACAACCCCGGTTCGAATCCGGGTAAGACCTTTTTCCCAGCTTGGGTGCTTCCCGTTGGTTTCCCATTTGTTTCCAAGGCTCCCGCGTTTCCAGCTCGAGCAGCGCCGTTGCTGGGCCGCTACGTCGTTATCACATTTTTTATTGTTAGTCACAAGTGTTTGCGGTGCATGGGTCTTCGCGCACGTGATGCGCGACTTTTTGCTTTTCGTCACTATTCACCACTCTGGCACCACATGAGCTGGCCACACACTGTCGTCGCACAGCACCCCGCCAATTCCACGTCTCTCCCAGAGCTCCCGCGCTCGCAGACACCCACCGTCGCAGAACTGGGCCCGACAACCGGAAAGCCCACTCAGAAAATCCATATGTGTCACTTTGTACGTGCGCGTCACGGCTTCATACAGCAGAGTTTCCCGGCGTCAGGGCCCCGGGCTCTCCTTTGGCTTTCCGACCAGAACGTTCCAGCTTCGGCATCCTGCATCTGGCGGGCGTGTGCTGTCGTGGAAGTCGCCGTCGCGGTCGCCGTCGCGGTCGCCTCCGCTTACTTAATTTTTCAGCACAAACCACGGCTAGCTCGATGCTCAACACCCGGGTTGGACCCGCCTCCCGGCTGTCACTACTACAGTGGGACGAGCGTGGTCGTTAACGGCTCACTCTACACTCGCTGGAGGAATTTTCCTGGTGCTCGACAGTGTGTCACTTTTCACGCACACAGAAGTCTAAGGCAAAGAGTCTTGCATGCACTTTAGGCTTACGTGAGCTGAAAAAAAAGTTTCGACTCACAGCGGGCGATGAGCCATAAGGAACGAGATGTTGGGACTATAAGAAGGCGATGGGCATGGCGGATAGACCTCAGAGGTTTGGACTCAGGTCACGAAAGCAAGCACAATAGCGGTTTTTTTCGTCTTGGATTGTTGAACGAGATATCTGTCCCTCGGTTCTGACCTCCGTCTCGCTCTCAGTTTAGATTTCGCTTACTCGATGACTAACGTATCCACCATGGCCGAAACTCCAGAAGCTTATACCTCGGCTACCAACGACTTCCGTTCGGACACGTTCACCACACCTACCCCGGAAATGGTGCAAGCTGCGCTCACTGCGTCGATCGGAGACGCCGTGTACAACGAAGACGTGGACACGATCCGTCTGGAACAGCAAGTTGCGCAACTTGCCGGGAAAGAGGCAGGGCTTTTCTGCGTTTCCGGAACGCTTTCTAACCAGATCGCGCTGCGGTGTCACTTGTTCCAGCCTCCATACTCTATCCTGTGCGACTACAGAGCCCACGTCTACACGCACGAGGCCGCCGGGCTGGCTATCTTGTCGCAAGCCATGGTCGTGCCCGTGATTCCATCCAACGGTAACTATATGACGCTGGAGGACATCAAGCTGCACTACGTGCCCGACGATGGAGACATCCACGGGGCACCCACCAAGGTGTTGTCGCTGGAAAACACGCTGCACGGTATCGTGTACCCTCTGGAAGAGCTGATGCGCATCAAGGTGTGGTGTATGGACAACGGCATCAAGCTGCACTGCGACGGTGCTCGTATCTGGAACGCAGTGGCGGAAACCAGTGTGCCATTGAAGCAGTTTGGAGAGATCTTCGACTCCATCTCCATCTGTCTGTCCAAGTCTCTCGGCGCGCCCATGGGATCCATCCTTGTCGGGGACTTCAAGTTTATCAAAAAATGCAACCATTTCAGAAAGCAGCAAGGTGGTGGTATCAGACAATCCGGTATGATGTGTAAGATGGCCTCCGTTGCTGTCGGGGGCAACTGGAAAGAGAAACTGAGACGTTCTCATCGCATGGCTCATCATCTGGCTGATTTTTGCAAGTTGCATAAGATTCCTTTGGAGTCCCCTGCCGACACCAATTTTGTGTTTTTGGATTTGCAAAAAGCCAAGATGAACCCCGACGTCTTGGTCAAGAAGGGTCTGAAATACCAAGTTAAGCTTATGGGTGGTCGGGTGTCCATGCACTACCAAATTTCTGAGGAATCCCTGGAGAGAGTAAAGCAAGCCATTTTGGAGGCTTTTCAACATGCCCAGGAGCATCCTCACGATGTCGAGGGACCTACCAAGATCTACCGTAGCGAGTCTACCGAGATCGATATTGATGGTAACGCCATTGGCGAAATCCAGACTTACAAGTACTAAACCTCTTAGGTGGTACGAAGTAACTTCGCATGGGATTATCCATGCATCAAACCACAAGAAATCACTGCATTATTATCTGGCATTGTCGAATAAGTTTGATTTTTTTTTTACGTTTAAGTTTTGGGAATTTTAGTTGGGATTATATGGTTGGTCTTTGATATTACAGGAGTTTATCACACTGATGAGAAACACGCATACATTTGGTTCTCGGCGACTATTTAGGGACAGTCGCATGTATCTCCAATATGGCTTGTAGTTCTGGATCAATCATTGCCTTCTCATTGAAGTTCAGAAATTTAAACTCAAATGGCATACCTCTTTATAGTTGACCGTTTGAGGGCCGACGGCTTATCTTCTTCGTTCAGAGACGAGTAAGCTGCCCAACTGAAGTGGGACGAAAGTGATCAAGTATCAACTTATAGAGATGCTTGATCGACTGGCATGTTCGGTCCTTTTGGAATTTCTGGTATCGTTCTTATTAAGCGCAGCGTTCATTTTGATTAAGCACAATGCTCCGCTAATACTGAAGGCGATGCTGTTACGTTCTCGGTTTTTAGTTGAGTCTGAGGACTCTTTTTTTCCCGAAGGGCAAGGTCTATAGTTTGTACGTAAACGCATAAAATATCTTCTTTGCACAATTGAATCCACGAATCTCACTCGCTAGACCTTGCCCTTGGCGAGGCAGTCAGAAATTATACTCAGTAGAGTTAAGCCAAGGTCATATGGCGGCTGTATGTAATGTCAATATGCTCTCGTACAACCTTCGTAAATTATCAGACCATCACACCACATTTGAAAGACAGGGAAACATGCCATAGAATTACTATTTAAGTATTCTCGCGATACACCTATCCAGCTGGATGGCATAATTACGGAAGCGGCTGGATGTTTTCAAGACGTCAACTGTTGGCAGCTCTCACAGTTGTTGTTATATTTTCAGTGGTGCGAAGAATTACGATCACTGACACCCGATTAAAAATGGCTTCGAAATACTCAACACCGGTGGTCATTGTTGGTTCTGGTCTTGCAGGCCTGACGACGGCTAATCAGCTAGCCTTGAAAAGCAGGGTGCCTATTATTCTGCTAGAAAAGGCTTCTTCTCTAGGTGGGAATTCCATCAAGGCTTCAAGCGGGATCAATGGCGCTCTTACCACCACCCAGAAGGTATTGGGAGTTTCGGACTCTGCAGCCGCTTTCTATCAAGATACACTCAAATCGGCAAAAGATGCTGGATCTCCAGCCCTAATGGAAAAGCTTTCTAAGGACTCAAGCAGTGCTATATCTTGGTTACAGCGAGAATTCAGTCTCAAGCTGGATTTACTGGCGCAGCTTGGTGGGCATACAGCACCCAGAACGCACAGATCATCTGGAAAGCTGCCTCCAGGGTTCGAAATAGTGAAGGCCCTTTCCGACTCTCTCAAGAGCCTATCTGAGGCCGAGCCGGAACTGGTACAGATTCGCCTCAACAGCAAAGTCGTTGATGTTCACATTATTGATAAGCAAGTAAAATCTGTGGAATATCAGGACGAAAATGGGCAAATCCAACGTCTCGAGACCTCTGATATTGTGTTCTGCTCCGGTGGTTTTGGGTTCTCCAAGGAGATGCTAAAGCAATATGCTCCAAACTTGACTTATTTACCAACAACCAACGGAGGTCAAACGACAGGAGATGGTCAACGACTGCTTGAAAAGCTAGGTGGGTGTCTAGTAGACATGGCAGAGATTCAAGTTCATCCCACGGGCTTTATAGATAGGTCCGACCCGCATAACAATTGGAAATTCCTGGCCGCTGAAGCGCTAAGAGGACTTGGCGGTATATTACTGAATCCATCAACAGGAAAGCGTTTTGTCAACGAGTTGAGCACCAGAGACATCGTGACGCAGGCAATCCAGTCGCAATGTCCAAAAGATAACAACAAGGCAATTTTAGTCATGAGCGATTCAGTCTATACTGCCTACAAGAATAACATGGACTTCTACTTGTTCAAGAAATTGATTCGCAAGATCACAATAGCGGAACTGTCACGAGAGCTATCACTATCTCCTGAAGTGTTGGCGGGCGAATTGCATACCTACAGTTCCCAGGCTACCGATTCTTTTGCTCGCTCTTCCAAAATCAATGGTTTTGGTGCAGATATAAATGAAGAGACGGAGGTCTATTATGGGGAGGTGACGCCGGTTGTACACTTTACCATGGGAGGTGCTAGAATTGATGAAAGAGCTCGAGTTCTAGACAAAAATAATAACCCTGTGGCAAAGGGCCTTTACGCTGTGGGCGAGGTTTCTGGTGGTGTCCATGGTGCTAACAGACTCGGCGGATCGAGTCTGTTGGAGTGCGTAGTTTTTGGGCTTACGGCCGCAGATGGTATTGCAGATGGATATGGTAAGTAAACGAGATTTTTATGTATCTATATGACACCATAGCCCTCACGAAAAGCCACTGGTGATTTCCCGAGGCCAAAGCGGTTTCCATTATCGAAGCTGGCCTTGGCACCTTTCTGTCATTGAAAGTACAGTTGGACTCACCCACAAATTTAATTAAGCGAATATGACTATATGAGAGCTCAGTATCACAACACTGAGAATACCAGCTATGGATCCTCAACCGTGTTTTATCTCATTGATTGACCACAATAACAAACCGCTACTTATCCATGTGGTACAAAATGAAACTTGCAAGATAGATGCAGTGCTAAAGTACAATACATTCTCTAACATGGCGTTGGACTACTTTGAAAGCGATCTATACGAGTGGACCAGTGCCAACCAGAACAACAAAGACATCAAAGACTTATTCCATCTGGAGGGCGTGACGGTTTACGGAAAGCTGGTGAGACAGACTCGTCTTAAAATTGTCATTGGCTTTTCCGTCCTCGTCAGTTGCAATGATGAAGAGATAGCCCAGGTGTTCAACGAGGTTTCAAGACTGTTCATAAAATGCAAGGTTAATCCATTTGTGAATAACGAGACAGAACTAATGGAGCAGTTACAGGCAAGATTCGAGGAGAAATATGCCGACAATGTCAAAACTCAAAAACCTCAGTGACCCAGTGCCTAACCACTACTTTGCCTTCTTCGAAGTGTGGATCGTCGTGTCGGACTATTGCACATGCGTGAGTGCTCATCGTTTCGCGAATATAGACAGGAAATTTCTTCCAAGCAAACTTGTTGAGGGACTGGATGATCTGCAGCTGCTGCGGGGTCAGATCTAGATGCAAATTTTCGAGAGAAGGCAAGTCGCCCATATGACCTGCGTGTGGACGACGTTCCTTGATCTCCTCAATGGAAAGAGATTCTAACTCTTTCATCGTGGTCCTCACAACAGGGAAACTGTCTTCGGTGTCGGTGATGTCACCGGATTCTGTCTCGTCAATCACCGCAGAGAGCGTATTCTTTCTCTCGATTGCGCTGAACACACTTTCAATGAAGGTTTCGGTTTGGTCGTTGAGTGACTGCTGTATCTGAAGCTCGTATTCATTTGGCACATCGGAAGGATATTCGATGGCATCGTCAGACCCTGGCTCCTCAGAGCCGCAGTCGTAGATCTCGCTTATAAAATGGTGGGAATATCCTCTCACAAAGCGGGTTGCTCTAGTTGTGGACTTTATTGTCTCCATAATTCCTGAAATTATAAACCAGATAACCCACATAGGTGCAATCAACACCAAGTTCACAAAGACCATGAACCAGCGACAAAGCTTGGCAATCCAATAGTTGATGAAGTAAAACTCACGAGGGTCCACTTTGGCGTTAGGGTGAGGGTGTATTTGTTTCTCCTCCTCGATTTTATCGTTGTAGTCCTCGATCTTGGTGATTTTGATAGACCTGGATGTGTCCACAATCGTCGGAGCGTACCCCTTTACGTAGCTAAAGCGATGTTCCCCGTTTCTGTTGTCGACCTCGAAAAAGGGATCATTCCTCGAAATGCCTGCCGTCCACCAGGCGGTACGCTTATCATTAATGACATTTGCGTATAAAGACATGTTTTTAAACTCCTGTAGTGCCTTGTAGAAAACGGAATTATCCAAACTCATAGACAAGACAAGAGGTAGATTGTTGGAAAATCGTCCTCTATCCTTGAGAAACATCTGTTTGCCAGTATTTCCCAGGACTAAGGGTACAACGGTGTTGAACAAGTTCACAGCAAAATTCTTACCTGGCGCATATACACCAGCATGAGGCGTACAAAAAGTTGTGAAGTTGACAAGTTCGATCTCCTGTTTCTTAAAAATTTGTTTCTTGTACAGAACCCCCAGTGCATACCTCGCTATAAGTCCTCCTAACGAATATCCGCAGATAGAAAACTTAGCCACCGTGCCCAATTGAGTGATTTGCTCCTCTACTTCGCCGGCCACTCTGACCCCACAGACATCTATCCCGTCATAGGTCTTGTAGCCTTCGTTAAGATGGGTCGTATAGACCACCAGCTCCTCGGTGCAGCGACTGGATTCGACTGATTGGCGCCGTTCAAACTCGGTCTCCAGGGTACTGCGAATATGATCAAAATGATTTCTGTTCCCCCAAAGCCCGTGGACTAAGACCACCAGATGAACTAGTCTGGGCTTGCTACAAGTGTTCAAGGACTCTGACATGCTTTTGTTTTGTGGTGGTTCTTTACAAACTAACAGTAGGTATTCAAGCAACTCGTGTTTGCAAAAATGTGTGTATACAAATCGATTACGAAATGGTGAATTAGCGTGTGTGCGTGACCGAACAGCTGAAGCTCAACAACGGTCGTAATATGCTATCGATAAGATCTCATCAACGCCTAGTCGTCGCATCGGTGTCAACATCTTCTTATCTATATAACCTTTTAACACTGATAAAGAATGCTGGAAGAACAAATTGATACCAAACCCAATCGAGCTTTGGTTCAACAGTGGCAGGTCCTGTCGTGAACAGTTATCACAACGTCAACTTTAAGAATAAAGGAAACTAGAAGACTATGAGAGCTAGTAGACCTCTTAGTATTCACTATTGACCTACTTCCTTCTATATCTAATCTTCCTATCTGGTCTGATCCTCCGGTGGTTGCACTGCCTCTGACACAACTCTGAGGGACGTCATTTTGACGTACGGTCTCGATGCATCGTTTTACCTCGCCCGACTCCAACTGGAGTTACTTCATGCTATCTTAACAGTGCCACATAGTAACACTGACTTGCTGGGCCTCTGACCCAGCTCCTGTCGTTATTCTTATTCCTGTCACTTATTACTCTTCCTGTCGTCGATCGACAGGTCCCATGGAATCATACAGTGTCCTTAGTTATGATGAGCCCCTTTCTGATAATATAAGAGCGCAAGTGGTTTAGTGGTAAAATCCAACGTTGCCATCGTTGGGCCCCCGGTTCGATTCCGGGCTTGCGCAATTTTTTTAAATGCTCACCTCTATTTGCTTCAAACTAGTTTAGCCAAGTCCCTCTGAACCTGTAATGATGCCGTTCCGCTACATAACTCACGATCAGCTTTCGCCAGGGGCTCGATTACCAACCTATCGTCTTGGGCCCTTCGATGTCTTCTTTTGTGTTCATCGCTTCTAAACAACCTATAAAGAATGCTATCAAGGCAGAAAGGGGCACATACGTTTCTGATATGCTTAAGATGAAAGGAAGAGGGACCCGTGGGCTTGGTTCAATCCATTATCGTTGACTATCGGTTTTGTCGTGTGTAATGCCGCTGTTTCTAGAGGCTAATTTAGACATTAAGTCGTACTTACATCTATGTCGATTGCTGAACTTAACTTTAACGAGAGAGCTCGGATTCTAATGTATAGAACCGGTGGTAGAGCGCGTGGCAAGAAGGACTCGGCAGATAGTGGGGTACGAGGTCCAAATTCGGCTTTAACTCAGTTCTTGAAAGAACAAGGTATCAATGCAGAAAGCATAAGGCAGAAATGGCTAAAAAGTCGCGAAAAGGAAGGACAGGGTGAAGAGGACGGGCCCAAGAAAGAGGAGGACGAGGAAGAAGAAAATTTGGTTCTTTCGGAGATTACTAGAAACAATGCAGGCAAACGTCGTCAAGCTTTCAGTAGCTCCGATGACGATATCGCAAGCGATGATGTAGCGCTGGACGCTACTAGCGACGCTGGTGGGAATGAATACGACGATGACACGGAAAGCGAGGATGCAATTGATCCGCCTGTGAGAATAGGTGGTGACTCTAGACTCAAACGGTTTGCCGTCGCTGCCGAAGATAGTGATGAAGAAGAATACGACGAAGGACAAAGCTCGAGAACCGTCTCCGTTACGCCTGCGCCAGAGATAACTCAAGAACAGCTTGAGTCGAAGCTCAAGAAAAGCAAGCAACTACTACAGCAGCGAAGAAGGAAGAAAAGAAAGGCAGCCGATCTCCTGGACAGGAAAACACGGCGAATTTCCACTTTACAGGACATTTGCATTTCACAAATTAGCGCGAATATTCTTAGACTGCAGCAAAGCACCGACTCGAAGGACGATTCTATCTCCTCTCAGATCCGTAACACCTTGGGGGGGATTTCGACGCAGAACATGAACAAGTTGGCAAGAACTTTATCAAAGAATAGAGCGTTGAATGACCACACCCTTCAGCTGTTCTTGAGAACAAACCTGAACACGCTGACCTTTCATGACTGCTCCAAAGTATCCTATGAGGGTTACAAATTACTGGCAATATTTGCACCTCACTTGTCAGAACTGTCGCTTCAGATGTGCGGCCAATTGAACAATGAGGCCCTTATGTACATAGAAGAAAAACTGCCGAAACTGACGTCGTTAGACGTTGATGGCCCCTTTTTGATCAATGAAGACACATGGGATCAGTTTTTCAGGAAGATGAAAGGTAGGTTAACGTCCTTCCACATTTCCAACACGCACCGGTTCACCAATAACTCACTTCGAAGCCTGCTGGAAAATTGTGGCGATTCACTCAAATCATTGAAACTTGCAAGACTTGATGATCTTTCGGATTACAGCATGATATCGAAGTATCTGAGTAATTCGAGTTTTGAACGTTTGGCCATTGAGTATCCTAGCAGGGAAGACTACGTGACGGATGACATAGTTGTTGAGACGCTATCCAAGGTGGGATCCACAATCAAACATTTGAGCCTAAACGGTTGCTCTGAACTCACCGATGCGTCCTTTATTAATGCCCAACCTTTTTTGATAAACAAGGAAGCAGGTGTATGTCTCTTGCAATCTCTACAATTGGAAGAGCTGGACCAATTAACAACCGATGGACTGGTGTATTTTATCAGCCAAACCCCCATGCCTTTGCTCAAATTTTGTAATTTTAAACGCTGCTTTCAACTGGAAGACCCGGCACTCACAGAGTTGTTTTTGAACGATGCTGCTAGAAGTTTAGTGACGCTGGTTCTCAATTCTTTAAAAGAAGTGAGAGGAGACTGCTTCGAAATAATGGCTTGTCCTAACCTTACAAGACTAGACATGGGATTCATGCCCTGTGCGAAAGACGAGTTAGTCAAAAAGCTAGGTGAACAAAACCCTAAACTGGAGATATTAGAAGTTTTTGGCGATAACTTAATTAGTGCTAAAGCACAAATCAGAGCGGGCTTGACGGTAATTGGTCGCCAAAGCGATACTCTATAATGCGGGTTTTAACGAGCTATGTCTGATATAGATAGTCTGTCGAGAAGAAATCTTTGTGCACAGCAGCTTTGTTAACTTTCTCCAGATTTCTGAATGTTGGTAAAGGTGGGGGCTTGTCTACCAAGTCTTTAGATTGGCACTCTACTATGGTGTTCGATATGACAGGCTTGTCAAGATACAAGCCAGGGTGCCCATTGTCCCTATTATCTCTTTTCAGTGCTCCCAGTCCTTGTTTGCTCCAGAGAGGGTTATTAATTTTGAATTCGAGATCTACTAAGGGATCCAGTCCCATTTTATAACGACCACCAGATACTTCTCTTTCATAGTCACTGATTCCGACATTTGTCAAGAAAAAGGATTTGAAATCGCCAACTATATCGTTGATAATCGTGGTCGGGATTTTTATTTCAGTTCCCAGCTTAGTAACAAATTCCTCTAAGCCATTTATATCGACAGTAGCCTTCAAGAACTTATAGTGCGTCAACCAAAACGTCGTGGAAAATTTCATTTGTGGCAGCTTGCCGAATTCAGTAAAGTATGCTTTTGTTTGTAAATTGTTCTTTAAGATCAGGTAGGACGACTTGATAAGCTCTACTACAATAATTGGTAGAGTTGAATCGTTCAACAAGTTTTGCAGCCTTTCATCTCCGTCCTCCTGCTGTCGAAGAAACATGCGGACATTTTTTTCCAGATAAGCCGAAAAAGCCACCTGTTGTGCCAGGATTTCTTGGTCTGACTGTGATAAGCTTGAGGCAAATTCTCTTTGTTTGATGATCATCAGAAAATCTTTGATGAAACTTGTTTCGGTAGGATACAGGCCAGAATATTCTGCCATGGCCAGTACATATACCTCTAATAGATTTTGGTTGCCAATTCTCAACGACTCCTTCAAAAATGACAGATAATTTTGGCGTAGCTTACGCACATCGGTAGGTAGAACTTGAACGCCTTGTTGGTAAACCTCGAGGCAGGATGCCTTTTCGTCATTCCTCTCCATCCAGGAACAGAATCGCACCCAGAAATGCTCGTAGTACCTACAAGGAATTAGGCAGCGCTGGAAGATACACTTAGTCAATTGGTTTGATACCAGCTCTGAGTCGATGGCAAAGTTAAGATACTGATCCCAGTTGTCTAGCTCCTTTTGTGCCAGCGGACCTAAATTGAAATAGCTTTGCGAGATTTGAGATTCGAATTTCCAAACACTATTGACCAGTTGTTGGGTAATACTGAACACCTGGTCAATATCATCGTCGATCTGTAATTTTGAAGAATTGCTTTGCGCAAACTCTTTGTATGCAGTGTAATATTTGGAATACTGATGCAATGGTATACGGCTGATCGCCTGATAGATAGCAGCCAACTTATCAATTTGACCTTGGGCTGTCTCGAATTCGATGTATTTGTCCCAGAAAGGATGCGAGAGAAACTGGAATCCCACGAAATCCCGTGCAATTTCGAAGTTTATCCTGATTTGGTCTACCCGGTCTGCATTATTTGCCATCAAAACATTAAGGTAGGCACACCAAAGGTCCAGTGAGTGAGGGAATGCATCCACGGCCCGCGAAAGTACCTCTATTGAACTCTCTAGTCCGTTCAATTGATACTGTACAGCTGTAAAGCGCTTCCAGTACCCAAAGAAGAGAGGGTATCGAGTCAGGACATTTTCAAAGACCTTTTGAATTGATTTTTTGATGACTTCGTTCGGGCTAGAGTACTTGAGCACTAGTTGTTCTGTACTTTTAACTAAGCTGTCCAAAGAAACGATATTGTCCCAAGCTATAGATTCAACCTGTGTAACCCATTCGCCGTTATCTCGTAGAAATCCAACATCTAGACCTGTTAAGATGTTCAAGTCACCGCGACTATTAGTGGCATTCATAACCTTTGAGCGCTGGAAGTCTGTCCGATGCCTCTCTGATGTATGGATTTCCATGTATTCACATTAAATTAAAGACCAGCACACTATACGAAAGCGTAAGTTTGGGATCTCGCTCTGCGAGCACTATCAATTGAACCTCTCTCTGTCGCAGGGTATGTTTCACTGATGTTTCTAGTCCACACCAGTTGGCATGTCATCTTCTTTTGATAAATTCTGACTTGTTTCGCTAAAAGAGGACAATCTGCTTGCCATATCTTGCAATTATGTGGAGAATACTTAAGGACATCTCACAGACTAGAACTCATCAGCGTTGTATGGTTTTATCATATATTGGTATAACAGTAGCAGTATTCTCTATAGAAAGTAAAGATATTGTTGGATTTGATTGTTCTCTTTTATGGTGCCAGTGTATTACAAAGTGATCTTCGTGAACGTGCACCGATAGCAAGGACTGTTCTCAAATTAGACCGGACTGAACGTTACAGCGTTCAAGAACTATTGGAATCAACTTTTTCCTCGGGCTCTGAGTTGCTAGCACTAGCTGTTTGAGAATTACTCTATATAATAACGTACATGTGCTCTCAGGCGGTCGTGCGATTTTGGGTACTACAGTAAGGTCAAAAGTGCAGTGAAAGTAGCGAGTTCGTTCTTTCAAATCGAGCATATCATATGTATGTATTAGCTGACATGACACTTCCATTTTCTAAAAAGCAACAAACCCTAGTGGCTTGAGATTATTTCGAGGTAACATATTCTCGTGTAGTATTCCTCGCAATACCACGCCCCTGCTCGGAATGGCACCAAGAAAGCATTCTAAGAATCCGCATTCAAGAGCTCCATCCAAGAACACGGAATCAAAGCAGAATATATCACTGTATACGAACATGCGATTCGAGAAGTGATCAATGTTGACAAAATATATACATGCAGTGCTCATCGGTGAACTGCTTGAAGCTTCGTCTCTAGAGAACCATAATCCAGATTTGCGATACGACGATGAGCAAGCGATCTGCTAGTCCGGCTTTAACTCCGTCGAAAAGGGCCAGAAAACACCTGGTATCCACTATTCACAAGCATTATGATTCGATCAACAGTCAAGATGACTACAAACATATGTACCTCGCAGTGCAAGCTTTGGATATTTTTTGCTGGGGTACAGGATCGATGTGTGAGCTTGGGTTGGGACCTCTGGCCAAAAATAAGGAGGTGAAAAGACCGCGGCTCAACCCTTTCCTGCCCAAAGACGAAGTTAAGATAATCTCTTTTGCTGTGGGTGGGATGCACGTCCTGGCTCTGGACCAGAACAATAAGGTGTGGTCCTGGGGAACGAATGACTCAGGAGCCCTCGGACGTGACACTTCGGGGGCCAACATCCAGCTTAAAGACATGGACGCCGACAACAGCAGTGACGACGAGGATGGAGACTTGAATGACCAAGAGAGTACTCCGACTCAAGTCCCAGCTGACTCGATGCCCCTCTCGGACCATAAGGTTGTTCAATTGGCTGCGACCGATAACCTAAGTGCTGCTTTATTAGACAATGGGGATGTCTATGCCTGGGGAACATTTAGGTGCAATGAAGGTCTCCTAGGATTTTATCAAGATTCGATCAAAACTCAAAAGGTTCCATGGCAAGTTCCCTCCTTTTGCTCCTCAAAGGTAGTTCAAATGGCCGCTGGGAAGGACCACATTTTGTTCTTAGATGAAGCGGGTGTAGTGTACGCCTGGGGTAATGGCCAACAATACCAGCTCGGAAGAAAAATCATGGAACGCTCGCGTCTGAGAACTTTAGACCCAAGAGCGTTTGGTTTAGATAAAATCAAGTACATTGCTTCGGGCGAAAATCACTCTTTTGCCCTAAGCAAGGATGGAAAGCTATACAGCTGGGGACTAAACCAATTTGGCCAGTGTGGTGTGACAGAAGAGGTTGAAGATGGTGCTTTGGTTACGGTTCCAACAGAAGTATTACTCCCTGAAGGAACAAAGGTCAAAGCGGTTTCTGCTGGAGAACATCATTCTTTGGTTTTGTCTGAAGAAGGTGAGCTGTTCAGTTTTGGTAGATTCGACATGTTCGAAATTGGTATCGCAAAAGATAAGCTACCAGAACACACCTATATGGACGCCCATGGTAAACCCCGTGCCGTTCCGGTACCCACAAAACTCGGAGATGTTCCTCGCTTCAAAAGCATTGCCGCTGGCTCCCACCATTCCTTGGCAATTTCTGAAGACGGCATTGTATACTCATGGGGATTTGGAGAGACCTATGCCGTTGGGTTGGGCCCTTCTGGTGAGGACATCGAGGTACCAACCAGAATTAAGAATACAGCCACGCAAGACCATAATCTTCAATTCATCGGTTGTGGTGGACAATTTTCAGTTTCTGGTGGCGTCAAATTGAGTGACGCAGACGCTGAAAAGCGTGCTGATGATCATGATGATTGAATTTCACGAAAAGCTTCTCGGTGCAATTAACCAGTAATATGTGGTTCTGCCCAATATGCATCGATGTCTGATAGACAAAAGAATTTATACACGGCAGGAGCTGCCCTCCTCCTGCATTACCAAAAAGAGACTTTAAAAAGCATAGACACCAACTAAAGTGTGAATTGTACAAGGCTCATCATTGTAATGAACTTGGATCGTGCAAGATCACATTAGATTAATAAAGTTGTATGTAATAACAAATCAAACACTTTCATTGTCCATTCTGACTTTGTAACCGCTCGCTAGTAGATGTTTCTTGACATCTGCAACAGTGAACTCGCCTCTGTGAAACATCCCCGCTCCAAGACAGGCATCCGCGCCCGTTTTATGGAATGCTTCTTCAAAGTGCTCCGGTACACCTGCCCCACTAGAAGCAATGACTGGAATGCTAACAGCGTTCTTGACATGTTCTATCAGTTCCAAATCATAACCTGAGTTAGAGCCATCTTTGTCAATGCAGTTCAAAAGAACTTCGCCAGCACCCAACGCCTCGCATGCACGTGTCAGCTCCCAAACTCCAAGGTCTCTGGCTTCTCTCCCGCCTTTAATAGTGCACTGATACCAGCACCACTCTTGGCCCTCATCGTTTGGAAATTTCGTTCTTATCGTCTTGTGTTTAGTGGAATCTGGTCCATCGACATAAATCCTTTTTGGATCCACTGAAATAACCACGGCCTGCGCACCGTACGGTTTGGAGATGGTTTCAATGGGGGAGGAGCCGTCTCCGCGGCCACCAAGCTCATAGAATTTTTCAGCGGCGTACACAGCATCGGAACCTATGGAAATTTTATCTGCACCAGACTGGAAGTAAAGAGCCGCTACCTGTAGGGCAGGTACTTTGGTACCGTCGGTGTCCACAATATCCTTGATACCTCCACCCACAGTCAATGGTACAAACACTGTTTTTGCGGCCATTTTCAGAACATCCAGCATAGGGGTGTCTTGCAACGGGCAATCTCTGAAACTAGTGATATTCAGGAAAGTGACTTCATCAGCTCCCTGTTCGTAGTACTGTTTGGCCAACTCGACTGGTTTACCCAAGTTTCGGACATTACCACCGTCTTCTTTTTCACGAACATCGTACTGGTCACCTTTGGTGACAACCAAATCACCTTGGTCATTGGCGCGAACGTCTAGGCATGCGATGATTCGTCTGCTCAAACCATAGTTAGAGTAGTCGTTTAGTAGCAGGGCTTTTTCCTCGTCCGAGTGTTTAATGACCGGGTGCGACTGCTGGATAAAGTTCTTCAAGATGGTCAAGCCAGCATGGCCCGACTTTTCGGGATGGAATTGAGTGGCGAATATGTTATCCTTGCCAATAGCGGCAATGTACTCTTGTGTTCCATACTTAGCTGTGGCCACGTTCCAACCGGCGTTAGCCATCGTGCTCTTGGTCTCTGAATCTAATATGGCCGCGTATGAGTGAACGAAGTAGTATCTACTGCAAGGGTCCAAGCCGAACATTTTTTCCTGAGGGGTGCAAGTGTTCCAGCCGATGGCAGGCACTGGTTTCTCTGATGAATCGAACTTGGCAAGTTGAAGGTCAACATATTTGAAGCCTTGACTCGTGGGCGACTCTTCCGAGCCCTGGAAGAATGCTTGTAATCCAACACAAATTCCCATAATCGGCTTGCCAGAAGCAATATACTCTCTGATGGGCTTTTCGAAGCCTCTCGACGACAAACTGTCAACGAAATGACCGAAATTTCCCACACCGGGAAGCATCAGTCTGGTGGCTGTCGCTAGCTCGGGATCCTCGGCAGACTTGATGACTCGAGCATGGAACCCAAGGAACTCAATGGCATTGATCAGAGACCTGAGGTTACCACTTTCCACATCTATTATATGAACTGTGTGCATTATGAACTCGGGATTGAAACGCACTTTGAAGCTCCAAGAAAAACTTTTTTCTATAGTCGAGATCTATTTCAAACGTTGAGTGGAATAGTTGAGTTTTACAGGCACCTCAATTGATCTTTACAGAGTCCATTGACATAGCATTGGTCAATGACTCAACCTCGAATCATCGCCAATTTTTCAGACCAATTTACGGTGTCACGTTTGACGATATTACTGGCCCATCAAGTTTAAAAGATAGCTGTGATTGAACAAACAAGAAGGTATTTGACACACTAGCCATAGCCAGGTAATGGAGCTGGGCTGGTATTTGAATACCAGAATCCTAGCTAGCAAATGAAGCTAGCCCACAAAATAACAAAAAACAGGCTCATTATAAAATGATATTGAAAAAATTAACAAATAAAAACATATCGCTACCGTGTTTTCAGGCCATCACCACGAAAGGAAGCCTGTTGAACTTATAAAATACGATAAATTGGTTCCTTTAAACTTTTATTTTTCATCCCCTTGATTCATTCTCTCTCGATGTCTTTTCATGCTTTTAGGCAGAAGACTCTTTGAGAGCTCTTCTTTGCTTAACGGCCTTGGCCAAGTTGCGCAACACCTCTTCGGTGGTCTCCCAGCCTATGCAACCATCGGTGATGGAAACACCGTATTTGAGACCCGCTTTACCCTCCTCTGGAATAGACTGCTTGCCCTCGTTGATGTGGGATTCGATCATGACACCGATGATCTTGTCCTCACCGTTGGCAACCTGTTCGCAAACGGCATCGTTGACCTTGGGCTGGTTCCTGTAGTCCTTGTTGGAGTTGCCGTGGGAACAGTCAACCATCAACGCAGCGCCTGGGGGCAACTGTTTCTTGGCTTCGGCCACCGATTCGGCGTCGTAGTTGGTGCCCTTTGTGCCACCTCTTAGAATGACGAAGCAGTGCTCGTTACCCTTGGTAGTGGTGATGGCGGCGAAGCCGTGCTTGGTCACGCCCATGAAGTGGTGGGAGTGCGACGCGGCCAACATGGCGTCGACCGCGACGCCTAGCGACCCGTCGGTTCCGTTCTTGAACCCCACAGGGAACGACAACCCGGAGGCAAGCTCACGGTGCAGCTGGGACTCGGTGGTTCTGGCGCCAATGGCTCCGAAAGACAGCAAGTCCGCCAAAAACTGTGGGGAGATGGTGTCGAGCATTTCGGAGCCGATGGGCATACCCTCGCTGGTGAGGTTCACGAACAGCTGTCTGGCGTACTGCAGGCCCTTGTTGATGTTGAAAGTGTTGTTGACATCTGGGTCGTTGATCAGACCCTTCCACCCCACTGTGGTTCTAGGTTTTTCGAGGTACGCTCTCATGATAACGCACAGCTCGCCCTCAAGCTCCGTCGACAGCTTCTTGAGGCGCCTGGCGTATTCCTGGGCTAAGTCCAGGTCGTGGATCGAGCATGGGCCCACGATGACCAGTAGTCTGTCATCTTTGCCCACAATGATTTCGCTGGCCTCCCTTCTACCTTTTTGCACAGTTTCCAGGCACTTGTTGGTGGCTGGAATCTGCGATTGCAAAAGCGCGGGCGACACTAGCGGGTCCAATCCTAGGATTCTCACGTCTTCCGCTTGCTCCAAAATATCTTTTCTCACTGGTGACAAACTCATATGAAATCGATGCAAATTTAACTGGAACTTGAAACAAACCGCTATTTCAACAATACACTAGTAACTGCTCGTGAGTGGCACTTCGACTGCAGGGAGCTCGATACTTTGGCGGTGATGCTTTTATATATATGGCCATGGTGAAATATTGTGAGATGAGTACATTTCAAAATTTTTCAGTAATCATGAACGACAGCGTCGCGATGAGCTGCCAACGCTCCGACTATGAGCTGGACGTTGACTATGGAGGGCAGGAGTAGGTGAGAAGCATGTCTCTGTGGCGTAGTGTGTGCCCTTTGGCTGGCGTGGTGAAGCACGAATTGTCTTGATTTCGGTGCTATGTCATTATTGTACAAAGTGATGTGCCGGTGTCAGTAGGCGAAAAGGCATGAGTAAGCATCAACCTTGGTTGAAGTCTGTCAAGCTGCTTGGTTGGAGCCTGTCAAGCTGCTTGTTAGAGATGGCAAAGGTCCATGCGTTAGCAGGGGCAGCTGAAAAAACTGCGGATTCGATTTTTCAATACGCCTGGTAAATTATATCGTGAGTGCAGCTGAGGCTGCATGCTCCAGTGAGCTTTCTTTCATCGGCTCATCGGCTCCGCTCCATGCAACCGCTGCTGCTGTGGGTCTCATTCGCTGCTTGCACACTTTGCGCATTCTTGTTTTACTGACGTTGCGGATATCACTTCGTACTATACTGACACATGGATGATGGTAATGACCGATGTGCAACTTGACGCTACTTCCACGGCGCCAGGTCTCTACCACTCGGTAGTTTTGACAAGCTTGCGCTTGAGGTCATGAAATTGTAATACATATATCGTTGAATAATGGTAAAAAGATCGTGGGGACTGGCCGTTGCACTTCAATCCATAAAGAAGAGACGCCCTTCCCATGGTCTCAGGATATTGGGCTCGGCGTCCTCGGTCGGGTAGTTGGCGAAAAACTGCTGGTAGGAGGCGCGTGGATCGGGCTTGGTGAACTCACACGCCTGCGAGGAGAAGTTGAGTGCGGCAAAGAGGCGGCGCGACTGAGCGCTGCCGTCGCGAGGCTGTTTGGTGTACATGAAGAGGCTAGGGTGGTCCAGCTGGTAGAACTCAAAGTCCTGGCCGTAGGCCAGCAGGTCCAAATTGGCCTTTCTCACCTGGAGCGCCCGGCGCCAGAAGTTCAGCACCGAGTTGGGGTCGCTCAATTGGTCCTCGGCGTTGATGCCCTCGCGGTAGCTGGAGTTGGGGTCCATCCAGGGCGTGGCCGCGGGCTCGTTCCCGTGGTCGCTGAACCCTGCGTCCGGCTCGCGCGCAGACCACGGGAACGGGTTGCGGGAGTGGTCGCGGGAGATGAGCGCCGCAGCGTGCTTGAATTTGTGCATCTGGGCCGAGTCCTCGCCGAACTTCTCGCGGATCTCGTTGGCGTGGGTGACCACCTCGATGTCGCGGTATTGGTCCAGCGACCAGTCCAGATTGTTGATCTGGCCCAGTTCTTGGCCCTGGTACACGTACAGCGTTCCCGTGAGCGACACCTCCAGCAACGCCAGCAGCTTCGCGGAGACCTGGCGCCATCTGGGCGAGTCGTCGCCGAACCGCGTCACGCTGCGGGGCTGGTCGTGGTTTTCCAAATACACCGTGGACCAACTGTCGGTGCGATTGGCAAACAAAAAGCTGTCTGCGACCGCCAGTTTCCACTCTTTCAGAGAAAAGGGCTCGATCTGGTACCGCGAGCCCGACGCCGCGCCGATGTCCGTGTGCGCAAACGTGAACAGCTGGTCCATCTCCTGCTGCTCCGCGCTGGTGTACAGCAGCAGGCTCTCGTCCTCGCAGTGGCCCACCTCGCCCACCGTGAAGATCTGCTTGCCGTCCGGCACCTGCGACAAGAAGTACCGGCGCATTTCCTTGTGGAACTCGTGGATCCGCGGCCCGTTCCGCATCAGCTCGCCCGCGTACTGGAACTCGCTGCCGGGCTCCGTGATGGGCGCGTCCGGCAGCCCCGGTTTCTTCGAGTACAGCCCCGCGGTGTCGATGCGGAACCCGTCCACCCCGTGGCGTAGCCAGAACCCGGCCGCCGTCTCGTACAGCTGCTTGCGGAGCTCCGCGTTTTCAAAGTTGAAGTCCGGCTGGCCCTTGGCAAACAGGTGCAGGTAGAACTCCTGCGTGGCCTCGTCCCACTCCCACGCGGGCCCGCCGAAGATCGAGCGCCAGTTGTTGGGAGGGATGGGCCGGCCCTGGGGGTCGCGCCCGCGCGCCGGCCGCCACATGAACCAGTCGCGCTTGGCGTTGGTCCGGGACGCGCGCGACTCCCGGAACCACGCGTGCTCGCTCGAGCAGTGGTTAATCACCAGGTCCACCACCACCTTGATGTCCAGCGCGTGGCACTGCCGGATCAGCTCGAAGCAGTCCTGGTTGGTGCCGTACCGGGGCCACACTTTCTCATAGTCCGCGATGTCGTAGCCCATGTCCTCCTGCGGCGAGTCGTAGAACGGACACAGCCAGACCGCGTCCACGCCGAGGTGCTTGAGGTAGGGCAGCTTCTCGACGATCCCGGCCAGGTCGCCCCAGCCGTCGTTGTTGGAGTCCTTGAAGCTTGCGGGATAGATCTGGTAGACAGTGGCGTGTTTCCACCACTTGGCCGGCGCAACAGTCATGGCCGGTGAAGGGGGGGGAGGTCGAGAGCGTGTGTGCGCGATGGTTGGGCGCTGGGGGGACGGCGAGGCCTCTGGTACCTGCTCGAGAGCGTCGGGAGCTCGCCCGAGCTCGACGTCCTCCCGGCCTCTTATACCTGCTCGAGCGCATGGTGGCCGCCCGCCCGCCGCCCGCCCGCCGCCCGCCCGCCGCCCGCCGCGGCGGTGCCCCGAGCGGCCTCGAGCGCCGGTCGCTTGTTCGCCGCCGTGGGCGCTTGTGCCCTGCCCCGGTCGTCACGGCGGACGGGCGCCGGGGCCCATTGTTCCCCGGACTGTTGGGCTCGCGTCGCGGCGGACGGCGGGGACGCGCGGGTGCGGGGAAGGGCGCCGCCGGGCGGCTGCCCGGCGGCCAGGTGTATATAAGGCGAGCAGGCCGGCCGGTAGTGGTGGACCGTTCCCAGCTTGGAACACTCCTCATCCAAACACATCCAGTGTACGCTCTCTCACTCTACTAGCTCTCTCTCTCTCTCTCTCGCGCGATGAAGGACAAGAAGAACCTCTCGCAGACCTTTACCGAGATGTCGGCGGCGCCCTCCACGCCGTCGGCCAAAAAACAAGAAACCCAGCACCTGGAGTTCGTGGACTCGTCGGCGCGCGGGTCGTCGGACGGCGGCGTCGACCGCGAGCTCGTGTGCAACTCGGCGGCCGCGGACGACACGATCGCCAAGTTCCTGGGCCTCTCCGAGGACGCGCGCCAGGTGGACGACGCGGACAAGCAGATGTCGCTGATGGCCGCGCTGCGCCAGTACCCGCGCGCCGCGATGTGGTCGATCGTGCTGTCGTCGGCGCTCATCATGGAGGGCTACGACACATCGCTGCTGTCGGCGCTGTACGCGCTGCCCGCGTTTGCGCGCAAGTTTGGCGAGTGGAACCCGGCGGCCAACGTGTACGAGGTGCCGGCCAAGTGGCAGACCGCGCTGTCGATGAGCACCAACGTGGGTGAGATCATCGGGCTGCAGCTGGCGGGCGTGGTGGCGGACCGCATCGGGTACCGCTACACGCTGATCTCGTCGCTGATCATGGTGTTTTGCTTTATCTTTATCCTGTTCTTTGCGCCCTCGAGCCCGGTCCTGCTGGTGGGCGAGGTGCTGTGCGGTATTCCATGGGGCTGTTTCCAGACGCTGACGGTGACGTACGCGAGCGAGGTGTGCCCGCTCGCGCTGCGCTACTACTTGACCACGTACGTGAACATTTGCTGGGTGCTGGGCCAGATCATGTCTTCGGGCGTGCTGAAGCACGCCCAGTCGAACCTGTCGGACTCCGACCTGGGCTACCGGTTGCCATTTGCGCTGCAGTGGATTTGGCCCTTGCCCATCGCGGTGGGCATCTACCTCGCACCGGAGTCGCCGTGGTGGCTGGCGCGCAAGGGCCGGCTGGACGAGGCCACGCGCAGTTTGGACAGACTGGTCACCGGAGTCGCCGCGGGCGAAAAACCCGCGGTGCTGGACGCCATGTTGCACCGGATCCAGTTGACGATCCAGAAGGAGGAAGTGCTGACGCGGGACGCCTCGTACTGGGACTGTTTCAAGGGCTCGGACGGCAGACGTACGCGTATCGCGTGCATGGTCTGGATCACGCAGAACGCCACGGGTAGCGCTTTCATGGGTTACTCCACGTATTTCTACGAGAAGGCCGGCCTGGACAGCTCCAACGCTTTCACTTTCACGCTGATCCAATACTGCCTGGGTTTGGTAGGTACCATCTTGTCGTGGGTCGCCGCGCGCCGCTTCGGACGCTTTACCATTTTCACCTCGGGTCTCGCCGCGCAGGCGGTGCTGCTGTTGTTGATCGGTGCTCTTGGCTTCCACAGCTCGCAGGGCGCGAAGTGGGCCATTGGCTCGCTCTTGCTGATCTTTACGTTTGTCTACGACATTGGCGTGGGCCCTGTCACCTACTGTGTGGTGCCGGAAATCCCCAGCAACAAGTTGCGTACCAAGACTGTTATCTTGGCCCGTAATTTCTACAACTTGATGGGTATTATCAACTACATCTGGACTCCTTACATGCTGAACACGACCGCTTGGAACTGGGGGGCCAAGACCGGGCTGTTCTGGTCCGGAATCGCGTTTGCGTTTCTGGGATGGGCCGTGTGGGACTTGCCGGAGACCAAAGGTCGTACTTTCTCTGAAATCGACGAGCTGTTCGCACTCAAAGTGCACGCTCGTAAGTTCAAGTCCACTCGTGTGGATCCATTCGACGGTGGGAAGCTCATGGCCGAACTGGACGACGAGCAGATTGAACGTCTTGTTGAAGCCGACGAACGCAAAAAGGACAAGTTGACCGTCATTGAGGAGTTGGATTAGAATCCAAATATTACACGCGCCCGGGAGCGGTCCGCACGCTTCCGCCAAAAAGAGTAGAAACTTTATTCACAATGGAACTGGTTTCCTATGTAGCTCACGTATTATGATAATTACGATATGACCTTGTGTCAGTGTATTCAGTTGGGTCGCCCGCGCGCAAATCACGGGCAATTCTAATTTCTCTCCCTTAGGGTATTTCCTGAGGCACGTAGCATCCGACTGGTAGACCCCAGTGTGTGCACTTTGCGCATCCTGAACCGCTTTCAGCGTGGTTACCTGACATCGCATAAAGATGTTTTCATGCTGACGCTGGAGAGAGTCAAAGCCAGTTCTATGTCCGATCCCCTTTGTCATTTGAGCTTTTATCAAATCTGCTGCTCTGGACAGACAGCAGTTCAAGCAGACGCGGTGTCTGTGCCCTCCCGAGGGTTATTCGCCTTACGTTTGTACTTGGCGAAAGTAGAAGATATATTCCTCCAATTCGATAGCCCTCCAAAGGACCCAATTCGACAAAGTATTTAAGTGCAGAGGGCTCGCAGTTTTTGAAGGTGGACGATACTAAATATATCTGTGTAGCCTTTTTGCCTTGGTGTATTATCTTCCTGAGGATCATGGTATTGTTGATAAACTTCCTATACCCAATATTTATACAACGGTGATATTTGTACACACTATCCTCAGCAGTCTGATAGTGAATGACTGCAGATTGTTGAGATACTAAGTGACTAGCTGTATGACCATTATGAAGCGATTGGTCCACCCTTCTTTCACCAACAGAGCTGCCATCTTTCCCTCCGGCCCTGGGACATTAATTCAAAATTGTACTTGAAATAAAGTTTCCAAACCCGCTCTGAGTATTTCACAATAACCTAAGCCTATGCTTCGTCTCTCTCTCTCCCACTATCAAGGCCATTTTTGATCCCGACCGTGGAGCTTACAGCTGTATTCATCGAAGCTTTCACCGCAATCATCTGCACTCAGCTAGAGGTGGATGAAACTAGCTTCCACCCTACGCGAACTACTTGTTGGACTGTATATATAAACTCCCCATCCTTCCGGGCCCCATTGCTTGATTGTTCGCCGTGCACGCTGTTTAACTGACATTTCAATATCACTTCATACCATTATGACACATCGGTGATGGTAACTATTATGAAACTAGAGGTTCTTCAAATAGCGCTGGACTACTACCATCTGACAGTTTTGAGTGATTGTGACTATCTACACGTCCAGAGAAGCACTTGTTTCCATAAACTTCAAAGTTTCCAGGTGGTCCGATTTTTTAAAGATGTGTGCTGCAATGATAACTTCAAGTCCTCAGAAGAGCACCTCCAAAAATCAACATCGTAACCAGCCAGCCTGACAGAGCACTTACTAACCGACAGTAATTGCCTGCTGAGACCAAAATCTCAAATTTTGACTCCACTGTTGGCCTCAATTTTTGGATAGGTAGTCGAGTCTACCTTAGCATGCTCAGCAAGCCCACTATCCTTCACAATAAATGCTTAAAGTCCACCTATTAAAAGTCATAGACAAACCTACTCATATTATACATTATTCTTAATTTACAGCAGTGCTAAGGTTCATGCTCACAATAGAGCCAAGGGTAGCGCAAACAGTAGACCTGCTTTGATCCGGTTGGCTTTACCCTCGAAGCTGGACATCCCGGATCCTACACTCTTCGTAGAATAAGCTGAGCTACTGCCGAGTTCGCTGGTTCCTGCACTTGGTAACTGACCTTCGGAGAAGCTGGCGGCGGTAGCAGTGTCCAAACGCGCACTACTTTGGGAAGGGGAGTTCACAACCTTGGACGTCTTGCCTATGTTGTAATTAGAGACAGCACTCTGTCCACTATTGAGGGCACTGCTTGGCTTAGGGACCCCCATCGTCTTAGACACCGTGGCATCAGACATCAAAAATTCCGTTGGTTGGCCACTTGTTGAACATAGAGTAGATACTTCGTTGGTTGCCAGTGGGAGAGTAGAGATGCTCTTAGAGGTCTGTGAAGACATACTTGACGCCGATGGTGAGCTTAAAGTAGAGGTGACACTTTGCATTCCGCTTGACAAGGAAAATTTTAAGGTAGAGCTCAAAAGTTGTGTGCTGCGTTGACCATGATCCCCGATGCTCGTCCCATTGTCAGAAGTAGAGAAGCCTAAAGTACGTGTGTTGAGCCCACTTGAACTAGAAATGGTCGAGACAACACCAGATGTGGCCTCGCTAGATGATTGCACATCATCATACCAGAACACGACTCCACTGAAGTCTGTGGTCTGCGTTACACCAGGACCAGCGTAGCTTAAAATTCTAGAAACGGGCGTCTGGCTGGAGGTCACGACTCGAATAGAATAGCTGATGCCTGCTTCCAGGTGTGCAGTGTAGTCCGGACTTGATCTTCTAAAAAAACGGGACCTTTTGAAGAAGGTGGAAGTCTGAGCATCGATACTGTTGCTACTAGTGCTAAATACCTCAGAGTTTCCACACTCGAAGGCCTTGCCGTCACCAAGTAATAGGATGGAGTTGGTGCCCTCCAGATAAAAAGTGTGTGGCCCGCTTGTTGTTGGTTTGAAATAGCCTTCAATTTGCACCGTTCCAGCAACACTGATGCTGAGGTCAGTGAGATACACTACCTCCACATCACTACGGTTCGTGGGGTTGAACTCAATTAAGTTCCGAGAGCCTGATAACGAGAGACGTGTCGAGTTGATGGATTGTACTCTAAAGCCAGGTTGACGAGGTCCAGAAGGGTTGCATCCGTTGGCCCCAAAAGCAGTTTCAGTGGGATTGGATGCCGCGCTAGAGAAGCTGTTGGTCCTTGACTCTGACGATGTGGTAACGGAGGCCGACTCTGAGGCCAAAGAAGAAATATAAGTAGAATTGTAGGTTGTGGCTTCGGAAGTAGGGCCTGCCTCTGTGCTGGGCGATCGAGATGAGGAGATGTCAGGGCTTGAATGTCCAGAGCTAGAACTGGAAGCAAACAGCATGACAGAGTTGAAGCTACTGGGTTCAGACATCGGAACGCCAGAAACCGAAACAGGAGTCTGAAGACTTATCAGTGAAGTCACTTCAGCATGAGAAGTACGAGAGACTGACGACATATTCGCATTATATGTCAACGAGAATTCAGAAACATCAGAGGGAACAGAGGCAGGAACAGAGGCAGAAACAGAGGTGGATATGGCACTTGAGGGGCCAAAGCTTAACGAACTGGAGCTTGGCAATTCGGACGTAACTACACCAGCTTTTGAAATGGAGCTGGATCCACGCACAGACGTGGATTCGAGAATGGGCTTTGATCTTGTCAGTGAGGTGGAATTTATGGAGCTAGGAGGTGAAATACCAGAGGCCTTAGATGTCAGAGGTAGCTCTGACAGCTCGATACTAGAACCCGAGGTGCTGGAGCCAAGAAATTGGGAGATGGAACCGGTAGAAGCAGGAGCGGTGTTTGTGCCGGAGGTGGAGCTGGAGCAAGAGCTTGAACCTGTCTCTAAGGTAGAAGCAGGAGCTGCTTCAGACGTGGATGTAAGCGTTGAACTTGAGACAGACGAGCTCAATGTGAATCCCGGGGAAGTGACAGCTGAAGAGCCCAACGTTGAAGAATCGGGAATTGAAATGGAGAGTGAAAGGAGAGATGTCGGATTCACTCCAGAAACGGAGCTAACCGTCAATTCAGAAACTGGTATATCAGAATTGGAGATAGATATTGAACTGGAAACAGAATCGGTGCTTGAGGACACTGTACTAGAGTGTTCCGAGGTGGTGCCGAACCTCAGGCTGCCAGATGAGGCTGAGCTTGAGATTGAACCTGAGGTTGAACCTGATTTAGAGAAAGTTGCAGAATCAGAGGAGGGGATTGACTTTAATGCTGAGCCTGGTGTGAAGATCAAAGCAGATCCTGAACCAGACACAGGAGCACCAGAAGTTGCGGACCTTATAGAAGAGCTCTTAGTGGCAGAGAGGCTGGAAGTGGAAGTGGAGTCAAGAGTTGAGGTGGGTAGGGACGGAGACGATGCGTCAGAGTGAGAACCGGCAATTGACGAAGCAGAAGCAGAAGCAGAGACTGTCAGCCCTCTCGTGGATCCTTTGATGCTAGCGTCCGACAGCGTGATTAAATTGCCTGAGCGGGTGGGAACAGCCAGTGAAGAGGAATTTCCATAGAACCCAGTCCCACTACTTATGGCAGGCCTTGAGAGGAGGCTTACAGAAGAGCCCGATTTGGAGGTTGATTCGGGTATCGAAGATATACCAGAGGTAGAACCAGAGGTAGAACCAGAGGTAGAACCAGAGGTAGAACCAGAGGTAGAACCAGAGGTAGAACCAGAGGTAGAACCAGGGGCTAGCGACCCAATTGTAAAGTTTGTGTTCAAAGTTGATGTCAAAACTGAGATTGATGCAGTGTCGGCAGCGGAACGGGAGACCGAAGACAAACCAGAAGAAGATGATAAAATCGAGACCGAACCTGAACTAATGAAACTCACTGGAGTAGACGGCGCACTAGAGGTCGATGATAAGCCAGAGGCAGAACTAAAAACACTAACTGAAGAGTTGGTGCCAAAAGTAGAAGTTGAATCGGGGCCCAAGGTAGAGCGTGTGATCGAAGCTAGACTAGCGGCGGAAGTCGAAGAACCGAGTGTGGAGTTCATGGCTGAAGCCGAAGCTGAATTTGAGGCAGACGCGAAGCCAGAAGTCGATATTGAGGTATCATTGGGAGCTGAAGTGGAGATTGAACCTGCATCAGAGATCGAAACTGAGCCACTAGTAAAAGATTCTGGGACGGCAGAGACTCTACCAGAATCTGAAGCAAGTGGTTCACTTGATAGAACCGTAGAAGTGCTTGTCGGCGTGAATAAATAGTAATCTTCAGACTCCGTAGCGTAGCCATCACTGCCAGTAATAAAAGTGGTAGATGTCGAAATGAAAGTCCCATTACCTGTCCACCCGTCGGTGGCCATAGTAGGGCCCGACAGGGTAGCAGTTGTTGGTGCCAGTACGTAGTAGTCTTCCACATTGACTACGTATCCGTCGGTAGCAGTAAACAATGTGGTTGAGGTCGAAATTGAGGTAAAACTTTCTGTCCACCTTTGAGTAGTTACTGTGACACCAGAGGATGTTGATGGCACCTGCGGACATGCTGGAGCATCAGCATAAAAATAAACTAGGCCGCTGAAATCGGAGCTCGGCGAATCGCGCCCAGGGCCGGTGTAGGTCAAAATGGGTAGGTTAGGCCCCCCAAGGGCGTAGCCATACGCAAAATGGGTGATAATTTTGATAGGATAGCTGACACCCGCATGTAAGGTGGCCGTATAGCTAGGAGAATTTGTTGGCATTTTTGTCAGCCCGGAATTATTGATTAATATATCCTCTGTGTTGGTGCTAAAGAGGTTGGACTGACAACAAGAGAATGCTTGCGGACTGCCCATCAAAAAGATTGAATCTACTTTGTTCAGATAAAATGTGTATGTGCCCGTTGTCTGTGGTGTAAAGTAACCTGCCAAATTCACAAAAGCGCCACCAAAGGTAAGTGCAGTTGATGTGGTGTAGCCGAAGTGCGCATAATTGTGCGTGAAAACATCTAGTAGCTCTTGATCAGTAATAGATTGAGGCCCAGATGCTATGAATCCCAAGGCGAAGCCTGCATTTCCGGTGCCGCTGGGGCTACAGCCGTGGTCAATAGCCAAGCTCGTAGTAGGTGCCTTGGCTAGGATGAGTCGGGCCATCCACAGTGCTAGCAACAAACGGCTAGCGCATAGCAGGGAGGTCATGTTGCCAAGCAAGGTAAAGAATGAAAGACTCTGCGTTAGCCATTGTTTCTTATTTTCTGGGCGCCAGCAAAACCTACCTCCTCTTATAAAACTTTGGTCGATAGATATTCAGCAGTTTAACCCACAGTCAACATATTGATTTTGATGATAACAGCTCGCTAGTCACATCACACTACTAGCCTGCAAAAGTGTTGTACAACACCTGAGTATAAAGTAAGTACATCAAGTAGCTTTGTCGCTGTCTATGCAGGGGGAAGAACTGGCCAGACTCGAGGAACAAATAATCACACAATTTACATCGAGTACCATCGTGGGTGTCGCTCCCCACAACACCTTCGTTTGATGGCGATGCGCTTTACCGGACCCTACCACGTAAGCTTCAGACTTAATATTACAAAAATTTTCAACTCTCCGCCTTGTGTGTACGCTGTCGCGGCATAGAAAAACCAAGGCCAGTTTCCCAATCTGTAGGCCTGGGCATTTGGCCATAAATCTGCTAGCTGTAGATCCTTTCAGTTCGCCTTTGTTACCTAGTGACCATGCGAAGAATTTTCGTTTATCTCCGCATCACTGCGCCAAGATAAGCAAGACTGCGAGGTGTGAGACTTCACAATTGACCAGTCAACGAACTACAACCCGCTGATCTGCATGCGAATAATCTGGCTGGCCCAAAGGGTCACAGCATTTCGTCAGCGTTGTCGGGATGTTTTTTTTTCGAGAGTGACAGCATATCGAAATGGCGATAAGAACCGCAGAGTTCAAGAGTTCTAAGCATGCCAAGTGCATCTCAAACTGTCCTGATCATCTTTCCGAATCCAGTCCACTAAGTGAAAATTATGACGCGAGAGGCCGTTTCGGCGTTGTGGGTGTCGTTTTCTCCATCGCGCCAGGCTCTACTCTTACAAAGAGGGTCACGTCTTCCGAGGAGACCACCACAATAGCTGAGACAGCCACATCTACGACCACATCGACCAAGTTTGCATTGGCCAGAACCACTGTAACGGAAACAAGGAAATCAAACATGGCCACATCTATCGAATGGAACACGGCTGATCTTCTGAAATAATACTGTGAGCCCACGAGCCATCGCCCCATATACTATAGAACACGGCTGAATATATTTGGAATGGTGTTAGAACGACCGAATGTTAGTGATCCAATACCGCTTGAATAGCTCCGAGGTGCGTGGTAGTAAAATATCAACTTTGTGTCAGTATAATACGAAGTGATATCAAACGTCAGTAAAATAATAATTTATAAGGCTAATCAATTATGGGCCCAGGGGAACAGCGATTGCACCCACTCAACAAAAAAAGACTCATCAGGCTAGCTTCTGCCGATACTGATGCTGGCGCGACCCATCTCAATAGCGTCATATATCGCTGCACCACTAGTTATAGTTTCGTCTGTAGTTATACTATTCATAACAACGGTCTAATTGCCAACAAACAACCCCTAACAAACCTTGAGCAGTTGGGATAGCCTACGATGATGACAACGAGGAGACGAGTAGTTCATCAACTTCGCTTTGTCCGATGACCATACCGAAAGCTTGGGGCAACATGAGAATTGTTGACAAAATTTGGAAGTGTGCTTATCGCCCCTGGGACCCTGAGAATCACAAATATCTTCCGTTGCAAAACTTTGTGGTGATAGCTTTAGCATGCGCTTTCGATACTATGTGCATGGCGGCAATGGTGACTTTGAATGAAGATTTGCAGGACAAATTTGGCGTTTCTTATACAACTGCTTCGTGGGGGCTGACTGCGTATGCAATTACATTTGCGGGGTTCATCGCATTCTTGGGTAGAGTAGGCGACGTGATTGGAAATACTTGGCTATTCACATGCTCTACGCTATTGTTCTCGATATTCTCGCTGCTTTGCACTGTCATGCCGTCTTTCCCTGCTTTCGCTGTTTTTCGAGCATTGCAGGGCGTGGCTGGCGCAGGAATAGTGCCTTCGAGTTTTGCGCTTATCCCAATGATATTTGAGGACAGTGCAGGTACCTATTTGTCGATACTTTCGATGATTTTTGCGGGTTGTTTCGGTCTGGGCTTCGTGTTAGGAGGTGCATTCGCCATGACAGACGGGGGGTTTCGAGGGTTATTTTACTTTGTATTTGGCTCAATGATGGTCGTTTCCGTATTCTCGTTTGCGAAAGTGCTTTCGATTGGTTACGAAATGGATCACAGAACAACGTTGAAGGAGAGGTGGAACAAAGTGTGCGAGCTGGACATGGTGGCGACCACGGTGTTTATTCTGAGTAGTATAATGATTGTGATTGGACTCACTGAAGGTGGCAAATCTTGGGAGGAGGCAAAGGCCTACGCGGTTTTTATTGTAGGTTCGTTGCTGTTCGCAGGTTTTCTATTCTGGAATATAAAGTACGAATTGTTGACCAGTCAACTGAGTCGCCTTAAAATGAAGCGTCTTGGTCAACAACTACAAAAAAGGTCGGTGCTCATCCCGAGTTCTGTCATGGGCTTGAGGAATTTCTCGCCAGCGATGCTTACAGTTTTTTTGAACTATTGCTGCTTCCTTTCAAGCTTTTATATTATTAATCAGTACAGCATGTACGCAGAAAAAGATTCGCCTATCATCGCCTCTGTGAAACTCTGTCCTATAGTGATTGGTCTAGCACTCGGGAACTCTGTGGTAATATTTCGCCCTCAAACTTTTAGTGCGAAAATTGGGCTAATTATGGGTTTCTTAATCATGCTTTGCTCAACAATCATCCTAATACAACTCCACTTGGTTCACACTCTGGTTTTTTGGAAAAGACTTCTCCCGTCCGGGTTCCTGTGCGGACTCCGCTCGGGTTTATACTTTCCTTACATGCTGTCGATGACAGTTGGTGCTGCACCACACAACCTGAAGGGGCTGGCTTCGGGGATCATGCAAACATTCGGGCAATTCGGCAAGGAAGTAGCGTTTTCCGTCTTAGCCTCAATAATTGGGAACCTTGGATAATTGGGAACCTTGGATATTTGGGAACCTTGGATCCCTCCAGCAGGCTAGGCAAAAATGCCAGACCAAGTTTTCAAAACTGTACGTATTTTGCTTTAGCTTCCAGTGCTATTGGATTACTCGTCGGTATTTTCTTGATAAAAACAGATCGAGAACAATCCGAAGCAGATGAGGTAGTTTTAGAAAAAGGAAGCATTAAGCCGGAATCTGAGGTTGAGATTAAATGTCTTGTTTGATAGACACTAGTGTGGATTTCCAGGGAGTACGTGAGATATCAATGTGGGTCTGGCAAAGTGAATATGCTTATTCGAAGCGGTACAATTTTCAAGTCAGGTGCAAAATGTTTGGCGAGAGCACCAGAACCTCCAGAATGGTCTACCATACACCTATGCATCGAAAGGGCTCTAGGAAAATCTATCAGAGAATTTCTGGAGTAAGCCGCTAGAGTTTTCCATTTCTTATAATCGTCTCATAATCATCTGTCATTAGTTTCTCTGACACTTTGTCTTGTCACGTTTGACAATACTGACAAGACCTCTCCTAAAATCTTGCACGTTGACGCCATAAGGTAGCATGAGACACGTATCGCTTGGCCATTCCAACATATTTTCCGTTATTGAAAGACCTTCTCAGTCATTTGTGGAGTAAGTTGTGGAGTATCTGTCTAACATCAAGTCTACTACATAGAGTACATACACGAGAAACCGATTTCAATCGCTGCAAATGCACAGCACTTGCAAGGTTCGTGATTTGTTCTCCAAAAGGAAGTCATAAGCTGGATAAGAGATCGATAGTAAGTTGCACTATATACTAACTAAGTATCATTTCACCTCCCTCGCTGCATGCCACTACGTAATCCGGAGGCGACAAAACACTGGCGCCACTGGTGTCACTGCCATCACTAGAACACTGGCGCAAGTTCAAACCCGATGGTTCATATCTCGGCAATTGCGAGTTGATGCCCGAATCTTTGTCGACCACTAATATGGGTATCTTCACAGACAAACAAGCTTTCTTTGCATCTTCTTGGACCAAGGTAATTAGTACATTTAGTTCATGTGAAATTTTGAGCCTGGGTCGGGAAGAGCGCGTGCTTGATAGTCTCACATTATAATCTCCATACGACGGAAAAAAGTTGTTATCATACTTGCCTTGCTTCAACGACGGCGGCAGCGTCAAATTCCCAATCTTCAAATTATAGCGCATTGCCGCAGCATCAAATCCACCGACTCTGTGCAACAAAGAAGTCTGCCTCTGTTGATAATCGTCGTTCAAAATGGGGCCGTTATCGTTGCTCATGTATGGCACGGAGATCGTTTGCAGAATACCAATCTGGACGAATTTAATCTGACACTCTCGCTGGCGAACCAGTTGTAGGGATAGTAGAAATGGGGTATCAAATTCGACCACGTAGGAATCAAGCGAGACATGGCAGTCCAACAATCCGTCTCTATAGCTGGTGTGTAATTCGCCACTTTCCAAAAATCCCCCACGAGCTTCCTGCTGAAGTACTCTCACCAGGTTGAGGCTCGAAGTCAAGAGCACAGTATCATTTACCTTGGAGCGCTTTGGCACTGTCACAAACGATTCTAACCGGTATGTAGTAGACCCCAGGTGCGTAGCCGTAGATGGTGGGAAGAGACGCGAGTCGATAATGAACTCAAACTTGTAATCGTAGATACCCGGTCTCAACAACACGGGTTTATTCCGCTCGAGTTCTGCTCGCCCATTGAAATAAATAACATCTTGAATGAAGGGCGTTTTGCCTGACGATGATCCAGATTTCGGGGAATTGACCATTTCTACATGACCACTCCTTTTACACTTTCCCGGCTTGAATGCATATTCGCAAGTATAACCACTAAGCCTAGTCTGCATGTTTGTCAAGGCAATGGGCTCGCTGCCCTTGACAACCACCCGAAGCCTCCCGGACATCGTTCCGACGCTCGATGAATCGTTTCTCTCACTAAAACCCGCCGGTTTCACCCAAAAAGTGTCCGAATCCAAGTCCAACGATATTTGTAACTGATCAGAGTCATAGTTTGTTATGCAAGGGTTGTCTACCAAATTAAATGGATCATATTCAATAGCGGGGATCGAAGTAGCTTCGTGTTTGAGCAGATCTCCTGTCCTTTTCAAGTCCACTAGCCTGAGACTTTGGGGTTCGGGGTAGGGCTTAGCATGTTTGTCCACTCGTCTCGTCAGAGTCGTATGCTTCTTGTCTCTACAAGCCGAATTATTATGGTAATGAGATTGACAACCAGACACAAAGTAACGAAACGGTGCTTTAGACTTCAACCCGACTAACATGGTGAAACCAAGGTGCTCTTGGAAGTGAGCTCTTTAATCTAGCCCATGAGCCTAAAGCTCATTCTACATATACCAACTTTTGTCTCTCCTGGTGCCTAGGCCGAGCGAAGCATTTTGGCAAGAACACGATTGATGAGTAAAACTTTCTCTAGCATGCAGGAAGGTCAAGGGGAATACCATCACCCCTAGGGTTTGTATTCCGACTAAACGCTCTTTATCTACCGTAACCAGGGGCCCTGAAAACTTATGATCCCATTGTGGACCCACAGAACATGTGTTATTTTGAGGCGGACGTTCTGCAAAAATACAGCAGGAGGAATTATAGAGTGGCATCTTTACAAATAACGATGAAGACTGTGCAATGCAGCGGGATAGTGACCTTTAATGGCCCCCCACAGTTTAGCGATCGTGTATCTGTGAGCTTTGGCTGAAGAATTCATGTCGCACTCCCAAGGTCGTGGAACTGGTGCGGAAAAAACGAATCACATTGTAAGTTTTAAATGTCAGGGTAGTTAAAGCGCATGAATGTCTTGAATGATCATATACTTGAGGTTCGAGTCAAATGTGCCGGTGGTTTCCATTGAGCGCCCGTTGATTACACCATGTGCTCCTTGGTTTATAAATGCCGTGTCATTATTGTGTGAAATGATACCTCATGATTGTATACGTTGCTGACGTTCGAGAGCTTTGGGAAGGAGTAGAAAAGCACATCGGATTGAAAGCTTACCTCATTACTCATGTAAGTGAGTCATTGTAGTGTGAGTTGCCAGCACGTATAGTTCTGAAATTTTTCAGTTCCTGAACTTCCGGAGTTCTCATGCACTCGTGCTGCGATCAATAACGAATCAATCAACAATGAAGGAAGAGAGTAATGACAGTGTGCAGAAAAAAGACTTGATAATTTACTATTTATTACACATTTCCATTATCTATGCCATCTACTCCGCACCTCTCATCATATTTTGGTGGTGATAGTACACTAGAGGCACTATTACAGTAGTTTAATTCCACCGGAGACACTTCATACTTCGGCAACTGCGCAGAGATCCCCAAGTTTCGGTCAAGCAGTAATACCGGGATTTTTAGGGACAAATTGACCGTCTCAGTGTTGCCGACGGACAATGTGATAAGGGCTTTCATTTCATGCGATATCTTGAGTCTATATCTGGTCGGGCCCGCTCCTGGTAAACAAGAGTTACGTTCCTCATATGAAGGTATAATACTGTCGAATGCCGAAGACTTCAAAGATGATGGCACTACCAAGTCATCAATGGACAGATTGTAACACATTTCCTTAGGGTCAAAACCTCCCACTTGACGTAGCAGTGACTTCCTAGGCTGGCAGTAGTAGTTATCTAGAGTTAAACCGCTGCTAGCATCCAAGCACGGAATACTTGTAGTCTGCACGAGGGCCACTTGAACGTCTTTTATTTCACACCCAAGTTTGCGTACCAATTGGAGCGAAAGTTGCAGAGGTGTATCTATTTCCAAAACCCGAGAGCTCAGGGACAATGAGTAGTCTAAAAGCCCTTCTCTCCAAGTATTGTGTACAGTGCTATCCTCTAAAGCGTTGGTGTATTCAGGAGAAAGGGCTTTTTTCAGCGTAACAATGGAGGTCAAAACCACCGTTTCGAATTTATGTTTGGTTCTTGGTACAGTCACCAAAGCTTCCAGTCGGTAAACTGTGGATCCAAGGTGTGAAGCAATCGACGCTGGGAAAATTTCCGAGTTGATAAGAAACTCAAATTTGTAATTGTAGATACCTGGTGGTAATAGCATTGACCTATCCGGACCTACCGATTCTCCTTCCATTGCCGAGTTAAAATGCACAATATCCTGTATAAATGGAGTATTGTACGAAACCGATTTATTCGAATTGGGGGTGTTGACAATTTGAATGCGATCACCATCTGCGCATGTTCCAGTTCTACGAGCATATTCGCAAGTGTACCCGCTAAGTCTCACTTGGACGTAGTTGAGTAATAAGGGCTCCGTGCCTTTGACAGTTACGTGCAAGGTCCCCGTGACAGCACCCAAGGCCGGTCGCTGAGCAGAGGTGGCCTCACCAATAATTTCCGACGTCAATGCTTGAAGACAAAATGTATCCGCATCCACGTCCAGTGATATGTGCAAACGCTTGGACTCATGAACTTTTCGACTGGGGTTTTCAACCCGATTAAAAGCATTGTATTCAATGGCCGGTGGTGCAACCGATTTATGCTTCAGCACAGTGCCCGAAGTTTTTGAACCCGACAATTTAATATGCATCGTGGTGCAATTGGTGTCAGTGTTGTTCTTCTTGAGTTCTTCAATGCGGTGAGGTTTTTTAGCACTACCCCAGCTGCTAAGTTTATTATTTTCGGGCATCAGATAGCGTATTGCCATGCTCAGTTTATTTAGGCTTGTGAGAATTGGTTTGGCTCGGGTACCTAGCGTTCTGTCACCTCTTTATGTATTTAGAGAACTGTTTTTCAACACTGCCACTTATGAATTATCTATTGTGACACACAGTTGATGTGCATGATTGAGTAAAAGCTATCCAATGAGCTTCAAGACCATTGCCGTGGAAATGATAGTTGACAAGTGTGATCCGTGGTTTAAGGGAGGTTTTTAGAGCACTTATGAAGAAGTTGTCATGCAAACGGCATTGCGATGTTACTGGGAGGCAGGAAGCGAAATGTATTCGTAGGCACCTAAGGATTGGCGAAGTACGGCATAGAGTGGTCGAGTCATCTCAAGCTTAGATGCAAGATTTGCGTGTGGTTATCGGTTATTTCAAACTTCCCAACAGGGCGCGCCAATTTCACCACCCATCTTTGTCACTTCACAAGAATGTGACAGTTTAGCAAGGCGAATGACTCATATTGACAAAGATGATGACTGTTCATCAGGGAAGGAAGAGGTGAAGTTGAACATTGCGAGGAAAGTCCAGACAGCTTCTAAACCAAACGAGGGAAGCTTGGCTGAACGAGTGGCGAACAGATTCGACCATCATTCTTACTTATCACTCTGCTCAATTCTGACGGCCGAATATTGAACAGGATCTTCGGCAGATGATAAAGAGATTTGTCCTGGGACATGAATTCGTGCAACAACGCGCCTTTTCCTAAGTCCGGAGCGTTCTTCTTTGTTGCCTTCAATGTTTTGAACACCACACTTGGCATCATCAAGTCCCAATGACGACATAAGTATTGGGTGTACTTTTCGTTACCTACCCACTAATACCTATACATATCCGCTCATTAACGAAGCAGTTTCGTGAAAGCTTTCCAGCTTTTGACGAGGTACAATGCTCCCTTTTGTTTACAATCTATCCGTAGCGTATCGACCCCTGGTGTATCCGCGTATCCCTGCAAATTCTTGGTACTCAACCCCAAGACGTTGGTGATCTTCCAAAACTTTTGCGAGTTTTCGTGCGGATCCAATAATAAAACCCCGTTTACATTCGGATACAATATCGGAAGCAGGTCAGTTTCACTGTCCCCAACATACCAGAGCGTGCTGTCCGGCTGGCACGTTCGACAAATTTGCCCAAGTTTATCTGCCTTGTCATACCCGGTGACAATGGTTTTGGCGAATTGGCCCGTAAGTAGGCCCTCTTGGACACAAAGGCTGTTGCATGTGGTTTGAATTGCTGGAAATGGCCCCAATGAAGCCTTGGACGCCGCTGCAAGCAACAACGACTCGATAAACTGTTGACACCAGTTTACAGAGAGGATATGAAGCTCAGAGCAGTTTTTCCACGCTTCGAGAAAGCCTTTTCGTAAAAGAGACGTACGGGATTCAGCAAACTCTTGAATCTGAGTGAGTTGGATACCCGCAAACGCGCGCTGTCTCTCCAGCTCACCGATACTATTTAATTCAATTGGCCTCAAACTTTTTTGATATGCAAGTTCCGGGCCGAATATGTTATGGTAGTTGGCTGAGTTGATGGTCTCATAGCCCTTTAATTTATCCGCGGTTCTTAATAACGGCAAAGTGCGCTCTGATGTGGGGAATTTATCGAAGCCTTGTTTGTAGGTGTCGACGAAATGGGACCACGGTACTGAGAAGGATTTATACAGATACGGCAATTCCGCAAGCGTCGCTATGGTGTCTTTATTGGTAATAGTATCGTCGAAGTCAGCGATGAGGATATGCATTTATAGGGTCAATGCTATTGATAAGTGTGGGACGTTAACAGTGTAGCTGGAATGACTTATCCACCTAGCAGAAAAGTTCAGACAAGCCTTGTGTTGGTAAGATGCGGCCTAGCCTCTGGGCTTGAGATTCTTGATGAGAGTTGTTGAAATAAGCAGGTCACATGAAACGGGTCATTGTTAAAGGTTCCGCGTAGTAGATGGACAGCCGTCAGCTTAAGTAGCTTAACTTAAGCAGCTCAACTGCCACAATGTGAGGTATGATCTCAGAGAGTCAAAGAAGCTCCCATTACATTTGTGAGAATCGCGTCGGCGCTTTATACCCTTGCTATCACCTCTCCAACCTATCGAGCAGTTATGTACAGCACAGAAACTGTGGTAAGCTACTATGTCAGGTAAAGTCTATCTCATTTGTTTAGTTCGAATGCAGAGCGTACTTCATAAAAGATACACACTATCAAAATTCGTCGCTGTAACATGTTGCCAAAATTCAGTTGGTAACTGATTTACGCGTAGACACCATTGCTCCACGCCAGCGTATGTGAAGGCCAATGGCCGTCCCTGTAGTCCCGACCATACTTTTCGCCCGGTCGCGCAATCACTGAAGTCGCCCGATTTGCTAGATCTTTTGTTTGTTTCGATAACGATCCACCTGGAAGGACCAAATAGGTCGATGAACTGCTGCATTGCTAGGTACTTCATGAACTAGTCATGGCTTGTACTTCAGTGGCCCCTTCCCATTGGTAAAATGGTGGTTTTTTGCGATCTCTCCCAGCCACCCTGTCAAGATAAATAAGTTGACCCTGTCAATAACTATCTATACACTGACCAATCCCAACTTTTCGCCAGTTCTCGTTTGCCAATCATATTTCTGTTCACTACATTATGCCCGCTCAGCTTCGGGCCCGATAGTCGTCTGCGGAATGGGAAATATTACTACTCAGCTTTGAATCGTGGCACACCGAAGTTGAATTTATTCCACAGGGTTTGATTGTTAGAATTGTCATTCAAATTTTCCTGGATGTGTCATCTTGAAGTCAATGGTGGTTACCTCTCTTGATGATCGGGTATCGGCCACCGATGGCCGGTCACGAGGTGACTAAGATCATCAACCGTTGACTATAAGAATGCTCACTGACGCTCCATCCTCTCTACCTCTTTGATCCAATTGCGTTGTGCTTTATCTACAACAGCTTGCGAGATGTCAGGAAATTACTCTGCTGATGAGCGGAGTTCCACCATATCCACCTATGTGCCGTTTCAAAGTACCGACGGAGAGTCATACACAGCTACAGGCTTCCAAGCCGAGCCTGCAGCTTCGAGTAAGGCAGATTCAATCACTGAGGGACTACGGCAGCGCTAAAATGGTCGAGAGGCACCAAGAGATGAGGGAATCGAGGCCCTTGCGTTCCCCGAGGGCGGAAGCAAAGCATGGCTAGTTGTTTTCGGATCGTTCATGGGCCTCATTCCTGTTTTTGGAATGCTCAATTCCCTGGGTGCTATTGAATCGTATATTTCTAGAAACCAGTTAGTGGACAAATCGTCGACTGTGGTGTCATGGATCTTCTCGATTTACCTGTCAATAACTTTCTTGAGCTGCATCTTCTCTGGCGGCTACTTCGATAGGAACGGAGGGCGATTGCCGATGTGTCTCGGAACGATATTTTTTACAGCAGCGATACTTGCCACAGCTAACTGCGAGAAAGTTTGGCAATTCGTGCTGGCCTTTTCTGTCCTAGGTGGGAGTGCATCTGGGATTCTAATGACCCCCTTGGTGGGCTGTGTCGCCACATGGTTCAATGAAAAACGAGCTATAGCCACCAGCATGGCAACCGTCGGAGGGTCTATCGGGGGTGTTGTTCTCCCTCTAATGCTCCGCGCGCTATACTCATCAGTGGGGTTTCAATGGGCTCTGCGTGCTCTGGCACTGGTATGTTTGTGCTGCCTCTCATGTTCCATCATCTTTGCGAATGAGAGACAAAAGCCTGCTCCCAACCGATTCCAGAGTAAGTACGAAGGTGCCACTTGGTATATCAGATCTGCGCTCAATTGGCGCTATTTTTACGACCTGAAGTTTTTGTTCGCCGCGCTGGGAATGTGCTTTGCTGAAAACTCGCTAACTGCCTCTTCTACTTTCCTTGCCTCCTACTCGTTAGCACAAGGAAATTCACAATCAGTCTCCTATGCGTTGATAGCCACTACCAATGCCATAAGTATATTGGGCCGGTATATCCCTGGCTATTTAGCGGACAAGTACACTGGTAGATTCAATATGGTTATAATTACCGTGTCCATGGCAGCCATCCTGAACCTGACCTTATGGCTTCCATTTGGAGGTAATATAAAAGTTCTTTGGGCTTATTCGCTTCTGTATGGGTTTTTCACAGGCTCAATTTTCTCTTTGATACCTGTCTGCATCGGCCAAATATCAGATACAGCTGATTTTGGCAAGCGGTATGCATCTGCTTACCTGCTAGTGGCAATAATGACCATTCCGGTAATTCCTGTCGGAGGTGCGATCATTGGCCCAGGTACCACCTCCAGCTACAAATTCTTCATACTTTACACTTCCCTCATGATGGCGGCAGGATCGTTATGCTTTGCGGTATCTCGAATCATTTGCGTGGGTTTCACCATGCGGGAGTTTTACAAGTTAGACAACCGGTCTAGTGCTGCTTGAATAGCGCTGAGTAGCACACTGGGGAAACCTCTAGCTGGTGTCAGGATAGTACACAGTGATACTAGTGGCGTCAGTAAAACAAAATGTGCTATATTTAATAACTAATCACTGGAAGTCAGAGGAGCATAGGTGCCCTCACTTGCTATTTCTAGTATTCCAACCTACTGCTCATAAGTGTCCTGGCCAGCTATTTCAATCATCCAACAGCCCAACGATTTACTTGTTGGGTGAAACTGTAGGATTATGCGGCCATAGCGGCACCGCACCCAAATTATGCTCACAGGAATCTTGTATAAACACCGGCTATAGGTCCCAGCTAGGGACCAAATTTGTAGCCCAAATAATTACAGAGAGATAACGAGAAGCCACCTGGTATGCTACGGATGTACTTTCAAGTACTAAGCATATTTTCCCGATCTCTATAGACAAACTGCATGAATAAAAAAATAGTTCAGTATGTTAAGTACTACGGAGGCTGACTTGCACTAATACCCAGATCTGCACCAGATATATGCTTTAAATAGCCACAGAGAGTTAAGTAGCCGACCCCCCACTCAATACAAAAGTGCTACAATATTATGGTCAGTTTGACGAATTACTCAACTCTACGGCCGTTAGCCTAAAAGTTCGGAGCCCATCTGAAGGATCAAAAACAGAACCTTAGCTGTAGTATATACACGCATTATATTTTATTTTTCCTCTTGAAAACAGTGCACCCTCACGATAGGACCAAGGGGAGCGCAAAGAGTAGGCCAGTTTTGGAGCGGTTGGCCCTGCCTTGAAAACTGGATACCAGACTTTCTACACTCTGTGTTGCATATCTCGAGCTACTACTACAGCCCCAGCGGGCGGAGTTCAGACAAGTTGCCGGACATTACGTTGTCGGGCAATCGTATCGTGTATTTCCGCGCTCTGTTCGGCATATTTGGCTGGACGGGCAGCGCCTGCACCTTCATACCACACCACGAGGCGACTGAAATCAGATTTTGGGTTTTCTTGCGGCAAAGTGGGTCATAGCTCAAGAGCACATAAATGACTTCAAGCAGGCCTCTGCAGAGCCAAGAAAATCAAGAGCTTTTCGTATCCCAGTTGTATGACGAGGAACACTAAGTGGTGATGTCGAGATACAACATGTTTAAGAGATAAAGTTTTCTGTGAATTCAGGAAGTTCGACCGCCTCTGAAAACACTGGAAGTAATGATGCCAAGCGTTGCAAAAGACGGGCCCGTCCACAAATCCTTGCCAGCCAGTTGGAAAAGCTTAATCACAAGGTCGTGGCGCTCTCGAGCGCGCTAAGATATTCCTAGCAATGCAACTTGAAAAGTCTTTCCCAGGTATGGTGGTCTGGCTTCCGGGATGTTATGAGCACGTCAAGAACCTTCGTAAGGACCTAAATGATGAGCTCTATGGTCCCTATAGAATTGCCCACGCTTACCGTTCAGAAAGAACCCATAGCAAGCGCCAGTCTAGAGTTGACGACTTCCCGTAGCCACGTTAAACGGATAATCGACCGTATACCATTTTTGTTTTTTTTTGTGAGTGTCCGCGACGCAAGCAGCAGCACCACCTAAATAATGCGCACTCTTGCTTGGCTTGAACAATCGGTGGATACAAACAACGTAGACTGGACTACCAAGACACCGTCCAGCTAATACTCTGGCTACAGGGGATTTCTACAAACTGCATTTCTAAAACTGCATTTCTTCAGGCCGTAAATTATTTCTTGCCATCTCACCATCCCAATCACGTCGCGTAGTAAAGACTACCGTGGGGAACAAAGCTCTTTCCGGCCCAACCATCATCCATTACCGAAACGAGATGCGCCCGGCCCATGGGGTGTGCCATGTCGGCATTGGGAATAGGACTCAGGAGATTTTGAAATAGATTCGCGCGATCTGGCCCGGACCAAGGTCGGGCGACGGTAACCTGCACTTCTCCTCACTCCCGCACACGTCGTCAGTAGTTTCCACGCATCTGTGGCGAGATCGATGTGTTTTCTTTGTTCAGCGAGATGTGGAAAGATAAGTCCAAAACCCACAAATTTTTCCAATGCCAGCATTGTGTACGCTATCACAATGCGGAAGGAAAATCTTGGGATGGGCCCTTCGAGTTGTGTGTCTGGGCATCATGCAGAGCGCAAATCTGCCTGGTTTGGGCATTGTGTCCATGCAGGCTTTTGTCCCATCCCCGAACTCTAGCGTTACTGGAGGTATCACAAGCCTGAGATAAGTAACAAAATCAGGCGGTTTATCGCTTAGCATGCGGTTCCAAACTCAATCCGCATTCGTGCATGAGATAGCCCGGCTGGCCCGCAAATCCATACACCTTCCCTAGACTCCATCCGGTTCGCCAAGTGGAGGAGAAAGCTTTGGGCAGAGTACAGGGCGCATAGTACGTCTGAAGTATGATAATGGGAGTCGGACGATATCGTCAATACTGGTATATAAAGTGATGAGGATAACCACTGTTTCGGCGCTCTTCGACTGAAAGCTCGCTAAGCCTAAAAATTCTGGTACCCTTTCGGTAAATTCAAGTATGTGGTATCCGATGTTTTGCCGTTTCATCGCAACGGTGTTGCTCGCCCAACTCGCTCTTGGAGCAACGACCGATGCCACTTACGCTACAGGTACTGGGAGCTCGGTGCGGCCGTCTTTCATGTACTCCAACACCACACAGAGCTCTTCTCCCTCTTCTGCCTTGGCTTCATCGGGCCTTGGAAGCTCCCTCTCGACTTATTCTAGTGCTGTGAGCTCTGGTACCAGCATTGCTCCTTCTAGCGGGGTGACCTCTGCACCCTCTAGCGTTTCAGGCGCGGTCACGGTGGTCGAAACTGTAACCTCCACTACCACGGTGCACTCCACTTCCACCGTATACACGACGGTGACCTCTACGGTCATGGCGACTGAAATCGTTACTGCTGCCCCCGTGACAAGTACGGTCATTGAAATTGAGACAGCTACAGTCGTCTCGACTGTCTATGGCACTGAGACAGACACGGTTACCCAAACGGCCTCAACTACTACGACTACCACTGCCACCACTACGGAGACCTCCTCTGCAACTGTCACCCTCATTTAAGTCACTTGGTTAACCTCAAGTGTTCAGTGAACTGAGGTTTTATATGGCCAACCTATTTTTGTGGCGTTTTACGAAATACGCACAGCTCAAGCAGTTTATATGATATCTCAGTCTGTAGTATTTATGAATGCTAGTCGTAACTTTTCTTCTAAAGTCTCACTTACACCTGTATCGAGTGCGAGGTACATAGCTGAAAGTGTAAAATATGAATGTGTACTCTAGGATGATGTATCGGGAAGTGTGTCAATTGTAGACACTACTTGACCGAGTGGGTATCTGCAGTAGGTAACGTGCTGGACAGTCCCTTTAATTTTTTGATAGACACTGTTATTCGTATTTTGAGTACTTGGTACTAAATCCGGAGCTTATTCAGCGACTGCTTGTTGTTCTTCCGTGATTATTTCGACTTTAAGTGTTGGTCCAATTAATATATTAAATAGTCAGTATTGATACAAAGACCCAGACTAGGTGCAGACATCTACGAGATCATCCAGAATCATCTACCTTGAACATTTAGAGTAATCAGGCGATCCGTGAGACCGTCCTTGGAGCAATGTCCTTTCCCCTGGCCACTCTTTCTAAATCTGTCATGTACATGTGTTTTTATTTGGGTATCATGTTGTACTACACTGATACTAGGTTGATGGTCTCCATTATGCAACTGGATGCTATCCAACCAATGCTAGATTCTACCAAAAAGTATATGTCGGTTGCACACGAACAAGAATCTAGTTATGTATTTTGTTGTAGGCTTAATTATCGAGATGACAAATGATGTTCGCTCTTAACCGCCTCAATGGGCTGCCGCCCATTGTGGTAAATATCGGAAAGAACAAGTTGTCAATGTTCATTTTAAGATAAATCAGTCCCTTTCAAGTATATCCAGCTCTAGCTGACATATGAATTATGGAAACTGTGTTTACAGAATGGTTATAAAATAGCCTAGAGCTTTGTTGTTACATTTAGCATTCATACGCTTGAGGGTAAGAGCACGGTCATAGTGTTTGTAGTAGTTTCCGTGGCGCTTGCAGTGGCCGTGGAAGTTTCAGTGACTGTAGAAGTGGTGGTTTCAGTAGCGACAATGGACGTGGTGTACTCCACAGTCGTCGTTGTAGACTGGGACGTGACCGTTACTGTAGGGGTAGTGGTGTACGTAGTGGTTCCCAAGGTCACAAAGCTTGTAGAAGTGTCGGTGACCGTGGTTGTGTCGGTTGACGTTACCAAGTATGTCGAGGTTTGAGTGATTGTGACAGCAGATGATGAAGCAGAAGGAGCAGCGCTGGAAATAGTAGAGCTCACGCCAGAGGAGGCAGCACTAGATGGAGCAGCACTAGGTGAAGCAGAGCTGGCACTAGAGCTCACACCGGAGGAGGCAGCGCTAGAAGGAGCAGAGCTGGCACCAGAGCTCACGGCACTAGAAGGAGCAGAGCTGGCGCCAGAGGAAGCACCAGAGCTCACAGCGCTAGAAGGAGCAGAGCTCACACCAGAGGACGCACCAGAGCTCACGGCACTAGAAGGAGCAGAACTCACGCCAGAAGAAGCGCCAGAGCTCACACCGGAGGAGGCAGCGCTAGAAGGAGCAGAGCTCACACCAGAGCTCACAGCGCTAGAAGGAGCAGAGCTGGCGCCAGAGGAAGCGCCAGAGCTCACACCGGAGGAGGCAGCGCTAGAAGGAGCAGAGCTCACGCCAGAGGAGGCAGCGCTAGAAGGAGCAGAGCTCACGCCAGAGGAAGCACCAGAGCTCACAGCACTAGAAGGAGCAGAGCTCACACCAGAGCTCACGGCACTAGAAGGAGCAGAGCTGGCGCCAGAGCTCACACCGGAAGAAGCAGCACTAGAAGGAGCAGAGCTGGCGCCAGAGCTCACACCGGAAGAAGCAGCGCTAGAAGGAGCAGAGCTGGCAGTAGAGGAAGCACCAGAGCTCACGGCACTAGAAGGAGCAGAGCTGGCGCCAGAGCTCACACCGGAAGAAGCAGCGCTAGAAGGAGCAGAGCTGGCACCAGAGGAAGCACCAGAGCTCACGACACTAGAAGGAGCAGAGCTGGCGCCAGAGCTCACACCGGAAGAAGCAGCGCTAGAAGGAGCAGAGCTGGCACCAGAGGAAGCACCAGAGCTCACGGCACTAGAAGGAGCAGAGCTCACACCAGAGCTCACAGCGCTAGAAGGAGCAGAGCTGGCACCAGAGCTCACACCGGAAGAAGCAGCACTAGAAGGAGCAGAGCTGGCACCAGAGCTCACGGCACTAGAAGGAGCAGAGCTGGCACCAGAGCTCACGGCACTAGAAGGAGCAGAGCTGGCACCAGAGCTCACGGCACTAGAAGGAGCAGAGCTCACGCCAGAGGAAGCACCGGAGGTAGCAGAGCTCACGCCAGAGGAAGCACCGGAGGACGCAGCGCTAGAAGGAGCAGAGCTGGCGCCAGAGCTCACACCAGAGGAAGCACCAGAGGTAGCAGAGCTAAACGCAGTCGACGACAAGGAGCTTTGGGTTGAAGCAGTAGATCCCAACAAGCTAGAGGCTGATGTAGGATTTGATGTCGACGAAAGCGCCATGCTCGAGGAGGCTGAGCTCACTGAAGCCGAAGATGTCACTGCACTCGAGATGCCAGATGAGACAGTGCCCGAGCTAGCTTTGGAACTACCTGTCACTCCTGATGGTAAAGTCATTGTGCTTGAACCGGTAGCCAGTGAACTCCCCGCGGTTTTAGTAAATTTGGTTTCTATGGCGGTCGCCGTGAAGTCATCAGTAGTTGTAGACTGGGCGGACGCGACGGCGGAAGCCGCCACTAACAAACCAATGACAGAACCGTACTTCATAGCTTATTTTCGGTTATGAGGCGGCGGGTAGGAAATAAAGAAGGAACAGATGAGTTAGGAGGAATTCAATGGCCGTCTGTTCCAAACGCTTTAGCTCTTCACTACTTATAATTCGACTCGCGTTTGCCTCCACTTGGCCAACCAGATGGAGTCTAGGGAAGGTGTATGGATTTGCGGGCCAGCCGGGCTATCTCATGCACGAATGCGGATTGAGTTTGGAACCGCATGCTAAGCGATAAACCGCCTGATTTTGTTACTTATCTCAGGCTTGTGATACCTCCAGTAACGCTAGAGTTCGGGGATGGGACAAAAGCCTGCATGGACACAATGCCCAAACCAGGCAGATTTGCGCTCTGCATGATGCCCAGACACACAACTCGAAGGGCCCATCCCAAGATTTTCCTTCCGCATTGTGATAGCGTACACAATGCTGGCATTGGAAAAATTTGTGGGTTTTGGACTTATCTTTCCACATCTCGCTGAACAAAGAAAACACATCGATCTCGCCACAGATGCGTGGAAACTACTGACGACGTGTGCGGGAGTGAGGAGAAGTGCAGGTTACCGTCGCCCGACCTTGGTCCGGGCCAGATCGCGCGAATCTATTTCAAAATCTCCTGAGTCCTATTCCCAATGCCGACATAGCATACACCCCAGGAAAAAATGCCAGGTGCCATGGGCCGGGCGCATCTCGTTTCGGTGAATAGTAATGGCATTGGGAAAAAATCTGGTCTTTACCACAAGTGGACCAAAAACACAAATCCTTGATACGAATCTGCGGGGGAAATACAACTCAACCAACTTGAGGAGTTCCAGTGTAGAGAGGAACTTTTCCCCTTTTAGGCTCTTTTCATGTATCTTCAAAATGACAATGCCGATTCTTACCCCAATACCAAGTGCGACCCATTTCAAAGCGAGCTAGTCCTTGACTTGTTGATAAACATCGTGAATTATACTTCTGAGTACCTGCCAGATACCTAGCTCTCTATCCGCCACTATTTGGACTATAATTCTCGTCCATATTGGTGACGTGGAGCTAATATTTGCGCCCAGCTTTGGCATGAATAATGCGAGTGCAGGCAGGGCTCGATAATTCAACAACTCCACATGAAGAGGTGGATTGCAGAGCTGCTCGCTGAGTGGAATGGGTGGTCAACTTACTTCTATGTTGTCACCTTGAGTCTCGTCAACTGATTGCTTATCCTCTTAATTCTTGTTTCCCTGTTGTCGCTAACACGTCCGTTTGCACTCTTTTAACCAGGTGAACGTTTGTTGTGCTATAATCGGGTTTATAATACTCAAGGCCGGGATGAGGTAGGCTCGAGTAGTCTAGTGTGACCACGAATAAATCTACTTGCAAAAATTCTTGAGTATAATGAGAGCAGCATGGTCATGTTACTCTTGATTTTAGTCGTGTTTTCCCCTCTGTCATGAGCGACCTCAACGAGTATCTGGTGATCAGGGTATGTTGTAGTCGACGCTCTACACACTGTAATTACAACGGCCGCTCGGTGTTGAGGATTAAACTCGAATAAGTGATCTAACTGGTGTCAATTTTGATGTTTAGGTAAGAAACCCTCATATTTGGCGCCAGAATACAATATTGACCCACAAAATCACAAAACATACCTCACGTTTATAACAATAACTAGATACGAATAGTCTTGAACCTACTCATGCTCTTACCCAATCCTGGATGGTTCATCTCATGAATAGATCAGATGTTGCTTGGTTCTCTCTTCATGTGATTAGCTAGCAACCAATAATTTGTTTCCATTAGCTCAACTTATACTTTGATTCCGTCTTGCAGCTCAACCCCTACTTTCCTTGAAACACCATCTGAAACCGAATATTGACATTTTCCTGCCAATTTGAGGTTTCCTATCTTAGCACAACATTTAATACAACTCTGCGCTATTCAAACAATAGGAATCAGGTAGCTCTAACTTTTCGCAGGACTCATTTGTGGAAAAATAAGCATGAAACTATTGGGGCGAGTCAGTCGCGGTGGTGAACTTGTAGAATTTTTAGCTCAATTTCTTGATGACCATCGTGGATTGTATGTATTCTGAGCTCCTTACAGTTACATAGGAGGCAGAAACACGAGTGGCTGTCTATCCCTGGTTTATTGATACTATAAATTCAATTCAGGTCCAGGACATACCGCCAGTATTTATACAAGCATCTAGGGAAATTTATTCGAGGCTCTTCTTAATCAAAAACGCCCGCCCAGGAAATGGTTTGTTGGGCTCTAAGATCATTTAATTTGCTGGCCAAGGCATTGCTATGTAAGCGCTGTTCGTCTGGCCTCCATTTGTTGACTATTTGCTTAGCATACGTAATGGCAGCATCATTATTAGGTAAATTGTTGAAGCATTGTTCAATTTATCGATGGACTTTCCTACCAGACTTATATCAGATATATGAAGTTCAAATTGTCTCTCTATAATTAATTATTGAAGCGAATCTGATTCATTAGTAGAAAGCTTACTGAATTTGTTTTGTAAGTCGTTGATAGACATTGTATGATAAGTAACTTGGTCTAGGGAACTCTATTTATCTCTCCGCGATTATTTTAGGCATCATGGTTGGTTCAGTCACCTGAACAAAAGCCTGATATGTATACAGTTCTCGCTCGGTGATTCTGATTAACACAAATATTAATCACCCGTTTTAGATTGTTCTATTATCGATGGATTGCCACTCAGTGCCGTACAATGCCAATAACTTATCAATCGCCAATCCCATTGGACAACAGTTGTTCTCTTCTGTTTGTCTTAGCTTGTAACTCGATTTGTATGGCTCTGATGTGTACTATCATTCTGTACCACTGTGTCACATATTTCCCGACGCTGATTATGCAGTTATGCGCACATCACCATCAGTTCCCTAGTAACTCACATTATGCCAACACTTTTACGCTCATTTTTATTCTTTTTATTTCACTGTCACTTGGATAGCACTTCGTGCAATATTGTCTGAATTCTTATCCACTGCATTACGATAGGAAACCCCAAGATGCCAGGATAAGTACGGTCAATGACCGGTTTCCCCCGAGGATGGATTCTCAGAATAAGTTGAGCTAATGGAAACTACTTATTGGTTGCTTACTAGTCATACGTAGGGACAACTAAGCGTGTTTTCGCCTATTTAAGATATTGACAAATTAAGCCCGATTGTATCTCTCGGCCGTCTATAGCTATGCGATCGAGCGCTATGAGATAGCATCGGGCATACTCTTGGGCCACTCAAAGTAAATTCTTGTTTTACTGAGGTTCAGTATTGGGAAATGAGCGATTCTCATTCCTAGAACATCGTCAAGTAGAGGGTCCCTTAGACCCAACAGGGACGGAGAGCGTTCTCATTTTTCGCTTGGGCAGACAGTTTTCAGAAAAATCTGGGAGCACTTTAGAGTTCTGACACATGTTCCCGAAAGTTACCATTTTTCACAGTCCACAACCCGCGTTGGGATTCGAAACGATAACTCACAGCAACCGAACAGTACACCTTTGGTATAGAATTACCACCCGGTTGGGATCCGGATTCCCCAACCCAGATCAACCCGCTGTACGTCCCGGCCTGAACCATAAAACGCGCAAAAAAGATCAGGTGATAACCTACTCACTCAAACATTGATACCTGAATTATAACCATTGAGCACCATACACACGAGTGTCTGCTTGTTTTTGCGTTTGCTTTGCTACAAAAAATCGTTTTGAATTCTGAAGGAGCGAGTCAGCGTGGGCCGCAGTTAACTTGCTGGATTGCTGGGTCGATTATTGATAGGTCCCGTGTATAGGATTCTGAGTACTTGATACTAGATACTGAGCTTGTGAAGCGACTTCTGGTCGTCTCTCCATGGTTGTTTAGGCTATAGGTCTGCCTATATCTGGGTCATATAGCCGGTATTAATACAAAAAACCATGGACGGAATAAATTGGGGGGCCCGTTAGGCTTGCCACCCAACGACTGCATCCAACATAAGGATCGTTGAGCTGTTGGATAAGTAAAATCCAGGGCATTTCTCTGTGATCCCTGTTCCTCGGGTCTCCATTGGTTGATTATTCGCCCTGAACATTCTTGTTTTACTGACGTCGCAAGTATCACTTTGTACCATAATGACACTTGGTTGATGGGTGCCACTATACAACTCGACGCTAACCAGAACAGTACTATACCACTACCACTAGGTAGCTCCAACATGCCTTTATGGACAGGACTGCTCGGTCCTGGGCTACCTCGAGACGCTCGTTAGCCCTAATCACATATAACGGGTTGATGTTGCACTATATCAACGCGTTTGACAATAGCTGGCACCAATCAAACTGTTGCGAGACCACACCAAGCCGATATATATACATGCCACCCTGTTACACGCGGGAAACCCTGCTTTTGTTGTCCTGCCCGATGACCTGGAATGGTGTGGTGGCCGCGACTACTCATTTCCCAGCTCTTGCCGCCGAAGCGCGCTAATTTTGAGATCATGATCATCCTACGGCACGTCCGTTAGCTATGTTAAAAGAGGAACCCTTCCAAATCTCTCTTAGAGCGAAGAGGACGAGCTCATGGGCGTTTCCACAGACACAGATTACTGCCCTCCGTCATTTTGCATGTCGACCCTTGAGCATATCGATGCCTTGCTTTATTTTGATAGCCTGTGAATTCTTACCATGTGAGCTAGAAGGGCATAATGATACAAATGGCGGTGAATTTGGAAATCCTTCAAACTCAAGCACACCCGACACTGTCGCCATGGGCGGCGTGTTGCTCCGAAGTGCCGCGAACACCTGTGAATCTCATCCACATTCAACCGAGACCTTTAGAGGAAACGTGCACCGGCTCAGGCCAATGCCCGTGCTGTTGGTAGCGAAATATCAGAGCCCAATGGTGACGCGGCTGTCACTGATTATATCGTACGAAGTGACAACAGTCAGAAGGTGATGACCGGGACGACCTCGCCTGATCATAATTTGGACGTTAGCCAAACAGACGCCCGTCTTGGTTCCTCTTGAAAGCCCCTACCTTGCTAACCGCTGAAGCAACCGCTGGAGCAAAGTAAGGGGCTCTCACACACCCAAAAAACCCCAAGTGGCCCATTTCCACTTGGTTTTGTTGTAGGTCTAACTATGGACCAACACCTTATCAAGAAAGCGTCATACATCCTCCCGACCCCATTCCTCATTAACATCCCCCGCTCTCTCAGCAGATACTCTCCACTATCTTTCCCCGAATGTCTTGTCTTTTTTTTGCCGGTTCCTATCGTTACAATATTTGCATCTTACCCATGTGCTAGCCACAGGCCCCAGGTCTTGCACAGTGCCCGCTGGAATCTAAACCTGTGCAAAAATTCCCCTCACCTATCAATTCAAATTTCATAGACGCACAGAATGCCATCGATATCTCTCAAAGAAGTCTTATCTCCCCGAGTCTTTACCAAGCCTATGCCATCTTCCCTTCTATCTCGCTTGCCGCATCCCCAACCGCACCGCTAAGATTTTTTTTTATCGCCTATACCGGCCCTTCCTGCTGGTCGTACGGTGAATGTAATGTACGGACTGCAGAAGACAACAACAAAATAGACGTGGTTGCAGGGCCCAGGGGCTGTTTTCGGCAGGTGTCACGCTTGTCATGAAGCGTTCCTCCCTATTTGAATTAATCTTCTGTATCAGTTAATCCTGCTGCGATTACCTGGATGACACATTTGGCACCTTGAGTGCCAGCATGCTGCAAAGACGCTTGAGGCCCCCTCCTGAGCCGTGCGGCAAGATGCGTCAAGACTAACAATTTTGATAAATTCTTCGTTGCACATGGGAAAAACTGAGTTCCACAGTAAATGCGTTGGAAACCTACCTAATAACGCAGAAAAGTTCGTGCCGGAACGTTCTTGATATGGGAAAAACGACAGGCAGGATATACAGCGATTACGGCGAGACACACTTCGCGCATAATCGGGACGACGGTGTCGATTTAAGGTGGAATTTTTTTTTTTGGGACAATTTTTTTTGGTTATGTTCGTTTGGAAATGACAATCCGTGAGTATAAAATGAGTTATTCTTGAAAGCATAGAAGTGACACTTTCGGTGGATTGGATGTGTATGCAAGTGTGTGTGCGGGACACATATATTCGCTAGCGCTGTGATCGTTTTGTTGCTGTCACTGTAAAACCAAACCTATATTCCTGTTGTCAAGCCAGTCAACCGTGCTCAAGTGTGAGAGGTAGTGCGACCATGTGCGACGAGGCCGTTAAGCTGCCCTCGATCCAAAAGCTGTTGGAATCCATCGACACCGGGGCCAATTCCAGTTTTGCAGGGACAAGACTGGATTCGCATGCGCAGGCTGCGGTGCAGCCTGCGGGAATTAGTGCAGGGTCGGGTCCTGCTCCTCCAACGCCCTGGAGAACGTCTCACTTGGCCGCTAGCTTGTCCCACCAGCCATATCCAGTGCATAGCCATGCCGGCCGCTCTCACCTACAGCAGCAGCAGCAGCAGCAGCAACAAGAAGGGCAAGAACTACCAGAACAACAACAACAACAACAGCCACAGCAACAGCCATATTCACACAACGACCTCAGCTGTAATTCTGCCTGGAGTCTAGTGCCATCGCCAATCGACGCACGTCGCTTTCCAGAGCAGCACCACCAAACAAAACATTTCGCTTACCAAGGGTCGCTGTCCGAGCACCACGACCCTCAAGGTGCCCCGGCCAAGCCCTCCACCATCTCCCGTTCGTTGTCGCTGCCCTACACCCATTCAAACTCTCCTCCGTCTACACCGACTTCTGCATTGTCAGCAACTTCGTCCTCAGGCATGTCTTCGAATATGTCGTCTACGCAGTCATCTGCCCCGTCGTCCTCCAAGTCTTCAGAGGCTTCTGACACGAGCTCGTCTCCTCCACTCTCGGCGTCGAAAGCAGCTTCGCTGCAAGCACGCCGCACCAACTTGCCTAAGGAAACTGTAGAGATTCTCAACGAGTGGCTACTCTCCCATTTGAACTATCCGTATCCCTCTCCACAGGAGAAGCGCGAGCTCTTGATCAGGACAGGCCTCAGTAAGGTTCAACTCAGCAATTGGTTCATCAATGTGCGGCGCAGAAAGGTGTTCAGCAATTACTATCTCATGTCTAGGTCGTCATCGTCTCCTGCATCCTCGTCAATGCCGGCTTCCTTTAATTCTGAGAGTGTGGTCAATCCAAATGAGAGCACTGCCTCTGAAGCAGATCTCGAAAAACGGTTCCACACGGTCCCACTGACGAGACGCAAAAAGTTGATCGATAGATTGGAAGAGTTGAGAAGAGCGTCCCAGGAATAGCCCAAAGTGGAACGCGACACTTGTCCGCCATCCCTTTCGGCGTTGTACTAGTAGATGATGTTTTATTGGAGTTGACGTTCTAGGAACGGACGTTGATATTTTATATATATTGTATTTTGAAATTAGAATTTTGAACCGTAATAATACCTTCTCACCTTGCCTGGGGTTGTCAGAATCTCGCCAGCTATTACTTTATTCTCCCGGAATGTAGTTGTCAGGTTCTTCTTCGTCCTCGTCTTCGTCCTCGACATCGACATCCTGGTCTTGGCCAGGTACATATGTATCTCTGACTCTTCTGGCTCCGAAATTGTGCGATTGGGTCACCCCAATGCGGTCCACGAGTGGCACCGTGAATCCGCCTCTCGAAGCGTCATATTCAAACCTCAGTTCATCGCTTACTTGTCCCCCAGATTTACCCCTTCCAAACTGTCTTCCATCCTCAAACCCAGGATCCAGGTCTAGAGATATGTTGCGGTCGTCTAGCTTCATATCCGACAGATATTTCACTGCATTCAAAGCTTCCTCGGGTGTATTATATATCACAAAACAAAACCCGCATGGCGTAAACTTGAACCTGTCTAAACCCATGATGATACGTTTGATAACACCAGACTTACTGAAAAGCTCGTATATTTGTTCCTCAGAGGTGTAGAACGATAGATTACCAACATATATGGTTGATGATTTCATTGATTTGCGTAATTCTTCCAAACCATTAGGATTCCTCCGCGCTTTCTTCATTAGATAGTTCGAAGGCACATCCAGCCTGTTGGTTGAATGCTCATAGTGAATTTCATCGAACTCAGCTAACGACATGACCCTGGACAGCAATGCTCGATGGCTATTTGATGTATCCAGTTGTTCGATCACTAGCGCTGTTCATTCATTGTATTCACAAAACCAAAGATAATCATGTACGAGCGCACGTCTCATATGACAATCGACAATAAGTGGCATACTGCGAACTCCGCCAAAGTGTTTGCTGTACAAAGCATTTTAACACAAACCATAGACTCTATTCCAAAGTCCTAAGTAGTCTTATAACTAATCTTTGCTTGTCATCGCGTTCCTTAGTTCGGAATAACACGTGTACGTTAGGCAAGGCAATCTACGTTGAAACTTTTCTAACTTTATATGTTGTCCGATATAGTGTAACGGCTATCACATCACGCTTTCACCGTGGAGACCGGGGTTCGACTCCCCGTATCGGAGTCTTGTTTTTTTGCTTAATCTAAAGCCCGCACGATTGGATTGTGAGAGCCAGTGGTTCTCTTAACTTCTTTTAGACTGCACAATGTTAACCCTGGCAAGCGCACAGTTCTTACATACATTCCGGAAACAAAAGCATTTAAAGTTATAGAAATATAGAGTAATATAAAAAAAGACAATCATGTTCTTCCAAAAAGACTAGGTTCGCTGCTTGCTGTTGCTACAATGTGGTTTCAATAATTCAAAACTACACATAAGACCAGTCGTCACGCTCATGACAGCACCCCAGTTCTTAAATTCGCCACAGTAGTTAGGTGCTGAGAAAACGGTTACTAATTTCTTACGGGCGAAGAATTCGTAACCGTCTTCTACAACCATATGGCCCCTTACCACCAAGTCAAAGTTGAAGCGTGAACAAAATTCCAAAAGGTTACGTTTGCCAAAAGTGACAGAAACACCGCGATCATTGACAGACCAGTCCGAATCCTGCAAGTCGGGGTCACTCCACAATAGATCTGTCATCAAGCCTTCGTCTGGAATGTCGGTAGGCCTGGCAATACGTTCAATCTGGCGCATATCTTTCAAATGAGGCGATATTCCCCCATGAACACAAAAGATTTTCTCCTGCACGATAGCGGCCAGTGGCAATGAGTTAAATACATCGACAAAGACCTTCCAACTTTTGGTGGACAAACGACGTTTGCATTCATCGTAAAAACCATACATCTTTGTGACATTGGCGGATTCATGATTTCCCCTCAACATGAAGAATCTGTCTGGGAACTTGATCTTATAGCATAGCAGTAGCAGCATGGTTTCCAGGGACTGCTTCCCGCGATCAACGTAGTCACCCAAAAACAGGTAGCTGGTATCTGGCGGCACACCAGAGAGCCGCAAAATACGCATCAAATCTGTGAACTGGCCGTGAACATCTCCAACAATTTTGATAGGGGCCTGCAATCGCAGTAAAGAGGGCTGTTCCAGAAATAACTCTCGGGCTCGAGCGCATATCAACTGCACTTTCCAAGAGCTCAAAGGAAATTCTTTGGCACGGTAGTACCGAGTACTGCCGATATCCAGGAGCTTCTCGATAACATCGTCGATATCAACGTATTCCGACAAACCCGAGTCGTGCGCATAACGTTTGATGATAACAGGGGGCGCAGATTTCCGATCATGGGGGATATGAGCGGCAGTCGCGTGGTTGCTGCGCCTCTTCCGAGCGAGCGTAGCTGATGCCTGCATTTCTTCTTTAATAGGCGGTAGAGGGTGGACAGTAGATGCGGCTAAAGCGTTGCTATTGGGGGTCAAAGGCTCGGCATCCGTCAGACTGTAGTTCATGAACGAGGAGTCCGTCGACAGCGAAGGCGGAGTCATGCTGCTGTGGTTGCTGGACCCAGAGCTAGAGCTGGACCCAGAACCAGCAAGAGACGGGCTTGCAGAATAGCCGGTCCCGAGCGCCTTGGCAAAGGACATGTCAATGTCCAGGCCATACGCCGTAGTGTGGCCTGCCTTGGAGTTGCGATCGCCGCCATGGTGCTGCCTGTGGTGGGACGCGGATGGAGGAGGCGGCGACGAGTGCAGCGGATGGCGGAGAGCTCCTCTCGAACTCGAGTTCAAAGAAGAAGCATGATTGTTGGGCTCTCCAGGAGCCCTTCTCGAAGCGAGATTGATATGTTGTGCTGTAGTTTTAGTAGGTAGGGGCCTACTATCATCAGGGTCATTAGGTTCGTTGCTGTTCAATTCATCACTGGCGGTGCTTGCACCGTTGGTAGTTGCGTTGGCTGTCTTCGTACTCGGTATGGCATAGTTAGATTTAGACGGGCTGTTTCCCATACTTCTGTGCGATGGCTTATGAACTCAAATTAAAGAGATGGATGGGGCCCGGAAACGATGACGAATGATTTGAATAGTGGCGGAGACGAGGTTATCAGAGTAAATTCTCGAAACTTGGAAATCCTGATTCTTACACGCGAGTGCTAATTCAACTGGAACGACGATTTATGATATAATCTTCAAACCAAGAAAGATGGAGTAAACGACTGGGGGACGAGTGCAGACAAATGTTAATAATAAGCCTGGGATGGATTTTTTTTGTAATTATTGGATGGTAAGGCCAAATCCGCAAGGGACTGTGTTAGATTATGCCTATGAACGAACGAGCAGATCTGCTCCAAAAGGCGGGTAATTCGGGATTGAGGTCGAACCAACTTGGTAGGATGGCCGGAGATCGCATGGAACCGCGAGGGTGTGCACAGCGGTCAATTGGCCCAGGCCACGTTGAAGAGGCTCTCGTTTAGCTCCAGACGGCTTTCTCAGCTTTTTTGTCTGCGTAACCGACACCGGTGTGCGTAGGATAAGCTAGTGTGTGTGTGTACCTGACAGATTGCGGACTGCGATTGGGAAATCTTTATAACTGGTGTCTCTCAAAGGTGTCCTGAATTACCGCGTATTACCATTTCAGCTAGACAGCTTTCTCTGTAGGACGATGCGCGTTATAGCCAGGATATCTCTGCTCAAGTGAGAGCGCTGGGTAGTAGACCACAGCTGGGTGGCATGGCAAACTGTAGCCAAAAGATGCCGGTTGCCAGATTGCGTGGTGGGTAGTAAACCTACCTCTTCTAACGTGTTCGCTAGGGCTGCGGGAAATGGAAGAAGCCCGAAGTTCATGTGACACTTTCAGTGAGGGCGACACGGTGGTGTCGTGTCCAGCACCACACATCCACTTCGGGGGTTGGTAAAGGAGTGCGTGGCGGAAATGAAGGGCTACATTTCGCGGAGAAATTCGCATTTTTAGACTGTTGCATTGAGCAGCGCTTCTCTCGTGGCTCTGATCCGAAGCCTGTCGCTAATCACAGATCGTGTGGCCCTGTCGGCGAGTGCTCACTCCGTGGACCAGCTTTGAGCTGTGGCGACGATTGTGCGTTGAAGTCAAAGAAGTTTAACCGCCGACGACTCGAGCTATATATCCACAACGTACATAATGATAACCAAATATGCACCGTTGAAGACAGTGCGACTTCCCAAGTGGTCTCTAACAGCTTTCGTTTCAGTCCCCGTTTGTAACCAGTGCCGTGGCCCTGGAACTTAGGAGGGCCCCCGAAACCTTTTCGTACAGTAAATTCCAGGTCACAACGGCCGTGGTAGTGTTTGTAGGTACAGAAAAATTCATGAAACCACCACTACTATACTATGCTTGACGCAACCAGTAGCTTTCGTATAGCACTTGTGTCCAAGACAAACTCTCAAGCCTTACTCGGTATTCAAGAGACAGTAGTAAACTTCTAATCACTTTGTACTATGCTGTCATCATATCATTGGCGACCGTATTTTAGCTGCGAAGCTTGTTTTGCGCCCAGGGCATATATTCAAGATTGAATTTGCACCGAGAGGGTCGAGGTTTATACCCTTCCTGAGAAGTTGCCGCTAGTTGCGACCTTTCCTAGCTGGTGAAATGACAAACTCTTACACCCTAAAGAACTCGCTTGAAGACCGAGACCAGAGCCAATGTGTAACTTACCGCACAGAATGTGATAAAAGCGAACGACTCAGTAACGGTGGTGGCTCCCCCAGGTCACTCGATGGCCAAGAAATTGTTAATCACACCACACGAACGCATTCGTTAATTTAAGTAGACGGCAATACATACAATTCAAGTGCAACCCTTCTTACTGGACTGCGCAACTACACCACCGCAATAGCTCGTTCCTAATGAAGTTGACGTTTCAACTAGGCGTCGCCTGTTTACTGGCCCAGGCAGCAAGTGCTTACAAGTGTTCTCAGAACGAGATTCTCAAGAAGTATAATGTCGACAAGTATAGTGTTTCACACACAGTTTCGAGAGACACGCCACCAAGTACTACCAAAGAAGATTGGTGGATCAACCTTTGCGAGGAAAATTCACAAGATGCGCCCAGGGACTGCAACAAAAACGATATTCTGTGCGGCAAGACCAAAGTTACTCTGAATGACGATAAAAACAAGGACGAAATTCTAACGCAGCTCATCGATTTCCCAGACTCGACCTTGTCAGGGGCCAGCGAGAATGATAAGAACGAGCTAGTTGTGGGGCTGAAAGACGCCAAATGGGGGTCCAATACCATTGATGCTTCTCTCACTTTTGTTTGTGCCCCCAACAAGGATTCAAACACAGTTACATCGCTATCGTGGCAGGATCACCGAGTTCAAATAGTGGTCGAAGGTGATGCTGGGTGCCTGAAGAAGGAAGATGGTGGTAATGACAACAAGGATGGGGGTAACGACAAGGACGATAAGGATGATGATAAAGACAAGAATCGTGACGGCGAATCTGATCCCAAAAAGAGCTCCAGCGTAGGCTCTTGGTTCCTATGGCTTCTCACGTACACTCTGTTGTTTGCGCTAATATATTTACTCGCTACTTCCTACATGAACACCCGCGGCGGAAACTTTCGTGAATTCCGCGAGGACTTTATCGACCGCACAGTCAGTTTGGCTTCGTCGTTGCCGCAGTTCACAAAGGAAATCATCGCCAAGGTTTTGGGCCGTGCCTCCTCATCTCAAAGGGGTGGATATAGTGCCGTATAATTGCTCAAATGACATATAAGCGCATTCGCGTTGTCTGGACTTACAAAGCGGACAAAAACGACGGGACAATTAGACGTCGTTGATGGCCAACCCCAACATTAGGCTCCTGCCAGCCCCCTTAGGTTTGTTCAATAACACGTCTCAGGCTTTCCACAGTGTTGTCCACAGTGGTCTGTAAGTAATGCTGCTTGATTTTGAGAGATTTCAGCTGCTCTTCTACCAATTTCTCGTCACTTCCGAGATCCTTAGTATATGTAGATCTGTCTTGTAATACAAACGCTTTCCCACACGATCTCCACACTTTCCCAACCGGGTAGGTTTCCAGTTCCTTCGCTGTTACTTGCGCTAGCTTTTTCTGTCTATCTAACTGAGCTAATTGTCTGTTAACAACTTCCAGTTGGGCTTTGCTGGACCTCAAGGAGGATGCCATCTCTTGAACAATATTTTGAGACATTGGAAAGGCCTTTATGGAGTGTTTCAGTCAGTTTTTATGTTGTTCTCTTAGTTCAGGCAATAAGTCGAGTTTTTAATGCTAATATGTATGAACTTTTCAAACTTTGATATTGAACCTACCAGTAAGTAGAGAACAACATTAAAGACTCGAAAAAGATAATTTCGAGGCCTCAAAGTGGCGCAAATCATGTTTAGGCTTACCTTGAGACCATTGAAACAAAACAGGGCTATCTGGGGGACTAGACGTTATGCTAAGGGTTCCGCACTTGGAATTGATGCGAGTGTGGAAAACAACCTCCAAACTGAAACGAACCGAGTGTCTAAGACTTTACAGAAATTCTGGAAGGTGGTGTCAGCTCGCGAGTCAGGTGGAAATGTCACCCTTACCCTGGATAACAAACCGATCAGAACTCCGCTTGGAAACAGCTTAACGGTGCCTAAAGATCGTCAGTTTCTGGCACTTGTTTTGCAGAATGAATGGTCCAATCTTACCACACTATCGATCAAACCTCACACTTTGCCCGTAACCTCAATTGTGTCTCGCTGCATAGACCTGGAATATGTATCGACGCCCAACGCTGATGGAGAATTGGTGGCCAAGATTGGTGGCGATCGTAAGCAGATAGCACAGACTTTGCTGCGCTATCTGGACACTGATACTTTGCTGTGTCTATCACCAAAAGCAGAATATGAGGGAGCCTTGAGGGCTGCTCAAGATAAACTTTATCTTCCAGTTATAAAATCTGCAGAAACATTCCTGTCGAAATTCGCCGAAGAACCTGTTGCGATTCAAGTCCTCGACGCGGATATTCACGGTATGAGAGGTAATTCTCAACTGGAGCCTACCAGAGCGGCTGCCCTCAAGTATATAGACTCCCTGTCTATGTGGGACTTGGCCGTGTTTGAGAAGACCGTATTAACCACAAAGTCCTTTATTTGTGGCCTGTTACTCCTTCAAAACAAATGCCAGGTTCCGAAGACCGAGATGCCTATAACAATGGAGCAAATCGCTCAATGTGCTACACTGGAAATTATTTACCAAACGGAAAGATGGGGTGAAGTTGAAGATACTCACGATGTGGATCATAGAGACATCAGGCGGAACGTCAACGCTGCCTGCATAGTTGCGTACCAGGAATGAAAGTTTTTTCTAAATTGTTACAATTCGGTTATATTTGTACATAGTTTGATGGTCACCGAGACCTCACATTAAGCATGTAATTAATTTGAAAACTTCGTTGGCAACAATTTGATTTTTAAACTCGATCAAGTAGTCCTCGCTTTCGTGGGCCACGGCAACTCCAGTCCGGCCGATTCTTTTGATTGTCTCCAGCTTGCTTTTGAGTTCAACACATTCCGATTGGTTCAAAATGACGTTGAACTTCATCGCGAAGACACGGCCCCGGAGCTCTTGTGAATAAACATCCAGAAGCCCTTTGCTCTTGACAACCCATTCATTCTTAACATCTCTTTGATGTAACCTAACTTTAATGTTCGATAATAATAATAAGGAAACCGTCCTATCCTTTTCGCGAACTAAGCTTTCCTGAGTAATTGAAGAAAGCCCGGTGGAAGACGTGTCTGACCGAGGAACCGACTTATCGAAGGCGCTGAAAGCGGATGAGGTAGTTGATAAAGTACCACATGTACTCGATGCCTTGATCTTGGAAGGTAAGTTCTGTCGTATGCAATGGTGGAGCGTGTTGATGAGCTTTTCTATCTGCAGACACCTCAAGCTTACAACGAACGACGTGACTGGTAAAGATGTTACGATGATATTGTCATTTGAAATACGCAACTGAACATCTTGAGCCGCAGACCTTGAAACTTTCCAATCCGTACTAACGAAAGCGCACAGTTTGAGGCAATGACGGTCTGAAGCATCCGTTAACATACACAGTACTTTACCATCAACTGTTTCATGAAGCTTGAATGATAGAAATTGGCTCGACATCGCTTTCCAGCTATTACCATGCCAGAATGATGCTTTCACCGAATGGTCACAGATCTGAAACCTATCTTGAGTGTCGAGGTGTTCCGGTAAGGAACAAAATTCATTTTGATGAGGAGACGGTAAGGGCAATATAGTAGGAGAAGTAGGGGTAGGCAGAGCTAGTAAACTTGACGTAGAATTGCCTGCAGTCAAATCAAGCGAAAGGTTTTTAGTATTTCTCAATGATGTTTTGGATCTATTGGAGCTAAATAGGCTCAATAGAGAAGACGACTTTTTCTTCGTCAACTGTGGCCTGTGGAACTCTGAGCTTAAATCAAAAGTTTTCTCGCCACAATCCTCGTTGTCCTGAGATGAAATAATGCTTTCACAGTCCTCTGTATATTCACCAGAAGACAGTTCGTTACGAGTTATCGAAGATGCAGAGTCAACCCGCTTATATTCACCTTCGTGGAAATATGACTCAGGCTTCGAGACCGGACTCACATCATTGATGCTAATGTCTTGATCTAGTCGTATTAAAGATTCACAATCAAGGTCTTCTATGGACTTTAAGCTCTCTTTGGACAACACATGGGAGGAAAGGGATTCCTTCAATGGTTTCGATTTGTGCAGTAAAGTGCTGACACGACGTTCCGTGCCAGGTTCCGATTGGGCGGCCCCGGGAAATAAACTTACTCCGAGACCCGAATTGCATTCAGGGCGTAATCCAGCTAATTTATCGTGTTTGAACTTGAAGTTTTGTGACTGGTGTACAGATTTTGTGATTCCGAGGGAGGCCTTATGAGAAGCTAGCGAAGATCCCGAGAATAGCCCGTCGCAATAGTGTTTCCAATAGTTTTCCCACCCTAAACGATCGATTGACGTTAAAGAAAGAACTATATTGTTGCCAGTCTTAGAGCTCAGCTCAACGCTGTACGGGTTGCTTGTTAACGCTCGAAGATCGTCTTTCCGCAGCGTTGGGAAAAGTAGCGATCTGCCCAATACTCTCAGAGGAGGGCTTTTACTAGTGCGAAAGAATTCTGAGATTTGCTCTAGTGAACTAAACGGCAGCCTCCCGCTGTTGACTTTGAAGATCGCCAGCTCTCCGCTGGCGAGTTGAAACAACTCAACCAATATGTCTTCGTAACCGAACTTCAGAAGCGTTAGCCTGAAATAACCCCTGTTCACAATTTTTGACGCATCCAATAACGGAGGGCTGACCTGCTCATGTGAATGTGAGAGTAGATCTCTAACATTGTCGAAACTCAGGCTTTCGCTGTCAGTTTGATTCCACAGAGCCAACCACTTGTCTGTGTACAGATTCGCCAAGTCAGCCACAGTTCTATTAGGAGGATTAGTTGAGCAACCCATCTGCTTTAGTCTTTGTAGCACATGGATTGCTGCTTGTGCGAACTGTGATGCTGGCGAAAAATGCTGCAGAAGTGTGTCACGACCGAAAATCAGGGCCAAAACCCGCTGTAGCCAATCTCTGTACAGCTCATGTAGTTCCAGGTCATCAAGCCAACTGGCTAAAACCTTACAAGCATCACCACCAGCTTCCTGCCATTTCTGAACCAGTATTCGATGTTTTTGGGCCAGCTTACCGGTCAGAGATGATAAAGCTTGTGTCTGCCCCACGAGCTTGTTCCAAGGGTCGTAACTCGAGTGGGTATTTACTTTACGATTTTCCAGTAGCCGTTGCAAATGCGAGAGCTGTGCCAAATGGAGGTTCTCAGAGCTCTTCAATATATCTGCTTCGCGACTGACCATCATTCTATAGCTCCTGCCTGTTAGTGAACCTTTCAGCAAAATAAACTAACTTCTGGTTTTAAAGTAACCTTAAACCATCAAACGAGACCTTAACTATACAAGTTTCTATACAACAAAAGATATTTTGGAGTCCACATCAGTGCATCCCAACTACCATCCTTCCGAGACGCTTAGCTAGTCAAATGCTTTTCGTGATTTTTGTAAATTCGTGGGTTCTCATCGCATAAATAACCTGCTTTGGAAATAACCTTTGTTTATCACTAACGCGTAAAACAAATTACGCTAATTTCGCGTTTAAGTTGACGCGTTATAATGTAATGCCCGTCTGAAACCTGGGCCATCGACCAAATGTGACTGGGAAAACCTCACAAGCGAGTCCGTTCTCTAGAAATGACTGGATTTTTTTGGGAGCTACCAGCTCTCTCAAGGGCGATGAGTAAAAGTGACTGAATCTCGCAGTCTATATGAAATCTGTATAATTGTACATATGTAGCATGCGGCCAGCTGGCCTTTTAAGGACGAGAGCTTTTAGACGGGACTTCAAGCCGAAAAAGAGATATACACCTTTTCGGCAACCAGTTGAGTGTCTTGTCTCATTTTTGAACTTGTTGATAAAACGTGGCAACATCCTCAGCACACGACTTTCTCGCCTTGCAGCCATCGAAAGAGGCTACGAAATCTCCTTCGATGTAATGGAAGTCATCGACAGCGGCATTTTCCGTCACAGGTTTGGAAGGATCGAAGACACTCGCGACAGTTCTGGGTACCACTAGAGCCGTCTTGGCCAGGAAGCTAGGATGCCATTGCAAGGCATGGGCCATGCTGGCAGACAAAGATGGCCAGTTATATCCTCGTATCAATTGGTCGCCCAAATAGTCCAGAAAAGCTTTGCCATACATGCCTGATTTGACGATAAAAGAGGACGCATCGATCTCACCATCATTTGTTCTGGGCAGGACAATTTCCGCTTTCTCGGTGACGAAATGATTGTAGGTCTTAATATTGGAGTCCTTTATAACGGGGACGTTTTTCATCACAGCCAAATCCAAGATTTTCCGGTCAAGCAGATGGTTTTGCAATGACAAATCGGTACGCATGATCAGGGCGTTTTGGTCTAGAAACCAAAAGTACTTGGCTTTAGGGAATGCATGCATCGCTGCACGTATTACCAAAGGCTTGATATAATCGTAGGATTTGGCCAAGTCCTGCTCTTCGATGGTTGGAATGAATTCTTGGGCCCAACGCACATAAAGTCCGTAGCGATGCCTTTGGGCATAGTCAACTCTATTTTGGACGACACTAATCAGCGTTGTGGTGTCGTAATTATCGTAGTCTATCATGGTAACAACGACAATCTCAGGCGACTCAGAGCCCTTGCGAAACACCATTTTTCCGTGATCCAAGTATTGCCGTTTCACAACTTCAACATTGTCAGTTATTTCCTTCATCTCCTTGTCAGAGGTTGGCTGGTGGTCCTCCTTCAAGATGTATTTTTTGTTCCCATCGATATCGATCCGCAAAGTGTGCAGCCCACGCAGGTTCAAATCTTTTAGGATAGGCGCATTTTCGATAGCAGGGAAAATCAAAGGCCGCGAGGTGGTGATCTCTGTGAGGTAATGACCATGTGTCTGGGGAAGAAAATGAGCGTAGTGGCTTTTTTGGAAGACGAAAGCTTGTAATACATATAGGATCGTCAAGACAGCCGCTACGCATCCAAACGTAAAAGCTTGGCTTCTCTTCCGTTTCGAGTCCACTAAAACCATTTTAATATTATCAACAGCCCGCTGCACAAAACTTCTAGGCTCGACACCCACTTTACGCTTGGGTCTCAATGCCATTCTCAGCAACCCAATACACAGTGCAAGTAACAGCAGAGTGACTGGATCTTATGGTACAAAAAATACTTCCCTGCAGGGTTTCTCAACTAAGCAGACAAAGCAACTTGCTTTTGAACTTAAGCTCAGTTTGGATATCCTCAGACTCCACACACAACCAGTCAAGATTCGCAGTACCGAATTTGTGATGGTTTGATGGTTCGAGTATCTTTGGCTATGTATGCAAGATGGTTAGTTGGTTTGAAAAACCATTAAAAAGGTAATTATTTACGAAAGATCTATCAGCCCTACTGCACTGCTGTAGCTGAACCACCAGCGATTGTGATCTCGGTCCCTTAGAGAACCGACAGTCTATGATCTAATGATTTCGAGATCAGTTCGATCTCTGGAGTCCATAGGAGACAAAATTTAATACAAGGAGTTTGTTGTTCCTGTTGTAGGGTCTGCAGTCTAGATGAGTGCTTCCCGAACAGCTAAATGCCATACCAATTTACAAGTTGGCTTGGCGTGAAGACACTTCGAAACACTCCAAAATTAAAATTTGGTCTCTGTGAATTCCACATCTTGGCATGCTGACGAGTAGTTCATGTTATCAGCAAGCGAACGTAAGTCTTTTAGCATTTCACGCCTTTGCAGCCACTTGATGAGAACAGCAGTTGCGGCACTACCAAGGGCGGTACACATGAGAGCATAGCACCCACGCTCGTAATGCGGAGCCATGGTTGCAGAGTAAAACAGGAGCGACCACCAGGCGTTCACCGCTCCGGAAAACATGTTCATTGAAGCCAAGACAATGGCTCGCTCTTGCAAATCATTCTGACATACAATGTTGGCCCAGCTGAAGAATACGGCTTGGGAAGCGTAGCAAACTCCACCCAGGTATTGAGCAGTGAAGAGCACTGCCGGTGAACTGGATTGCGCACGGATCATCACTGCCACAATACACATCACAATCCCAATCAATACAGCAACGTGCCAGTGCTGCGCGTGCCGAAACCTGTCCATGTATAATGCAGCCCCGCAGGTTGACACAATTCCTACGGCGAAGATTCCTAATGGATATTGATTCTTCTGGGCTAATGTGTATCCTTGCGAGCTCAGCCACAAGGCAAAGGTAGAGTTCGATGCCAGCGAGATGTTTTCGCCTCCTAAAATCCAAAGAAAACTGAACAGCCACCAATGCCATCTTCCAAGCACACGTCGCACCAGCGTCCAATCTAATTTGGCGCGTTCATTACGAACGGGCAGTCTGTGCTTTGCAAACTCCAATTCTTGTACCGTAAACAAACGCAAACGGCTACCAGAATGAGTGTTGATGTGGTCAGGCGTTGTGGGGAAAAAGATAAAACCATATATGGCCACTGGAATAGTAATCAAGAAATCAATTATAAATAACCACCTCCACCCCGCTAGTCCGCGGCGACCGTCCAAAGAGTTATGAATTCCCACTTGCATGAAACCGCTAAAGATGGAGCCCACAAGCCCGCTGCTAGTAAAGATAGCGGATCTGATGGTAAGCTCTTTTTCTTGATACCACGACCCTAGTATAAGATGGGTGCCCGAAAAGGTGCAGCTTTCAAAGACCGCTTGAAAGAAACGAATGGCGCAACATTGTTTGAAGTTCTCGACTTTGTACATAGACAATGTCAATATACCCCAAGAAAGAGTGCAAAAACTCAACCACACACGCGGTTGGACAACCAATAGAATTAAATTGTTTGGAATCATTCCCAAAACGTAGCCGATAGTAAAACAAGTATTTATGAGGTTGAACTCATTCCCTACCAAATTTAATTCTTCTTTCATGCCCGACACGTATGCATTGGCAAAACCAACTCTATCAACGTAGTTGATCCAGTACTGCAAGCAAACAAATGATAGCACAAAAATATCGATTTTGAAAAGTAGACGCCTCCCATTAATGGCACTTAATTCTGTGAGACGCTCTTCCCCATTTTGTGCATCAATATCTGTCTTCCCAACATCCTCCATTTTGCAGCAGGTGCTTAATAGGTGACAAGTAACTGCTCAGTCATTGAGTGGTTAAGGAAGCCAACGGTGAGAGGAAATGCAGAGATGAGATTAGTGATGATAGGCTGTGTGTTATACGAGCTAGATGACACATTGTTATCACGTAAAACGGTGATCAATTGACAAAGGCCCTTTGGTGTCTGTCCATCTACATGAAGTAGGACAGCCCAAGGGTATCTGGATGTGTTCAAACACTTTCTATGTTGAGAAATTATGTTCAAAACAGTGGAAATTCCAGGGCCGCCTTTTGGATAATTTCCAATAGCATTGCTAGTTTCCATTACCTTTACTCATTTTAAAATAGATGTAAGCTTTAAACCTTCCTTACATTGAGCTGTACTATGTAGTCGGTTCAAGGCCACCAATTAAGTTCTTAACGCAAACTGCGAGCTCCTTCCTCTTGGTGTGAGAATTGGTAATTTGCCCGAGTATCTTGGAGACTAACAAAAGCATAGCCTCAACACCAATCAGAGAAACGCCCTCGAAACGTGAAGTAGGCTTTGTCCTCGTGGTAGCAAGACCATCTGAAGGCGCGATTTGAAAGTGTCCGGTAACAAAATTAGGCGAGTGACTTATGCAATACTCTCTCCCTCTTGCTCTTCGTCATCTTCATCACCTCCGTCTAGTAACTTCGTGATCTCCTCCTTGATTCTTTGTTCATCAGCTTGTTTCAATTTCTTGTTCTTGGCCTGTTCCATGCGATGGGTGAGGTATTCGTTGATGTCGTCTTGTAAACCCGTTAATTGCATCCGCAGTTTACTTAGATACGTAAAGTCTCCTTCCTCATTGAGTTTAGGATCCGAAGGCTTGTCAACGTCAATTTGCCCGGCCTCCAACACGTATGCGCTGGGGCCGGTGGTCTTCCCGTTAGTGGTATTGTAGCGTTCCTTAGAGAGGTCTACCAAAAACTGTTGGTTTTCAACATCTGGTGAATTATAAACAGCAAGAGGCTTACCCATTGCGTTAGCTGTGAGGGAATAGAAAGCTCTTTTGTCCTCTCTCGCTGTTTCACCATGTTGTTCCTGGGGGCGCCCACGTCCAAATTTGAAGATGTCGCGAGGCACGTTCGCAGACATAGCACATGAGATCTTTCGAGAAGGAAGAACTCAAAAGGCCATAGCTCTTCAAGATCACTAGGCCACTTGCAAATACTCTCAGAGACTTCAGGCTTTTTGTCACACATAATTCAATATTATATTAATACATAAGGGGCGAAGAATCTCCAAAGAAAAGCGTATCGACGGATACCGTGCAGCTTCGAAAAGCGTCGAACAGTAGTGATTATCTGCGTCATATTCACAAGACTTGAATCGGCTCAACCTCAAGCTGCATTCTCAGTGGCTTCCTCAGATTTACCGTTTCTAAGCAAATTAACTTCCTCTGTTTGGCAGCGTGTTAGTATAGGCGGGGTAGACAGTGCATTCGGCATCGTCAATTGGGATCGAAGTCGATCACGCAAGTAGAGACCACTCATGAACGAACATACTTTGAACTAGGCTCAAGGTCGTGCCTTTGGAACCGTCTTCCCTCTCAAAGGAATAATTGGCAGCATCGGCCTCAACGTAAACCAAAGCTCTGTAAAATTACTGGTTAGTAAGTCATGCAATGAATACAAAGCAGAGTGTGAGAGGCGAATAAGTATTACTCTTCTCTGCTAATCCATGATAGTTCACATACCCTTTCTTGACGTATTGGGTCAAGAAATTAATCTGGTGCTCATTGAACACAGTTACGTTGAACCAATTGGTAGGGCCATCTCTTCTAGGCTGTGATGCGAGACTATACTTCAAATACCTGTTGTTATTGGAAGAAGTGTACTCGGTAAAATCCGAACCGATGCGGCCCAACATGGTCATTTTGGAAAAGTCATTTCTTCTAGCAGTCGCGTGAAGCGAGCGAACTTGTTGGCGAAGCATTGGAAGGTGGTCTATGTTGTGTCGTGAGGTATACTAGTGTTTAATCTGGGCTTGTAGGAATATACTACCTAACAACACAAACATCACTTTAATAAATGAAGCATACCACGTGACGAAGAGACTCTGGTAACGACGGTTCCAATTGTTAGCGATCCTAAGCAGACCAGAGGCTAAGGTTAATCGTATCATCTCCAGCATGGTATCCAGGCATCTTCTGTGTATTTTCGATATACACCTATTCCAATCAAACTGAGCCCCAAGAACACAGTGTCATATCCGCAGCTGCCAGCTGAAGGAAAATCCGCGTCAAAGGTACTTTGACGAGTAGTAAAATCGAAAACCCTCGGTAAAATTAAAGGCAGAGGTGGAGGACTTCAACCACCAGATGCACTTACTAATCACTTCTCGGTCAAGCTTTAAGAAATAAGTCATAGGCCGAATAAATTATTAAAAAAAGATGAAGCATAAACATTGACAGTTGTAGACACAATATAAGTAGAGAATTCAAACCAATCCTTTTCACGAGGGGCCACTTACTTCGACGACTACACACTTGAGCTGTTAAAGCAGTATGGTAACATTATATCACTTCGTACCATTATGTCGCCGGCCACCATTTGAACTTGAACCCAACTAAAGTGGACGTTTATCTGGAATACTGAACTGAAGGCTGCCTTTTTCCGTAATGGTATACCGACATCTTTACTCTCACCACTTTTACTTTGATTTTGGCAGAACTTGTATACACCGTATAGCCCCTCCAATGTCAGTACTAATTTCAATTAATCCCTGCAATACCCCAGGTTTGCAAAAGCTTTCTAAAATATAACGCCGTATATGTCGTTCAATAGCTATCATCGAAGGGGGTCTCGCTCAGCAGCACAAGCTACACTTGCTAAACGACATTATAGTGACTTTGAAGACCCTTTCGCTCCAACTTTTAACACCGGTGATGTTCAAATTCTTAGCATCCCTTTGGTAAACGGCATCGAAGACATCAGCGAGGACTCAAAGCTATTTACCAACGAAGTTAGGTCTGAAGAATATGCGATTCTGTCGACTTCCAGCGAAAGAGATGAAGATCGAAGTTTACATGCTGGAAATGTAAGGTCTGTGCCGCAGGAGCCTCCCTTTACTACAACGGTTGCACCCTCCTTATATGTAGCCAGATCGGCACTAGAGTGCAGTAACGAGCATAACTTAGTCTCTAATGCACAAAGAATCGACGACTGGTGTGTCCAGAGCGACCATCGCTCGCCATTACTAAAGATTCCTGCTAACAGCAGAGTACAGGAAGTGGTGGAGGCTTGGGGCGTTGAAAATGAATCGCTTACGGTGCAAAAACATAATAACTTTGCGGAATCGAGACCAGCGGTCATGTACCCAGATAACTACACTTCACATCTCTTAGAGCTTATGAACCCAGTACAAAAGCTGCGGCTTCTCAGTTTTGCAGAATCCATGTTACCTTTTCTAAAAAGGCGACAGGCCCCAGAACTCCGGCCTACAAAGTTCAGAGATGTTCCTTCAGTCTTTGTAAACAGAGACTTCCAACTACAGTGTGCTCTCAATTTAGAAATGAGAACTAGCAACTCCACATTAGCTAAGCGTGAACGAGGAGAAGAAACCTTCTCAAGTTCGTCGCAAAGCGAAAGCTACAACTCGATTTCCAGATCCTCGGGCGGAATGCAATCTTGGTATAGTTGGAACTTGGTTGCCCGATTAAGTACAGACCAAATCTCTAATTTTTAATTACATACTCATACAACGCCTCAACAGACCCACTTCCTGTAAATATGAGGCACCTACTGCGCCGAAGCTATAATCCTAGTGAGATCGTGATCACGAATCACTGCGATAGACCCAGGTAATTTCCCGCAACCAAGGTCCTTTTCGCAGTCACGGGTCTCCAAGAGGCATTGGCGGCAAATGGATCGGCAACTTCAACTTGTTGACCTTCCAATTCAAGCGCACTTCCTAAATGGTAATTCCTCAAGGTGAACTTAGCACCAACACCTTTAGCTGACTCCAGTGCCCTTCCGTCAGTTAAAAATCTCGCGATAAGTCTTTCATCCCCACCTCGGCGGAGGAGTAATGGTTCTTTGAATCTCCAGGTTATTCTCCGCTTCTCCTTGCTAAATGAGCCTTGAGGTTTCGACAGAGCGCTTGTTGCCGTGGCCCCTTCAATTGACACAAACACTATTAAATCCTCCACGACTATTTCTTCGATTGATTCGTCGATGGTTGGTGCAATACTGAGGGTGAGAGCTACGCTAGCCTGATGATCTTCAAACCTCCAAACAGGATGAACTGCAATTGGAGCAATCGGATCGCTGAGAGCATACTTGAATGCACCCAACGTTTTATTTTCGATAAATTGCGGATTGACCTTGTATATTTCAGGCTCAATTTGTTCGATGAACGCTTGATTGACAATGACTCGTTCGACATTTCGGAAATTATTCATTCTCAAACGAATATCAATAGGTAGCTCTTCGCTATCCGCGACAAAGTTCAGAGCTATTTCACCTATTAACTGTGAGGATGTCAATAGTCCTTCCTTAAATGTGGCACTTATGACTTCTGCAATACTAGCATTAAGCCCAAAAGATGTTAATTCAGAATGATGGAAAATAGATTGGCCAGATACAGTTGGTACTGACAAAGAAGATCCTGTAGTTTGTGGGTTCAAAATTCTCAGCTCGCCAGTCATTTGAGAGCTGATAGAAGATTGACGTTTTTGGTACTGAGGATCTATGTCCGCATGAGAGAGATCTGTGAAAAGTTTGGATTGGATATCAGATCTTCTCGTAGTTGATGCGGGGGCTGGAACAGACCCGTGGGACTCTCGAGGGACATTTGGCGCCATGATTGGACCAGTTTTTCGAGATGGGGGAGGAACTGGAACTTGAGGTGCCTGTATATGAATAGGCTGGCTTGTCTTGGGAACGTCAGACGACGTACCAGAAGTCGGAGCGGTACTCACGGCGGCAGGCACCGCGCCATCAGTATTTTCTGAAACGCTCAAATCAGTATTAGATTTTGGAATTTCATTTGCACTGGATTTCTTTCTAGGTTGTGGTTTCAAAGAAGGTTGATTGATCGACAATGAAGATGTTGTGGAGCTAATTTTAGGCTTTTGCGATCTAGCAAAGGAACCTGAGTCACCTCTTTGAAGACCTTCCCGTGATCTGTGGGGCTGCTGATCCGAACTTTTAGAAGGTGTGCCGTTAGCTATAGCAGGAGAATCGTCTGTCCTAATAGAAGAATTCTCGTCCTCCGCAATCGGGTGGTCCTGAAGTTTGCCAGATTTCTTGTTTTTCAATTTCTTTCTCCCGAATATCGAACCCATCTTGGACTTCAGTTTATTGGGAGATTTTTTTGGATTCAGAGAATCATTGTTAGCGGAGCTAGAGAATTCCGACTTCATAAGATCGTGCTTAACTACTGTAGCTGAAGACGAAAGCCGGTTTGTGAGTCCGCTAAGAGATCCGGAGCCACTTTTCGTAGCTTTCAATTGCTTGGTGCGAGCATCCGAAGGCGTCTGTGGATTCTGGGAAATACTGGACGATGTGTCAGTAGGAGAGGGAAGAGCGGGCACTTCGAAATTAAAGTCATAAGTCGAGGCAGCCTTAGCAAATCTATCAATTTCGGCATCAGCATCGAAATCCAACAAACGAGACATGTTTTTCTCGCATAAATGTGTCCTCTGGGTCAGGGAATCACTGATACTACTCTCATACTTTGAAAGATAGTTTTTGAGGTTCAAAAGTCGTTTGTAATCGGTTTCCTCGAAGACCTCAAACAGATACGCGGCCTGAGAATCCCACTGATCGTTAATCTCCTGCAACTTAGCCCAGGACTCACTTTTGCTCCTAGTTAGGGTGTCGTGCTCTGTGGCTATTTTACCGAGCATAGAGTGTAGCTTTCTGCTTTGAGTCCATAACGGATCCTTTTCTGCCGATTCCCTGAGCTCGGTGATGATGTCGCGATCTAAAGTGTGATACAAGTCTGTACTTGACTGGAGATCAAGCTTTAGGTCGCTAAAGAGGCCCGCCCAGAGTTCCTTCAGGGGTCCTAAGGAGTCGAATCGAAAGTCGCGCAACTCCTCTGCAGTCAACACTTTAGTCTCCAGCATGTCTTGAAGTAAAAGCTTTTCAAGATCTTCATTTCTGGCAATCACCTTACGCAATTGTTGGGCATAGCCCCGCTTGAGGTCCGAGAGTTCGCGAAACAAAAGATAGAATTCCTTGTTTATCAGTTTTGCCTGGGAAAGCCGTAATCTTATGATTTCCGTAGATTCCAGGGGCTTTTTTCCAACCAAGATGGTCTCTGCGTATTTGAATCTTTCAGAAGCCATTTTGTTAGTCACTTTCTCCTCAATTCCCAACTCAATGGTGACTTTAGCATTCAACCTTGTTGTCCGCTTTCACAGGTAATCGCTTGACGCATGGGCAACATTTTCTCAACTTTAAGGTCTAGCGTAAACAGTGATTCTCAAGTGTCGAGCGTGCTGGGTCATCACTTAACGTTAAAATTTGAAGTGCACACAGTACATTCATAGTCGCTTAAGGACCAGGGTGCTTTTAGAAGATGCTGATCCCACGGGTATTCCATGGGAAGGAAATATAACCCACTTTGCTAGGTCCCTAGCCACCGCTGCTGTTCGCCCAACTTTAGTCCGTTAATGCCAGGAATGCGCAACAAAAATACCAACGGTGAATTTTTGTACTAGGGCTATGTCTCAACTCATATCTGACAGTATTTTCCGACTGCCAACTTAGAGGCGGAACATATTTGAAATATAAGGCACTCTTAAACATTGGCTATCTTCCGATTTCCACGGAAAGGCTCTATCTTATTACCTTCTGGTGGTTTCTTCCAGGCATTGATGGAATTAAGTACCAGTGAGGTTGCTTTACTTGCTTGTCTCTCGAAACAGTACTAAAGGTTGTTTCGGCAACCCATCCATTTTGGGTTTCATCAAAGGAGCCGGCTTGCCTATTCCTGCTGCCGAATAACAAATTTGCTTCAGTATAGAAGCTAATAGAGAGGGCTTAGCTAATGATGTATTGGGGCTTTGCGTGGCGCGTCGTGTAACAATCGGGGTTTCCTTTGCTAAATTTCAAGCTTGCTGACATCAGGTCGACCTATAACAGAGTATAAACGATCGCAATATTCGTTTTATTCACTTTTCCCAGCAAATAGAACTATTTAAAATAGCTGTGGACTTTGATGGAGCTAAGCCGCCGAACTGGGTGGAGGGGGGGTGGCACAACCAGAAGTCTCTTAGAGTTCATTGAAACGTGCACACGAAATCAGATCGAAGTCTTTGCCCGATCAAGAGAAGCTTGATAGTTAATTTAGTCCTCCCGGGAAATATATACCATTCTTCTTCACAACTTAAAGTCCGAGAGTTGTTTCCCTAATGCCAAATTTCGTGCAGAAATAGACTTGCCCACTTAATGTGTACTAAAGTGCGGTGAAGCTCACACGAAAAGAGGGGATAGGATAAGTTCCGTGAATGTTAGGGTCTCCTATTTACAGATTGGTCTTGTGTATAAATCCAGACTTTTCCAGCTGTTTTCTGTGCTTGTGCTTACGCGCTGACAGCAAGAATCACGAAGTGTCAAATCCTACTGTCACCATTAGTCTTTAATGCTGAATATAAAATAAAAATCAAATATTATCACACGTCGTGGGTACATATTATGTTTTCCTGAATTACGGGCAGCTCGCTGCTTCAGAGTTCTATCATTTTATGGAAGGGGTAATCTGTCACAATTATGTCTTGTTGATTGCCTTCTCGTGTGTGTCTCTCAAGAAACTAACTCTATCCCCTACGTATTTGCACACATTGGGCCACTCTGGAGATGTAAACTTGCTCTTCAGATACGCAAATTGAATAGGCTGACTTGAACATAAAGCCTTTTCCAAAACCTCGAAATTGAATAGCTCGATATCAAAGTTTTTGATCTTTTTAAGATTATTAAAGGACCGCAATTGAGACCCATCGGGTTTGAGGTAAACTTTCTCATTAAACAAACCCCAAGGATCAAATTTATGGAAACTGGCATGGGCAAACATGACATCGATATCCGATTTGTCTTCCGGTTTCATTAAAGTCTTATAGAAGTCATCCTCCGCGTTGTAGTCTTCCTTGAAATTTTCGAATTGCTGAGGGTGATTTTTCACAAGTTCAATGGCTTTTTCATGTAGCTCATAGTCCTGCTCGCAGTCATGTTGGTAGAGAGCAACGCCGCGAAAATCACCGGGGGCCGCTGGATCTGGATTGAAATACCCGTCAAACGAAAGTTTGGTTTTCACTTGATAGTATGGTAGCTTGAGCACATGGGCTGCGGTAGCAAATGTTTCTTTATCACCCTCTCCTGCAGTTCCTTGAGACATCAGAGAATAATACCACTCGGGTCCATAGACGTTATAGTAGAACGCCAAAAGTAGAGTGCGCAGGTGACGAGTCTTATCGATGACCATTTGACCTGACTCAGAGGTGGGATCTGAAACTGTGCCGCGCAAATCATGGAATGGAACTTTGGTCAAATCAGGCGCAGCCACGCTTTCTTCGTAGTGCGACACTGGAGTGACATCGTCACCTAGGTTGCGCACTCTCTCCTTCAGGTTCACGTCTACATTGGCAAGCCGGTAGAACACTGGAGCCGTCACACGTCTCCATAGATCCGGCCATAAGACTAACCCGTTTTTCTGAAACACTTTACTTTCAAATATGCCGTCCAGCTTTTTGAGCGGGAAGTCATCGGCATCGATAAACACAATGTTTTTGAAGCTGGAGATCAGAAGAGCGACCGCCTTGATCTGATATCTTTTGAACTCCCAGCTTGCCACAAGACGCTTGGGTAAGACGTCGCCAAAGAACACGCACTTAGCGTTTAACTCTGGCAGAGTCTTTTGACAGTAGTGTTGCTCGTCCGCCTCATCCTGGGGCGGAATGACAACCTCGACTGGCAGAGTTGTTCCACGCTCGCGCAGAGTTTTGATCATCGTGTAGGATAAAAGAGAGAACCTGCCGCCGCCTACGGTCACGATTCCCTTCTCTTGCGGAAAGAGATGGTTGAACACGGGCGAATCTGGCTCGTAATCGAAAAAGGTCTTGAGAGCCATCAAGAAGCCTGTGTGTGGCGCTTGGAGCCCCTCGAACTGGCCTCTGCTGAGCCTGTAGCACTGGTCTAGGTTCTCGAATGTTGTGCGCTCGACGGTATCTCCTTTGTTAATCCCCGCGTTGCCCATATCGCACGTTTCGAGACGCATCGAGTTGCGCTCCTTAGGAGGACGTATGGGCTGGAATTTTTCAATATTCTCGAACAGCTCGCCGTACATCTTTTCCCTCAGAGTAGGCACTTTGTTCAGGCGCTTCCGGACGGAAAACAACGCCAACATGGCACACAGCACTGCGAAGCAGCTGACAAAGAGCTTTCTCTTGAAGAGTAGCATTTTTTGAATGGTTGACGTGCTAGTCTGAGTCTGGATTAGAGTTATGTGAAGCCAACCAGAAACTAGCTAGATATAACTACTTTCGTAGATCGGAGACGCCATAAACTCCATATCAATAACGGCTTGTCTGGGAGTCACTCCAAACGTTATCTACGACCGGAGCCCGGCGATCTTCTTAAAATCCGAAACACCCACGATTACGTGGAATCCTCTACCGGCGATGTCAACGTCTTCAAGGCAATGAATTGTTACACACCAGAGCTTCTGTCCCTCTCTTTCTCTCTCTCTCTCTCTTGTGCTTTTCACTTGAATTCTTGTGAGCACGGTGCATTATCTTGGAAGGGCGCTCTTATCGTCATGACAAGACTACGAATTTACATTTTGAACACCACATGTAACTTTAGAAGAACCAAAAAACCGGTGCGTCCTAGATAGCATATGTTCACAGGTTTATGTTGCACACAGGCGTATGGCCAAGATACATAGCTTCTGGCACAATTCATGTGGATGCTTCAAGAAAGTTTTAAACTACACATACTATGTCCAGCGGCGTGGAAAGAAAGCATGCCGAAAGCATGCGGAGAGCTCACGACAACTCGGCGTCGATTTAACGGACTGTCGAGTCTCAACTAGTTGAGATTGCGCGTACAATTGGGTATCTTGAAAGTGTAGTAGGTCAGCTAGCGGTCTGTCCCATGGTCGAGTCAGCTTTTGTTGACACTGACATCGTGATTTTCGGTTTCGCGTTCCTCGACGCGAAAACACGTCTTTTGTTGTGAGCGATGTCGTGTTTTGGAAAATAGGAAACGCTACCGGGAAACAACATGAGAAATGAATGTTGGAAGGATGAGACATAGGGAGAGGACAGAGTAACAGAGAGAGCCGAGTGTACTGTTCCCATATTAACGCTTTGGCGTTGAAATTATAACCGTCCATCTCACCTTACGGCCAACGAGATTTGAAAACTGGACCTTTCGTGTGTCCGTCTTGCGATACGTTTCATTCGAGCACGCACTGGGGAACGATTTGTCAAATGTATGGCGGGTACAGCAGTCCATCTCACGGAAATCTACATCTAGCTTCGCCGAGGAGGGACGAACAGCGACAATCACAGGTGGAATCGCAGGCCCCGTACAGCGATGGCATCGATCAAGACGGCCGACCATCTTCTTTCGAAACGCTCCACGCCCAGCTGATACAAGTGGACGAAAGCCTCCCAGAGCTGCGGACCGGTGATGGGCCGCGCAACAACCTTCAGTTCTTCGATGGGCATAGTCATGATGAGCCGTCGCGGCCCTTTCCCGAGAGACCTTGCAAACCGGGACTCACCAGAAGCGCGAGGACCTTGAACCTAATGCAGGTTCCTGCTATCAATGATTACATGGACAACTGGAGCCCCTTCGAAGAACGTCCCGAAACGCCTGCCAAGCTGAAGAGAACGGCTAGCAAAAGTGAAATGTCGCCGTTCATAAATGATCCCGAGGTTTTGCGCAAGTGGATGTACAAGAAACCTGACGATTCTGTCAAACAGTCCACCAGCAAGAGTAGTTCTACGTCTCCTTCTCAGACGCATTTTCCTAAACATCGCAAAACACAACCCCAGCAGTCGTTTTCCAGCGCTAAACCGGACCAAAGCGCTTTCATGTCTTCAGGACTGAAATCCAAAATGCAGATGCATCTAATGCCCCGTACGACGAATACCCCCGATACCCCAATAAAGAAATCTCCTCTAAACAAGAGTGCCAATTCGACGTCGATTATGGATTCTCCCGTGCATTCATATACATCCATGACTGCACCACATGGGTCGATAAGCCAGTCTCCACTGAGTGCATCCTACAGCCGATTTCACTCGTCCAACGTGAACAGCAGTACGTTATCTTTCGTTAAGGATAAACGAACTCGAGCATCGAAAATGTTCAGCAACACTGTTCTCACGAATACGTTACAACAGTTTACGGATGACTTATATGGAAATGACGATGAAGATCTGTTTCTGTCCGAAGATGTTCCGTCTTCGGCTCCAACAATAACCTTCTCGGGAGACCCCAATAGCCCCTCACACACGCCTACTAAATCTCCCTACGCCAGTAGGAAACAACCATCTCCGTTTTTCAACTCCAGACCCAAGCGGTCTATTAATGCAAAAATTAGCAGATGTACATCCCCTTCTTTGGAACAAGCGACGACGAGCCCTGACTCTCACTTGTCAACCAAATTCATTGACGTTAGTTGCATTGGAAGCGGCCAATTTTCCAAAGTGTATCAAGCAACCTTCCAACCCACTGGCATCAAGTACGCGGTCAAAAGCCTGCGGCCTAATAAATTCAATTCCACTGCCAAGATACTACAAGAGATTGAAATACTGTCACTGATGAATGAAACTATGCTCGATGACGAAGGGAAAGAATATGTACTGAACTTCATCAGCTCTTGGAAATATCAGGGATATTTCTACGTGATGACAGAATATTGCGAGAATGGTGACTTAGACTCATTTCTGAAAGAGCAAGTTATCAGTAAGAATACGCGACTGGAGGATTGGCGAATATGGAAGATTATAGTGGAACTATGCCTCGCGCTTAACTTCATCCACACTTCTTGTCAGATTGCCCATTTAGATGTAAAACCCACTAATGTTCTCATTACTTTCGAGGGTGGCCTAAAGCTAGCAGACTTTGGAATGGCTGCGAGACTCCCTATATCCAATAGTGGGGCTGAACACGAAGGAGACAGAGAATACATTGCTCCCGAAATAATATCAGACTGTATCTATGATTTCAGGGCCGATATTTTTTCCTTGGGACTTATGATCGTCGAAATTGCCGCCAACGTAATGCTGCCTGATAATGGAAATGCTTGGCACAAACTGCGATCTGGCGACCTCTCTGACGCTGGAAAACTAAGCTCATCGGACATCCACTCAGCATCACTATTCTCTGCAAACAACACAACCACAGATATAACCAGTTCACATTCGGCATCTTACAAAATACCAAACAGGATGGATTTTCTGGTTGATAATTGCGGTAAGATACCTGCATGGGTACCGAAATTCTTGATTGATGGTGTGTCGCTCGAGCGAATGGTCCGACGCATGATAGAGCCTGATTACAAGAAAAGACCAACAGCATTAGAAATACTGCATTCAGAAGAGTGCGAGTACGTTGAACGGACCCGAAAGGCAAACGCAATAATTCAAGAAGATGACTTCGGGCCCAAACCGGAAATATTTATGTAGTTACTATAAGCATTCCGAGCTCTGGAAAATATAGACAGACGCTAGAGCTCAACAATCTTCAGTTGATAGGCTCGCACAGTGTTCTTACGAATAGAGATGTGATGTTTTCAGGAAGGAATTGAATAGGTTTGTCCCAGCCCCGGCGCGAGGCTCCTAGCACACGCGTATATAATGATCTATGAAACTCAAAACACCAGACGGATATGACTGGATGAAATTTATTATTCAAGTTTCCAACCTCTATGGTTGTTTCTTTAAAGTTGAAACTGTCCATCAAAGTGGTTCTTGAACGCACTGGATCTCCACGCTTGCTTATGTTGCGGAACGAGTACGTTCCCAGAGTTGGCGTGTGCAAGCTCCAGCAAAACGATACGATGATGAATTTCCACAACACTTAATAAGCTAGATAGTATCTGAAATTTATTAATGATTGGAGTGTTAACTTGAAAATCCTGACGTATCTGTAATAAGTAGTTCGCGGGCTTCCCACAATGTAACTCCCTGTTAGCGTAAAACTACTCTTGTAGAAGTGACGCATTCTTGGCTGTCGAATCGAACATACCTTTTTCCATGTGTTTTTTAGAACATTGCAATATTATACTATAGAGAATTACACAGTCTTCACCACTGGTTGAAGTACGGCGCTGACAATGCCAGTATATGACCGGATAAAAAGATGGGACGTAAATTTGAGTAGCAGAGTACGCTTACAAACCCATCTTGGTTCTTCTCCAGTGTCTTCTCTTGGCGTTGTAACGGATTTTGTTGTCAGTTCTCAATCTGATCCATTGAGGCAATGGTCTGTTTTGGTTCTTGGCCTTAGCCAACTTTTGCTTGATTCTGAAAGACTTTTGGGCCTGTAAAATGAGTTAGTATGGAGTCCCATAAATTCTTAACTTCCGACAGTTTGGATAGGAAGACGGGCAACATGTAACAAAAAAGGGTCATTCCGAACAGTAGGGAGCAGTGGGAACTGGGGGATGGGGCCACGCAATAGGGTCTATAACTTCACGTCTAGCTTCACGTCTAGCTTCACGTCTAGCTTCACGTCTAGCTCCACATCTAGCGCAGCCTTCACTCACGCTCATCATTCAATGTTATTCGGCACCACCACCGGCCACACTGGCCGCACCCTCACTACCATCCAACCTCCTGCGGCACGATAAACGTGCCACGGAACGTTTCACTTGAACGCATCTTCATAACCATTCTCTGAACCTCCAGCACTGTCGTATATCTTCTTTCACCATTTTCGTCATCTCTAGTTCACTATTCCACATACAGCCATCGTTACAATCGTTGGTTTGTTAAATGGTATTAAGATTGGTAGGTGAGATTTGAAATTTCAACATGTGTATATCTCCATCACGCCCAGGAGGAAGGCCGGCAGAGGTGGCCGCTGGAAAGTGAACAGGCCGTCCAGGCAGAGAGGAAGGGAGCCAGGTTGGAGCGTCCGCCTAGCTCGTACCAGGTCTGATCCGCCTAGGCGGGCTTCCCCCAGCCTAGATCGTCAGTGCTAGGCTCGCGGTAGCGCCCCCAGCCTTGCCGCATTTGACTAAACCTCGGTAGAGATATTTTCACCCACGCAAAAATAAAATCATCAAAATATTTAAAACAGTCAAAATTAATTCAAACTCCACACACCACATACTAAAAAGAGCAGTCACAGGCCAATGCTGCCAAATGAGGAAACTGAAATTTTTCAGCCAGGTGTCTAACCGCCAGACGCCCTAGGCTTCATTCTTTCCCAATACTACTAGGATTAAGTTGACAATGTTCGCTATAACTTAGTTTGGTGAAAAGTTAGCAAACCTCACCGATCCAAAATGACCAGAGCCTCTGTCCTAGCTGATGCCTTGAACTCCATCAACAATGCCGAAAAGACCGGTAAGCGTCAAGTGTTGATCAGACCTTCCTCTAAGGTCATCATCAAGTTTTTGCAAGTTATGCAAAAGCACGGTTACATCGGTGAATTCGAATACATCGATGACCACAGATCTGGTAAGATCGTCGTTCAATTGAACGGTAGATTGAACAAGTGTGGTGTTATCTCCCCAAGATTCAACATCAAGTTCAACGACATCGAAAAGTGGACTGAGAACTTGCTACCAGCCAGACAATTCGGTTACGTTATCTTGACCACTTCTGCTGGTATTATGGACCACGAAGAGGCCAGAAGAAAGCACGTCGCTGGTAAGATCTTGGGTTTCGTTTACTAAGCGGATCGCCAGTGTAAAGTTATCAAAAAAATACCATTTTGTAACTGTGTAATTTAAGCATAGAGGGTGTTATTAACGACGTCGGGAGAGTGAGAGTGTCCAATGTGGTTATAAGGAAACCGAGGCGGCTGGAAGAGGTCTCGAGACAGTTTTCCGAGAGCCGGATACATGTTTCAGAGTCTTTACGTCTACAGGTTAGTTTCGCAAGTTCTGGACAAGATGCGAGCATCCAGCTGGTCTCGGTGAAAACCAAGCCTGCTAGTGTCGTTATTTGTCGGATTACAATAGTTTTACTATTTAGCACATATCTTCAGACCTCCACATGTCTACGGGGGCCCCCGACCAACGGTGCATATGCGCAGCAACGACAGAGAATTAACCTGACCCAATATATATTCTATTGCAGTATCAACTTTACGCATTAACTTACAAAACGTATTAAAAGTACAATGAAATTGTAACGAGCACACATAAAAGCACGCAAATTACAATCTTCTACCTCTTCTACCACCCTTCTTTCTGGTGGAGTCGGATGGAACTGGGGTAACATCCTCGATACGGCCAATTCTCATACCAGATCTGGCCAAAGCTCTCAAAGCAGCTTGACCACCTGGACCTGGGGTCTTGGTCTTAGTACCACCGGTAGCTCTGATCTTGACGTGTAGAGCAGTGATACCGACCTCCTTGCACTTGACGGCAACATCTTGGGCAGCCAACATGGCGGCGTATGGAGAGGATTCATCTCTGTCAGCCTTGACCTTCATACCACCGGTGACTCTGGAGATGGTTTCTTTACCAGACAAGTCGGTGACGTGCACGAAAGTATCGTTGAAGGAAGCGTAGATTCTGGCAACGCCAAAAACCAAAGAGGAGTCACGAGCTTGAACTAGATCTAAAGAGAAAGCCCTTGTTAGTATATTGCAGGAGAATAATTGCGTCAAAACCGCCTAGAATAATTCCTCTAGAACGAGCCATTCTTTCCGTGTGCCGATGATCATGGTGACCACGGCGGTGAAGATGATGCCGACGATGGACAAGCTGTCTCAGAACGCTTTGTGCCACATCCTTTCGGATGGCAAGCTTTCTGCTCGCACAGTAATAATCAGCAGCTACCACGAAGAGACCATATGCTTCCCAGCACTGGACTTCCCCAAAGTGAGCACCGCTAAAAAATCGCTATGCATCGCTATCCATCTAGCCAACCAAACACCCGAAGAATCAACTAAACGGTTTTAAACAGGAGACCACCCCTTTACGTACCCTTAGCCATTCTTGATTATCTGGTTTCTTGAGAAGTTGACTGTGTAGGCTAAATTGTTCCACTTTTTTGAAACATTTAAACTGCCAACTATGTTTGACGATGATGAGTCGTGGGCCAGCATACCGGTGGGGTGGGGTGGGCATGCCCGGCTCACGGGCTCTGCCCCGTCTCGTTGGCATGTCTGCCTAGCCCCAGACGAGTCCTTCCGTCGGCTAGGCTCAAATCTTGCGGGTGCTCCAGTGGCCCTCCTGCCTAGCCGATTAGAGGTGGAGTTTGTGTGATTTTGCGTTGTTCTTTTAAAATGATTTGCTTTTTCCATAAGATATTTAAAAATGAATGTATGGGTGCTGGGAGCAGTCACAAGAAAACAGGAAGCTCCGGCACGTGTTAGATCTCTTATGGTGTTAAACGCAGAGCGAGGTGCCTCTGGTATGGAAGGCCAGCCCGTGCGACAACCGTCGACACTTTGGCCTTGAACAGAATTAGTATCCAGCCTATTGAGGTTTCAGGTACACCGGCGTCTCTTAACGACATAAGGTCTTCGGAAAATAGGCCGGCTTCAAGCTGCCAAAATTCGAGGGGTTCTGCTACGTCCGCAGCTAGGCCTACGAGTTACGAAACATATCTAGTATTTTCTATCAGTGCAAGTATGATTTTCTAGAGGTTCTATAGGGAAATTCTTGTATGATATCAAACCGGCAGATGGATGGGTTTCCATCCTCCCGCAAAACAATCGGTCTGTATATCGCTAGTATTGCTCTCGAACTGAGTTGTAGAGAAGATATTGTCTGGTAAGGGCACAAATCCACTACAATAATACTCGTTCTTGAATGTAAATGTAAATTGGTTTCCGAAAAACAGTAAAACGTAGGAATGGTATTGCCCCGGGCAGAGCGTTTTTCTTGCCGGCTTTATATACGTGAAAAATTACGACTGTTTGTTAAGACCAAAAATCATCATTGGACCTGTCCCCGGAAGCGTAACTGAAAAGCTTACCTTTCAGTTTCTGCCGCATAGTAGTCCCGCAATGCACCTTGTTGCGTTGATAGGACTGGTTTTGAGCATATGTACAGTGAGCCTGAGCGCCACAATCGAGGGAAAGCTGGATCTTTCACCCTTCAACATCACTCGCAGAAGCGTGATAAATACCAATTTCAAGCTGCTGCAAGTAGGGGACCTCACCGGGGAACCGTATGTGGCCGCCACAAAAATCTACGATAATCATGGCAATTTCAAGTTCCAAGATGTGCCAGAGCCTCGGGACGGGAATTCTACGACCTTTTTTGTTCTACAGTCATCCTCGCTAGATTTCAACTTGAAGCCCAATCGCATATTATTCAGAATAGATCGCAGCTCCCCCAGCAATCACACTGTAGAAGTGAAAGCGTACAAAAATGTGTTTGGCAAGGAAAATTTCGCTTCGCCCGAAATTACACACCCCGAGACACTGGAGGAGATCGGAGCGAAACCTTTTGTTTCGGTTTCTCTCGTCAATAAAGCACCTCTGCGGGTCTACATCCAGGAAAGAAATGGAAGCTTACTAAAAAGTGGGGCCATCGCCAACATCCTGAACTCTAAGTTCAAACTAGCTGCTGCCATAACTGCCGTCTTCGTCCTAATCGCTCCATCGATTATCGATAAGCTGGACAGCGCAGCAGTTAATACCTTTTTAGATGATAAATTACTCCAGCCACAAGTGCAGAAGCAGGCAGATCAGCAGGAGGTCAAAAGCGAACTCCAGCAATTGGACGCCAAGTCGTAAACGCGGAATTTTCGGCCAGCAAATGATTGTCTCTACTAAAAATCTCGCTGTATATTCACGAACATAATAGCAGGAAGAATAGGAAGAAAAGTCTCGAACGCAGCCTGGCCCGGTGCTCTATCGTCAGCCGTTTACCTCACTCCTCTTGCTTCGAACTAATGATGAGTCACTACTAACGACGATGATCAATATAGATTTATGGGCTATCCCATCACTTCCTAAATCGCAAGGCGGCAACATGGCCACTGCACAGGACGAACTCTACATTCCTCAGCCCAAGGATTGCACGAGCTCTATAGGTGGGCAGTTATGACTGCATGCTTGAAGGAATTGTCAAAGCTTTGTTCAGAGGTCCTCAACTTGCAACCTCTGGCATCTGCTGACGACTATGCTGATGAGCTGCCTCTCAATGAGGTTTTATTGGAGGTTTTGAGCGGGTTCGATAGCCAGGGTGGATCTTTTGATAGCGCACACATCTCAGAATACGTATACGACAGTCTGGCTGCCAAATTTGCCAACGTTGGAGAAGGTGAGGATAATTTGTGGGTAGAGCGCACCGAAAGCTGGAAGCGCATATTTGAACTGGATTTCTCAGAGATTATTCTGGAATTTACTATTTTGGCCCAAATACTGCTGAACCTCTCTCGCATTTCTTTCATCAATGCCCAGAAATTGGGGCGCATTCCCGAGCTTAAGGATGCACTGTGGGGGATAATCGCTGGGCAAGAGAATCTACTAGAGGTAAAATGCTTTCAACAAGTCATCAATGAGCTATTCACACAAGTGCTCAACACGGGCTGTAGCCCTCTTGACCTCCAAGCACTTTACGAAGAGGTAAAACTGGGGTCCGAGACAGCCCTTAACATTTTGAACACCCTAGGAAGCGCCATATCCGATGCACAATCTCAGAGCTTTCTGTTTTTTGACAATCATTACGAGAAGTTCGAGGTCAATTTACTTGGAACGAAGTTTTCAATACAGGTATGGGCCATTTTCAATAGCGTAACGTCAAACCGAGTCTTCTCTTTGAATGATAATTTATTTGTTGAGATACGACAGTCAATATTGTGCATATCTGATGACGAGTATGTTTTATCCATGTTTGAGAGCTTCGAATTTTCCGCGGATACCCTATACAATGTGACCATGAACGTGGATAACCGGAATGTGTCTCTTCACATTAACGGTACTTTTATGGAAACTCTTTCTCTTCCTGATAAGCCATCAGATGGAATCAGAGTTTTGGAGCTGGGATCCATGATATGCTCTTTCAAACTCTTCAAGTTCTGGATGTGGTCCGAACCTCTTTTCGAAACTAGTATTAAGTTAACTAATGATTTGCCATTGCTACAACTACCTAATACTAATGATCATCGATCGATAGAGTCCTCTTTTCATTATGACTCTAATGTTTTACAAAATGTGTTTGAGAATATCCATACACCAGGAATGACATTCGGATTATGTGTTCACCATACCAAACAACTGAACACAAGAAACCTGTTAATCAATTTGAATCCACAGGATTGGATTGATGAGTTTGGGGATGCTAAAATCACGTCACTAGCGTTAGATGCAAACCAGGAATTTCAGATTCAAGAGAAGCTGTTATTTTACCAGCAGCCTCATTTGCTCGCTTGCTTCGAAGCCGTGAACTTTGCCGATTTGCTCATGGAGTTGATACAGCACTCACAAGAATTGGAGACTCTTTATGCTTTAACGGAACATTTCGTAATTTTAATGGACTGCTATCAACTTCGAAATTACTTCGAAGAGAAGGTTGGGTATGAGTTTTTGGGAGCTTTATTGAGCAGGGAGGTAATACCACGCCTCGAGACCGGTCTATCACTCCCTTTTATGAGCTTGTTCTTAAAGTATTGTGGGTGGAACGCAGCCAACCCAAAAAGATCTTTAATTAGGAACATAGAAGCCTATGGCTCTTTGGTGATGAATTTCGAACTTTGGATCTCAAAATATTTTTGCCTTGATTCTGAAAAGGAGACTATGGTAGAAATGGTGAGATTTTTATTTTTCCAGCTACAAGAAATGCTCGAGAGTCCTAAACATGGCCATTTCAATTTTCAACAGTTAAGTAAAATCCAGCTTCTAGAGAAGATAATCATGCAACTTGAATTCTCAAGTTCGACGGGTCTGCCGGAAGAATTAATCAGACACGTTAAAGAAGAAATTGCGAATGTCCTGAGAGTGTTTATAAAATCAATCTCGAAACAAGAATTGTCTTTTTTATTCAATTTTGCCTTCTATGAGATAAAAGAGGGTTGTGAAGAACGTGCAGCGATAGTACTAAGATCTTTTGATCTTGCATTCGATGGTGCTGAAGATACTGATGAAGAACATAAAACCCTATTCCTACTGGAGTCGATTCCCATAAAAACTCTACTAATGATGCTCTGCGATGGAAATTCAATTGACGTTATTCTGAACTCTTTAAAAATTTTAGTGCGGTTTTTGAGGTCAAGCTCCGCCAGACGGTCACGATTTGCAAAGAATAATGGATTTCGAGTTTTGTTCAACCTCCTCAAAAAAGCAAATTATCGTTTTTTTAGAGAGATCGTTGAATGTTTGCTTACTAGTGCATCATATGCTGATCATGCAGACTATGGAGCTGTGTCTAACGCTGGGGTTCTATTCAAGGATAATGCTTCAACGCCAGAATTTCATTGTCTCACTATTGACTTGCTGGAGTGGGTAATTTTGGATGATATCAATGCTTCTCCTTCTTTGAAAGTAACTCAGCTTCTCTCTAACTACATTTCAACGCTGAGCAAGCTACAGGAATCCGCCCCAGAATTATCACTATTTGACGCACGGAGCACTGCTGTGCCCGAAAAGCTAACTGAATTGCTTATGACATTAGGAAAACCTCAAAATATGGACACATATCTCGCCGAGATTCAGCAGATCACCACTCTTCTCTCGAATATTTTGCTACATTGGTTAACACTCTCAAATACAAGAGCTTTCTCAGACCAACTGCTATATTTGGCTAGAGGCAGAGGAAATAAAGTAAACAAACATTACCTGGAGCCATTCTATTGGAACACACCATTTTTAACTGTTTTAAACCGCTTTGAGAGTTTCATCCCGTCATTTGAGATCCTTTTTGAGCAAACTGATTACATTCTCCCAAACTTCGTTCACTTGCTTGAGGTGTTTACTAGTAGTCGAAACTTTACTGACCTAACGCTGGATCACTACTTGAGATCTCTCAAAGTCACAATTTCTTGCGTGGAATGTTTCAACAATTTACGCTTAAAGAGCCAAGAAGCAGAGGTTTTGCAAACATCCTTAAGCAAGATTGCACTTCGAGCTATCATTGCTTTTTTGAATGTTATACAGCGTCACGATTGTGAATTACCACTACCCTATGTCCAGACATTCGTGGAAGTAATTCTTACACACCAGACTGTCCTATTTGGTCCCACAAAGCCCAGAGAAATGCTTGACTTGGACTCCTCTGCCAGCATTTTTGTGGGCCTATCATTGTTTTTAGGTCAGAGAAAAGCGGCTCAGTTTCAGTCAACCATTTTAAATTGTCTCCGTGTGATTGTCTTGAAACATGAGCAACAGCTCGGGTCACTAGCTTCTGCAATAGATCGTAGCAACAAAAACATCCTTTCCGAGGTTTTAGTCTCGTCTATATCAGCGAGCGATGAGATACTTTTAGATCAGCTTACATCGAAAGAGATGAAGGCTTTCTTTGAGGGCCTTGCTAGAAAGCAGTATAGGAAATTGTTTCGGAGAGAGTATGAAAACGCTCACTTCTCTATCCTGCAGTCGCCCAGCGAGGGAATGAAATGGCTTTTAAAGCAAAGAGAGACAGCATTGGAAAAACGGTACGATGAGATAAATGGGATTTTCATTACCTTCAAACGTGATGGGATGAGGACAAGTGACACTATCATTGCGACGGAAGAAAAGAGAATACATTATTTTTGCAACGACAGGGAAGATGAATTTATTTTTTTCAAGCAGCGTTATGTGGAGTTCGAAAGAAGGAATTTAAACACGCGAAGGGTTCGGAAGTCAGAGTGCATTCCTTTCGAATGGTCCCTGGATTTTACAGAAGACGCCAGCCGGATGAGAAAAATGCTCATTCCACACTACAATGTGAATAAGAATTTCACAAATGCACAAAAACAAGCAGAGATGGGGCCCAATCTACCTTTGGGTGATAGTGGCGAGATTGATCACAGTAGCAATGAAAGAAGGGCAAGCAGCACGATATCATTCGAGATTATCAGTGAACTCGATCTAGGACACTTAGAAATTGCAGAAACTAGTGACAAAAATAGAAAGGTTCTCAAGATGCTAGAAAAAGGGGACACAATCAGGCGAATCTGGAATTGCAGTTCTGTAATCGGTCTCAATATAACCGAGGGGGTTTTAATTTTGAGTGCAAGAAATATCTATTTCATGGCAGGCTTTTTTTATTCTCTGCGGGAGTCGAAAGTGATAGAATTAAGATTAGCACCTACAGCGGAGAGAGATTCTACAATAAAGCTCATTTCAGGGCGCAGCAATGAAGAAAACAAGGTGGACTATGAGCATGCTACAGACAGGTTAGATATTTCGCAAGTTTCTTTCTACCTCAAGCGGCCTTTTTTGCTGAGAGACCTAGCTCTTGAAATATTTTCGCTTAACGGAAAGAGTGCTTTTTACACATTTCATGACAAAAATATGAGAGATGATATTTTCCAACTTTTAGAGAAACATGTCAAGGTGTCAGATAAGTCATCGATTCTTCACGATGCTCTAGCTGAAGTGGCATCCAAAAGTGAAAATATAATTTACAAAAATGGCTTGTCAGATAACAAACTCTCGAATAGAGTGGCGAATGTATTCGCTTACACCAATTATTCACAGCTCTCATTCAAGGCTTTAAATCTTTGGCAGTCTGGTGACCTTTCTAACTTCTACTATCTTATGATCGTTAACACTTTAGCTGGTCGCACATTCAACGACATCACCCAATATCCAGTATTTCCCTGGGTTATAGCTGACTACCATAGTGATGAGTTGGATCTAGAGAACCCCTTGACCTTTCGCGACTTGTCCAAACCCATGGGTGCACAGACAGAACCACGAAGGAGTCATTTTATTGAAAGATTTGAAGCTTTGAAAGAGTTACAGGGCGAGGAGTCTCCATTTCATTACGGTACTCATTATTCATCTGCCATGATAGTATCCTCATATATGATGCGGCTTTCCCCGTTCGTTGACTCCTATTTGCTTCTACAGGACGGTAAATTCGGCCATGCTGATAGACTTTTCAATTCGATTGAACGTGCATGGTGTTCAGCATCTAGAGAAAATACAACGGACGTCCGAGAGCTTATTCCAGAGTTTTTTTATCTTCCTGACTTTTTGATCAACAAGAATGCTTATATGCTAGGAGTTTTACAAGATGGCTCGCATGTGAACGATGTCGCATTACCACGATGGTCTAAAAATGATCCGAAGTTGTTCATCGAGAAAAACAGAGAAGCACTGGAATCCGCGTATGTTTCTGAACATTTGAACGAATGGATTGATCTTGTATTTGGTTACAAACAGACAGGGGACGAGGCTGTGAATGCTGTCAATGTCTTCAATGGGTTGAGTTATCCAGGTGCGGTGAATCTTGATAAAATTGATGACGTGAATGAACGAATGGCTGTCACAGGAATAATACACAATTTTGGACAATGCCCCTTGAGGATATTTGATCAACCACATCCAAAAAGAGTTAATGTGCAGCTTAGAGCCTCGACAGACCAATTGAAAATCGGGGACGCTCCTGTGCTACTGGAAAAGAAAGAACCCAGCTATGAGGGCCATGCTGCCTGTAATCGAGTATTTTCGAGGCATAGTTTCAACAAATGTGTGGAGGATGTGGTGACCATTATCGTCAAACGCTCTCGTTCACTTCAATTGGGCGAAAATGTTCTATTAAACGCACACAATTCCCAAATAACTTGCATCCAAAGTTACAAATCCTACCAAATTTGGTCTGGCGATGAATGCGGCCTTATTAAACTTTGGTGTTACAGAGCAGATGGCACCACGACGGCTATAGAAGCCAGCTATTCATTTATCGGACATTTGTGTCCAATTAAGGAAATACATGCATCTGATCAGTATAATCTTATGCTCTCATTAGATGCAGCTGGAAACTTGTTTTCTTGGGACATTTTGAATATGTTTGCGCTAAGATGTATATCCCGCGCCGCGTGTCATACAGCTCTCAACAGACACACAGGTGCCATATGTTACGTTGACACGAAAGGTGTTGTTTCAATTTGCGATCTGAATGGATCAACTTACGCTACATACGAGGAGCCTAACATCGTCACGGCAATGGGTTTTGTCTCTTTCGATGAAAGAGGTACTGAAATTAAGTGGTTCGAGCACGAGAAGGAGATAGTTGCGTTGGGCCTAAAAAATGGCCACATTGAAGTGGTGGCTTTAACAGAGGGAAGGAAGGACGAGGCGTGGCAGATATCCCGTATCAAATCGCTAAAGACTGGGGCTTCCTCACCCATTGCACATATAGGTGTTCGTGTTTTTGGGTCTCAGGAAAGTAGTGAAAGCCGTGCCGATGGCGCGTTAGTGGCGACAAATGAGGAGGGTGCAGTGTTTACTTGGGAGTAAGTGACAACTGATCAGTAATAGAGGTGGTGTATATGAAGTATAAAGTGTATCAACAAGGTTAAAATATGCATTAAGGGTTATTATAATTAAAAATTGATGCTAGTTGGTGGATTTTATAGATATGTCTTCAGTGAGGCGAGTTTGCTGATTTCATCACTAAACTCCTTCTTGTCCACATTGGCTTTGATGAATTTCACAATGTGTTTGGTTCTTCCAGAGGACTTGCCCTGAACTATGTTTACAACGCCACAAGTTTCCAAGGCGTTACACACCTCAAAGAATTCGTTCCGTTCCAGCGGTGAGATAGTGTCTCTCTGGTGTAATAATCTTGAGTAATATTCATATGATTCATCTAAGGAAGCCTGGGTTTGAAAGATGTCGGATTTCTCTCTGTGTACTAGAGAACATAATACCAATCGCTGTTGCATGTTCAATTTTGAGATTCGAGACTTTGTCGAAAAGTTATTATGCAGTGTTGAGAATACCTTTGCTACATGAGCCAAAGTGACTTTACAAATTGGGCCACTCGCAAGCCTTCTGTTCTTGATATTCTCCAGTTCCACTACCTCCACGCTAGATCTCAAAATGTCAAACAATTTCCTAAGATCGCCAGTGTTTCCAGAACACTTTTTGGCGGCAAACCTGATTGCGATAGGTTGAATGACAGGATCCATATGCAAGGTTTGAAGTCTCCCCATGACAATTTCGAACATTTGCTCGGCAGTATATGGCGCGAAAGAAACGGTGTCCGGCAACAGTTCCTGTCTCAAGTTTAGTCGTGTCAAAAACCTGTCTTTCATGTCCAAACTATTAGCGATTCCTATCAAAACAAACCGAAGTTGAGGCATTTTGGCCATCAAAAAAAGATCGAAAATGTGTCGTGTTGCATTGGTATCTTGCAGACTGGAGGTGACTAATTTGTCCATTTCATCTAGAATGACAATAAAAGTAGTGTCGGGATGACACTTTATGAATGTTTGTAAATCTTCGGCAGTCCGAGCAACGCGACTTGGCTGCTTCGCGAAAGAGTGATGTATTTTTGCAAAGATGGATTCAGCATTGCTGATAGCGATACAGTTAATGGAAACCATTGCCACAGGCTGGTATGTAGTTTTAGCAGTTTGAAAGAAGGCAGTGTTGAGTAAGGTGGTGTCTTGTTTTAGATGCGGTTGCTCCAAGATCAACGTTTGGAATTTCTCGCGCATAATGAGGTCCAACTGTGCCGTTTTGCCCGTCCCCGGCGGGCCAGTTACGTACAGAGAATCTCCATGGCCCGAGCTTAGTGTGCGGTTCAAAAACTCCAAGATCTTTCCAAACTGTGCATCGCGGGTCGGCAGGCACGCTTGTGTGTCTAGATCCACTTTCGAGCACCGCTGCAGAACGGCCTTCGTTCTCGAATACACCGAATTGGCCCCAAAATTCAGTCTCTTTGGGGAAATACTCAATTCAACGTTCTTTACCTTCATGCATTTTTCGGGTGAGGCCGGCGGCGTCACCAGGCCCTGAAACCGTTTCACTGTCTGCGGGTCTTCGCAGATCTCAAACGAAAGTCTTTTCCTGCTTCCAAAAAGCCCATTTTCGAGTGAAATTGTCATCGATGGCGGTGCGATGCGGGTGCTTTGATGGTCCGTTGGTTTTTCTGAATCGAGTTGTCTTGCATCATTGTTCATTAGCGAGGGCCAATCCCTCTCTTATATATCTTTCGAATGGCAGAGACAACTCTCATCGAGTATAGATCAGTAGCACCGCTTTTGGCGAATCCGTTCACGATATGGGCTCTTTTTTTCTGTTTCACGCGTGTCAGGGACCTTCACGCGTTTTCCACTATTAATTACGGGTCTTGCCGTGAAAAATTAATATCGAACCAGCCATCGCCAAATTCATTAGTTCCACTTGATATTCCGAAAGGAGCAACACGTCCAAATGACACGCTGGAAAGGTCTTTCCCCGTCCAGCCAGTGAACCCACAGGACCGGGTGGACACATGTTGGCCCGAGTTAGATACGTAGTGGGCCAAAAAACAAGAACCATTTGTACGAGACAGGCAACTGGCTTGACATAAAACGGCCCCAAGGACTATCCCAACAGTAAGGCGACCGTAGTGCTACGCACTGGTAGACTAGATATGCTGGTGCACCCTCTGTCGCTAGTCGTTGGACGGATTCGACTGAGCATTTTGGACGAAACCTCCAGGGAGCACAGGTGCTTGAGTCATTGACCTGAAGGTATCAGAGGGTTGGTCGCTGAGCCTCACTACGCCCGAGCGTGGTTCACAGCGCTTCTAGTAGTCCGTGAACGGAGTGTATCGATCTCGTTGCCTTTGATTAGCACGCCTGAACGAGTTGTTTTCACAGACTTGTGTTGAAAACAGATCTAGCGCAACTGTAAGAAGTGCTCAGATCAACCGCTTGGACCACCGCCCGCGCTTGCCGATCATATCTCCCGAGCGACTTGAAGACAGCTTCTAGGGGGTCCGCAGGAGGATCTCGCTATTGGCTCAAGCAGACTGCAACCCAGTGGTATATGTGAGACTCCGCACGATTTCGAGTGGCCCCTACCTAATCAGCCTAATCCCTCTAGCCCCTCGAGTCCCATTATTCATATACTTGGCTTCCTGGCTAGGCGGCTACTCAAAGAGCTCTTGCTCGTTACTCCTGAGGAAATCTGTCATAGATTAAAGATGCCATCCTCCGTACAAAGGGACTAATTAATTAATGAAATGTCCAAACTAATCTATCATCTGTCCAATGGTGTAGCGCAGACATCAACAAACTTGGGAAATAATACGGTGGGAACCCATCAGTGCTTAACGAAACGGTGTGTACCTAAAAAACACCAATTTCCGCAAAAGAGTTGCGTCGCCCAGGAATTTTTGGGGCCGTTTTGAGCACATTTTGCACACTTCGCTCGAGTACCTTGAATTAGGCACAAACAGAAGACTGACGAGCGAGCAGTGTGTAAGGCAGAGCTGCTAGGTATTGAACTCAACCGCAGCATCCGGATATGACGCCCACACACCGTTTGGGGGACAAACCACCCTACCACTACCAGAATAATCCGAATCCAAGACCGGGGCCTTACCACCGACCTGCACATAGCACAAACGCCCAAGGGCATTCCACAGCGCATCCTCCAATGACAGGGAGCGCACAGTCATCATATGTGCCGGGCTCGAAGCCAAGGCAGTCTAGATACAACCCCAATGTGCCGGGACGACCTCATTCGTCTTCAAGCGGATCGCTTACTAAACCTCGCTCCGGAAGTCGATATAACCCCGATAATAAGGTACCATTCCAAAGCAGCACGGGTCGCGGATTGAATGTGACCGACTCCCGACGGTTTTCCAACACTTCGCAACCTCCAACGCCCTCCAGTCGGTACAATGCCCAGCAACCCTCCATTGCATCCAAGCCTGGTCACCACAACTACTACAGCTATCCGTACTCTCGTCGTCGTCCTTCGTCTGTTGCTGATGAGTACGATTCGGGCTCCTACAACGGTTACCCGGCAAGGACGAAATGGCGCGAAACTTACTCCGGGCAGCATGCGGTGGATTACGATGGATATACTCCGATTTCGACTGCTAACTCAAGCAAATTGCCAGCCTCTTCACATACTCGGTTCAATGGTAATTCTGCGCCGTTTCCCAAGCGCTACTCTTATAACACTAATGATCGTTCTTACCGCGATGCTAATAATTTTTATCCAACCAATAATGACCTTAAGGTTGCAGAAAATCAACATTCTTTAGGCTCAAGCTTAATCAACTCTGTACCTCAAACGACACGCAAGATTGAAGCAAAAGTCGCCATCGAACATGAAAGAATTGACCTGGGGAGACAGAAACATGCCAATGATCAGCTAAAATCTCACAAGAAGGAAGAGGACTCAGCACCAGGAGAAACAACTGAACATTCAGCTGCTTCAGGCTCGGTCAGCGGCCAGACTGACTTCACCAATGACCTCGACGATGAGATAAATAACAGCGATGTACACACCAGGAAGGGTAATCAAGCTGAAGTAGATCATGATATGGATCAGACCGAGCCATTGGCGAAAAATTTCGCTAACCTGGTTGACTCTACTTCTGATACTATCCTCCAACCTAAACCTGACCTTAAGGAAGACCGGTCATTATCATCGTCATCAGTAGTAGAGCATAAGACTCATCTACAGTCGCAGGCAAAAGAGGTTACAATGCAAGGCTACAGCAAACCTCTGAAAGAAATGTCAAGTTGCTTATTTCCCATGCTTGAAGCGGAAATGAGACTATGGGAGCTGAAGAATCAACACAGAAATGAAATTATAAAGGACCAAAAGTACCTTCTGAAAAGACCAATTACTGCTTTACATGATTATCCATTCATGTCACAAAACATTTTAATTCACGAACAAGCCATTAAACCAGTCCTTCTAAGCTCGCTAAGGAAAATAAGGGGTCAAGAAGTATTGCGCAAAGTTCAACTCAAAAAGAAGTTTTTGACTCTTGATCATAAGTGGAAGAATACTTGCAAAAATCTGGAGGAGATAAGTAAAGAGGTGAAACAAGAAGAAATTAATGATAATTTCAATACGAAAGAAAGAGTACAGTCGCAAAAGGAGATAGAAATTCAAAATCAACAAAGCCGCTCTGGTAGCAGGCGCAGAAATAGGGCTGATTTTGTTGACGATAATGAAATAGAAAGCGTGCTGTTGCAGATTGATCCCGATTACAAACATCATCAACTAGCTGCCCATATTCCAGCTATGATCATTGACCCTATCCAAAGGTTTGGGAAAAAATTCAAGGATGTTAATAACTTGGTTACCGATAAAGACTCGTGGGCAGAACGAATTAAAACCGATGGCGTTGACACGTTTACCTTTGAAGAACATGAAGCTTTTGTGGAGGCCTATTTAACATACCCGAAGAAATTTGGAAAAATTTCGCAATATCTGGGTGGTTTACGAAGGCCGGAAGAGTGCGTCCTTCACTATTATCGAACAAAAAAGGACACAAATTACAAACAGCTGCTCATTGATAAAAACAAAAAGCGCAAAATTAGTGTTGGGCGGAGGCGCAAAGAAAAGGAAAGAGAGGCGGATTATCCGAAGGTAACTTCTGAATTTGGTGAAAAGGAAAATGATATCCGCACTCAAATAAATGACTCAGTTTCCGGTGAGGGGGATATCAAGAAAGCCCTCAATGAGACAGAAGACGAGAACGTCGAACAAAATAAGATTTTGAAGCAGGAGGAGCGGAAGACCAACAATTTTCCTACAAAGCCCGAACCGGAGGAGGGCGAAGGTCAAGTATCTGAATCATCTGCCTCTCAACATCGTGACGGACTCGATTTGTCTCGACCAGTAGAAGTTGTGCCAGAGAAAGTGCCTGTTGTTGCTAATCGGGAGAGGGACCCTGTCGCAATCAAGGAATTTTTAGAAGAGGAACCTACCACTCCGGTGGCCAGCGAGAATGCTAATAAGCGTAAAATCCAAGAGCTTGAAGAGGTAACTAGCGAGTTACCGGACTTTCAACCTATAGCCCCGGCCGGAGGAATAGAACTTCGAGAGAATGTAGAAGGAGAGGAATCTGCAGAGTCTCCTCAGCTTGAAGAAAATGAGAAGTTTCAACAATCAAAGAAGAAGGCAAAGCAAAATGAAGGGGTTCATAAATCCAGCTACTGGAGCGTGAAAGAAACTAATCTTTTTCCCGAGCTACTTAAGGAATTTGGTACTCAGTGGGTTTTGATTTCTGAAAAGTTGGGAACGAAATCCACTACCATGGTTCGGAACTACTTTCAAAGAAATGCCGAACAAATGGGATGGCAATCTTTAGTTGAGGGCCCAAATGCAGCACTACAGATTGAGAAAAAAAATGAGAGTACAGGTAATTTAATCTCGGCTGATCCCCATCATGAAGGGATACCATCACAGCAAGCTCCTTCTGTTAGCATTTTCAACTCATCTAATCGCCCTTCGTCCACGCCAATGCAAATTCCCACGCTCACAACAATGGATACTTTCTCCCAACAGGCCACACCCAAAGGTTTACCACCACCTCGTCTACCTTCCATCCAACTGAACCCAAGTAGTACTGCCTCTGATCCGCGAACAGCCCCCGTTTCTAAGAACGTTCCATCAGGTCATGGAGACCCCGATGCGGGTACTTCTCCAAGTCCGCGAAATATATTTCATAATCATCGGACTACTGCAGGAGGCTCAAGACCTTCTATGAAAAATATTCTAAATGATGCTTCTTCAGAGTCGATACAGCAACCTGCCTCCAAAGTGAAAGGTGTCGAGTTACCGCCTATTAGCACCAATGACCCGCCAAGTACAAATGTAATCGTTCAGGAGCTACAGCCGCTTAACTACACCACACCGTCATCCGAATTTTCGTCCCGGGCCTCGTTACCGGTTTCCAATTCTCGTGGTTCTGGATTTCTGTCGGCTATTCTTAACGTTGCGCCATCTCCAGATTCTCAGACACCTCCTGGCCCCCCTAAGGTTGCTATCAGCCGATTTCCCGAGCCCTCTTTGGATCTGCACTCTGCCAAACCGCCAATTTTACCTCCAGTGACCATGCATTCTCGGAACGCGGGCTTTTCGGGAACAGCTGCACCCTCTCATACGTTGTTGAGCAGACCTGCTGAATTCAACTTCGCCAATGATCCACTTGCGGCACTAGCGGCAGTTGCGTCTGCACCTGAGGCTTTAGAATCTTTGGTGCCCACAGACGGTCATGAGAATAATTCTTCGTCTACAAAGTGAATAAACGTTATAATTGGTAAACCCGGTGATCTATATGAGATTTTAATTTCAGAGGATTGTCGACTTTTAGTCAGATAGGTGTACGTAACTTTTTGCCTTGGAAATGCGAGTGCTGTTGTGGCTATTAATCAGAATGCAGACGCATCAACTACTGTCTATCCACGTCTGAAGAGGTGATGTAGCCTTGGCCTTGGCGCCAAGAATTCTCCATTTTGTAGTCACTTTGTACCATTATGTCGCTTGGCCGTGATATCTGAAGAGCAGACCTCCATCTACCAAATATATGTAAAGCAATCACTTCACCCAATACTTCGCATCACAGAAGTAAGTTTAGGGACCGATTTGAAAGACACTCTGCCCCAGTTTTTTGTCAAATTGCTAATGACAACATGAATAGAGACAGAAACATAGAGTGGTTGGCGAACGCGCACAAAACATAACTTTAACTTAAACCAAGGAAGCTCTTGAACCGCACAAAGCGCTCCTATGAACCCTTTCGGGCCAGAGCCTTAACCTGCGATCCTAAATTAGTCGTGGAACGTGAGTTCATTCCTATTATGAGTTTCGCGATAAATGCTGTTCATAATTAATAACATTTGAGATGTTTCTCTATAAATTCATCAACCTACCATAAGTCAAACTTCAACCCTATTTCATTGCTAACAAACCATATCCAGATGCTTTCTGCCATTCAAGAGCAATTGGGTATTTTGGTAGAGAAATATCCTTGTCTGAACAACTACCAGCCTTCTTTGGAACGCCCGTTTTTCAACGTTTCGTTGTGGAATAATTTTGACCGCATCGCTACCCAGCTAACCTGTGGCCATTTCGTCCCAAGCAAGTTTGAGTTTGTTCCTGGTGCCCTCCCTCTCAGCGAACTCCCACAAGTGGTGGCTGCTATTGTTACCTACTATGTGGTAATTTTTGGCGGTCGTCAGGTTCTGAAAAACTCAGAACCCTTCCAACTTAACTTATGGTTCCAGCTTCACAACTTGTTTCTGACAACGCTGTCCTTGACTATTTTGCTGTTGATGGTCGAACAACTTATCCCCATGATTGCAAAGAATGGTCTTTACTTCGCTATCTGCAACATAGGTGCTTGGACTCAGCCAATGGTAACCTTATATTACATGAACTACATCACCAAGTATATCGAGTTTATCGACACGGTTTTCTTGGTTTTGAAGCATAAAAACCTGAGGTTTTTGCATACCTACCATCATGGTGCGACTGCATTGTTATGCTATACCCAGCTGGTAGGCACCACTGCCATTTCTTGGGTGGTTATTACGCTAAACCTTGCAGTTCATGTTGTTATGTACTGGTACTATTTCCTAGCTGCGAGAGGAATCAGAGTTTGGTGGAAGGAGTGGGTGACTAGGTTTCAAATCATTCAATTTGTCTTGGATATTGGCTTCATTTATTTTGCCGTTTATCAAAAGGTAGCCCACCTTTACCTTCCAGAACTACCTCACTGTGGTGACTGCGTTGGATCTACAACCGCTACATTTTCTGGTTGTGCCATTATTTCGTCCTATTTGTTCTTATTTGTGGCCTTCTATATTGAAGTCTACAGACGTAGAGGAACCAAGAAGTCAAGAATTGTGAAGCGTGTTCGCGGTGGTGTTGCTGCAAAGGTAAACGAGTATGTCAACGTTGACGTAAAACGCACTTCAACCCCCTCTCCATCTCCTGCCCGAAAGTGAGTACGTACGCGCGGGTAGTTTCAACAACGATAAAATCTTTTATGGCCCAGCGCCCGATTTTCGATCTATCTTTTGTTTATAAATCTGGTGTACTATTATTTCCATAAATTTAAATAATGCAATCGCCCTCCTCCTAGCCCTTCACAGCTTTTTGTTTAAGTCAGACGCCCGAAGCTTGGCCAATGCTATGGATCTCTTGATCATTTCCATAGTAATCTTGGATCCGCCGCCGACGGCCTTGAAGTGCTTCAAATTTCCTTTTGCGTCAGTCACGGCAGATAGCGTGGAAAACACAGAGGCTTCTTCGGCTTCACCCTGAATATCAGCCAAAAGGACAGATTTGGGCGAGTCGACTTGCATGTCATCATCATCTTTAGGTAGTTGTGCTTCTGGATCTATGTCAACCACGGCAAAATTTGAAGCAAAGGCTAATCTATCTTTGCTTAGCATCAAAGGCTGAAATTCGTTAGGGTCACAAAGGATATCGAATGTTTCTCTAATCGCTGCGCTGCGTCCTCTCATACTCACCGGTATTTTGAGATCGGTAGTGCGCTCATCAACAAAAGCTCTAGGTAGCTGTGTATTGGCTAATGCGTAGAGTAGAGAATTCCAGCAGAGCTCGAATAGGGGACCATCCCGACTGAAAACCTGGATTTTGGCGTAGAGAACGTACGACCATTTTCTCCTGGGTTTGAAATTTTGGGCAAGTGCGTTGGAAGGGTCTGCGTCTGGGTATAACACACTGGATTGTCCATCTGAGTTTGTAGAACGGACACCAACGGAGACCTCGAGTGCTTTTTTTGAGATCAAACCGGTGTGTAGCACGCTGTTATAGATACGCTGGGAAAGATTCATTTCTTCGTCGGTAGGCGCTCCAACCCGGCCCCGCTCCACTTCCACTACTGGATACACACACCCGTGGTCTTCTACGCCGCCTGCTCCTACCGCTTGTTCTAGTTCTGGGCTCTCTTCCTCGTCCGGGTTGTGCACCGACATGTTTTCTTCCACGACTCCTCCAGTTATTGACGTTATGACCATCGTTTTCCCACTTTTCAAAACGTTAGACCCCAGAATATTGTTCCCAGTGCGGTTCACTGAGTTCTGAGATCCGCATGACAGTTGTCCGTCGCTGATCTCCACATTTCTGAACTCTTCCAGCGCTCTCAAACTAGGTCTTAGTCCCAACGACAGATGTCTTTGCATGGATAGATCGGGCGCTATCCTGGCCAAGACTTCTGGATGAAAGGTCATCGGTTGAATTTCGATAGCTTCTTTCATTGTTTAAGCAGCAATGAGATGATTATAGTGCTCTCTGTGAGTCTATTTTGTATCGCGGTGGTCGAGTGATGAGCTAACAAAAGCTATTAACTATAATTGATGGAGAATATCTTGAAAATTTGGCTCTACACATAAGTTAACTGACACAACCAGCGGAATAATTTAGATAAGAGAAGCTGGTTCGAAGGTCAATTGAACTAACCTATGAGAAATCATGAGTGAAATTGTGGTTTGCGGATCGCTGAACTATGACTTGGTTACTTTCACCCAAAGACTTCCTGACGCTGGCGAGACCATTACTGCAGGGAAGTTCGAGACTCACGCAGGCGGAAAAGGCCTGAATCAAACGGTGGCCATCAGAAAATTGCTGGCGCAAAATGAACATGTAGATGTGGCGATGATAGGCCACGTCGGGGACGACTCGTTCGGAAACGAATTGAAGAGCCTATTGAGAGAAAACGACATTGGTGTGGACCGGGTGATTAGTCTGGAAGGTGTTAATACGGGCGTGGCAACCATTTTGGTCGAGCAGGAGTCAGGTCAGAATCGAATTCTGTTGTCTGAAGGCGCAAACGGGCATACAGACTTTTTGGAGTCGGATTTAAACCGCCTTTTCCCATCGAGGGAAAGGCCGCTAGATCGGGCCACGAATCATTTTGTAGTTTTCCAGAATGAGATACCTGGAACGGTCTCCATTATGCGGTGGATAGTTGCAAACAGGCCCCACTTTAAAGTTGTATACAACCCCTCCCCATATCGAGAACTCTCGAAAGAAGATTGGAGCCTCGTTGATATCCTGGTTATAAATGAAATTGAGGCACTACAGGTCCTGCGCTCCATCTTTTCGGTGCACGATGTAGCAGCGTTCGAAAATATGGTCCGGAAAGATGTGTTGGAAGGCTACAAGCTAGTGGTGAGTCGATTGGGCACGATGCTGAACAAGAAACAGTCTTTGGGGGCTGTAATTATCACATTGGGAGAAAAGGGCGTTGTATTTGCCTCTCAAGATTCACCAGATGTCAAATACACAGCAGCTTGCCACGTACCACAAGTTATAGACACTACCGGTGCCGGGGACACCTTTTTAGGTGGCGTTGTCTCTCAACTATGCACTGATCATACTTTAGAGGAGGCCATCGGCTTCGCTGTGAAGGCGAGCTCACTGAGTATTCAGAAAACTGGTGCTGCAGAGAGTATCCCATCTTTCCAGGCGGTAACCGAGGTTCCTTGACGGAATTTCGCTTTCGGCCCGTTTATTTCTTATATAAACGTACATATGCAGGATCATAAAGTGGGTGAAGGAGGAGCGCACCCAACAGAACTACAAGGCTGTGATACGTTGTCGCCAACATCAGATGAATCGGGGCTTGTTGTGGAGGAATTTAAATTATGGGAGTTTGACATAGCAGTCGCATAGTTTTTGTGTAGCAACCGCAGCTTCCGCCTCCCATCATTCTCCTCAGGAGAGGAGCCTAATGGAGAATTCCCCACTTCTAAGCTTGAAACATTGTCAATAACATCATTTTCGCCAGCGTCGGGTTGATCCCATTCGAGAACTTGTAAGTCATCTTCCGAATCAGATCTACTTTCTCCATAAAAGTGTTCCTGCTGCTGGTTGAAGTGGTCCATCTTCAACTGATGAGCTTGTCGAGATGATTCGAGCAGCAGCTGAAGTCGTGCAGTATTAACTGATGATCCTGCCTCACGCCTACGATAGAAGAGTAAGTAAGCAGCCTCGGATATTGAGCGCTCCGGTTTAGTTTCAAAGACTCGGGAATCGTCAAAATAATACCATTTGCCGTCAGCAAAGTTCTTCGCAAATGCAGTGTAGTGACCTCCACCGAGGCCGCCATAATGGTTGTCCACGGCAATTAAGTCATAGACGTTACTCTGCTTTTCACTCCCACATACCAAATGGCCTGACATATCTAGGCCAGATATTGGGAAGCTTACGACCTCAGTTATTTTATCACTGAAAGAATCACGATTTTCAAACCTTTTCAAATGGATCGTGAGGATCTCGGGAGTGTTCCAAAGCTGGATTTGTTTCGCAGCCTGCCTGTGTTCCTTGCAGCTTGGACAATACCAAGAGTCAGAGGCTCCTAGGATCTCGGACTTAGAAAATAAGTTAAGACAGTCTTCGATAGTAATTTGCTTTTTAGCTCTTTCATTTCTTTGAATCCTCATCTCATCTAGCTCACTGTTTTTGATTTCTGCGGGATTATCCCATGAAAACTCTGAGTCCTTGGAGAAAACAGTTGAAATTGCTTCATTATTCCATCTGCATACAATGGCCTGGCCAGGGCCGATTAATATTGGTCGAGGGAAATGACTGGGAGTAGAAGGAAGTGCACTTTGATTGTTGGTTATAAGGGCTGCATCGCTGGGAATGTTGGTATCATTATCATTAGCATGGCCCGGTGTTATGCTCGATTGATGGTCTGCATTATCGGTTCCATGTTGAGCATTTAATTCTGGAATGTTTGTCCACATAGCATATTCTTCAATTTCATCCATTTGATTGTCAACCAGTTCTTGGTAATTATATATATCTCTGGCAACATTTGTGATAAGTGTCGTCATATCAACAGCTGTAGCCAAATTACCTCTTGGGTCTGGGGTCCAAATTCCTCCTTCTTCTCTATTAGCTTGTGATCCCACCTCGGCATTATCTCTTGTCAAAACTTGTACGGCAAACTTCTGTCTTTCTGGAGAAACAGGTGTGCTGTATTTCAAGTCTTCGGAAAAGTTTGACAGATCAACGTTTGGATATTTTTTCCTCAGCAAATCCATAGTTTCCATTGTGGGTGAGGTCGAGGGTGAGGGAAAGCTTGCAAAGTTTCCACTTAAGTTGGCATAGTGCCTTTCCAACTGCTTTCGAATTGCACCGTAACACTGACGCTCATTTTTGTCCAAGCTGATGAAAAAGGGATAACCGAATAGCTTCTGGCTCCGAAAGCCTTCCTCAACAATAGTGTTCAAAACAGGGATAATCACACAGTCTTCTTGGTTAGGAAGCTCATAAAAAACAATTATATCGTTCTCAGAAGCAAGATCGTTAATCGGTAAGTACTTTGCATCCGATGTAGGTGATTCGTAATTGTTATAGAAAGCGTGGTTGAAAATTTCTGCCCCAATTAAGTCTTCAAATCTGAGATTGGCAGCTTTGGAAACGTATCGTTTGAGATCCTCATAGGTAGAGCCCTTAGATAGCTCAACTTGGAGCAGACATGGAGGAGAGTTTTGAGGAAAAATCTTTACATTGGAACTCCAATAACTTTCAACCGGAAGAGGCAGAGTCAAGTCACTAAAGGGATCAAAGGTAACTGATATATGATCACAAACAGGGCATGTCAGCGTTGATTTATACATTCCGACAAAGAGATCATTAATAAGGGAATCGTTTCTAAGCATGTGTTTTTCCCACGTATCATTCGCCAGATTTTGAATAACCTGAGGGTCATGAATATTGTCTCCAGCAGTCAGCTCAGGCTTTTCAACGATAGGCTTATCGACAATCCTGTTCAAATCTTCGTGTAGCCCATCTAGAAGGAACGCTAAAAATTCCTGCGAGTCTTGCTGTAAATATCCCCCAAACATAGAATTGTGATGGCCCAACGTGGACTTGAAAATTCTTGGCGAGTAAAAAGCGAGATTTGGCACCTTGTCGTTGAAAAGCGCCCGCACGAGGGCGGCGAATGCCTTCGCTACCTGCCCCTTATAGCCCAGTGGATTGCTCGAATTAATTTCGCCTTCAAATGAGCCGTAGAGAAAGTAGTCACTTAGTTCCGGAATATGCACGAGGCATTGAAGAGCTGAATTCATGTAGCAAGTATTGCCTAAATTAGAAAGGCCAACAGTCCCTCGCGGTAACGTGAGCTTGTTGTAGTAAAAGTAATTGGATGGCCAATGGTCATCACTCTGTGACTCCTTGGTTTCAACAACTAAGTCAACAGTGGGTTTTTTGAACGTTCGAATGGTAGTATCAAATATATCAGGTCGTAGCCGGTCCTTTGATAAAAATTGTGCAAAATCAAATGGCGTTATGGCATATCGTTGAGATAGCAGGAAGGCAGCAGCTTCGTCCTGCTCAGTTTCAATCCTCCATATCCTGAACTTCTGTTGACTGAGATCTACTGTAGAGTCCATATCGCCGATATCTTGTATGCATCTTTTGACTATAGCCTTTACGTCGGTCAGTCGAGATGCCGAGAAATAAAGCGGTTTTCTTTTGCTAGATGAATGTCTTAATGTTTGATCCTCTTTGGTTGCCTTTAGTAGGTGAACTCTAATACAATATTGATCATATTCTGTGACTAGCTGACCATCATCATCTCTTATCAGCACGGTCTTGATGGCTCTGGATCCTGGTGTAAGTCCATACCACTCAAGAAGCTTTTTAAAAACTGGCTCTGGTACGGATACATATGGTTTACTCTGGTAATCTGCCAGTACAAACGCATCGAAATTATGGCAAATTGAGACCGTGTCAATTGGGCCCAACTCATAACTGTTTAGAACTTCTGGATTCCAAAGGTTATCAAACCATGTGGAGGGTATCACATATACAGCGTCTCCTTCCTTTGAATTAAGTCGAGATTCTTCATACAGCTTGGACAATATGTCTCGTTGGTCAGTCAGTGCCAAAAGACCACCTGATTGGCCATTACTTGCAACCGTTGGATAACTTTTAGTATTAGAATTATCTTCACATTCGTTCTCAAGCCCATATTTTCCCTCCCCATGTTCCTTGAGCTCTGTGCCTTTAGTATTGGAGATACCGTCCTCAGTACCTATCAGATTGTCCTCTGCCATAACCTCGTTTATGGAGGCCAAATGTGATCAATGAATATCCAAATCTATTAGATACAAAGCACTAAAATCACTCTGCGAGTAATTGGCCCCTAAGAAGCTTGAAACCTTTAATGTTTAAACGAAAACTGTATAATTTAAACACTTTTTTCGCAATAAGTAGTATTGTAAATGTTTCAATAGATGATGCACCGACAGGTAAACTACTTTGAGTCTAATAACAATGCCGCACTAACATACCCTGGGTCTTTTGGATGCACCCCTAGATTGCTAACAAACGTCTGGCCAACTTTCGCAAGAAGGGAACGCTTCGTATTTAACCAAGATGTATGTTTACTTGTGGTACCATCACTTGTGTATTTCACTTGTGGTACCATCTAAAAGCTGCTAGCAGCACGGAAACCACTAACTACTGAAGACTTTCTTGAACAACCAAAGCTCCTTTTAAAATACTATTCTACATAAATGGAAATCCGTAAACTTCAAAGCTTGTACATTCAATAATGTCATTGACACTCGTGGATCCATTAAATTGGTAATGTGCCTGTAAATGATACACTCATCAGAGAATTGAGTTCATGATACCAAAACCAAGCGTGACCACACATAAGAAGGCAAGGAGAGATGCCGGAACACCTCTTGTGATAAACGTATTCACGGTCAAGTATCGATTCCCTACTTCATCGGTCATAGAGATAGCAGTGACATTTGGAAACCCTGAGGAAGCCAAACCCATACCACAGGAAGCCAGAAGCGAACATCCAAATACGAGAATAGGCGCAGCTTTAGACCCAGAAAGTTTGTCCCCAACTTCCTGCATTAAAGGAACAATAATAATTGCAGACACAGTGTGCGACACAAAAGTACCAACCACTAACATCACAATACCGAAAATAAGTAGCACTGCATAGATAGGATAGTCCATCACCCTACGTTGCAAAGCACCTGCAATGGTAGCCAACAAACCCGATGATTGAACAGCGCCACCCAAAGCGATACCGCCCATAGCCAAAATAACAATAGACCAAGGAAAATTGTTGATGTCCTGCGTACTCAACATACCAGTACCAAAAAATAGCACCAACGGGATTACAGCGATTTCGCCCGAAGCTCCAAAAGTGTCCTCGATTTTACTCTCAACGCACCATAAGATAATTGTGCCCAAACAAACAACAATGACATAATACTGCTTAAGAGTAAAGTTTTCCTTAATGGGCGTGTATTTTTTCAACTCAACGTCATTGATCTTAAAAGTTAGAATTAGAAGAACCCAAATTAATAACATCGCCAAAATACTGGAAGGTAGAGCGACAGCAAAAAATTGCCCCCAGCCTACTCCGTAGGGCTTTAAGTAGTTCATTGCAATGATGTTTTGAGGAGAAGAAATCGGAGAGGCCATACCACTTACATTAGCAGCCAATGCCACCCCTAAAATCAACGATCTGGCAAAGGGTGACTTATAGTGCAGGGTCTTCAAAACTGGCTGGATTAGGGAGTAAGTCAAGACCGGGGCGGCAACGTTAGATATCCACATTGACAGAAAGAAGCATACACTCATTACCATGAGTAAAACGTTTCTGGGTTTCGTTCCAGCAATGGTGAGCAGATAAGATGCCAAAACTTTAGCCACATTATACTTGGACAAAGCAGCTGCTAACGTGAAGCCAGCCAACAGAATCATAATTGTAGAGGACCACATTTTCCCTAAGATCCATGATGACGCGTCAGCAGCTTCCATTATTTCACCGTCTGTTTTCAAAACTTTGAAAGTTACCACAAGCATCGGCACCAACAAAGCTGTGACAAACAATGGCAACGCCTCAGACGCCCATAGAAATGCGACGCATGTGACAAGGGCCATGCAGCGGTGTTGAGCAGGGTCGTTGAAAGTTGGAACCGCCAGAAGAATAATCGTGGACGCGATGATAAAGTAAAGTTTGTAGGCCTTCAAGGTAAAGAAAAGTTTCGGGATTTGGACACGGCTCCAAGTCCAGGAGCCTATTTTAACTGGTCTGGGCAAGTGCCAGACTCGGTACTCCAGAGATGTGATATTGTCCAGCTTGGAGATATCGCCATTGGCGTCTGGTCTTCCCGCAGAGGTGAAAGTGTTGTTGTGGGACTCGAGGCCCAGCATGTCCTTCCATACTGTATTTCTCTCCCACACGATGAAGTCACGCAAATATGATCTCAGTTCTTCTTTGCAACTGGCCAAGTCGCCGCTGGTCATCGACGCATACGATTCGATGACTTTGGCGATTTTGGAGTCTAGTGTCTCGAACGTTTCGCTCTGGAACACATACACACCTTTGAAAAACTGTGCAGATTCAATCAATTCCTGTTTTACGTTGCAATTCAAAGTCTTGTCGAATTTCTTGGTGATCTTTACAAACCCGATCCTATTAAGCTCAATGAACGACTTCAATTGAACAAGGTCCACATACAGATCAATCAGGTTTTTACGCAATATCGATCTCTTCTGACTTTTCACGTTGAAGTCTGAGTAGTTCAACAGCGCAGTGTTTTCGAAAGCATGGCCGTCGTAGTCGTCGTCGTCTTCCTCTTCCTCGTCTTCGGCCTCCAAGTTCAATGTATTGCGTCTGGAGAGAACCGACTCACGTCTGGAAGCCCTGCGTGCGGCCGCAGAGCTGGTCACGTCAAGGGAGTCATTGGCGTCGTGTCCGCCCGCCTGGGGTTCGGCAACTACGCTCGAACGGCGTCTTGCTCCAGTGCCCATCTGGGGTTCGGCAACAACGCTCGAACGACGTCTTGCTCCAGCGCTCATCTGGTGCAAGTCCAGGGCAAGCGTGTTGAAACGGCTATACAATTGTGCCTCCAGCTTTTTGTAGAAGTCGTCGATCTTGGCACGTTCATCTGACAGCTTGCTGAGAAACGTGTCCTGGGCGCTAAAAAGCGTTCTGTCGCTCGAAAGAGATGACCTGCGTTCGAAATCCGTCTGCTTACCTTTTTTGTACTTCAAGTCGTCGAGTTCTAGCGTCTCCACATTGACATCCTCAGTGTCAGCTTCCCCATCATCCGAAGACCGTGACGCAGCGTTTTTGGCACCATTTTTCGACCGGAATTTCTGCTTGAACTTCCGCAGCGCCTTGGTGGACCCTTCCAATGCATTCAGACGTTCGTGGTTCACCTGCCCACTGTTGTCGACCACATGCAACTCCTGCGCCTGTAGCGAATAGATCAACCGCTTGAGCTGCGAATAATTCAGATAATGCTCCTGCCATTCAGGGACCGCATTATACTTTAAAGAGTGGGAAAACTTCATTGTGCCCCGTGGTGATTGTTATGACAGCAACCGCTATAGAAAAACCCCCGCACTTCTCAGAAGCTTCTTGACTTTGCTTAAACGGCGAAACAGGTGTCTGTACCGGCGCCAAACTATTAGTGAACTGAGCTAAATGCGTGGTAACACAGAAAACGTGGTGGTGTGCCAAGTGTGAGACTGAAACCTTGCCGAATCGAAAGTAAATTTTCATAAATGGGAGGAACGTGCCCCATTTCCAGAGGCCAATATATCTGAAATTAATGAGCTGCCCACATGTGCTTGCTTTTTTTTCTTTTTGATGCAATCAATATGGAAGAGCCCTTTCAGGCATGGTTGTCAGGAGTAACGATGTGTAGAAAAGATAAAGTGAGCTCCCACGTGGGTCAGCTGCTTGACTGGGATTCATTAGCCCGTTTGAACCACACTCAATCATGTGACTGGAGTCCGTGTCCGGGACGAGCCTTAGAGGCCATGGGGTGTCGGCGGCTAATTCACGTTTAATGTGAAAGCACAGGCTGGGCTAGTGAGCACATACTGGTGTTCGATGTGGATCAGAGCAGTAGTCAGCTGGCGAGTTTGGCCGGAGGCGCTGCCTCAACTGGGAGTTCTTCCACTGGGAGTTCATGTATAAGGAGAGCTAACGAGAGCCGGTTTCAAAGACGTGGTGAGGATCAGCAAGCTCTTTGTCGTGAGGAGACGCCGAGTGTGGATGCGGAGGCTTAGCCTCAACTGGGAGTTCGTGTATGAGTGGAGCTTGAAAGCCCCTTGGAGGTTCATTCAGTCATAGGTAGAGAGAACTAAGGGCATATATATATATACATATATATTACATCTACGTGTCGGCCATGTGACAGGGGCGTACCAGGTGATACAGCACGTGTTAGTGTCAGCAGCACAAAAGTGTACAAGGAGAATAACCAAGCAACGGGAGTCAGAGGAACTGCAGTTACACAGAATTGCCCTGGCCAGGCATCTCAGCTATCCAGCTACTCCACAATCCTTTGAGGCGAGTCTGACTCACTAGTAGTATTGAGGCGAATCTGATTCTTCAGTAGAGAGCTTACTAAGTTTGTCTTGTAACTCGGACATAGTCATTGTAAGATGAGTGACTTGGCTCTAGGGCATTCTGTTCATCTCTCCGTACTTGGGTTTGGCACTAGAGCTGGCCCAGCTACCTGAACAAACGCCTGGTATTTATGCAATTCTCGTGACTTTGATCAACACACTTCTTAATCTCCGGTTCTAAATTATTCTGTTATCCATGAATTGCGGCTCTAACTCGTCGATCGCCATCGACAGACGTTCTCTGCGGTTTGTCTTAGCTGGCAAGCCAATTTGTATGACCTCTGTTGTGTACTATCATTCTGTACCACTGTGTCATATATCTCTTGACGATAAGATTAGGCGCACATCAGCATCAGTCCCCTAGTATCTCACATTAGTCCCACCAATTTCTATCATAGCGACCAAACCTGCTAGTTAACTACTGCCGACGCTGACTCGCTCTGATCTATATGCAACTGTATTAATTCACCCGGTAATCAAGTGGTCATTCTCGTCGCCCATTTGCCGTGATTAATAACCACAACGGCAACTGGAAAACCACGGGAACCAGTGTACCTGATTGGTATACCCTACTGACTTGCTTCCTCTATACCCGAATTTATTCGGGCCGATCCAAGTTCTCCTATATGTTTTCCTGTGCGCTAACTAAACTCGGAGGAAGGTTGTTGTGTCTTACGCTTTCGAGGTATCGCCATCTCGGGTGCAGCCAACCCAGCTTGGCTCACGGCTACGCGGACTCTCCGAATAGTCTTTGACAGGTCCTGGCAACATTCCTATTCCAGTTGTTCCACGACAATGTTCCACCTCTCCCCTATGCCCACATTTATCGACCTTCCCAGATAAGTTAGCTTCTATGGCCAAGTTGGTAAGGCGCCACACTAGTAATGTGGAGATCATCAGTTCAAATCTGGTTGGAAGCATATTTTTAATATTTTCATCTGTCGCGCTGTTTTTTTACCACCGGAATTTAACGAAAAGCCCCAGGAAGTCAATCGCCTAGCAGGCAACTGTTCAACCTTCTACCATCGCAGAGAAAATTTTCTATGGGTCACACCCAGTAGCGAGGATAAAGCCGGGGCCCTTCGTCAACCAGCTTGGTGATGTTTTCTGTTCAACAGGATGGGCTAAATTTCGACGGCAGTTTCAACACTTTTGACCACTTTGTTCGCCCTCACGAGTTTTGATCAGGCGTCAAAAGAGAACCAAATTCAATTCCTAAGTGGATCTACAGAAGCCCAGGTCGACACTACAACGGCAATTAACGCTCCTTCGATCCATTATCAAAATCGCCTGAGAACGCCATAAAAAGCTAACATGTTGTCAAGTAGACCAGTGTTCAGGAGACACCTGGCTACTCACTTAACAAAGAACTTGGTACAAGTGCCCGCCGAAATGCAGTCACGTGCTCCGCCATATGCCAAGCTCATCGGCAAGTTGGAGCTGGTCAAGGCCATCACCAACAACACTCCCTTGACGTTGGCCGAAAAGATCTTGTATTCACATCTGTGCAATCCCGAAGAATCATTACCCTCTTCCAATCTGCATGATATCCGTGGTCTGCAGTACTTGAAGCTGAACCCCGACCGTGTCGCAATGCAAGATGCATCTGCGCAAATGGCCCTGTTACAGTTCATGACCACAGGACTTGCTCAAACTTCGGTTCCCGCGTCGATACACTGTGACCATTTGATTGTTGGTAAGGATGGTGAGAGCCAGGACTTGGTATCTTCTATCGCCACCAACAAAGAAGTCTTTGACTTCTTGCAAAGTTGTGCGGACAAGTACGGCATTCAATTCTGGGGCCCAGGCTCCGGTATCATCCACCAAATTGTACTGGAAAACTTTTCTGCCCCAGGTCTGATGATGCTAGGTACTGACTCCCACACTCCTAACGCCGGTGGTCTAGGTTCTATCGCCATTGGTGTCGGTGGTGCTGATGCTGTTGATGCATTGACCGGCACTCCTTGGGAATTGAAAGCTCCTAAGATCTTGGGTGTCAAGCTAACCGGCAAGATGCAGAACTGGGCCTCTCCAAAAGATGTTATTACAAAGCTTGCCGGTATACTAACCGTTCGCGGTGGTACTGGTTATATTGTTGAGTATTTTGGCGAAGGTGTTTCATCGCTGTCCTGTACTGGCATGGCTACTATCTGCAACATGGGTGCTGAAATTGGTGCTACAACTTCTACTTTCCCCTATCAAGAAGCGCACGCCCGCTACTTGAGGGCTACTGGAAGAGGAGTTGTTGCTGAAGCTGCTGAAGCTGCCGCGAAAAACTACAATTTTTTGAGCGCTGACGAGGGAGCACAGTACGATAAAGTTCTTGAAATCAATCTGAGTGAGTTGGAACCACACGTTAATGGTCCCTTCACACCAGACTTATCAACCCCGATTTCTGATTTTGGATCTACTTCATTGAAGGAAAACTGGCCACAGAAAATTTCTGCGGGTTTGATTGGTTCCTGTACCAACTCTTCTTATCAAGACATGACAAGAGCAGTCGACCTTGTTAGACAAGCGTCTAGTGCTGGATTGAAACCACGCATTCCATTTTTTGTGACTCCGGGATCAGAGCAAATCAGAGCTACATTAGAGAGAGACGGATTGATCAAGACTTTCAAGGACAATGGTGCTATTGTTCTAGCAAATGCATGTGGACCATGTATTGGGCAATGGGACAGGCAGGATGTCCCCAAAACTTCTAAGGAAACCAATGCCATCTTCACCTCTTTCAACCGTAACTTTAGAGCCAGAAACGATGGCAATAGAAACACCATGAACTTTTTGACTTCCCCTGAAATGGTCACCACCATGATCTACTCTGGTGATGCTCAATTCAATCCTATTACCGATTCCATCACACGCGAAGATGGATCGGAGTTCAAATTTGAGCCCCCCTCTGGCATCGAATTGCCTCATGAAGGGTTTCTGCAGGGTAGAAAAGAATTCTACCCTCCAAAAGAACCAAAGCCAGATTCGTCTGTTGAGGTGAAGGTGTCCCCTACTTCTGATCGTTTACAACTGCTTGAACCATTCAAGCCATGGGACGGCAAGGAGGTTAAAACTCATGTTCTCATGAAAGTTGAAGGAAAGTGCACCACTGATCATATATCTGCTGCTGGCGTCTGGTTGAAATACAAAGGGCACTTAGAGAATATTTCCTACAACACCTTAATAGGCGCCCAAAACAAGGAAACCGGCGAAGTCAACAAGGCATATGATCTCGACGGGACAGCTTTTGGCATCCCAGAGCTCATGATAAAATGGAAAAACGAGGGCAGGCCCTGGATTGTGGTGGCTGAACATAACTATGGCGAAGGTTCGGCAAGAGAGCATGCCGCTTTATCTCCAAGGTTCTTGGGAGGTAAAATAATTTTGGTCAAGTCCTTCGCTAGAATCCATGAGACAAATTTGAAGAAACAAGGTATGCTTCCGCTAACATTCTCCAATGAAAGTGATTATGATCGTATTTCTTCCGGGGATGTTTTGGAGACTTCAGGTCTTACTGATATGATTGCTAAAGATGGTAACAATGGCGGCGAATTGGACGTCAAAGTCACGAAGAAAGACGGATCGTCATTCACCATAAAGACCAAGCACACCATGTCTAAAGACCAAATATCTTTCTTTAAGGCAGGCTCGGCTATCAACTTTATTGGTGACTCAAGCCGCACTTGAAAGCCTTTAGCAATGTTTAATGCCTGGCCAGTGCACTATACTATAATGTAGAATAATATTTATTAAATGAAATTAACGAACCACTTGATTCGATGAGGTAAGTTTCTCGATGTTAAAAATCAATATTGGAGCCATACTATTATGCCTATTGACTGCGGGGCACCAACGCAAGACTCAAATTGTATCCACGGTCGTTGTCATTCAAGTAAAGTAAGTGATTCCTCCAGAACTCGTACAAAATAAACTCTTGCAACAGGGCTACCGGTTGAATTCTGGTCGTATCAATACGCGCGTTATTGGACAAGTTAAAAAATGAGTCTCGTTTGCTTCCCAAAAAGTTTGGTTTTTCATCCACGTCAAAAGGAACCTGAAAGAACTGAACAAGCGACAATACTTTCGTTATTCTGGTATATTTGTCAATGTTCACTATCTTGTTGGGCCTGAACGAGGTGGGGTCACGAAAGTCGTGCAGGCCCTCTTGTATCAACGTGAGATCTTGCAAGAAAAGTGCGAAATACGGAATAGAGGGAACTTGAGATTTCACACAAATATTATCAGGTGGTGAAAAGCCTGTTGCCAATTTGTGTAATTTGGTTCTGTAAATTTTGTAATTTTTATTTGGGTGTACAATTTTTGACAGGTAGTGGAAAAGTTCAGCGTATTTGTCACTAATTTCCTCCCATAAAAATGACAGCCTGCTTATAGCAGAACTCTGTAGGCTGGTCATGATAGTAGCTAAGGAATTATAATTCCTAAAGTATAGTGCAGAGAGCGCAATATTTAACCAAGCTTTCAAGCGACTTAAGCGTAGTTTGTATGAAAGCTTTGGGCTTACCAGTGACTCGATGACATAGTTTGATAGTAGATTGGAAAAGTCAATTATTGCCTCTATGGCTGACGAAGACTCTGATGCATTACTTTTCGACGAGTTGTGTCGTATGAGCAACTCTCCAGGTTTAACGGCCAGAAACAGGGCTGATTCAATCAACGAAAGTTGCTTAGCGACTTCCAAAGGATTTAGGTCAACCAAGTTCAAATCGTTGTGTATGAGATTAGGTGGTGGAACTTGTGTAGACAAGTTTTTTATAAGTGCGGACCATCTTGCGAGCATGCGGTTCAGCGAGGACTCGCTTCCCATGGTTTTGTCTACTCGAGAAGGATACAGCTTTGAATAATAGCCATTGATGATACGTTCCATATCATTTAATTGTCTTCTGGATAGTAGTGACGAAGTCCCTATGTTCAACAGAGGAAGTGGAAGGGAGATAGAGCTTGTGCTAGCTGATGGAAGTTTTGTTAATTCATACTCATCCATAATATCGTCATTGACAGAAATCATGGTTGACCTCTTACTGGAAGCCAAAGACTCTAAGGATATGATGGAAGATCTACTCGGAATATTGATATCGCGAGGTGAGGTTTGCGCAGAATTTACCCTTTCAGTATACTCTAATGAGGTCAACTTTAGAGTCAACTCCGACGCAACTTCAATTAAAGTGCGTGCTTCAATCGGAAGGTGGATTGAAATGCCCTCGTTAAAAAAATTGACCAGAGTCGCCAAATTGGTGAAGTCACTCTGGTAGTCCCAATAGCTTTGCAGCCACGTTTGGAATACCTTACAAACTAAGCGCCGTCTATTCTTGAGACGTGATGATCTCGATGAGTATTGACCATTGCCTACATCCTTTTCAAGTGCCAGTGACTTATCAGTAATATCAAATCTTGTAATGAGCTCTGATATAAGTTCCAGAGCATTCGAAAACGATCTGAAGTTCAACAAGTAGGTTGATAGTATAAATTCATTCGGAGGGTCTAGCTCGTTAGTAATCAAGTAAACGAAAGCTCGGTTAGAAGCCCCAACAAGTTTGTTGTCCACGTCATAAACAAGCTCTTCCTGTACCCTTTCCTTATCCAAGACCACTTCCTTTCCCGATGTCATGTAAGCCTCACCGTCGTCAAGCTTGAACTTCTCAAAAGATGTATCATTTAAAAAGGAGACACTATCGGGCACAATATCTTGAAGAAGTTGAGTACCCGAAGCAGTGAGAGAATAGCCATCGCGTCCAGCTCTCACCATCGAGTATCGATACAATTTCTTGGCGTAAGGATGCCTGTCTCTCTCCTGAGTCACTGAGTGATGTGGACCGTTCCCTTCCTGCCGCTTGTTGGGTATCTTCTTAACCAAACCAATCGAACACCGCCTGATAAATTGTTCGGGAGAAATTCTAAAAGACTGAAAGTCCGGATAGGCTCTTTCCTTTCCTAATTGGAAATTACCGATCACTTTCAAATAATGGTGACAGCCTCTGACTGACACACTGATAAGGCCCGTCATTTTTGATATTATTGTCATTAAATGCTTCCCTTCGTCAGTATAAAAATACTCTTCATCTTTTATGAAAGCCCCACCAGGCAGGACACCGGTATCTGCGATGGCTTCACTCATTGATTGGGTGACAAAAAGTTTGATGCAAGAGACGAGCTCAGATACCAGTGCCAATAGAGGATCCAGGCTTCTTTCCAAAGGTACCTCGTACTTCTGTGTATGACTCAAATTGTCCTGGATCACAGATGAGCAACATTTGCTGATGTAGAGTAATTCTCGAAGTAAGACTATAATCTGATGAACAATTGACTCAAGCACTTCACATCCGGCCGCATTGTGTTCCAGCAGATCTAAACGTCCTAATATTACCCCAATGTAAGAAAATATGAGGTCATGAACTTCATTTAGTCGCTGAACTGCAAACGGTGGGCTCGCCAAATTTTGACAACCCAGTGTGTGCGACGTAACAGGACGGAGAGATTGGTCTTCGATATCGTAAACAGTATTTTCATTAAGATTGGGGTGTTTCTTTGAAAGTGGTTGAGCCAACCCCTGTTTTCTTTCATTTTCAAAAGCTTCATTTTCCAAATGCCAAGTGTCGTAAAAGGACAGCCCTCTACGCAAAACTTGAAATGTGAGATCAACCAAGGTTGACACTTTGCTTTCGTCTGTTGTGTATTTATAGGAGTCTGCTTTTATCATGAGGTTATACCAATCTGCCAAAAGTAATTTTCTGGCCTTCTTCAAATTTGCCTTGTTTTTAACCAATTCGTTTGATCGGGATACACATCCTGTGGCTTCTAAGAGAAACTTGACTCCGTCTCTAATACCGTTTATGTCTTTAAAAGAAAAACTTCGACTATTACGGTTTGGTAACTCGAAGTCTCTTGGATGCAGCAAAAACCTCGCTGATGACGATAAGAGTTTTGTTAAGGGGGTTCTCGTTTGAGATTCTTCAGCGATGGCTCCAGTGCGCGGGCTTTTCGAATCCACACACGCCTTAACCATATCAGAAAAGTAATTGAATGGGACCCACCCACGTTTCTGGCCCCTCAAGAGAGTAACTTCACCCCATCCTGATTCATCAACTGTATGCACGAATGCAACGTCATTTTTCTCAAAAGAGAGACATATGTTAACGTCGTCTTCATTTTTCAATGTTTGTGAGTTAAAAGAGTGAAGCGCAATAATGAACAAGTAAGCTAAATTTGACTCATCGAGATCGAGCTCGGAGCTTCTTTTAAAAGTGTGCTTCCTCTCCACTTTCGTTTCATTCTTATTTATTTGCGTTAGTTCACGCATATAAGTATCGTCGTGTGACATGGTAGTGTCGTCGCCGTTAAAGTCGTTATCAAACAAATTAGGTTGCTGGGGGCGCAAAGACGGGGAGGGAGAGTCATCACCGTTCGGGAGATCAATTGGTTCCTTTGAGTGGGCTTCGTAGATGCTACTCCGCGCAAGCTTCCTCGGAGATTGGCGTGCAGAGAGAGCAATTTTAGAAGGAGAAATTTTTGCCGGACTGGCACCTTTAATATCGGGATTTTCACTTCTATATGCAGTATTCAGCCCGCGGTCCAAACCGCCTGCGGTTGTGCTAAAAGAAAGTGTATCCAAATCGGACTTGTGTTCAGTGCGTGTGTTGCTTAAACTGGGGTCCACGAAAGTAAAGCTGTCCGGTGAACCCGGCTCAACGTCTCTGGAAAAACCTTCAACGGCGAGACGTGGCGTAGAGATATCGAATGCAGCATTTGGAGCAACAATGGGCGTTTGATCAACATCTGAATAATGAGACTCAGTGCTAAATCTCCGGTTAGCATCCACTGCATCCATCTTGGACTCATTCAAATTACTGTTCTGAGAATGCGCAGTTCTGAATGACGAATCCGAAGCCGAGTTGACTAAAGACTGAGAAGAAGGTCCTCCCACTTTGGCACCAGGGTCTAGGAGGGTCTTTTTGAGCTCCGAATGTTTGTAATTGTTACCTTCTCTGGGAGGACCAATATCGAAATTTCTATTCATGGCATCGGTATTGCGATCCCTGTTATCACTGTAATTGAGCGGCTGAGTTACTTCATCCATTAGTAAAGATCCCGATTTCCGATTGGCAAAAAGAGGTGGTGTAATATATGTCATCCTTGCCGCTTCAATTCAACCCATTCGTATCCGCGAGACCGTAGCTTAACTATGAACCAAAAATAGAGCTTCTAGTTTCGATGATGCAATGGCTTCAGTTGGATTTATCGGGCTCAAGTGAGTCCGTCAATCAGCAGTTCTTTGTCACGTAACACACTGTGTTATTATTATTATTCTTATTATTGATCTTCACTTTCTCGAGGCGTTCATTTTGGCGTTTTACGTATCTTCGTACAAACACACAAAAACTGCGAAAGCGCGGCCAAACCTTGCAAGATACATTTCGAGCACCTTCACCTTCCTTGTCTACGCATATCCTCCATAACTCGTATACCAACGAGTCTCTCCTCATATAAAGCTGCCAGTCTACTAACTTTGTTTCCGGCTTTGATGTCGGAGTAGCTGGTATTCGACGAGCTTTTAGTTTTTACATTAGATTCCAGCTTCTTTTTCTTGAGCTCCGAGTCCAAATTTCTTATACTCGCGTTGTTTTCGATTAGTAAATTTGCCATGTTTTCATCGATCTTGAACTCATTTTCGGCGGGCTTAGGCTTGAAAGTCACAGCTTCCTCGGCAATTAGACGCGCCTCCACGGTCTCGAATGGTTCTTTCAAAGATATGGAAGAGTCACTGGGAATACGAGTATCTGAAGCAGCCATAGAGGTGACCTCTGACGTGCTTGTCAGAGACTCCCCGGATAAGAGACCCGTTGAGGTACCAAGGAATGAGGGTTTAGTACCGTCTTTGACATTTTGCATATTTTCAGAAATACTAGATGAGCTGGATGAAGCTCTCGATGTAGTAGGTGGAGTTATATGCCGCGTGTCTCCTGATAGATCTGGTGTTTTTCTCTTTGGTAAGGGCGGGGGTTTTGCTTCCAAAGGTACCTGTCGGACGAAACTGTCGTTACTGGATGTTTCACCTGTGCTGCCAGACTTTCTGGGGGGTGGTATGAGGGGTACGGAATTTTTGATATGAAGTGGTTGAGAATTACCCATAACACCAGCAGCGTCATACTGATTGCCATCGATCTTGGCCCTTAGCTGTTTGAAGTGCTTGAGAACATTGGTGATATATCTATGCCCAACGGCCAACCGATCTGAGGTCTTTATAGACACTTTTTCTTGACATAGCGTGGGAGTTAAACATTTGCTTAGAGATCTGTAATCATGCAAAGTTATCTTGGAATTGTCTAGGAGACTCAAGAACAGCTCAAATATGTATACAACGAGCTCATAATAGCCATTGTACAGCATCATGTTGACGAAGGTATTGTAGGTATAATCCAGAGATTCGCTAATCGGGAGGGGTATGAGGTTGATGGAGAAAATAGGCTTTGATTTCCCCTTTATAAAATGCAAAAATAAGGTACCGAGTGAGTACACGTCCCATTGTGAAAGATCCACGTAGTTATTTCTCGCTACGATCCCAAGTAAGATGTTTACCTTCTGGTAAGCACCCGGCTTCTGGAATACCAGCTCATGCCGCGGAGCTTCTGTCTTCAATCTCCTAAAGATCTTGTCAAACGCCAATTGCCTGTACTGTCGATTGGCTAGTGGGGATCGAGATCCCACCTGAGGGTCTGGCAGGCACGTAGTTCCCGTTATTTGGTAATCAAACAGATACACGTTGAGCGATATTCGTATTTTCGTAATATCGATAATGCAAGCAAGTTCTGCGAGGTTTGATACGTGCTGAACGGGTACACCCTCAGTAGCTGTATCTTTATTTTTGAACGGGTTGATGTTTAGAGCGTTGGTCAAAACTTGATAAACAGAGCGCACAAACAAAGATTCATGAACAACGTAGAGCCTCTGAAGTCTTACCCGCATAGCTTTCGGAATCTTTGAAAACATTTTTAGGCCGTAAATCCAGCTAACATTATTTTGCGAGAACCCTGAGCTAAACACCACCAACGAAAAGGCACAGTCTGGCAGTTTAGTGACCAATTTATTCATCAGTTCATCAATCAGCAAATCGTAGACTTCACGACTTTCAACTTCTTCCGTAGATGGAAGATACGTCGAATCAAAGATATAAAGTGGACATCCGTGGTTTGAGTCGGCAGTAAACGACTTGAAGAATATATTATCTAAACGAACTTCAATTGTAGAGTCCATAATAAAATCTCCTCTGAAATCACAGCCAAGTTAGTAGAGCTTCGCTTAAAAAACCGATTGACGGCCGTTAGCGAACTTCTTGTCGAGCGATGTTACGTCCGAAGACAAGAGAGCACGGTTTGTTTACATTTCGAACCACTAATTGAAAATTTCATTATGTCACGTGCAAGAGTCTCGGGGCCGCCGTAACCGGGGAAGTATACAAAAATGTCGCCCCATAGACCAAAAGATATATTGAATGTCATGTTCTTTCGATTAAAGACAGCTATCGCAAGAAGATACTCATAGAGAACTTATGGCTGTTTGAAGTTTTATTGTTTTAAAAAAACATCGAGACTCCTCATAGGGGGCTCGAACCCCTGACATTTCGGTTCCTTGCGAGCAATGCTTAAAAGCCGAACGCTCTACCAACTGAGCTAACAAGGACGAGTCTCGAAAACATCTAAAGAGAAGGCACAATATATATCAATTTAAAAGTCAGCTGAGTAGTTCTCTTCAAAATACTCAGCCTTAGTGGTGCTTTATTGTGGGTAAGCTAGTTTGATTACTATTCACTACAAGCTTGGTCTATTTATACATGTATTGAACTTCTTGGTCCCGATCTACAGGTCTCTTTATTTTAATTATCGTCCAATTGGATCAATATCGAGTTATGCCGTCATGAATTCTTTCTGAAGGAGACTAGTCCCGAGATGAATGATATCTTTTAAGTTGTTCGTGAGAGAGAGCTGTAAAATAGCACCCTCATCATGATATGTCAATATTACTATTACTGGTGTTCCGCAAAAGCGATAGTTTCCTGTAATAATAAGGTTGGCACACCTACATACGTCGAAATGACACCAATTATCAATATTACTATTCTCCTCCTCGAAGATTTGGCGTCATTCAAATCCTTTGTTTTTTAGTCTGCCGCGTGCCATCAAGCTTTGAAAGACGTTTTATATTTTGATGAACGCTTTCTAAGGTCAAATTAGTGATGTTATTTTTGGCTTCGTACTCCTGGCGCTCTTTAGAATAGTTGGGATCACTTATAAGCACTTGAATATGCTTGTCGAAATTAGATTCCGGAATCATTTTGTGAGTTATGGGGCACTCAACGAGGGCTTCGGAGGTTAGTCGTGGTTTGTGTTTCAATCTAGTCTCACCCGCGGCACGGATTTTCATTTTGCTCCTTTTCTTTGGTTTCACACCCTCCTTTTCTACACTGGTATCTGGATTTTCTAGAGATGATATAAGCAATGACCTTCCAAAAGTATCTTGCAGCGTTTTCTTGTATAATGTTTTTCGGCTTAACATGTCGAAATCCAATGGTTCTGCAAAACTTTGAACTTCTTCAAAATCAACCTTTCCTATTATGTCGAATTGGTCCCAAGCGTAAGCAGAAAACTTGATTTTGAAGTGCTCCCTGGCCCCCACCTCCTGCACCTGAACCTTCTCGGTATATTCGGCATGTTTAGCTCGTTCGAAGCAGCGCACTAACAAGCCTATTCGTCCCTCCTTGTGCATTGAGGCACGTACGCCGTAATCCTTCAGCTCCACTTGTTTGTACTGGTTTACGTAACTGGTAAAAATTGGATTTAGTGGATGTTCGAGTTTCAGAAACCCAAGAGACGGAATGTCGGCACACTTTATGCGTAGGGTTTTCAAATAATCTACGTCTTCATTCATTACGCAGTATAAAGCGGTTCTTTTAACAATTTCCAAGTCCCTTTTCGATACATTACGCCCAGCGGTAGAGAAAACAAATTGATAGGGAGCCTCGACAAGTGGTATTATTTTGTCTTCAGAATCTGGAGAGCTTTTCGAGACTGAATTTGAGCTTTTTTGGTAGACTAGTTGACGATAATAGGTATGAAAAGGATCGGTCTTCTCAATGAATGGAAACTGCTCTAGATCCAGCTTTTGTTCAAATTCAGGGCCGTTGCGGCTGACATAGTCGGCCGTCTTTTCAATGGCATCCTTTATCGTAACGTCTTCAGGAGTGGTAACATTTTCAAGAGCTGATGGTAGGTTCTCCTCTGATATCTTTCTCATCTTTGGGTTTGTTTTTTAGTATGTGTTAGGCGGTGAAATTTAGAATTGATGATATATAATATATTACAAGGTTCAGCAATGTGAACCTGTAATGCACCCAAACCTTTGATAGATACAGCCAGTTTTCTTGCACCAAAATGGCTACAACTTTTGATGATATGCTACAGGCGAGTGACATAGTGTTAGGTATCTCCTCCCACTTGTCCACAACTGACTATTTGAACTTTCGGCAAATAAACAAGGAAGTTTACTACAACCACCTTAAGAAAACAGTTGACGACCAAATTTGGGCCAATAAGCTGCGAAGGCTAGGTTTAAAGTATATGGAGTCTACCTCCGAAAAACTTATCCTCACAGAAATTAATGCAGCTAATGTTCTCCAGGAACTTACTTCTTACACGGTAGAAAATGCCAAGACGGTGTACGCTCAACTATACAGGCTACTCCAGCCATTCGTTCAGAAACTATACAAAAAAGAGCTCTCGGGCTTTTTCCCAAATGAATACTCTGATGCTCTATCGCATGCTAGGATTCTAATGAATTTGGCAACATATATTCCTATTGAGATAGCAGATTATTCGCGCTACAAGAAAATACGGGAAAATCTAGATATTTTCCGAGAACTTTTCATTAATACGGTCGTGAAAGAAATGGATTTGGGTTATGAAAATCGAAACTACGACTGTGTCACCGAGTTTGTCGCAGTATTATCAGAATGTGGTCAAATAAATACTGCAGCAGACTTTTTCAAATCGAAAAATGACTTCTCTGTTGAAGTTCAGCTGCCGGAAAGTATCCTCAACGCAGACAGTAGTGATGTCGATAGTGACTGCCTTCAAGCGGCTCTGGATACGACAAAAGCGTTTCTTAATTCCAAAATTGTCTTGGCAGATAAAATTTTTGGTGAAAGTTTCCCTGTGACTTTGAATTATATCGAGAACATTATTGCCAACAACTTAACTGATTTTTTTGACTCCCAGCTCACCTCTTCGCACGGACTGCTCTCCGCCAGCATCAAATTTATGCCTTTATTATACATTAACATCAAGAACAGCCTGATTGATGGCTTGATAGATAGCCAAAATGCAGGCCCACGTTTCAAAAATATTCTAACAGAGTTTTTCAATCTCTATTTGGAGCCAAAGATTCTTAGTTACCTTGAAGTAAACGTCCAGTTATTTGCAGCCAAAGTTCAAGAGGAATTTGTAAGCTTCCAGAATGAAACGGCTTTGAAAGAACAGCAGCAAAATGAACAAATTTATAACTCATTAAGAAGCAAGGTCTCCGACCAGCAGCTGCTAGATGAGAAAAACAATTTTCTTTCATCCTTTACTAAGATTTTCAAAATATCAAACAATAGTGTTAGCCAAGAGGAAGAACAGCTACAGATGTCGTATAATCTTAACGTCATGAATAACAATCTTCATAACATTGAGATGCTAGTAAGTTTAGATCTGTGCTACAAAGTTGTACAGCTTTGTAAGACGCACATTGAGGACATGCGGACATTTTTGGACATTCAAAATTTGAAAGACGAGGTCAAACTTAGATGCCAAGAAACTTTCAAACTTTTAATCTCTGGTCTATCTCGGGATCACTTTAAGCCCGGGTTTGATAAGGCTATTGCTGTTCTTGAACAATACGATCCAAATCAGATGAAAAACTTACACATCGAACTTGAAAATCTGAATTCTCATGTCGAACCTCTCATAAAGTTCACAGAGATCATTAACACGGGGGACATCGTGTTACAGATGATTTCCATATTTTACAAAAACGAGCTGGTTCAAATCGACATTGTTGACAAGAACCAAGATTTTCTCAACGACATTGTTCAAGTAAAAAAAAATTTTGAAACAATGATTGATGACTATGTTGCAAATGGTTTGAATATTGGGATCAATAAGCTGATGGACGAGGTCTTGTTCGTGTTTGGAAGCCTTCAACTTCCAACTGATTATAATCCCGATCCCAGCTTGCTCGGGAGCAGAGAAATCAAACCTTCTAAGGCGGCGTATAAAAATGTGGAGCTCCTGTTAAACCACTGCTTTCTTCTAACTGGAGCTACTGATAAAGGAACAATTGACATATTCCAACAAGAAATTGGCGAACGCTTTTTCAATGAAATTGTAAAAAATATCAAAAAAAACTTGATTTCCGGTGATGGTGCCATCTTCTTAATCTGTGATTTAAATTACTACTACGATTTCATCGCTAACAGACTGAAACAAAAAAATATTGTCCCTCTATTTGCTGGGCTGAAAACGGTCGGGCAGCTTTATTTGGTGTCCGGTTCAGATTCTAAAGAACTTGGTAAGATGATTTGCGACCTTGGCAGGTTCCAAGGTGTTTTCACGCAAGAAGAAATTTATGAAATGGTTCAGCGCAGGAGCGATTGGGTCAAAGTTCGCCGTGACGTTGAGAAGGTGATGTATGGATTAGGAGTTAGTGACTGTACAATAATATAGCAAAATTTTTGAGATTCGTGAACGGCATATTCTAGCTGATGTCCAGCAAAAACCTAGAATACAGGACTTTTACGTCCTGAACGGCCATCACTTCTGTGCGATTAGGATTGTTGGAATGGGCTGCACGACTCAGCGTTTCATTGTGGATGTTCCCCGCAAGTTTCAAAACTTTGAGAGTTGGCATCGCTCTTATCAAGGTCATGATCTTTAGGGACATTGTCAGCCTTAAATTTTTCTCGTTGTTTAGAATAGAAAGTTCTGTCAAATTGTTGAAACGTGGATGGGAAAGAAAATACTTGAATCGTTCACTGATTATGAAACTGTTGGAATATACCAGGTGAAGCGACGTTATCTTATCCCTCCCTAAATTTTCCAAATTGAAAGGATAGCACCATGTGCAATTGATCAGAGTGAAAGTTTTTAGATCAGGACATTGGTCTTCTTCTTCGTTCTCTTGTGGATCAATGCGAAAGTTAGAGAGTGTCAGGTCTCGCAGTGCGGGAAACACCCTAACGTGTTCCAGTGAGAAAGAAGAGTCGCTACGCTCCGCATCTAAGCGCAGCCGTAGCAAGCGCGTGGTAGAGTTACAATACTTGAAAAAGTTCGCAGACCCTGATGTCGGAAGGGTGAGGCTTATGAGGTTTACCATAGCAGAGTCTTTGTCAAACAAGACGTGGAATGGAAAAGCCCATTCGTTTTTAGAGCATGGCGATGAGATGCGTAAGTGTTGCACGAGTTCTGGGTGTTCTATTGGAGCGCAGACACCGCGTGTTTTGGTCTTCCATTCATGCATCAGCTGACGCCAAGAGCACTTGACCTCGTCAAATATGTAGGGTAAAATGCGTGATCTTACGCGCTTGTTACTGCAAGACAGGTATATCAGATCTCTTCTGTCCAGCAGTCGCACGATCTGCATTATCATCTCGTGAGATGTAGTACTCAAAAAAGCCTCTAAGTGAGAGACTGCCTGAGTTGGTTTCATTCTCTTTGGCTTTCTGGCCACCAAAACATGCCTTTCACTTTTCGGTGCTGTTTGATCATGTATTCTTTTCCTATCAATATCGATTAAACCCATGCCCAGCACGATGGTAGAAAGCCTTTCTAGTACGGCCACAGATGTGACACTCGGTTTGTAGCCTTACTGGGTCACTCTTCTCGTTGGTTCGTTAATGTCGTCGCGGACTTGTTAGTGTTAGTGCTACGCTACTAATATAGATTCAACCCTGTGGACCTCAGAATAGTAACTCACCGAAGACGAAACCAGAACAAAAGTGTCACACCTGCTTTTTCCGACCATATTCAGGCTCCCAGCACTCATAATCCTAGCACCATTGGCCAACTGTGAGTCGTTAGCACCTATATAAACACCCGGCTCAAGTGTAAACCTCTCATGGTTCATCCATGTATCAATTCGGCCAAATTAATGTATTCCGCAAACTTCTCCATTTCTTCACGTAATCGGGGCTCGTTCCCCTCGCGCTCATAATTGTAAATGTGGTCGACATATGCTATTTGCTCAAACTCTTTTTGGCCATCGTGGCTTAACAGGGAACTCACGGCTAGAATGGTAGAATCTTGTTGGAATGGTGCTAAACAACCTACCACCTTCCGACCCCTAATGTACCGAACAACCTTGGCCTCGTTGGAGTTGGATTCTTCCAGATCCTGGTCAAATCCACTATCTAATTCTTTAGTAGATTCTGTAACCTTGATTTTGCAAGGCACCAAATGCACATCGTAGTGCGTGAAAGAACCGTTTGTCTTTGACTTATCTAAAAATATTGTGTCTACCGACATTTCGAGCAAACTATACCACAGGTGAAGAATCTTTTCCAACGCTACTGTGAGTTGGTTTTGCACCTTTTGTTTCAGGTGAATTTGAATTTTTAAAGATCATCATCATCATCATATACATCAAAAAGCTATTCCATAACATCGAAGCATTCTTGATTGTGTAGTAAAATTGAGAACGCTCTGCTGATGGTAAAGCCAAATCCTTTTTTGTTGGGACGGTGAGTACTTGTGTGACCTCATTGGGAGAACGAGTCGCTGTCTTTTTTACTAACACTGCTTCAGGTTTCTGGACCCGTTGTTTGCTCTTACTGTGGGAACCATGAGTTACTATTCTTATGAGAAAAGGGTCGGAAGAGCTGAAGGCCATTCTTTGAATGAGCTTGTCTGGAAAAGAGTGGAGAGAATTCGCGCTGGTAATCAATCTAGGCGCATTTGAAGGCTAATCAGTAATGTTTATGTAATAGTTAAAAGTGTGATGACCCAATGTTCATATCTAGGTGGTAAGGTCTGCCGAAGTGCTCGAAATAAGCCAAACTTGGTCCTAATACTTTCATTTCAAGAATAAGAGATTGTAATTGAGTATTTACATGGTGGACAGCGTTTTCGTTTGACTTTTTTTTCATAACTGTGCCGGCGTTTGTCAGGTCTCTAGTAAAATACCTTAGCTATCAATTTAGATCATGGGTATACAATACTATATCAATCAACAAGATAAACTGAACCGTAGAAGATAAGATGTCCTCCAGCGCGATACCAAATGTCTTGGTTCTTTCAATTGATGAATATACTGAGAAACTACAGCCCAAGCGGGTTCGAGTTTCAAGGGCATGCGACGTTTGCCGCAGCAAGAAGATAAGATGCGATGGACGACAGCCATGTCTCCATTGTACAGTCTATTCGCACAATTGCACCTATAATCCCGTTTCGCGATCATCGAAAAAGATGCGTACAATGTCGAATACCTCGAAGCCTGATTATCTGGATCAGATTACTTCGGGCCATGGCTCCTCAACTAGAGCACAGCCGTTAAACATCAGATCCAACAATTCTCAGCTGGAAATGCATTACCTGCGGATAATACAAGCTCTGTTTCCCAATCTAAATACGAAAACAATTGATGGTGCCCAGTGCGACAAAATTGTTGAGCTTATCGGAAAGAACAAGTTTCAAGGGCTGCTGAATGTTGAGGCTGTAGAGGCTGACTTTCTTACAATGCCTGCAGTGCCACACAATCCGAATGCTGATATCAACAGGGGGCTTGAGGAAATCTCTGATAGTTCCAGTAGCCCCCCTAACCCACTGGCCCTACAGCCGCTACAAATCAAAATAGTTTTACCACCACTTGATATGGCCCGCACTCTTATATTTAAAAGCTGGAAATGCGCATGCGTCCTATTCCGCTTTAATCATCGTCCAAGTCTTTTGAACACTTTGGAGAAACTATATGAAACTAATCCTGAAGAATATACCAATGATCAGAATAAAGCACTGCCACTAATATACTCCATACTCGCGGTAGGCGCTTTATTTACTAAAGATGATTTTGGAAAAGATAAGGAGATACAAAACTTCTTCCACCAAGAAGGCTACAAGTATTTCACTGCCGCCAGCAAACTGATAGACACTACAAATGTAGCTGATGTCTCCGCAATCCAAACAATTTTCATGATGACAATATTCCTCCAGTGTTCTGCTAAGCTGACCACATGCTATTCGCTTGTGGGAATAGCTTTAAGAGCCGCCTTGCGAATAGGTCTTCACAAGAAGTCCAGTCTTGTTGGCTGCTCCCCCGTCGAAGCAGAGGTGAAAAAAAGACTATTCTGGACCATTTACAAAATTGATGTTTACGTCAACATTATAATGGGACTTCCTGTTACATTAGAAGAAAGCGACATAGATCAAGAGCTTCCAGGGAATTTTAACGATGAAGATATAACTGAGAGTGGAATTCAAAGCTGTTTATCTGGTGTCCAAATCAGCAGTTGTGCTCTTAGCAACGAGCACACCAAACTCATTAGAATAACAAAGCGGATATACGACGAGGTCCGTTCCCACAAGAAGAAGGACTCACCTAGCCCACTTCCCCATCTCCGCACTGTTCAAATGCTTCAAGCAGAATTGGATGAATGGCAAATGTATCTCCCGCCACAATTGAAACCTCATTATAATTTTGTGAAAGATGAAGAAATAAAACCGTACAGATTGGCGAACTACTTCTTGAATTTTGATTACTTGCATGCAACCCTGATGCTATATCGACCTTTTCTTAACAGCGTCGTGTCACCTCCCGAACTAATGATACAGAGGCCCGAAGAGCTCACGATGGCCATGAAGTGTATAGCAACCGCTCGGGAAGTTGTTTCACTAGCGAGCGAGATGTGCTACCAAAAAATACTCTGCGGTAGCTATTGGTTTTCTGTTCATGTCATATTTCTGGGTGTGACCTGTATAATGTTCACTGTCCACCAAGTCAGGTATATTGGTCGCAGCGCCTTGAGCGATACCCTGATGCACTCACTTGAAAAAGATTTGAAAAAAGGCATTGACTTATTGCTGGAACTCAAGACATGCTCCGTGACAAGCGAAAGAACTTACAACGTTTTGACAAAATTATTTGAAAGATTCAATGATCGTTCCATGGAATCATCGGCCGGAAGATTACAAAACCTAAGCATTTCAACAAAGTTAAAAATGGAACAAGCTCAAGAACAGAGTCTTCAAAGTTCAATGGTTCCACCATTTGAAGAGCCATTTTTGCCATCCACTACTCCTTCAACCTTTCTCAAGCAGCCCCTGCCTTCATCTCTTATCCCGAGTGCATTCACAGATCAAACGTTACAAGTTCCAGTTGGCGATGATTCGCATCGTTCCAGTTTAGCAGCATTCTTTGAAGACTCCTACCTCAGTGGAATGTTTGATGATTGGGATACATTGCTGGGATCTTCATAATTCTTTAAACAGATATGCTATATTTAAGACTGCTAATCTTCTCTTTGCAGATGTAGACGGGTTGTAACTGAACATCGCTAATATTCTGGACCTTACTTACTACTATTGATTAAATCATTTATTACTAGCGTTCGAATTAACCGAAGTCAATTAAATGCGAACGAGTAAGCAACAGAAACACCACATCCAGTACTTACGAGATGGTTCAATTGCCACAGGAAGATATTGTGCAGCTCTTGCAAAACTGCGACGATAAATACCACGCGCTTGTGAAATGGATTACCGATTGTTTACGTCTTGTGCATTCAGATACGGTTAGAGCTGAATTCATATGCAAACAAATACAGGAATTTGTGAGACTCGTGAATGCCAAAGGAGACGAGTGGTCAGAACTGTCACTAGTTGTATGCCAACAACTTTCGTGTCTATATATGGTAAACATAAAGTTGTTGAAGGGTATTGCTGGCAATACTGTCTATGATTCAGTAGTCGAACTGAGCAAGGTTATATCCGAGGAAAGACCTGGTAGTCAACCTTTCAAGAAAAGCAAGAAGAAGGCATATATTTACTCTCCCGCTAAGCTTGTCAGTACCGTTATTCTTCGACAATGCGTCATATGTCAGGTTACAGAGTTGAAACCCTTCTTTCCATGCCTATTAACCGAAACTCTGAAAAGTATTAAGAAGATGGTTGAAAAGCCAAAATACATGCATGGCGGATATCTTGGTCAATTAATGCTACTAGTAGCAGGGATTTATGAGAGGGATCCTAATGTGGACTCTGCGATCACGTCAAAGTACATTAAAACTTTCAAACTGATATTAGAATCAGCAAGAACAGACGAAGACGCATATCCGGCTTTGCCTTTATGTGCCATTATCCGTGTTTATGGATATTTGTACAAAAGTGATCGATTTTTAGAGGGACAAGTTTCCAGCAATCACCTGGAATATTTGCGAACCAAATTCCTTATAGACGGTTATGGGTTATATGGATTCTTTCGTGATAACTTACGTCAAGAAACAAGTACCTGTCTTGCAGAAATCCTTCATGATTGGTACTTCGAAAAGAAACTTGTTTTGCTGGAGGACATAATCACATTCTTAAGTGATCTTTTTATCACTTACGATAACCGCTGTACCGAAGTAGGGATGCATGAGACGTTAATCCACTTTTTCAACCTGTCTTTATCTCATAATGAGGATTGTCTAACTAGCGAGAAGTACCTGACTGTTATAACGACGCTAACATTTTCGATCTTTGAAAACCCAAAAGTCAGAGACCGAAAACTTGATTATATCTCAAGGTGCATGAAGTACTTTGAAATCCTTCATGGCCTGATACTTTGCCATATGAGTGAGTCTTCCCAATTATTGATGCTTTTTTCGCTTTTTGATTGTGAGAAAGAGAATACCGCACATTTAACCTTAGATAAAGAAGGCGCTATAGCAGTCTTTCCAGCAATTGTCTTCCTGCAGTTTGGACGGACACTTATGAACATGCTGTCTGCAACATTCTCCTCTAATTTGCGTAAAGTACTCTGGATAAGATCTAAGCTGTTAGACCTGTCAATCAACGACAACTTTCAAGTCAGAATTCATGCCGCCAAGACGTTAAAAACTTTTTTGACACATGTTCCCAGTTTCTTACCGGACATATTGAATTCCACTTTGGATACTCTATCGAAAAATCTCTTTGCCTCGAAATCTTTCTCTTTCTCCAAATGCCACGGGCTTGCGTTTATCCTGGCCAGTTTAGCTGATATTTCTGAACCCGAAAATGTTCCTAGTGAGCTTATAATGAGAATCAATATATTTGCTACAACAATATTGAAGGACCACCCGCCAAGCAGTGCATTGGGTAATTACTATAAGCAACTCATTGCTTGGATTTTACTATGTGGATTAATTAATTACAAAAACGATGATTTTCTGCGCATTCAATCCTCCCAACTGTTTTTGTTTTGGAAAAGCATTTTAACTCATAACTTTAGTTACCGAGACGAGGATGAACTCTACAAAAACGTTGAATTAAGGAATCACGCTCTCGCCTGTCTATTGTCATACCTCAATAAAATTAACTTGGATGCTGCTTTAGCGAAGCAGGTATCTTTCCTCTTAACCAAGTGTTCGACCTTTAACAACTCTGTGCAGATCAAAACTAAAACTATTGACAATATTTTGCTCCAAAATGAAAGTCGGCTTTTACAAGTTTACCTTAAAATACACGATTTTGTGAAACACGATTTCAACAGTGCAATTCTCATCCTAATCGTGAAAAATTTTGCGGACCCTAATCTGTACACAGAGCCATCGCATTCATTTTTGGATGGTATCACTGCAGCTCAAGATAAGTCCTCAAAAGGAAGCTCGTTATTGACAGAATCACAGTCTATTAGGAAATTATTTTGCGATAACTCGGGTTTCGCTTATGGGCTTTCAAGTAAAATAGAGAAGTTTTCTATTGATGAATTGAAAGTTAAAAATAGTGGTAGTGTTAAAGCAAAATCCTTGGAGCCCTGGGATGGATATCGCGCATTCATCTTTAGTGACTTGGAAGCTGAAATATACAGGCCAATTTCATCAGTTTTCTCGTATGACTGTCTCATAACGCTGTATGGGATTAATGGGTACTCTGAAAGGGAAGAATACTCTCCTCGGGTAACTACATCAATAATCAACTCATCGATGGAGGTATTTTCGCTCATATTTCCGTACTTGAATGACAAAATCCAATGTTCAGTTCTCGAAAGTATGAACTCATGCATATTTTCGAAGAAAACCGTTACTTCAAGATCCATGGCTATCTCCTTCAATAGCTGTGTTGCCATTTATAGTGCTCTCGTCGTGATTAACAATGATTCTTTGTCTCTACGGGAATCAGTGGCGAGCCTTATTTTGAAAATTGTCAAAGGAATTCCATCTTATGGTGATGAATTTTTAGTCAGGATTAAGGCTGAATGTGTTGGTTTGACTTTATCTGCTGTGTCCAAAATGAACTGCGCCGAAGATACAGATGATCTAGAATTTGCTCACGGTATTACTGAAGTTTTGGTAAAGGATATTTTGGACTGTAACGAGCCATTTTCTCGAGTCTTCAATGTTTTGAGTTTATCGTCCATCTTTCGTTATAAGCGGTCAAATGTCAGCTTTTTGAGAACCCTGGGAATTCTGGAGGATTTGATCAAAGATCCCCACCCCATAGTTCATGCCTGGTCTTTAGAAGCCTTATCTATTTTGATAGAAGGCGCTGGAACTATTGATAACAGAACGGCTTCCAAAATATTAATTTTGCTTCAGGACGTCTTTATTGGAAGCTCCTACGGTAAAAATGCTTCTCCTTCATGGTCTCTTAACTATTATTCTCTGTGGGATACACACCGGATTATTACTAAAATATTTCAAAACCTCACTCAGTTAATGGGTCCTGAGATAAAAACTTTATCTGAACATGCATTAACTATCTTCAACAATATCTTATTTCTATCAGTCGGGATACCTGATATTATCTCTAATGCTTACGGCGTGGGTACTATCACGAATTTGGCAGCATTCAAATTATACGAAGAGTTTGGTGTTAAGGCTATCATCTCTGCTGCTACTTTTCTAATACGTCAAGAACTGTGCTTGAATCTGTCAGACTTAAAATATGGCTCCTTGTTAGCGCCCTGTGGTGTTGTTTCTTCAGGACCTTACAACCATTTTGCTACAAGCACAGGATTTGCAGCTATCAATCAACTGGTTAGATTAGATTTGCTGAACGATTCATATGAAGATTTTGAACTTCTCGCTTGGTCCTATTTCAACTTGACTCCCACCTCGGAGCAAGCCCGAGCGTTTATCAAAGATTGGTTTGATCATACGTCACTGAACGACAGCTCCTGGGCAGATAGACTATATCATCTATACTTCCTCTCAACTCAAAAGTTGTGGAAGTTGGAAATCGAAAATAAAAGGCGTCTTGATAATTCCTCTGATTTGGGTTCGAAAGATCGAACAACGAGTCAAGATGCAGAGGCTGTAAATGCCGAAGAAAGAGGTTTTACTGACGAAAGTCACGCAGCTACTAAAGTTGATCGTTTAGCATGGCCGACAAGGTTATTCATCTTAGATCTTCTACGAGAGCTCTTTTTGATGTGTTCAGAAAAGGCCACCCTAAGACACGACTTGCAATACAACGTCTCTAAAATGATTAAAATCTGCTTTAGCGCCTGCACTATGAAGCTAGCTGTCATCAAGAAGGCAGGAATCGAGCTTCTGGGACTGATAATTGGTTTGTTCTCCCCTGATGATGAATTGGCGGCCAAAAAGTTAAAGGAAGAGGAAGCTCCTATTGTTGGTGCTTTGATGCCTGCTTTTGAGGAAGGGGGTAACATAGCAAATGTGGCTTCTGCTTTAAGTGTATGTGCTTGTTATTTGAGCACAACCCGCCATACCTCAGAGCTCAATGCGCGCCTTACGGAATTATTGGTTAGTTCACTAGCTGCCGTTATAGAAAAGCCCGAGGTTTTGGTAATTGGCCAGGTTAGAATTTCTAGCGTCAAATGTAAGAATGACATTGAAATGGTGGTATTGAAAGCCTGGGCAGATTTGACTATTAGAGCTGTCGAGAATGATAGTGAAGCACTCTTGGATTTTGTGAAGCCATTTTGGGATACGCTCGTGCCATCATGGATTTTAATTTTGAGGGAGCAGGCAGGCTTGGCTAGTCTAAATTCTAACACCGGTAAAGGTACTACTTATGGCGAGGAGTCGGGCAGTGTTAATGATTTTGCAAAGCTCAGGGAGTACTGGATGACTTATGCGGAAGCTATATCGTGCGTGTCACTTAATGACCCTTCATCGTTGCATTCTTTATTGAAGCAAGCAGATTTAGAAAGCTTTGTGTTTGTGGTCTACGCACAATGCTTACAACACTTGACATTAAACTTTGAGAACAGAGCTCTGAAGTTGAAGATGTTAGATATTGCTCATAAATTCCTTAAGATTGATGTGTCCAGCGAGCTTTTTTTTATGGACGACATTCTGGAAGAAAGTGTTGAAATTTTCGAGAGAATAGTGTTCGTTGATGGTGGAAAGGAGCAATCGAGCTTAGTTCTTGTCATTGAGGGTCTTATCCTTAAATACTTGGATCATTTTGGAAGTGACAACAGGTTTATCTTGGAGGCCGACAAAGTGTATCTTTTGATCAGAGTTCTCATGATGATTATAAGTTCCAAGATACCATTCTTGAAAAATGAAAGTCTAGACCTTTCACCAAATACTAATCATGGAGATTTAAATTTGCTGAAAGTATGCTTCTCATCGGTAGCGCGCCTCATTTGCCAATTTCCTACTGAATTCCGCGTTGATCTGAACGCTTGTATGCTTTATATCAGTGGTCGAATTATCGAATCTAGCCATAGGGATGCCCTGGTTCCAACAGTACTCCCCCTGTTGAAGGAAATACTGTCTATGGAAGGAACTTCCGAAGAGGAAGCCCGTCTGATTCTAGTTTTTTTCGAAGCAGGAAAGCAACAGGTTTTGAACAGTCTCCCAAAGGATTTGGCAATCGCTACCTTCATGATTTTGAGCACTTACGGTGACAATTGTTTTTCTGACCAAGATATTGCGTTGTTTGTTGAACTTTTGTATGAGAGCTTTTCTGATGACGATGCGCGAGATATAGCCTTTGGAGCTTTCAAATCTTCCCTTCGGAAGGCATCCTCTTCTGTCACCTCAAAGGCCATTGTGCGGAGATTACTATCAAAACTTCTGGCAGCGGCTAATGATTGTAAATTAAGTGAAGCAGGAGTCCTCAGTTTAGTGGAGGTTTTGATAGTCTTTTCCAAAGAGTACATTAAAAACGATCCTGAAACCTCTGAAAGAACATTGACATTCTCTCTATCATCTTTACTTATGCTATACGAACAGAAGGCAGCAGATTCCGCGATGGTTTTTCAAAGTATCACTTCACTGTTCGAGATGGACCTTGAACAATGTAAAACTATTTTGAATGATAAGTTTGACTCAAGGAGGAGGTTACTATTCTCAGAACTTGTAACTAGCTGTGGTAAGGGAGATAAAGTGGTGTCTAATATGTCCTCGGAGAATAATATAGAGCTCAAAACTTTTATTTAAATACCCAAAATATGCTATTGTACTTTAAGCACTCTCAAAGATGCTGATGTTTTATATTTTGAAATACTATCGATATTATTCGTTGATATCAATATGTGGTATATATTTTATGTCTATTTGATTCGTGCTTGCTTAAAACTTTGAATAAGTTGATCAAGTATCTCATATAATTAGTTTCATACTAACCATAACTGCCAAAAGTGAAGTACTGCAGTGAACCATGTCAATAAGATCAATAGTAAGCGGTTTTGCAGGCTTAGGTGTAGGAGGAGGGCTCGTGACATTGTGGGGTAAGCCTTTTAGCCATAGCGAGAAGAGTGGTACTGCTGCCGGAGGACCATCTTCTGGTGTGCCAACTGGAAGCTCGAATTCTGGTGGAGTTTTGCATTTACAAGGATCCAATGTGAATCCGAGTGCCTTTTTCAAATATGGATTTCCAGGACCTGTACATGACTTGATGAATAGAGAAGAATTTGTTTCGTGCTACGACAGACAACTACGTATTCCGTACTGGGTTGTTGAACACATAACTCCAGAATCTCTCTCTAATAAGAGTGGAGATCGCAAAAACTCGTTTTTCCGGGAAGATGAAAGTATCCCCGACACTTTCAGAGCACGTTTGAGAGATTACTTTAGGTCAGGCTATGATCGTGGTCATTTAGCACCTGCCGCCGATGCCAAATTCTCACAAAAAGCCATGGATGAAACTTTTTACTTAACCAACATATGTCCACAAGTTGGTGATGGATTCAATCGGGACTATTGGGCTCACCTCGAATATTTTTGTCGTCAGTTGGTCGAAAAGTACAAGAGCGTTCGTGTTGTGACTGGTCCGTTATTTTTACCCAAGAAAGATCCAGTTGATGGGAAGATGAAGGTTACCTACGAGGTTATAGGAAATCCTCCTAACATTGCCGTGCCGACTCACTTTTACAAATTGATTGTTGCAGAAAACGCTGCACCGGATCCTACTTCAGATTCTGTTGCTGTTGGGGCATTTGTTCTTCCGAATGATAAAATTCCAAATGATACCAAGTTAACCGATTTTGAGGTACCAGTAGATGCTATTTCGCGTAGCTCAGGTTTGCAGTTTCTGCAAAAATTGCCAAGTAACAAAACCAAAAAATTGTGTCAGGAAGTCGACTGCCACATTACAGTAAGAGATTTCCAAAAAGCATTGCCAGCTCCAAAAAAATATCCCGCACTACCTCCTGGATCTTCTTAGAATCTAGATATATTTACATGTTGAGATTAATTAAAATTAATACCTAGAGGAAATCGATAGTACTTTCTTGAAACTTTTTACACCGTGGTCTTTTAAATTGCTGGTTAGTGTATGCCTATTGTTCACGGAAAGCCGTCTTACCTGGTGTTTTTCCATTATACTCCAATCTAGCTCTATTTCTTTGAGAGACATCCCATTTTTTGCCATTTCATTTACACACCAAGTTAAAATGTCCACCCGCTTTCCAAACCTGGCTTCCTTAGCTATTGTTCTAAGTATCACTAGCCTATTATTTTTATTCAATTTGATAATAGTAAGGCTGGGATTTGGCTGGTTGAAAGGATCTGTTGTCGAAAGTGCGGAAGGCTTCTGTGATGACCTTAAAAATAAACATTTTAGAAAAGCCGCATTATCTGCCGAATTCTTTTTGTGAAGCAGATATTCATCGGTGTTTTTGTTCTTTTTCGTAATTTTTCCGTAACTTGTTGTGCTGCTCACATAGAGTGAGGCAACGATGTCCCAGATGTTATTTGTGTGATTTGGATCGAGATTGTGGGCAACTCTAAGAAGATTTTGTATTATGATTCTGTTAACTTTTTCTCCTGGTAGACTTGTGGTGCTAAGGCGTTGGCTAGCTTTCGTAATTATAGTGGCAAGAGAGGGTAGAGCTTTTGTCCCTGGAATCGTTTTAGTTAGCAAAATTGCCTTCTTTAATTCACGGTTGCTGTTGGTTTTTAACATGTTCAAGATAATGGCTTGGTAATCGGCTGCAGACATGCCGTCTGGCTTTTCCTCGATTAGGTTGAGCACTTTCTGAACTCCATTTGCATCCCTGAATGTTAGATGTAGTCTTAGTAAAGTGGATAACATTTTTCTTGACGCTAACGTGGTGGCCACAGTTTCTCTGTTAGCATACTTTGTGATGTCTGTCATTATTTTAGTAGCCATTTTGAAGTCATTAGTTTTCGATGAAAAATTGATAATCGATGGTAAAAGTAGTGAGTTATTGACGTAGAACACCGGATCGAGACTTGATATCAGCACTCTGCAGTGATGCCGGTATGCTTTTTGATTCGTGAAAAGTTTTATAATTCTATAAAGAATTTTGTGGTCATGTTTGTCCAGAGATGTATAGGTGAGCTTGATTGCTGCCCAGTGTTGGAGAACACCCGCTGGGTTGTTTTTCTTGCAGTCTTGCTCTATCTGGGAGTAGAATGCTAAAATCTGGGCGTTGCGGGTGGAATTTGTTTGGAGGAGAGTGCTCTCGGAAATTTCGTTGAGTATCGACTTTCTTACAGAAGGCTTGTTGGCATTTGATATTATCTTGGTGCAGAGGTCGAGTATATGATGATCTTTTAGTTTGATGGATTGTTTGTTATGCCTTAAGAATTCCATGAGTTGAAGGATCTTGCTCAAAATAAGTTTATCGCTCGAAGTGTTGGAGGACCCCACGCATTCTATAATTTGGAGTGGTATGTTGGTATCCAAACAATTTTTTTTGATGTGCTTGTAGTACCATATGTAGAGGTCAACTGCGTTTGCAATGTCACCAAATGTTAGAGAGTTGCGTATTAATTGTAGAACAATATCTTCTTGGGTCTCAATCATCACGTCCGAGTCATGCAGTCCTAAAAGTGATAAAATCGGGAGAGTATTCTCTACTGTGGAGTTTTGGCGTGCTATCTTCCATCGGAGCCAAGTTCTAAACTTTATAGAAGTTTTGTAGTATTGTTTAGTGACGTTTTTCTGCTTTTCGTTTGACATACCAAAAATTGCGTCTCCTCCATCTAAAATATCAGTATGGATGATGGATCTTTTGTTTCGCTGAGTGTGTGAGCTCAACTGCTGGTTGATTAAGTTATTAGTTATTCGTCGTGAGGAAGCTAGGGCCGTTCCTGATTCATTTTCTTTGTGGTTAAGTTTTGTTTCTGTGGAATATGTGTGACAACGTATCTTTCGGTTGGATTGGTTTCTTGCTGCAGAGAAGAGAGTTTGCCGCACCGTTAGCATGGGTGGGATGCGGTGTTGTTAGTGATGCGTAGGACGGGTTATCTGCTTGTAAGTTAATGCTTCTTAGTATTTAGATGGTGTTAATCTGCTATTTAGAGGTAGTTGTATACGATTGTTACTTGTTGATGTAACGTAATAGCCGCCGAAAAGAATACTAAAGAGACCTTAGGATTTAGGTCGCTAGTTTCTCGGTTTTATGAATGACTTAGGACCATCGTATGTTGAGTATCCACTTATTGATGTTGATCTACAACTTTGGCAGACTTTGTACTTCATGGATTTGACAATGCATATGTAACAGTAGTTCCTCTCGCAGCATGTCGATTTGTAGGGCACAACTGGGGACGTGTTGCACATTGGACAATTTGAATCTGTTGTAGTTTCGGTAAATTTCGTTTTTTGGCGTCTTAAAATGTTTGCTAGTAGAGAACTTCTAAGGACATTGTTGGCTAGGAGCTGTAGTAGAGATGTGTAAAGAAGTTGCGTATTTTGAAATTCTATGCTGGAAGAGACGGAGTTTGTGTAGCCTTCTGGGATATTTGATAGGATCGCTTTTATGCCGTATATTCTATGGAGAAAAGTGAGGTACGGTCTGCTTTCCAGTGCGATGAATTGAATAAATGTTATCAGGGATAAAAGGTTGAAAATGTTTGTCCACTTGTTTAAAATTTGTACTCTGAAGTTGGTATTGTGGTTAAGAAGTTTTGAAGCCAGCTTAGGGAGGAGAAAAGGAAGGATGACATTGGTTTGGAATAATCGAAGTTTAGTAGTGCTGAAGATAGTTCCTGTAAGTGATGATCCATATGTTGCAATTCTGTCTTGGTCTATTTTTTTGGTAGTCATGAGGAAGATTAATGTATTTAAGAGTAGTTTTATTTCACCGATATGTTTTCTCGGCAGGATGGTCTTTTGAAACTTAGTCCAGATTTGGTTGGTTAGATCATTGTCTAGGGCAACTGAGTCAAATTGTGAAACCGGCATCCTTCGGTTAGAAGACCTGTCCCAATCAGTTTAACACTTTGTTGTTTAAGGGTAATTTATGAATGCCAGTTAATTAGTTAAATGTGGTAACGTATAAAATGAGGTTGTTCTAAAGAACCTTATAATCTAGCTGGTACAAGAGCTGAATTTTGGTGAGCTTTTTGGTTTTAAGACCGTGGTAATTCTGGTTTTTTATGTTGTGTGTTCATATCCTTCTTTTTAGGTCAACTCACTTTGGGCAAATAATTAAAGTTTAGGAGTACATAAAGAGTTTTAAAGTGGGAGACGAGGAAGGTATATTTTTTTTCAATGGGTGGGTTTGACAGACGTTAGTGTTAATTCTATAGTAAGTTTATGGTCCAGACTGTATGTATTTCGAGTTGAATAGAGGCTCAAACAAAATCTGCATGTAGCTTGGCGCGTAATTTTACGAAGGAAATGGTAGGTGAGAAATGTTATAATTGTATGTATCATTCGTATCATATGATATGTTAAGTGTTTAATGAATATAGTTGTAGAACAGAATCAGTACAAACTTTTGTTAGTTCAACAGGTAGCTTCCAATTTATGTATTCCATGTTGGTGTGTACCGCTCTCATTGTATTAAGGTTGAATGTCGTCTACGGGGGATAAGAAAGTTGCCCTCAGGACATGTGTGAGGTGTAGGAGAAATAAAATCAAATGTGATCTGCAATCCTCGAGACCCGAAGCTTGCTCGTCTTGTAGAAAAAGAGGTGTTGAATGTGTTACCGAGTATGTTGTTCCACATCAAAGATCCCAAGAAGTGCTGTCGATAGTAAGCGGGGTGGTTGATCTGAAAAGTGAACTTGTGGAAAAGGTTTGTCGGTATGAATACATCGGAGTTGAAGCCAAAAAGAAGTTAGGAATCCCACTGTCGTCTAGCCTAAAGTATGGGTCTAGTAAAGTTATAAGCATGGGAGAAGGAGATTATGTGATTGTTTCGGTGCGGGATGGGTTTTTGAATATTAATAACTGTAGCATCAAAATTGAAGAATTTGAGGTAGCATTAGATGGGTTTCGGAATACAGTTGGCCAGTTGCTGAACCTGTACGGTAAATGGGAGGCTGATCATAGTTTCATTTCTGAAAATCTTATTGTGGAAAGGACCGACAGGTATAATGTTCTGAATCTGTTTTGGCGCGATGAGTTGCCTCTTTTGTTGTGTTTGGCTAATTTTTACTACGAGGTTCCTGGTTTGAGATACAGGGTAATCTATGACAGAATATTGGAGGATTTTTGCCATATGGCAATTGAAGACGTTGATAGAGGCCAGTGGTTTGATAAAAGAACACTCTCGAGGTATATTGTGGGCGAGAATGAAGGAATGAGTGGTGTGCACTTTAATGGTGAAATGTTCATAAAAAAGCTGACCTTATTTTTGTTTTACCAAATAATATTGTATGGTTTCGACCATTACATGGATTCATTCATGAGCCGATATATAAGAACTCTAGAGAACGTCCGGAAAAAGGTGAACATTGAAAAAAACTGGGAAGTGAAGTGGGTAAACTTTTATGTCAAGATATTTGATTTAATTACGAATATGAACTGCGTTGTGGATTTCGGTAATGAAGGCATACCTTTGCTGAAGCTTCTGGAGATAGATTCAAAGATTTTGCATCTGAAAGAAGAGAAGGTTTCTGGATTTTCTTCCACTTGTCTGAAGTATATTGAAGATATGAAGCCTTTTCTTGACGTGGATACGCATAGAGCTAGTTTTTGGTCCAAGTTTGTTGCCCAGTTTGTTACCTTAAACTTGATTGGCGCTGGAAACGCTTGCGAAGAGGGTCACTGCATCGATGCTGTTGGTAAGATGAAGTTTAACGGTTTTGATGTGAAACCTATGTGGGGTGGTGGGGATGAATATAGTGTGTTTGAGGATCACGAAGGTGTTAGAGATGCAGAGTTTGTGGGGATTGTACATAAGAATGCTGTCAAACGTTTAATGCGGTTCGAAGACTTCAGCGTGTATGATCTTGTGGTTTCGTGTTTCACCTCAAAAGGGTACGAAAAAATGAAAGATCGCTGTTGCTGCAAGATGATCAAAGATTTGCTACAAAGTGTGGTAATGGACGGCATGATCGCTAAGATCGATAAGAATAATGGGGTTGAGCTGTCAAGATAGATGGATAAAGTGTGGTGGAGTTCGCTATCTACCATCTAATCAACTCTAATTAGTTTAAAAAATGGTAATAGCCTCTCCCCAATCAATCACTTTCGACGCTTGACAGTATTTAATGAGTATAGATAGACAAAGATTCAAAGCAAAAGGGTAGAATCCTCCCACGAAAAAATATCTTCAATATTATTGGAACGTAGGGCAAAGGTTTGTATAGGTTTCTTCTTCCTGACCCTACCTGTAGCCTCCTTGAGAGAGAATCTGCCACAGAACGCCTTGTACGTTTTCTTGCTCTCCATGGCTGTACTGTGTGCCCCATTGGTCAGCGTTTCGTAACTGTAGGTTGATGGTATGCACTGTTTTCCTATTTTATCAATCAGGCTTTGCTTTGTTAGTTGGGTGGTAGGTTTGTCAAATGTTTTATGTTCTTCGAAGACAGCCAGTAACGCATGGTAAGATTGGAACGGTCCTTGGTTTCTCTTCCACAGCCATGAAGCAATTTTTGATACTTCTTCAACATTAGATTGAGCTAACTGATCTGATTTGGCACAGTTGGCAATTTTTAACACCATGCTGTGAAGGAGACTTCTCATTAGTATGAACTTGTTTTTTGAGCGGGTGACAGAACCCTTGCACAGACCACCGGCATCCTGATCTGTTATGAAATGGCACTGTTTAACATGGGGCATAGGGGAGCTTATACATGGAAACTTAGATGTGACAAGTGATTTGTGCTCAGATCCAAATCTTTCTGAATGCTGACTTTTAGGTATTTGATACTCAAGATACCCTCTAGTCATTTGACATCTCTTCATTCTTGTAGAAATATGGCAGTCTGTATTCTATTGGAAAGAGAGACCGAAACTCTTCGAGATGGATTACTGTTCAGATTCTTTGAATCTTATAACCTGGCGCTCCACCATCTCCTTAAAATGTTTTCACCTCTTCTCATTTCCTTTAAATATGTTTCAAATTCCCTTTCTTTGTTATCCTCATTTCCTTAAACTCTTCATGTCCTATGATTTCTTGAGGTGTTTGAGCGGTTCATTTTCCTTTTTTTTTCTTTGACACGCATATCCTTCTCAACTGCCGTGGTGATCCTTCCCTTAGATCTTGAGCAAGCATAGCGATACCATACTGTAGAATATATATGAAATGAACGGCAGCTTTTGGTGTGTTATTTAATTAAGTTCAGAATTTTTGACGGTGGTTGAGCAGTTACATAAACCCAGTATTGAAAATGGATACGAAAGACATACTTCTCACTTTGGAATCAATAAAAAAAGCCTGTAGCGCTTTATGCCGCCAAGAGCAAAGAAGAACTCTGTTATCGAAGGACACTAGACTTTTTTTGGAATCGGTTTTTGAGAAAAAGAGATGCCCCAATTCAAGAGAACGTAAGGCAATTGCAGACAAATGCGGCTTAACTCCTGTTCAAGTCGGAGTTTGGTTTCGAAATAGGCGAGCGAGGTTCGTACCTCATTTCACCTAATTTCTTGCGCGATTGCTCAAGCGCACCTTCCAGTTGCACTATATGCGCTTGTAGATCTAACTCCGAGTCTGGTAAGGTGTATTCTGGCGGTTCTTGCCTCATGGCTTTCACAGCTGCTTTCACAATTCTGCTATACTGTTCTAGACGTGGCTGCGATGGCGGGTTTCTCACTCTACACGCTGCTACCAATTGAGCTGTAGACGCTAATACCTGATTAGATGCTGCCGTAAAGGTTTCATAATTGGTGGATGATACCATTCTTTCTGTTGATTTTGCAACCTCCTCAGCTGCAGATACTAGACCACGAGTCCATCTGTTATGTTGAAGATACGGGTCAGGGTTTTGGGTAGTGGCAATTTCAGCCTGGCATGCTGTGGAAGCTTTTATCAGATTAATAATTGCCTTGACTGCATCATTCTGAGGTAAATTGACTAATTTTTGAATGGGCGAGAGTTTAGTTTGTAATGCAATATTAAGATCTATGACTTTGTCAATTACTTGTTCTGGAGCCCCCACAACATCCCTCAACGCATAAAGAAACTCTTGACCATCCAACGCTCCGCTCATTGCTCCGCTAAATGCGCAAATCCAACTTATCACATCCTTCAAATCTCCGCTAAAGCCATCCAACACAAGGTCATTATAGCTATTTGCTAGATTTGTAGCGCACTCAGACGATGCGACCTTCTCCATAACCGCATTACCAGCAGCATCTAATAAGCTTTGGACAATTTCGAACTTGCTTCTGTCATTTTCAGACTTCAATCTGTCATTTTCAGAATTCAATCTATCTCTTTCTTTCAGAATATTTTGAAGTTCCTTAGATCTATCCTTTTGTCTCAGTTCAATCTCATCTAATTTCAACATTGCTTCTTTAGCACTACTTTCAACCTGCTGTGATTTCTTTAGCTTCTTCAAAACAGCAAGATGTTCTTGCCTCAGTTGGGCATACAACCTAGCAAGACCAGAATACTTTTCCTTCCATTCGCCTAACGATTTAACTTGATCCTCTAAATTGTTCACCTGCCCGTTAGACTTCAAATTCATATCTTCTAATTCTCTCTCTAGGGCGCCGACACGTTGGTCATACTGTTGGAGCATTGATTGATCCCTTTCATGCTGCTCCCGTAAAGCATTCAAATCGTTTTGAAATTGATCATTCTGAGCCATCTGTAAGTACTGACTATGCTGTTGCTGCCGCATATTTTCTTCAAACGCAGCCTGCTCCTGCTGTTGTTTCAACATTTGCTGCTGTCTTTCAGCTTCCAATTGCTGCTGTTGAACTTGTAATTGCATTTCTCTTTGTCTCTCCTGCTCAATCAGTCTCATCTGCTCTTCCTGATGTCTCAACTGTTGTTCTTGCTGCAATCCTATTAACTGTTCTTGTCTCTGAAGCTCCTCAAGCCTCTGTCTTTCCAAAGCCAATTGAGAATGAACGCCAGTAAAACTAGGTGCCATTTGACCAAACTGAACAGGTGTACTACCAGTAGCATAGCCTGTAGCCATGCCGTTTCCTAAACTTGCCGTGCTAGCATTACCTAGGTTGGGGTTACTATAATTTCCTCTAGATTCATTTCCTGTGCCTGTCACCTCCAAATTCACTTTACTCGAACTGCGAGTATTAGAGGGTTTCCCTTCAACGTATTCGTCTCCAACCTCCAAAGAAGGAGGGTCTCCAGGTAACTTCGGAATCCTTAGCAAACTTGTCAAATACTTTATGGCAGAACAATCGGCATAAAACTCAAAGAGTCGCGAATGCTGCTCACAATATCTAGCATAAAGTGGTTCCACGGCTCCTTCTTCCCCAACTTGTCGATATATCGCTCTTATCATTGACATAACAAACTTGTAGATACCATAGGACTCTCCCACGAGTGGAACCAATGCGGAAATCTTACATTCATTTCGACGTCCGCTGGAAATACTAGAAAACAGTAATCTCCCAAAACGGTCTATAACGTCTTGTAAATCCATCAAATCAAGAACAGTTTCATAACCTTGGTCAGGATCTGATGTGCTCACCAACGACATGTATTCTTCATACTCAAACGTACCATTGAAACCAGAGTGTATCCGATGAAAATCCAGCTTTTTCAACAACACTTCCACATAGCCTTCAATTATGCGGCCGTAGCTTCCAGTGCCATTTTCGGGATAAATCCGCCCCAAACTGGCTATCCATTCTCGGTTTTTAATACCTTCAATAATCGCAGAGCCATGGCCCTCTTGAATAATCTTGTGGATAGTGATAAGAGCTTTGAAAACGGTAATTTCATCTTGGCCCAATGGCAATGTTTTCAAAATACTGAAGACGGCCTTAGAGGACTTGTGATCCCACGTATACACAATACACGCTCTTACATGTTTGCGTTTAGGCGCGGTTTCTTCGTAAGAGCACGCCTTCCTGACGGCACGCTCGACGTCAACGTCAAACCTAGACATGTCGAACGCCGAAGATACGTATGTTGCTGATTACAAGTGTCACTCACCGTGCTAATTCAACTTCTTCAACTATCGCCCCTATCAGGCATAATTCTATATGTGCGTAGAAAATGACAGCTACTAAATCAAGAAACTCAAGACATATTTGCCCACCACACGCCAGCTACATACCAATCACCCCATGCTCTCCGTAGATCAAGAACAATTGACACCTTATGTCCTTCAAATTAAGCCTTTACCAAATTAACATCGTAGTTTTCAGAGGTACGCGATACATGTCAAACCCAAAAAAAAAGAGTAAGAGCAACCCAACTATCGCCAACATCTACAACAAACGCCATCTCAGAAACCATAATTCTAAAAACGGCATCCTGACCACTTTAATCCGTTCTACTTAATTAGATAAAATACTGACATCAATACGCCTTCCACTCAGGCAAAAAGTAAGTTCGTACTGCCCGTGCCTGATGACACGATTCTATAAAATTTTCAATAAAATCCACAAGGAACATCACAATCAAAGGCAATCCGTGTAACTTTTCACTTCTGAACCGCCAAAAACAGCGTCTCTCTATATATATATGTCTATTGAAAACCTCAAGTCTTTCGATCCTTTCGCAGACACTGGTGATAACGAAACAACTACCGCCAACTACATCCACATCCGTATCCAACAAAGGAACGGGAGAAAGACGTTAACTACTGTACAAGGTGTTCCTGAAGAATATGATCTAAAAAGAATTTTGAAAGTCCTCAAGAAGGACTTTGCCTGCAACGGTAACATTGTCAAGGACGAGGAAATGGGTGAAATTATTCAGATGCAAGGTGACCAAAGAGCCAAAGTGTGTGAATTTATGGTCACTCAACTTGGCATGAAGAAGAAGAACATCAAGATCCACGGTTTCTAAAGACCGGAACAGAGGTCGAAACGATCAGGGAATGCAACTTCATTCTTCTACATCTATAGTCTCGGATGCGCACTGAGATTGCTGTCCGTGCCGAAGAATAGCTTACTTAAGTAACTAAATATAATCAAAATAAGGGAATTCTCGTTTATCATATAACAGAACCACCGCATGGTGCGGACGGGGTTAACGGGCACCCTCAAGTGGTGGTAACAGACAAATTCTATTTCCAGGAGAGCACCAAATCACACACGTGATTTTCAGTTGTATAATATAGTTCTATATCTCTCTAACTGAATGAAGCTCATCGCATCTACTACTATCGTCAAGCGCTCAAAATAACGGTACACCGACAAACATGGGTACTGGCGATTTAAACTTACTCAAATCATGGAACCCGCATCTGCTAAAGAACAAGAAAAAGGTTTGGGAAATAGAACAGCAAGCACTGGAGGAGAACAGGAAGCTCCAAGAAAGACAACATGAGATTGAAAAACAACGCCAACTAGATGAGCTAACTTCGTTAACAAGGGATGGTAAAGTACGAGAAAAGAAATCTAATTTAGATTGGATGTACAACGATCAACCGGCGGTAGACCACGCCAAAGATGAGTTCCTACTAGGTAAAAAACGTATCGAGAATTCGACTCTACTAGGTCGTCCAACAGAAGACACCAAAGAAGATCAAAAAAACCGCAGGCGGTTCAAAAGCTCGAGTAATCCCTCTGTTCACACCATGTTACGCAAAGAAGATCAAAAGCCAAGGCACGACCTTTCAAAGGAAGACCCATTGGCATCATTTCAGAAGGCTAAGACGATGCGAAAAGTAAGCCAAGCAAATAAAGTACAAAAACCTAGTTTTCGGTCAAAAACAGGCACACTTCCTCCGAAGTACGACACTACCAAAAAAACACCTAAAAAATCAGATTTAGACTACTAAATCAAGTTTTTTCCACACAGCCCATTTATGCTTTATGGCGTTTGGAATCTCTCTCATAGTCATCAAAGTCTGAATCTAGCTGCAGCGGCTCGTCACTCATATCTTCTTCTTCAATGTTTTCATCTTCTAGGTCAATCTGAGCTTCTGTATAATACTTGGTGCAATTGGGGAATATGTCGTCCCTAAAGAGCGCTGCAAGCCCATCTCCATTTGGGAACTCCTTTCCCAATTTAAGACCAGTCCACTTGAACCAAGCGAAGAGCGATTTCATACCCGTACGATAATTTTTCTTACCCTCGACGGTGGATTTGTCAACTACTAGTCCTGGATTTATATGATTGAAAGACTTGGGCCATTTTATTTCACAAGGTGTGCTAGTCAAAAACCCTAACTCCTCGTCCCTCAAAAGTTCTTCCTCTGTAGCCTTTCCCTTGTACCTCAATTTTGAGACATCATGCTCAATTTTGAACACTTTGGTCACTACTTGACTATCAAAATCTCCTTCTATCCCTTCAAAGTCTATTGTTATCGAAAATTCTCTGTTGTCTGCTGTTGTATCATCCGTGCAAGGCCACTTGACACTAATCGAATTGATGCAGTCTACATACTTCAAGTCAGCCGCGCGCACATAATTCGCAAAATCAGAGTGCTGCGAAAGCACAACTTTCCAGAATTCTGGAATACCAACGATCGCTTTGTTCCGAGTCGCATAAATTGGAGAGAGCTTTGAAAGCCTTAGTATTTCAACTTCTCTTTCGACCGCCTCAACATCATCTTCAACACCCGCAAGGGCTTCTAACGATTTCGTACTGAACAAAAGAGCAAATTGTTAGTAAAATAATCCTTCATAATAAAATACAAGCACGCTCATCATACAGGTTAGCTTCGTCCATTATTCTCAGCAATACTCACGAATCTACGCAACACGTTTAGCCTGCTTCTGCTAGGTTATTTGCACTTCCAGCTCAAACAACCGTCATAGAGTACGAATAAGTACAGTAAACTAATAGTAAGCATAGATTGTGTTCCCTGAGAATACCTTTTGATATATCCGTGTCGTCAATCTAACAAACTGCTGTACATAGACTGTGGTTTACAGCTTATTTTGAAAACGTATGATCGGGACTCTGTAGCCAAAACTGGGCTTAATGTCTTTAATTTTTGAGCTCTATCATTAAATTAGATTTCCTTCTATACATGAACGCTGACCCCTGCGATATATCTTATACTTCGTGGCATTTGCACAATACACAGAGAATCAACCGAAAAATTCATCGTGAAGTTTTTTCTGCGCATCCCATTGCTTCTTCAGCTTTTTTAGCATCGACTTCGTGACATCAGAACCGTCTTTATTCTTTAAAGGTAAACCGTTCTGGTCCCACTCTGAGTATAATTCTTGATTGAGGAACATTTGCTCGGGAGAAACCTCGGCCTTTTTCCTTCTTTCCGCCTCTTTGGCCTCTCTCAAACGAGATTGTTCAAGCTTTTTAGCTTCTTTCCCCTTGATGCGTAAATCCTTTTCGGCTATAAGTTTCTTATATTCAGCCTTCTCCTCGTCACTCAAGAATTTAACCAAGGACGCTTGATCATTTCTATCATCGATCGATATGTTTAAATCCAAAATTTCTTGGTCTCTTATTTTGTCTGTTAGCTTCAAAAATGATGAGTTGTCTGCCTTTTCAATCGCTAACCGACGAACTTCATCTCTAAAGTTCGACAGACACTTAACGTATGGCATCAATAATTCCTCGCGATTACCATGAGCCTTTTGGCTCGCGCTGCCTTCATCAAGCCATCCAAGACCGTCCTGACGGATTGGGAAGCCCAGCACGTCAATAATTTTAGTAACATATCTAACAACGGCAACCAAAGGCTCGATCTTCAAACTTGAACCAGCAGAAGTGACATATAAGTTAGCTCGAGTGACCAATTCGCTCAATGCCTTCAAAGCAACGGGAGTTGACAAATTATCGCAAAAGGCCTCGTGGACCTTATTCTGGTATACTTTTAGATCATTGACAAGCTCCCTTTCTTTCATGCCAAACTTCTTCGAAACATAATCCCCAGACGCTTCTTTGTGAATTATGTCGGTATTCATGGCACGAACGTTCTTGAAGAAGTTGTTAAAGGTTTGCTCCAAAGATTTGACCTCAACTAGTAGACTTTCTTTGAAATCTAGCTGATTGTTCCATTGAGCAGAGCAAAATGTTAATCTTAGTTGGCGCGAAGAAAATTTCGATAAAGCTTCATTGATAGTGATGAAGTTTTTTAAGCTCTTAGACATCTTCTGGCCCTCGATATGCAGGTGACCGGTATGTAGAAAGTAGTTTACCCACTGATAATTATCGAAGCATGCTTCCGACTGAGCAAGTTCATTATCATGGTGTGGGAATGCTAGATCAATACCTCCTGTATGAATATCGATATTGGAACCAAGGACATCGCTGGCCATTACGGAACACTCAATATGCCATCCGGGACGTCCCTTGCCCCAAGGTGATTCCCATTCAGGCTCGCCGGGTTTCGATGCTTTCCAAAGAGCAAAATCATTCGGGGACCGCTTTCCATTAAAAGAAGAAAAGTCACTTAAAGAACCTTCTGCATCGTTGATCAAATCAAGTTGGCCCTTGTTCCAAGGTTGACATTTAGCGTATTCATGTTTATCAGATTTATCAAACTTCGCCGTATCGAAGTAAACTGAACCGTCCTTAGCCGCATAAGCATATCCATTATCGACAATCTTCTTGACAAACTCGACAATTTCAGGAACATATTCTGAGACCCTAGTAGTGATTGTAGGTGGCAAGACATTCAAAGCAGCCATGTCTTTATTAAATTCCCTCTCCCAATACGCTGGGAGCTTACGGAAAATTTCAGGATCGTTTAGTCCACCACCAAATTCTTCATCTAGGACGGGAGTCAACACATCTTTGATCTTTTGGTAAAATGAATCTGAGTCATCACCACACTTGAGGGCGTCAAAAGCATTTTGAACGCACATAGTATGCATGCCAAACTTTGGGTTTGACTCCCTTTCCTTAGGAACATCCAATGCGTCAAACCACGAAGTGTACTGATCGACTGTGGAAAACTCCTGTTTCAAATTATTGCGAATGTATTTAAAGGCGGCTAACCTACCCTTTTCACGAATCTCCGAAGTAACGGAGGGATTTTCAGTCACGAATCTTTCATAAACGTAATTTTGACGTGCTCTAATAATGATCTTATCGTCAATGTCGGTTACGTTTTGCACGAATTCGACATTGAAACCGAAGTAATCTTGCATAATACGACGGTTGATATCAATCGACACATAGTTTCTGGCATGGCCCATATGAGATGAGTCATATACAGTGGGACCGCACGAATACCAGGTTACGTACTTCCCGCCTGAAATAGGAAGAAACTCTTCCTTATTTCTCGTCATACTATTGTATAATTTCAACACCGGCTGTTGTCCGATACTGCTAGGCTTTTGCCATGGCGGTTGCACACCTTTCGAGCCCGCCAAATTGGATGACATATTGCTAACTGTTCTCTTGCCTACCTTCCAACAATGTTGTAATAAGCTCCTCTTGTAACAGATAGGCATATAATGCCTTTGATTCTATGTGTTGGCAAATCCTTACACGTTTTCTAACAGCGGTAACTGGACAAATCACACAACTGCTAAGTTAATGTCCCACTTGGGTGTTTCGCTTTGACAACACTCATTTGGCTCTGATGAGTTCTCGTCTGCCTATTTAAAAATTTTGATTATGTTCCAACGTCACATGAGGACAAAATGATCCACTAACTTCAAGCCAAGTACGCCAAGCAGCACTACAACCATTTCCTGATGCGATCTCGAACCGAACACTTCCTTAGCAATCACTGTCATACTGATTGTATGCTTAGTGGTACGTCGGGCTCAAAAAATTATGATGTTCTATGTACTTATAACTTGTCTGCTAAGTTCAAAAACTTAAATCAACACCATCTCAACATTTGAACCATATATAGTAACGAAGCAAAAGTGTAAGCAGGTTTAGGCCACTTTTCGAATGGTATTGGATGCTAATCAATACTCTACTGTTGATAGTGGGATAGAAAGCACCGATGCGAGTTCTACTAGCGAATCAGATCTGGAATACACCCACGACAAGCTAGGGAGCTTAAGAGGGGGAGAGGTCAGAAGGCTTGATTTTGTAGATCCTAATGATAACTCGGACGAAGAACTCTCCGTGTATGGCGAACGGGAAGAAGAGAGTGTGGATGATGTTGAAGAGGTAGGGAGCAGTGTCGGTAGCAGCGATTTGGCTGCTTCCAGCGAACCTCCCCCTGAGGACATCGATGGTTCCAAAATCGACAAGCAGAACACATCTATTTTCACGTTCAACCTGCCATTCGGAGGTAAGTCGTTACTTCCAACATCTCCCCTTACCAGCTTGCGCAGAACGTTCCTTCCAACCTCTTCTGATGATAAGACGCGGATCAAGACGAAGCGAAGGATTAAATTGAAATTACAGCGGCAAGAAACAATAACATCGGTGGAAGAACTAGAGCTTTTTCAAAACCAAAAGGGAATTGACAACGTGCGCGCCAGAGCTGTAAAGCGAGCATTACACCCCGGCTCTCTACTTCAAACCATTCGTTCTTTTTCAGCGGATCAGGAAACAACCACTCTTGACGGGTATCAATTGCAACGTCTTGAGTCTATATGGGATGAGCTCGAAGGAAATGTGGTGATTTTAGGCGGTTACCGGGGCAGTATCCTGCGTGATTCACACACGAAGCGAAGGGTGTGGTTGCCAATTAGGGCCGGCTTCAATATTCGCAAAGTGGATTTACTGATTGGCCCTGACCAGGACTCGGAAAATGTTGCTCAGTCTAAAATATTTTCTGATAGAATGCTTACACATTTCGGACCCGTTGATGTTTGCAAAAAGCTAATCAAGAGATTGGACAGCAACCCCAACGTAACCATTGAGGAGTTTGGGTACGATTGGAGGCTCTCACTCCACATACCAGCAGAACAGCTGGCTGCTAAACTACAGGATATTTATGATAAGCAAAAAGTGAAAAAGGGCACATTTATAATTGCACATTCGATGGGTGGATTGGTAGCCCACAAAGTACTTCAAGACCACACAAACCTCGTGAGAGGTATAATATACGTCGGTTCGCCCAGCCAATGTCCAAACATCTTAGGGCCCTTACGGTTGGGTGACGAAGTTATTTTCAACAAAACCATTCTGAGTGCCGAAACTACTTTTTTCATGAGAAGTAGCTTTTACTTTCTACCCTTCGATGGGAGATGCTTTGCAAATAGCACCTCACTTGAGCGTTACGATCTCGATTTTTTCGACCCACAGGTATGGAGTGAATATGGACTGTCACCTTTGGTTAGCAAAAAACGACTCAATACAGATAACGACGAAATCAAGGTCACTTCACCAAATAGAGATAAATTTAGTTTGATCCCACATGTGGATATGATGAGAACTTCGAGTACCAACAATACGGAGGTGATGGACTTTGTTACCCCTTTGGAAAAATGCGAAGAGTATCTTGCAAGAACGCTCAAACAAACACGAGAATATTTGGAAAGCCTGAAATATGATCCGGCTAAAAATTACCCACCATTGGCAATCGTCTATGGGAATCGGATCCCTACAGTTCGAGGCGCGAAAGTCGCAAATAAGGACCAAATCAAGCACGGTGAATACAATGAATTCTATTACGGTCCCGGTGACGGAGTTGTACACCACAAATGGCTACTGCCGGAAACTCGCGGATTTCCAGTAGTGGCCAAAATAGCCTCGGAATGTGCTCATGTCAGTTTGATGACCGATTTTGACGCCATGGCCAAAGCCTTCATATCTCTAGTTGACAACGAGTGACGAAAGAACAAATCGGAACTCAGCACAAACCCATGAATGCTGCTAGATAACCGGTTTTCTTACTCGTCAGTCTTCGGCCACGTCAAATGTAACCGTGATCCATAGACTGCATGCACTGCACTGTACCACTATGTAGAAACCACCTTGGGGTAGTTCTGCTCCGTTAGCCTCAAGAGTGTCTTCGCTAAACTCGAATCCCTCCTCAATGCTGCATCGTGGACAGTCCATATAAAACAGCTCCTTCTGCGAATCGAATCGAAATTCATCCAACGAAAAGGAATCAAGTCCATCGCCAGCGTTGTGAAACCCGGTTTTCTTATAAGACTCTGCGAGCAGGGCGTCGTAACGCATCCGGTTCTCGTCGTCTAACAAAACGCGGTACGCTTCTTGGATTTTTTCAATAGAATAAATGGCCGGTCCGGAACCACAACGTTTTTTATCTGGGTGTGCACCCAAGATCTTCTTTCTATAGGCTGTTTTTATTTCTTGCGAATCACAATCTGCCTCTAGATCCAAAACCTCATAATGCGAAGGTCCAAAGCTCATGGTATTCTGCCACGCTCTACCAAATGCCTCCGCGCGCCAGGCAGCCTACAGTTGGGAAAGTATTTTGATATTGCTCGGAATTCGTTTCTGAAAATTGGTAGTAGCAACCTCCAAGCGTCTAAACTATGGTAGACTTATCCAAGGCTAAAAATTCTGAGTATCAACCTTCTTTCATCGAACATTTTAACTTCCAACATTAGCTTCTACTTTTTACGTTTAAATTGCCTAACACCTCCAGCTCATCGGTATAAAAATTTTCAAATAACATGTAAAAAATATTGGATGTAATCGATGAGATGAGATCAACTATCAAAACCTTGAACGAACTATAGCGTTTCAAAGCTAAGATAATAGGCCAAAAGGTGACCGAAGCCTGTTTATTATTCCGTTTCGACATTGAAAGTTTCTAGGAGAATACCTTGCGGCACTGTAATTTAAATGAGCCAAAAACGAGCTTTCAGCAGAATTGAAGTGGAAAAGTTCGAAGCCGAGCCATCGGTTGCGGTAGGAGCTTTTTTCAAAGGTGTGCAGGTTCCTAAGAAGACCAAGTTCGAGCTCTTCAGGTCGAAGAGTTCCCCCGAGAATTTTCTGCTTCACGGAGAAAATGACCGGATCGAATACTCAGGCAGCACGGATGTAAACTCTAATGACAGTAGTCAGTACCTGGTGGGCATCTACGATCCAGCGACTAGGACAGTGCAGCTACACAAATCTCCCGTGATAGCGGCCAAAGTGGCCTCAAAGTCTACCAAAGACCTTGCAGGACCTGACATCAAGCGTACAGAACTGCGCGCTGGGGCCTTGAGAAATGCTCTGGGCGAGGCCTTTGGTACCAAGAAGGCCAAAAAGGCAATTGCTGACATCGAGCGCAACAGAATTGATTCGGACAAATTGGTGGATTCGGCTGTTGAGATCGTAGACTCAGTGAAGACTGCCTCTAAGGACTTGCCTTCGAGAGAGGCCTTGCAACAAGTCTCTTCACAAGACAGCACGACGCCCCAGGCAAATGCGAATGCCACCGACGTCGAGCAAATATATCCAATTCACAATATAATACCGAAAAAGGAATGGCAACATATTCGTGTGGGTGCCATTCTCAAGGAAACCGACGAAGCCGCGAGGCTCGAACTGCTTCCTTTCAAGAAATCGCCATACGTGGCTAAAAAGTTGCCCACTTTAACTCAATCGCAACAGATGGCCAAACTCCAACTGCTGTATTACTTGTCGCTATTGCTTGGTGTATTCGAAAACAAGAGAGTGAGCGACAAGGCCAAGTTACTCGAGAATCTAAATGCTCCCTCTGAGGCCCTCATCGATGGCATTCTCGAGAGATTCACTATCTCGAGGCCGGGTCAGTATGGCCGCTCGAAAGAGCGTGGGTTTTTTATAGATCCTCAAAGGGAGGATAAACTGTTGTGTTACATCCTAGCCATCATTTTGCATTTGGATAATTTCATCGTGGAGATCTCACCATTGGCCCAAGAGCTGGGTCTCAAGCCTTCCAAGATTGTGAATCTATTCAAGAACCTTGGCGCGATAGTCAAAGGAGCCACGGTATCCCAGGCCGAAGCCTTTGGTATACCAAAGAGTGCTGCTTCTACATACAAAATAGCCACTATGAAGGTACCATTCAAGGTCCCTGAAATGGGCAGAAGAGTAAGAGCAGGTAGACGTTAGTACAAGTATATTAATATTGGAGGAAACAGCAACATACTTTGTCTTTTATCTGATGTTTTATCTACGCAGGTGTGCTGTCACTCAAAGATTATATTAACTTAATGACTTATCCACTATCTAAATCTATAATTTCGTGGAAGTTGTCAACTGCAATCCATTTTGCCAAATGAGAATAGGATTAGGTGTAGATCTTGGGTCCACCGACGTTAGGGTAGGAGCTTACGACTTATCCACAGATCAACCGATTAAGGTTGTGTCAGAAAGTGTTTGTTACTATAATCATGGGTCCAAGCGTTTTACGCAAAGCACGCATGAGATCATGACAGCGCTTTTCAGATGCGTTGACGAACTTGCGATTGACATCAACAACGTGGAGTCTTGTGGTGTTGCAGCGACATGTTCCATGGCAGTCTTTAGCCAACATTCCACCGGGAAATTGAGGCCTTTTGACGTTTACAAATTAAAGACCAGTGCAACTCAAAATGTGGTGTTCTGGATGGATGGTTCTGCCGCCAGCGATGCGATCGATGTCAACAGAAGGGCCAACTTTGAAAAGGATTTCATGGGTGGAGCTTTCATACCCGAGATGGGAGTTCCTAAATTACGCTCTATCCTGCATAATCTGAGGAAAAGTGAGGAACTGCAAAATTTGGAAGTATTTGACCTCCATACTTATATTGCCTATGAAATGGCCAATCGATACGACTGGAACGCTAGTATGCTTTCCAAAAAACCCAACAAAAATGGGATCGGTCATGACGGAGAGCTAACAGGCTGGAAAGATGAATTCTACGCTACAATTCTAGCGTTACCCAGTAACGTTAAGATTGGACCAACGCAAGTCAATGATAGGCCTCATGCGGTGGATGTGACAAGCTGCATAGACTGCTACTCTAGCTATTTTGCGATATCCTCACCAACTCCAGACAAATCGCTTACCATGGTTGCCGGAACATCTACATGCTACTTATATGCAAGCTCGAAAGACCTTGGTTGTATCCCTGGTGTCTGGGGACCTTTCACAAATATCTTAGACAGCACAAGTAAGGGCAACTGGTTTGTGTACGAAGCAGGTCAATCTACGACAGGAAAACTCCTCGAGCATCTCTTCGAAACCCACCCAGCAGCTCGAGAATATGTCAGTAATCGAGACAGATTATTAGAATTGATTGAGAGTAGCATTGAAGAGATCGAGGAAGAGTCTCTTCAATCCATCCATCTCCATACAAAATACATCTTCGTCTATGGCGAGCTTCAAGGAAACCGAACTCCTTATTGCGATCCTGACATGGCCGGTATGCTGATTGGCGAAACAACGGATTACTCTTTCCAAGACCTGGTATTCAAATATGCAGCGATCTTGGAATTCCTCGCTTTTCAAACGAGGCATGTGAAAGAATGCCTTGGTGCTGAAATTCAAGACATAAGAGTTTCCGGAAGTCAAGCTGTGAATGCCAGACTCATGGCCCTAATCTCCATCGTTAATGGAAATATACCTGTAAAAGTTGCCACAGCAAACTCTAATCTCATGGGTGTCAAAGGCGCATATTTGATGGGCAAAGCAGCTCATCTCAAAAAAAATGTGATAGACATTATAGCAACAAACTCAACCCAAGATTCCCTGCTGACTAGAGTTAGCGCTCCTAGTCATTTACATGACAATCATAAGATAAAAAGTTTACTGGAGGCCAAGTACCACATCTACCTCGACATGGCTACAACACAGCGGAAGTACAGATCATGGGTGAACGAGAGTTTGACATTGAGCAAAACATCTAGCTAATAGCTCTGTTGATGTCAACCCATTCAATTTGAGATTTTTGGCGGTCATCTCGTTTGACCTTATAAAAATGATCGGCAAATTCCGCGGCGCCCATATAACGCAGAAACTTCTCGTCATGTGTAATAACAATGAGTTGAAAGTTCTTCTGGTGCCGACGAAATTCAATGATATTGTTTAGAGACTTTGCCAAGCTTTCAATGTTTTCCTCATCAAGATTCGTCGTAGGTTCGTCAAGAGCAATAACCCCGCAGTTCACTCCAAAAGTTTCTGACAAGGCTAGTCGAATTATGATCGAAGCTAGAACTTTTTGACCTGCTGAGCACCTTCCCCGCATATCTAACTCGGCATCCTGTTTGTACATCACCACCCTGTAATTATAAGTCTTCCCTCTCATTGAGTTGGTGACTTCATCGGACTTTATTTTGATTGTGTCAACGTCAGTTCCACTGTATGTTCTCTTCCACAGTTCATCAATAATTCTGTTGATATCCTGCATTTTCAGGGAATGGTACTTCATAATAGCGCTATCCAAAGCTTTAGAATAAACTTCAATGTCATCAGTAACAAGGGTTTTGGTCTGCAATTTGACCCACTCCCGCTGATAAGTATTATCCACGTCGCTATAGTCACTTTTGAGCTGCGCAAAGAGGGAATGGATTTGATTTTGAAGTTGTTTTATTTCTCCCAATCGTCCTGCGTTGTCCGACGACAACTTTTCGAATAAAGACCTCAAATGGTTTGACTCTTGCTGATATTCATCTCTCTGCGCCTCTGCATTTTGGATATTGAGGTTGCTGAGCTCGAAATCAATTTGGGTCAGTTCGGTTCTCAGGTCAGCCAAATCTATATTGAGCTTTAAGTTTTTTTTCTCATTGGATGAATCATTGATTTGCCGATTTTGGGCTTCAATATCTTTGATGCCAGTCTCCAACTTTTGGCTTAAAGAAATTACTAGACCATTTGCTCTGCTCAGTTCTTCCCCTATACTTTGAATCCGTAAAGCATAAACTGTTTCGAATTCATGAATATCTGACGTTAATCTGGTAAATATATCGCGCTTTTCCCTCAAGAAGTCAAGATTTTTCCTCTCTTCTTTCTCTCGAGTCAATGCATGGGAAGCTTTGTGAGTTAAATCTGCTTTTAAATCAACCACTCTATTAGATATTGTCTTCAGCGATGATGACCCCGACTCTATTAAAGAATCAATATGACTTAACGAGTTTTCATTATCCTTTATGGATGATGCCAAGTTAGTTTTCTCGCTGATCTTTTTTTCAAAGTCATGGATCCTGAAATTCTTTTCCCGAATCAAACCTATGAGATTACTGAGCTCTCTCGACTTTTTCTCTTTGGCCTCCTGCCATTCCTCCAGCTGCTTTCGCGAGTCCCTTATTGCGCTACTTACACGTTTTTGCTCCACCTGTAATTCTTCTGCCGTCTTCAAATTTCCGCCAACACCATTCACCACACTAAGTTCATCCGAAACCTCCTTGAAGTCACCATTGAGAGCTTTTGTATCTTCCCTTAGCCGTAGTATATTGTCAACGATAGGGCGCAATATTTTCTCCACATACTGAAGATCATCCGTAACCTCCCCTAAGCGCTTTGCACTATCCGACAGGGTTTCTTTTTGTTCTGTCAAGTTTGAGGAGGTACGATTTTGTTCTTGTTCGACAGAACGCTTGGAATCCGAAAGAGACTTCACCAAAGAAAAATCTCTTTCAAGTTTTCGTAAAGACGCCAAGTATTCTTCCTCTTCTTTCAGGATTGCCATCAATGTTTCCTCATATTTCGTATTAGTCCTGGATTGAAGTTCAACCAACAACTTACTCTGCTCTTGGTCATTGCCGAAGCTACGTTGACACAAATAGCAGCAATTACTACTCTTTGCAACTTCTAAAGCTTTCAAATTGAACTCTAAGGTTGTTTTGTGCATTTTGAGGTTTTCAACGGCAACCCTGTATGACTCTTCAGCTTCCTTTAGAAGCTCATCGTAATCTTCAATCGTGCAGTTTTCTGGCAATCCGTCCTCAACTTTCCTATGCAATGTCTCGATTTTAGCCTGAAGCTCTTCTAGCTTTTTTTTAGAGCTATCGTAGATAAACTGTCTTTCCGCCACACCTTGAGCGAGATTATTGTGCTCTCGAGTTAAACTTGTCGAATCTTTTTGCAATTTGAGGTAAAATCTTTTGAATTCTAATTCCAAATCAAGTGTTGGACGTATATTCCACGTTTGAGCCCTACTATCTTCGGATAATTTGATTGAACAATGCTTCAGTTCTTCATCTTTAATAGTTAAATTTTTCTTCAGCAGGGAAAACTTGGCATTCAAATCGGCCTGCTCATTTAATTTGAGTAATTCGCGTTGAATTTTCTCTAAATCATTCTCCAGCAGTAGGATCCTTCCATTTTCGTTTTTAATTTGTGAAGTGAGATCATTTATTTCCTGATCACCATCTTTTCCGCCCAGCCGAGCCTCATAGTTTTTCAAACTATCTTTCTCCTTGGCCAAGTCATTTTCTATGTCAGCCATTTCACCAAATTTCGACTTGAAAGAGTCCAACTCCTGTAAAAGTTTATCTTTATCTTTCTTGCAGTATATTAGCTGTTGTTCTTGTTTCACGCGAGAACTCTCTAAATCCATAATCTGCCTTTTCAACTTCTCTATTTCTTTCCCACTTTCCAAAGATGTTGCTTCTAGGGCTTTCATTGACGTATCTACATATTCATTTAGTTCAGAAGCTATCGCGTCGCTATGAACAATCTTTTTATGTCGCAGATCTTCCACGAGCGCTTTCAACTGCTTCTTGTGACCAAAGTGAGTCTCCTGGCGCGCTTCAAGACCACCTTTTATCGAGATGAGTTCATTGTAAGAATTGCGAGCTTCATCTAAGCCTTGACGTTTCTCCCGCATCTGATTTTGAAGCTGCTCGACCACCGTCTCCTTCTCCTTCAGAGCTGCGGAAAAATTCGTGACAAGATCTTCTAATTTTTCCCGTGGTAGGTCTAAAAGCTCTGTCGTGCCTTCTAATCGAGCTATTTGTGCCTGTAGCGAACTCCGGCTATTTCTGAGACCGTCCATTTTACTCAAGACTTGCTGAAACTCTTGATTGGACTTGAAAAGCTTATCCGACTTATCCGTGATCTCGTCAAGCTGTCGATCGACCTCTTGAACTTGTTTTTGATAAGTCTCGACCCGTTTTTCCAAGTTTGCGATATTGATCTTGGTCGAGCGGCTACGATCTCGGTCAACTTTCAAATGCTCCACGGACTGCTTGAGCAGCTTGATATCCACAGCCATTTCTTTCCTAATAACTTTCAGATTATCAAGTGCTTTGGTGAATTTCATTGCCTGAAATATCTCATCAAACTTCTTCTTCAGATTGGATGGCTCGCTCAGAGGCCACAGACTATCTTCCTGGTGGCAAAAAATCACGTAATCGAGAATTGCCTTGGGAACACCCATGTAAAGCGGAACCTGTTGGTCAAGCTCTGCAGCTCTGCTGCAAAGTGTAGTGCGATCGCCTTTGTTGAGGGCAACGAGTTGGCCTTCCAAAGTTTTGAATGTGCTGGTCGTCTTTTTCACAAGTAGTTGGATGTTTCTTGTCACAATCATGTTTACGTCGTTGGCTCCCGTGAACGCCAGCTTGACTTGGGCCCGAACGTCCTTCTCGCCTGTTATCTTGGGATCGTGAACAAATGCACCGCCTTTGCTGTTGGGCGGCAGGTCCCCTGTGGTTGCATATTTCAAGCACTCGATGATTGTTGTTTTCCCCGAACCATTTGTTCCCACGATGAGCGTCAGAGGTTTCCCGAACTCAATGGTTTCACGTTCATTGGAATCAAAAGATCGAATCCCCTGGATCGAGAGCTTGTATATTGCAGACATCAAACACAACCTTTAACCAGTATCTAACAAATCTTATTCGCCCCAGCTATGCCAGTATCTGAATAAGATCCATTCGGTCGTCAATGATGGACTTCTCATTGGCACGATTCTCATTACTCTGTGTGTGATGAGCTAGCTAAATACAATCTAACGTTGTACGATTACCCGCCCTTTGCCGCAAATGAATTTGTGTATAAATTCATCAAATGGACGATGTTCTTGTTGTCTTCCCTTCCACACTCTTCTGAAGGTCACACGCAGGACAGGACCTTTCGGATTGGTTTTTGAAGAATAACAAGATCTACAATTGAGAGCCAATACTTAAAAGATCGTCGTACAGTAAAGATAAACTTATAAGGTTTTAGAAGGAACGTTCATTCTATAGAAGACGGACCACGTTTTGCAGTAAGAATAAGAGTAGTCATATTGAGGATTGGTAGCTTACCACATTTGCCCAGGTACAAAAAAGCCGAAGAGAACTTTGCTCAAATAGATTTTTCGATCGTAAGCTTGGGCCGTGCACACGCAGAAGGAAAAAAGGTATAGATTTATTTGCCATTTTTTAACAACTAAACTGTCCCCACAAACCATGCAGAACGAAGGACTCAGCGACTTTGTAGCTACATTGCAGTCCTTCAAGGATTTGAAATCCGGAATTTCCGGGTCACGTATCAAAAAACTGACCGCTTATGCGCTTGACCATGTGGAGGAAGAGCCGCAGCTAATGCAGATGGTCATAGGCTATTCAAAGGATACCGCCGACACCCACAAGCTGGGCTCCTTGTACATTATAGATTCCATCGGTAGAGCGTTTCTCGAACAGGCCCGTTCGCGGGACGAGTACATCAAACCAACGGCCAAAGTGGGTTCTTGTGCGCATGGTGTGTATGTCTTGGGCGAGGCCATCCAGGAGCTGTTGGGCGAAGCAATCAGCAAGAGTAGTGAAGACCACAAGGAAAAAATCCTGACCTTGATCGATATATGGGACAGGAGCGGATTGTTCCAAAAGGGTTATTTGAATGCTGTAAGAGCCAAGTGGTTTTCAACCGCTAGAAACAACTCAACCTCTTTACCTGCTGCGGCCCCTCAGCTGGCAAATTCTTCTGTTTTGCCGCAGGATCCCGCTAAGAGGTGCATCGAGATTCTTGATAGCTTGAAACCATCCACTCAAGTTTCTCAGGTTAGCATTCCCAATTCTCTAAGCTCTCCAGATGTCGCTTTACAACACGCGGCTTTGTTTCGACTTTTGGTTGATATCCAGCAGCAGCACAGGAGCACGAGCACGACAACGGCACCTATGGTACCCCCAATTCCCGCTCCATCTCAAGTTTCCAGACAGGCTCAGCCGTCGGAAAGTTATGAGCAACAATGGACAAGAGAGGAAAGAAGGGAGCGGTACGATAACTCATCTAGAAGAAGTAGATCGCGTAGTCCGCCCCGCAGAGATCATTTCAGAAATTCAGAGGGGCCTAACGCTTCTAATAACCACCACTTATATCCAGGTGAGGAAAACGTTCCGAGCAGCGCTCATTTTAGGCCGAAACCCGTGTCTCTCGATCACACGGTTCCTCCAGAACATGTTAAAGTGTTCAGTCGTACATTATTTGTTGGTGGTGTTCCACCCTCTATGAAAGAGTATGATATTGCTCACATTTTGCGACCATATGGAGAGGTCCAAAGCGTGATTCTGAATAGCTCTAGAAAGCACGCTTTTGTCAAAGTTTACTCCAGACAGGAGGCTGAGAATGTATTGCACAACTTCAATAAAGATGGCTCTTCCCCGCTGAGGACGCGTTGGGGGGTTGGGTTCGGCCCCAGGGACTGTTGTGACTACCAACACGGCTACAGTGTCATTCCGCTGCATAGACTTACAGATGCAGACAAAAAATGGAGCGTTAGCGCTGAATGGGGTGGCACGGGTGGCCAAACACTGCAATCGGGATTAGCATTTGAAGAACCAGACATTGTGGTGGGTGAAGGTGTATCCTCCAAAGCTATTTCACAAAAAATGCCTACTGACAGCGGTAGAAATGGTCCCAAGTCAGGTAAGCCAGTGAGAGGTCCCTCATATAGGAATTCTCCTGGTGATGGCCAGTTTTACAGTCAAATGGCACCACTCCCCGTACAGCCTCAGGCCCCCGTTCAAAATCAATATCCTCCCTCAAGCTACGGATCGGGTGCCCCTTTGCCGGCATACGGAGTTCCCATGCCAACACAAGCAGCTCCTGCCCTATATGGTGGACAGGCGCCACCTGCTCAGCAGCGGCAGTTTGACCCAACTGCTCAGTTAAATTCGCTGATGAGTATGCTCAATCAGCAGAAATGAGACACATGAATGAATTTGGCATTTCCAAAGGAGGTCACCACCATGTGGCGACACAAAATTTCCTTACTGTTTTTTTCAATTCTGGCGTCCATTGATTGAATGTTCATCCCAGTGATAAAGTAGAGAGACATAACGTGTAAATTTTCAAGGTATTATACAGTATTGAACTTGTGAAAGGGAATTGCATTTCACTCTTACAACCTGCTCTGCGTGCTGGTCAACTGCCTCATGTTTTGCCTGTCAGCATTGATTTTACGATGCCCGGGTCTGTACGCTTGATCCTGACAACTTGCCTGAAAGCAAGCCAAACGGAAGCGTACAGCTTCTAAGATGCTCCTATGCATTTGAATGAGAACATTCTTGTCACACATTCCAAGTGTCACATTTACACTTAAAGGTTTTATTATGCTACGAGAAACTTGAAATACAGGACTGACGCTCCAGGCTAGGTGAGAGAAACCGTCAAGAGTCTACAAAATTTACCAACAAAATAATGAGTTCTACAAAATGCCTTGCGAACCCTTCCTGTTTCACCAATGTATAGAATATTCACGCTTGAGAGGCCGGCTTTCTCTTATTGTAACAAACGACAATGTTTTCATTATTGGAAAAATTTTAGGCAAGTTATTAGAGAGATGCCACTGAAATAGATAGTTTGAACTCGATTGTAAAACGACTCTACAAAGCACCTTGGCTGATCAATGAGGCTCCACATCTTGGCACATAGAGGCGTTGCCTCTACCCCCCAGTCAAGAACGATCAAAGCGGGGCTAATTTTGTCGAGAATACCAATTGTTACCCAGGATCTAACGTCGCTAGAAAAACAATATTATGACTACCAGAGTGAGCTGGAAAAAAGACTGATGTGGACCTTCCCACAATACTTCTACTACCGGAAAGGTACGCTGGCCGAAAAACGGTTTTTGGCCGCCCAAAAAGGTCCAGTTAGCAGACAGCCAGGTGTGTGGTTTCCCAAAGGTATCCCAGACGTCAAGCATAACAGAGAAAGGCGCACAAAACAAGTGGTGAATTTGCCTCATAGCCTAAGCAATGGCGGCAGCAGTGAAGAGGGGAGTGATGGTGACAGTATATCCAGACCAATTGTTCCCAACTCTCGAATTACCCAAGCCGATAAGTCTAGCGACCTACAAAGCTTAGAGCGGGGGTTGAGTTCCACGCTTTACCTTTTGGTAAAAAACAACACCGGTCAGTGGAAATTTCCCAGCTTTCCTGTCAAGTCTAGCTTAGACTCTAAAAAAAGACCATTGCATGCCACAGCGGAGGCTGGTTTAAGAGACTTGGGTGGCCCAAACATAAACACATGGTCCATTTCTAACACACCGGCTGGTGTGTTGAACAGCCCCGAGGCTGCTGAGTTTTTGATCAAGTCCCACATTATCTCCGGAAGATTCGAACTTCAACCAAACTCTCAGTACAACGAGTTTGCATGGTTGACTAAAAAAGAAATTCAACAACGTGTAGACGAAGCATATTATCAGACACTGGCCTGCTTATTGGCTGGCAACTGATGAACAAAGTATTTAAGTGCGTCATTTACCGCGCTCCAAATTACGTAGTCGTGTATATATTAATTTCAAAATCGTCACACTTGGTGATCCAGTTTATCTTCTTGCCGACCTCTTAGGGAATCTGCTTCCTCTCCAAGAGCGATCATCCTCTCGGCGACGACTTGTCTTGATGCCCGCACCATTTCTGTCATGCCGACCATTTTTCTCTCGCTCGACCGTATCGCTCCGGTTTCCCGCCTCAGTAGGTGCCAACTTATGATACTTGACTACTTCTTCATTTTCTGAAATTGTTACAAACGCCATTCTTCCTGGATAGAACCGAAATATAGGAATCTCTATATTTTGTTGAGGAGCCAGCGAGTGGAGTGATTCACTGGTATCCATTGCGTAAATCTGAGTATGCAGTGGGGACGTAAGCGCCAATGCTACGTTATCAGAACTTATATCCAAATCCATTATGGGGCCCGTGAAGTCGCTGATAATCTTCACGCAACACATGTTCGTCAAGTTCCATATAGAACATATAGTATCGCTACCGCCTGCGAAAAGAAATAGTCCCGTAGAATCTATCTTCAAACGATTTATAGCGCCCGTATGACCCGAGACAGACGTATAATGCTCCAGGGCTGTTTCACCGACCTTGAAAACTCGAATCTCTCCTGAGTTAAAAGCTACATATAGCATAGAGCTGTCTTGAGACCAGGTAAACGTTGTAGCGGTAACAGTAGGTTCCGGGGGACCCTCCGATCGAGCTTTTGATGATGAGGTCCAAAGCTGTTTATAATCTCCATCAATGTCAAAAAGACAAAATTGCCCATCTTCCGCCAGGGCCACTAATAATGATCCATCGGGACTGTACGACAATTTTCGGAAGGAAAGGTCGCCGTTTGTGTCAATGTTTTTGATCAAAGCTCCCGTAAACACATCGTGAACGTTGATACAACTTGAGCCATTGACCGTTGCCAATAAGAATCCGGTTATAGGGTGCCATGTCATGCCACATACTGGCCTCTCAACGGGGCCAGTTGATGAGACATTGCGAGGAAGTTCGAATTCAACTGATAGATATGTTTCTGCACGGTCTGACTTGAGCTTCCATAAATTTAGAGTTCCATCAGCTCTACTGTACGCCAGATGAGAACCCGTCGGACTAAATTCCAAAGTCTTCACCGGATTTTTACTGTCCAATCGAGCTGATCTAGCGGATTGTTTTGACACCCATTCCAAGTAATGCCTATCCGGAAAACCTTCTTGATCGCACTGCGCAAAAAACTTTGAGTAATTTTCAGAAGCCTTTGAAGGGCCTGGGATAGTCATAGCACTGTTGATTAGCAAGTGCGAGCTGCTTATAAGGCTGTTCAATCGAAGTGTTTGAGTGGTCCAGGACAGCACTTGGGGCTCTCTAAACCAAAATGCACTTTACAAGTTCGTGGTGAGCGATTGACCGAACTCCTGGCATATGTGCTGATAATATGTGACAAAGCAGCGACTCCAGGCTACCTTACAAGCTCGATCCTATCTTGACGCGAGACCTAAATGTCTTAGGACATATTGCAAACTCTATAGCTTCCAAGCGTGACATTCAACCAAGACACTCGTGATATCGCCCAAATGACCATACAAGAGCTGGCATGTCCTTACTTTGCTCGAGGGGCCCATAATACCGACTTGCGAGACCATAATCACTAAATTCTTAGTTATAATCATCTTTGGACGGACTCACAAAACTCCGAATGTTGGCTGACTTTTGAAGAAACAAGTGAGACATCGGGACGAGCGTGGTACAGCTCCCAGCCAAAGCGCCAAATTTGCTCACTAGTCATGGACAGCTGTGATTCATGTTCAATAGGTCCTAGAGTGCCTCTCTTCCACATGATATGTGTTTGTCGAGCTATGTACTGCGCGTTCCCATTTATGTTTCGCGTTAAATTATACTATCTGACATCAAAATGTCAACAAATCTTGGGATATCTGAAATATATAGCAAACTCCATTGGGAGGTCAAATTTAGGATGGCCAAACGGTCATTTACTGGCGGACATGGTGAGAGCAGTCCAAATGCTAGAAGACCCAGACGGATAGCTGACTCCCGTTCCGATACTCTAAGCAGCTCCCCTGTGCGCGATACAAGCCCACATGAACTCGACATCAACACGAGTAACGAGCGTTTGCCCTTTGCAAAGCGTGTAAAGACAGATACTGCTGTTCTCGACGATCAGGAACTGGAAATGCTGCTCGCGAAGGACCAACAAGGATTAGAAAATGGGCGAATGACATACATTAAGAAGAGAACTTCCAGAAGCATCGTTGACGCCAGTCACCCACAGTTGGTGGAGCAAGACATTGACGCAGCGGACATGGTTAGGACGCGTCGCTTCCACGAGGAGGAAGACTCACTCACGGCGAAAATTACGGAGTTGGAGAACGATCCACCAGCGGATCCAGTGTCGCTGGAGCCCGCTCGTAAGCTCCGAAAAACCAGTCGTGCGTCTGTTCAGCGCAGTCATTACGCCAACATTCAGAGTGTTCGCCTGCGATACGTTAGGGAACACAAGATTCCAACAGTTTTATTTGCCAACGAATTAGTACAAAAGGTGCAAAAGCACCTGCACCTGGTGGAGCAGATACTGAGTGGCAAGCGGGCTTCCCTGTACTACGACAACGCGCGGCAGGCTTTCAGCTCGTCCGAAAAGGCCGTGATGAGCATGGCAGAATTTCGCCAGCTGGATTTGAACAAGTTTACGGCAGGCTTCTACGGTGTTAAGCGTCAGATGCGGGTCGCACTGGAGATCTTGGCCCGGTATCGTCCTCTGCTTGAAAAGAAAAATAATGCAGTACTGAAGTGGTGGGGAGTGAAGGATTTTGCACAATACGTCTTGGCGCCCGAGTTGTTGAGCGCACTTTGCCAGGAGGAGATGAGCCTGCCTCTCTTGGAAGACGCTTGGGACGTAATGGAACACACCACTGAATTTGGCCATATCGTGGCCGACAATGATCCGCTCGAGGAATGGGAAGTTGCTGCGGAGGAGGCCGCTATAGCAGATTTGGGTATTGGCAAAGAATATTCCAGCATGTTCTATCGAAGAGACTCTAACAAAGCAGATCCCGTAAAGGACGAAAATACATGAAATGCGCCTGGGTCAATGCGCAGCGCTTTGGTATAAGTGTGTCACACAATGTTGAATTTGCCACGTCCCAATTGCAATGGTGGCAACTCTTGAAACCGAGTTCTGTGCCGACTAATTACAAGATCATCAGCGTACACACAAGTACCCGCTCGATCTCTTTCGGTCGCACAAGGTTCCTCGCCTTACCTGAATGCCTTCCTATCTAAATCACTTTATCGTCAAACTGTCGTTCATTGGCCAAAAAAGGCCCTAATCCATGAATGAGTTGGTACTGGTAGACCATTGAAAAAAAAATTTTCCATAGTGAAGGAATAAGATGCATGAACTCAACTCATCATATCCATCTTCGCCAACTATTGGATAGTTGTAGTTTGTCACCGGGTGAGTAGAGTTGGAATTAACTGAAGTACGATGTCTTCGCAAAAAGCCTGTTACGTGTGTGGTAAGATCGGTCATTTGGCCGAAGAGTGTGGTTCCGAGAGACTTTGTTACAACTGTAACCAGCCGGGTCATGTTCAATCCGAGTGCACCATGGCCAAGACGGTTGAATTTAAGCAATGTTACAACTGTGGGGAAACTGGCCACGTCAAGTCTGAGTGCAGCACTCCCCGTTGCTACAACTGCAATGAAACTGGCCACATATCAAGAGAATGTCCGAGCCCCAAAAAAGCGTCCAGATTGAGCGCTGGCAGCGGCAGCAGTGGTCCTAAGGGCTCCAAAGTGTCTTGCTACAGATGCGGTGGACCCAACCACATGGCTAAGGACTGCTTGCAGTCGGAAGCCAAGTGTTACGCTTGCGGCAAGACTGGCCACATCTCTAGAGACTGTGCTGGAGGTTCCTCCGCCAAGACCTGCTACAACTGTAACGAGGCTGGCCACATCTCCAAGGACTGCCCTGTGGCTTAAATGCGAGATGTTTTGAAGTAAGAAAACAACAAACCAGCTCATGGAGCCAGTAAGTGGGTCTACAACAAATGCAAGAGTCAAATCTGAGGTTGTTGTGCGCTTTGGGTCCAGAATATATATATACAGAAGAAAAAAAGTCTTGTATTGGACCGGTATAGTGGCCCTGACTAACTTATTTAAATGGGTAGTAGTTTTAACAAAATGGTTTCGGTTTTGATCGTGCATTTGATATGAAATAGCGACAGTTTTTCTCGGACGACCGTGTGCAAGGTGGTAACATTCCTATAGCGATCTGTATAGTGCATCGGCCATTTTTATGCTCTTAACACAGTTAGCTGTGTCATGTACCCGAACAATGTCAGCACCGTATCCCACACATGCGCTGGCCACAGCTCCGGTGACGAAATCTCGATCCGAAGCATTTTTGGTATCCCCAGTAATGTGTCCTATAAACTTCTTCCTGGATGGTCCCACCAGCACAGGGATGTTTCGAAAGTTTACGAACGTTGAATTCGTTTGCATACTGTAGTTTTTCAAAATCCCTAAGTTTCTGATAATCTCCAAATTTTGGGCCGAGTGTTTTGCAAACCCGATCCCAGGATCCAGTAAAATTTGCCAGCGTTTCACCCCAAACCCTACTGCTGTGGTATATTGAGAGGCAAGCTCCCTGCCAAGTACTCGAATAAGCGGTGCTTTTCCTTCCGGAAATTCTAAACCACCACATCGTTCTCTCACGTCGTCTGATTCAAAACCTTCGTCATAATTTGTCTTTTCGTTCATGTTGTGAATACTGCCTCGGATATGAGACATCGCGTAAGCAACGTTAGGGTTCTTTGCGACAACGGAGAGTATCTTCGGGTCGAACTTTCCTCCTGAAATATCATTGATAACATCCACGCCGGCCTCAATCGCGAGCTGTGCGACTTCAGACCGATATGTATCAATTGAGAGTACCATTTGAGATTGTGGAAGTGAGCTGCACGCGCGGATCGCACGTAACAGTGGGATAGTTCTCTCGATTTCCTGTTGCAAGGTTGCTTGTTTCGAATTTGGACGTGTGGAACAGCCACCAATATCGATAATCACTTGCTTGCTCAAATTCAGTACCTCTTGAACTATGGATTTAACCCTCGACAGTTGCAAATCAAGATTATCATTGAAGCAGCCGCCATCTGAGAATGAGTCTGGTGTCGTATTTAAAATGCCCATGGTCAGAGTCGGGGAAATGGTGTCGCTCACTGGAACATCTGAGTTGGCTGTGATACCCGATTTCGGCTTGTTCTTGAACTTGAGGAACCGATCTTTCCCGTCAACCTGAGGTAGTGGGATAACTTTCCACAATATATCAGCGTCCCTTTCTTGGTCATACACCTGATTCAGGTGGACAAAAACCGGTTCCGCAGTGACAGGGTGAACCTCATCATGTGAAATCAATTCACATAGAGGTTCCATCACAAATGTCCGCTCGAGGAGCCTAGGGTGTGGAATGACTAGATCTTCAGTAGTGAGCACTATATGATCACCATCGCCGTTCTTGTAAAATATAATGTCCAGGTCAATACTCCTAGGCCCATTATCAAATTCTTTGACTCTCTTTAATTCTTCGTACTCGATTTGTTTACAAAGTTCTAGTAGCTCTCGTGGTATCAGCTGTGTTTCAACCTCTATGCATCCATTCAAAAATAGACGCTGATCTTGGAAATACATTGGCTCACTTTCAAATATGGAGGACACTTGTCGAACCTCAACTTCAGGATGTGCTGCCAAAAGATCAATCGCGTACTGGATGTTGGATAGCCGATCACCGACGTTGGACCCAAATGCTAGAAAAGCGGTACTACTTTTGCCTGGGATGACTGGGGTTTTTGAGGCCACTGGCAAATCAAAACTTTTGGAAGTTTCAAGAGCCTTAACCACAACCATAGGGCCCTTTCCTAGGAAGTCCTTGGCCATGCGAGTACAACTAACCCCTACTCCCTTCGTGGCAGTGATGGCATTCAGTTTGATGACTTTAACGGTAACAAAAGCGTCAGGATTCGCTTCGAAAAAAGGATTGTTCATGGTGACCTGAGTAACGCATTCAACTAGTGCTTCAACTGTCTTGAAATTAGAGCTCTCCACATACTCACAGACCTCGTCAATTGTTTTCTGATAATGAATCTCAGACCCATTTTGGGCGCTCCATGGCATCTCAATATCAACGGTAACATACTGTTTCTGCAACCGCTCAAAGGTAAACACCCCAATTAAAGTTAAAAGTTTCAGGCCCGATATCACCAGTCGATCGGGTTTTTCATTGTCCATGGGTGCACGCAATGTGAGGGCGACATTTTGACACCGAATATGGGCCTCTGGAGCATTGACCGTCAATGCCGCGCGTTCAATTCCCTTGTACTTCTCCTTGACATAACGAATCAATTGTTGCGATAGGTTGCCCAGTGATCTAAAGTCTTTCCTGGAATCCACATATTGCGCAACGTCTTTTGATATCACTGCGTAGTTCAACGAGTATTGCAACTCATCAGATTGTGAGGCTTTAGTAAAGTCGGTTTCCAATTCCAGGGACACTTGGCAGTTCTGCGGCACTTTCCGATTCCAGCAGTCAGGTCCTATATTGGCTTGAACTGCGAGCCTGTCAATGTAGACTTTGTCCCTGCTGAAAGCTCTTTTACCCAAATTTAGGTTCATTGGCGATCGCATCCAAATGCTACGTGCTGAACCGAATGTAATCGGTAAAATACTGTTACGAAACCACACCTTGATGGGGGGAATGAATCAATTAACACAGTAAGTAAAAACGTCCATGTGCTCACTGAAAGTGCAGTTTAGGATTAGTAGTGTTTCGATGATGCCACAGCTGTGAATATCAATTTTTCACGATTCGTTTTGCCTTCACATGTTATATAAAAGCTTCTGAAGGTTAGCTAGAGACACATTTGTAGTACTATGTTAGATTAGATCGATGGCGTTATAAGTTGTGGAGCTGCTGCAACTGAAAGGTTCACTGCCCACCATTTTTTTTTATGAGCCAAACGGATTAATCGGGTCCGAAGTCTTGCTACCAGGAATAGAGAACTACGACTACAGAGGTGTTAAAGAAGGATCAATAGTTAGTCCTGGAATTGTTCATAACTCAATCGTTCGGTATACACTTCTCTTTGTCTGTTAGTTCTGAGCTTCTATCCGCTACAGTAACGTATACGAGTACATTTGTACTCCAGTGTTCTAATTAGACTTGTAATAGAAGGGCCAAGGTTGAAGAGACTCTGCGAAGTACCAACATCTTCTCTGTAAAAACCCAGCAATGAGGGGCATACGGGCTTGGAGCCAGTCCTGGACGCTGACCAGAAGGCTAGCAACGTCAGCAACTCCCAAAAAGTCTGATATATTCATAGTGGGTGGTGGGCCAGCGGGACTAACCTTAGCAGCTGCCATCAAGACTTCACCGTACCTGTCAAGCTTGAGTACCACACTTGTAGATGCTGGTGATCTCAAAGGAAGAACAGCTCAGTTTTATAACGAGCCTCCTGAGAAGTTCACCAATAGAGTTATCAGTTTGACGTCACAATCCAAAAAGTTCCTCCAAGAACGTGTGGGTGTCTCTCTCATGGAAGACCGCATGCAGGCGTTTGATGGCCTGTACGTGTCGGACGGATGCTCTGATGCGCAGCTGGAGATGGAGCGGGACTCAATGGGCTACATGGTGGAGATTTTGAACCTGCAAAGCTCGGTGTTGAAGAGACTTTCCGATCTTCAGGCTCCAAACTTGGAGCTCATAGACCAGACGAAAGTACTTGAAATCAAGTCGAAAGATCCAACAGATCCTCAGTCGTGGCTAACTGTTTCTTTGAGCAATGGGGAGGTCTATGAAACTCGGCTTCTAGTGGGATGCGATGGTTTCAATTCCCCGGTCAGGAAATTTTCCAAGATAGAATCTCGGGGCTGGTTTTATAACAGATTTGGTGTCGTGGCTACTATGAAGCTAGACTTCCCGCCATTCAAGGTTAGAGGCTGGCAAAGATTTTTACCCACGGGCCCAATTGCCCACCTTCCATTGCCTAACGACAATGCTACCCTTGTCTGGAGTACCACAGAACCATTGTCAAGACTGCTTTTAGCGCTTGATCCCGAGCAGTTTGTGCTACTTGTAAATGCCGCGTTTGTTCTTGATGACGTTGACATGCAATACTACTACAAGCAATTGGAGCGGGGGACTATCACGACAGCCGAATTAAAAGAAGATATCACACACCGTACAGAATTGCGATATGGTAAACTAGAAAACGACTCTATGATTGACGAAATTTATCCGCCAATTGTTAGTGAGATCGATGGTAAGTCAAGAGCAAGATTCCCTCTTAAATTGTCACACGCTGATTCTTATGTTGCAGATAGAATTGCATTAGTCGGTGATGCAGCTCACACTACTCATCCGCTGGCTGGACAAGGGCTCAATATGGGTCAGGGCGACGTGGAGTCGCTAGTAAAGGTTCTAGAGAACGCCAGTCAAAGAGGGTTAGACCTCGGGTCATTACTGGCTTTGGAACCTTACTGGGCCGACCGGTATCCATATAACAACATGCTCTTAGGGGTGGTTGACAAGCTGCACAAAATATACTCTACTGATTTCGCGCCAATTGTTGCAGCAAGGAGCTTGGGACTGAAGGCCATTCAGGGACTGGGCCCGATCAAGGATTTTATGATGGCACGAGTAAGTGGACCAGGGAGGTAAAGCTCAATGAACTTTTAAATCCACAGACATAATATATGTAGCGGGGTCTCTGGCTAATTCTACCTGCAGTCAGACATAATGCATCCTTACAAACCGTTTTACGTAGTTAACAGAAGACTCAACAGATATAAAAAAATAGTTCCAAAAGATTGTACATGATGGTCGTAGCTAGTCCAATTGGCACTATTTTGATTCTTCTTTAAAGCGCGATAACTATGGGCGAAGCTATCTTTATACAATAGTGACTTCTGCTGACACGGGACTTGAACTGCTCGGGCAATTATTTACCGAGATGAGCTGAGCAAAGCCAAGCGGCGATACAGTACACAACTAACCCATGAGTGTACTACTAGAGACCACCAAAGGGGATTTGGTAGTTGACACGGACTGCGAGGCGTATCCAGTTGAAGCGTTCAACTTCCTCAAGCTTTGTAAAAGTGGATTTTTCAGGTATCAGTGTTTCTACAACCTACAGAAATCGTTCTCAATTGAATGTGGCGATGCACTAGTCGGTAACAACTTAAGAGACTCACTCAGATTTCATAGTACTTCCATTCAGGGTCTGGCCGCTTCAGAAAAACAGGGCTCGGGCCAGCTGCTAAGATCTTCAGCTCCTTTCCAGAAAACCAGAAGAGCACAACTGGGCGATGTAGCATTTCTTACCTCGATTGTTGAGGGTCATGTACCGGTATTAGGATCCAAGTTTATGTTTTCGCTCGCAGAGGATGGAAATACTTACGAAGACGTGGTAGTTTTTGGGAAAGTTACTGCAGAGTCCTTAGGAGTGCTTCAGGACTGGAGTAACCAAACAGTCGATAAGGAATGTCGCCCTGAGGTCGACATTCGTATCAAGAATGCGTACATCTTACATGATCCTTTTCCTGATCCCGAAGGTTTTAAACTAGTGGAGGTCGGTTTACCTCTGGAAGATGTTAGATTGCCGCCTGAAATGATAGCTATTGAAACAAACAAATTAGATAGCACTGGTAAAAGCCTAGGCAGTATGCACTCCAAGGAGGTCACACTAGAAATTCTTGGAGACATTCCACATGTAGGAATCAAACCATCTGATAGAGTTCTCTTTATCTGCAAATTAAATCCCATGACCAAGGCCAAAGACTTGGCAGTGATCTTTCATCGCTTCGGAACAATTGACACCATTGAAATTGTACACGACAAGGAGACAGGTGCCTCTTTGTGCTATGGTTTCATAGAATTCGCCGATAACAAGTCTTGCGAAATGGCCTACTTTAAGATGGAGGGTGTACTCATTGATGACAGAAGAGTTCACGTAGACTTTTGTCAAAGCTCCAAAAAGATAACCCAGCAGCATTAGATGCTCGGCAAGTTATGCAGGTTCTTCTTTCGCATGCGATCACTTACCGTGCAAGGTGAACAAATACGAGAGCATCGATTTCAATTGCATTTAACAGACAATACACATTATTGACAAGACCTTAAAAACTTGCTCTATTGATGTTATTCCTGCCGCATACGGTTTGGGGGACGGTTTCTACTACTTGGTTACATAAGGAACCCTTTCAGCCGGATGAGACAAAGACGCATCCGTCTCTGAGGTGCGTTAGCCATGCCTTTGGCGATGCAGATTTGCAGGCATTTCAGCAGTCATACGACAAGGTTATAAAACACGATTTTGAGAGGAGACAAACAGCTGGGAGAACACACCTCAAGCTCGCCAAGTTCAGTGCCCCGAAGAACCCTATTGTCTTATGTCATGGGCTTTCAGGTTTCGATCGTTTGATTATTTTACCTTCGGTTGGCCATTTAACCAGGATTTTAACGAGCCATTCTAAAAGCAGTAACTCTGAGCAGTTTCTGGAAGAAGAGTCCGAGAATTCAAGATTAAAGGGACTACTGGAGGTCGAATATTGGTTTGGTGTCCAGCAGGCACTTGAAGCCAAAGGTTGCACCGTAATCTCGGCCAAAGTTCCAGGATTTGCCAGCATTGAAGAGCGAGCTCGCACTCTCAATGATTGTATCGAGAGAGAAACAAGATCGCTGAGAATTTCCAAAAATGAGGATGCTATCTACAATACAGAGGAGAACGTGAGCTCTTCTAAAACTCGCGACCCTATTAAGGTCAACCTCATTGCACACTCCATGGGCGGGTTGGATTGTCGATTTTTAATTTCCAACATTCCCAACAAGAACTTCGAAGTTGTAACTTTGACCACTGTTTCGACCCCACACCGTGGCTCTGAAATGGCCGACTTCGTGGTTGAGCTGTCAAAAAATGTTCAAAAGAAGCTTGCTGTGGGGGAGCCCACTCGAATTTTACCGCTTGCAATTTACCAGCTGACCACCAAGAACATGGAGTCTTTCAACAAGAAGACACAGGACGATCCAGGTGTCAAGTATATGAGCTATGGAGCGTCTATGTGTCCCAAATGGTACAATATTTTCAACACCTCATGGCACATAGTATTTAAACGATCAAATGGAGTACCGAATGATGGACTTGTCAGTGTAGAAAGCAGCAAGTGGGGCGAATATATGGGTACAATAAAAAACGCTGATCACTTGGATATAATCAACTGGAAAAACAAACTCCAGAAAGACATATCAAATGTTTTTGCACCGAAAAGGGAGATAGAGCAGAAGTTGGAACCTGATGTAGACATGCTCGAATTTTATCTCGGCGTTGCTAATAACCTTGCTAAGAAAGGTTTTTGATTCTATCATGGTACCGGGCCCGTTGAGGTCATATGACACGAATAGTATTTCACATTGTAGGGGCGATACTACTCACATAGGATTTTAGAAAAGTAGCATTGAAACATAGCGCAAGCAAATGAAGACAAGTCTTACTCCCCTTTCTTCTCATCAGAAGCGCCTTACCACTGGTACATGGGTTGTCGAAGACGCTGATCATTCCATTGTCATTTCAGAATGTCGGATAAAAAAACTCAAAAGGTTTCAAATCCGTTGCTGAAACTTATGTCAGTATCATTCAAAGAGGCTTCCTTGGATTCCCCATCATTCAGAGCTAGTGCAAACTTCTATCAAGTTCAAGTGGAGTCGCTCGAAAGTTGGATTGAGAACGTCTCGCGGTTTTACAAACTTAAATTTTTACCGTCACTAGACGACTTCAAACAGCTCAGCGACACTTTTTTTGCACAGTCACTGCCTCCCTCTGACTACCTCTATAATGGGATTGTAGAGAATCAGCTTTACACGCCATCAACGTTAACAGAGTTTCACGATGACCTTTGCCACCTATCAAGCAGACTTTTGTTATTGCTACGTGGTGACCCAGAGTCCTTTCTATCTAGTTTGGAGATGATCTTGACCGCCATCGTTGAACCTTATAAGGAAAAGCGCAAAAACTTTGATTACTACCAGGCTAAGTATGATATGCTTCTGGCCAAATATCAAGCTACCAAGGTTCAGGGCCCCCATATGGAGCCATCTAGCATTCGCGAAGATGCATTTCAGTTATTTGAGGTTCGAAAAAGTTACTTGGCAGTATCTCTAGACCTGGCGTGGGAAATAACTAAATTTCAAGAATCGCTCGACGAAGCCATGACCACAGTCGTGAACACTCTCGTAAGGCGTGGTTCCTTGAGAAATGCAATCATGAATGCGAAAGACAACGACCAGCAGCTCAACTTACTACTGAAACATCAGCAATGGCATAAAGAAATGAAGAAAAATAACCTCTCTTCTTCTGAGGACATGGAGAAAGCGAAAGCGCAAGTTCTAGCATTTACAAGCAAACAGCTGGAGCCCTCTCGAGATCTTAATGATTACAATATCAAGGGTATCAATCATGCCACGTTGCATCAAAATATACAAACTGGCGTGAAGGCCTCAACAGAAAAAGCTGGGTGGCTATTTATGAAAACAATGGTAGGAAAGCCTGTCCGAACAGTGTGGGTGCGGAGGTGGTGTTTTTTGAAAAATTCTGTTTTTGGCCTCTTTTTACTTTCTCCTGCTCTAACGGCTGTGGAAGAAACCGACAAGTTTGGTGTTCTTTTGATGAATGTTCGTTATGATCCAAATGAAGAGCGAAAATTTTGTTTTGAAGCTCAAATAGCAGGTGTAGAGCCAGGAAAGAGCCATGGACGAACAAATACAGCCGAGCGCATGTCGCTTGTTTTCCAAGCCGAAACAATTGATGACCTTAGGGCATGGCTAACCGCTTTTGAAGAGGCAAAGAAGAGGGTATTACTGCTCGAACGCGGTGATATTGAATATGAACTGGCCTTCTCAAGAGTACCTCCGGTCTTTTATGAGTTTGCATGTAGTTCAACAAGCATTACTGAACAACAATTGACGTCCTTTGATGAAGATGGTCACTATGGAAAATCAATTCTACAGCTGATGCAGGCTGCCTTTTCAGAAACTGGAAGTATTATATTCCCACACGACTCTCCATTTCAAAATCCTCTGATTAAGACTCCCATAATGACAAAACTTACTAAGTTGAGCATTATTTCAAACTTTTTTCTGACCAATGACGGGGTTCCCAACGCGATAATGGCAAATTATTGGGGCAGTGTTAACTGGAGTGAATACTGCTATAACATCAAAAAAGAAACTCAAATGGAATTCAATCCATTGAAAGATGTTCCCTTGTATAATCTTTGCCCTGAAATGGACCCAACGTCACCAATTTGGAGCCCTATTTCTTATCCGGATTTTTATCCCCGGGATATGCGTAATAGGGATCTTCAATTTAAAAGCCTGTTTTTCTCCAGTGCTGACTTGCGGAATCAAGATGAGTTTAAGGAACTACTACTTTTATCATTCCCGTGCTCATGGTCTCCCAATACAAAGCAAGGGTTTTCTGGGATGTGTTTCGTAACATTAAGAAACATATATTTTTACATGAACTCCATGGGATTTATATGTCTCCTAGCTCGAAGCTTGACGGAGTTCGTAGCTGTCGAAGAGGTTAAAAAAGCTAATGATACCAATGCAATGGCTGTAATGAAACTTCATGATACTCATGAGCATTCAATGACTATTTCAATCTTTTTTGATGATCCTAACCTAGTTTACGCCAAGCTCAAAAGTTTAATACAAAATGGAACCATAGACCGTGTTAGAAACGAAAAGGAAATGCTTCATGTGTTTGAAGGTCTCGATAAAGATTATGCATCACAAAATCAAGATGAAAAAGTGGTGGATGAAAATGCCGGCTATCAAAAATCCAGAAACCTTGACGGACTATTTCGAGGAATGGATCAGTCTTTTTACGAGCTGACAAAACGTCAATTAGGATTCCAGAATAACTTCAAATCGGTATTTAAGGCTGATTTTAACATTCCCCCCAGGGGCTTGATGCACGTACTTTTTGGAGGTAAATCAAATCTCTTTCCGCGAAGCTTCCTTTTGGCTCAAGACTCTCCTTCGGGTAACACGGCACCTGCTTGGTACGTCAAGGAAAAGGATAGTTTTAATGAGGCATTTAGAATGATACGTGTTAAGGTAGATCCAACCCAAGGCTTTTTTTCTTCTGCGGCAAACGAAGATGGCTCTAATGATGATCCCCTTTCCTTGAATGTGTTGCAGTCAATCAAAATGGTCAACGAAAATCTATACTACGAAGTTGACCAACAAACTGCGAAATTGAAAATTCCATTAGCCAAGCCCTTCAGTGTACGATCGAAACTAATACTCATTTCAAGACTTGACACCAGAGACAACCAAAATCAGGGAAAAGGCGTAGGAACTTCTTCCCTGTATCACTACTATGATGTAACTTTTTTCGATGGAAAGCAGTCAGCTTCAAATGAACAATTGAACATATTTGATAAAATGGCCGAGAATCTGGTGTTGCGGTTTATGTACTATGAGCATCAATTACTTCGCCAACTCATTCAACAATATCTCGATAAAATTGGAAAACACGGCAGAGTTTTGAAAGCCATCCGCCTCTGCGGTCAGCTAATATTGGTGGATGACAAGCAAAAATACCCCGACATGAACAGCGGTGAAGTTGCAACATATTCGAGGAGCTCTTTGTTGAGGTTCGTAATGAAGTGCACGCTATTCTATACGGTCAACATCATCTTTGCACTTCTAAGGCTGTCTTTCCACCTGCTTCATGCTATATTAACCAACGTGGTGGCTCTCAACAGGTTTCTCCTGCTGGGGCTCTTACTGTCGCTTGTTGCAAACCTCTTGCTGGCAGGCCGTTCGTCCTGGAATTACTGGTCCGTAAGACACGCAGAAAACCTTTTCAGAAGCTACCTGGATGGCGACCAAGAGCCCATGAAGAGAGCACTATACATAGAGGACCTGGATTTGATGACGGAGGCGCTGACCAGCGGGAATGGCCAATGCTTCGAGAAGTTCATGACATCCGACCACGACATCGAAAGCAGATACCGCACTACGCGCCACCAAATAGCTTTGAAGCGTAACGAGCTACTCGTGGAGCTCAAAATTCTTAACACCATGGAAAAAGGTATGGTCCATGGCGATTACCTAGCATTCTTGTCTGCTGAAATACAAAATTGTGTCTCGGTCGAGCAAGACATGCAGGAAACTTGGAACCAAGACGCACATCTTAGATTGCATTGCGACAAGTGCCGCCATGAGCTTAAGAGGGTCCAACAACTACTATGAAAGCACAATGCATCTTGTCGAGCCATCCCAACGATGATTTTGTTGGCAAGCCCTTGAAGTGCTTGGCGGCGGTGTTACCCGGCCACATTTGAATTTTTTCGCCAATTTCCGGGTCTATATAAGAAGAACAAATTGGCGATTCTTCTAAGACAACCACACCGAAAGTTTGCACGGTTCGGATACCAACTTGATATTGCTGGCTATACCTCAAGCAAATGTTTTGTGTAGCACTTGTATTGAGAAATTCGCAAGCTGTAAAATCTGTGCCAGTAAGATTACTTGCGTCCAGGTTTTCAGCTGTCAATTTCTGTTAAGAAAATCTTTGAAAGGGATGACTTCTCTCTGTATTTTTAGCATGATGATAACTTACTCAGCTCACTCAGATCAATTATGATAGATAACTTTTTCCTATCCAACATTCATCAAAAACCTGATCTAAGATACAGACAGAAGGACATTTCTTGTAGCATAATTGTAAATTAAGTATTGATTGAACTTAAGTATTGACTGTTGACTTATCACTTTGCACTAAAAAGTTCTTGTGATCTCGCTACCTTAAGATGGATTCATAAAGTTAGACATGCTTCCATAGCAGTGGGTTCTCCTCGTTGTCCGATCAGGTTATTCGGAATAATCAATGGCGCAGCTAAGCTTGAGGGTAGACAATGAACTGAGGGATCTTTCTCAGGCGCTAGAGAAGATTGTTTGCGATCAAGAGAGGATACTGGAAAGTATAGAAAAAGACTCAAACTTGGCGCTTCGAGACAATGAATCCAAAGTGCTGCATCAGCAGGTGACTGATGTGCCGAGACTCTTGGCCCACGACGCTGGGCTTAGTAAACAACTTGGTACCTACCAAGGTTTGAGTGTGATATCAGACCTGCTGGATGAATTCAGCGTGAACTTTCAGTTGTGGGAATTGGAGAACTGTTTCCATTCGCTACACAACGTCCATAGAAGGCTCCAAAATCTGGATTCCGGCACGCTGCCGCTGCAGTTCCAAGAGTCTCTGAAATTGCATGTAAACACACTTCATTTGGATTTGCTCACACGCTGCGAAGAGGTAATGCAGCAAATGTGGACAATCGAATCAGATTCGATCACATTCAATATCTCTATAAAAGCTGGACCCGACCAGACGGTGATTGAATATCTACCCATCCGCGAATTTTTAGACACCTGTCTGTTCCCCGATGGCCGATTTGAGACCACCTTTTGGTTCGTCTCCTCTCTCGGAGTGACTGACATAAAGGACACCGTAATAACAAAATTATCGAAACTCTATGGTCTTTATATTGGGCTGCAGGAGATACAGGGTCAGCTCAAGTCGTTTTTGTTTGCTACTGGAGCGTATTTGGAAACTCAAGACAACTGTTCTCTTCGCAAAATCCCTAGGCATTGCAACGCTGGCGAGACGATACGAAGCTTTGAGGCTATTGTGAGCTTTTTATCCGAGATTATTTGGAGAGGCGATGCGAATACAATTCTGGCCCGGTTGGGGTCCACATTAGTAGTTGAAATCATCAAATTCTCCAAACAAAATTCACGCCAAGTACTTGGATCTGATACTGGCTACAAGGAACAGATCCTAAACCTTAATAACCAGCTTAAGGTCATGTCTGTAAATTCAAACGGAGTTTGGCCCTATGACGGCAGAGAGCTTGATTCTATTTTGCACGATGACTCCGTGATTATCAATCTCATGCTGGACAAACTTCTGCAGAGACAATTGGTCAAGATTAGAAACCTGTTCAAAGATTCAAATTGGAGACGTACAACTATGGTTCAAAAGTCGGTTCCCAAAACGTCAACTGAGGCCAAATCTGTAATATCGAAAAGGACCACTTCTCAAGGGTCCGACGACGGCTGGGGCTGGGACAATGATGATCCGTTGCTGGAAAGTGGAGATGAAGAAGAAGGTACAGCATGGGACAATGAGATTGAAATTGAGACTGAGGATGGCAAACAGCCTAAGACATCTCAGCCGGACGCTGTTGAAAAATCTCAGTTTTCCAAGCAAGACGAATGGCAGAATGACTGGGATGAAGCAACAGGCTTTGACGAGGTGTTTACTGACGGCATACTGATAACAACGCTGCCTTCTTTCGGCCTTCAAATGCTGAAAGAATTCGATGCAGGATGTCAGGATATTACTAAAACAAGAGTAGAAGCGGTTATCGATTATAAGCTCAACGTTTTGCTAACTTCGTTCATGGCTATGTGCATATGCAAATGTGATGATTGGTGCCAGTTGTATCACGATGTGGAGCATATCGTTGCGGAATATCCCGACAAGCAAAGGGTATATCGACTGGAAGAACTCAATTCTCATTTTGTAGACACCCACGTCAACAACATGAAGAAAACTGTCAAAGGCTTGGTAGACCGGCAATTCAAAAGTTTCTTGACTAATGAAAACAACCCCAACTGGGGAATAACGATCGAATCTTTGTTACCTTACATCGAAACAGTTGCATTGCCCGCTATACTTAAGTTGCAGAATATCATTCTGCTCAAAGAATTCGTAGCATTTACCTACGTGGATTGTTTTATCCAGGAAGTTATGACCTGGCGCGTAATCTCAGAGAAGAACTCCGAGAACTTGGCGAAAATGATAAAGCTCCTCTTGGCAAGTACACAACAACCACGATTGGATTCTGACGCAGGTTGCAAACAACTACGGGAGAAACTGGGCACGATTGGACAAGTCTTAACGGCCCACTTGACTGATCTCATGGATATGTTTTCCAACGGAGACTTTTATCTTTTTACTACCGATGAGATTGTGCGGTGGATTATTTTACTTTTTGCAGACACAGGGTTAAGACGGGAGTGCATCAATGAAATAAAAAGTATCCGAGCAGAGCGCGATAGCTAATTGTTGGGCAGTCCCGATCTCATGTCAATAATACCCGACTTCCATTCAAATGCTCTTAGCCATTATTATCCTTTACCCGGACACCAGGGTGCGTTAATTTCGCTTATTGACTAACCGGACCTTAATTTACATATAAATTTAGTTGGCATCATCGGCCTTTGTAACCCCAGCACTTCTCATTCCTCAAGTAGACTTCAACCAACAACCTCCGTATGTCTGCCCCCAAACACTACCACTTTGAAGTCGTGATGACCTGCGAAGGCTGTTCCAACGCGATCAAGAGAGTTCTGACTCGATTGGAGCCCGACGTATCAGAAATAAACATTTCCCTAGAAAAACAGACTGTAGATGTCAAAAGCGTACTACCGTTTGAAACGGTGCTGGACAAGATCAAGAAGACAGGCAAGGAGGTAAAACGATCAGAGATCCTTTGAAGCTACCGATCTCATAACTTCGCGCCCTAGGTATCGGCACTGGTTCAGGAAGTCTCAATCGATGCTCAACTCCCTCATACAAGCCAACTGCTCCAATAAATTGTATTCTGGCCCTCAGGGCTCTGTAACTGATATAGTGATCTTGCGCGTACTTATAATGAGTACTACAGCAGATCTGTTAGTTTGACAAATATAGGACATGTTGTACGAATACTCTTTCAACCCATCAGGATTAAAGATGGAATATAACGACGAACCAATCTACGATGAATCACTCAACGACGCTCCCTTCCAGCAACTTAAATCCGAGGGTTGGTGCCTTGAATTGAAGGGTTATTGATCAAAATGACCACAGAATTCGACGAAGTGCTGAATTTGGAGGAGAGCTTTTATGTGGAGGGGTTTAAAGATGGCCGAAGCGAAAACCTTAAGCACAATCATCTCGAGGGTAAACAATATGGGTTGCAAGTTGGATTCCAAAGATTTATTTTCATAGGAGTGATTCGCGGTGTTTGTAATGAGTTGAAGAAACTTAATTTCAGTGCTTCCATTGACAAGAACATCCAACTAATACTAGCTTTGATAGACGAAATCCCCATGGACAATCGTGATGAGAGTGTGCAAATATATGAGAAAAACATCGTGCGACTCAAAAATAAATTCAGGCTATTGTTGATGGCTCTCAGTAAGCGCTGGAAAGACCTAAATGCAGGAAATCCTGAGAAGCTAACATTCGAGATGCTCGAAACAGTTTCCAAAACAGTCGCAGGGGAGCTAAATGCCTATGTTGAAGATAGTGGCTCGACAAACGCTGTTTCTCAACCGGAGAAAGATATGTGGTGACGTAGCTTCGCCCAATCTACATGAAATTCAAACAGCTAATGTGGAGCCAGTTCGTAGGGACGTCTTCGTCTTCTACATGTTTCACAATAACACTGTCTTGAAAATAAGTCATTTTCCAAGACTGCATCTCGTAATTGGAAAATGCTTTATTCAAGGTCGCAGGATCGTTCAGCCACTTGAAACTCCATAATTTTGAATGGTAGTTGTTGACAGGTTCATCTCCTAACAGCTCTTCCTCTACCAGCTCCAAAACTCTTCCTTTGGTGAGTTCGTAGACGTCAGAAACTCCCTTCTTTTGAATAATTTCTAGCAGTTCTGTGACCATATTGACTGCATTTACAGTACATTGAAACCGCGTCTCGTCTGTGGACCCAGCTCCTGCGTTGTTATCCTTCTTGGACTTCGTTTGAGTTCGATGGCGGCCTACTTTATATCTGGTACGGTATTTGTTCAGTCTCCCCAGCACATCTAATACAGTTTCTTTATCTTCCATAAAGTACAGCAATCTCTGTAGGCTCTCCTCGAACGTAAAAAAGCGCCTGTTTCTTGAAGCACTTGCTTTTATCTGTTCTCGTCGCCTAGCCATTTTTTCTTTGGCAATCTTTGCTTGTCGTACTTGCTTGGTATCCTTGTAATCATTAATCCACTGATCCTGTTCTAACTCATCTTCTTCTTCACTGGCATTACCTTTGCTCTCCACGTAGTTTCCAAGCTTGTCAAAAGTACCAGATTTTGATTCTTCATCTACATTGAACGCCTCCATCTGTATGCCTCCATCTGAATCGGAATTTGATAGTAAAGCATCCTCCTCGTGTTTTTCAGGTCCACTTGCTGGCTCATTTTGTGTACCCCTAGCTGAAGTCGAATCCACCTCTACATCGGATGCGAACATGTCGTCTTTGGCAGGCCCTTCACTATTATCAGGTGGCAAGTCCCTGCCCTCCCCACTCGATGGTTGATCCTTTTCAGCTTCCTCATCTGAACTTGATGACTCACTGAAGTCTTCTAACAATTCCAGCTTCCTCCTTTTTTTGGTTTTAAATCCTTGTTCATCGACTCCGTCAAATTGATGTTTATCTACATCTTTTGGCCTCATGAGGGTCTGTTGTTGTTCGCGTTGGGCTATGTTTACTTTCAATAGTGGCCGCAAGCTCCAAAAGTTACACTACTGAGAAAGTAAATGATCTAACATTGAAAATCGTAAACAAGTTCATGTAACCTCGAATTTAGAATGATCCATTCAAATGCTATATAGTTTTAAATATGCTTAATTATGCAGTCCTGAGAAGTACCCAGCAATATCAAAATTCACCGTGGAGCTAATCTCAGTTATTATTTCCCACGGAACGTTAATCTTCCATTTTAGTTTGTAGCTCAAATAATCCGCATTTTTGGCGGAAGCAGTTGTGATAAGTTTGAGACTACTGAGTTCAGCAAGGTTCTCGTATACTTCCACATTAGCTTTCATTAGTTCATTTTGGTTAAATATGCTTGTTTTGCCAGGCTTGTCGTCCCCTATGGGAAATATAGCTTGAAAGATGGAGAAAAGCCTTTCAAGCTGAAAAAGGGAAGGTTGCAAATATCGAGGATTTGTTTCCATTTTGGTTCTACGGCCATAGGATGACCTACCAGCTCGCAGATGGGTCTTCTTTGAGAAGATCTTGCTGTCATACCTTGGTTCCAAATAGGAACACAGATAGGCAGCTAAAAGCAGGTACTTGGATATTAACGAAAGTTCGTAAGCGGTTGCCTTCTCTTTATCTTCTAATTGGTTGGAGTTGGAGTCACTCGGAGTAGTAAAGGAATCGCCTGTAGTAGTGTATAGTGCAATGTTCGAACGATACAATGCAAGTGGTTCATAGATATTCTGAGCGGTTATCGAAGCGACATAAGCTTCCCATTTCGAATCCATGATGTCTGTCAGTGCAACTATATCGTTACCCGTGTATGAATGAAAGGCCTGTATTATGAGTTTGATATAGTTTTCGGCGATCTGCTCGAAAATGGAATCATCGGGATCGATTCCAGTTGCAAGTACCTTACTGATAAGAGCATCGCTGTGAATATAGTCGTTTGACTTCTCATGAAGAAGTATCTCTGCCACCTGTTCATGTTTATAACGTGGAAAGATGATGGTTGGGATGTTATAAGTGCTGTACTTGCTGAGAAATGCAGCGTCGCGTATTGTGTATATGAACTTCAATTGGACTTTGTAATTAGAGTCTAACATTTCATGCAGCTTAAGAAATTTAGGGAGTAGTTCGAGATCCAGCTCTTTTAACTGGTCAAGGCCATCCAGTACAACGAAAAGATTCACTTTTCTCTCCAAAACCTCGTAACAACGTAATACTGTATCCAGTACTCGGATCAAGAAGTAGAAATCTTCTGCCTCGAGTGCATCCTGAATATCGTAATTCACATGCGGAAACAAATTAATCAGAGAGCTCGAGACCGTCCTGGCCACATGTTGCAAAAGAGGCTTCCAAGTCACCAATTGGACAGGACTCAGCCAGCAGTTGTGTATGTGAGGATTGTCTTCAAAAAATCTAATGAGCGTAAGGGTCTTGCCAGAACTCTGATGTCCTTGTATTAAAATATTTGGTGGCGACAAATCCGGATCATCGCTGATGAACGAAGACAGAGCACATGCTTGGTATTCCCTGAATAGAACCAAGGGTTTGACTGTAACCATTTGTGCTTAGACCAGTGACCGGCCGCGTTCAATTTCGACTCTGTGCAAGCGAAGTATTGGCATGATCGCTTCACTATTCGTCAAATATTTGGCGTTTCATCGTCTAAGACGAGCTATTGAAAGTTCTCACCAAGGTGAGAGGAACAAACTAATAGTCCTCTGTAGCTATGAGCTCGGAGACCGCAGAATCGAGAAGATCGAATTTAAAGTAGCGAGCGACTTTTCGGTAAACGTGGATTTTTTCCATAAGTGACTTTTGGGAAATTGAGTTTCTCCAGCTTCCAGAACAGGGGCAATGTGACGACATTGCATCGTCCTTAACTCTTCCGCATTTAGTACACTTCAAATCCTGGACATAATAGCTCTGTAGGTCGATTTGGAACGCTTGTACCAGGTGTTCCTGTAAAAGAACTGAATCGAAGGGCTTCTGGCATTGCGAACAATTTAGAAAGGCGATGCTGTCAATCTTGCAAAAGTCGAGATCACATATGAAAGAGCAATATTCACAGTTCAAATTACTCACTTTCAGTGACCAGCTAGGATCCTTAAACTCAGACTTCCAATCAAATTCACGAACTTCGAAAATTTTGAGAAGGTCTTTTCTTAACGTGCGAACCTCTATTGTTTGGCGCGTGGCGAGTAGCATGACATGGCAGAGATCTTTCACTAGCTCCAGTAGCGGGTTGGAAGCCTTAAGATGTGACCCTGGAAGATCAGGTGCTTTATACTCATCATTGAACTTGGGGTCAAGAATGTATTCTCTTTGCGTTCGTAAAAGCTTTTGCATTCTTTTCACAAGAGGTTGGCCAAATCGTTGTGTGAACCCAGCTAGTGAGCCATCTCCCTCTTCTTCTCCATCGCCGTCATTAATTTTCTTAGTGAGTTGAGTTAATCGCTGCGACTCCATGTTATTCTCGTGGTATTCCTGCTTCGCCTTAATCATGCTATCCAGCACGATTACCATCCAATCGTCAAATTCCTGCTGATAAATTTTGGGAAGGAAATTCTTGATGTGCCACTGGGAATAGGCCTCCAACTCCTGGGTGTCGTTCTCGGTAATTCTAGTACAAGCTCTGCCGCCAAAATTGTAAGAATCCATCCACAACAATAAGTCCCAGTATCTGTGGATCGATAAATCTAAGAAGCCAAACAACGGTGACGTTCTAATAGTTCTTATCAAATACTGGCTATAGGCATAACAGCTTTCAACAGTTGTTTTCTTCGTTTTCAACAAGAGCTTACCACGGTCGGCATAAACTACTTCAGACCCAAGGCCCCTGCATACATTCATAAGCTGCAAAATGGCTTTCTTGGTCAAGTTGTGAACGTGGTATTTCAAAGCATAATCAAAAAGCTTTGAGTCTGGAGATTGTACCCAAAGAATGAAGGTATGAACCAAAGAGTCTGCTGTTCCATCTTCTGCCAACGCGTCATCCCAAAGAGATTTAAGAAGTGTCCTCAAAACGGTCAATGAGATACTTGAAAAACTATCCTCAACAAAACCACTTGTGGAATTTTTCTCGCCGCCATTCGAAGAGAGCTCGATGTCCACCATATCACTTCCTTCTGCTTCATTGATGACAGCGGATGTCAAAACTGTGTTGATTGTCAAATTGGTCATTTCTATCTCAAGTGTAACATCATCATAAGCTGCTGGCACATTTGTAATAAGGATTTCCTGATCACACATTAACGATGCCATATAAGGGTTGAAGTCCTTTTCTATACCTCCCAGATCTGGTAGCGGATTGCCTTCGTTCCACCAAAGGACTATGTTGTTTTGCTTTAGCTGTCTTGCATATAGAACATCTATGACAAAGGACATCTTGTCAAGCTTAATATTGCAAATTGGGATGTTTGCGTACCGTGATAAGGATATTAAGTTTTGTAACCACGTACCCAAAGAGAGGACATGGCTGACAATTTTCTTTACTACAGTATTTTGCCAGTTTAAGGGAGGAAGCTCAAGTTCTGGCAAAGATATTTCCACTGTTGCAATCTGGCGAAGAGGCCTTACCGTTTGCCTGATCTTCGATGCATAAGGTGATTGCAAAAGAAGTAAAACCTGTGAAGCCTTATCTTCGTTCATCTTGCTGATAGACGAGGACAGCTTTCTATAGAGTGTTCTGAGATCTGTTGAAAATTGCATCTTTATGTCAAGCTCCGCCGGAAATTGAATAATGTCATAGAACTTATCAAGTTTATGAGCTTTCTGAGAGCGCATTTCTTTGAAAGTATGCTTTAAGGAGTTTGTAGTTATTTCTAAAGCTGTAGCAGACGGCTTCAAGACAAAAATTTCTGTTTCGTAGCTCCAGGCTTTGTAAAGAACGAAATATTCGTAACCCAAGTTGCTCGATAGGTGAAGTAAATAGCACACGTCTAGTTCAAATTTATCCAGATAGCGTTCCGATGGTACGGAATGTAAGTTTTTCAGCTCGAACCCTTTTTGTAAACCTTTTCCTAAAGCACCAACGGCACTAGAGTTGAACTCAACCGTAGCACCTAGATCCATAATAGCTCTTTCCGCTGATGTAACTGATGACTCGTAGACACCCAAAACTTGATCACAGTTAAGAATACTGGTGGGCTTTTGAAGCTCTTCTAGGTAAGTTTCTTCGGGAAGCGTTATTTTGAACAAAGGACTGGGATCCGCGCACTTCAAAATATTGTTGTTGGGAAGCACAGCCGTCGATTTTTCGACTATACAGTTTTCAATTCCTCGTGCGGCTGGCAACATTTTAGACTTGAAGTTAACAAATAGGGTTTTAGGAACTTTGAATTTCAGCCTATGGATTTTACGGTCCAGAAGAACAGAGACGTCTAAAACTCCGGGCTCCAAAGTCTCTCTATACTCTAGAATCTCCCATGTTGAATTTGCGTATGATTCTGCGTGCTTCCTCATTATCTTTCCTAGGGCGCTCCTTTGAGTTGTATTCGCGCGGTTACCAAAAAGCTGAGTTCTTCTTTCCCTATTACGAGCTTGAATCTTCCATTTGATTGATTGGTACGCAAGCCATGCAACGTAGTCCTCGGTCATCGAAGGCATCTCGCTAGGAAGTACCAAAGACTCTTCTACGTCTGAATCTATATTTTTCCTTTTGACTTTACGCTTCGATGTTACTCTAGCATTCTTAGGAATTGCTGGAGAAATAGGCGGCTCATTGAATCCATCTTCTATATCTGCGATGGCATTTTTTGCCAATGACTTTTTGAAAAACGAGCTCAATGATGTTTGCTTGAACTTATCCTCGCTTATTGCAATCTTTTTCTTTAACCAATCTGGGTGGTCTACTCTCGGGACAGGATTCTTTATTCCTTGCAGTGCCGCTGGAATCGAAATGATTTTTTGAACTACCGAAGCTAATCTTTCTCTGTAGTATTCCCAATCTATGATAGCTCTAGGATCAAAATTTTCTAAAGAACTGTCTCCCAGCCATCTCCTCAAAAAAGATCTTTTTAAAGCCAAATCCGCTGAAAAAATAGCAACAGGAATTGCTCGCTCCGTGACTGGAGTGTTCATAGGACGGGAGCTGATAATGTATTTACACTGTAACCCCTTATCCTTCACCATCTCCTCCCCAAGAAACTCTCCTAATCTTTTGGCGGTTGTAATTGAAGTGGACTTTTGACCCTCGTACTCTTTCAACGTTTTCGACATGCTTCTGTTCTCGCAAATCAATTCAATAAGATCCTCATCCTCTAACATGACACCTTTAGAATCTAATACATCTAACCAGCGATTTGCAACAGATGCGACAGAGGCATAGCAACTCTCCAAGGAATTTCCATCCAAGAAGACCTTGAAAATATCGCTTTGGAAATTTTTTATCAGTTGCAACTCACCCCTTCTTTTTAGTTCGAAACCTTTCAATTCGGCCAAGGATCCATCATTATTGAAAACCGCATACCTCTTCTTGATACCCTTGCCTTCTTCTTTTGATGTTGGAAGAACCATGGCTTTGTAAGGGCCGTCAACTTCAAAAAAAATAGAGTTATCACTCTGTGTCTCGTAACGGTGTGTTATTGGATCAATCAAATTTTGATACTGATGGTTCGTGAAACGTTCATGGACTTTATAATTCAACATGGAGCAAGGATAGGACAAAAACAATTTCTTACCATTTTTGAGTTGGAATTCGAAATTGTCTGGAAATGACTTAGGAATGATACACCAAATACCGTCAGTGTCGAGCTCCAGTGGTCTGCCAATTTTCTCTACAACTGATCTTGCCATTTGAATAATGGTTGCGCCTGTTAAGCAGGTGATGCCCGCCATTTCCATTGAATACCATCTGGAACCCTTTCTCATCACGTAGCCGTAAAATGAATTCAAAATGACTTTATGAGCAAGTTGCAGAGAATCATACAAAATTATCATTTTCTTTGCTTCGTCTCTTTCGTGCTTCTCCTCATTACTTATTGCCGAATGTTTTTGTTTCCACGTTTTGGCCAAACCCTTGAACTCGTATCTTCTATCTCTAAAAGACCGCACCGTGTCGACATAAAATGGATTTTCGCGCTGACAAATGATAGCGGTCCTCTCTACTACTTCTGACGATTTGACTCGGTGATATACTTTTTTTGAATATTCAGTCAACCTTTTCTTGATGTGCGCGACCTGATCAGTATAGCTCAATTCATCGAAGGTAAGAATCTTTTTCAGAGATTTCTTATTCTTATTTTGGAAAGTCTCATTCTGCAGCGCCCTCTTCACCATATTGTATTCGTCCATTTTGGTAGGGAAGTATTCTCCTCTCCATGCCCACTGGAGGTTTCTGTCGCATGTTTTGCCGGGCCTATTAAAATCGCAGGTTGCACAATCACGGTCACTTTTTACACTGTCTGGTTGCAATCGATTGGTTATCATGATATTTGGGTACATCGATGCCACGTCAACGTGATAAATTAATGGAAATTCGTTTCTTCTATTATTAGTTTTTAGCTCCAATAAACGATCTTCAATTTCCAACTTCACACTGTCGAAGTTCGTAACATCTTCGAGCTTGCTGTTATTTTCGACCTCTATGCAGAATTTCAAGGCATGCGGAAGGTCTACCAACAGGTCATCGATCATAGCTGGATCAATCTTAAAGTCGTTTTTAATGTCGCTTCTAAATACGCCTGCTTCCAGAGATTCTACATGGCCACCAACATAAGTTTCTGATTCGAGTAAGTGGCCATCGTAAAACCTTTCAATAGGGTCTGTGTGCTTATTCGGCAGTAAAATATCAGCTTTATAGGCCTGTACTGTCAAAAGCATTTCGCATAAGGTACCTGTGCCTTTACGAAGAACCTCGTCTGGATTTAATGGAATGATGGTGCAGAGCGAGAAGATGAAAGGATGAACATATTTCATGTACAAGTAGTAGGTAGCCACAGCATCAGAGACCGAATATTCCGATAAAAGTTGGGGCTTTTCATAAGCGTACGGAGTCATCAATTCTGGGTCTAATTCAATGGGGTTGTAGCCCAATTTAGCCTGTGTAACGGCCTTTAAGCCTTGTGAGCCTTGTGGTAGATATGAGTCACGCTTAACCCATCGAAAGCAGTCCATATGCGCGCAGTAAGTCGACTTGTACTCCCCCTCAGAATCCGCAGCGAAACCAATTTCTTCGAACATGTCCAGGCCGTTGATTTTAGCTCTTGTTTCCACGAATGGCCAATCAAAAAAATCACCATTGAAAGTAGAGATTACAGTAGGACGCGCATCTCTTATATGCTCAAAAAATCTCTCCAAAAGAGACAGCTCATCAGCTTCGTTAAAGATTGTGAATGAGCCTGGGTACTCTGGTCGCGGTGAATATTCGAAATCTTCTATATCCTCTGAGATGATTTCTCTGTTTGTTATCAGGAAACCCTCGCCATCAATCATGTAAGAAATCATCATAATTTGATCAACGGTAGCTATAGGAAACTTCAATGGAGCTTTTGTGGTTTCGATATCAAATGCTAGAACGACCGGATCAGCAAAGGCAACTTTCTCGGATATCTCGAAAAAGCCACGAGAAGATACTTTATACCATTTGCCCACACGAATGTCTTTATCAATCGCAACTCTTACATGGAAGGGGACATCGTACTCCCGAATGTCGGAAATAAGCATTTTTGTTTCTTCTACCGTACCGCTGTTTACATGATACATTGATCTTTGTAGCAGATTGTTTTCATTATCCAATATAATCGGTCTCAGACACCTTCGGGCTTCAAATAGGTTATTGACATTGGAAAACGTAAGTTTCAGCATAGTTTTGTTGAGACCTGCGAGTGGACTACCCATAGACAAATCATTTTTTACCACGATTTCAACTTTGCCCACGCAATGGTCCAAATGTCTTTTCAAAAACTCTTCTGCATCGTGGACCCGCGATTCATCTCTACATGCCACCAGAAAATATGGGTCAAAAGTGATTACACTTTTGAAGGATCCACCCTCGTCATCTAGAAAGTAAAAGTCTACACCAGAAACACCGGACCCGGTAGAATTAGAACCGCTCGAGTTCGCAGATTCCTCGGAGATCATGATTGGGTGCATGTTGACGAGCCAACCGACTCTTCCGGGCAGCTCTTGCCAGCTAGTAAAGTTCCCACTAAACTGTGGTGCCGTATATCGTTCAAAACCCATCTTAGCATCTATCTGGTCTTTTTTTAGCGTTTCTATAAGCTGCTGGGCTGTGGAACTGATACTGGTATGTTGAGCATTATTTGATCGCCCACTGCCCGGGTTTTTCACGAACTTGGCAGTGCTGGATCCCTTGAATCTACCCTGCATCGCTCCTCTATGTAGATGATCTAAAAGCTTGGCAGTACTCTTTTACAGAATTCAAGCTATTGAGCGTGTTCTTATAGACGCGTAACTCTTCATTTAAATTGGTGATCATTTACGAGAATCTTCAATGATGATACAAGCATAGAAATTGAAATTTAGCTGCTCTCTCAACCTGCAAACCAAAAGGGCGGAGAAGTTTAAGATGTCGTATAATCCGTACGCTTACGCAGCCGAGAATGGTGGCAACATGAATTTAAATGACAGGATGCCGCAGGTCCCTCAAACTCCACAGGTCCATCATCAACAGCAACAAAATAGTAGTTATGTTCAGCATCAACAGGCATCAAATAACATGAGCAGTGGAAATCCCTTCCAAAATCCTGGATCTTCAATGGCATACCAACTTGGCCACTCTGCTTTTTCAAACTTCATTGGCCAGGAAAATTTAAATCATTTTCAGGAAAACTTGACTAAAGCCACTGGGGATTCGTCAAGTCTGGCACACTACTTCCAGGTCTCTAACAGCTACGTATTCCGCAAATTGAAGATCATTCTTTTGCCATTCCTACACCGGAATTGGCAGAGGCTTCCTGGTACTCAAAATGGATCTGGGTCGGGGCCGACGTTTCAAGTGCCCCGAATTGACGTAAATTCTCCAGACATGTATATCCCTGTCATGGGTCTGGTCACATATATTTTGTGCTGGAACTTCCAGCAAGGACTGCAGGGCTCCTTTGACCCCAAAAACCTGTACCAGCGGCTCTCTACCACGTTGGCCTCTGTGTTGATGGACCTTTTCATTCTCAAAATGGGACTTTTTTTGCTAGTTTCTGCAAAGTCTCCAACAACTGGAATCATTGAGCTGGCTTGCTATGTGGGATACAAATTTGTTCCTTTGACACTGGCTCTGCTACTGCCTTCGACCCCCTACGTTGCATCCCTGGTGGGCAAGATTTATCTACTAATAGCCTTCGGAGTTTTTTTACTCAGGTCTGTCAAGTTCAATCTTTTCTTGGATAGCGGCAGTGACGTCCATACTGTTAAGAAAAGCGTTGTCAAGAAGTGCAATTATTTTCTTTTTCTGTATGGGTTTGTGTGGCAAAGTGTTTTGATGTGGTTGATGGGATAACGATATCAGCGATATACACATTTATATATCGACGTAGCTTGTTATTCTCTCAGTCTACCACCTGCCTCATTGATCAATACATATAGCATTTCGATGTATACTACAAAAGGCAGGATTGAACATCTATTTACTCTTTTATGTTGTTCACAATCAGGCTGCCATCGGTCGTGTATGTTTTTTATAGGGCAACAAAGAATGTCTTGATTATCGAAACATCATCGAAAATCAGATAAACTCCGGCTCAACCTGAGCAATGGACCTCAACCCAATTTTCGCCAAACATTTGGATCTTTATGAAATACTCAAATTTTCGGTTCAAGTACCTGAAGACGTAACGGCGATCGGCGCTATTCAAATCAAGCGTAATTTTAGACAGCAGGCATTAAAATACCATCCTGATAAAAATCCGAATAATCCAGCTGCTATCTCCACCTTTCACCTCTTGGAAGTTGCTTCGAACCTTTTAAGCAATCCAGATAGCAAGAACAAGTACGATCAATGGTATATCCAAACTTTTCTACGTCAACGCAATCTGGATCTTCAGAGGGAGCAACAAAGACAGAAACTTTATAATCGTGAACAGGCCACTTCCCCACAGACAAACAGGACATACGATACTACGGATCATGAAAAATATGGTCAACTACTTCGAAAATTGAAGCACTTTAAGATACCTTATGGCGATTGGCAACATTTCGACAAAAGTCCCCGGCACCCGCTCGGCAGGCTGCGAGATTCCTGCACTTTGAGACTGGAACTTTCAAACAGTAGAAAGTCACAAGATAAAAATCTTCTCATGGACTCACTTAGTTATGCATTTCAGACTAAAGTAACAAAAGTGTATTATTCGTCCAGAAATGATTATAAAAATGATAACATTATTGTCGCATATGCCACCTTTGACACCATACAAGATACCCTACGCATTTTACAGGAATGGAATTCATGTTTAGAACCAGGCCATGCGGATAGCACCCGGCGGTCTGGTATTGAAGGCGTCTCTCCTAAAGTGTCCCCTTCTATCTTTACATACCGAGCCACCACTGAGCTGAGACCTGAGATACAAGATGCACTGACAAACAGAACTATAGTAATAGAGTGACGGAAAAGTTGGCATAATAGTAAATTCGTGACTACTACTGGTGCTTGCAACAATGGCTCAACGCTAACTCTACACAATCATCAAATACGTAGGATCTGTAAAGTACTTGGCGCCCTTCAACATGAAGACTAATATCGTATTCACTTGACAAAAGAGCAGGGAAGTCCTATTTGTGCAATTTGAAGCCATTCATACTGCCGTGGACTTGGAATTGCAGCACTATGGGTATTTTCACGAAAAAAGTTTCCGAAAATAGGAAGGACGGTGCGAAGTGCGATACCATCAAGCGCTATACCGTCATTAAAGAGCCCCCCAGGCAGTATGGCAAATGTACAAGGCCAGAGCCCTTGCAAGGCAATGAGCTAGCTTGCCTTCAACAAGTTATCGCCCATTTTGAAGGACAAAATTTGGCAAGTATTTCTGCATACGGAGATCAGCAGGCCTCCAGCGAAACCACGAAATCAATTGACTGGCGTCCTTTGTCACTTAGGGAGAAACTTTGGCTCTCCCGTGAGAGACTGCTGAAATTTCTCCGATCTGTGAACTGGGACGTGACTCTGGCAATCAAACGTCTAGAAAACACTCTTCAGTGGAGACGAGAATTTAACTTGAGCGCTGTAGACGATGAGACCAGTAGCCTTTCCAGCCTCTCACAAATCGTGGCTACCGAAAACGAGACAGGGAAAATGTACTTGTTAGGGTACGACCGTCAAAGACGGCCCTTGCTTCATATCAAGCCTGGGCGCCAAAACACTGCAATGAGTTTTGCCCAAATACAACTTCTTGTATACATGATAGAATGCGCAGACATTCTAATGGCCCAAGGGGTGGAAACGTTGACTTTACTGGTTGATTTCAAGAATTACAATGAGCTGACACCTCCACTGGCACGTCTACCGCCTTTGTCAGTTAGCAAGCAAGTGCTCTACATCATTCAGCAACATTATCCAGAGACTTTGGGACGTGCTGTACTCAGTAGCATCCCTTTTTACAGCTGGAATTTTCTCAAGCTCTTCCATCCATTCTTGGAGCCCCAAACTAGATCTAAACTCATCTTCGAGGAGCCTTTCGAAAACTATGTGGACAACTCGCAACTCGAAATCCTGCACAATGGACAGCTCGATTTCAGTTATGACAATGACATCTATCTTTCTGATCTTAGTCATCAGATCTCGGAGCGCGAAAGGAACAGGTTCAACAAGTTTTTGGATTTAGGCGCGCGAATTGGTCTTAGCGAATTTGACCTTAAAGATGGTCATTATGTGGTTGACTAAAATGTTAACATCAGGGCTCGAACCAAGGCTTGTTTAGTTTTCTCGTTTAGCCCTACCCAAAAAAAGTAGGGTGATTCTCTCAGCAAGATGCGATTAGAGAGCACGCAATTCATCGTAGACGCTCCGACGGACGCTCACCGAAAGTCGATTGGGTTCAGAAAGTTCATCTATTTCCCTTTTTTCACTTCGACCTCCTATGTTCCGCCACTAAGGATTCCAATGGATCAACTTTCTGTCCACTCTAAAAAGGTATGGAAGTTCCTACGTCAACGATTCCCTTGTAACAGGGTACTCGCGCAGAGGATTTTCAAGTCTACCGTGAGTGCAACGGTGGCGCTCATCTTTTGTTTGATACCGAAGGTTCGAGATCGGCTGGGAAATCAGCCTGCAATGTTGCCCTTAATTGCGGTCATGGTGCACCCCGGACGTCGGATCAGTGCTACTATTCAGGGAGCCATGTACTGCATAACCGGTCTTTTAATAGGCTTGGCATACTCGCTACTGGGACGCTTTGTTGCCCAGCGCTGCCTAGGACATACGTGGAATAGTATCAGTGAACTAGAACAGTATTCTCTCAATTATCGTCGCTACGAATCTGCACTAGCTCTACTGGCAGTTTTCGAGACTCTTATGCTGTTTGTACATGGATGGATGAGATCCGTATCTCACCACTATTTTCATATTGTTTTTCCTCTGTTTCTGGTGGTTCACTTCGCATTTATGGCGCCCCTAACTGAAAATGCAGGAACAATAGCCAAAGCATTCAGCGTTCCTTTTTACCTTGGAATTGCAATGTCCATTTTTTGGAATCTTATGCTATTCCCCGAATTCGGCAGCACTTACCTTGGCAACAATACAATGGATGTTTTGAATGAAATACATAAATCCATTGACTCTGCTATCAACTTCTTCATTTCTATCGATGTTAAAGATCTATCCCAATCTTTATATGACGAGGAACCCATTTCTTTAGCGAAACTGCTCAAATTGAAAAGTTCGATAGATGGCAAAGTCAGTAATTGCAACCTGGTGCTGGAGGAGTGCATGTATGAAATTTCGTATTCTTACCTCTCCCCCTCGGATCTGGCTGCTATTATCAAAAGATTCGATCACTTATCGAAATACATCAGCGCACTTATTAATGCCTGTCAATTGGAATTCATGTTACTCGGGAGACACCGGAAACAAGCAGCGGGTGATGGCGTCATGCTCAAAACTGAGAAGGAAATCTATCATGCGGACGCCAAGAAGCTGCTCAAGGTTCTTAAGCAAATGAAGGCACCAATTTTCGACCTTCACAAAACACTGAGTCAATCACTTTTTATAATTAAAGCAGCACTGGCCTACTGTTTCGACGTGAAAATGGAAATTGTGCACACGCAGGCACTTTCAGCGAGTTTAGGAGTTTTTGGTTCGCCTGGAGACGTACTCGACGACGCAAATATAGAAAGATCTATATCTGACCTCGTGAATGGAGTAATTGAGTTTGACCTCAGGGCTAGAGAAGTGCTAATTCACCTGGATGATGACCTTTTACAGCCGAGTGACGAAATGTTTCTTTTCTCTTCCTTTTTGATGAACTTCAAAGAGACTACAAATACAATAATCGAGATGATGAAGGAAATGCACAAAATCTATAAAGAGAGAAATTACAAGGAGTCCATGGGCTCGTTGAGAGGAAGAACTTTGTGGATCAACTTCTTACGTAGTTACACTTCCTTTGAGGTGTGGTTGAAGGGCGCTACAAGAGGAAAAATCACCGAAAGTCAAAGTTTAACTGGAGGGACTACCGGGCAAAATAATCGCCCCGCTGCAGATATGGGTATCAAAAGACCACACGAAGAAGAGCGGGCAATTCTTTCACAGAGAAAGTCTGATCTTATGAGGCTCTCAAATATGCAGCACACTTTGCCCCAAGTAAACTCTTTTCAAGGCCCGCTGGTGAAAAGTAAAAGCATCCGCGGTGTTGAGTGGTTTTTTGACATCTCAAGGAATCTGGTCAACGTGTCAAGTTTTTCCAAGATCCTTATTTTCTGTCATAGCTTCTATGCCAGCTACAAAGAGCATTTTAGATTTGGGATGCAGGTGACTGTTGCGCTCATGTTAGCTTCGTTTCCGATGTTTATCCCTAAGACCAGAGATTGGTATATCAACGTTCGTGGAACTTGGATAGGCTTTGTGTGCATTCTGGCTTTAGAGCCCTCTGTCGGAGGTACATTTTGGGTATTTTTTTTGAGAGGCGTTGGTGTGATCTTAGGTGCTGCTTGGGCCTATGTGTCATATTTGGCGGGGCGTAATCAAACCAATCCTTACCTTGAAGTGGTGGTCACCATTTTTGGCGCTATTCCCGGGTTCTACTTCTTGTTGGGGACACCTTATGTGAAAGCGGCAATAATTCAAATTATAAGCATATATGTGGTTTTGCTAGCAGCCATCCTGCCATCTGAAAATCAAGGCTCAATTTTGTCAAATTTTGCTAAAAGGTGCTTAGCCGTCGGGTATGGTGGGGGCATCGCGGTTTTAGTGCAGTTGACCATGTTTCCAGTGACCGCTAGAGATCAGTTGAGCGGAGAAGTTTCATTTGTTGCAGGGTGCATTTCAGAGATGCAAGTGCTTTTGGCTGCTGGCCTTGAAGGAGAAAATTTAAGTCGCAGCTTGACAGACGAGAAGTATCAAAGGTTCGCAAAGATTTCATCGAGTGCAAAAGCCGCATTATCAAGAGCATCTGGGTATAAGAGTCTCACTCGGCAAGAGCCACGTCTTAAAGGAAACTTTGCGGAAATCGAGAGGGCCTTTACGCAAATAATTTATATCCAAAGGCAGATTATTGATCGAATGGATAATGTGGTTCTCTTACGAAAACAATATGGTAGTGCAATTGTTGAAGAATTGAACGATATGGTATATGCATATAGGAGGCAGTACGTGGCCTCAATCTCGACCCTTCTGAGAGCGGTTCAAGAAGCAATCCGCAATAAGACACCTCTACCTCAGTTTTTACCGAGTGCACGAATTGCTCATAGGAGATTAGTGAACAGGGTTCAAAATGCCCTCAAGTCGAGGTACGCCACCCAAATGCGAAGTTTAAGACCCCGCGTGGTAATTGACGTTTTCCAGAATGATCGAGAACCGTCGGACCTTGATGAAGGTTCAAGAGTTGGTGACCAGAACGGAACGAGAAATAGTTTAGCTCCACATGAGTATATCATGAAGGAAAAATTTCTGAGTTGGAATGCTTCAAGTGCCGCGGCCGAAGAGGTAACGGAGTATGTGGAGGAAGTCGTGCAGCTCACTAAAATTATCGTGGGCGTCAACGAATTCAAGTATGGATTTTTATCACGGCCATTGTACGTGGATTGGGCTGCGGAAGCCGCCCTCAGGTTTGATGATTTTGTGAAGCAGCCGTGTCTCGATATTCAGAAGAAAAGCTGTGGAGGCAATTTCAGCGCCGAGCGACAAGAATCTCATTTACAAACCACGACGAATACTGAACTAGAGTCTTACGATGACGTGAGCCTCGAAGAAGGGGGCCCCGTCGCCCTCGATGCAGTCTCCAGCAGTGATTCTCAGATGTCAAATAGCGTCAATTTGGCTCACATTGCATCTCGTAAAAGTGAGGTACCGTCGCTGTCTGCAAGAATCAGAAAAAGGGCCTTTTCGATCGGTTCGAGAGGCAAGATTGAGCATTTGCCATTTCTATCCAAAATTAAAACTTTGGGGCATGGGGAAATGGCAGAGTTTGTCGATATAGACTCAAATTCTGACGAGGAGTTACCCTTGGCATTGAAAAAAATGATATTTAAGTGAAATCCAACGAAGTCAGCACCGACTTGAAGCAAAACGTCACTTCGCTTCGGGCGCCATTTGGAGTATGTAATTACCTCCTGCACTACTGTAAGCTAATCTATTTCAATTACCTCAGGGCTGCGGGGCGCCTTTGTTTTCGGGTTTGAATGATCTCTGGTACCTCGCCTCTTGTTGTTGCTCTGTCTTATACTTTGGCCTGCTCCCTTGAAATGAATTTGAGAATCCAAAGATCCAGTGTTATCAATCTCGGCAGTTTGAGGCGGGACCAAAGGAAATCCAAAAAAAAGCATACCATCTGGAATATTAAGGGGAGCCGGTTCTCCACTCAAGTCTACTTTTACCGCTTGTATCTCCGTTTCATTTGAACTTTCCTTTGTCGTTTTTTGACTCTTACCGCTCAACCTTTTCCCTTCACCCCCAAAAAAGCTTTTAATTTCTGAGCCTGAGTTAACAGTAGCGGCGTACTCTATTCTTTGAGACATAGGACCTAAACCCTGAATCGAGGGATCCAACCTAGCCTGAAGTTTCTTCTCCTTTTGCACTGCCTTATAATCCGGCTCCACATAGCCAACTGGAGGAGCAAAATCTGTAACTAAATCAGTCTCTATAACGCAAATACTATTAGCGTTGCTTTCGGGCTTTACCTCCAAAACTTTAATGCGATAGCTACGATTGTTGTAGCTAATTTCTATTATATCGGCGACGGTCAAAGTCGAGAACTTCCTCAGAACGTTTTCTAACACTGCTTTGGGATCTGAGATATCAAGAAAATCCACAGACTGAGGCTCTATTTTCACAAACTGGCCAAGTGGAACATCTGTAGAACCAATCTGTAAAAGTGATCCAGGCTGTACCCCCAGTGTTTCCATCATCCACTGGGGTAGATAAACCCGCCCCTCTTCGGCTATAAACTCTAGCACACCTCCATGCGTAACCTTTCTTGTTTCTGGAACTGTTAGTTCGAACAGCATAGGGTATCTAACACTTAGCATCGTCAGTTTGCTCAACGCACTGGGCGGCAAAAACATCTTGCCACCAAAATTTGCGTCATCCTTGCGAATTCGATCATTCATCATCGCTATTGGATAGCATCTGAAGTAATCCTCATACTTTTGAGCAACATTCACAAATCCAGATTGATAGCCTCCAAATCCTCCAAATCCTGAAAACATAACTGCTTGGTAACGACCTTTAACGTCCTAACGCAATTCCCTCAATAAGAGATTTCACACTCTATCAAGCTCAACAGTAAACTGATCGGTTCAAGAGAAGTAGTAATAGCACTGTCAAACCCTAAAACGCTCACGACAAATCTGATTATATATATTTGATAAACCATTAGGTTGCCATCAATACCTTAAAAGGCATCTGGTCACGTTATTGTTGATGGCATTAACTACGAATGTTTTTTTGAAAGCTTACTTGGGAAACTTGAACTCAAAATAGACCTTCTTTCCCTTGGCGAAGGTATCAGAGTTACAAGATTATAAGCCAAAGGCTGTATAGTTGAAGAGCTTTCACTTGTCATCCCAAGTTTGAGAAGTGCTTACTTGAGAGAATTTTTCGGAGCCTGCCTTCTAGGCGAATAAAAGGCATCTTCCTTACCACGTTAAAAGCACTAAAAAGTCAACCCGGAGATCGCGATCAAAAGCCCTAAGCTTGAGGAAATGACTTCTAATAGTCCATCTGACTCCAAGCATGTCGATGAAGAAGAATATTACGGGAATCTGGATGAGCTTCGTGACCTAATCGATGAACCCCAGGAGCCACATACTAGTGGTGGTAGCCACGGCGGTGAAAGAGGTGCCCCTACATCGGGCCCCGGGAAGAATACTGAAAATGACATGATTGACGATGAACTAGCAAGCATTGATGAGTCCAGACTTGTCAGCTCTGATGGCGACCTGGATTATAGGGACGAGGATGAAAACTTACTGGCGGAGTTTTCCGATTATGGTGACTTTTCGGATGATGAATACGATGAACAGGACTTCATGGACGCGATTCGGGAAGCAAATAACTTCAAAGTAAAGCGAAAAACGAAACGAAAGAACAAAAATGGGTCGCGCGCCGGGAAGCAACGCAGAGAACGCAGCTTGGATCCCGAAGTAGCTCAGCTGCTATCCGAAGCGAATGAAGCGTTTGTTAGAAATGATACACAGGTTGCTGAGCAATTGTACAATGAGGTTATCAAAAAGGATGCGAAGAATTTTGCTGCATATAAAACTTTAGGTGACATTTACCACATGCATGGTAGATACAACGACTGTTGTAATTCGTGGTTTTTGGCGGCTCATCTCAATCCTTCTGATTGGGAATTCTGGAAGGTTGTCGCAACATTGTCGTCCGACTTGGGCCATACTCGCCAAGCAATTTACTGTTATACAAGAGCTCTGCGTATGAATAATGAGGAATGGGAATGCGTGTATGGGAGAGCAATGCTATATAAAAAAACGGGACAGCTTGGGAGGGCATTGGAAGGCTTTCAGAGACTTTACGCTCATTCCCCTACGGACGGCAATCTGCTGAGGGAGCTGGCAGTTCTCTACGTTGACTATAATCGCATAAGTGAAGCCATTGGACTATACTTGAAGATTTTCGATGTTAATGTAGAAAAGCGGAAAGCGATTATATCTGCTGCTGAAGATGCTGTTGCCTCCTCTGAAGACAGTGATCTAGAACCCACTGATGACAGTATTTTCGAGCTAGATGAGGAAAGTGAGGATTTCAAAAATTTCCCAAAAGTTAATTGGAAGAAGATCAATAAAAAGTTCCGTTGCATTGCTTTTGACTGGTCACTTTTAAACATTCTAGCCGAACTTTTTCTAAAACAGTCAGGCGAGAATAGCGGTATAAAAACCATCAAGAAATGCGCACGTTGGATTCAGAGACGAGAAAATCAGACCTTTTGGGATAACTCTGGCGACGATTCTGAATTTGATGATAGGCGATTGAAGAATAGCCGATTTGACGCGCTGGCGCAAGACGAAAAAAACAAGTCGTATGTGCTTCCTATTGATATCCGCATAAGACTGGGCCTCCTGAGACTCAGTGGCAAACATGTTCTGGAAGCCATGAATCATTTTCAGGCACTTTACGATGAAAGTTTTGCGGATATTACCGATTTATTTTTTGAGGTAGCTTCTGCTTTAACAAAAGCAGAAAAGTTTCCGGAAGCCATTGAGTTTTTTACGCCATTATTGCAACTAGAAGAATATTGTGTTCTGGAGGTCTTTAAGCCCCTCAGTAGATGCTTCAAGGAAGTCGAAGATTACGAGAATGCAAAAATGGTTTTTGAAAAGCTAGTCGAGCTGCAGCCAGACGACTTAGAAACGAAATTGACCCTTGCGGAAATTTATTATCACTTAGACGACCAGGAAACATTCAATTCTTTATTACTCGAAGTCTTGGAGGCTAGAAAGCAACAGGACACTGAAGCCCATAAAATATTGTCTTCAGTGGATGACAAATCTGAGCAAGAAATTCTTGATACTCGCAACGCGGAAGTGGGAAAGCCTTTGCTGGAAGATATTCATGTTAGAAAACCTGCTATCAAGAAAAAGCGATCGCCGCAAGATGCCGAGAGGGAAAGGAGAGATCGTGAGAAAAGAATTACAACCAAAGTTCTGGACAAATATAATAAGTTGAGAATCTATAAAGAGGGTATGGAAAAAGGCAACGAATATCAAACCACATTGTGGATTGATACAGCTTCGGACTTGATAGACGTGTTTTCCAGCGTCAAAAACTTCTTCGTCAAAAGTCGCTCTAAGAGATTTGTGGGTATTATCAAGAGGACGCGAAAGTTTAATAAAATTATTGATTATAAAATCAAACGATTGTCGAAGCTCTCTGAAGGGGATAATTTACTTGATGGTCTTCCCCTGCTTGAAGAACGGGTTTCTCTTACTTCGGCAACCGAACTACGAGGTCTTACCTACCAGCAATGGTTTGAACTGTTCATGGAATTATCCCTGGTTATTGCAAAGCTACAAAATGTTGAAGACGGTTTGAGTATAGTTGATACAGCTCAAGAAGTGAATGTCTTCATTCAAAATCCTCAAAGAGCTAAAATGATGAAGTTCACCCGGCTAGCCATCGTCTTACAGATGAATGATGAGGAAGAACTCGTTGAAAGCCTAAGAGGAGTGTTGAATCAGTTTCAGTTTAACAGAAAAGTACTCCAGAATTTCATGTTCTGTGTCACTCGTGGACAGATGGCATCAAATATTTTGAGCTCAACTGTCCAGCAGAAATTTTTCCTGCGTCAGTTAAAGGCCTACGACAGTATCAGATATGGGCAACACGTTGCTGGCCAAGCTTCTGTGACCAACAAAACGGTGGAGAACCCACGAAAAATGAAATCTCCATACTTGCACTACATCTACGCTATGCTGCTCTATTCCAGTAAAGGTTTCTTGCTTGCACTTCAGTACCTCAACAGGTTACAATCTGAACTCTCGCAAGATCCGATGCTCAACTTCATGATGGGGCTGGCCCATCTTCATCGGTCCATGCAGCGACTAACGGCTTCCAGGCACTTTCAGATCCTACATGGGCTTCGCTTTCTTTACCAGTACCACGAAATTAGGTCGACCAAATACACTATCATTGAGAAACAAGAAGCCGATTACAACATCGGTCGCGCGTTCCATCTTTTGGGATTATTTTCCATTGCAGTCAGGTATTATCAACAAGTCTTGGACAACTACGAGGATGAAAAATTGAAAAAACACGCTGCTTATAACTGCATATTAATCTATAACGAAAGTGGCAATCCAGAATTGGCTGCCAGTCTGATGGATCGATATTTAAGTGTGTAATTTTATAATTCGGCAATTCACAGGGTGAGAGTGGAGACTAGTTACAGGAGGTGGTATAGTTCTGCTAAGACACGACCGAGCCCCTATATTTTGATTGAAAATCATTGATATGCAGCAGATCCAGCACTAACAAATATGGCGAGCGCTTTTTCCTTAACGACGACGCATCAGCTTGAACACCATCTTCAAGCCGACCAAGGGGTGGTATGATTCTCAGGAAGGGGTCAGATAACCAGACTGTGTATCACCAGATCTATCAACCGGATGCATCATACGATGTATTTTTTTTTTGTTTTTGGAAAGCTGGCTAAATCCTTTTACACCTGGTCCAGAAATTTGTATAAGTACCGGTGATTGGTTTGAAAAGAACCACAAGACAAATAAATCTCCCCTGTCCCAAGCGGACGCATCTTCAAAACATAAAAATAAAAAAAATGGAGGAACGCAAAAGCGCCCCCATCCCAAGTGGACAACCTTGTTTCCGCAGTGACGACGACGGCACCGAACTCGCACGGTTTATCTATAAATGCCTCGCTGGATTCATGGTGGTGTTATTTGTGTTATATTATTTAGGCACGCATGTTGAGGCAGCTCCGGCGCCATTAGCAAGTGACACTACGCTCAGCACCAGGTCAATACAAGACGCTTCTTAAGGTGCAGGGCTGTCTGTGAGCGGTGTTTTAGCTGGACACTCGCTTGCCGGAAGGCCAGTTAAGAACCGTAGTAGTTACATTATCTGCGAGTTTAAAGCCTGTGTAGCCACGATTGCAGTTTTCTTGGTAGCTTCCGCAGCAGTGGGAGCATTTGGCGCCTCAGCTACCTCTCAAACTAAGCGGTCATAACAGAATAGTGTGCGTGCTGGTTACTATTACCATGCGGCCACCGGATTTCACTATGAGTTACAGGGAGTAGATCCGGTTTCATGTGGTTATATGGGCCAAGACTTAGCTAACCTAGCGAGCGATGCAGGCATCAGTAACACACTGGTTACGCGGAACATAGCAGCGGCTAATGACACCACAGCTTTGCACAAGAGAGATGGTGAGTACGTGCACGGCGTGAGGTTTACGCACCAAGGGTTTGATAAAACTGGCATCCATCTCTCGAACAACGTTGAAGAGTTCTTTAAATCCTACCTCGAGTACAAGCCTCAAGCCAATGAAACGTATAGTCTTGCCAAGCGATCTGATGAGATCACGTGGGCTTCTTATACTATAGCTTGGGCTGATCAGCAGCAAGAAGCTGAGGCCGAAGGTAACGCCAGCGAAGAAGAGTACAATGGAGCAGCTGATACTGCATTCGCCGACTGGATAGGATACGATACGAGCGATAAGTACTGCTTAGGTATGGAATGGAGCAGTACCAGGGGCGAATTTGTGGCCGGTGAAGTATTCTTCAACGCTTATGGTAGCGTTGATGGCCAATGTTGGGACATATACGAGTAATTATGAGAAGTAGCAGCTCCCAGTATGAATTTGGCTTCCCCGTAGGAGCTTTCTTGACCGAGTGGTTGGTAGCGTGATCTGTAATACCTACCAGAATCTGGCGTACATTAGCGATGCGTAGAGGATGGAATATTGACACATAAAGAAAATGTAATAAGATAAAATAACTTACCATGAAAAGAAAAACTATCAGCAAGGAAGGAGAGAAAATATCATCTCGGGAATGGGACCTAAGGCTGTATTGAGGCGAATCTGATTCATCAGTAGAAAGCTTACTAAATTTGTCTTGTAAGTCGGACATAGTCATTGTAAGATGAGTAACTTGGATCTAGGGAATTCTATTTATCTCTCCGTGATTATTTTAGGCATTAGAGTTGGTTCAGTTACCTGAACAAAAGCCTGGTATTTATACAATTCTCACTCGGTGACTCTGGTCAACATATTTATTAATCACCAGTTCTAGATCATTCTATTACCCAAGGATTACGGCTTCAATGCCGTACACTACCGATAACTTATCAATGGCCAATCCCATTGGACAATAGTCGTTCTCTTCGGTTTGTCTTAGCTTGTAGCTCTATTTGTATGGCCTCGGTTGTGTACTATCATTCCGTACCACTGTGTCACATATTTACTGACGCTGATTATGCGATTAGACGCACATCACCATCAGTTTATTCACATCATTCCCAACAGGCTGTTAGACATTACGACTGCCTAAGAAGAGCCGTGTATTGAAACACCACCTCGCTATGGACTGAGAAATGAAGTTGTCAGATTGCAAAAGTTATACGGATTAAAGCAGTTAGGGTCGGTGGGGTAAGGGGTGGTCAGAGAGTACCTGGCCCCCCACTTGCCAATGGGTTGAAGTAGACATGTGGCCATGTGTCCTAGTGAGAAGAACGGGAACTGTTGGGAATATGGTGAGTTACTATGGAACTGATGGTGATGTGCGCCTAATCGCATAATCAGTGTCAGGAAATATGTGACACATTGGTACAGAGTGACATTGAATGAACAAGATAAAACGAATCGACTTACCATCTCAGATAGATCGAAGAGAACGACTAGCGGCCAATGGGATTGGCGATTGATAACTTATCGACATTGAGCCGCAATCCATTGATCTTAGAATGATCTAGAACTGACGATTAGTAATTGTATTGTTCAGAGTCACCGAGCAAAATTTGTATAAATACCGGTGACTGGTTTGGATAATTGAACCAGCTCTAGTGCCAACACAGTCACGGAGAGACAACTGTAAATTTTGGGAAGGAGTGTCCATCAATAAGCTGAACGATCAATTCGACAGGTTATCGAACAATGACGAGGATTCGCCTAAAAAGGCTTGCTGAATTGGTCTGTTAGATCGTTCATATGGCAAATTTTGGTCTAGCCATAATGGATGTGAGAACCCCTATCTATCTCTTTGAGAGTTTCTTGACACTATATTTTGCTCCACTATTCGTTATCTACCGGCACTTCTACAAATTTCCAGATCGGGTGAGAGGTTGTCACTCTCCGATATATTGCAAGATCATAATGCGCTTGATAGCTCATGACTTGCCATCTCACCACTTCTGGAGAGTTATTCAGTTTTCGTGTGCTGGCATATTTCGACGGTAGTCAAAGTAGCACTTAACTTTGGTTATCATTTCTCACCAACATTACACATGCTTCTTGACACCGATTATGAAGTTTGACGTGTATCATCGCCAGTAAATCAGTGTATATATGTCTTCAATCTTTGTAAGTACACCGATTTGAAGGAAAGTAAGGGCTTGATACTACGACGATACAGTAAATCAGATCAATAAGTTTCAAATAAAATCATAATGTATAAATCAATCTCTAAGACTAGACTACCCTGTTCTATCTTACCAGGCGATCTCGGAACCGTCGTAGCTCAGGAACCGTCGTAGCTCAAGAACTTCCTGGAACTCTTGGCCTTCAATTCCGCAAGGACGTTCTTGGTAATAGCAGATACTGATTCGTCTGGGGTAAGTAGCGGCAAAGTGCTGAGAAATTGTTCACGGGTCTCTGAGTCCAAGCTGCCAACAAATTCGTTACCCATGTCGCTTCCAACCAAACCTGGATGAACAATCGCAAAGCTATAGCCTTCAGAAGTTAATTCTTGTTGCAACTGCCTAAAGGCATAGTTGAGACCGGCCTTCGAGAGACCGTATCCTGAAGTTGAAAAGGGAAGAACCATACCCACAGATCCTACTATTGAGGTGATCGCCAAAACTTCCTTGGAACTCTTATTGTCTAGAAGTGACTTGAAGGCCTTGACCAGCCTGATTGGACCGAGAGTGTTGACAACATAGTGTTCAAGGTAAGAGTCGTCGGATAGTTCCAAAATGGTCCCCGACGCCTTGGCAATTCCCGCATTCGAGATCAAGACGTCCAAACCTTCGGGGACAAGTTCCAGAGTTTTTTTAGCGGCTGCCTCAACGCTTTCAGCGGAAGCCACGTCCAATTGGACAATCTTCACATTAGAGTGAGCATTGGCCCACTCTTTCAATTTGGTAGCAGTCTCCACATTTCTAGCGCTTGCAACAATCGTGTTGGTAGCATCAGCGCTTAAGCTTTTCATGAAGGAAAAGCCAATTCCTCTGTTTGCACCGGAAATGAAATAAGCTTTGGACATTTTGACAATTTTGGGAGATCGGGGAAGTTTAACTATGAGTTATGAGATCCAAGTGTTTGAATTTGGTTGATAATTCACAATGCATACAATTCGTGGAAACAGTATTGCCGCGTAGCTTACCAAGCACCTGCCGGTATGGCAAGTCTAATCACCAAGAAGCTCGAGGAATATTTCTTAACTCCCTCGAATATTTGCTCAAGACCTCGCGGGAGAGTTTGCTGCTCACTTGCTTACTAAAATTGTCATTACTATGTTATTTCCCACAGAAGGCTCTGATGAGAGTAGTAAACATTGAACGTGAGAGATTCAATGCCAAGACTTAGTAATTCTTCGAGCGATAAGACAGTGCGGCAACTCTCGCATTTCCCCTCTGTCCTCGAGAAACGATTATAAATTCACTTAGGGCGACAAACAACTAAATAATGACATGCATCCGTCGTCAACAGAAGGAAAATCAAACGATTCCCGGAATGCGAGTAATAGATCAATTATTAATGACCAGGGAAACACACACGCACACACATCTTGGTGATTGACCATATTCAAAGGATTTTACGAGCATTCCAGAGATAATCTGAATGACGAAAATGATTAACTGATCTCGCACTAGCAAATGCTGCATGGGCGGCGACCCTTCTTACAGACAGTTGTGAGTGGTCTCAAAGGTCAGCTGGACAAAATTATTTAAATTGAACCTATCAATTTGGCTAATGGTTAAGGGTAGAGAGATCAGCATCCATTCTAATATACACTCAATAAGGTCCTAATATGAGTGGTCAAGTACCATTTTCTGTAAGTATCGCCATATGTTTGCTTGAATTTCTCTGGAGACTTTTTGACTAACTTATTCGGCATCAACTGTCGTGGTCTCCTCTTGTAGATATGTGAGCAAGCTTCAAGCTCTACAAGGAGACGGCATGTGTTGCCAACTCACAATAGGTGAAGCTTAAGACGTCATTAAAGATGTGCATTCAACGGCTAAGATATGCTCAGGAGAAACAGCAGTCGTTAGCAAAAAAGTCGAGGAGGGAAGTGGCCCAACTTTTAAGTGAGGGCAAAGAGCAGAAGGCGCAATATAGGATCGAAAGTTTGATCAACGACGATATCCATGAGGAGCTCCTAGAAATTCTGGAATTGTATTGTGAGTTATTGCATGCCAGGATCGCTCTGCTAAATAATGTGGTGGATGAAGCTGACTTGATAGAAAATCATGCGGACGATGGAATCAATGAGGCTGTGAGAGCTGTGGTATATGCAGTGCTTCATGCTCCGGAAGTTAAGGAATTCCAGCAAGTTAAAGAATTGCTTGCGTTCAAATTTGGTGTGGATTTCCTCCGAGCAATCATTGAAGATAAAATTGGTGTTCCCGACAAAGTTCTCAAAAAGTGCAGTCCCAATCTGCCAGAAGAGGAATTGGTCACCCTTTACCTGAGAGAAATTGCTACGACTTACGAGGTTCCCTTCAGTAAAGCTCAAGATTCTAGTTCTAAAGGTGGTGACCTTTTCGAAGACGACAAGAAAGCACCATCACCCTCGAGCTCCAGTTCCGACGATGGTAAACCCATAGTGGCCGTAGATAGTGGATCTGTCGAAAACAGAAATCACCCGATAGTTGTTAAAAAGCCTCGCAAGAATAGTGACAACATGGGTATTGATTTAAAGGTACCCCAGGCCATCAAGAAAGATATCCGAGTTATGCCTCCTAGAGAAAACGATGGCGACCCCGATTTAGATGAGCTCAAGAAGAGATTTGCTGCGCTGCGGAGATAATTACCAAGTATTGAATGATTTTTAACCTTCGTCGATGCCTAAACCAGAAAACTTTTACATGGGTATGTATGGTAATGAAGATAAATGTTCCACATGTCAGGCATACTATTTGGCCCTCTTCATGGCTTTCAGCTTCTTAGCCCAAGCATAACGTATCGACTTGGACACACCAGCCGTGAACACTCCTTTGAATGTCTGCAGCGAGCTGGTTTGAAATATTCTTTTTTCCAACAGCTGAATTGAGTTTTCGGCAGTGAAGCCCTGCGGTAGATAAAGCGAGTTGTTCAAAATGACATCTTTGAAAATGGGTCTGTAGTACTCCTGAAATTGACAGAAGTTCTTCTCAACTATATTTCGAATCTTATCAGGATTCTCACCACCCAGTTTGTATCTAATATCCCCCACGTAACTCAAAGCAGTAATTTGCTTGTAAAACTCAAACTCGTCGATTGGTTTCTTCTCTCCCTTCAATATGAGGTGTTTCGCCAAGGTTGCAGCAGCTTTCAAGTTAAGCTGGTTCCAGTACTGCACAGACAAATCGTTTTTGAGTACCTTGACAGGCTTCTGCAACCTCCCAGCCAAGTAAAAAGAATTCCAAGTTGCCAAATCTTTCAAAAGAACTTCCATTGACACAATACCATACTTGACCGTTTGACCGTTAATTTCCGCAAATGGGTTGAAGTACACACCAGCACCCACCTCTTGAAATTTTGAAACGAATTTTGATCCAAAATATCTCAACGATGAGTAATGATGAGGATTTTGTCTCATGTTCAGGGAGTGGAAGTGATCTGGGTGTGATACGCCAAATATGAGATCAATCTGTGGGACCTCTTGGCCTTGCTCATACCCAGATTGTTTGAAAACGCCAGATCCGTAGCCGAATGCATACTTCACGGGAGATTTGAAGTCCTGTACCACGCTTTCTAGTTTCTGCTGCAGCTCGGGCTCTATAGATATAAGTTGGTTGGAGCCATAAGTGGGTGGAAGCTTCTTGAACCTATATCGATAGTTTGTAAACTGAGATGCGAATTCGTCCGACTTCCTGATCCCCTGATCCAGCAGATGAAGCTCGTTTTTTGGAAAATCGCCCATTAGATCGGTCTTGGAAGTCATGATGGGGCCACGAACCATGGGTTCAAAAACACCATTCTGACCTGTGGAAGATGCGTATGTCGATTGGAATCGTTGGCAGCCATGGAGGGCCCTCGAATAAGCGCTCGGGACTTCTGGTATACGCCTGACACACCTTAACATAACACGAGATTGTCTGTTCTGTATCCAATATTCCCAATTTAGCCGGCTATGTGGGAATACCTAAGCACACTGCTGTTCACCTTTTTCGTTGGGTGATTTCTCTGACTACTTGTTAACTTTGTTGAAGCCGCTAACGTTTGGTCTTAAAAAACTGATAACAATGATGACTTGGAGCTACAAACGGGAAGTAGGCCTGGAAGGAAATTAGGAATGTGTCTTTTAGCAACCCAGATGGAGAAATTGTAATTATTAAGATGAATTAAAACTACTGAATTTGTATGGACTACTACTAATTACATTTTTGACGCTTAGCTTAAATATTGACATATTATCACGTGGTATGGTGTTCAAGTCAGCCGTTTCCGAGCTTTATGCCGTGGATCGGTTCATGTTGCTCGACCAGAAACCAGTACTCAACTCTATATCTAAATAGGTACCATGGAAAGTTATGTTGACAGTATCTTGAACTTCTTCAGTTCCACACAAAGATTCACACTCGGAGTTAAGAAAATTACCACGACCCATTGCAGCGCTTGATGAAGCGCGGGCTCACGAATATATGCCCTGTGAAATTAACTGGAATTGATCGTACAGCCTCGTATAAATGCTTCCAAGAGATTTCCCGACTAACACATTCTCCACGAAGTCATCGCACTCAGCATCAGACAGCTCTAATTGGAAGCGCTGTTTGAGTTGTTCACTTGTGTTTTCTCCAGCACTAAAACAAGGTTGTGAATTTTCTTTTTGCATGATCTCGCACATGGACACTATTTGGTCAGCATATTTTCGTAGAGCGCGGAAAGCGTGTTTGGTCAGCCGGACAAACTTTTGGTAAGACTCCGAGTGAATGCCATCTAATAGGTCTATGTACTCGTAGGTGAGTTTAAAAGGAGCCGCCTCAAAACCTACAGACCCAGGGGAATTGGATAGCATGAACCCAAAGTCTATGTGGACCAAATGTCCCTCATTGTCCACCATGATGTTGCCGTTGTGACGATCCTTCACTTGCAAAAGATAACATATAATGGAGTAGGCTGCGAGACTAGAGCAAAAATTGTCTCTAGCCCTCTTGTAACGAAACCCATTGGGATCACCATAAGCACGGAGAAAATGGTCTCTCAGAGTTGCTATTTGGCCCTTTTCATTAAGCTCCCCGTCCGCTATCATTTTACTTGTCAATGATTTTTTGATGCTATGCACAGAAAGAGCGTTGGTGATGGTCTCTACCAATCCTGTGTTTGCACTGGTTATAAGAATTTTCATCTTCTTTACCCAGACGCCAACATTCTCTCGAGCCCATATATTAGCCATGGCTTGAATCAATTGACACGCAAATGCCTCCTGCCTCAAATCGTCACCGGATTTGGCAATAACTGAGCATAAATCCCAGTTTTCAAGATTTCCATACTCAGATCTCGCCCTGATCCTCTCCTTTTTCGTGTTCCAATCTTCTCCTAAGTAGGATGTATCCAATTTAGTGCCTTGTAGGCCTCCTGTTTTCATGTCGTTCTCTAATTTTCTTTGGCCAGCCATACCACTTATGGACTCTAAATCACGGAAACCGAACCGATCCTGCACCTCCTGCATAGACGCAATGATTTTTGCCCTAATCTGATTTGTAGCACCGTGGAGCTGGTGGGGAGATTTATCGAGCTGGGCCAACATCACAGCAGAGATACGCATCTGAGTAGCCAGATCCTCGGCGGATGATGCACCGAGTCCATCTATATTTTTTCCTTCAAGACCAGTATCAATATCCTCTAGATTGTTCATGAACTGTAACTCTGGGTTCCTGGAAGTCGAGTCGTCGGGTATTACCGGAACTTTTGTGGCCGTCTGTACCAGCAACTCCCTCCTGTAGGTCTCAGCTTCAGTACGATTTGTTAACTGCACGACAGAAATGTCTCCGAGGTCTATCTCCTCGTCGGCAGCTATGGAATTCTTATTGACGGAATAGGACCTCGTTGAGTGTTGAGGATCTCCACTTTCGCTTGCTACCTCTGAATTTGGAATAGTGTCTTTTGAAATATACGACAGGTCAAAAATGAAACTATGATCCCCTTGCTTCGTTCTTAGAACTCTCTCATTCTCACTGGTGCTCGGGTTGAAATCCATTTCATCTCTTAGGTACTCTATGAGAAGAAGAAATGGAACCTTTTCCGCAGAGTTCAGCACCTGCGCCTCATTCGCTGTTATATTCACAAGTTTATGGAGCTTACCTTTCTTATTTGAGGGTAGCAGAGTCGGAATATCTACTTCAGCTGGTAAATCTCTATTCAGAAGTAAAAGTTCTGCTCGCAGAGCACTCAAGCGTGCTTCCGATGGGACTTGAGCGAGCCGCTGAGAGATTGATTCGAGAGCAATTGCTAATTGTGTCTCACATCTAAAATAATTTGATTTCAGAAGTCTAATTTTTTTAGGAGTTGGAATGTGTTCAAGCTGCACGCTATGCGCCTCTGAATAAAACCTGCCTTTCGATGGAGATGGGTCTATTTTGTCGTTTATGATATTATGCCTCATAGAATCGGATGACACGTTTGTGATTCCACTGCTATAATCCGCTTGATTTTGTGATTTCAAAGAAACAAGTGAGGATGTTGACGGATCTTTTTGATGACTTTTGTGCAAATCAGGCAAAGAGTTGGTATAATCTTCTTCGTAGAATGAATCCGATGCCTCTGCGGGAGCAGACTGTCCATAAACTCTGTGCACATAAGATTGATCCAGCGTCCGGGGCTTACGCTTTGGCTGCTTGATGGAATTTGAGATTCGCTCTTGAAACATTTTTTCACCAACATCATCAATCATATCGAAATTCAAAGCAGTAATGCTCTTTTCTCTTGGTTTTTTGAATAGGGTATCTTCTCTCGTTGTGGTTCCATCAACAACGTCTACGGGCGCATGAGCATCACCGTTTCTACTACCAGTGGATGATATACGTTTTTGGTTCAGCAGAGTATTCTTCAAAGTTAGATTTTTAGTCAAGTTCCTCATTGCATTTTTAGCAAGTTTGAAGACGTAACTTTTTTGTCGTTTCCCCTGTGACTCTATCAAAGGCTTTGTGGACTCAGCAATGACAGGAATACTACACGATCCCATGACCATCGAACATAGAACCAAGGCCGGTGCTACGTTTTCATGCATTTTCAGGCTCACGGAGGCAGTCTTCGAGGGATTAAACAAAACGTTTTGCAAATTATTGATTACTCGGCGTGCCACTTGAAACCCGTAGCTTGAGGGATCCAAGGAGAGGTCTCCAAGTAGTGCCTGCAATTGCCAAAAGGTCAGAAGGGCAAAGTGTGGGTTTTCGGCGCTTAGTTGGAGCAGTAACTCTTCAAGAGCAATAGATTCGGTCTCCACTGTAAGAAGAAGTTGGACCAGCTGTGGGATGTAAAACTGTAGTTCATTGTGTGGGAAAGCCAGTAGTTTTTGGCACAGATAATGATGAATTCCAATGTTATTAGCATATCGAGCTAGATATTCGATGTTTGTGTACAGTGTAAAATGAGCTGAGTTAAAGAACTTCAGCAGTAGCTCATTGTTTCCAAAAGATCCACCAGAGTTTTCTGATCCCATCGACCCCTCTGCCATCGTTCATGTATTATGAAGTAGAGCTGGTGGGGTTGCAGAAGTGGTCGTTTCTGGATCAGTGAGCTAAATTGGACACTTCTTGAACTTAGCTCAAGTTGGTACCTAAAGTGTCGAAAAAAGATGCACAAAAAATAGTCCAAACCAAACTATGGGCAATACTGACTCTAGAAGCTAAGCTCTAGATGTTGAGACGTTACTGAATCTGGCAATATGGTCTTAATACCTCGATTTATTGAGTAATGATTTTTACGGTGTATACATTGACAGTTACCAAAACAGTTCGTCACAAACTACGCCAATGATCCAGCTCAGAGAAGAGCATAAGGCAAAGGAAATGAAGTATCCAAAAAGCTACAACTAGTGAAGTCAAACAGTGTGTCAAACTGTTAGAAGTTTCTACTGGTACAATATAATATTAGTTTAATGCAGTTTTATATTTTCTTCTACCTACGTGGCTCCAAACAGAATCTTAAAGTGATCGAGGCGCCATCTGTAAACCAAGACCTTAGTTCAGGCAATTGCAGCCCAAAATTTATCCCAAATGTTATTGAGTTCATCATCCTCCCAAATGACACTCTCGATCTCTCTTCTGTCAGAGTCGATGTCGATGTCTTCCAGACGAGTCAAGAACCTGCATCTGTAGTATAGCTGGGCACCAAGGTACACGACCACCAGTAAGATCAAAGAGATGTAACCAGTGAAAAAGGCGGAGACATCAAAGGATGGAGAGAAAGCCTGGAAACCTTGAACAAATATAATGACAAATACCCAAAATGCTGCATAGTATGCACCCCAGGGCATGAATTTAGACTTGAAGGGTAGATCATTGCGCGAGATACCGCGCAGTTTAAGGCATTGCATAAATCTGATGTGCGCAACCGAAATAAAAAACCATGCACATAACCCAGCCAGAGTCGATATGTTGATCAGCCAGTTGAAGCCCTCGTTAGCATTGTCATTGGTGGCCAAAAACGCCAAGAGGCCTAGCAAGGCTGTTACGATGACCCCCAGGTAAGGAACACCTTGCTTGGTGACGTAGCCAAAATGTTTGGGGGCGATACCAGTGTGCGCCAGTGAGAATAAAACCCGAGAGCCCACATAGACATTGGAGTTAGCCGCAGATATAATCGTGACGAGAACGACGGCATTAAATATGTCTGGCAGGGCTTTAGTCCCAGCATGCTCGATGGAAATCACAAAAGGAGAGGATGCGATGATCTTCTGAGAGGCGGTGGTGTCTTCTGTGAGGCTGGCGTCATTGAAAGGCACTAATAGTCCCACGAAAAAGAGAGAAAGAATGTAAAAGAACAGAATTCTGAAAAACACCTTGTTAATAGCTCTGGGAACTGTCTTTCTGGGATTCGCAGCTTCACCAGCGGTGATTCCGACAAGCTCAGTGCCCTGATAAGTGAAAGAGGCGTTGATGAGGGAAGCAACCCATCCGAGAAAACGGCCCTCACCTTTGCTGCTTGCTATGATACCATCGCCCCAAGGACCAGGATTGCGCCAGTAGCGGAAACCGATAGGGCCTTGTCTTGATCCACCACACACGATGACCAGCGCATATATCAGGTATCCGACAATGGCAATGACTTTGATCGAGGCCACCCAAAACTCCACTTCACCATAAAACCTGACAGGGAAGAAGTTTGCCAGCGTGATTAAAACCCAGAAAATGGCGATCCAGGCAGCCAGAGGAACCGCGTCAGTCCAGTACTGAATGACTTGTCCAATCACCGAAAGCTCAACAGCATAGGTGATGGCCCAGTTAAACCAGTACATGTATCCGTTGGCAAACCCAAACGCAGGAGACAGAAACCTGTTAGAAAACACGGTGATGGATGAGGTGACTGGAATGAACGTTGCCATCTCTCCCAAAGACTGTGTGACAAAATAAACAATAGACCCCACAAATATGTACGAAATGAGCGAGCCAACGGGACCAGCGCAGTTCAATGGCGTAGCGATACCCACGAAAAGACCTGTTCCGATAGTACCTCCCAAAGCGATCATCGAAATGTGCCGCGGTTTGAGTGCACGCTTGACCTTGCCATCCTGTACGTCACCGTGCAGTTCTGACTCCTGGGAACTGCCATCATTTTCACCGCCGCCGTGAGGGCCATTGCGGGCCACAGTATCGCCAGAAAGTGCATACATTTCAAGCCCGTCAGAACCATCCTTTCCACTCGCCAGAGCTGTGTCATGGGATTCCGAAGCCCACAGTTTTTCTGCCAGCTTCATGATCCAAGAATAGTTTAAAGACGATGTTCTGGTGTTATTCGACGCTGCGAATGTACCAGAAACTAATTGATGACTTTAGTGCCATCAACATCTCTACTTAAATGCTGTTCGGAAACCTCGAAGGGTGTAACTTCATACTTTTGATTTTCCGAATTTCCCGGGGGTTTTTGACACTAAATCTTTCGCTTGGACTCTTAGCGCTTTTAGTCATTTTTGTCCGTCTCGAGGTGCCAAAGTTGTGTCGTTGATGCCTTCACGGCGCTAATGACAGAGGCCCATTGTGGCCAGAAAGAAAAAAGCTTCGAAAAAACGAGAAGGGAACAGCGAAGACGCTTTCGCTGCATGAAAATCACAGGTTTAGACGACACAATAATAGAAAGCGATCTCGTTGGTTTGCACCGGAGATGATGCCAAGTATCCTTGGGCTGTGTTTATGGCAGAGTCGACTCTCACAGCGGTAGTTCGAGTGAGTAAGTGCCAAGGTTTTTCGTAAACTTCTGCGTACGCCCAAACAATAGAAAAACCAAGACCCGAACAGTAGACAGACAGCATCAACGTCACAGTTAAGCGAGCTGCTAAGGTTTTGTCAGCCAATAATGCGCGATCGACATCGTGTGGCTGCCTTAGTCGAGGTGCAGTCCCTGAAGCATACCCATGGTAAGAAGTCAATTCTGTCACTTCGTACTTTCGTGTCGTCGTGTTTATCCGTGACGTACAGGGCAACAGGTATTCAATAGTTATCGTTGCCCTAAACTGTAGGCTCTGGATTCGAGGCGTTGAGTGCTCGCCTTTGATACGCCGGAGAAACTCATGCGATTTTCTCTTATTGCCTGTCGTATTCAATCCACATCACGTGAGTCGATAGATGACACCCCACACACGGTCCGTCATCAGTCACAATCGTTAAAGGCTTTGGGTGACTGAGCGCCTGAGCGCCCAAGGTCCCAGTGACGCCTCTTGTGTCGTTGCGTCTCGTTGAAAGTTTCGTGTGTGGCACGAATTCGCAGTCTAAGTTACGGAAAGCTAAACGGGATCCTCACGGGCCGTACACATTCCTAGCACCGGTCCCGGACCTGCTGCTACGCTATTACACCATCCTGGATATGGGACCTCTGGTCTGGCCCACGCAGTCCGTGTCGATGTTTCCCGGCTCGGCGTTCCCATCGTACGTATGAAATGATCATGTAACACAAACATTAATGTAAGTAACGGTAGTGTTAAGATTTGAAACCACGTTAGCGGATGAACAGTCGACACGGGCGCGAGGAACAGCTCAGTGGGTAACATCGAGGTAAGCATACAGCGGAACATCTCTGTTCACCACGTGTGGGAAAATAATTGAGGCATTTGACCCTTGAGCGCCGTGATCTTTCTTGCAAGTGCCGTCGACTTTCGCCAGAAACTTCAGTCCCTACGAGACCTAACTACGATCGTCACACCGGATCACATTGGGAACTCCTCCTATGCATCGGCCTAACAATTCAAAGTCATCTAAAGGACCGCATAATCGCTCCTCCAGCAATAGTTCTGCGAGCGGAAGCATATTCTCGAACCTGAAGAAACTGACCACTGGTAGTAGCGGTAATGTCAATCCAGAGAGAGATCAAATTGGCCAACGAGTCAATGCGTCCGACATTACATCCCCGAACAAAATAGCGCTACCCACCACGGGAGAATTTTCCCACAGACCGTTGAGTAAGCAAACGACGCTAAATTTGGCAAATTTATCGGCATACACCGATGGATTGAGCTCTCACCACAGGTCCTCATCCAACGTCTCGCAGGGCTCTCCTACAAAATATTCATATTCTCGCCGCGCTTCACAATGGTCCAACAATAATTCTGGCCCAACCGGAAACAGGTTGTCGCGGCAACAGACCAACCAGAGTATGTCTTCTGCTAGCATTTTTTCGCAAGGCTCCTTCTCAAATCTTTCGCGGTTTGTAGGATCTGACGGTTCCATCAAACTTGAAAAGCCAAAGGATCCGCAAGAAATTGAGGAATTGTTTGAAGAGGTCCTGTACAAGCGAAACGTTTATCAAAGTCTACCTGCCTCGGCCCAAAAAGAACTAAACGGTTATGATCTGGATAAAAAATGGCTAATGGTAAAGCAAGATTTGCAATCAGAACTGAAGAAACGCATGAACAAGAAGAGTAGCGGTCGATTACCAACTGCTAACATAGGCACTACCGCCGATCCCTCCGTACAGACGAATCTAAGCAACACCAACTCAATTGATGTAAGTCTGGCGGGCCAAAGCGGCATGAGTGGATCAAATGTTAGTTTGCCAGACCAGTTTTACATTGCCAAAAACGGAAACTCCAGCACGAACACATTATCTCAAGACCCCTCGCATTTGTCGCCAGACTTCTATGTGCGTAAAATTATATGCAATAATATTACTGCAAAGACCCTAAATGATCTATGGGTTTCTCTGCGAACAGAACAACTAGATTGGGTTCTTGGTTTTTTAGAAGCCCAGGGTCAAGTAGCCATCTCGAATGTGATCACCAAGACTTGTTACAAGGAGACACCTGAAAATCTCCTCAGTGATGAGGTGCTTGATAAGGAGTTTGCTTATTTCAAATGCCTTAAAACTAGTTTGAATTTGAAAGAAGGTGCGGATGAAGCGGTAATGTCAAGTAGTTCCCGGATCATCATCTCTGCAATATCTGAGGGTCTACTCTCATTGAGAATAGCCACACGACGCATAGCATCAGAGCTATTAATATCACTGAGCCAGTGGACTGTTCCTGAAGGGTTCAATCACATAATGGATGCTCTCGAACAAGAAACTAAATTTTCTGACAACGTGCATCTGCAAGCTCGTCTGCTTACAAAACAGTCAAATAGCAGCAACCTGCCCATCTCAATCCCTGAGGATATTGATCATAGACTAATGAAGAAGTTTGAGCAGTGGATGCTGGTGGTTGAATTCACACTAGATGGGCGAGGCAAGATGGGCTCACTTGTGGGTGCATCTGAAGATTTCAGATCATCTGGTGGTGAAAATGCAATAATGGAATATGCCTTTTTAACCCTGCTTCTCATCAATCAGCTTTGTAAAACGCCCGTTGATGTTAAGAAGAGAATGATTTTGCGAGCCCGACTTAAGAATGCTGGTCTTCCGCGGATCCTCAATAAAATGAAACTACTAAACTACGAAAAAGTTGATGAGCAGTTAGCCGTTTTTGACGACTCTACGGCTGACGACTTTGATGCCCTCTATTCTCAGGAATCTGCCACCGAGGGTATCGATATGAAGGATCCGGTTTCAATGGTTCGCAATCTTTGGGGCCTTTGTAAGGGCTCTGAAGCAGAAGATCATTTGAATTCATTACTACAAAATTTACTAATCGGCTTCAGTGAGTTGGGGACAAAGAGCAAGGATGACTCTACAAATAGGGCTCAGCAATTAAAGCTGGTGGATGCTCTAGTTTCTAACGTCTCTATGGCATCTGTCGACGTTCATTCCTCCTTTAATAGCGCTTTGCAGCGACTTTACGATGCTATGCAGACTGACGAGATCGCCCGTCGGGCCATTATGGAAAACAGAGATTGGGTAAAGCGCTACGAAGAAATCAAAGCCGAACGCAATAATCTGCAAGAAAAGCTGGCGAATGCAGAAGGAGGATTAGTAGGCCAGCTGCAAGAAGAGCTGAAGGAACGAGATCGTATCCTGGAAAAAAGCCAACGTGTAACACGCCAAATACAGCAAGAGCTCGACGACGCAAAGAAGAAGTTGATACTCGCAAAACATCAGCATGAAGTCGAGCTCAGGAAAACGCTCACTGTTCTTAACTCTAAACCTCAGAGCGACGTCCCTGGTATATCTGGTGATATATCTGGTGGTAGTGGTAACAGCATTGCGAAACCATTGAAATCTGAGCGAAAATTAGCAATACAAAAAGCTTTACAAGAGAAATTAGAGAAGACTTCGCAAGAAATCAGCATGGAGTCAAGACGACTAGGAGTTTCTGTGAAGCCTAATAAGCGCTTAAAGCTTCTACGGTCTCGCATGGAGGATATTGAGAATCAAGCACGCGAATTAGAAATGACAAACTTTTCTGAGTACCAGAAAGAAATGGAGATTTCGGATGGAAATAATGAAACCTTGCAGGCTACCATTACTGACGAGAAAACGAAAACTGTGGAAGATCCAGTGATCAAACTTGAGGAACTGAGGAACAAATTGGCTAAGCTGCAGAATGAAAGCAATGACATATCCAAGTTCAATGTTGAAGGTAGAATAAATGAAATTTTTGGTGATCACAGATCGGCTGCTTTAGAGAGGCTCAAAAAACTTGAAACGGACTATAAAGGTTTTGGTATCGATTTCGACTCTGAGCTTAATCTTGAGGAAACGTCCGAAGGGCCAAACAGGAGAACTTTGGACCCCAAAGAAATTCAGAATATATCGGATGAAGCGTCTACAATTCTTACCGAGTTTGATGCTCTGAAAGCCGGAACGTCAAGCAATGGCAATCCGCCCTCGGATACAACGTCTCTTTCAGAGTCTTCTGATGAAGGTAATGAGCTCTCGACATACAAAACTGGTGATGCGCCAACAACTTCATTTCTAGAGAGTCTATCTCAAAAATACGGAACAGGCCAAGTGAATCTCAACAATCGCCTTTCTGAGCCCGATAGAGAGTTGACTTATCCTGGGAGCGGGTATCACAGAAAGTCTTTCATCAACCGCGTAAAGAAGACTGACACAGTTTCATATTTAGATGAACTTTCAGAGAAGTTTGGTTCAGTTTCTGATCGAGGTACCGTCAGCAAATCTAAGAATGATGTTGACAATAGTTCTGATCCTCAGGCTAGGGACAAAGTACTATCGGAGCTCAAGTCCAATGAGGAATCCCTGGATTCACCCACCAAGAACCCCGAAGGTGGGGAACTAGGTTCTCCAGTCACAAGCTTGACAAAAGGTCCCGTTTCTGGTCAGAAAAATGTCATAAAGAATGAGAATCTAGCAAAAGCTACGTCAGGATCTTCTCCCCCTCCTCCTCCTCCTCCTCTTCCTCTAGATCATTTTGCTAAGAACTCGAACGCAGCTGGAAAGAACGAAATCACTAAGCTACCTGAAAAAGCAGGCGAAGCACCCGGTAGCACAATTCCACCGCCGCCTCCACCACTACCGCCGACAATGGCTGCACCTGGCTTATCTTCATTGCCTCCTCCGCCTGCACCACCACCACCGCCTCTCTTGAATCCCTCCTCATCAAGTGGGGTCCCACCTCCTGCTCCCCCTCCCCCACCATTTGCGAAATCTCTGCCTAACCAAAACCATTCAACCACTTCACCTTTGCTCCAGCAATCTCCATCACTATTTGAAAACTATCCTCGTCCCACAAAGAGATTAAAGCAGTTACATTGGGAAAAAATCGATGATGCGGAAGATTCCATATGGAAAGATGCCAATGCAGGAAAGTTTGCGGACGAACTATACCAAAAAGGTGTTCTACTCAAGCTTGAAACGGCATTTGCTGCTAGGGAAATTAAGTCTTTGGCTGGCAAAAAAAAGAAAGACTCAGACAAGGTATCGTTCCTCTCTAGAGATGTTTCGCAACAATTCGGGATCAATCTTCACATGTACTCCGCTTTGACAGTGGAGCAACTCGTTGATAAAGTTCTCAAATGTGACCGGGACTTTTTGGACACACCAAGCGTCATCGAATTTCTATCGAAACCAGAAATTGTTGAAGTGTCAACTAACCTTGCTAGAAATTTTCTACCCTACAGTATTGATTGGGAAGGTGTGAGTCGCGTAGAAGATGCTAAGCCGCCTGAGAAAGATCCCTCTGAGCTTCAAAGAGCTGACCACATATATCTGGAACTTTTCGTCAATCTACAAACTTATTGGTCTTCCCGAATGCGCGCAATCAAAGTTATTACCTCCTATGAAAAAGATTATAATGATTTGGTTCATAAGTTACGAATGATTGACAAGGCAACGTGTGCCATTCAACAGTCGCAGAGTCTTCGGAGTGTCTTGGATATCATCCTCGCTGTTGGAAACTTCATGAATGATACTTCAAAACAAGCTCAAGGTTTCCGCCTAGCAACACTACAGCGGTTGACATTCATAAAGGATGACAAGAATAGTATGACATTTTTGAATTATGTCGAAACCATAGTTAGGGAGACTTACCCCGAGTTTAATTCTTTTATCAAAGAGTTGGAGCCTGTCATCGCTGCTGTAAAGATTTCAATCGAGCAAGTTGCACAAGATTGCAAGGAGTACTCTCAGGGTATCGTGAATGTTGAAAGATCGGTTGATATTGGGAATTTGAGTGACTCTCTGAAGTTTCATCCTAATGATAGAATTCTACTTAAGGTCTTGCCGATTCTACCTGAAGCCCGGAAGAAGGGTGACTTGTTAGTCGACGAGATGAAACTGACACTTTTGGAATTTGACAACTTGATGAAGCTATTTGGTGAAGATGCCGTGGACAAATTCTCGAGAAACTCGTTCTTTAAAAAATTTGCAGATTTCTTACAGGAGTACAAGAAAGCGCAGTCCTTCAATCTGAAAATGGAAGAGGAAGAGAAGTCCTATGAGCGCAAGAAAAAGTTAGTAGAAGATCAACAAAGAAGAGCCCAGGAAAAAAAGGATGCCCAAACAGGTGAAGACGATAACGGAAACAGTAACGAAAACCACACTAAAGGAGGTGACAGAGATGTCATGGATAAGCTTCTGGAGAGACTAAAGAATGTGGGGCCTGCTAAAGGAGATCCCTCATCAGCTCGAAAGCGCGCTGAAGCTCGTCGCAAACTATTACACAACGGTTCGCAGGATCAAACAATCTTAGATAATTTCGAGATTGATGACACTAACTGTAACTCGGTTGTTTATTCGCCTGGACTAAGGGCTGATAGTAGGATTGAAACGGACTCTTCACCTACTCCCGACCATAGGTTAAAGATCGCGTCGAGTACGACACCCAGCAAATCAACTGAAAAATTGTCAAGTTTTAGTGAGGATAGAGCGAGAACTTTATTGTTCGAATTGAGAGGCACAGAATCCCCAGAGCTCAGAAATCAAGTGAGCGAACACAGGGCATCCCGCCTACGAGCACGGCGAACCAGGGAAAATGTTGACTCCGCCTTGAAGTCAAATCGACTAAGCTTTATCGCTAGCGAGGAACAAAAGGGTGACGGATTACCCTCAGATAGACCAAAGGCTGATACTACCACCATTGATGCTGCCGTGAATGTCGAAACTCAGAGCCAGGTCATCACCCATCAAAACCAGGATTCTGATGAACATGGCCAAGCTACTGCAAACAAAGTGAATCCCGATTTGGTTGAAACCAAACAGGGTGGGGAAGGTGCTTCCGCGTCTGATGATGACGATTTTGTTGACACATGAGTTCAGCCCACCGTTGTTGAGTTCGATAAAATCCTAAAAATGATGTACATGTGCGAGAAGGTTTCTTGTACTTATATAAAGATGCAATTGTAGACTTTGGACAACGGGGATTGTCTGACATGTTTGGCCATTAGTATTGGAGGGGCAGAGCTTAGTAGATTTCACAGAGAAGTATTCAATATAGTACATACTTAATAAAGCGTATCAGGATAGAAATCAGAACTCCCAAAGATCGCTTACTTGATGTTGCTGATGTGGCCTCGAGTATGGTGACGATATAATTGTCGGACGTAAGGGCAACACATATCACGTTTAACTATTCTGTCGTGATTTGTTGATAGTATTGTAATAGCACATCAATAGATCCAAACAACAACAAGCGGAAAAATAGAATACAAGAACCCATAAATTAGCGAGCTATAGGTCGGGTTACATTCTTCACTTCTCCTTCAAATGTCCATGTCATCTGAAGAAGAGTCCAAGAGAATCTCAGTTCAGGTATCGTCCCTGTCAACTCAGCTGATCGAAAGTATAGATAGACAATCACACCTAGAAGACCAGCTTCTACAAGCTCGGAAGACGATTGCCAATCAAAATGGAGCTTTGCGGCAGATTGAAAATCTTGAAGAGCAGGTCAAGCAGCTACGGTCCAACTTACAAACTGAGAAGGCGCAACACCTTCAAACTCAAAAGGAGTTGCAGCAGGAACGCATAGACAAAGATGCCGCTCAAGCTGAAACCAGTCGGTTGAACACAGAAGTCGAAGACTTGACAGCATCTCTATTTGATGAGGCTAATGCAATGGTAGCTGATGCCCGGAAGGAAACTCACAATGTAAGCCTCAAGAACTCAAAACTTAATGAACAGCTACAAGAGAAAGACACACTACTTGAAACATTGAAAATTCAACTGAAAAACCTCAAAACAGTACTCTATACATTGGAGGAGGAAAGCAACACCGTGTCTAAATCGAACAGGAACTCAATCGCGGCCAACGATTTGGCATCTGTGTCAACTGGATCTCTTGAGGGGACTGTGAACTCGCTCACCGGGAACTCTTCTGTGGCTAATACAGTTCTTTTCTCTCCTTATTTGAAGTCGTTGAGGTATGATTTGGGTCTATACAATGAATTCTTGAAGTTCATCTCAGCCCTTCCGGAATGCGCGGCGATCAAGGATACCACGTCGTATTCTAAACTTCTTAGAAGACTCATCCACGACGAAATTCAGCCACTGTTACGCCTCGATACTGCAGCTGGCGTCAGTTGGTATGTAAGACGTAACCTCATGACATTAATGCTTGAAGGGATGGTAGTTGTTGAGCCGCTAAGTGGCATCAACGAAACATATCGCCTTGGGCACTCATCGAACCCCTCAAATGGCTTGCTGAAGCTTTCAAAAGGAGAAAAGGTTCAGGACTCTCGTCTCTACAATTATCCTGCCAACTCTCCACCTGTGGCAATTCAAGATCCGTGCGCATTTTGCTCAGAAAGCCGTAATGACATTTTGGAACACGGAAGATTATATGTCTTCAAAACTTTGCAGAAAAGTGATGATGGATCGCTGACATTAAATGCTCAGTTTCCCCTGTGCCACTATTGTTTGTTAAAGATTCGACAAACATGCGAGATTTTCGCATTCCTTAGATCTCTGAAGAGCGGCGCTTGGCATCTGGAGAATGTGACAGGGTCAAGTACTCCGCAAAGTGGATCACCGGAACCGACTGAAAAAAAGCTGGCACCTCGGCTGGCGTTACAAGAAAATCCCGCTCTTGATAAAAAAGTCAAACGTACGAGCGTTATGGCTGGATTGGCAAAGGCCTCTACTGCGAAGGGTACTAACGCCTTAGGCAAGGTCCCTGCTATGGCAATTCACAGTAAAGGACCAGCTACTAATATTCAGCGTGCATGGGCTCAGCTATGTAAACTACGTGCTTCCCTCCATTGGGCCCATATGGGAGTTTGGGATTTGGAGGACAGCCTGGAGACAAAACTGGGGCCCGTAGTAATCAAATCAGAGAAAGAAGCTGCACCAGCGATTCCCAAAGAATTTCTTACCGCAAGAAAGCATGATGCGCGAGATTCATTCACGATTCGCAGTACAGAAGACCCTGATAACCAAGAATTTGATTTTGAACAGTCTGACAATTCGGATCAACGAATTCATGGGAGCCATATTTCCATTGACGGATCAGACAGAGCAGGAGCGGAAGCAGGACAGCAGGCTCCAGATAATACCGAAAACTGCGAGAGAACGAGCAATGGGCCTGGGACCGAAGGTCCGACGCTGGATTCAATAATCCAGCATGATAACATCGACAAAGAAAATAAACTGCCATGTGCCTCGAGCACCTCGGACGTTCATTCTGAAGCGAAGATTGGGGATGATGATAACTTATGCGATTTGGGCAAGATTCCCTCAGAGCACGGAGGGGTACAAGACACAACATCTAATCCCCAACCTGCAGCCCAACCTCTTGAAATTTCCATAGATTCAAAGCCCCAGGAACTACCAGAAACTCGAGGAGACGTTCCCGTCGGTGATTTTTCATCTGACAGAGAAGAAAATTCACAAGCGGGTGAAGAAATCCAAAGCATCGTTGAACCTATCAACTCCAACTTAGAACACCATGATCACAAAGGTGCTGATGATGATGACGATGCCGATTTTGATGATGCTCTCAGCACCATGACGTGAAGCTTCGCTCTTAGAAACTTACCGGGGCCTTTTGTACGAATACCGATCAGATAATTCAAAATTAGTGACAATCAGCTTATCAGTAATGTGCTCTAAAACAGACAGTCCAAGCTTCAAAGACACCACCTTCTGTATGTCTAAAAGTCAAGAGCGAGATACGGTTCCGAGTGATGAAACTCTTGAGGATATGAACGATCCACTGTTGGATACGTTTGAACTTTCAAGCTTCAACCGTGATGGAAAATCGAGTGCATATGAAAAAGTCCCAGGATTAAGCAATGAAAGCGAGGAGCTGCGATCCTCTTATCTGCAAACTCAAAGGTCCAAATCTAGCATTTTTATGGCTTTTATGAATATGGCGAACAGTATTTTGGGCGCTGGCGTCATAGGACAACCTTTTGCCATAAAAAACTGTGGGCTGGTAGGTGGAGTACTGGCCATCGTACTGCTTTCCATTATGGTAGATTGGACAATTAGGCTCATTGTGATAAACCTTAAGATTTCAGGCAAGACTAGCTATCAGGATAGTGTAGAATTTGCCATGGGCAAGAAAGGCAAATTGCTCATTCTTTTAACGAACGGCTTATTTGCTTTCGGAGGCTGTATTGGGTTTTCGATTATCATTGGAGATACGATACCACATGTTTTGAGAGCTTTTTTTCCGGGGCACGAGGGGTTATTCCATCGCAATGTAATTATAACTCTAGTTACCTGCTTTGTGTCACTCCCGCTTTCATTGAATAGAGATATTTCCAAACTATCCAAGGCCTCTATGCTTGCCTTATTTAGTATGGTTGTCATTGTTGTCATTGTTCTGATCAAGGGACCTTTGATTGAAGCGTCGTATAAAGGCAACTTTAGCACAGGTGCCTTACTTATCACACCGAGAATTTTCCAGGGTATTTCGGTAATCTCTTTTGCTTTGGTGTGCCACCATAACACCAGTTTCATCTACTTCTCACTCAAAACCCCTAGCCTTAAAAGATTCGATAGGCTAACCCATATTAGTTGCTTTATCTCGATGATATTCTGCTTTATAATGGGATATTCTGGATTTTTGGTGTTTAGAAATAAAACGAAGGGTAACATCCTCAACAATTTTCCTGGCGGTGATCGCGCAATTAACGTTGCAAGGTTCTGCTTTGGATTCAACATGCTAACTACATTTCCATTGGAAATCTTTGTACTGAGAGATGTGATCAGGGACCTTATATTTTTCAATAAAGACGATGGGCAACCTGTTATATTGAGCTCAAGGCTTCACTTTTTGATAACTATTGCGATGGTCTTCTCCACGATGGGCATATCCCTCATCACATGTAATCTCGGTGCTCTATTCGAATTGATCGGAGCAACGACGGCTTCGTTGATGGCTTACATCCTCCCCCCTTCAGTTAATCTGATGCTTGTTGGATCTCAGAAGTCATGGCGAGAGAAGGCACCTCATTACGCATGTATTGCTTTTGGGTTTTCAATCATGATCATTAGCAGCACACAAACTATATTAACCTCTCTCAATGGTGGGGATGAGAAGCACTGCGACGTATAGAATTATTAATTCACGGGCAACTACACAATCTATCTATCTAAATCATTCGTCATCATCATCATCGTCATCAGTTTTGTTGATTCGTACCATCCTCCGTTTTCTGGACAAACCGACATCGTCGTCGTCTTCCTCGTCTGATGAGGACTCCCTTTCTCTCGTTTTCTTAGAAATGGTCGGAGATTGAAAACTGTCAATACCTTCAGTCTCGGAATTAGATAACAAAATATCTTGGTTCAAAGACTGTGAGGTTGAAGAAATCTCGTTGCTAGAAAAAACTGTTCCTGCATGCTTTGGGGGCAAGCTCACTGTTGTAGCCTCATTGGCATTTAATTCGGATAGGGTGGGAACAGGTCCCCCAAAAAGGTCCGTGTAGTCTTTGACAAGTTTTCCGTTGTTTTGAATCCTCTCAGCGCTAAAGGCTGCGAACTGAGCAAACTTATGGTCGGGAAGGGACCCACCGTATTTGTCAAGCAAAAATCTCATGTACATTTCATTCTCATAAAAATTCGATCTCAGACCCTCCTCGTCTGATTCATCAGAATCGCTAATGAACTCAGCACTTGTCACTTTTTGACTTTTGAATGCTGCTGTAGGATCGTCCGTCGTTGAGCCCTTGGGATCATTATTGTCCCTCGCCCTAGTTTTCTTTGCGCGTCTTTTTGTCAGTGTTCCCTTCTTTTTCGTCAAAGCGATGCCTTTGTGCGCTGAAGCTTGTGGCTGTTCATCTATCTGAGGCTTCGTTAGCGACCGGAAATAATCATCCTCTTGTTGGCTTACGTCTCTTACCATTCCCTCTCTTTCTTCGTCCAAGTCGTAGATCTCACTATCACCAGCAGAATCTAGCTGGCCTGGGCGCTTTAGATACCTTGATGGGGACTCGCCACTTGGCGTATCGAATGGGTTGACTAAATATTTGGTTATCAGATCAGCGCACGTTTCAAGGTCCGAGATGATGGTGGTTCGAAGAAAACAAGGCTGTTTAAATTTCTGATTTAGATCATAACCGCAGAGTTTCAGAAGGGCCCGAAAATCTGGATCGCGATTAACAGCCCTTTCAACAACGGGTGATGGAGTCTGGAAGCTTTCACGCACCTGGTGGTCGAACTCATTATTACTGGCGACTTCTTTAAGCAGCCAGCTTTTGAAAATCTCGATGGAACGTTGCAGATTATCGCGAAGTGACTCAACACAAGTTTCCTTCTCTTTGTCGATAAGAGTAGAAACGAGTACGCCAAACTTAAAATCTAGGACGAAACCTTCGCCAGAAGCTTCAGCGCCCGGGATGGGATAGAACTCACTGGCTTGAGACACCTTTTCTGTATCCTTCAGGTCTAAAACTGTACCATGCCGTTGATAATAGCCGGCCTCTCTTTCATGAATGGTTGGGAAAAGAATCCCTACAAACCAAGATGGAGAAGATCGCAATCTCTCTTTGAACTTCATCATGAGAGCGTCCGCAAATCGAGTTACGTGCCTTCGAGGCCGTGAGAGTGTAGGCAACCCTGTGGGACCTAGCATCTTCTGTAGAAGTATAAAGAAATCAATGCGGAACAGAAGTATTTCATCCCCATGAGACATGAGAATCTTATAAAGAAACTGAATCGGCTTCTTTATGTCGTCGTCTGTTAATTCTCTGAAATTCTGAAGAAAAGTAATGTATGTTTTAACCGTGTCTTCGTTTGTGAATGCTTTTTGAACCTTATTAAAATTCAGGTTTGATCTAAAGGACGCGCGTTCCAATATTTCTATCGCCTCTTCTAGTTCAATTCCCTCTTCTTCTGCAATTCTTTTCGCTTCTTCCGTGCTAGCATTCAAGTTTTGCCCAAAATCACCATCTTCGGTCTCACTCCTGATTCTCTTTGATTCGAGCAGCTTGAACAAAACATGTAGCAAGCTGATACAACTCCTTATGTAGGATAGGGAATGGTTGCTAGCCGTCCGCGGTAGCGAGGAGAAGAGTTTTAGGCGCTCTTCCTGAAAAACCAAGTACTCTGCTCGTTCCTTGCGGTCACTTTCCCCATCATTAAAACTCTCTAACAGAGACAAAAGCTCGGAGAAAGCAATCATTCCAGCATGAACTATTGCCCATATTTTGTTTTCTACCGCTTTGCGGAGCAGCTGCCCGATCAAAATCAATGCAGTTTCACGAATCAAAGCAGAAAAAGGCTCAAATCCGACATCTGTAAAATGACCCTCGGAGGTTCTGTAATACTTTAAAAACCACGCGTATACCAGGAGATATTGTATTTGGTGAACAACTAACATCTTATCATCTTCAGTGGTAAAATTATCGGTTACGCTCTGGAATAACGGATTAAATCCAATTATAGTGAACTCATGTATAAACTGCTTGAAAGTTTTAGTAGTTTCTTTCTCCCAGTAATTAGTTTCAAGATCAAATGTCATGAAGTTACTTGGAAGTCCCTCAACAGTTTCATTTGCAGAGACTGTTCTTTTATTCCATTTCTTGCGTGAATCCATTTTTTTGAGAGCAGAATCATCATTCAACAAATTTTGGGCGCCTGAAACAGTAAGCCGGTTTTGATCAGGGGTTTGAATTGAGAGCATTGTACCAAAGCGGGAATGACGCGTAGAGGTATTTTTTGTGACGTTTTTTCTCATGTCATGTTCCTTTTTGAGAAGTTCTGACAGCTGGCGACCGGTTCGCGACAGTTGCCCTGTCCCTTCTCCTTCAACCCTATCCTTCTTTCTCAAGTCAATATCAAATAGAACAGAATGATTGACGTTCTTAACTAGAAAGAAGGTCAATTCAAGTAGAGGCACATTGATGAATGCAGCGTCGAAATCTTGATTGATCGAGCGTGATAAGGTGAGGATCAAACCAAATACTTTATTCTTACCAAATGCGTCTACAACAGCGGCCAACGAAATGTCTTGCTTCGAAATGTTGGGTGGTAACATGTTGGTGGAGTTGATACCTTTGGAAAGAGATTTTTTGTTACTCAAGGTGAGATCACTTGGCTCAATTGCAGCAATATTCCGAAGAAAATTGAGGACCAATCTCAGCACAGCGTTATCTTTGGCACTCCTAAAGCGTTTTTCCACCTTGATTACTTCGACTGCCAAGCGAACAGCAGCTTTAAGTACTTTTCCATTATGGGAGCTCAAGACAGATTTCTTGTAAATTACCTGGCTCTTCTTTAGCTGTGAGTAGCATTCTACTTGATTTTGAGTCGACTGATCAGTGAGAATCAGTGGCCATGTCATAAGCACCATTAGCTGTAAGGCATTTAGTGCAATCTTGTCATGGTAAACCTTAGCACTGAGATGCTCCTCTACCTTCCCACCAACTTTTCTAGCGGACTTGGCCGCTTGAGCATATCTATTTTCCCAATTTAGCATGATGGGAACCAGATCATCTGTAAAAATGTTATACTGGGCGGCTGCAACCGCTACATCCCATCGCGACTGCCGTTCGTCGACTAATTTAAACCACCGCTTTAAATCTTTCAGGCATGCTAAACAATCATCGCCAATTTGGTAAGGCGGTGGATCCAAGTTGGAGCTGTGGTCAGGGCCTCCGATTGCTGTAGACAGCAGAGCTATACGGGCCCTGAGTATCTTCGAAGAATGATCTAGAGCCTGTGTGTCGTGCTTTGTTGGAACTTCGGGGCCTTCAGTCGACTCCTCCGCTTCCAGCCTCGTAGAAGCCTTATTGGACATTCTTAGGTACCTCTAGTTCACAAACACAATTAACTTGAGCGGCATGGACGCGTGAACTTAATGCTAATTTATATCGACTTAAGTTTTGACCATATTATTTTTTATACGAAGTATGAAGTGATTGTGAAGGAAGTGTATGCAAACAAACCTCAACGAGGCGGCAATATCAGCTCCATATAATTCATCGGGTGGCAGGCTTTAGGTCTTACAGCAGCCCATTAGCGTCCTTCGAAATTGATCCGAAACTTAATGAATTCTTGGATAGGATGTAATGGTAAAACTTCCATTTATTTCCCGGACATAAGATAAGACAAACGTTATTTAGATAAGTAGCATATTAGATATTCTGCAGTAGGGCGTTTCTGGTTGATGGACATTTAAGAGTCATGTTGGGAATGATTTCGGTGGCGCTCAGCATTTTGACTCGGTTGACCGAATCCATCCCATAGAAGCCGACACTCATAAAATATGCCACAAGTCCTGAGGCAATACCGGCACTCATGGACGTACCACTTTTCAAAAGCTCAAACGAACCATCCCATCCAACGGTTGAAATGTTGACACCCGCTGCAAAAACATCGACGCATTCACCATAGTTAGTGAACGGCGCAACTTCATCGTTGTTCGCAACGTCGACAGAGCCGATAGTGAGCGCACCGTAAGCGCTCGCAGGACTAAAGTTGCAAGCATTTTGATTAGAGTTTCCGCCAGCGACAATAACGGGAATCGATAAGTCACGGATCACTGCCTCGACTGCAGCATTGAGAATTACGTTCTTTGCCATCGAGTATGGAATCACTACAAGGGAGGGCCTGTTTGTGATGGTAGCTAGTTTGGTGACATGTTCAAGTGCTCTGATCGTGCCTATCAAGCTTGCACGACCATCTGAATCGGCAACTCTAACGTCAAATAGGTTGCATTTTTTGGCCACACCAAAGTAAGATGAGCCGATGACACCCGCTACGGCTGTACCATGCCCGTGTGGGTCGCCCTTTATAACCGGCTCACTGGCAAAATCTGCAATTTTTTGTACACGACCCTCGAACCCCGGATAGCTGTCGTTAATTCCGGTATCCAACAGATACACATCGACCCCGATTCCCGCATTCGAGTGGTAAACATACGAAGTGTCACCCGTGCGCAAGGGAGCCTTTTGTGACAAACGCGCCAGATGCGGTGGGGCTGGGGCCTGCACTATGTACTCCTCGGGAGTCAGAACTCTGTCCATCGACATGGCCATAATGCGCCCGTCATAATACATGCTTTCCAGAAGGCGCTCGGGAAAATCACCGTATATGGCCTGGAATGTTCTGCCGATCATGATGGCCCCCAGCCCATTGTCGTTGCTCATCTGTTCAAAATGCTGGCCCATTATTTCACTCATAACGGCATTATCACTAACCTGTGCAATAAAACGAGTGGCTGAAGCAGCGCTAACACACAGTACTGACGCAGCAATCGTAATTCCACGCATTTCCGTAGGTTTTTCTTTTGACTAATCGGTTGTGAACGACAGGTACAATGTGGGGAGCTTGGTTCGATGACAAACGTTAGGTATATTATGTCCACTATTCAAGGACGTCTGGTAGCGTCAAACCGTCTTGGGTTTTTTATAGTTTTTGAATTTGAATGTTATTTTTAATTTTGTGGAGCACTGACGCTGACACTGACACTGACACGTAAACGTAAATGTAAACAAACAGAAAACGTAAACAATTGGTGTCAGCGTCGGTAAAGTACAAAGTGATCATATCATTAGTACATAGTGATCTTCTGAGCACCACGCGTGTGTTCGATTTAAGTCCAATGCAGCAAACAACTGCTTATTCCCAACCTCATGATATTAAATTGAATGAATACGCCCCAGGAAAGAACTATGAATTATTGTAGCTTCTTGGGTTCTCCACCTTGGAAAATTGTGCGTTCTCCATTGGTCAGATTTCGAGAAGCGGATGATCGAGTTCCGCCTAGGCATGATCAAAAGTCTTTTACTTGGAATGGTAAAAGCTTACGCGTACTAAAGCGAAAAATGCAAGTAGTCATGGTAATAGTGATAGTATGTGCAGTTTGGGTATTTAGCCGTGTGTACGTTATGCAGTCAAATGCACCGGTTGAAATAATGGAAACCAGCTTACGATAGAGTTTTCGGTCAAGCGTCCGGGCGGAAAATATATGGATGGGAAGATTGAGGTTGAACTTTAGGAGAAAGGAGAGGAAGCTTGGTTTAAACCTAAAATACGCCGAGCATTGAGCATTGAAGAGCCTGAATTTATTTATCTATTGTGTAGCAGGACTACAGGGTACATATTTTAAAATCTGCGCTAGTTGAGGACAAGCTCAGAAGATGGTGCCAATGGTCACGGCAGGGAAGCAAGACGTGAGCCTGGCCCTGGAGGCCTCGGAACAGGTAGCATACCAGGCGTGTATGCGGGATTATAGAAAAGACATAGTGGATTATCTGCATGCGATACAAGGAGGATCGGTGGATCCGGGCATGATCGACAGCCAGCCGGAATTGGAGTGGTTCATGCGTCCCTATTTGATCGACTTCTTGATAGAAGTGCACTCTTATTTTAGGCTCAGAGTGGAAACGCTGTTTTTGGCGTGTTCGATTGCAGACCGCTATCTGTCCAAGCGGATGGTTCGAAAAGCTCACTACCAACTAATGTTCACGACAGCGCTGTGGATAGCGGCAAAATACGAGGATAAAAAATCCAGGACTCCGCTGGTAAAGGAGCTAGTGATGTTGTGCAGAAATGTCTACGGAGCCAGAATGTTTGTGCAAATGGAACAGCACATTCTTAGTACGCTGAACTGGGAGGTCGGATGCGTGGCTTCGATATACGACTGCTTGGCTCTTTCCTTCGAAATGGACTGTTTAAAGTTTAGTTCAAACGCCTCCTGTATAAAAGAATTATCCACGTTCTTGGCGGAGCTTTCCTTGTATGAGAAAAATTACATGCATTTCCCTCCTCACGTTAGGGCGCTTTCGGCGGTTTTGGTGGCCTCCAAAATAGCGAGCGATGCTTCTTTGGCTAAGCTTATCCGTAAGTTTTACGGAAACGCACTTGGGATTTGCGAGGTAAGTCCGAGTCAATACTTTTCTACAAAAGCAGACAATTCGAAAGATATGCTGAGGTTGACCCTGTTGTTGGAGAATACGTCTTTAGGCGATGTGAGACAATGTGGCTTGCAGTATGTTCATGAGCTATTTCAAACAAAAACGTTGGGCAAATCGCTTCCTTCAGTGCTTCTTCACAAATATGAAAAGATGCACTTCGAGTCTCTATTCGAAAATTATGTTTCCCAAAATAGGGAACGGTACATGTCTTTATGCCAATTGACTCAGAGCTCGAATCCAATGCACCAAGGTCTCGGTCATGCTATAACAGACCTAATTGAAAGTTGCATGGGTCTTTTGCCCTTGGTCATGTATTTGGAGAGTGGTGACGATTACTTCACCAATTGTTCCTACCCTCTCAATCATTTGAGCTGTTCGAGATCATTGAGTAGCTCGAGATCATTGAGTAGCTCGAGACACTTGAGCATTCACAGCCTCGCGCACATCCGTCGCACTTCAAGCTTCGCCTCGGCCTCAGATTGTGAACCTGCGACACCAAGGTCACCTCTTTCTGCGACTGGCTCCGTATTCAGCAGTATCTGCTCCATTCCATCGCAGTCTTCAGAAAGTCCACAGAACATGCCTTCACACAAGCAAGGGCAATGGTTTTATCCAGAATAGGTAAACCTTTTGATTTAACGAAGCCTTGAGATGTCTCCCCAGTTGACCTCAATTATTGTGGAAGTATCCCACTCTTTTTTCTATCAACCTTGTCTACCACCATCTAACGCAAATGAAATTTATAACTTATAGAATATCTACTACGTGAACTATGAACAACTATTATGCAACGACGATGCCAGACTCTCAAAAAAAGCTCCCTCTAGAAATTAGATTCATTAATCATTACGCAGTCTCTCCGCTCCCAAAATTTTGTCGAGTACTGAGGCTTATCGTGCAGACCGCTGCATACTATCGTCTAGGTTGTATGAACTGGCGAAGCGGGGCGCTCATCTTGTTTATTCGAACCTGTCGCAAAATCATCGTATAGCGAAGTCGAGGAAGTAGACGCAGAGAGGTCTGATCTGTATTCATGTTCAGATCCCTCATGGTTCATTTCAAAAATGAGGGGTCCATTGGACATACTTTCCATGCCAGCTTTCTTCCAAAGTTTTTCTTTCGCCTTCTTCAATGGTGGAGACTTAAGGTACCAACCGTCGTCTTCCATATTACCGTCGACATAAATTTCCTTAGTCAGTAATACGTACATTAACAGGGTGGTGAAAGCGAAAAGCATTGTGTATGACAATCTCTGCTGGAACACTGCATCTTTTTGGACGCCTTCAAGTCTTAATAGCGTGTCTGCGGTGAATTGTTCATTTGAAAACCTCTGTTCCTCGAGAAGTTTGAGAGAGGATTCTCGTAGCTGCTGTGAAAACACTTGAATATCACCCAGATTGGACAGAATAGTTTGATTTAGAGCCGAGACTAAAGTATCAAACTTTTTCGCTTGGTTTTTCTCAAGGTTCGAGAAGGCTCGAGAGAGCAATTTGCTCTGTTCTTCGATATATCTTAAAGACAGGGTCGAATTACTTTCTAACAAAGATAAGCGTTTAATAATCGTCTTGAAGATAGATTCCTCGGCCGATGATGAGGGTAAGGAGCCCGGCGTCTCCAAAGGCTGGAATCTCACTGATTCGCAGGAAGTCTGATTCAGTGTTTTCAAGAATTGATCTACTTCCAAATGGGGTAAAATTGCAGGGCACTGGTCGCCAGCGAAATCCAGCACCGGAAAGCCAGCCATAATATGGGATGGGCGAAAACGAGGGAACTCGCACGTATCCAAATATTTGCCATCATAACTTAGGCCCTCTTGCTCATCGTGAACACATTCCTCCGACTTTATAGCATGCGAGCCTTCTTGTCTGCTAGAGTAGATGTCATTGGTTTCGTCCAGTTTGAAGTCATCGATCATCGTCTTGCCATGGACTCGAACCAAGGAAATGGGACAGTAAAACTCACTACCATAATGGGACAAAACTTCGATCCTCAAGTACCTCGCCCAAATAAGAGATTTAGATATTTCAAACTTTTGAATATTACGTGTATTGTTAGCGTCAAATTCGCCTAAGACTTTCCATCCACTTTTGGGGGGAAACCTATCGGAGACAGAAAATCTCAACCTCTTAAACGTAGAAGAAAAGAACTCATAATTTGCAATGGCAATTTCCTCAACTAGGATATCTTGGCATAGTTCCATGACAACAAATTTCATCGGAGCTGAACATGGCGTCAAGAGGTATTTGTCCTTATTCTCGTGTAGAATGGCGTTGGCACCCGAAGCCTCAGAGTTTGTTTTGACGATGGTGGCTGCGCAATCTAGTGATGCATAATTGAATTTGTCGAGGTACAACTTACCTTCTGGCTCCTCGTTCAACGCACCTTTTTGGGAGGTGAACAGGCCAAGGTCTATCTCAAGGTCATCGCCTAAAGCATCACCTCTGTAAAATGATAAATCTTCTCTAGCAGTCGCGTGTGCACGTAACTTGGAGTCCCTTGACGATTCTTGGTCAAGTTTGACTTTCTTCCACTCATCGAACGACAGAAATGTCGGATCTGTATCATTAAGATCTATTTCACTAGAGTCTATCTTTGTTGATGAGCTAGCGATTGTCTGTACTAGCGACGAGGAAGGTATAAGCTTACTTGAGCTGCTAACAGTATATTTATCCTTGTCGATTATTATCGTCTCTCCCAAGGTTAAGTTCCCGGACAAATTATCAGTTTTTTGAGCGACAGTCATCTCTTCCGGAAGCCTGCTCGTACCATTATGTATTCCAGAACACCTGCTTTCGGAGTCGTTAAACCCGGTCGGGAGGAAGTAGTTTGTGTTAAATGTTTCAGCTGTGGCAGATATATCTGATGCTACATCGAACGATGGACTCGTCAGCGCACTTTCAGAACAGGCAGCAATATTCAGGAAAGCGATTGCTCGGAATAGCCAGAAGAAGCTCTCCATATGGCAAATTACCGAGCGCAATGCCTTGTTGATAGGAATTCTCAGAAATGCCCATATAACCTTCTTAATTTACACAGTCTGCTTTGGTATCGACAATATATTAAAGCACTAAGAACGAGCTCAGAGCCATATCAAGCTTTCTCGGCGCCCTGGAGCTAGCTCCACGATTGATGAGTGAGATGATTTGGTAATTGCTCGATTCTACCCCAAAGATGTTTAGCTCTTAATTTGTCTTCAATACCTCTGGTCTTTCGACCAGCTACAGGCGAAACCATGAAGGTAGACCGTGAGGAGAATACCTCATTTATGCCACTTTCGAGGTATATAATTTTGTTAATACTTCAAGTAGCTATGTTATCTTCAAGCTTTGAATGCTGAGGACAAAGCTCAAACCAACGTTTACTACGTTAGCCTCCAGAATAGGATAAAAAAAAAACAGCCTACAAGTTCCGAATGGTGTTCTACGGCCTTGGCGTCATTTAATCTCCTCTATTTTTTTTTCTTCCATTTTACCTGGAAGCTTGAGCCTCACAATAAGCGATCGTGAGTTAGCCTTCATCACCGTAACTCGTTCGTTGAAAGCGGCAGCCGAAACATCAACCGTTCGGTCCTTCGAAGAGATTTTGACAAATCGAAGAGGAAGTGAGCCCAGCTTCGTGATGGAGCTTTTTACCACCTTTTTGGTTTTCTTTGGCAACTGTTGATTACTAGAAGCTGGTCCTGTCCGTGTTTTAGAGTGGGGTTCACCTTTGGGGGCGTTCAATTTTACCTTCATGGACGAAGGCTTGGTAGTGGCTGCCGCCTTGCGCTTGGTATTCACTTTGATTTTCGGAGCCAAATGAACTTTTAAGATGCCTTCTCTGCGTAGCCTCAAGATACCATTTCCATCGTATTTGGCCACAAGCTTCCGATCCCTGGGAATTGGGAGTTTCACGTAAAATTTGTCTTCCATGTTGTACACAATTCGTACCAGATCGAAGAGCGATTTCTTCTGGTACACGCTTGTGAGAGGAGAGTGCAAGCTATCCCATATGACCTGCTTCAGAGGTCCATAACTTACAAATTTCCGGCGCAAAATAGTCATGAGTCCACCAATACTTGCCCTCAATTGAGTTTCTCTCTTGTTCGCAGTCTCTGCACTGAAATTTTCTATGATAAAATTAGAATCTCCTAGATCGTAATTATCCGATCCGCTTGCTGGATTTATCATAGTGTGAATATTTTCAAGATCATCATCTAGGTCTTCCAGGTATCGCTTTTCTGCAATGAAGTTGATAGCCTCGACCAGAATCCCGACTAATTTTAGCCTCACGTAGGGGTCCGGATGTATAAGCATGAATTCAAAAAAAAGCTTCAGTAGTTCACGATTCTTGATGCCCCCAGAAACAAGTAGGACTTTGAAAGATGTCAAAACGAGGTCTTGTAGTCCTTCCCCTAAATGTAACGCATTTTCGGGGTGCCTGCTTGGCTGTTCTTTTATGGCGTACTCCAGGATTCTAGTAATGTCATCGTAAACATAAAAGCCATCAATTGCTAGATTCAAATGCTGTTCCATGAGGCACCTCGTTACCAACAACTGATAAGATGGGATCCACTGATCGAGATTATTGAATCTTCGCAATTCATGAACCAGATCTCTACAAAAATCCACGTCATTAGGCTCTCCGACAGTGCTAGCCACTGCACTTTCTACTAGGTTAACAACGTAGTGGGTGTCATTGTAGCTGTTGTCAGCATTTTCATTGTATCTAAGAATGTTCAACAGAAATCGCTTCACAAATGTTGGGCAAACGTTGTTCTCATTCCTGACGCTAGAGAGAAGCTTCGGGATAGCCTTTTGAAGGAAATATCGCTGGAAGTCAGAAAACTCGTTGTTGAATGGAATATTCGAATTCTCATGACAGAAATAATGCTGGAAAATTTTTATCAGATGCTTGGCTCCTCCTGCAAATGCTTCAGAATTATTTTGCGGGATTACAAATCTGGCCAATGCTCTGCAAGCTTCAATCCTTACGCCATAAAAGTATCTGTCGTCCATGACGGTCCGTGTCAAGACAGAAGAGTAAACCTGAGATTTAACATTTGAATTTGTAACAACGTCTTCAAAAAACCTTATACTATCGATTTGTGCTTCAACATCACGGTCTTGTTGTAATTGAGATGCAAACATGTAGTCAGGTTGATTGATATAGATCTTGCAGACCCACTCGAAGTCTGCATCAATTCTGATCCATTCAAACGCTTCATTCTGTTGTTGGAATTCATCGCCTTCGCTGGTCATTAATGCATCAGTAAGGTTCCATTGGTTGCAATCTTTAGCGCTAGTTAGCACATCACCTAGGCAATTTACTAACACCACATCTTCATTCTCATCATCCGGTAATGTTGGTTCTATAGAATCAACTGGGGTTTGGTCTTTGCCCTCTTGTTTTACAGTTTTGTTTACTTTCCTTCTCCTCTTGAGCCTTTTGTATTTTGTGTTGTACTGAATATCAAGTTTTGTGAAGGTATCCTTTAGCTCAACTATATGCTCATACGGGGTGCCATCCGCCTCGTGTATTCTAATTGTCATAGAACCTGTAAAAATGGGAGTCAAGGCTTTGTTTGGGTAGCACATATAGTTAAGGGCACTCGTTTGATACCCTGCCCTGCCTATTGTCTTCCCCTGGCCCAACTCTTGGGCTTGGCATTGTCGGATACCCATCTCTACGACCATTCTTTTTTTGTTGAACCGTTGGGTGATTCTGAAAATGGGCACCCCGGAACCGTAAATCCACTCCTTGAAAAAACTTTCGAGTTTACTCTTGTTAACTCTTTCGCATACATGCTGAAAATGCGCAGTTGAGAGACTACTGTTTGGTAGGTCTCCTGACATAGCTTGAAGAAATATCTTCGGCAGGACCCTCGACATACCGAAAGATCGTTCAGTTTTGGTCATCCGACGATCTAATATGTACAAAACAATCGGGGCCTTTAACTTAATAAAGTCCAATTCTTTAGAAAGTGTAGTGATGGGCATCGAAGCGTGTGTGAAAGCATCGGCCATTGGCGGTTTCTCCCAATCTTCATCAACTACTTGCTCCGACAAAGTCTTGACTCTGTATTTGAATTCGTTGAGGCCCATCAGATGTCTGGAAAATTGCAATGCCATAAAACCGGCCATGCCGATGCAACACCAGAGATCGTTCGCGACTTGAGGAGTAACGTTAACCCCAGACCATTGAGCAGCCAATGCCCAGCTTAATTTATCCGTTGTTGAAAAAGCGAGATCGATGACTTCTGGAGGATAGAGTAACCTTGTGTTGCAAAAGGTAGAGCCGGCAAAATCCATGGTATCATCTGCTATGGATGGAAGAAAAAGGAGAGAGTAAGATGTAAATGAATATGATCCAAATTCTTTGGAGTAAAAATCCAGGATTTTTTGAGTAACCAAGGTCGAGTTGAGGATCGTTCTCTCGTCAATATCGGGACTATGCAGAGTATAAATTTGGATGGGGATGACGTCTCGTTCTTCATCTTCTTGATTTTCTTGTACTATAACCGGATCGTCGTTTTCATCTTCTGCCTCCTCTTGCGCTTTGAGTTGTGGGATCATCCAAGTTTGAAAAGCCCCCACCGCCCATCCGATGTGATGAGGTGCCACTGGATTGAATATCTGAAACGACACCAGCTTTCTGGAAAGATCAGTCGGATGTGGCGTTTCTTTGCCGGTCGAAAATTCAGAGCAGCAAACGACCATTTCTCGCTTTAAAGGGTTATCTTCCTCCTCATCTTCGTCAATATCTTCCTCCTCTTCTTCATTGTGGCGAGTTCGTTGAGCGTGAACTTCCTGCTCATCCTCAAGGTCCATCTTGTCTGCACCGTTAGATTCTTCTCGAAGCTTTCGCCTTCTTGGTTGAGAAGCACCAATGACATTACTAGTACCAATGTCTCCTACTTTTTTGGGCACACTGAACTCCAGCTCCCAAGTGCATTTCTCCTCGAGGGTGTCTACACATGGTAGCCAATGAGAAGCACTAGAGTTCCATTCTGTATTGGTTGTGCAAGCTGTCCATAAATGTTGTTCTCGTGAGGTGTCAAATTGTAGACCACTGGTTGGATTTTGTAATTGATAATTAATCCTGATGGTTATAGGGGAATAAATGGTATCCTGTGCGGGTGTTCTTACTGAAGGCGTTATAGGAGTGAATGTGGATACTGTATTTGCCTCCTGTTGAGTTATCTTGACAGAGGCGGGAATTCGAATTGTCAGTTGGGAACGGGTGCTGTCTGAGGTCTGCGAAGGTTGGTTGAGCTCCGCAAATTTATTTCTGAGAAAATGAGCTTGTTCGACCGAGTTGGTATCAAACAACGGTAGTTCTGACAGCTTGCCGCTGCTGTATTGGTCGGCATACCATCTATAAGGGTCATCATGGATATAGTTGTCGCATCTCCGGTTTTCAACGATGACACCCGTGACGGTCATTTCCTTACAGTCCAAAGTCACATACTCCAGCTTGTCACTCAATGGTATTAGTATTATTTCTGTAAATGCATTAAGTGAGTGCGTCGAAAGGTCTACATCAATGGACACCCGCTGATGTGCAATTTTGAATGCTGCCTCCGGAGCCGAGCTGAAAAGCTGGGGCCCTAGCCCAGACCTTGGAGTGGCTCTCATATGGGCCATTACTGGAAAGCAAAGTAGGCCGGGAGCGTGAAGTAGTGCGGTATTAGAGATCGCCTCACAGTAGTGGCGACGTTGGTAAATAATACCAACACTTTTTCGACAAGCAAAGGTCACGTGTATGTACCCTATAACAGTAGAACGCAAGGCGATGATAGCCAGCGATGCGACAGCTCGTTATAGCTTAGGCACTAAGACCTACTTCTGACTACAGTTCTATTGCTGAGTGTAGTCGATGCTTTTAGGTTGGAGCCATCTCAATTAGAGGGTCACCCCGTGAAACCGGGTGATGAAAGGTGGCCAAAAGTGTAAATGGTTAACTTTCCATGATGTGTGACCTTGCCTGCCTCTCCTTTTCCTGCTCAATTACATACAGTCTCGGGAAGGGAAAACACACCTGGCTACTGTGAGTAAAGCTTGATCTTCCACGATCGATTGAACACGAAAACCGAGGGCTTCGCGACCTGTAATTGCGCATCGCCCCTCCAAATTGAAATCAAGTTGGAGCTACATGAATTAAGCATGCTCTGCGATTGTGGAGCAACGCTTGTAGTAATTGTTTTTATGCTATGTTTATTAACCAGTAACATCTGTGCAGGTTCAATTGCAAAATAATACCCAAAGTTACGCCAGGTTCCAAATACATTAAACCACAGTCGCAAAATATGCCTTTCTAGAGTGAAATATTTGTATGGGGTAACTATAATCCACTTAAAACAGGCATGCCCCTAACGTAGCGCTGTTTCCCCCGAAGTAAATAGAAGATCCCAAACCACTTGCCACAGAAACTGACCTCGTTTGGTCATTCGTCTTGTAACGCCTGCAAGGCCTCTGAAATGATGCCTTTACCATGTAATCCGAGGTATCCCTCATCTGAAGTGTTTTGGAGCTTTCTGTTCAGTTAAAAGCTGTTTGTGTCCGTCACAGCGGGCACAGAGTCAAGTCCCTGGCGCCAGAAAACACCTATCACTTCATACTAAAGTGTCACCGGGAGCCTGCACCAGCCGGCTGTGTTCTGCCATCATCTGCAAATCCTACCGATCGTATGGCTACATACCGTCCGAGAGCCCGCGCTATATGCGAGATGAACCTTAGAGAGTCGTATCAACACAGTTGCATTCCGATCTGCCACACGCCCTTCGAAAATCCCATCTTGGCACCTTTCAAGATTCCTTCACTGGAGTCCTTGTGACATCCTTCAAGGCCATTCGTCATTCCCCGGATCCACGGGACTAGCCATTCAGTATGTCTCGTAATCCTACTCAAAATGCCCTTGAGGGATCTCGCTCGGCCACTTCCGCTCTGGGAAATTTTAGTCTTGTCTTTCCAATGCAAAAATAAGGTAGTTCTGCATGGCAACAATGGAAAACATCAACCGCTTCTCAAAACAATACCGCTTTTTTCATTCGGCCAACTCCGCTCAACCGCTCGACCTCATTGGCCGTATCTCGAACAGAAACAAACTTTGCTGCATCCATTACCTTTCTTCTATCCATCACCCGACGTGACCAAAGTCCAATTACAGTAGAATAGGAGAAGTTGAAGGAAACTACCAGCTTACGCAGGCTGCAGGACACAGAGGGAAGAATTATATTTATATAGTAGCGTTTAGTCAAGAAACTTGAGGTTACGAATAAACAATTGTGTTGACCGACTAAACCAGGGATACACTAAAACTTAGTAGGACGCACGCAGGTCGCAGGTTCACTAATTTTTCACTTTCAAGTTTACAAGTCCCACCTTAACTCAGATAGATAAAGCGGGCGTGTCAGTCGGTGATAGCGAGACCATTTCGATATTGATAAATAAGCCATGTCTAAGCCAGTCGTCCTTAGGTTAGGAGCCATCAAATATGCTCAACAAGCGTGGGAAAAGCTGGGCCAAATCGCCCAAGTAGTCACGATTGATGACGCTACCACCAGAGCAGAATTCCTCAAGGCATGCCAAGATCCATCGAGCGATGTTTCCAAGACTCAGATCGTTGCTAGAACTTTTGCCAGCGTGAAGAACACCGGCCGTTTCGACGCAGAGTTGGCAACCAATTTGCCAGGAAGTGTGAAGGCCGTCTGCCACAACGGTGCCGGTTACGATCAGATTGACGTCTCTAATTTTGCTGACAAGCAAATACAGGTTTCCAATGTGCCTGAACTGGTCAACAATGCCACCGCCGACACACATGTGTTTCTGTTGCTGGGAGCGCTTCGTAACTTCGAATACGGCCACAGACTCATGCTGGAGAACAAATGGCCCTCTGCGGGGGCCGCCGCTGGCGCACCCATTGGTAACGACCCAGAGGGCAAGACGGTCGGAATCTTGGGTCTCGGTGGAATTGGCCGTGCTATCGTTGACAGACTGAAGCCATTTGGCTTCAAGAAGTTCATCTACCACAACAGAAACAGATTGTCGCCAGAACTTGAAAACGGCTGCGAGTATGTTTCTTTCGAAGAACTCCTGAAGACTTCAGATGTGGTTTCGATCAATATTCCGTTGAACCCAAAGACCAGACACATTATCGACGCAGCGGCTATCGACAAGATGAAGGACGGTGTTGTCATCGTCAACACAGCCCGTGGTGCGGTCATTGATGAGCCCGCGTTGATTGCGGCGTTGAAATCCGGAAAGGTGAGATCCGCTGGACTCGATGTCTACGAGAACGAGCCTCAGGTCCCACAAGAGTTGTTGGATTTGCCCAATGTTTGCAGCGTTCCACATATGGGCACTCACACCGTCGAGACCGTCAAGAAAATGGAGGAGTTTGTTGTGCAGAACGTTGAGTCTGTGATCAAAACCGGGAAGGTCTTGACCATTGTGCCCGAGATGAAGTCGGACATTTGGGTTCAAGAACAAAAACCGCTTGCCTAAGTAATTACGTGTCAACAGAGCCTAGATCGGCGGATTAGCTGCCGCCTAAAGTCCATATTCTGCGCATGTCATTACTACACGCTTCTTGATAGTACACAATCTATAATTAAATAGGTTTTGCGGGTCAGTATATATTTCGCCTTAAAGATTTCCAAAGCCCGCATCCAAACCCCCAGTACTTATACTTTGACGTAGTACACATTGTCCCCGTCTTTATCAGCCTTAGTGCTAGCGCCCATGCTCCCTTGAACCTGCATGAGAGCGATATATGTTAGCAATGCCAAAACCAGCACTACACAGCTGTACACCACGTAGTTTTCCAGTACGTGCGATCTCAATATGCTCAGAATGCTACGCTCGTGTACCTGACGTTCCAGACCAAATCCATAGTTGAAGTAACCAAGTCCATACCTGAAAATCGACTTGAAACCACCAAACTCAGTATATGTTTCCTTGGCCAAAACCACATTTAAATCACCAATATCTTGAAAAGCATGTTCTCGAAGGAGAGCAGGATCTACTGGCTGCGGGATCATATCAAAGCAATGTGGCTAGAAGTAAGACGTATTCCCACTTGTTTTTGGTACTAGTGATGATGCTGTGAATGTTCTTGATATTAACCTGCCCAAATTTTTCGCGAAAACATGAAAGACAGGTGTCAGTGAAAGAAAAAAAGATAACAAATTATGACGCTATATATGGATAACGATTGCCTTATGACACTATATGCTGCCGTCACTATGGCTATTCAACATGATTATACATACCATGCTGCCATTAGTTCACTTCCGCAGAACATCGGTTTTAAGGTTCTTCAATGTAAAGTCCTCCGCGACGTTGGCGTCCAAAATTGATAGCTCATCTGGAGTGAACCACTTTGGGAAAAACAGTGAAACTATAACTGTGAGTAATAGAACAATAGGAAATCCTATTGCTCCCACTGTATTAGTGATAGAAAATTCTGCGGCAAACCCAGCTAGACTAAGGGCGAGAAAAATCAAAAACTTGCGCAACGGAACTCTGCTCAATGGTTCACCAGGATCAAGCTTCGACGGATCTGTGATTAAGAAACAAATCCTTCCGACAATTGCATTATTCAAGAGCCCATTGAGACCCATAATGAAAAATAAACCCGCCAGCACAGCCTGCGGTATCTGCCCTAGACACACCAACAATGGGCGTGACATAGTGGCCAAAGTCATCAAACCCTGTACTGTGTTCGTGAATCGCTGCTCTACACAACGCACTACATCTCCCGTCTTGTCTCGAACTAATAATGTCTCGGTGTGCAAGGGAGCCTGTGGTATTAGTCCGTTTGGTGCCGGAATCCCTAGTACGCCGCTTACGCCCGTGGTGGCTCCCAATAATGCAAAGTCAAAGTGGAACGTCGAAGGCTTAGTAAGCTTGTATTCAGCACGCTGTGCCATCAAAGACGATACATTGTGATCGAAGTAGAACAAAATCGTCAATATTATCCCAAACGGAAGTGCAATGAATATGTCTTTGGTAGGAATTTCTGCATACGCAAGCCACGTATCACGGTTCCTAAACGCTGAAGTTGGATGGAAAGCTTTTGTGATCGGAAGCCTTTGGAGATCAATATCATCCAAATATCCTCCGAAATGCGTGAAGGCCGACCAAAAGACCACAGAGAGGGCAGTTGAATAATCTGCGATAAAGGTGCGAATTTTGTGACTGAAAAAGGGTGTCCTGACCACTAGCTTGGCCGACAAGCCAAAAATTGTCATCACCAGAGCTACGACAATGCTAGCATATCCTTCTTTTAATTTCAGTTCACCGTCTTCGTGGAACTGTCGAGTGAGTATTTGAATGCCCTTTTGTACGTACACAACGTTAATGAATAGTCCAAAAATATCGCACGGAAAAGTTGTCACATATTGCAAGAGACAAACTGTATTGAGCGCAGCCATTAAAAAATGGAAAATCATCGACCAAATGCAAACCCAGAACATGAAACCGAAATAGTCGGTGTTGAGAGGTTTTATTATATCATAAATGGTGTAGTTGAAAATCGAAATAGGTCCTGTGACGCCGACGATGCAAAGGGGTTGTCCGGAGAGAGCCCCAAAAACTACCCCACCAACCGCGCTAGCTAAAAGTACCTCGTTGACCCCGTAAGATCTATTAGTACGATCAAACATGTCCTGAGCAAAAGCGATCGCGGGTAGCAAATTGTTGAAGTACGTTTCTACCACGCTAGGAATGACACGGTAGTCCCACGAGTCAGTCCAATCTAACCAGTAGAGTGGAAGGCGGTCTCTAAAGTCCTTCATGATTCCTGCACATGGAAACGGCATTGATGTTAACATTTTCCGTCGCCGCCCTCCACTAATTTCGACATCTTGATCAGCTTTGCCTGCGGTGCTCGTATCTTCACTATTAGACAAAGTAGATATCAATCTCATCGGCTAACCTTACAGAAGCGAGTGTTATCTGCTATCTGGCTACTTCGGACTAACATTCACCTATGCTAAGTACCAAATATTCTCATCACTGTGGTTAGAAGTGCTAATACGGCTAGCTGGCTTAGGAACCCTTGTGATTTCTATAAAATGTTATCACGCCACACGTGTGTAATAAATCTTTAGGTGAGCAAGGCCTGCCATCTCCAGACGTGCGCATAAAAAGGGCTATAGCGCCCCCCCATTGCTCGTAGGCTCGATTCACAAAACAAGGCTAATTTTCACTCGATAATTGGCATTCAAAATGCATATGGAATCTTGTTTTTCTCTTGCTCTGGGCCCTGAACGCCTGTGGTGCCCTGAACGCCTGTGGGGCCCTGCCGCCTGACAAAATTTGTATAACTGATTTATTTCGTAAGTCGCCCTAATCGACCGTAATCCCATCACAGGCATTCATGTAACGGAAGTCTTGAATGAAGAAATCGTAAAGTTTCCAAGATGGCAACACCGTGCACGCGTGCCAAATCGCATGAGAGTCAATTTGCCAGCGGTAGCTGAAAAAATCGAACAGTTCACAGGACATGGACAATGATGTTCCAATCACCAGAGCTGCAGGAACGACACACAAATGATAGATCATGGTGTTCCGAGAGAGATACTGAGCCTTGCGCGGCAGTTTACCACTTTTCAAATTGTTGTAGTTTTGAACTGATAGGGTCAGTAGTAAAATGTATTGCAGGACCCCAAAGGCGACATTGAAGCGCATGTTATAGGTATATGACCAGTCAAGGTATTGCCGCACGACGTGAGCAGTAAAGATGAGTGCCACGATGCCAGAGACAAGTTTTCGAAGGCCCTTATGATTGTCAAAGCGGGCTAGCCGTATCAGAATTGCGTGAAATCCGCTCAAAACGGTAGCTCCAGCAAAGAAATAGTCTAATTTTTCGGTAAATTCCAAGTCGCGGAAATGGAATACGGTGCTCGAAACCCATGCCAGCATGCCCATGATTGCAACGTAGATGTAATTGTGTAACAAAGAATGTGCTTTTTTGTGCGGTGGCAGACTCTTCAACTCCTGGTAAACCAACTGGTATCCGCGATAATGAGGAATGAAGTTGGCCATGCTGAATATCGTAGAGAAAAACTCTTGTACTCCAAGAAAGCGCTTGAAGGGCCATTTCCCATGGAATTGCACGATGTCATCGCCTTCGAAAATGCGCATTTGGGTGATTATCTGTTGACATTGATAGTCGCAGTTGGATTCGCAATCCCAAAAGGCGAAGTTGCTTAGCAATGATGGAGCTCTTGAAAAATAGATATCCTCCTTTGATCCCAATTTGGCGACCGTTTCGTCTACCAAGCCGTTGCAACCCAGACTTCCCTGGCAGTCATCTTTGCATTCCTGAAACTCGTCCAGCCGGTCCCCAATTGAGCCACGGACAGGGTTCCCAACTGCAAGAAAAGAAGCTAATATGATAATCAATCGCATCTTGAGTTAGGTCCTAGCTGTTTAGTCTAGCCGCTTATGTCGACCCCATCAAGCATTATTTCACTTGGTTTCCACTATGCCAAGACGTTTTAAAGACACCTCATCACTCACGACGAGGACATGAGGGATGTGGCCAAAGCAGCTCTACTGGCCTTGAGAAATTGTGCCAAATCATTGTGGGCATTCAGCTGAGTTTCGAGTTTCTGGCATACTTCCACGTGGAGCGATGGGTTTGAACCTTCGACGCAGTATTCATCTTTCGATAAGTCTATTGTGATCTCACATGATTGAGTAGGATCGGATTCCAAGACTCGAATGAATACAAATCGAAGACTATCAGGACGAGGAGCCTCAATCTCAAGCCCTAATATTCGACTATAGGCCTGCACTTCTGCTAGGTCTTTGTGCTGTTGGTTTTGCACTAGTTGCCGTTGCTGACGCACTTCTTCCTGTTTCTGGGAGAGTAAATCGCGCAATTCATTCGAATCCCGCGTCAAAGCATCCTTCTCAGTCTCCAGTTGCTGTTTGCGTAGTCTGTAAATTTCCATTTGCGCCGCATTTTCGTCTTTCTGTCGTTCAGAAGTTTCAATCTCTGCGTTCGAGCTAGTTAGTTAAGTTATCCTTCAGGGAAAAAGACTCAGTAGTTCACATACCTTCTCTCAACGCTTTCTCTTCATTCTTGAGACTTTCAGATCTCTTCTTCGATTCTTGTTGCCTCAATTCTAATCTATTCACGTCTTGTTTATATCCGTCCACGATCTTAATCAAGTTCACCTTGTGGTTATCTAGTGCGCGGCGAAGTTTCTGCTGAAATCCATCCATCTCATGCTGTAGCTCTACAAACTGGTCAATATTCATCCTTTGCCAGTTCAACTCTATCTGTGTGTTACCGCAATATATCTGCTTATACTGGTTATCTAGTGTACTGGCGTTTAAATATTACATGGCACAATAAAACAAACATTGTTTACTCCGCTCGAAGAGGAATCAAGAAGATAGATTCAACTGAAAAAAGAATTAGAAATACCTTAGAATCAAAGAGTCCAGTGACGTTGGGTTAATACCTTGATTCGTTGTCTAGTAACCCACGGATTTTGAAGCTCAATCAAGATGAGCGCAAACGATGGAAATCCAGAGATACGATTTTTGACATTCAATACCTGGGGACTAAAGTACGTTTCCAAGTTCCGGAAACAGCGTCTGAGAGCTATTGCTGAGAAACTAGGAGGACAATCTACTGCTTTACCTATTCATGGGCTTTCCGAGAAACACTCTGGGTCTTCAGAATACGATGTGGTGGCATTACAAGAGATTTGGTGTAAATCTGATTGGGATTACATCGAGCAAAAGTGCCAGCATCGATACCCATACCGGCGCTTATATTATTCTGGTATCTTGGCCGGCCCCGGTTTGGCGATTTTGTCCAAAATTCCTATCGAATCTACCTTTCTGTACCGATTCCCAATCAATGGACGCCCAAGTGCATTTTTCAGAGGTGACTGGTACGTGGGAAAGTCAGTGGCGGTGACACTTCTGAGGCCAGTAACGAAAAACGGATATCCCCTGGCCATCTTGAATAGCCACATGCATGCGCCGTACGCTGCCTCGGGAGACGCGGCTTATTACTGTCACCGTTCGTGTCAAGCTTGGGACCTTAGTAAATTGGCCAATTTATATAAACTGGCTGGATACGCAGTGGTCATTGTTGGTGACTTGAACTCAAAACCGGGGACTTTGCCGCACAAATTCCTAACCAGAGAAACGGGCTTTATGGACTCCTGGGAGCAGTTGCACGGGGAGCAAGACCTGAGTCAAATTGCTAGAATGGATCCGCTCCAGCAGATTGAGTACGGTGGAACTACTTGTGATTCGATTCTAAACACCTGGCGTTCGATGCGCGAGCCAGGCGAAGCCTGTAGACTTGACTATGCATTAATCGACGCCAGCAGGCTACAAACGGTTTTCGCAAGTTTGAAGTTCACGGAAAGGATTCCAGAAATAGGAAGCTTTTCCGATCATTTTGCATATAATTGCACGCTTCGATTGCGTGACAGAGAGCCAGGATTGGTAACAGAGGAGGAAACCGACCGAGGCATGATTTCAGAGCGATTACAAAACTATGATGAGATGCTAAGCGTTTTGGAAAATTATGAAAAGGTGGCGAAGTGGCAAAGAGCGTGGAGGGGAACGCATTTTTGGCTAACTGTTGTCTGTATTGTCGTCGTTCATGTTGCGATCACATTCACCGCCAACCGGGCCGGCTGGTCTTCGGTCTTTTGGGTATTTTTTTTGACGGTCATTACTGTGACTGGCCTCATCGACGGATTAATTTCATTTTTATTTGGCAGGAGCGAACTCCGCGCGCTGGAGGAGGTTTCTCGAGAGGTGAAGGACGCCAAGTTACACGGCTATCGGTTGCTAGATAACAAGATCTGAAATTCCACCTTTTTTCGCTAGATACCCAGCCCAGTCTTACGCTGAACCTCGAGAGATGGTATTTGAAAACTTCTCGAAGGTACTGAGGCTAGTACCCAGGAGGAGAGTGAGGTCTGTCTATTGTTTCCCCCACGCTTACTGATACTAAGGCTGCACTCTTAATATCCGCGTATACAATGATATACTTTTTAATTTTATTTACATTTCTTTCGCAAATCCTACAAGATCGACCACAGCCAGGAAACCAGGCTCGCAAGCAGCCAAGTATCAGACTGCACCTTTCAAATTGATAATATATTCATGCGTTTAGGAAGTGCCATTCTGTCACTCAGTGTCAAGAGCTCCAAGTGCTAAAAGCTTTCAAAGAAACACAGAATGTTAATTCAAAACTCCGCAAGAGATACTCAGAAGATGGACAGACTTGGCACACTCCTCTCGATAGAGCTACCAACCGACGTCTACCATCGGACTACGAAACATGACTTCACATGTTTATACCATAATGGTCACTACACACGAGAAACATGGAGTTTTGAGATGGGATTTGTATAGGTTTGTGGGGGGCCCTTAGCAGAATCAGGATAGTTCTGTTTAAGACACAAACTACCAAGGCCAGTACATGTCTCCTTCAAGGGTCTTGAAAGTATCAAATGGCCAGAAAAGACCAACCGGACGTACGTGTTTACAATGGTGCAAGCTCAGCGGCGCCGGAGAGTGAACAGAGACCGCAGCAACGGCGATGGATCAGGTCTCTGTCTCCCGTTGGGAAACTGTACCGTTCGAGCGCTGGCCTTGTTCATTTGAGAAATCGAAGTCTCAGCGTGAGGACCTCCAATTCGGCGGTAAGCGATAGCCAGGAATCAGAGACGTCGAATTCCCATGTGAGCAAGGAGCACGACCATGATTTGGCAAGGCCGTGTGGGATGGCTAAGAGCATTGTAGGGTTGCTTACAACTGCGAGCGTGTATGCTGGAATGGGTGACTTGGAACAAGCTCATCAGACAGGGGAAGAGGAAGAAGGGAAAGAGGATGATGAGGAAGAAGAACTAGAAGACGATGATGAAGAAGAAGTAGAAGAGTTAGAAGACGATGATGATGTAGAAGGAGGAGGAGGAGAAGAAGAAGAAGAAGAAGAAGAAGGAGAGGACGAACAAGAAGAAAGGGATAATTATAGTGTCTTCCTGGACAACAACTCGCGCAAAAAGCCGCAGGACGGAAAAGGAGAGTCGGTTCCTGGATCCCCATTACTGGCCCTACAAGCAGCTGACGAAGCCGACCATACTTCGGATAGCTTGCGCAGCTCAAGCGACCTTGACTCTTTGGCGAATACTGTAACGCATTTCTCAAAGAAAGACTCCCTTTTCGAGTTGTCCGTGGTATCTAATAATGATGCCAATTCCCTTTCCTCATCCAGCTCCAGAAGTCGTCGTTCTAAGATCTACAAGAAACTGCTTTCGAAGTTCAACTTAAGTGAAGATGAGGATCAGTTTGTGACAAAATATTCGTGTTGGCTACTCAAAGACCTCCTCATTCAGGGCCACATTGTACTGACGACGCGCCATCTCTTATTCTTCGCTTTTTTGCCAAAAAGTACAGGTACTCCCAAGATGTCCGGCAATTTGTCCATCATATCTGGTGTTGGCCTGAGCGGTAGGTGGACACGCTACTGGTCTGTGCTCAAAGACCATACTCTGTCACTTTACAATTCTCCCAGGGATCTTTACTTTCCGCTTTTAACAATAGACCTGAGATATGCTAATAGAATAGAGCTTGCCAAGCATGACGAAGAAGCTACAGGCCATTTCAAAATTCATACTGAGGCCAAAGTTTACAAGTTTCGAGCTGATTCTGGTTACGCTTCACGGTCATGGTGTAGTGCCCTTAAAAAGCAACTATTCGCCACACAGAACTCTGATAATGACTCCATTTCCGTCAAGATTCCATTGTCCAACATTATTGATATCGATGAACAAACGGTTGTCGCACAATCTGTTACTATGAGAATAAGAGTTTTAGAAACTCCGCAGTCGTTTGCTGTTGATGACTATTTCTTCATGTTTTTGAGCAAAAAAGACGCAAATTTGAAAGAAATGATAAACAGGCTGCTCTTGGATGTAGGACAGTCTCATCCCAAGAAGTTGGAAGCAGAGCGCACCTTACTTTCGAATGATATATCTCTAAACACCGACCTTAGTTTGGGAAGAGAAATAAGGCAAAACAAGACAGGTTTGGGCTCTGGGAAGATCATCAAAAGAGTACTGTCACCTGTTACTCGAGTTCATAGACCTTCCTTCTCGATGAGTATACCTTTTAATTCTAGACTCCCCCAACGTACCAAAGAGTCGCACTTCTCGAAAGATGAAGAGGTCAACGCGCCAAGTGGTCAAGGTTCAACAAATAAGAACAGCGATCTGTCAAGTCCAGAACACATCGAGGCTCCCGATGATGGTCTTTCAGAGAGCGACAGCTACTTTGGAACTGTTGAGGACAACAAAGGAAGAATCATGAGTTTGGCAAGTTGGACTCCCAGGCCAATAAAAAATATGGGAAGTATGTGGGGCGCACATCCAATGCATTACAGGTACAATGACGAAGAAATGTTTCCAGATGATGACCAGTACTTGGCAAACAGCAAAGAGCAGATTTTAGCGAGCCAAAGGTTTAGATCACATTTTTCATTGCGACAGGATGAAGCTCTCACGGCCGCATATTATGCGCACTTGAATAAAAATATTCCGGTGTATGGCAAGCTGTATTTAGGCTCTTCAGTACTTTGCTTCAGATCGCTTCTTCCCGGCACGAAAACGAAAATGATTTTGCCAGTCTCTGACGTCGAAAATTGCTACAAAGAGCGCGGCTTTAGGTTTGGGTACTTCGGACTTGTCGTGGTAATTCATGGCCATGAGGAACTGTTTTTCGAATTCAGTCTACAAAGCTCCCGGGATGATGCGGAGTGTCTCATACTCAAGCAGCTAGATTCAACCAAGGCCCAAACAGGTGGTTTGGGTGATGTGGGCAAGTTAACTAATAATTTTACTGCCACTACCCTATCGGCAGAGCAGCAAGTCTCAGAGGCGGCCAAGTTAAGATTGTTTGAAGATAAGATAAGTGCCGAAGGCTTTGACGTTCCAGTAATGATAGAGGAAAGTCCATTTAATAAGACTACCTTAACGCCAAAAAAATCCTACCGCTTTGGCCTATTGACGATAGGCTCCCGCGGGGATGTTCAGCCTTATATTGCATTAGGTAAAGGGTTACTGGCAGAAGGCCATCGTGTTACCATAATATCGCACGGTGAATTTCAAGATTGGGTCACGTCGTATGGCATAGATTTTAGAGAAATCGCTGGGAACCCTGCTGAGCTGATGTCTCTCATGGTTCAGCATGGTTCTATGAACGTGGGTCTTCTAAGGGAAGCTTCTTCGCACTTTAGAGGGTGGATTACGAAACTTTTGGAAACGGCTTGGCTTGCTTGTCAGAACTTAGATATCCTCATTGAATCCCCCTCGGCTATGGCGGGTATCCATATTGCCGAGGCACTGAGAATTCCGTATTTTAGGGCTTTCACCATGCCTTGGACGCGCACGAGGGCGTACCCACATGCATTCATCGTTCCTGATCAAAAGCGAGGTGGCAACTATAACTTTTTTACACACGTTCTCTTCGAAAACATTTTTTGGAAAGGTATTGGTGGACAAGTTAACAAATGGCGAACTGAGACTTTAGGGCTCGGAAAAACAAACTTAATGTTGATGCAGCAAAATAAAGTTCCTTTTCTTTATTGTGTCTCTCCTACAATATTCCCCCCTTCTGTAGATTTCAGTGAATGGGTAAAGGTTACCGGCTATTGGTTCCTAGAGGGAGAAGAAGATTATGTTCCTCCAAAAGCTTTAGTGGATTTCATTGCCAAAGCGAGATCATCTGGTAAAAAACTGGTTTATATTGGATTTGGGTCCATTGTCATAAGTGACCCCAAGAAGATGACCAAAGCTATCGTGGACGCCATACTTGAGGCGGACGTTTTTTGCATCTTAAACAAGGGATGGTCGGATCGACTAGGCGGCGATGACAAAAGTGACACAGAGGCTCTCCCCAGTTGCATTTATAGTTGCGGCTCCGTTCCCCATGATTGGTTGTTTCCATTGGTTGACGCGGCCGTTCATCATGGTGGTTCCGGAACCACGGGAGCTGCCTTGAAAGCGGGACTTCCAACCGTAGTCAAACCTTTTTTTGGTGACCAATTCTTTTATGCTAGTCGCGTGGAAGATATTGGTGCTGGTATCAGTCTCAAAAAACTGAACAGTAAGACTCTTTCGCGAGCGCTGAAAGAAGTTACTTCTAATTCTCGAATTGTCCATAAGGCCCAGCAAATAAAGCACGATATTTTCAGAGAGAATGGCGTTGGCTCGGCGATCAATTGTATATACTCCGAACTTGAGTATGCGCGAAGCCTTGTATTAGAGAAAAATAAGGACATGAAAAAGACTACAAAGGTTGGATCATCCCCAGAAGAAAATAGTTGGCTATTGGTGTAGCATCGAACTACTCTTTACTTATGATGATATGTCCATTTTTAATTCCGAAATTCCAGTCCGTGTATCATTCTTTTAAACTAATAATATGTAATCCTCACCAGTTCGTGACTTCTTCAGCTTCCCCGAACAAAGAGTTCTTTACAATCTCGCGATCAGTTTCATCTTGCCAAAGGCGTGGCGGAGCATTGCTCAATTCAGGAGCGTTTTGTCTCAAAAACGCGGTGATGTAATCATTAATCAGCTTGAACTCCAGTAAAAAAGCGTCGTGTCCCTCTGAAGACTCAATCTTCTTCAGTTCCGAGTTTGGTATATGGGCAGCCAAGTATTCCTGTTCAGAATAGGTAAAGAGACCGTCTGATTTGATACCAATAACAAGCGTAGGTTGTTGGAGTGAGTTCAGTACTTGATCGAGGTTATCCTCGTGGTCAGCACGGTCACGGGCCAAATCGTGCGTGTCAAGCTTTCTGGTAATCGAAATATAGCAGTTAGCATCAAATCTGTCCACAAATTTTTGACCTTGATAACGTAAATAACTCTGTGCGGAAAAGTAGGTCTGAGCAGGCTTTATGTTCTTTCCAGTTTTTGAGCTGACCGAGGCAACGGAAGTCGAGGAGGAGACGGACTTCAGTGACGCACTTGAGGAGTCGCTTGAAACACTGGCTCGCCTTTCATCCTTGTTAGAGTGACGATGTCCGTCGTTGTGGATTGCTAGGTTGTGCTCGTGCAAAGTAGAAGGCTTGTTCTTTAGTATTTGCTGTCTGGATTTGTGCTGGTGGAGTACTGAAGGTGAGCGCCTAGAGAATTTGTTCTCAAAACTATTTCTCGACCGGTAAGTCAAAAGAGCCGACATCCGTGCGGCAGCCAAACCCACAACAGGCTGCTTATCCTGGGCGTAGAAGCCATCTAGATAATTAGGGTCGGAGTAGATGGACTGCCTTTGTGCCTCAGACCACGAAATGCACCACGCCGAATGCCTTGCACTTGTGGCTAGCGCGACCATATTCTTCACATACTCAGGTCCAAAAATGGCAGCCCACTCTAACGCTAGCATCCCACCCATGGATCCGCCAACAACACAAGCGACAGAATTGATACCTAAGGAGTCAAGAACAATTTTATGCGCTCTAACGTCGTCCCTAACCGTACAGAGTGGAAACTCCGGCCCGTAAACGTTTCCAGTATCCGGATCCACATTCAGGGGGGAAAAAGAGCCATATGGAGAGCCCATCGAGTTCAAGCAAACCACAAGATATCTAGAGGTATCAAACGCAAGATCAGGACCCAACAGAGGACCCCACCAATCTGCAACGTCTGAAGATCCTGTTAGAGCATGACATACGATAAGCACGTTATCGCCCCGTTCGTTGAGCTCACCCCAAGTTTGGTATGCAATTGGAAAATTGCGTATTACCGCCCCAGAGTCTAATTCTAGTTCTGGGACCTCTACAATCTCCTGACTCTTGACTAACTTGACATATGGGTTTGTCGTTCCTAGCGACTCAGGATCGACGCTCTTCAGTGTGGACTTTCTGGAAGGACTAGATACCATATTCTTTACTCTGTGATTGGATTGGTTCTTTCGCTCACGGTCAACTTCTTACAAATCGTATCTTTCAGAGCTGGCGTAATCTTTTGTTACACTTAGAAACCAGAGACTAAAAAAAAAGGGTGTAGATGCCTCCGCAAGTGTTGAATGGATTGAATCGAATTTGTCCCTCTTGGCAATTCGAAAGGTGCTTTGTGAATCAGGTCCAGAAGGTCCAATTGTGCGCCAATACTCGTTCACTCTTTATATGAATAGGCGGTATTTCACACGTATCTTCGGTATTTCGCTATAAGACCTTTGGCCCACAACTGTGGCTGTCATACCGTTGATCATGAGGTTCTTGAAAAGAGATATATCACGTGCAACCATATGTCGTGTCACACTTTAGAAAAGTGATATGGAAGACCGATGCCATCTAGGTTTCTAGGCCTCTCTTGATGCGACCGGCTGTGGGGTTGGTGCCTCCTTTGTTACGTCCGCTGGCACCTCTCCACTATGATGATCACCTAATACATCGTCTTCTTCTTTGCGTAGAAGTTTGTTCAGTTCAGAGGTCGGGTTGGCTACGAGGTCGTCGAACGAGCCGGTCTCTGCCACACAACCACTTCTATCGAGAACAATGACTCTAGAACTGTGTTGAATAGTGCTCACACGATGGGCAATTGAGATAGTGGTCTTACCGCTGGCGCCGCGCGCGTACAAAGTTCGCGCCACGATTTCCTCGCTTCGTGAGTCCAAAGCACTGGTGGCCTCATCCAGAATCAACACGTCGGGATCTAACAAGAAGGCTCGCGCAAGCGCAATTCTTTGCTTCTGACCACCAGACAGTTGGGTACCTCTGGGTCCCACTAAGGTCTGCAGTCCATCTGGGAAGTTCGTCAAAAAGGCGGAACAATTGGCCTTGCCAATAGCTCGCGCCACAAGATCTTCATTCCGTACAATATCTTGAGGCACTGTATAGACAATGTTGTCCAAAATTGTGCCGTTGAAGAGCAAGGGTTCCTGTTGCACTATGCCTAGCATGCGTCTGTACTTGCGTAAATTAAAGTCTTTGATGTCCTGTCCCCCGATCTTCACAGTACCACTGTCAACATCATAGAATCGCAAAAGCAACGACGCCACTGTGGATTTCCCACCACCAGATGGCCCAACAACACAGACGTGCTCGCCCGGTTCAATGTTCAGGGTCAGGTTCTCAAAGATGGTGTGCTGATGACGGGTTGGGTAGGCAAATTTAACATTTTGAAATTCTATCGACTTACCAGCCAAACTACCTGGACTTATGCCGCGAGTAGGATGGATTGAAGGCTTACGGTCATTCAGTTCAAACACCCTGGCCGCTGCGCCTGCACCTTTCATCAGCTCGGAGTAAAAAGACGACATTCCGAACAACGATCCACCTGTGTAAACCGCATAAATCATGAAACTCGATAAATCACCCACAGTGATGGAGCCGCTTCGAATCATGGAAGTGCCTGTCATCAACAGCGCCAGTACCGCCACGTTTCCTACCAAGCCCGTCAGGCCAAAAAAGCCACCAGAAGTGATGGCTTCCTTGAGACCTACATCATACACTTGACGAACCTCTTTAGCATAAGAACGTATGGCTTGCTTTTCACCCCCATAGGCCTGTATAGTACGCGTTGCAGAAAGTTGTTCCTCAGCGGCTTTAGTCAACCCACCCACCGATGCCTGCAGTGTGCGTGAAAGACTTCGTATCCTTCTACCGTAAATCAGAGCCATGGCCGCTAAGGGAGGAGCCAGAAGCATCATAACACAGGTCATTTTCCAGGAAATATAACTCATCATCCCAAATCCAACAAAGCCTTGTATCAAAGAACGCGTGCCATCTGACATATTCTGCGTTAAGGATTTGGAGACTATACTAGCGTCTGAAGAAAGCCTCGAAATCAAGTCTCCCACTCTATTGTTGTCGAGAAACGTGGCATCTTGTTGTAGCGATGCCTTCAAAGTGCGTGTTCTCAAACGTGCCACTAGCTTCTCGCCTGTCACCTTCAAGATGATGATCCGACCCATGTTCGCTGCAGCCCCAACAACAAAAACTGCAAGCAATGAACCGTAAAATTGTGGCATGGTGAGCCCAAAAATACGTTTATCCAGAAAGCTGGTTTGAGTCGAAGAATGACTGTCCTCATCAGACGATTCCTCTTTTGCAATATCCATCAGTTTCCCTATAACACTAGGTACTAACATGCTCACAGAACTGGAAACGATGATTAGCGACAATGCGAAGAACATAGCACTTGATTCTGGTCTCGCCAATTGAAATAATCGTTTAATGTCTTTCCAACCGGAGGAATTTTGCTCTCCGCGAGTTAAATGTACGCCAGTTTTTGGCACTCCACTGTGCTGCCATCTCAGTTGTCCGGCAAACCTCATTTTACCAATCGGTTCGGATCTGGGGTGGATATTGGAAAACTGGGTCATTCGAGTGAATAAACTTACCGCTGAACGGCGAGATGGTGGCCTTGATATTCCTGTTTGCATGCCATTGATAATACTGTGAATTCCTAAAGTCCATTGGCGCATCGAAAGGTCTTTTGCATATAATAAAGCCGTTTCTTGCTGTGATCTCTTCAGTTCGACAGTGTGTTGAGCGATGAGAAGTTCAACTTGGGCCAACGAAAATATCGTTGTTCGAGTACTTAAGTACTCTCAGCGACGTCGGGCAAAGCTAAGTTCAGTCATGGTATACAAACTAAAGAAGGATGAGAGCTTCTGAGAGCTTATCAGTATTGTTACATAGTTACTCAAGTAATTTGACGATAACATACCCGAGGAATTTGTCATTGCGCTTAGGGAAGCGATTTGTAGACTTATAAGAGTGAACGAAGGTGTAAAAAAAGTCGGAATTTCAAAGAATATTGTGGATATCACTGCTGCTGATACGGGTTAGCGCTGTATGGATTGGGATTGTTTGCAGTTGCTGGCATGAACTGAGAAAAGCCTCCTGTCATGGGAGAGCGAGGTTTCTGTGCTTGAGATTTCGATTGCCCCGGAGCTGGTTGATAATTGGGAGCAGGAATGTGTAGTGGCTTCTGAGGCGCAGACCTGTAGCCTGGACTCGCTCTCCGATTGATAGGATACGACACTGCTGGAGGCGGTCCGGTCCCAAGTGGCACTGGCCGATGGTAAGGATTGGGCATTCCAGATGGTTGAGCTGGGGAATAAGCTCTAGGACCGGGGCCCATTTGCGGGGCCGCGGGCATCTGGTGGCCCAAAGGCTTGTGTTGCATTCCTATATGTTGCCCCCGAGGGGCTGCCGCACGGAAGGGGCCACCATAAGCACCAGCTGGCTGGTTTTTGCTATGTAATGGAGAACTGTGGGCATCTCCCGTCCCAACCGCATTAAGGTCAGAATATACAGGCGAGTGCTTCAACCTCATCGCATTCTCGGCAGAATTCGAGGTTGGGCCTCCAGGAAGGCTCAGTTGGCTCTGAGAAAATGTTTGGGCGTTGGGTGTCACAATCTGCTGCGCTTTTCTTTGCTTGGGCATAATCTGTGGCTGTCCATATCCAGTAGGTTGCTGAGAGGAGAAAGGCACTGTATCTGAACCGCTAATAGATCTCTGGCTCAGATTTTCACTGCTGTAGTGAAATTTACTTTCATTCGCAGTGTAATGACTCTCGTCATCCAACATTTGATTTTGTTCCAAATAGTCGGGATCGAATACGTTATCTAGGGAGCTGGAACCAGTTCCTGTTACCTCAAAGTTGAAATCGTCCCCACGGGCTTTGGTCAACGTTTTTACCTCATCTGATTGCCTGTTTTCTAATCCTACTTTGGAGATTTGTTGTGATAAGCTGTAGAAATCTTGCAAAACATCATTGTTCGCAGGTTCTGGTGTATAGGAGTTTCGGCTCTCCGAATTATAGCTACTACGATTGCTTCTCCTACCGGCAGTAGCTTGGCCATTCAAAGCGTGGGAAATCTCAGTTTGATCCGTACTATTAGAATCCCGCAAGTTTGAAATGTCTAGATTTTTGACCTTTGGGGAGCCCATATAGTCATCATAGGCACCAACGGAGTTGCGATCCTCGTCGTCGAACATTGTGGGCGGGGCTACTTCCGCTGAAGTCCCAAAAGGTACCTGGGAATATTTATCATAAATGTTCGACAGTTCGGACTTCCTTGAGCGTGATACGTCCCCCACCGCATATTCATTAGCAGCATTTTCGACACCATCAAAGTTGGAATGCTGAATATCGATTGTGGGCGTGGCCCTCACACCCGTCGACTTTTGACTTATGGACAAACCACTTGGCTGCGGTTCGTCCCGAGCCCCTGACTGGTACTCGTAATCCGATTTCATGCTAAAATTGTCTTGCGCTTGATGATAGGCGCGTGGATTATTTGATGAAGAGGCATTTCTCAAGCTTGCCTTGGAAGCATTGTTTTCCGATGGAAATCTCGACACAGACGCTAATAATGGCGACGTTTGTATTGGCGAGCTATCAAATAATTCATTCGATCCGATAGCAGGGGACGCTAACGCACCATTTAACCCTTCGCTAGAGCCACAGCCTGTATAGCCCTGCCCAATTTTTTTCAGTAGAACATTTTTTATAGCACTTCTCCATTCCAGAACAGACCACGTCATGTTTGATTGTGAGCCAGCAAAGGACAGAATGTCCTCCTTTTGAAGAAAGTGAACTCGTGGTAACGTTGGGAGACCAAACAGAAGAGAGTTGAGATCATGCCTGTCAGCAATGAGGCGCTTGGGCCTCCCGTATAGTTGGAAAGCATTCATTGCCGGTATCAAGAAACGAATAATAGTATCATAACCAGGCACAGCGTGATGCTTTTCCGGCATAATGAAAATATCTGTTGGAGTTGGCGTATCTTTCTTGCCAAAAGCAACATGTCCTTCTAGTTTGATCATGGTGGAAGTATCAATGAGCACAGGAGAAGATGGATACAAAGCATATATAGCAGATGCATCTTTGACTGTGGTCATAGCTTGAACTTTCTTGGTCTTTTTATCGTTTTCAAAAAAATTGATTTCACCACAGATACGCTTGCTCTTGCTCTTTTTTAGTGGCTGCGAAATAACAGCATAGCACCGTTTCCAGGGCATTCCGGCACCAAACCTGACACTGACCCAGTCCTCGTAGTCAAATTTTGTGTCCGCAAGGATCACTCGAATATCTCCAAGTTTGGCACCTTTGGAGGACAAGAAAGCTCCTGTGTAGGCCTCTTGTAAGCTAGTGAATTCAAACGCACTCAATCTGAAGGATGCATGCCATTGTGCAAATGCTTCTTTGTCGCTGAATTGCAGAAAATATCTATTCTTCAAAGTGGTTGATACTACAATGGTATTCTTAAGCTGCTTCTTGCCGTCCGCGATAACAGCCTCCTTGGGATCCAGAGGTCTGAATGAGGCATCTGTGAAATTGATATAAGTGGGTTTTGACGTTGCCCGCATAAGCTCTTCCGGTCTATCGCCATTTTCGGCTAAAACTCGAGCATCCCATAAAGCAAGCTGCGTCCCGATTAGAACACCGTACACCTCTTTCCAAGTACGCGCCGCAGGCGACCCATCACTGTTGAGATCCTTTAGTATGAGAAATATACCCTCATGATAGCGCCTGTGCGCCTGTGCTGACAAAAGTGTTACGATAGGTGCGAGCTCTGGAGGAATCGCTGAAGTAGAAATCTCTTCGGGGGGCGGCACAGACCTTGCACGAGGAGAGCTATCGCTGGACGAAAAGATGCGCGAAAAACTCGAAGATCTCGAGCGTGGGCCATTGTTGTCTTCAGACTTCTGAAACGTCTTGGGCGGTGCAAGGAGATTCTTCGTAGGCGAAAGCTGTCCCAACTTCATGTTCGGACGGGCTCTTAAATGAGAATTTCCGACAGGAACAGACTGTATCCAAAAACAGTGAAACCACAAAAACCTACTGAACTTGGGTTTGTGGTGAATTATAAGGCGCCTAAGCTGCGGCCACCTGAAGAAGAATTGATATTTCAGAGTTTCCAACCTTCAACAAAACTCTTACGATTCCTGCGTACAAAGTTTAGCTTTTTTGGACACTCCGTTATGAATCAATCTGATGTTCGCTGACGTCGTTTCTTGATTAACGCAAATCCCACGCGGCTTTTGGAAACTTCGTCGCTCAGATAATCTTTACAGGTTAAGAGCAAATCTACTACTGTTCGATTTGCTTCTGAGGACCCTGCTTGTAGATCTATCTGTTTAGGAATCTACCGATAGTAGTTGGTAATCAACAGGTTTGTTTAGTCTTTAGTTGTCGTCTTCTCTCACGGCCCACCCAAAAAAATATCTACGGCTTTTTAGACTTGATGATACGTAGTGATTGTCAAACACACCGCGATGAGCCACTGTAAAATCCATAAGCCGAGTAATGTAAGGGAAATGGTGAGCTCGATGATAGTGGCGGAGTAGAATTGACGTAGGAGGTTATCAAGTACCTCTCGCGCTGAAGTCACCAGTTTTCGAGAAGCATTGGTGGTGAACGACGACGTTGGACTGTCACTGCCTTGAGTCGTGGCATTGGCGCTGGTCTGCAGGTCTTGAATCCATTTCTGCAGAGCATCGGAGTCTATTAGAGGAAGTGGGAACTGCAGATTATTGTGTATCCAAGTAAGTGCCTTTTGGATCTTGTAGAGTTTGTTCTCTATGGTGCAGCGCACAACGGCAGCCATCGGCTTGTAGAGCAGCGTACCGTTGAAAAAGTCCGCAAGGACTTTGTCGATGTCATCGATAGCCGCATTCACAGTATTGTTCAAAGAGGAAGTGGCCCCTTGGGTCCAGCCGAATACCTCCTGGTTAAGATGATCCCTCGAGGCATTGATGTAGTTGTTGGTAGCGTCGGTCCAGCGAGCCAAGTCGTCGTGTAGTGTAGCGTCTGCGGCCGAGGCTAGCTGACTGGCGTTGTGGCTTGTCACAGCTCGTTTGGCAGCGGCAAGAAGCAAAAATTGGCACACACACATGAGAATCCCGGCAATAGCGACAGCGAGGAGTGTGAGCGCTCTGGGTGAGAATGCATACGCGATACTCCATTGTATTTTGCGTCGAGTTCGTATACTGGAGGTCAAACGTTGCGAGACCCAGTCTCCGAAAGCTGTCTGCCATCGAGCGTAAACGCGCTGGTAGTTCTCAATGAAGCCCTGTTGCCGCCACATACTGTGGTCGAACAGTGGTTTTTCGTCTACCAAGGATTGCAGTGCCTGCAGTCGGGCCCATTGCCGGTATTCAGACCAAATGGATGGGATCGTGGCTAGAAGAGCTCCAATGACGAGCAGCGTCACTAAAATGATGAGCAGGACATTGATCGTTTTGAGTACCCCAGAGTAGAACTCAAGTATATCTGGCTTGTTCGCCGTACAGATACCGGCCGCTGTTGTGTTGCTGGCGTTGATCGGAGGAGGTAGGTACATGAGCTCATTGTCGGCAACCAAACGAGAAACGTTGAACGCTGAAATTTTGGAGCGGACGAGCTGGAAAGGGTCCGAGATCTCCGCATGCGTCCTATTCATAATTTTCTCGAAATCCGGGGTCTTTTTTGAGAGCTCCAAAAGCCTGCTGTCGATTGTATGGGGGATGTGCAGGTCTCTCAATTTCGCGATGCTCAAATTCACGGACTTAACTGTCGAGTCAATGTCAGAGGAGTCCTCACCGTCCTTGAAGAAATCCTCCACACTTTTCACTGCTTTCAAGACTTTATTGATGACTTGGGACAGATCATTTAGCCCAGAATCGATGTCGTCTCCCGCTGCAATAACAGTCTCGTTGACAAAATCCAGCAACTTTTCTGTAGTGTTTGTAGCGACATCAACCGCCCCATCAACGGCACTTGATGCCAGACAAATGTAAGTTCCGAAATAGAAATCAAACATGAAGATTGCGGTCTGTTCACCAGCGCCGACTAATAATGACAGTGATTTCAAGCTTGCTTTGACGGATTCCTCAACGGACTTTGTTACCAGGTAATTACCAAACTGACACATGTAAGTAGGCCCTGAATTAACAATTTTGGAATAGTAGAGCTCCAATGTATCACAATTGCTCAAAAGGTAGTTCTTGGATGCCGCTATTGCATTCTTCAAGGACACCGAAAATAGAACGATTTTCACCATGGTGAGCAGCAGTAGTATGGTATACTGATTAATCCAAACCTGCGAAATTCTATCTCGCAATTGCAAGTAAGGCTTCAAAGTCATGATGGCTCAATGGATTTTGCATCATTCAGAAGATTGCTGGTGGGTACCCGAAAGCTTGCTCTCTTTATATATGTAGATGGATATATATATGCATCCTCCGCGTTAACCTCACCTTTTGAAACACGTCTGAAACATCAGCCGTTTCAGACCCACACAGCAGCCCATAACGTTGAACACCAATGTAACTGTTTCACAACTACCCTGGCATGTGTCCTATAAGCGGTTCTTGAGTTATTCTATTTGAGATTCTATTGCTAATTTACATGATGCCCCATGCGTCCTCAGCTCCGTGACAGAACTTGGAGCAGGCCACGGACGCGGAAAGTGGATAGTTGGAAAGGCCGATCTTCTCGTCCACAAACTCGTCTGCGAAATTATCCTTTCCTCGGGCCATGGCGCCCACGAAAACGCATATACTTTCATCGTCAGCAAGCTTTTCGATGTGATCTTGAGCACGCACCACTGGGGCGTCAAAGGAGAGGGTCACCTTGCGACACTTCGTAGGAAGATGGTCGGTAATGGGGTTCTTTATCACTCTCAGGAGTTTTTCCTCGGAATTGACAGATCTGATTGATAACTTGTGAAGAAGTTGCACCATGAGTCCAGAAAATCTTTTAAAGGTTCTTGGAATGCGCACTGTTGGATTGACTTCGATCAACACCCCGCGGCTGGTCTGTATATATACTTGTAGTTTACCTGCCTTGTTGACGGGAGAGTCTAGTAGCGTCAACAGACACTGATGTGTGATGTCCGGCCGGGCCTCGCTGATGTCTCGACCCATTTTTTTGAGAAGACCTTGGTGGTCGTCACAGTTCAACAGCACATACTTGTCACCGCCTGGACCTGAAGAGGAGATTTTGTGTGTTTCTAGAGAGGCCATCGACAGCACCACCACCAGTCTCTGGGCCACTTTGTCCTTGGAGGTAAGGACAGTAGGGGCTTGAGGCACCAAGGAAGCCGGTAAAGACTTCTTTTCACCCGTCTTTAGAGCATCTCTAACTTTAGAGTCTTCGACCATAGCAGCTCAACTACTGGCAATGCAATGTATAGGCGTGTTTGTGAAACCGTTGATATACAGTGCCAGTGTTGGCGGTGAAGCTCATCGCCTGGAAAATTTTAGCAGCGTTTTAATTTTCATTGAAAAACGCTTCTGCCAGGATTCGAATGGCCGAAAAATGGCGGAAGAGAGCATTTTGGTTCGCAACTAACTAACAGTGCGCATATCCATATGGGCGGTCACTAGATATTCAGATCGCTTTCTATATGATGCTACACTTAAAAGCGACAAATCGTGATGAGCATCGATTTTTTGGTACTTCGGGCCCACTACATAGTGCTGCACAAAATTATCGAAGGACTCCACGCTTCTTTGAAGGGACTTTTACTTGAACAAACTGGAAGTAAATCAGGCCTATTTAAACTGACTAGGATAGGTGGGGTGCCGTAGCTCAGTTTGATCACTGTTGAAAGTGAGATGCATTTTAATGCCGAAATTGAGCAAGTATACAACTTGGCCTCGAAAATTGAAAAGAGAAACTAAAACAGGCAGTCTAAACTGAAAGCTTGCGAAGCATCTATTTCAACTTGGCGGCGTAATTCGGCAACGCGATTCTCATCGTTTCTCATTGCGCCGGTAGCAGTTTCATCACTTTACACGTAATCTTCAATTTCATACATTACGGACCTGTGTAGATGAAGTAAAGGCGCCAGTAACGGCTGAAGCGTGAACCTCTTTGAGGTGTACTCGCTCTCGCTATTACCAGGATGGATGATTGGATCGATGATGATGAAGACGACGATGACTTGATCAATGCTTTATCCAGAAAACCACCCAGAGATGCGAGTATCGCCAACACGCAGGTCCCTGCAGATGGTTTGAAAGAGACCCAGCGCGATGCAGAAGCTCAATTGCTCAAAGCTCAAGGTGAAGCTAGCATGCTACGAGATCGCCTCAAGATACTTGAGGCTGAAAAGGAACGAGAGCGTAAGGCCCAATTTCAAAAAGCGAAGGATCAAGAATTGCAACACCAGCAGGAACTCGAAAGGCTAAGGGCAGAATTACAGCGAGCAGAGGACGAAAAGAAGTTTCTCACGTTCAGTGGCAAATCGCACTTGAAGAACGGCGCAACTGCTAAATCTTCTGGCCCCACGGACAATGTTCTTGAGGAAAGCAGCAGCTTTTCTAGGGTAAAGAAACAAAAGATCCACGAAAAAGAGCCCGTATTGGTGACTATGAGAGCCAACCGAGTTATATCGGACGACGTTGCTCTTTTCGTACAATCGATTATGTCCCACCTGTTACTGGGTTCCGACATGACCACAATGGAGATACTGAACCACATACGACTGTCGGAAGCGCGGGCCTTTAAATTCAGAAATTTCGAAATAAGCGAATCTGAGACCATTGGCAAAGGATTATTAGATCTACTTATGACACAAAAGAGGATGGCGCTCAAATTAGACCAATTTATCGAGCAGCTCCTGGAAAGTTTGGCGATGCTTATCAAGCACCTGTCGGAGGAAAAAACGGAGTACAAGACAGCCATACCGTTCTTGGTTGCACTGATGCATTATTCCATAACTTTCCGCCCCAGTGCAGTGCATACGATGGCTTTGAAAGACTTATTTCATTTCATGGTAGACTTGATCCGCACGAATATAAGTGTGTTAAAGAAGCCGCTAATAAAATCGTCGTTGGATTTGGATGTCTCGCCTAATATTTTCCAGTACGAGTTCATCCGAACTCTTACAGTCTTATACGCTTTTGACACGCTGGAAGACAGCTTAAAGACCCTACAGTCACTACCATTACAGTTTCAACTCACGTTTTTAGATGAAGCATTATTCGAGGCCATTGATGACATTTCTCGATATTCGTTGACCATTTCGTACCAGCCAGTTTTGAACGTCATTTTCAATACCACGGAGATCTTCAATTGCATGGCAAACATATTTTTGGAATCCCCCCAGTTGGCGCAGCGTGTTCCAAATCATATGTGGAATAATGCGAGAAATAGGCTTTACCAGGTACTCAATAAGACTGTTAACAATGACTTGGAGCCACAACCTGACCCGTCGTCAATATTTTTGCCTAATGAAACAAACATATTTGGGTTGATTCGAAACATCGGTGATAATTACAACAGTAGATTTATTTCTCGACTTGTGACAAAAAACCATCCTACCTCAATGCCTCAAGTAATAATGAAAGAGTTTCCTACTTCAAAAGGGGTCACAGAAAAGTCCATTGATGTAGAGTGGTGGGGTCTCAGACTTCGAATCGGTATTGTACAATTGTTCGGTAAACTGGCTTCGATATACCCAGATGTCCCCGTTGAGCGAAATATGTTCAAGGTGCTGACGCAAATAATGGCTCAAACACAAGAGACTCTGTTAACAGTTCTACTGGGCCGAGATTGCGAAAACATACACGACTACTATGAACTATTTTCAGAGTTGTTGCGTGTGATATTTCAAACGTGGCAGGCAAAAGACCATGACATCAGCTTGCTGCGCGATGTGGAAAGTGAATTGACCGTGTGCCTGTGGAGGATAGTTTTCGGAAGTTTGAGCGGGGAAGAGGAGGAGTTTAGTAAAATTGAGATGCAGGAACACAAGAGCCTAGTCGATGGCATCGACGACTTACGATTACAATCGGACTTAGAATTGTTCGAGGATGCGTTCGACAATGAGTTCCCCGAGTTTTTGAACCAGCAGGTCGACACGATACGGTTCAATCGCTGCAGGGAGATAATGGGGGTAGGGGTAGATCTGGGATTGAAGGAAATGGCTAAAAAAATGTTGGAAAATATAACATCTATGGAAGATGCAGACGCGCTGTATTCGGCCATGCGAGGAAGATAGGCGTGGTGTGCCAGATCCACGGTATATACGTGCACTGCTTATATGTAGCATTAGCCTCGAGCTTTCAACACAAAACGGTTCTTAATGGAGTGATTGTATTTATGGCTATAAAAGTACAGAGATGATTCCCACGGAAACAAAAAAGAGGCTCTTTTCCTTTGGCAAAACACGGCGCTCCTGCCACAGTGCTCTGACCGGACAGCGCACGCATATTCTGCTCTTGTCAAACCTCCCGTACCCTATGGATCCACTTAAGCGGATTGAGGCTTGGCAGTGCCGGTTTGGAAGTCGTTCTTGAATCTTCTGGAAACGAGCTTCAAGTAAGCCATTCTACCGGTACCGGTGGTTCTTCTTCTCTTGGCCTTGGCACCCCAGTTGAAAGATCTCATCTTAGCAGCTGGGTAGCCACAGGAGGCACAAGTTTTCTTTTGGATGTGGAACGAGCGACGGCCGCATCTGTTACACAAGGTGTGAGACTTGTTGTGACGCTTACCGAAAGAAGGAGTACCCTCTGTGAAGGATGTTAGTAGCTGCAGCTTTAGAGGTCTTTGAAAAATGGCCGACAAACCCCAGATACGCAGTCCAAAGATGCAAAGTTGTTTCCCACGCATAGTTTCTCCCCACAAACACTGTCCTGGCACCCACTATAACAAAATGTTACCACCGTCTGCTATTGGATCCTGAATGCAAGGCCCTACCAGGCCCTCGACTGTGCCATTATAATTCTCTTTCTCCACGTCTCTCCCCATAGTCTATCTCCCAGCTTGTTGCGCGGGCGTTTCCTCTGGTACTTCTGCCATATCCTCGTTTTGTCTTCCTCTGCGAAAAGCTCACCGCATCGTGTGGCAGTTAGGTGTTTCTGTACATACTACCCATGTTTGATTAATACGTTGCTGAGACGTCTATTCAAAATGTATTCCAACACTAAGTAGGTGGTATCCCATATTAAATTCGACTAACTTGTGTGAATTTTTCAGACAGGACAGGATGCAAGCGACATCCTGGACAAGAGTCGATCACGGCAGACGAAAAAGGAGAATTCGTAGAAAAAAATAAAAAAATTATATTTTTTTCTAAAAAATTGAGAAATTAAACGGAATCAACGAATTTGCGCGGCGCTTTCTAGGACACTCGTGTGATATGCCCACGCTCACTGGGACTCGCTTGAGGGTGTGTGGGTGTCACAGCCTGTCGAGCAGTCACAGGCCAATGGAATTTGATATCGCGTGCGACGAGGACGAGGACCAGGACCGCGACCGCGAACGACACGAACCGGGACATCTGGCGCTTGAGCTCAAAGCGCTGGCACGGCTGGCACGACTGGCACGACGCTTGAGGCTCGGGAAAAAGACAGCGGTCGGCCACCAAGCAAATGAATGCGCGTGGGTGGGGAGACGAAGGTCACGTGATGCATGGACCTGGGTCGGGCCTGTCGATAGCCGGAGGTCTCCCCCCTCCTCCTGATCGTGGTATGGTCATGGGACCGCTTTAGAAGCTTGTTGCCAGCAGCAGTAGTGTGCATGTGTGGCCGTGGTCGCTCCGTTGTGCGGATGGTTTGGACACATATTGTACGTATGAAGTGATGCACCAGTGTGACAGTGCTGCAGAAAGTGATAACATGGTCGATGCGCAAGACCGACGGACACACGGGCCGCGTGTATTTAGGAAGCACCTTGGTGAAACTTCTGAAGCTTCATTGGACTTCGAGCACGTCAATTGTATCGTCAGATGCGTTCAAAAATTGCTGGGCATCCAGCAATTTTGCGGTAACTTTGTGCCGAAGCGAAGCGAAGCGCCCGCTACCTCGCCGGTTATTCTAACAAAATCGCACTTTGGTATATATCTTAAATAGGGAAATGCTCCCATGTTTCTACATCCCTAGTCTAGCGGATAGAGCGTAGGATCTTGATTACCCCACGTCACAACATCGTGCGAGTCTGGTTTATCGAGTGCGTGCCAAATCCCGTCGTCAAGCTCGACTTTCCAGCTGTCCCCTTTCTTAGGAAGGACTTGTAGATTGGTCAAGATTCTCTCGGGCTTGCTGCTTTTTACTAGCACCACAAATCCTTGCAAAAACGACCAGCTCAACAAGAGCTTCCCCTTCGGAATGCCAGATTCCGCTTCGAGCGCCAAGAGCTCGGGATCTTGCAGTTTGACACCTTGCGTCAAAGGAGAATACGCTTCCGCGACGATGTTTTCCTTTTGCAAAAAATCACGCAGCTCGACGTGAGGTAGCCACGGATGCAATTCCAGCTGATTTAGCACCGGTCTAACACGCGCTACGGCCAGAAGCTGCTGCAGGTGCGGGATACCAAAGTTCGACACACCGATACTTTTCACTGGTATCGCGCTCGAAGCAGGGTCCAACACGGCCGTCTCTAGCACTTTCCAGGAGTCCAACCGTCTTTGAGAGTCGGTCTTGGGAGAGTGGAGCAACACTAAATCCACGTATCCAATTGCCTCCTTGACATCTGCAGCAATCCCTTCTAGAGCTTTTTGTGCCTCCTGGAGGCCCTGCTGCGCATTGGTCAACTTCGTAGTAAACCAGATGCTGCTTCTACCAACGCCTGTGTCGTCTAGAAACCTACGAATGCCCCGCGCGGCATGCGCTTGGTTCCCGTATCCTACCGCGGAGTCTATGTGTCTATAGCCGTCTTTCAGAGCCTGGTAAACCAGGTCTTCGGTCTCCTCGATTGGGATGTCGTACACCCCGAATCCTATAACCGGAATTTGAAGCCCATTGTTTAGCTTGTAGCGAGTTTCTTGATTGATGTCGATAGTTTTGGTCATAGCCGGTATATTTGAGAATGTAGGCCTATCTTGTGAGGCTCCATTGAATGATTGGCATGAGTTAGAATCCAACAAGCTCCCTTCTTTTATGTCCCGTTTGCCCTGTTCCTTAATTTCATGACATCCAAACTATGGCTTTCAGCGACACTTTGAGTCATTAGTGATAATGACTTCAGCACATTGGATCTTTGACTTCGACACACAGCGACTCACTTACACATTGACTTCATCACCGTTTTCGAATGAGGCGTCAGGACTGTGAACGGGCTTCATTCTTGCACCCAATCGCTCCGAGGTAAGCGCCTCTTACATGCAAAATTCAATGCGACCGACATCTATGGGCTTGATAAATCTCAGATGTCAATGATTCATTCGTTATATTTTTAGTTAATTCTCCATACATAGCTCATAAAAGCACGGTTTTGTTCATCTAGAGGCTTATGGCTTCTATTAACAATATTTTATTCATCAAGATATCTTGCGCATACCCTGGATACAATTCTGGTTAACTTTTGTAATTTATCTACTGGTCAAGAGTCAGGCTGGATGGATAGTAGTTAGGGTCGTTGTAGAACTTTGGATCCTCGATGGGCCTTTCGCCCTGGGGTGTAATGCGGAAAGCGTGTCTCAAAATTGGCTGCTCCCAGTCAATCAGGGCGGAATGGTGCACGCGACGGTTATCCCAGATGGTCACAGTGCCAGGTTCCCATTTGGCTCTCAATTGCAAGTCGTGGGTGTTGTTAACTAGATTGTACAGGAATTGTAACAAATGGTCGGACTCTGGCTTCTTTAGCTCCACGATACGACGAGAGAAGGAACTGTTGACGAACAACGTCTTCTTCTTTAACACTGGGTGGTATCTAACCAAAGGATGGATGTGAGTGACGGGAGCTCGCCTTTGAATACCACCTTGAACTCTGGAGTTCTCGGCTTGCTCTTTGGAGCTGTGCACAACGTGAAGGGTACTCAAAAATTCTTGAAAAGCTGGCGACAGTCTTTCGAAAGCAGTGAGAGAGTCGCTAAACAGAGTGTCACCACCGCCGTCGGGACCATCCAGCACTGAGAAAAAGGTGTAAGAGGGTGGCTGCAACTCGTACGAGACATCTGTGTGGAAGCCCACGGACGAGGTGTTGTCGTTAAACACACGATTGAATTCTTTGCGATCCGGCCTGCGGAAAGTGATATGGAGCTCATCGTGGCCCTTGGGAGCACCGGAAGTTTGGTGAACGTGTAGCTTACCAAAGTGTCTCCCGTATTCCGTAGCAAACTTAGGGCCGTATTGAGCGAAATCCTGTTCACGGAACACAACAACACCGCGCTGGGCAACGAGCAAAGCCAGCTCGTCCTTTCCTGCATCAGAAAGCTGGCTCAGCTGGACACCAGTGATTTCACTGCCCAACTTGGGCGTGATTTTCCTGACCACAGTCTCATTGGCGGCAGACTTGGGGAACAGGTTAGGCAACTCGGGGTTAGCACGGAATGCGGGATCCTTGTACTCGTGGAAGGTCAATGGCTCGAATCTCTGCCTTGGGTCCCATTCCGGCAAAAAATCCGGGTTTTTCGACTCGGCGCGGAACTTGCCGTTGATTCTGAGAACGCCGTCTTTCCCAACTTCATCCTGACCATGGTAGAAGTGTGTGTCGAAGTTTCCGTAAACTTGGTTAGCTTGTTCTGCAATTGTAGCGTGTGGCATGTTTGATTGATACTGTTTATAGGGACGATGATCAAGTATCACTAGTGTTCATGCCTAGGAAAGTGATCCTGCTTTGTCACCTTCCCGGCCGTCTTTTATACATCGAATCTCTGCCAGCTTGGAAGTGGGTAACTATGATGATGATACACTCCACTACTCCCTTATTCCACTGTACTAGCCACACTATTTTACTAATGGTTGTCTCACTGTATGGCGCTGTCTTGTGGCTCTAAGCTGTGAATCCCCATAGTGTCTCGTTGTGATGGCCCTGGGACATTTCACCCAATCTCATACCTACCAACATTCCGGCAATCGCCAAGAACACACCCATCAACGATCGTTATCTCTTCCCTGACAAATCTAAACACAGTTTCGCCCGTGTGTGACATGCTGATCAGCCTTTTGACTCGCTGGGACATAATGTCTTTACGACATGTGAGACGTCGACAAAGGACAAAGTGACAAGTCATCATGTCAGCGACGCACTCATCGCCAAGAGACTTCGACCACAGAGCCAAGACATGGAGCACTTCAGCCCGCCACACAAAAAATGCTTCTAGATGTGGTATATTAAGGGAGCTTCTTATTCGACGAGAATACATGCTACCCTAGTTGGCTTTTTTATTTTAATACAGCGGTGAGCAGCAGTATTACACAGGAGTTTTAGAATCTGCCTAGCCAACGATACTAATGAGTGGAGAAACAGCCCTTAACGCGACATATAGCACCTTCGAGGATCCGCAGAATGATCGTGTGACCGAGAATGAAATTGACAAGAAAGACCAGACACTTTACGAGCAGTCGTCTGTGAGCTCGGACTGGGAGAGCTTGGCGTCGAGCCAAAACCCGTTTTTGGACCCACAGGTAGAAAAGCACTACCGGGAAATGTACGAGCACTGCGAATACGAGTGCCGTGGTAGTTTTGACCCGGACCTGAAGTGGTCTCGGCGCGAGGAGGCCCGGTTACTGCGTAAAATTGACTGGCGTGTAGCCATACCTGCGTGCTTCATGTTTGCAGCATTGCAGATTGACCGCGGAAATGTCCAGCAAGCCGTAGCGGACAATATGTTAGAAGACTTGAACATGAGTACCAACGACTACAATACAGGTATGCAGATTTTCTACGCGGCATTCACAGTCGCAGAAGTACCATCGCAGCTGCTATCCAAGAGGATCGGACCCGACATTTTCATTCCCATCCAAATGGTAGCATGGAGTATTGTGTCTATGGCTCAATCGGCCATCACCAACAAAGGCGGGTTTTTCGCCTCCCGTGCTTTCCTGGGTCTGTTGGAAGGAGGATTTATCGCGGATTTGGTGCTGTGGCTGAGCTATTTCTATACATCGCGGGAACTGACGATCCGCCTGTCATGGTTTTGGACTACCCTGTCGCTGGTGCAGATTGTGACAGCGTTACTGGCATTTGTGATCCTGAGAATGCGCGGGGTAGGCGGCCTTACGGGATGGCAATGGCTTTTGCTCATCGAGGGTGCCATTACGTTTCTCATAGGGCTTTCGGCATTTTACATGATGGTTCCTTCTGCAGTCCAGACCAGAAACTGGCTGCACCCCAAAGGCTGGTTTTCGGAGCGCGAGGAGAGGATTGTGGTCAACCGCGTTCTGAGAGACGACCCCTCCAAGGGTGACATGAACAATCGCCAGGCTCTGACGCTGTCAAAGCTGTGGACTGCAATCTCCGACTACGACCTGTGGCCAATATACGCCATTGGCATCTTGGCCTACATCCCTGTGGGCACGCTAACTCCGTACCTGACTTTGAATCTGAAGCAGCTCGGGTTTTCCACTTTCAACGTCCAGCTGCTGTCCATTCCTTATAACGTGCTGCACATCATCTTACTGTTGGCCATCACTTGGTTCAGCGAGAGGATACAAGAGAGATCGCTGGTCGCCCTGATGGCTCCCGTTTACTCCACCTTCTTGTTAGGCTTTATCAGGTGGTGGTCTGGGTCCATGATCCAAGCATGGCCCACTTATGTGATCACCACGCTGTTCTTGGGGCAGCCTTATATTCACGCCATCTGTGTGTCTTGGGCCTCCAGGAACTCCAGCTCCATTAAGACTCGCAGTGTTTCTTCTGCTATATACAATATGTTCGTGCAACTGGGCAGCATAGCTGCCAACCAGATCTACCGGGCCGACGACAAACCCTTGTACCATCGCGGTAACGAACAGCTCTTCTGGATTTCGCTGGCCTTAATCCCTCTTCTTTTATTCACAAAGGGCTACTACATCTTCCGCAACAGACAAAAGGCGCGCGCATGGGACGCCTTTACTGACGAGGAAAAGAGAATCTACCTACTAAAACCAACACAAGAAGGTAACAAAAGATTGGACTTCAGATTTGCCCACTGAAATCACCATTGTTCGTTCTCCAAAAGAGAATCGGATTGGTTTCAAGCTGGTCTTCCATGCTGATGGTAGATAATATTATAAATATACATATACTATAAACATTATTACAATATTGTTAATGACAGACGCGACGCGTAAAATAATTAAAGAGGCCCATATGTTTTCGCGTTTACGCGTTTCCACCAGACTCACGAATAGTGGGAAAGTGCCGGTCAAGGCGCAATTCTCGGTAAGTTGAACTACAACAAATTGGTTTCAGCCTTCATACACACACCAATTGAAATTCGATCCAAGACAGTGAACTATGTCAGCCCAATTCCCGCCCTCGTCACCGATCGCCGCAAGCGAGTCCCGCGGCGAAGATCCGTTCTACCAGCCAGATGGGAAACACCTGGGTTCTACACTAGATTTCTTCAAGAAGAAAACAGGCGCTTCAAATGTGGTGGACTACCCAACACCCAATCCCTCGTCGACACTGGGCAAATCATCACCTGTGAAAGCAAGGCCCGCGTGTGATACGAGTTTCCAAACCCCGTCAGAATGCGAGCTGGAAGAGGAACTGCGGCTTGAAATTGAGTCTAGTAAAGGAGCTTTCAAGTCTCAACCACTGGAGGTTTCTCTGGATGCACATTTCGAAACCCGGGTTTCAATTGGACGTAAAAACACACTGTGCGACGTTATTTTGCCACGCCACAAGAACATCTCCAGGCTCCATGCGTTTGTGACGTACATGCCGGAAACCAAGCAAGTCAAGGTGGAATGTAAAGGGACAAACGGTCTGGTGGTGGCCTTTCCAGTGAAACTAGACGTGAAATTATTCGTGTGCCTAAAACCGGAAAACACCTTTAAGCTAGCTGATATGGCGGAGACCGGTTTGAAAAATTGCCAAGTGGCAAGCAAAGAGCTGGTATTGGAAACGGGCCTCACTTCGTTTGTGATTTTGCAAGGCGAGACCGTTTATATGCCTTTTGTCGAGCACACCATCCTGGATTTCCGGCAGATCGAATGTGAGCTAAGAGTCAGAGACCACTCATCAACACGTTTCCACGATGTCCAAAATGAGACAGAAACTGAAGACGAGTTACAGCCACTCGGAATTACAAGCGATGACTTTAGCCATGAAATGCATACACCGGTCAAGGATGCAGCACAGGTGCCATCTCAAGGCACCCCGTCCTCAAAGCTTCAGAAACACCACTTAGATCATGAAAGAAGTCTCCCTCCGCTGGCGAAGCTCATTTTTGAAGAAACCAAAAGCGGTACTCTTGAGGACCCCAACGGATGCGAAAAGCAGCTGAGTGTGAAAGGGCAAAAAGCTCCCTTGCTTCCTCAAATACAGAACAAAATTGAGAAGTCGGCAGATACCACTACAATTAAGGGTGACAGTGCACAGACGGGTCAGGATATTCAAAAAATCCACAGTAAGAAGAACACGGAATTGCCCATGACTCCCCGGAAACAATTACAAGACTCAGCTCAAAACCTCCCCGATCGTCCAAGTTCCCCCGTTAAAAAGTTAGACGGAAATTCCCGTCGTCGCAAGTACACGTCACCCTCTCCCAAGAAGACCGCCAAGCGCAAGAGCAAACCACAAAAGCCAAAACTAACCAACGATGAGATTCTTTCCAAACTCGTCTCTCAGGGCTTTGATGTGGCAGATCTCCAGCATGTCCTAGCGAATCATTTGGCCTTCTCTAATATCCAGCAAGTGCCATTTTACCAGCTCAGACAGGTCAATTCTACTGTTTCTACCATGAAGCCATTCGAATTACGCGCGCTTCTGGAAACTGAAAAATGTATAGGTGTTATTTACCGCGAGGGTAAAGACGCAGCAGGCAAACCTTTGGATGAAGAGTACTATTACGACCTGGAAAATGACACTGATGATAACAGACGACAAGTTGTTTCGTCGCTTAAAGGTGGACGGTCAGGACTAAGGAGCTGCCGTAGAGTGCATAAACAATACTTTTGGAAAAAACCTACAATGTAACAAATCCCCTGAGTAAGATCATTCGAAAGTCAATATTACAGATTCTCTATTACTATAAATCTTGCTTATCTAGGACATCACGCATGTTTGCTCAAAAATTTTTGCATCTCACTAGTGTCAAAATCATCAGGGTCCTCGGTGGAAATAGCCTGTAGTAATCCGTCAAGCATTCCATCTACCTTATCCTCTTCCACTTTCAAGCACAGGGAGAGAACTCTTCTGAACCTTCCTTCCAGGTGTGCTTGTTTTTCTTGGACACTTCGCAGAGAGTCGTCCAAGTTATGCCCATTCTTTTCATATGCACTGATTCTGGCTCGAAGAAGAACCTCTGGTGGTATAGTCTCCTCATGGCCCGAATTTTCGTTAGTCAATTGTGTCATGAGGCTGTCTACTGAAGTCTTTTCGAACATTTCCGTTAAATCACCCTTATAATCAGATTGTAGCTTCTTTTCCAAAAAGTCATAAATAAAGTCGATACGAAATGGTTCGTCAGCATCAAACTCAGCCATTTCTAGAGACTCATCGTCGATTCCTAGTTCGCCACTAACTTTTTTGAAGGTGGCATCCTCTTCAACTATCGCCTGCTGAATATTAGATATTTGCTCTGTTAGTTGGGTGTGTTCGTCGCGAAGTTGTCGAGCATGGACGAGCTTCTCTCTAGAAGTTGCCAGAACTTTTCGTTGCGCGTTAAGATCTGCATGTAACCTTGAAAGCTGATCTTTATGTTGCCTTACCTCCATATCGTAATCTTGTGATATTGTATTGATGAGCGATTGAATGTTGTTTATCAGTACGGAAGGATCAGGGCCCACAGCGGACGCGGGTCCTTCGCCTCTCACATTAGAAGCCTGTGAGGTATCGAGTTTTGTAGCGCCTGCGCCAAAGTCAACCGGCCGCAAGCCGGAATTGTTCGAAATCCTGGGGTCGGCACCGTAATCCAACAAAGCTTCGACTATCGAAACGTTGCCCAACCTTGAGGCGATATTCAAACATGTGTCGCCGTTTATATCTCGGGCGTTGAGAATATAACTTATGAACCATTTCAGGTCCAAAGTAGATAATATAATATCACTCTCAGGTGACGCGTTACGAGTTTGGTTTTTGACTATCCACCCCATGAGAATGTCTAGATAGTATTTGGCCGCAGCAGCACATCCTGGCATACCTGATGTAATTACAATATGATGCAGTACAGTTCTACCCATGTCATCCAGAAGTATTAGACAAGGGTAGAGGTAATTTAACAGCTCTTCAAATGTACCCGAGTCATAGTTATTGACAGATTTGACTGCCTTCACTAAAGCCGACTCGCCCGATTTATCTCCTAACAATCTATCGGCGCCGTTTCTTATCAAGTCCTTTGATAGTCTCACGTTGGCTACGGAACAAAGCCAATGCAAAGGCGTGTTGCCGTGTTCATCGATGGGAATATCCAGGTCCAGTTGGTTATGTGGATAAATCATCCCCATATTAGCAAGTGCAGTTTCAAATTCAACTGACTGACCCTCGGAAAACAGGACATGTTGCAACAGATGCTCCAACTTAACACGATCGTCAGGTTGGTAGTCAGTGCGGGGCTTCTTTGCCGCTTGAACAGTCAGAGGGGTGGGCAAGTGTAAGTCATGCGTAGCCACGTATTCTGTGGAAGGAAAGTTATCTGCAGGTTTGAGTTTCTTCAAAGGTGACCCTAATTGCTGATCGTGCATCGCACGTTTGGGGATCTGTTCCGCACCGAAGGCAGGCGCCTCCAAACCCTGGTCGCTCCCTTCATCGCCGTCTTTCTGCTGGTCTAGACCACCTACCATAGGCTCTTCGTCTATCCTTGCAAGACTATTCCCAGCTACATGGGCCGGATGCTGTTGCTGCTGTTTGTGATTTCCTAAGTGCTCCGAATCCTCCCTCTTCAATCCCTGGCGTTCATCTTCCCCATTCTCGGCCATCGTTTCGCGATTGATACCGTCTTCGTCTTCATGGTGTTCATTCTGGTCATCGTCCCCGTCCTCGTCCTCATCCGTGTCGTGCGGCTGCGAATTCTGTTCTTGGCCAAAAAATTCTTGGAATGCGTCCTGAATACCTAAAACCATCAGTAGCTCTCTCGTCTTGGTCCTCGAGAGCCACTCATTGCCCTGTTCATCTCTCTCTACCAGTATACCCAACTTTTGAAGCACTCTGTTTCGCCAGTCGCCTCGCGACTGCTCTTCACCACACTTCACCGCCAGAAGCGGCGCCAATGCATCCACCAAAAACAGGTCTTTCTCCATGTCTTGCACCATATTCACCAAGTGCTGCTGTCCATTGTAGTTGCAAGCCCTTTTGAACTCCCGAACAGCCATGCTACGTCTTTTGGGTCTCTGCTGCTTATTCGTCCCGCAGTTGACGGTTTCAGAGCGCGTTTTATCCACAATTCCTGTCCGCTGCGCTCAATCCCTCACAATAGAGTTCCAAAGTGCGTTCAGCTTGCTGAGCTTGCTAACCGGCCGTTTTCTCCTCCACCTTTGTCGTGATGATTGGTAGCTACTTTCTCTATTCTAAAATATTTTATATCAATCTTCACGCGCACTTCCACGTAGATAGTGCTATATCCAGATTTCGACAACTGATCTTGGCCCTAAGGACTTTGACGCTCACAAGTGACAAAACATAACATCCATTGGACTAAAGCGGGTCTTTAGAGCAGCGATATAAGACGTGACACAGCTAAAAATGAGCATTCCATATGATGCAAAGCGGCGTCTGCGTCTGTGCACCGATTTTGAGTATGCTATGCCGGTTATAGCATATTACATCAAATTGTCGTTGGTGGAAGAACTCTTGGCCCTAGAAGACAGAAATACGGAGGTAGTGACGCATGCCACGCGTCTTCTAGATGAAATCGAGGCATTCAAACAGGGTATGGACCCGGAAAAGCCGGAGAAACAGCTCTTAGAGGACCAGCAGCGCGCCAAAGTGTACTGCATGAACTTTGTGCTGTCGCTGTACAACGAGCAGCTGGCCAAGGTACAGAGTGGGAGTACAGGTGGTGACTTGGCGCGGGCGCTGTGGTGCTGCTCTGATTTGTTTGGGGTGGTATTGGCACTGTGGGGACAGACACAGCTAACAGCAGAGGAGGCAGCGCAGTGTCAGAAACGAACCAAGGTATGCAAGCTGTATCTAAGCAAGCTTGCCCGAGGCGAACTGAATGCGCCCGGGAAGGGGGAAGATGAAACGTCCGTCGACGCCAGAGAGCAAGAGTACGATGACCAGGACGAAACTAATGATATTAACGATGGAAACGAGGAACTCAAAGAAGATGCAGGCCTTCAAGACATCCCTGAACCCGCTATGGACGCATTTCTCAAAAGCCTGGAAGAAGATTCTACTCTCGAACCAGAAGTGGAGCTCCCGGAAGAACCAAACGTGCCGGATATCAAGCATGAACAGGACACAGACGAATTAATACGCAAAATGCGAGAAATCGACGCAAATGATGCAGAGACAGCCGCTGGAGCTAGTGAAGAAGGCGATGTTGACGACAGCGCAGAGGCTAGTGCAGTCACTGACACAGATTCCCAAGATCCCGAACTGGCTTTGCCCAGCGCGCCTACGGAACTCAATAGACCCGTTTTCGTGGATGAGCCCCCAAGCTCGGGACCGGAAGCTCCGGATAGTGTGAAGCAAAAACCTGTGCACTACAATCGACATGACTTGCAAACGATGTGGAACCGCGAAGATCAAATTTCGCAAGTGCAAAAAACGGCACGGTTCGCCATCAGTGCGTTGAACTATGAGGACATCACGACGGCCAGGTTGGAGTTGACCAAAGCGTTGAAACTGCTGGAAGAGATCGACGAGTAGCGGCCGGCATGGCGACGTCGGCTGCAGACGAACCCATTGAACTGGGCGTAAATAACGTTTTACTAGGAATACAAATGGAAAAGAAAACCGTTGGCAACGCTCAGTGACCCGCAGCTCAGCCAAATTACGTCTATACTTAAAATGCACCGTCTATACAATCAGAATACAATAATGTCGTGGGGACAGAGCCCACACTTACTTACAACTTGAGTTCCTTTGGCTTTTCCCATGGATATTCCTGGTTGGTAAAGTGGCCGTAAGAGGCGGTTGGCAAGTAGATTGGACGGGCTAGGTCGAGCTCCTTGACCAAAACACCAGGTCTTAAGTCAAAGTTTTTCTTGATGATTTCGATCACCTCTTCGTCAGACTTGCTAGAGGTGCCGTAGGTGTCGACGTGAATCGACAAAGGCTCGGCAATACCAATGGCGTACGAGAACTGCACTTGGACACGCTTGCAAATGCCCGCTTTGACCAAAGACTTGGCAACCCATCTGGCAGCGTAAGCGGCGGAACGGTCCACCTTGGAGTAGTCCTTGCCCGAGAACGCACCACCACCCACAGCCGAGGCACCACCGTAGGCGTCGACAATGATCTTTCTGCCTGTGAGCCCGGCATCACCCTGAGGTCCACCGATGACGAAACGGCCCGAAGGTTGGATGTAGTACTTAGTGTTGGCGTCCAACATCTCAGCAGAACACACCTTCTCGACGATCTTCTTCTGCACCTCGGAGCGCAGGTCCTCGGTCGAGATCTCATCGGCATGTTGAAGCGATACCACGACGGTGTCGATGCGGAGTGGGATCCAACGGCCCGCCTCTTGTTTGTACTCCACGGTGACCTGAGTCTTCGTGTCTGGTCTGATCCATGGCAAGGAGCCATCACGACGGGCGTCCGCCATCGCAATGTTCAGCTTGTGTGCAAGTAAGATGGTCAAGGGCAAGAGCTCGGGCGTCTCGTCCGTGGCGTACCCGAACATAATACCCTGGTCACCAGCTCCTAGCTCTTCCAACGCCTGCTCGTAGTGCAGACCCTGGGCAATGTCCGGTGACTGCTGCTCGACGGCCACTAGCACATTACAGGTCTTGTAGTCAAAGCCCTTGTCCGAGGAGTCGTAGCCAATCTGCTTGATCGTGTCTCTGACGATCTTTTGGTAGTCCAGCTTAGCCCGGGTTGTGATTTCACCAAAAACCATAATCATACCAGTCTTGGCAGCCGTTTCGCACGCAACCTTCGAGAGTGGGTCTTCGCGCAAGCATGCATCTAGGATAGCGTCCGAAACCTGGTCGCAGATCTTGTCTGGGTGACCCTCACCCACGGATTCACTGGTAAACAAAAAAGTCTTGGCCATTGTACGAAGTCAATTATTTCAGAGCCACTACAACAAAGAAGTAAGTGATGGTCCTGTCAACCGAGTTCTTCTCCGTCCACCAACCAGTTCCACGATGCCCGGCTCTTTTTATACCTGTTATTATGGTGGTGCCCGCAGTGCCCTCGCAGCGGTCTTTCACATGCGAGGGCCTCGGTAGTGGACGTCTAGAGTGTTGAGAAAAAACTCTGCGAGGGCACCACCGCGATGGCCAACGGGCGGCGGGGCGCGCAGGCATCCTCACAGCCACAGCGTCGGCATTGGGCAGGTTAGGCATGGGCTAGCAATCGCCGTGGGTGAGGTGGGAGTGGCCCGCCACACACCGCGAAAATGAGTGAAAAATCAGGTGCCGAGGCGGCGCAGGGCACGGGAAGGAGGGAGCGTGGGTAGCGAGCAGAAGGACGAGTCTCGAGCGCTAAGAGAGAGACCATGGCGGGGGCCAAGAGCGCGGGAGACCATGGACGCGGCTGGGAGGGAAAGGTGGATGGAAAGAAGAGGCTGGATTGGAAGAGCGAGGATAAAGTGATCACGTGATGTATAACACCCATGCACCGGCATCGCCCGTGCATTACGATGTGTGTTCTTGCTTCGCTCGCGGCCCTTCTCACACCGGGAGCACTGGCTCCACGGGCTCTTCCCGCATCCACTTGGTCCAAGCTAGGCCGCTCACAGCCGCGCCGAGCGCTGCGCCGGCCAGCACGTCGTACCAATGGTGGCGGTGGTCCACCACGCGCGAGACCATCACCAAAAAGCACAGTGCGGGACACCAGAAGTGTCGCACGCGCGACACGCGCGTGTGGTGTGTCTGCCACACGTATAGAAACCCGAGCCCCGCGGCCGCGAAGCTAGAGTGGCCGCTGGGAGTGCTTTTCAGACCCTCGTAGAGAATCCATTTGTCGGATTGCGAGCACTGGTCGTAGCCCACGTATGGTGCTGTGGGGTCTACCGGCTTGCACCTCGCCAGGAAGTCCGGGCGCGCGTTGGTGATGGCCAGTTTCAGTCCGTTAGTCAACACTCCGTTGATGCCCAGGACAAGCACCAGGACCACGCAGCTCGCGTGATACAGGTGCCAGCGCGCTGGCACCCATTCTGGTTTACGCACGCGCGCGTACGAGTGCACCATGTACCGATTTTCCACTAGGGCGTCGCGCCCCAGCCAGCACCACCAACTCAGCACCACCACGGGCAGCGGGAACGCAATCGCCAGGCACTGGGCATTAGTGACCGTCTCCTGTGGAACGTAGCTCTTGCTGATCGCGGGGTCGTCGGTGCGAAACTGCTTGGACAGTCTCGGGTGTAGAAACAATTCGGACCACACGAACGCGGCGAAACTGGCAAAACACGCGGCGTATAGCGGAGCGAACGAGACCGCGTACGCTGTCAATTGCCTCACGCCGGGAAATTTGAACGAGGCTGTGGCCATTGTCGTAAGTGTGCTCTTGGATAGCGAGGTGGGCTGCTGGACTCTTGGAGTCTCCATCAATACGCGATGCCCTGGGACAGGTTGGAATATATTAACAGCACACTCGTGGCACGTGATGCTTCAAATTGTACCATGTGACATTCACGTGTCATGTAAAAATCAACATGTCATCACACACGTAAGTCCGATATGTTCATCGCTATGTACGTTTTTTTAACTGTGGCGTTTTCTGTCCTGCTTTTTTGAGATCACGTGTATTCACTCAAATGAGATGGGCACGTGAATCGTCTTTATCCAGCTCCCGTTGGCCAGTGTCACCTCTTATCAGACGCGATCTTGTGTCAGTTTGACCAGATGTCGATTCGTATAACCTCTTAGAACCAGCAGAGCGGAGAGCAAGAAGGGACCGGGTACCGGGCTCGAAACCAGCATCTTTCCTAAGTTGAGATTTTTTGGTGAATGGGTTGTTAGGCTCTAAAATCAAAAGAAAGTGGGAGATTCCGTGCACGCCAAGTTGAGCAAAGTGTGTCCAATGGTGAGTGGGGCTATCACAATCTCTGTAGTTTTGTTTATGATGTCAAGTTTGGTGTAATTGAGGTGCATCCGCAAAGGGTAGATAGCCCAACGGTACACGTCCCGGGGAATCTTATAGCGCCCACTGGCGTAATTATGGACAGGACCGTGACGGTACTGTACAAAGTGATTAGGAAGCCAAGCGTCGCTGAAAGAAATGACACATAAACATAGTTAATCTGTGGACAGTGGACAGAAAGAACCAATGGTTATCCAAGGACTGTCTGGCATACTGTTCATTCACGCTTCTGAGTCAGTTTTGATTGAGAGGACTTGCGGAACTCTTGGTTCAAACTTTGGGTAGATATTATTAAAGTGTTTTCTGAATATGCGATGTGGAATCGAATAAATATATAGTGACGTCTTAAACATAGGAACTAGCGTCAAACAAATGCAAATTCGGCGTCAACCGCATCTCACTTCTGCGGGAGTGCCTTTTGAGGATATAAGCTCGTCGGTACTCGGCGCGGCGTCGCGTTCGTGCGTGGCTCGGGAACTGCCAACCTCGGTATATGAAGAACAAGTGTGGCGTGGTGGGTGGGATCCTCCCAACGACAAGTCTGGCAGATATTCCGGTAAATCCAAATATACTATGCGAAGGTGAGGACACTGTTGTGGTAAAACTACTGCGCGTCAGCCCATAGTGTGATAAGCAAAACAGATCACACCAAAATAATTTAAAACTACGAGAGGGCGGTCAGCTACAGAGGTCTAACCCTTTCTGTAGCTATGTATAGCCGGACAGCTGCTCGAATTGCATCCGGCTCCACAGAAACTGCCTGCCGCATCATCCACGGGTGCACCTGTAACGAAGATATTCTGAGAGTAGGATGGCCGATGCTTAATTGGGTCTGGTGACGGCATCGACAACTTTATCACGGTGTCACCTTGCCTCATTAACTCAGGCAATGGGATTATTGTTTTCAGTCTCCCGCCACTTACGCCCCAATTGCATCTGGGCCACAATGAGCCCAATGGCGGCCAACATGATAGCTGCTAACATCGTAAATCCCCAGCCGATGCCAATGGCGTTGAGGATAGGCATGGCTGCTGCGGTTCCTCCAGCACCCAGTAAGCACCTGGCCAAATTTACTGCAGCTGATGCTGATGCGCTCCCCTCGGGGAATAAGTCCACCATATAAGTCGACACCGTACTTTGGATTCCCATAGCTCCCCAACCGGTGAAAAAGGTACAGACAATGGGCACGGCGATGTGAATACCCTTGTCAAGCATCCAGCCGAACACTAGAACCGAAATTATCTGCATGGCACTCCAGATCCACATCGTGCGAAGCCGTACGTAGTCGAGTGGAATGTCCTCTTCGCAATCTTTGTATTTGGTTTTTGTTCGAGCATAGTCCATGTCCAAGAGCTTCCCTGTCAGCAGGGACCCCACCATGGAGCCGACACCGTTGGCAATAAATGTCAACCCGATTTGAGTTTCGTCGAGCCCATACGTTGTTTTCAGCAGGGACGAAAGCACGGTTATACTCATCTGCCAAATAGTGTAGTATATAGCGAGAAAAGATATAACGAGGATGGCCCGCTTGTTAGTGAGCATACGCAAAGAACCCAAGATGTCGATAGGTTTTTTGGGTGGTAGTTCGGACCGGTTTTGGGCAGTGAAATTCGGATTACGCTTCCTGTAGCGGCGCTGATATATCACTAGTGGGTAACTAATGAATCCCTCCACGCGTAGTGTGCCATCGCCCACTAACGCTCTCAACGATTCAGGTAAAACCAGAGTGAGCACGATAAGGAAAACACCGGCGTATATTGCCAGGAACCAAAACACCGATCTCCACCCCAGAGATGAGGCTAGCCCACCGCCAATGACAGGGCCGATCGCTACGGGCACCAGCATGCCCGCTTGAAAGATTCCCATGAACCCACCTCTCTCCGCTCTTGTTGTAATGTCCCCAATGACGCCCGCACCCAAGGCAATCGAGCTTGCACTTCCTGTGCTCTGCAATGCTCGAATGGTGATCAAAGTAGCGTAGTTGCGGGTTTTTGCCAAGCTGACACACGCTGCAAAGAACACCAAAAAGGTAAGTATGTAGGTGATTCTGCGGCCCCGAGCATCGGCCAGGGCACCCCAAAATGTCGGTGCAAGACCTTGGAATACCATATAAGAAGTGACCGTCAGATTAACGAGCTCAACGGGCACTGATAGATCGGCTGCAATGGTCGGGATAGAGGGAAAGTAAATATTCGACGCAAAGCCTGAGAAAGAAGCCGCGATCGATACTACCACAATCAGCAAAGACGTTTCCCCTTTCGAATACATGCAGTAAGGCGGGGGTTCTATTGGGCCAGCAATTGCGTCCTTATGCGAGGCCCCCGCGGTTTCCACGCTCGCAGAAGCTCCACGAAGACTGCTACCCTCGCTCATGTTGGCTAGCTTGCTGCTGCCTGTAACCTACCGTGAGATGAACCTAATGCCTCAATGCCTAAGGTTTAAATAGCATGGTCCTGGGCCATGGATCAGTTCACTTGAGCTAGTTACCTGCGCTTTCGGAGTTCCGAAAAGCTCATTATCTCTTTTCGGAATTCCGATCGCTTCTGACGAGTCGTCTTCGGAATTCCGAAACCGATCGTACTGTACGAGCGAGCGAAGGATCAACGTGTGCCCACTATAGCAAACCATGGCTATAGGGCCATTGCTATAAAAGGCCAGGCATTGAGCGTCCACAACCCTACCGTTTTGACCTTCTCATATCCTTTAGCTTTCCACTAATTATATTATCAATAGTGTAGAACCTCTGGTAGTACTCTCGCCATTGATTATTCCCTCACCTTTCCGAAGCATCATGAACTACGCAATTAACGTTTCGCAAGTTGCGACCGAATCGCTCACCACTCACAGCATTATCCCCGATGTGGTGAAATCCCAGGATTTTAAGCCATGGGGCCTGTTGGCCGCTGAGTACTCGCCCAGTGCGCCTGTGGCCATGGGAAACACTTTGTCCCCTGAAGAAACACAAATCAAGCCCAAAGTGCACTTCACGCTGGACCCAAAGTCGGAATTCAAAGTGCAGGACGCGGACCTGTTCACTCTGGTCATCACCGACCCAGATGCGCCCTCAAGGACTGAAAAAAAGTGGAGCGAATACTGCCATTATGTGGAAACTGACATCAGACTGCCCTTCGAGTACTCGCACAACACCTCTTCAGCTGTGCCAGACTTTGTGGCCTCCGAACTGGCTAGCGGTAAGCCATTGATGGACTACGTGGGCCCGGCTCCACCTCAGGGCACAGGCAAACACCGCTATGTTTTCTTGCTCTACAAGCAGCCCGGTGACTCTTCGAATTTCACCAAGATTGCCGACAGACCCAACTGGGGCTTCGGAATTCCGGCCACCGGCGTTGACAAGTGGGCTACCGAAAATCACCTTCAATTGATTGCTGTCAACTTCTTCTTTGCTGAGAACAAATAGTTACGATGTACAGGCCATGTGTAGCTCTGCTAATGATTATGAACTGGGAGACGAATGAAATATCACCATTCTTACTATTAAAAATATGCAATATCTCTCTACCAGAGAATCTATTTCTTTCTATCACACAAGCTCCGAACAATAAAACCGTCATATTCTATATATCATTCATAAATTTCCTTCTCTATCTGGCAGCAAATAATTCGTCCACGAGTTCTTTGTATACTCCGATTTGGAAGTTGTCCAAAGAAATCGCGTTCAGGGCTGGAGCTACTACAAATCCGGACGCGGATCCTGACCCATTGTCAAGAAGGTCTTCCCCCGAGTAATGCTGCATCATGGCTTGATACATCTTGACTTCTTTCAATTGCCTGTCATAGTACTTGGATTCAATTTCCAGATTGTTGGGAATGGCACATAGCCAAATTCTGGTCTTGTAAAACTTGAACAACTCTTTGATCAACTCGCGGAAATCATTCCTCTCCTGACAAACGTAGTAGAAAGTCAACTTCTTGCGGTCAAATTGGAACTCGGCGTTCAGTATTTTGATGTTCAAATTTGAACGGGGCTGTTGGCTTTGATGATGGGACAGTCCGCTGTTCAAGGATTTCAATTTCAATTGAGCAATATGCAGAGCCTTCAATTCATCTTGAAATTTGTTGTGCAAATTGGTGGTGACCTCCCATGAAGTGGCGAACCTCAACACTTGCTTAGATGGGATTATGAGTTGTGTTAGCTCAATAACATCGTATAGCTTTGAATTCAGCTTATCTGATTGGCCCTGGATTGAATCCATAAGGGCCCTTACAAAATCGTTATTGGGGAAGTGCTGGCTTCTATTGGTGATGAGGGAATCAAAATGTATCTTTTTCTTCAAAAAATTGATGAACAGTGCCAACTCCAGTTCGACTCGAGGTTCGACAATTAACGCTAAGTCTTTGCCGCGATCTCCATCTATGACAACCAAATCCTTGCGTTCCATGGCCAAATTTGTAGATTGTGGGATGGACAGCAATTCCAATTTCCCGTTCTTCAGAGCGACCAGGACCAGAGGTTTGTAATGCAGGTATGCGCTCGTACTGCTATTCCTCCTTGTCTCATTCCCCGACACAAAAGCGTCCGATTGAGGATTGTAATTCAAATTGGAGCTCTTCAAAAACATAAGAAATTTCACCACATTAGCACTCAAGAGACTAGAGTCAGATCCTGAGAGTAGATGCTTCAAACGGTCTAAAAAGCTGCAAGCCTCATCGCTTGAAAAATAGTTTTTGCCACAATCGTGGTAAAGCGATTTCAACTCGGATGATGCTACGACTTGTTGGCCATTGATAAGTTCCAAACCATTATCTAATTGGTGTGCTCCAGCCTGAGAGATGGAAGCATGCTGTGATCCATGAGGCGATTTGTAGTTAATCTTGGGAACTGATAAACGTTTAGTAGGAGCTTGTGCGTATCGATTTTTAGGTACACTTGCAGACGAGTACAACTGCTCGAAATGCGACGGCAGCATATTCTGTGCTTCCGGATTCATCGAGTTGTGGATGAGAGTGTCAGATATGTACGAGGATCTCCTGTCTGCTTGAAATTGTTGCTGTTGCTGCTGCTGTTGTTGTTGTTGCAAAAGTTGCTGCTGCGGATCAAACTGCAGATAGGTGAAGGTCCCAGCACTGTTTACCGGTGAAAGCGCACCACCTGCATGACCCGGGCTGAGTGATTGTTGCGTGAGCGCCGCGTAATAGCTGGTAGGGGACGCCAACATAGTGGAGCCTGAAGATCCTGACGACCCTACGCTGTTGTTGCGAGAGTTCGCCGCGCCTACGGTGGCTGTGACTGGGGCCACTGAAGTAGCAGGAGCTATGGATACTGTTGGACCCAAGGGGCCCATAGAGGGTGGCACTTGTGGTGGCAATTGTTGGTGACTAGCTGCGACATGGTGAGAGTTCCCGAGCTGCAAGGACATGCCCGAAGGCAGGCCCTGTGTCGAGCGGTCCTCTCCTACCTGAAATCCTTGCGCAAAACGCAAAGGCTCGGAACTTGAAGGTGTCATTTGGACTGCCCTCAACGTTGACTGCGAGCTTGGGACATTGCCCGAGGGAAGGGCTCTGTGTCCGAAACCAAATCCGCTGATAAAATCCACATTGCGTTCTTCCACATTTCCGGGGGCTCGAGGCATGGCCTGACGCGGCAGATCCGTCAGAGACTTGCCACTGCTATTTTTAAACAATAGTTTATCGTAATAGTTGCGCAGAGCCAAATTATCAGAAATGCTTGTCGTACTGTTTATCGACGGCAAGTCAGTATTGAACTCAAGCCGCTTATCCTCCATGGTCGCTAACCCTGTTGTTGTAAGTTCCTCCTGTTGCAAAGCTTATTCCTAATTTTATCGAGCAAATGAGTCTAATTTTCGAACCGAAATTTCCTCTCAAATCAGCTCGGTATCTATCAAAAACTTATGGGAGAGCTCGTCTCTCTCTACTGAAAGTGTCTTCTATTCGTTCTATCGCCGTGCGCCACCGTTTCGTTGCTAACCCTTTGCTGGGGAACTTCTGAGAGCGTTAGTGCTGTCAGAACCGCCTTTTATATTTCCCTGAAAACTGTATGTATTACCCCTTGTACGAAAAAGAGTCTAGTGCGGAGACGTCACCTTCGACGAATGTGTCACTGGCGCCACAGCTTTGACAGAACGATGAGCACAGTGACAGTCTGAAAGGGAGTGTTTCTGTGTTCTCTACAATAAATGCCATAGTTGGATGAACCATCGAAGAAGCGTTTCCTCTTGGGACGGAGGTCTTGTCATTTTATTGAAAGAATGGCTTTGGCGACTTGTATGATAATTTGAGTGAAATGCTAGATTAGACTAGCAACTTCACAGAAAACAACTCATGTGCAGTCTGGGTCTTGAATAGAAGAGAATAGGACTTTTAGGGGGAAACTTGCTCAGAAACATGAACAGTAGCGGTGATCATCTTGAAAGTTATCGTCAACGACACGATGGTATAAAGTGATCTTTACGCAGGACGGGGGCGTCCGCTGACTTGGCCGTGTGGAGTCCGGTATATCAGCGACAAGCCCAAACCTATAAATTCGGTTGTTTAATTAGGTGAGACTTACTACAATTCAATCAATTGTTCGGGGTTTTTTGTTAAATTCGCGCCGAGCAAGGACTCTCCATGCAGTTGCTTCCCTCGTCCCAATTCTAAAGTTAGGGTTGCCCAACGGCACTAAGCCACTGGCAGGACTCCTCACACAGAAGTCTATGGAATACCTCTATTGTCTGGTGTCTCTGTCTTACGTAGGAAATATGACGGAAAGTTTTCTGGGTTATTATTAATGTCAGCTACGAAAACCCAAACAATAAACTGGGGAATGAGAACAACTCCATAAAAGTAATGCTTCTTCATCGTGCTTTCCGGAGCCTGCGGCTCTTGTGCTTAGCGAAAGAAAAACAACCAGATACTACCATTAAATATGCACATAATCATAATGTAAATGAGCAAAACTTTCCATTTTGATGACAATGCCCCGGACTGCCCATCCATGGTAGGATCCGAAACTTCGGAGGTAGCCGGCCCGCCGGCATTAGAATAGCTTCTTTCAAAAGCACTAGCCACACTCTCCACTCTGGGGTCACCTTCAGCCAGAACCACACCCAGGCCTTTGGCCATATGCCATTCTACGTGACAATGCAATAGCCAAAAACCCGGGTTATTGGCTCTGAAGCGAATCACCGCGTAAGAACTGCCGGGTATGTTGATAGTATCTCGCGTCATTGGAACCTTGTTCTCCCAGGATGCAACGTCTGCTAGGTAGCGTTGCATGGCTGCACTCTCTCGTTCGTTAAAATATAAGGGCCCATCGCGCTTTTTGCCCACAGAGATTACTTGGAAAGTATGACCGTGTAAATGCCAAGGATGCGTCATGTGGTCGATTGAATTGATTGCTATTTCAACTACCTCACCGCTGTCTAGTTGAATTGGGTCTCGAATACCCCTCGCGCCCTCTAATAAAACTCCATCAGGAAGAAATTGGGCCATGGTATCCCCATTCACCGTGTACAAGCCTGTCCCTATCGAGTCTCTCTGCTGCCCATCGTAATAATAGTCCAGGGAAAACTGCTGACGTGGGGAAGGTAGCAGCTCCCCTTCGAGTGGAACATAATCATGATATCTCTCACTTTTGTCTAGCCCTGGTAGATGGCTTGGATTACCATCGTAGTCATTGCCAGTATTTTGATTTGGTCGTACAATCCAGTGCGTTTTAGTCACATATCCCATCATTTTACCGCAGCCATGTATTATGCGAGCCTTGGGGGTGCTCAAATCTAATTTTACCAAAACAGTGAATCTTTGTCCAACTGCAACGGAGAGGGTTTCAATCATGTATGGCTTTGTCAACACGCCGTCGGTTTCTACAACACAAAGACGATGCCCCTCTACGTTCAGAATATTGGTGCCGCTCGTCCCTACATTTATCACCCTAAGTGCCACATACTCAGTATTTTCTTTAACTTCAAGCTTTACGGATCCTAGCTCGCCGTTCAAAGTCGAGCCATCGACATGGGGATCTGGGCCCCCTTCGGGACTCATGACATCCTTCAAAATATCGACACTGGATTTTTTGTACCAGTCAGACACAGTAAGAATTTCCTCATGAATTGGGGTCTCTGATCCTGCAAGCGGCAAGTCTCCCAGCAGATCTCCATCGGTACCATCCGCCTCAAGTTTAGCTACAACACGTTGTAAATAGCTGTGCCTTACAGGAGAGTCAACCAAAAGGACCCCGCGAAGCCCGTCTCCATACTGGACCGAAGAGTGTGCATGATACCAATATGTGCCGCCTTGTAACGTTTTAGGTACTGTAAAGTTGTACCAGTATGACATATTAGAGGGAATGCTGCGCTGAGTGATGCCTGGAACTCCATCATTTAAGGCTCCTAACGTGCCTCCAACATTGTCTAAGACAAGCCCATGGAAATGTATGGAAGTGCTACAACCTTCTTCTCCGTACAGCTGCCAGTCTGTGTGACCAACACAAAGGTCATTATTAACTAGTAGGTTGACATTGTCTCCGGCTTGCACACGAATAGTTGAGCTTAGTGAGGAAATGTCACCATTCAATGATATTAGGTGCTCTCCGATTTCTGATGAGGCCCTTGAAATGTTCAATTCCCGAATAACGGTTTCGGATAGTCCCAGATTAAGTATGAAGGACACTGAGATTATCCTGAGCAAATAGGTTATCATATTCGCTTGGTACTAGAACTCCGGATTATTACTACAGGTTTAATTATTCAAATTATTAGCATCATAGTTGAAAAAGCGGGTGATGAGACAAGGTAGTTAGATGGTTAAAGGAGGTCATTTGGGCTCCCTCCAATGCGTTTCAAGTAAATCAACTTTAAAATGCTAACTATCTATACATATATACTACATTGGAAACCTACTTCCACATTCTGCTCGAATCAGAATTGATGATCAAACAAGCAGGCGAGCAAACAAGTTGCGGTGCATGCGTTTATCCCTATAACAAGAGCTGACGATCCGGGTTACCAGAACTATCAAGGACTTCAGAACTACGCGGGATTTACGCCCGGATGAGAGCGCCTTTGTTCTCTAATATCTTCTCGATCTCATTGACCAGTTTTCGGAAAGTCTTGCCAGAGCCAGATATCTTTTCAAATCTAACATCCGACCCAGTAGAGCCCTTCCTTGCAGCAACAGTAATCTCGAAAAGGGTTGAGCGTAACGATAAGATGTTGTCGCTGCTCAATTTGCCCTTGATCTTCTTGGCTGAAGGATTGGTCTTGACACCTTTCAAGCCGTAGTCTTTCCAGGCCAGTAGAAGCTTACTCATGGCGTTGAACATTTGTGTTTCATCGATAGATGTTTTCAGAATGTTTTCAACACTTTCTGCCTTGCTCTCGGCCGCCTTCTTAGAAGAAAACTTACGGAAAAAAGATTTGTTGCCTTTCTTGATGGACTCAGACGTAACATCCTCTAAAGGCTGTCTATTGGAGGCTGGCGTTTTCTTCTCGATGGGCTTTGGCAATTTCTCGACCTTTTTAGCAGGAGCTGTTTCAGTCGCCGGTCTTTGTTGAGAAGCAGGCAACATAGATGATGTTTTCTTTGGTGGTTTGGAATTGGAACTCGTGTGGCGGTTGTCGGCCGATTCACTAGAGGTCTGTTGATACAAACCAAGACCAGTCATTCCATTGGATTTCTGCTCGTCTAAAGGAGGCAAAGCAGGAAGCTTAATGGTTGAAGGGTCATCCATGCTGCTGACAACAGGATTAGCGCCTCCATTGAATCGGTCGGCAAAGTTTAGTTTAACGGTATTACGCGAACCGCTTTTTGAGTCCGTCGCCTCTGTGATTTCATACAGCCGACTATCGGCCGAGGTCTCTGCTGTGTCCTTTCCGTCTCCATCAATGCTTTCAAACATGAACTCGGCTTCGTGATCCACCTTCGAAGTCGAGGGAGGACTGCCGTTTATCGACTGTAAATCACTATCACCTTTGAGGTGATCGGCCAAATTTGTGAATGATGCCTTAGTCGAATACATGGACAGCACTGATAGTCTTTTATTAGATGCGGTGAAATGGCGCGAGCGCCTCGTTAACTGAGGAACTTGAATGTCAGAAATTTTGCGTGGATCACAGTTAGATTTGGCCTTCAATGGGGCGATGCCAGTAGCATTCTTGGGAAGAGCTTGCGTCTCAAAACCCTCGTTGGTACCAGAAGTGGCTGTAGCAGTTGAGGCGATGCGCCCTTGGTAATCGCTGTATTTGTCCACCGATGCCGCTTTTTCGTTGTTGTTCCTCCTTTCCCTCGCAAGCTCCTTGCTTATGTCGAAGGAAGAGCCTAGAAATTTTGACCTGCGGATGGTTTCTAAAATTGTTTTTTGGGTCTCGAAGTCACTCTTTGGAGTATCAGAGTCCGTTTTAGGCGTTTCACGAGCACCGTAGATACCAGGATCTAGTCTGGAAATAGGTCTCGTTTCTAGGGAGAATGTCCTCTTTTGAAGCAAGTCCTCAATATCGTTATCTAGTCCGATGGTAGAGCTTCTTTTGTCAACGTTCAAAATAGTTTCAGCGGGCGCCGAAACAGACCTTTGTTGGACCACGTTATTCTCTTTCAATTCCTTACCATTAGCTCTTAGCAATTCCATCTCTCTATCTATCTGTTCGAGAGCTTCTTTCTGCCGACCCTCCTCTTCCAGTTGAACTTGTCTTTGACGCGCGACTTCCTCCTCATGACGCCTTTGTTCTTCTTTTTGCCTCTCCTTCTCTTCTCTTTCCTCTTGCTCTTTGGCCTCCCTCACCTTTCTTTCCAGCTCTTCTTTCTCCCTTCTAATTTGTTCGTACTTTTCATGCTCGAAGATCTCATCACACAGAGTGGCAAAATCCGCACTGGTTCTTCTAGTCTCTTTTTCAATGTACTCCCAATCATTTTCTTTTGAAATCTTAGCGTAAGTGGCAATTAGCTTTGTTGTCATGGAGCCACGCTTGTTAGGCATAAATGACAACCTCTTACTGAGACGAGATGATTTCTTGTTTGTTTTAGGTACCGATTTGTTGTAGTCCTTGAGCATATCAACAGGGATTGGAGGGGCCGATGGATCAACATCCCTAAGTGAGGCTCTCTTATTAGCTGGGGTTGGAGAACTGTTGGGATTTATCAGCATCGAAAGTTTCTTATTTGAAGATAGGTTGACCGAAGCGCGCTTGCCAGAAGTGGGAGTGGGAGACCTGTTTTCGCTGCTACCATTCGCAAGAGAGGGCCTATTAAAAGATACAGGTCTTTTATGAGACGAGGATGCACTTATTACTGGTCCATTCATTTTCTTTTTGGGCGTAGCTGTGTTAACGATAGAGCGGCGAGAAGCAGAATTGCGTATGCCACTTTTCTTAGGAGATTGTTGACCAACCTGAGATTTCCGCTGTTTCATTTGGTCCTGCTGACTGTCGACTTTAAAACGATATAGCAGGGCATAGAATGTCTTTTCTATATTCGCACCCGACCCTTTCAGCTTTGCAATTATCTCCTCTTTATTTCTCCCATGCCACAAAACCACAAGGTTGTCTATTATTGAGTCGTCAATAACTCCATCAACGTTATCGAGAGGGTTCAAATACGTATCCTCGCGAGGAAGATTTCTGATGCTTTTAGAGTCTTTTATGCTGGGGTATTTTTGAAGCAAGGGATGCTTGAGGATCTCTCTAGCCTTGATACGGGCCGCGGGGTCTACCGTCAGTATTTTCGATATCAAGTTTTGGGCCTCCGAGGAAATCTCATCTGTGTCTGGCATCTCAAAGCGACCGCTTTGTACCTTGAGTAGCAAGTTCCTGATGTTTCCATCTTCTTCGTCAAATGGCAACCTTCCAGTTAGCAATGCGAACAGGATTACACCACACGACCACACGTCACTCTCAAAGCCGTGGTATGGTAGGCCGGATACAATCTCAGGAGCAGCGTAGTGGGGGGAACCACACGACGTTTCTAGCAGCTTATCTTTGCTTTCCAGCGCGGCCATTCCAAAGTCTGCAATTTTAATGTTGTATTTGTGGTCCAGAAGCAGGTTTTCTGGTTTGAGATCTCTGTGCACAATGCCCAATGCATGGCAGTACGAAATACCTATGATGATTTGGCGAAAAAAGCGAATCGCTTCATGCTCGGGCAGAGGGCCACGGTCCACCAGTAAATTGAAGAGTTCACCCTTTTCCACGTACTCCAACACCATATATAGGCTTGAGTTAGTTTCCCACACATCGTAGAGCCTCAAAACGTTGGGGTGATTCAGCAGCTTCATGATAATAATCTCCCGCTCGATGCCATAGGGTAACACGTCAGGGTCAGACGAACCCACCACTGTCGATGAGGTTCCATTGCCCAATGAGCTGAAGATCGACTTGGACACGATTTTCACCGCAGCTTGCTGGCCCGTAATTTCGTGCTGGGCCATGAGCACTTTCCCCGTGCTACCAGCTCCCAAAGTAGCACCGAGTTTCCAAGGGCCAATCTTGTCGCCCTTTGCCGTTGTCAGGTTGGATTTGACCACCGAGTTCTGCCTAGAATGCGCAGACATTTGGAGCCGAGTTAGTGGGTATTGAAACGATTGAATAGGTTGTAGAAAAGCCTGGTTGCGAGTTGGGACGGTTTTCTGAGAAGATGGAAAGGAAGTAAAAGGTTCGACTCAAGACTGGTGGACGTTTTTTTCCCTGAACCACCTGCTCGCCGTGTACCTCAACGCGTTTAGGTTCATGCCTGCTAGGCTCATTCGTCTTCGCAACACACACTGTCGACGTTGCCCAATAGGGAAGAGAATTCTAGTGGTGTAATTTTTCGTGTCGACGCATAAAAAAAGACGCGTAAAACGAAGGTCGACGGAACCAAAGGTGTCGCGTGGCAATCTGCGACCCAGCGTGTGAGCCTGGACTGGACCAGGCCGCCGTGGAGGGGAACTAGTTGTGCACCTCGGCCTATAACGGTGCCATGACACAAAACAGCGACGTCTCGCCCTTTCCTGGAGACTTGGAGATCCAAATTTTATTGTATTGATGAAAGGTGGATGCCGCTGGTGGACGGAGAGCGCCTCCAACCGCAGGGGGGCTCCGCCTGGATGGTAAGTATACCATCTTCCACGAGGGACTGCCGCCGAGTGCTATGTAGACGATCTGTTAATACAAACTACAAAAAAAAAAGGGTCTCTGGATATCGATGAGAAACGAGACAGCAGCCGACCGTCTCGTGTGGTGAAGCGGAGGCCGGGAAGCTATAGCGGGCATGCCGCGGGGAGTGTAGGAAATGTCACCGCTCTTCATAGAAGAGCGCCGCCGATTTGTTCACGATGGGCCTCGATAATGTCGTTGTCCTCCATCTCGAGATCCTCGGGGGTCTGGTCAGCTTGGATTCTCACACCGTCATACAGGAACCGCAGAGAGTCCATCTCTTTGCCCTGTCTTTTAGCGAAGGCCTCCATCAAACGTCTCAAAGGGGTGGTTCTCTTGATCTTGAAAAAGATTTCGGACGAGCCATCGGATACTTTCAAATTGATGTGGGTTTCTGGCTTGATGTCAGGCTTCTGCTCTTGCTCTTGTTGTGGCTCAGACATTGTGATGTGCGTGCTTTGGCCGGCTAGTGGTGGGGTTTGAGTTACTCGAGCAGCTGCCACCGTAGTTGTGTCTTGTAATTTGGCTGCATTTTTTTGTGAGTGAGAGGACGTATATTAGACGCGTTACCCGGCGCCGGGGCCGTTCCAATAGATTGACTTTAGCGTGAACCAGTGGAAGACGAGGGCGACTCCCAAGATTGGAGCGACTCCCGAGACTGGGTCGACATACCCGCAAGGACTGGGCCACTGCAGCATCTCGGCACCCACAGCCGAGAGAACCGGCCTGAAATCCGAGAGCCGTACACAGTGACACGCGTCGGTTTCCGCCGCGAGAGCGTTGCCGCAGATGTGCCGCAGATGTGGCCCTTGAGTGGCCCTCGAGTGGCAGCGAGGTGTCGCCTGTGGGGCATCCGGCCTCTCTGTGTATCGAGCACTGGCCGTTTTTCGATTTTTGGTCGCGCTGTCGTATGAAGGCAGGAAAGCGAGGCATTGCGCGTCAGAAAAGTACAAAGTGATACGCGCGACACCAGTAACACAAGTAACACAAGTAACACAAGTAACACAAGGATGTGCACGGTGAGGGGGCCCGAGCAAGGAATGCAAGGTCGAGCGGCCGGCGTCGGTGGGCCTGCTACTGTTGACGGTGACCGGTCCCTGCGCCCGGGCGCCTCACCCGCGGACACAGGAGTAAAAATCAAGCTTCATGCGTCAACGCCGCGCGGTGAGGCTACAATGGCGCCGCGCTGGCGAGCAGAAGTCTTCTGCCGCATGGCAGTTACTTTTACTTCGGTTCTGCCCCGCCATCACGTGGTGTATCCGAAAGGTACCCGTTTTGGATCTGATTTTTCCACATGGCTGATCCGAAAAGGACCCGGTGTATTTTCGGCGACTTTTTCAATTTATTTTTCAGTGTATTCCCAATATGTTCTCTACACGCACTGCACTGGTGTGTGATGTGTCCGATGGCCATCATCACCCGTCGTCATCTTCGAGGCGGGCCACGTCAGACACCTGCCGCGGCCCTCTCCTGCGCATCTCGCCGCTGTCTCCCACCCCATCGACGCTTTGTGCCGATGCCGTATTCTCCACAACTTCGTAAACAACCGTGGACAAGTATTGTTGTTCTGTAGCCTAAGTAGCGTAGCTCGGCTTGGTGAGTCTCGCTTGGTGATACCACCATTATTACGCCCATGCTACCCTGGCCGGCACCAGTTCCGCCGACGCCGTAGCGCGCATTCCCGCCTCCAGCTAGCAACCGTGAGATTTTTTTCCAGTGTCACGGCGTTAGCTCAACCACCTGAGCAGGATTCGCACCGGCGATGCGATGCGATGCCGCAAATGCCACTACTGCCGTGAAAATGTGGTCAACGGCTTGGGTTGGGATGAACTACCGGGTGAGTCGTGAACTTGCAAGCTACAGGGCGAATTTGCGCTTGGATTTTTCTCTTTTGGGTTGTTAGGAAGCGTAGGCCAAGGCACTATTCAAAGCAGCATAGGCTCTTAGGAAAATGAGATGGTGCTAGCGATGGAGGTGCTAGCGGAACCGGCGAAGTAGGCGAAATATAGGCGAAACTATGAGTATGACAAACGGTGAGTAAAACGACGACAGGCTTGTGGGGGTGGACGAGGTGAAAAGAGAACCTTGCCAACTCTGCACCACTCGTTCCCAGCGTGGGTGAGCGATAGCTTGAAATTGGTTTTCACGGTGATGAGCATGGAACCAAAGAATACAACCAAGCCGCGCGACGGCTCGATGGCCGTGGAGTCGTTCGACAGCGGAGAAGTGGTGAAAGAAGGTACAGAGGAGCCGTTGTCGCACGGCAGAAGAGACGGTCTGGTGAGCCGGGTTGTGGACTCTTTCAAAAGGCCCGTGGACGAGACCACACAGCATGCACACTACAACGAGGCCGGCAGCTTCGCGGACAGTGACCAGTGCAAGCGGTCCCGCGACGTCAACGCGGGCAACAGCCACAAGACGCTCAAACAGCATATCCGGCCCAGACACATGCTGATGATCTCGCTGGCGACTGGGATCGGGACCGGGCTGCTGGTGGGGAACGGGCAGTCGCTGCACACCGGCGGGCCTGCGTCGCTGGTGATCGGGTACCTGATTGTGTCGTCGCTGTTGTACTGCATCATACAAAGTGCGTCGGAGCTGGCCATGTCGTACACGTCGCTGTCCGGGGGATTCACGGCGTACCCGGCGCTGCTGGTGGACAGAGGGTTCGGGTTTGCCGTGTCGTGGGTGTACTGCCTGCAGTGGTTGTCGGTGCTGCCGCTCGAACTGGTCACTGCGTCGATGACCATCAAGTACTGGAACGACAGCATCAACCCGGACGCATTTGTGGTGATCTTCTACGTGGTTCTCGTGTGTATCAACTTCATCGGCTCCGAAGGGTACGCGGAGGCCGAGTTCTTCTTCAGTCTGTGCAAAGTTCTGATGGTCGCCGGGTTCTTCATCCTGGGAATCATCATCAACTGCGGCGGCGCGGGCAACAGCGGATACATCGGCGCGCGGTACTGGAGGGACCCAGGCTCCTTCCGAGGCGACGACGCCATCTCGCGATTCAAGGGCCTGGTGTCGGTGCTGGTTACGTGCGCGTTTGCGTACGGCGGTGCCGAGTTCTCGGTGCTAACCGCTGCCGAGCAGTCCAACCCCCAGAGGTCGTTGAGAAGCGCGTCCAAGCGGCTTCTGTACCGTATATTCGGGATCTACTGTATGACGGCGGCTCTCATTGGGTTTCTGGTGCCCTGGAACTCGGACGAGCTCCTGGGATCCGGGAGCGCCGCGACCCACGCTTCGCCGTTTGTCATCGCAGTGGCCTCCCACGGCGTGAAGGTGGTTCCGCACTTTATCAACGTGGTCATTCTGTTTTCGGTGCTGTCAGTGGGCAATTCCGCGCTATACTCGTCGTCCAGAATCATGCTGTCACTGGCAGAACAGAAATTCGCTCCGCAGTTCCTCGCCTACGTCGACAGACGAGGCAGGCCGCTGCTGTCCCTGGTGGTGAGCTGCGTGTTTGGGCTGCTCTCGTTTGTGGCCGCGTCTCCCAGGGAAGAGACCGTTTTCACCTGGCTGTTGGCCATCTCCGGGCTGAGCGAGCTGTTCATCTGGTTCTCCATTGCCCTTTCGCACGTCCGGTTCCGGGCCGCGCTGCACGCGCAGGGCAAGTCCCTGGACGAGCTCGGGTACATTCCATGGACGGGCCTGTGGGGGTCCTACTACTCCATGGCGATGATTATTCTCATCCTGGTGGCCCAGTTTTGGGTCGCCATTTCGCCCGTGGGCTCCGCCCAGCTCGACGTGACCTCTTTCTTCGAAAACTATCTCGCCATGCCGCTACTGATCGTGCTCTACCTGGGATACAAGCTGGTGTCTCGCGACTGGAGACTGGTCATTGCCGCCAAGGACGTCGACCTCGTGTCCGACAGGAACGTGTTTGACGCCGAGGTGCTGAGGCACGAGCAGATGGAGGAGAAGGAGCGCGTCCGCAACTCGTCCTGGGCTGTGCGCATGTCCCATTTCTGGTGTTAGGTATTTTTTATGTACGGAACGGCATTACATAGTGTAACGATAGACAAGGCTGCCTCGGCAGCGCTGCAACCACGACGAGGACCACGCTATGGACTCTGATTATGTTCCAGAAGATGAGGAGAAGGAATGAGAGAGGGTACGCCATTCTGAGGAAACCGACATCAATGGCCTAAGCATATCCCGAGGAAATCGATATCAATGGCCTTAGCACATCTCGAGGAAATCGACATCAATGGCCTAAGCACATCTCGAGGAAATCGACATCAATGGCCTAAGCACATCTCGAGGAAATCGACATCAATGGCCTAACCACATCCCAAGGAAATCGACATCAATGGCCTAACCACATCCCGAGCAAATCGACATCGCAACGGTCGAAGCAATGGCCTTAGCGCATCACTTGGCTTTAGGATAGAGGACCAAGCATGATTGGATTGACGATGGTTTCAACATATATGTGCCTTCCGCGATACTTCATTCAATGGCAGGACGGCGGACAATTCTGCTATCACAGCGCTACAGCACAGACCGGACGACGGACAATCCTGCTATCACAGCGCTACAGGGGCACAGATCAAACGCGCCACAGGAGCACAGATCTAACGCGCCAACCGTAACCTGTTGTCAGAGACATCATTCCCGGACCCAGCCCGGCTACGCCTGGCAACGCCTGGCAATGCCTATGTGCTCGGTGTACCCACCGCTGTGCCCGGCGTCAGTGCCGTCCACAACGACTCCCATTTTCCGTTTCTTTTGCCTTCCACATGCAGCGAAGCCCTTCCACGTGCATTCCATGCAGGTCTCCTTGCATCAAGAATTTTCCACTTTCTTTTCGGCGCTGGGCCAAGGACGCGCAGGGCCGCGATGGGCCCATCTGGTGCCGTTAAGGCGATGGACAGTGGCATCTGCTAGCGCACAAAAGAGCGTCGTGTAAGGCTTGTAAGGCGTTCTGCACCGAGCACAATTCGCTATCAGTTCAGAGGCGCATCGCTAGCGACACCTGCAAGTGAAATCGCATATCAGTACAGGCCATTGGGAGCTTGTAAGTGGTGCGGGAGAAACTCTAGTTTGGTGGGTCAGTGGGCTATATCAAGGCAGAGGTTTTGTGGTGGTACAAGTGTTGTCAAGTGCTAGCCAAGCGGGAGTCTATCAACTACAAGTTAGCAGCAAGTCAAGTGCTAGCCAAGCGGAAGTCCATCATCCACAAGTCAAGTGCTAGCCAAGCGGAAGTCTATCATCCACAAGTCAATTGCAAGTTAGCAGCAAGTCAAGTGCTAGTCTCCTCTCCACAGTCTCCTCTCCACAGTCTCCTCTCCACAAGTGTCTCCACAAGCATCACACATGAACAAGGCTGACGACAACAACTACGCCATGTCCAAAATGGCCGGCGAGTCAGGCGTCGACAGCGTGGAGAAAACGTCGCTGCCCGAGGTCAGCTACGAATACCACGGCAGCGAAGGAACATCGACCTTCCAGCGCTTCAGAAACTCGTTCAAGCGCGCAGACCAGTCGGAGTCCACGCCCGACAGCGAGTACGGCGTGGACCAGCACGAAAACAAGCTCAAACAGTCCATCAAGCCCAGACACGTTTTCATGATTTCGCTGGGAACGGGTATCGGGACCGGTATGCTGGTGGGGAACGGTGCAGCGCTGCACAACGGTGGGCCTGCGGGGCTGACGATCGGGTACGCGGTGATGGGGTCGTGTCTGTACTGTATTATACAGGCTGCCGGGGAGCTGGCGGTCGCCTACAGCTCATTGACCGGTAACTTCAACGCTTACCCTTCGTTTCTAGTGGAGCCCGCGTTTGGCTTCTCGGTGGCCTGGGTCTACTGCCTGCAGTGGCTCTGTGTTTTCCCCTTGGAGATGGTGACCGCGTCGCTCACCATCAAGTACTGGACCACATCTGTGAATCCAGATATTTTCGTCACCATCTTCTACGTGGTCATTATCCTGGTCAACTTCTTCGGCGCCCGCGGGTACGCCGAGGCCGAGTTCTTCTTCAACGTTTGCAAAGTTCTGATGATCTCTGGGTTCTTCATCCTGGGGATCATCATCAACTGCGGCGGCGCCGGCAACAGCGGATACATCGGCGCGCGTTACTGGAACGACCCAGGCGCCTTCTACGGAACCAAGTCCATCCACCACTTCAAGGGAATCGTATCCACCATGGTCACCGCAGCCTTTGCCTTCGGGGCCACCGAGTTCATCGCCCTCACTGCTGCAGAGCAGGCAAACCCAAGACGCGCCATCCCCTCCGCCGCCAAGAAGGTGATGTACAGAATCCTGCTGATTTTCTTGGCTCCAATAGTGCTAGTAGGGTTCTTGGTGCCATATACCTCTGACGAACTAATGGGCTCTGGTGGGTCCGCAACCCACGCCTCTCCATATGTCATCGCCGTGGCATCCCACGGTGTTAGAGTTGTACCACACTTCATCAATGCTGTTATTTTACTGTCAGTTTTGTCGGTTGGTAATTCCGCCTACTACTCCAGCTCCCGTCTACTGCTGTCGCTTGCCGAACAAGGTTACGCCCCTGCAATGTTCAAATTTATTGATCGTGAAGGCAGACCCTTGCTTGCTATGCTCGTTTCCATGGTGTTTGGTTTGATCGCTTTTGTCGCTGCTTCGCCCAAGGAGGAAACGGTGTTCACTTGGCTACTGGCCATTTCCGGCCTATCCCAGCTGTTCACTTGGTGCTCTATCTGTATCTCACACATTCGCTTCAGGCAAGCCCTCAAGTTCCAAGGTAGATCCATTGGCGAGCTGGGCTACAGGTCCCAAACTGGTGTTGCTGGTTCCTACTATGCTACTGTGATTATGTTCTGCGTGTACATCGGACAATTTTGGGTGGCTATCGCTCCCATGGGCTCCTCCAAGCTAGACGCTAACAATTTTTTCGAAAACTACCTGGCCCTCCCCATTCTGATTGCACTGTATATCGGCTACAAGGTTTGGAAAAGAGATTGGAGGCTATACATCCCAGTCGAAGAAATCGATTTGAACAGAAGCCGTAAAGTTTTTGAAGAAGACCTGATCAAACAGGAAGATGCTGAGTACCGTGCGCATGTCAGGAACCTGGGCTGGTTCCACAGAGCGTTGCATTTCTGGTGTTGAGTTGCTCGTTAGCTTCACAAAAGAGCATGATCAAGAGCGCACTTTTATACCAGGACAATTTATTATATCATGAGGACGACACGGATTGCTCATTGAATCTTCACACAGCGCTCAACTGTCTGTTGTGCGCTAGATGCGAGCCGGAAAGCTGCCAAGGTTACGAAGTCAAGGACGCAGTATGGCGTTAATGTGGTGTATTTTGATTCTATAGAATAGTAGACATACTGAAAGTAAGTTTAACTACAATAATGACCCGGGTTCAGCGTTGTCTTATTCATTTAAACGATAACCCTCACTCTTTTCAGATTAGTCGAATCTGTATATACGGAATAGTGACCACTTGAAGCGTTGCTACGATGTGGTGGTGCGAAGGAGAACTAACGGAACTAGAGAATGTGAGGGAGTTGCGACCTTCACAATTACCCATTGTCGTGGAATGGGAATTTTGGGACAGGCCATTTCTCATCCTCTCAATCCTCCGTAGAGTCTCTCAAACTATACAACCGTCTTTGGACCGATGCAAGCTTTCAGTCTCAGTCTCAATACCTGTCAAATAGTACATCTATTCAGAGCTACGCTAGGAAGCCAGACAGGGAACCGGCCATAATGAGACCTTTCAACCTTATTAATTAACGCTAGTACCGAGATGGGCCTCGGAAGCCGGAGAACTTCTTATGTCCCGATTAGTTTATGAAATATTAGTAAAAAGTATGTAATTCGTTAAAGATTAGTCAACGACTGTAGTCTTGATGACGAAAAAACATATTCTTGGCGATTCGTAAACACAGTATATTAGCGGCAGCGCTCGAGCTTTTATTCGCTCATTCTGGAAAACAATCTTTCTACGCTACTATAGTCTGTTCAAATTTATTCTCCATCCACACCTCAAGAATACACCATGTCATCTAAAGCTGCGCCTTTCTTGGAAGCTCTCGCCTCTCGTCGTTCCGTCTACGCATTGAAACCCGAGCTGCCAGCGGGTATCGCTACTAAAGACGTGCAAAACATTGTCCAGCAAATAATCAAAGATACGCCAACATGTTTCAATTCCCAAGGTAATAGAGCTGTCATTCTAACAGGAGAAAGTCACAAGAAGGTATGGGATCATGTGTACAATAAGATTCCACTTGAGAACTTCAAAAAGAGACCACTGTCGTGCAGGGATGAGGCTTTTGGAACAGTTGTCTTTATGGTGGACAATGTGAAGACTAAAGAACTACAAGACATGTTTCCAGCCTGGTCGAGTGCTTTCCCAGATTTTGTGGCCCACTCTTCTGGTGCGGCACAGATCTCAACTTGGTCTGCTTTAGAGCTAGTGGGGCTCGGTGGCCACTTGCAGCATTTCAGTGACTTTGTGTCAGAAGCGCTTCCTCAAGGCGCGATCGAAGAAGGATGGAAGGTACATGCTCAACTAGTATTTGGTCTGCCCACAGCCGCGCCTGCGGAGAAGACCTACATTGAAAACGATGTCAAGGTATTCGAGTAGAATGCACTTTGTAATGAGATTTTAGAGAACACGTCTAGTGTTTTTATAAGTTTTTGAAGATTGCTTTGTTTAAAATTGAACCGCGTTAGCCTTCAACATCTTTAAGGCAAACGCCAGGAACTATCCCACGATAGTCATTTAAGTAAAATTCCCCATCAATTTTGCAGTGTTTGGGATCATTGCTAGCATCTAAAGGACTACCAGATGGTTGGCACTTTTCGACCAAGCACCAGCCATCTGTATGTCTCGCCAGTAACCGCACATACTCGTGATTTTTAATTGATATCTCGTCGGTCAAATTAGGCTCGTAGGCTCGGACCACCTCACAAATCTGAAGGGTTTCTGAAGTTGGTGGACTCAAGGCCGGCACTCGTCTGCCTACTAGCTGCAAGGAATGTGGACGAGAAAATTCATCCGCAGTAGTCTGCTTAATATTCGGAGTGAGCGGAAGTGGCTTCACTGATTTCACAGTATTCAAATGTTTTTCCAGCTTCTGATCATGCCCTTGATGCTTCTTGTTAGTCGAAGCTGGAGGTCCAAGGAGCTTGCCATCGTCTTTTAAAAATTTCGGCATCGGTTTCCGCAAAGTAACGGCATCAATCTTCGAAGGCGCAATAGTTTGTGGTTTGATGGCAGCCACCGAGGTGGTCGAATGTGAATATGGGTTGAAGTTGGAGATGTCTTTGGAATTCATGAGCCTGGTATCTCTAATGTTAGCAGACGAGCTTTTGAAAGTAGAAAGTGCTTTCGGAGATGTACTTCTGACTACCAGTGGATCTCCTTTCTCCGCCACGTAGGAATCTCTATCTACAGGAGAGATAGCATTGCTCAAAATGGGCGAGCTCTCATCCGGAAGAAAGCTTTGTACGCGATTCCTTGAAACTCTAGATAGAATGTTCAGTTGCTTGAGCATAACAGTGGAAGACTTCAAGGGTTGCTTCACTTGGTCCTGAAGGTAGGTTGATTTGGTCAAAAACCACCTCGACAACGGTGATTCGTAATTCCATGCCCCAGGTTCGGGAGAAATGGCATTTTGCGTCGTGCGTATGCTGCTGTCAGAAGGAGCATTTGCTGTGGGCAAAGCAGAGCCAATAGATTGAATCCCTGGAGGTTTCGAATACAGCAAAGCGTTGATTTGGTTAGAACTGAAACTTTTGCTAACGGGGAATGCCAGTTTGTCGGGGGTTTGGATGTGCTTGGAAACGGGCTCGGATTCAGGATCTATGGAGGTAATTTTGTAGCTGATGGTAGCACCGCTGTCTTGGTGCGATGGGACGGAGCGCGATCCATATTTTTCACTGTAGTAACATTGACTGGAATCTGGATGGAACAACCGAGTCCACACCTTGGAACGCAGACGGCGAGGAGGGAACGGGGCGCCCGACCTAGCCTGGAACGGTGTCTGTGGATACAGCATAGCATTTTGTCTGCGGCACCACAAATAAAAGACGACGAGACAGAACCCAAGACAGAAGACACCAAGCGGAAGCCCAATGGCCAATGCTATCGTTGCGGAAGAGCCATCTTGGTCTCTCGAGACATTGTTCAAGACAATAGTAGCAGAAGAGCTTTCGGAGGGCGGCGTCGCCTCTGCTCTGGCGTCCGACGATGAAGTGCTCATCAGCTGGAGGTAAGTAGCGGTTGAACGCCCATTGCTCGACGTCGACTGGACTCGATATAACAAGGAGTGCGTGCTGGTACCGATGGTTGCGGTCGAAAAGGGCTCGGTACCCCTTGGCGAGAAGAGAAGGTCGACGAACACACTTTCCAATACCGTGGCGTGTGAAGGTGGAGAAGGTGTGGGACTCATGCGTTGATAGTGGCAGCTGGTGCTCAAAATCGGTGCGTTGAATATGCTGAAGTGCGGGCGGCCATCACGGGCAGCTGTCGTAGTATTTAAGCTCTCATGTAGACGCTAAGGGACCATAAGAAGTGTACAGGTTGTTTCAGCTCATCGCGCGATGAGCTGAAACAGGGTATTGCCTGGATCACACAGTGCTACTGGTTCTGACCATCTGCACGTGATTCTGATCAGCAGCACGTGACTAACAATGTCAAGCCCAGTGTGCGCCAACGTCATGTGACAGGAGCTCATATCATGAGATAGTATTCCATATACCGGCAGGTAAGGACCCTTCTTCCAGTACATCATCAACCCTCGTGAACCGTACGAGCCAGCGGCCACAATGTTTATTGTGCTTGGCAGTCCTGGGCATGATGTTTAGAGACTTCCTCGCCTCGTACGAGACTCGCGAAAAAATACCAGCAATAATATAACCATAGGCGTAATATCACCATAAGCGTATTATTCTATGGAAGGATGGCCACGAAAAGATGTCAAGGATTTGCACTTTGCATGAAAGAGCATAAGTACGTAGTAGCATGCTGGAGGCTAAACGTATGAGCTCGAGGCTGGTCGCGTACACATAAACACCAAATAATAAAGCTTGAACGATGCGGTTTGCCCAGCGTTGGGATTTTCGCAGGGTTGTTGACGGCTGAGAACAGCAATAACATTTCCTGTTTTGTTGTGGTCTTGATGGGGGGGTGCTGGCGACAAGCACAGACGAAATGTCAACTGCGAAAATAACAAAAGTGGCCCCATTGTGGGCGGTCCGCAGCACACCGCGTTAAAGAAACGATTGGCGGCTTACCAGGCTAAAGTAGTATAAGTAGCGCCGGAATGTGGGAGCATAGAGAGGCCTGTCTGATAGGAGCCACCCAGCTCGCTACACTGTGCACTTTGCTAGTTAATATAAACCAATAATCATGAAGTACAAGTCTGTCGTGAGCCTGTACATGGCCGTCTCTGCAGTCGCAGCGGCACAATCCACCACCACGGACGACGTCACGGAAACCGCGGTGGCTTCGAAATTTTATAAGACGCCCAGCAGTTCGCAGGCCGCAAGCTCGACTCTGGCATCTGGCTCGTCGGAAGTTACATCCGTGCCATTAGGCAGCAGTTCGAAACCCGGCACGGTCGGTACTTCCAGCATCTCCAGCAGCAGTGATGCTTACGGTTCAAGCTCCATTACATCAGCTTCAGTGGGCTCGACACCGGCCACACTATCCGAGAGCACGGGCACGGAACGCTCTTCGAGTCTGCTAAGCTCAGAGACCTCCTCTCTCGCCTCGAGTGCATCGGCTTCTGGTTCAAGTGCATCAAACTCCGCCTCCTCCAGTACCTTGGATAGTGCAGCATCGAGTTCTACGCTACCGTCGAGCTCTACGCTACTGTCGAGTTCTACGCTACTGTCGAGCTCTACGCTACTGTCGAGTTCGAGCTCTCTATCTTCCTCCGAGGCACCATCTGCCCTCCCATCCTACTCTAGAAGATCGATAGGATCGTCTGTGCTTTATGCCAACTCGACTCAGACTGCTACCCAACTATCTACATATGGTTCCTTGTCTGGAATACCATCTTGGGTAACCTCATTTTCTACCACTGCCTCGTACGGTAGTGCCACCGAAGATGCCTCTCCCACAAGTTTGCCAAGTCTTTTAAGCGTTACGATTCCACGTGCCCCCAGGACGACCAATTCTCCTGAGGCCTCCTCTACTTCGGATCGTACAACACTAACGCCTGCCAGCTTTACCGCGATTGGTTCATCGGTTAGCCCCGAAAGCGCTACTAGCTCCACGGGAACGCTTGTCACAGTTTCCAGTTCCCCTATCTCCTCCAGTTCCTATGCTTCGTCCGATCCTTCCAGTGAGTCGAGCTCTGCTCCATCCACGAGCCCTTCCAGCTCAGTATCGAGCCCAAGCGATGTGAGCAGCTCTAGCGTCGCTAGCTCCACTACTAGCTCAAGCTCTACCACATCCACCACTAGCTCAAGCTCTACCACATCCACCACTAGCTCGAGCTCTACAACATCCACAACATCCACAACATCCCCAACGACCACTTCTGCCTCAACTTCTTCAACTTCCACAACCTCATCTGCCTCAACTACTCTGGATGCTGCTACTGCTTCCGCCATATTGAGTGAGCACAATCTCAAAAGAAACCTACACGAGGACACACCGGACTTAGAGTGGGATGACAGTTTATCTGCGTTCGCATACTCTTTTGCTAACTCTCTAAAAGGCACCACTTATGATCCATGTAGCGGTAATTTGAAGCATTCCAGCAACAGAGGAAATCAAGGTGAGAATGTTGCTTTCGGCACCACTCTTGATCCAAAAGTTCTTGTTGACTACTGGTACGATGAAATCAAATACTACGACTACAATGATCTTACTGGAATTGAACACGACGGGCAAGACGTTGGTCACTTCACGCAACTTGTTTGGGCCTCAAGTACGAAAGTTGGCTGTGCTGCGATTCAATGTGACACGACAGCACAATACGGACGAAACTCTCTTTACCTGCTCTGTGAATACAGTCCAACAGGCAATGTTTATAACGGAAATGCTGGGCAGGACGTTTATTCTTACTTCAAAACAAATGTGTTACCACTAAAGTCTTCTTCCTGAAAGGTAACGGAGAAGAAGTTAAATTCGAAACCAAACGTTTGATAACCAAACGCTTGTAGTTTTGTGTATTATATATAATAAATTCAAAAGGTTGTAATATGTGCGACATTAGGGCTTAAAGTGCAAACCACACCTCATCGAATTGATTCAATTTACGCAAAGTTTCCAGAAAAGTTAAATCCCTGCCCACCCTGGTTTCCTTGGCCAGGGCGGTTGTATTCAGACTGACTGAAGTTACCTTGTGGAGGTTGAGAATCGTAGCCACCTTGGTTGTAGCCACCTTGGTTGTAGCCACCTTGGTTGTTGCCCCCATGTCCTTGGTGGCCTCCATTTCCATGATGACCACCTTGCCCTTGGAAACCGCCTTGCCCTTGAAAGCCACCTTGCCCTTGAAAGCCACCTTGCCCTTGAAAGCCACCTTCTTCCTGGTAGCCACCGGGCCTTTGGAAGCGACCTTCTTCCTGGTAGCCACCCGGCCTTTGGAAGCGGCCTTCTTCCTGATAGCCACCGGGCCCTTGATTGTATTGGTTTTGGCCCTGGAAGCCACCGAAATTATTGTCTGAATACCCACCATGGCTCTGCAACCCTCCTTCGTTATAGTAGCTTTGGTTTGAGCCACCTTGGTTTTGGTATCTACCGTCACCTTGTTGATGACTACCTTGGAATTGCCCAAAATTGTTCCCCGTTTGAGATGGAGGAGGTCCTTGGCTAGATTGCTTGCCTCCGCCTAGAAAGGAGCTAGCCATTGAAGCCAAACTCCCAAAGCTGGACTGGCTTTGAGAATGGCCCTGGTTGTGGGCAGGATATTGATTCTGGTTTTGGCCCTGTGTCTGAAACTGATTCTGATTTTGGTATTGGTTTTGTTCTGGGTTTGAGCTCGATCCTTGGTGACCAAAAAATTGACCTGCCAAAGCGCCCAGAGTCCCACCGGCCAAACCTCCAGCAGCAGCATTTCCATGACTCTGTTTCCCACTCCCGCCAAGCAATGATGTAACCGATGAGAGATTGAAACCGCCAGAATTGCCTTTGGAAGATCCGAGGATCGTACCAAGAAGGGCAAGTTTTCCAAGTTGTGACTGAGACCCCCCACCCGAATGGTTTCCGCCAGCAAACGTGTTGAATAGCGTACTTCCCATTCCGCGAGACGTATTTCCATCACCATTGTTCACAATGTATTGTCCGATTTTCTGAATCAATGCCTCAATGGTGGACATTTGACTGGGGCTAGGATCCTGACGAGCAGCAGTAGTTAATGAATCTACTGCTTCTTCATGCTTTCCTTGATTGAATAACTCCTCTGCTTGTCTTATCAACTGGTTCACATCCATCTCGACAATGTTTTGGTATTGACGATCCCTCTAGATCCAACCAGCTAACTGCCAGGGTCTAAATGGCATGGATTTATTTATTCGTCCAACTGAATCTGTCATCACTAACGGATTGTTGGTAGAGTGAGTTTGGCTCTTGGACAGAGCTGGCTGTTGGGTGATGATGGTGAGCATAAAACTGTCTGGTCGGTCTTCAGAATGCGAGGGGTCGAACTACCACGTTGAAAGGTGGACTGCTTATCAAATGGTGAGTTTAAAATTTTCGTGACACCAGTCGAATCACTGAGCGTGATATGTGGCCTCGTAGAATCACCAATAGAGCCAAGTTGATTACATGAGACCTGTTTAAAATATAGGAGCTGTTGATTATTCAGTCGTTTTGACAGTTCTCCAGGGTGCGGTTTAAGACGAGTATTCTTGGTTGCCTTTCAGGAGTTCTTTCATTTTGCGAGCTGGGAAGAAAGAAGAAACCAGAAATCCATATAAAACTCTCTCACCACAAGCATCACCATGGTCTGGTTATAAGCCGGCTGTTGTGTACTCGACCATCTGCCCTTACTGTGCTGGTGTCGGTCTCGTGTGTAATGCTACGTGTCTCTCGTAAGATACTCAGCACAAGGCAGAACGACATTCTGAATTGATGGAGTCCAGAAGCAAGCGAGATCTTGTGGGCCGATTCAATTCCACCGTGTGCTGTCTAGATGGACAATTACCAGCAGAAAATTGGCTGCTTCATCCATATTCCCAATGTGGGCCGTGGTCAATTGAAGTATGTAGGACCTGTAGAAGGCAAATCAGGCACATTTGTTGGCGTTGATCTTCTCGCAAACATTGGAAAGAACGATGGCAGTTTCCAAGGCAGGCAGTATTTCGAGACCGAGTACACACAAAGTGGACTTTTTATACAATTGCAGAAAGTTTCTAGCCTTATAGATGCTGCCTCCATTTCCAATTCCTCGCGGCGAACTACATTTGGTGAGTCACACGGCAGCGATCCACGGTCTGGGCTGTCAAGTGTTCCTAGGTCCCCAACACCGGTACGCTTGGGATCTCGCCAGAGCTCGACGGCATTTTCCGACGCTATGGACGTAGACGGTGAAGACCGTCGTCAACGAAACGCGAGCGCAGGTTCCAACCGTGGCAGCCTAGATTTGAAATTCCATCAACAATCGCAGGAACTTGCGCAGTGCAAACGGCTGCTGAGCGAACAACGGGTTGTGCTGGAAGAGGTCCAACCCGCAATCGATGACTATGAGACTAAGTTGCAACAGATGGAAACGCAGGTTTCCACCCTACAAGCCCAGCTGGCTAAGGAAAAAGACTCACAGGCTAAGCAGAAACTATACTTTGAAACTGAACACGAACAACTTCTGTCGGTTGTGGAAGAGCTGCATTCAGAGATACGCGAAAACGAAAAGAGGATGTTGGAGGTTCAAGAATTACATCGCCACCAGCACCAGGCTCTGCCGACCGACTCAACAATTGCTGAGCTGCAAGCTGAAAATGAGAAAATGCGGGAAAGGGTCGAGTACCTCGAGCAGCGAGCAGCCCCGCATGAAGCCGCCGCTTTAAAATGGGAGAAAGAGCGTAACCAGCTGAAATTGCAAAACGAGTCCCTGAGCTCGGAATACCAGTACATTTCTAAAGAGCTTAATGAAGTTCAACGCAAGCTGGCCCAAGAACTGTCACCAAGCTCACAGGGTCCTGCCACTACGAACGAGACACAGGAACCCAACCCGGAAATCGAAAAATTAATTCTTCAATTGGCTACAGCGAACGCCAGGATACGCGAGCTCGAACATGATTCAACCCGTCCAACTACACCTGCTTTGACAGCAGCTTCTGATCCTAACGAGCCAGAATCCGACTCATTGCCACTGTATATGCCTAAAAAAGCAGACCGTGCTGCTGGACGACAAAAATGGTGCGCCTTATGCGAGAGAGACGGTCACAACAGCGTAGACTGCCCGTTTGAAAACGATCAATTATTTTAGCCAAACCAAGAAGCCTGGCGCTACAATTCCCTGTCGTTGGTGTCACTGGGCCCTGTCGATGACTGTCTTTCGTACTCGAGTTCTCGAGTACCTCGTGGTCAAAATTTTCAGAAGTACCGACCACATCGCATGAGGCTAACTGAAACTTGCATGAGTAAACCTGACTCACCCAGTATACTGGTATAAAGACTGAACTATACGCTCTGAGATTGAACGTTAGGTAACTACTAGCTGAATAGCTGTAAGAAAATCTAAAATAGTTCAAGCAGACTCAATCTTTTCAGTCTTAGACAATTTACTATAGAATGGTCTTTCCAATCTTACCGTTTTTCACGTCAGGCCAAGATCTGGAAGCTTTGACTCAAAAAAAACCATATGTTGGGCTGACTGGACAAGCTCTCATTGATCTCTCAAAAACCAGTGTTGCAGAAGCTGCCGCCTTCATTGAAAACAACATTTCGTTCAGATTTGTATGCGGCCTGCTAAAAGCTAATCATCACGTCAGTGACAATGACCTTGTTGCATTCGTGAACGCCGGCATCGCTGTCCTCTTTGTGGAATCGCAGGAGTCTGCTACTCTTCTAGAAGAACTAGGCATCCCCCGTGACAGAGTGGCAGTTTACGACGGCACAGGCTACACCAGCCAGTTCGGTGTCGTTCAAAAGTTTTCCCAAGGGCACATTGTGGATGCCAACGACCTTTGCGAGGAGAAAATCGCACAAGCTTTGCTCGCTACAGCCAAGACGGATCGCAGTGACAACCTCTACACTACTCTAGTTGTTGACACTCACGAGCGCTGTCTCGGCCTTGTATACTCCTCAAAAGAGTCTCTCAAAATGGCTATTGAAAAGCAGGTCGGTGTCTACTTTTCTCGGTCTAGGAATGAGATATGGGTTAAGGGCCTCACCTCGGGGAACACTCAGAAATTGATCAACATCCAACTAGATTGTGACGGAGACGCTTTGAAGTTTGTCGTTGTGCAGGAAGGCACAAAGTCTGATTTCTGTCATTTGAATACTGCGTCATGCTACGGAGACTTCCCGCATGGTTTGGTGGGGCTTGAGCAGCTTCTTCGTCAAAGGATGGAAAATGCACCAGAAAAGTCGTATACCCGTAGACTTTTCAGTGACCCCGAGTTGTTGACGGCCAAGATCAAGGAAGAAGCTGAAGAGCTCACAGAAGCCTCTAGCAAGCGCGACGTAGCTTGGGAAGCGGCCGATTTATTCTATTTCGCAATGGCAAAATTAGTGTCTAGTGGTGTAACTTTGGAGGAAGTGGAGAGGAATTTGCATGTTAAGCATCTCAAGGTCACGAGAAGAGCCGGTGATGCCAAGCCAAAGTTCGTAAAGGAGGAAGCAAAGCCACAAACCACCAAAGACGAAGAACCTACGAATGGTAACATTCACCTGAACGTGGTTTCGGCTCATGACCAGACAGCTGTTACTGCCGCGCTAAGCAGACCTATTCAGAAGACTGCGGACATTATGCATTTGGTTAATCCAATTGTCGAGAAGGTAAGAAAAGACGGTAATAAGGCCTTGATCGAGCTAACGAGCAAGTTCGACGGCGTAGATCTTGAATCGCCTGTTCTAGAAGCCCCTTTCCCTGAAGAATACCTGGATGGATTAACCCAGGAAATGAAGGAAGCTTTGGATTTATCGATGGAAAATGTACGGAAGTTCCATGCGGCCCAACTTCAAAAAGAAGTTCTGCAGGTTGAGACTCAACCTGGAGTCGTTTGTTCACGTTTTCCACGCCCGATCGAAAAAGTGGGTCTATACATCCCAGGTGGTACCGCAGTACTACCAAGCACAGCTCTTATGTTGGGTGTCCCTGCTCGCGTTGCCCAATGTAAGGAAATTGTCTTTGCCTCTCCTCCTCGGAAATCAGATGGTAGAGTCTCACCGGAAGTTGTTTACGTCGCTCAAAAAGTGGGTGCATCCAAGATTGTATTAGCTGGTGGTGCTCAGGCTGTTGCCGCCATGGCTTACGGTACCGAGACTATCCCTAAAGTCGACAAGATTTTGGGCCCTGGTAACCAGTTCGTCACAGCCGCTAAGATGTATGTGCAGAATGATACACAAGCACTATGCTCTATCGATATGCCCGCAGGGCCAAGTGAAGTGTTGGTTATTTCAGATGAGAATGCTGACTCGGACTTTGTCGCCTCGGACTTGTTGTCCCAGGCAGAACACGGTGTGGATTCACAGGTCATCTTGGTAGGTGTTGCTTTAAGCGAAAAGAGAGTAGCTGAGATTCAAGAAGCAGTCCACCGCCAGGCCATGGAACTACCTCGTGTCGATATTGTTCGCAAGTGCATTGCTCACAGCTCTATTGTTTTGTGTGACTCTTACGAAGAGGCCTTCCAAATGTCAAACAACTATGCTCCAGAACACTTAATTTTACAGATCGAAAATGCCGCCAAATACGTCGATCTTGTATTCAATGCTGGAAGTATCTTTGTGGGTGCTTACACCCCAGAATCGTGTGGCGACTACTCCAGTGGCACTAACCACACTTTGCCAACCTACGGTTATGCTAGACAGTATAGTGGAGTCAACACAAGCACCTTCCAGAAGTTTATCACTGCCCAGAGCGTGACGCCAGAAGGATTGGACAATATCGGCCGTGCAGTTATGAGTGTGGCGAAAGTTGAAGGTCTAGATGCTCACCGCAATGCTATAAAAATCAGAATGCAGAAGCTGAATCTCCTACCGGAAAACTTCCAATAACGAATTAATTAACTTTGCATATAATTAATGATACTGTATGCTAGTTTGTAGATAGAATAAACTCCTACTGTACTTTATTCGAAGCGTCTACTAGTTTGGTTCCCATATGTTAGTTAGAGGGCGAGTGTGACACCAAATGTAATGTTCAACGAGCGTTGATTCGAAACCGTACTGTTCAAAGCTTTAATATTATTCTCACATACCTTATACCCCATAGATCGCCAAAACCGACAATGGTGAAAGGGACCAGAACACTTCTTAAGGCGGCTGCAAGAACAAATTTGCGTGGCAGAAGACCAGAACGCCCGAGTACACCTCTTTTACCACCTTTGCAGCTGTACAGGCGCATTCTTCGCGAACACCAAAACCTACCAGGTCCACAACGCGAGCTAGGTGATCAATATGTGAAAAACGAATTTAAGTTGCATAAGGACACCTCAAATCCTTTGCACATTGTTGGTTTCTTGGCCTCCTGGCAGGACTACTTACATGTGATTACCCAAGGACAATGGCATGAAGCGACGCTGTCGGCCGAGATTCTCGATAAACTATCCCCAGATCAAGTAAACCAACTATACGAGTTGATGAAGGAGACGGAGACTCTTGCTCAAGGTAGTTCCCAATAAATCACACCAGGCGTCGAATGACGGAGGACTGTGCTCGTTATACGTGATCTATATTTTTTTCACCATTCAGATTGGTATTGTCAACCCGACAACTACCAGAGAACAAGCATCACAAGTGTCCCCGCGAACCTACACTCTTTATCGAATTTTGGGTGGAGGAGTCCGGTTAGCTTTTGGAAGATGACTTCTCACATTGACTCAATGAAAAATGGCTTTTTGGCCATTCCATTCAAGTTGAATCCGTCGAATAAAGTGAAAAGTGGACTGAAAAGACCTGGCGATGAAGAAACGCAGACCATAGCTAGGCCCCCTGCACACTACATGTTTATGAAAAAGCACCAATCGAAGAGCGAACTCGAACAAAACTGCTTGTTTCTGGTCAACTTACCGCTCCTAACCCATTTGGAGAATTTGAAGAAGGGCCTGGCTCAGATCTTCGAGCAGTCGGGGTCCGTAGCCCATATTTCACAGCTACTTTACCATGATGAATTTGGTTTGAACGATGTTGATCTTTCTAGTCTGACGTCCGACCTGATGTCGACGGACAGTCCTGAAGAAAAGCGGTTCACTCCTAGGAATACCGCTCTACTGCAGTTTGTGGACTCTGCAAGTCTTGAAAACGCTTGGAGCTCTTTACGCAAATATTCACAACTATCTGAGCCATCAAAATTAGCAAACTGGACCTTCGAATCTCCATCGATGACCACCTTTGTCAATTTTTATAAGCCTTTGGATTCAGAATATTTGAAAGAAGACATATACTCACATATGGCTCTGTTTGAGCAACGAGAACAGCAAGCCCAAGAGGAGGTCCAGTCATCCATCGTTGACGAGGACGGGTTCACTTTGGTGGTGGGCAAGAACACCAAGAATTTGAACTCAATCCGTAAAAAGATTCTCAATAAGAATCCACTGCTCAAACATGAAAAAGTGGTTAAACCCCCAACGATGGTGGACAAAAAGGCTAAGCAAGATTTCTATAGATTTCAGATCAGAGAGAAAAAGAAACAGGAGATTAGCGAGCTGCTGAAGAAGTTTAAGCAAGACCAAGAAAAGATCAAAGAAATGAAGAGCAAGAAGAAGTTCAACCCATACGGATGAACGGGTTCGAGTGACGTTATATCAACATGTATACTAGGTAAAGAATAAAATCATCAAGCTTTTTTCATTGGAGTTGTAATGCATTTTATCGGAAATATTAATGTGTATGAAAACTACAATCGCCCACCGGGGGTCAAGCCGCCATTGACTTCTTCAAAGTCTCCTCGCTGGCGGAGCATGATGGCAGGATGCAAACCCTGCTCTTTCAGGGCTTTAAATACATGTACTGGCTTTTCCTCTAATTCCAGCATTCGTTCTTGGTCCCCGTAACAGATAACCAGGACGTATTGCCGCCAATCCTGTTCGCTTAAGCCATGTCGTTTCATAGCGCTCTTCAAGACTCGTTCGCAAGAGTCTTCCTTAGAAGCTCTCATATGTTTCAGCGGTTCGGTAGAGACACCGCTCGGAGCTCCCGCACCACTGGAAGCTTGCGTATTGGGAAGAGCAGCAGGGGTACTAGCATTGTTAGTTACCGAAAAATGTTGCGAAGTGGCACTGGATGTTGATCTGTTCAGCGGTTGACGCATAGCAATCGTGTTGTTAGGAGAACCTGGCGTGACTACGCGATGGCCTTCGAAATAATCGTGCTGCGGCTGATGACTATTGCCCTGAAGCGGAGCACTGGAGCTCTGGGTATTTTGTATCTGTGAGGTATAGGAATCCTTTTTGACTACTTCCAGCACATCAAGTCTGAGACGAGAGTACTGGCCCTGGAAATCCTGCAGTTTTTCACTTACCGTAGAATAAAGCTGGTTAAGAATCGTCAGCACGTCCTCTTCTTGAGAGTGCTCCTGATGTTTCAGCCTGTTGATTTCGAGCTTCAATTTCACTGCTAGCTGCGCATCTTCATTCAAGAGTTGCTTGCAATCGTCTAAGTCGAGTTCCAGAACAGACGGCCCATCGATAGCGTTTTGGTAAAAACGCTCTCGTATTTGTGGGAGTTCTTTTTCGTCTATAGCCAGTTTCTGTTCGCACCATGTAAGGACTTCATCAACGCCCCACTCGAGAAGCTCCTCTTTTTTTATAGATTCTGGAGCGCCAGCCTCGGTACCCATGTCAGTAGCGTCTAACATAGTAGCTAACGGTATGTACCGCTAATCTTATTCCTCGAAGAATGCTTCGACAGTGCTGACCCGATCCATTGGCAGTGGTATGGCCTATATATGGAACAAGAGCCAGGACCTGTTCTAGTCATGTGATCAATATCTTCGTATGACGCGATATACATTTTGTATCATGTGACTAATGTTTTGTGTCTCGTGATCTTATATACGTACATAGCGAGTTGTATTTGTGTGGGATGGAAATGACAATTGAAATATGTTTACAGAGTATACGAACATTGGCCGGATCTATTGGTGACAAATGTCATCGGCTATACTTTCTTCGGCTCCCAGATGTCATCCGAGCTCCCCCTGTGTTTGGAGTTAAAGTCAGCCTGATCGCGGAACCATTGTTGGACTTTGACTTGATCTGAACCATGTAGAATACAAAACTTGAACTTTTCTAGTTGCTTACTACAGGCATTGAACTCACCGTAGCGATAGTAGTTGCGAAACTGGCCACCGACCGAGTAACAGGCACTGAGTTGGTCAAAAGCCTCTGTACAGCTCATGGTAGTGGGGTATTTCGTCGTCATGGCGCAGTCGGCGTTGCTCCTGTGCTTTATCTACTGATTAATAAGACTGAGTGATAAAGATGAGCTGAATATTGGCTTTTTCTAAGCAAATTTCAAAGCCAACCTAAGAATATAAAACCTGGCAAGGGAAAGCTTTCTTTAGTACATGCTCAGGACAGCTGCTTTCAGTTTCCGCAGCTTTTCAAGACCTCTTCTTGTTTCAAGACCTTGTCTAAGACCATTCTCTACTAATATTCGTCTCGAGATGAGCTCTCCAAGCTGGAACCCTAAGTTAACTGCTGAACAACTGCTGGTTTTGCGTGATAAGCACACAGAAAGACCACACACAGGTGCTTATCTGCATAACGAAGAATCTGGGACGTACCACTGTGCCAATTGCAACGCTCCCCTCTACAAGAGCGATACTAAGTTTGACTCCCAATGTGGCTGGCCGTCTTTCTATGAGGAGGCCAAGAAGGGCGCGATAACGTACCATAAGGACAAAACAATGTACATGGAGAGAACGGAAATATGTTGTGCGAATTGTGGTGGCCATTTGGGCCATGTGTTTGAAGGGGAAGGCTGGAAGGAGCGCTTGGGCTTGCCGCAGGACGTCAGGCATTGTGTGAATAGCGTATCCTTGAATTTCACCAAGAAAGAGGGGAAGTGAGGGCAGGTGTACTTATTTTAGGAAGACTATGGCAGGTGTACTTATTTTAGGAAGACTATGTTTGTACTTCAATTACAAGTTTATTCAAATTTTCGACTTCCCATGAAGATGGCTAGTTGTTACAGTTACACGAGATTTTGTTCATGGTAGGCAGCTTTCCTCTACAGGTGGATTTACCGATGACTAGTGTAAATCAGATGCGGTTTTGATCGCCAAAGGGGTCATTGGAGTCGGCGCGATTGGGCCTCCCAGAAAACGTGGAAGACAGGGCAGATACTTCGTCTCCCTCGTCCTCATCCTCGTCTCCCGAAGAGATAATCGTCAGTTCATCGGAAACGTCAACGTCGCCGCTCAGTTCGTCGTAGCCAGACAGCGAAGCCACCAGTTCTTCGTTGGCATGTATTAAACTGCCCAAAAATTCGCCCTCCGTGACCAATTGTAGGTACCTCAGCACCTTACGGCGAACCGCGCGGGCCTGGACGAATTTCGCGGTGGCTTCTTCGCTGTCCGTGCTCTTGACAGATGGAGGGAGCGTCTTCAAAGTGTTTTTAAGGGAGACGGCAGTGGCCAGAGCATCGCTGATCAAGAGTCGTATACGAGGCGCTTCTTTCTCCATGTCAATGCGGGGAATGCGGTACCGCTCATCGGCAGACATGGGCATCGAGGCGTCGGCTTCATCGCTCATAAAATCCCTGCGCCTTCTGCTGCTCTCCGCACGTTCCCGAGTAGTGTACTTGGATCCCACGGTACGCCCCAATTGGTAGAGCCCATCGTAACTTCGACTGGGCCCCAACTCCTCGATCATGGACAACCAACCCAGAACATACCCTACGCACTGCTTGACGATTTTAACATGGTACCGGACCCCGTTGCCATCCGTTTCCGACCGTAGTGCAATGACCTGGAGCCGATCTAGCAGCTTGGCGTCGTTGTACATCTCTGGATATTTCACGCGCTGCGATACAAACAGGTCCATCAGCTCCAGGGCGCGCGATTGTTGGAATCGGTTACCATACTTAAGCTTCTTGCGAATACACCGAGCGGCCTCAATTTGGTTTGTTACTGAGCCGTACGAGCCCTTGCCGGATCCGATTTGCTGGATGAGCGACGCCAGCTCTACCTCCAAGGTGAAGGTGTTCGACGAAACAACTCGCTCTATGGTGTCTGTGATGGCCGTATGTGGATGGTCTGAGAGAAAACCCATTTTTCAGACGGTTGGAAGTGCTTCAAAATAGAGCGACGAGTTCGAACGGGTCCTTTACAAAGAACGCTTGATGCTGCAATGCTGACTGACAGCCAAATTGTGAGCGATCACCACCAGATATGCCAATCCTTACGCAAAGTCAGCAGAAGTCTTCCAATGCGTATGAGCTGCACTCTCTGGGTTATAAACGCTTCTTTCGCTTCTTCCGCTTCTTCCGCTTCTTAGCCACCTCTCGAAGATACCGGTCTAGTTCGTGTATCTTAAGAGGTTGTTCGCCCTTAACGCAATAAACCTTTGAAGCGAAGGGATGAAGGTCAGGTGCTCTGCACGTGTTTCTCCGTTTGTAGTGATTAGCCGTACATCGTGATCATAGTTTATATCATCATTTGGAGTCGAGAGACTCGGCTCTGGCCGAGAGGAAATCATCTTCAATGTAATAGGCGGGACCGACCCATCAACAACTATAGATTGCAAGTTGGATCTTTCGAGCTGAGACTGCCCTTCACTCTTGAGGCGTTTTTTCTATAGATGGGCCAACTACAACGTGCTACCATCTGCTTCTGAGCGGCCGGCCCCACTACCATGACTAAGATTGAAGAATTGCTCCTCTGTGACTTTCTTAGTAATTACCCGCCCCTAACCCGAGAACTGGGTATATAAGGACTATGGAAATAAACCATAGATGGGCAGTGAGTGCCATAACATATGTTATATTCTCTCACTTGTTTTTATGAATAGCTCCAGCGCTTTTGTATTTGTCGCTTTAGTATTCACGGTGTACTTTATTCGTAGGTTCTTTGGTTCTTTTAGCGCAATGGCCTCTCCCGAAACTGTCCAGAAAGTTCAAGGCTACATCAAGGACAACAAGATCTTTGTTGCGTCCAAGACCTACTGTCCTTACTGCCAAGCTACCATCAAGCTGTTGTTTGAGGACAAGAAATTGAGCGAAGAGCAAGTCTTTTTGCTGCAGTTGGACACCATGAAGGAAGGTGGTGAAATCCAAGACGCCCTGCAGGAAATCACCGGCCAAAGAAGCGTCCCCAACATCTTTATCGGCGGCAGCCACATTGGCGGCAACAGTGACATCCAGGCGTTGGAATCCAGCGGCAAGCTAGACCCTCTATTGAAGAAGGTGTTGGGCTAGATTAACTATTGAATATACTGTGTAATATTAAGTCTAGACCGAGAAAAACAATGACAAGTAATCACCAGAAAATTAAGTTGACGAGAACAGTTTCAGCAAGGCTAACCAGAGATGAGCAAGTTCGAACTGATCAAGAAACTAGAGTCCTTGTTTAATACATATGATTAAAAGGGTATATGATAAGTATCGTAGATTACCGACCTAACCGACTTACAACAAAGAGGCAAGGACGGCAGCGATGGCAACGAAAACACCGTTAGATCCCAAAATGGCACCAGCACCAGTGTATTCACTGACGGTGACAGAAGATGGGACACCAGAGGCGGAAGTGGAGCCGGCAGCAGTTTCAGTGGCAGCAGCACCTTCGGTACCAGTGGTGGCGGTGGTGGCAGCAGCCTCAGAGGTTTCAGTGCCAGCTGGAGCAGCGGTAGTTTCGGTACCGGTAGCGGCAGTAGTGGCAGCCTCAGTGGTTTCAGTGCCAGCTGGAGCAGCGGTAGTTTCGGTACCGGTAGCGGTAGTAGTAGCAGCCTCAGTGGTTTCGGTACCAGCTGGGGCAGCGGTAGTCTCAGTGGCGGCAGTAGTGGCCTCAGTACCAGCTGGGGCGGAGGTGGCCTCAGTGGTTTCGGTACCAGCTGGAGCAGCGGTAGTTTCGGTACCGGTAGCGGCAGCTTCAGTGGTTTCAGTGCCAGCTGGAGCAGCAGAGGTTTCAGTGGTGGCCTCGGTGGTTGGGGCAGCAGTGGCTTCAGTGGTGGCCTCGGTGGTTGGAGCAGCAGTCACGGTGGTCGAAACAACAGTGGTGACTTGGCTAACCTTGGAGGTTTCGTGGGTGGAGCAGGCGTTGTCCTTGCAAGAAGTGATGGTTTCAACAACGGTGGTTGGGTTAACAACAGTGGAAACGGTGGTGATTGGAGAGTAGGTGGCCTCAGCAGAAGTGGTGGCGGCACCAGTGGTCTCGGTCAATGGGCAGACGGTGGTGTAGATAGTCTCCTCACCGTTGATAGTGGTGGTAACCACAGAGGTTTGAGAAGAAGGACCGTTTTCAGTAGCAGTGACAACGGAAGTTGGGATAGTCGAGATTGGACAGTAAGTGGTGTACGAGGTGACAGTGCCGCTTTCGGTGACAGTAACAACAGAAGAAGTGTAAGAGTCAGTGGCAGCAGCAGAGGTGGAGGACAATGGGCAGGTGGTGGTGTAGGAAGTGACGGTACCGCTGATAGTGGTGGTGACGACAGAAGAGGTCATTGGGACAGAAGAGGAACCAGAGACAGCACCGGAAGAGACGGAAGAGCCAGTGGTGGAAGAGATACCAGAGGAGACACCAGAAGAGCCAGTGGTGGAAGAAGACACACCGGAAGACACACCAGAAGAGCCAGTGGCAGAGGCACCAACAGTGGCAGAGAAAGAGTCGGTGACAGTGCTGGAGACAGCAGTGGAGGAAGCACCGCTGGAGACAGCGCTGCTGGAAGAGCCAGTGTCACACGAGGTTTGGGCATCGGTGGAGCCGTAGGTGATCTCTTGGCCGTCGGAGTTGAGCAAGTGGAACACGTGGTATTGGTTCCAGCTGACCAAAACGGCTTCGTCGTCGTCGGCCTTGTAGACAACCATACCAGACTTCAAGATGTCGCAGACATCTGAGTCGGAGTTGACAGTGAGGTCGAACCCATCGTTGCTACCAGAGATAGAGATTAGATCGTTGCCTTCACGGAAGTAGTACGAAACATCCAATTCAGATTCGTAGCTGACGCTGACGTGGAAAGTTTGGGCGGCCTTAGCCAAAGCACTGGAGGCCAAAAGACCTAGGGCAAGTTTGTAAGAGACCATTGCTTCTTGAGTTAGCGCTAATCGGTACTGTCTTTAAAAACAAAAAGGAGGCGAAAGTGGTACGCTAACAGCCTAAAACTCGAGCTTTCCTTGTCTACTTTTATAGTCCTGGGCGGCCCGCCACTGAAAATCTCTGCTTATCTCCAACAAGCCCACAGACACGAGCAAACTATTCCTAAACGGGAAGTGCCATCCCAAAACGGATATCATCCACGGCTGCTGTCGCTGGTTTGGTGTTAGAATCAGAAGCGCGTGGGCCAATTGGGCGATGGCTGCACCTCCTTGTTTACTTTTGTGTATATTGACGCAGCAGTATGTATCCATATGCATGCACCACTGCTGGCCTTTGCGGGAGGCTGGTCCTCTTCGCCGGGTGCCAGCCATTCCAGACGCGTCGATTGTGTGCAAGTACCCAAAACGGCTGCATGAGGGCGCATGTGGCCGCATAATGCACGGTAAATCTTGGAGCTGTACCCCTGGAAACGCGAAAAGGCTCGCAACGTCGCGGGCTGGACGCGAGTGTGCACGTGCTGTGCACGTGAGATGAGGTCGCTGAGAGAGATGTACTCGGATGTCCGTCGGTACTCGTCTGCACCCGTGACCTCACTCGTGACTTTGATTTTGAAGTCACGAGGCAGGTTTTGAGCGTCACGTGATTGGGGTATGGTAAGGTTTGTCTTAGATAATGTACACACACTACGGAATAGGCCATGCTGCTCACCTGAGGTATACTCACTTGAGCTATACTCACTGAAAGTACTCTCGCTTAAAGTATACTCACTTCGTCTGTACTCCCTTCGTCTATGCTCACGTGCGCTCCACTCACTTAGGCTAACGCCGTAGCCGCGCTTTCTGCCTCCTAACCACTGTCGCTCGGCAGCTGGCATCGTAGACATTCTCCGTCTTGCACGCTTCTTGCCCGGTTTTATCCCCCGCTCTATTCATCCTTGGTAATGGCGGCGATGGGATCGTCCACCCACAAGCAGCCCCCAAACTCCGTTTGGTGCACGGTCTTGCGCTTCACGGTGCTGTCCGTGAACTCGACGGCTGCCTTGACATACGACAAAGGCAATATTTTGGCTTCTGCGGAGTCCCGCTTGTTCCAGGTGTCTATCCTGTGCGCTATCGCGTAAAAATCGTCCATGTGCAACTGCTTCCGGTAGTGTATATCGCACATGTGGAGCAGTAGCTTCAATGTGAAATAAGCATCGTTTCCCGCGTTGTGCAAAAAGGCGTGCGGGACCTCGAACAGACGCAAGATCTTCCCTAGGTTCGATCCCTTGCTGCCGTAGAGACTTTTGAATAAACGCTCCGTGTCCAGCACCTGTATGCGGTTCGGGTTCTGTAGTTGGTCCGCATTATAGTCGACGTCTTTCGGTATGTTCACGCCGATACTAGAGAGCCACTTCAAATCCCCCTTCACATTGTGGCCGACAAATGCGCGCTCCCAGGTGAGCTCTGCAGCGGTTTGCGGGATCATGTAGTAGTTTATTAGTGTTTGGATGAATTTGACACAGTTGTTCAACGACATCACCAGGCTCTCGCCCAGCAAAAAACAGTCTTTCAAATCGCATACAAACCGCCCGTTGCGCAGCTTCAGCGACTCGCTAACTATCAAATGGTAGGTCCTGAACTTGGGAACCGTCGAGAACAAGCTTTCGCGTGGATCGTAGATGGAAATCCCGATCTCTGTCACCACGTTGGTGTTGCGCTCAAATGCCTCGACGTCCACACACAAGCATATCGTTTTTTGGCCGCCAAGCGAGCGGATGGCATCTCTGAGGTAAGCAAAGTGCGAGGTTTTAGGAAGCGCACTTATCTTCGGCGTGTGATCGCTGGATATTTTCCGCAGCACCTTTTCCAATTTACTCTCTGCGGCCTCCTGCGACTCTCCTGAATCCGCAGAAGGCGCCTGTATCCGGGCTTTGAAAGCATCCAGCTTGTTTTCCAGCTCAGCATTGGACCGCATGTTCTGCTCTACATACGAGGCCTCGATGGCTTGCAAGTAGGATTCGATATACGCCGTCCTGGCTGGATGTGGCATGTAAGAGACCGACGCAACTTCCCGAAAATGCGGGTTCTCTAGCATCCGGGCTTTGGAGTTCCCACTATCGTTGGCCACCATGGCCGCCGCCCGGAAGTAGGCACTGACACCGCCAGGCCCGCGGGGAACTGTGTTTCCCCGCACATAGATGCCCCCCGCCTCTTGGGTGTGGCTTCGCTTGCCGTTTTGGTGATAGTTCATCTGCTGCTTGCACTGGTTTAGATCTAATTTGAGTCGTTTGGCGGAACTACAATGCTTCCAGCCACGGTGCATCAACAGTTAGCTGTGCCTTTCTTTGTGCTAGCTAACGCCTGAAACCAGAAACGACCTCTATCTAGTTTGTCGATCTTATATGCCGAGATCGCCCACAAAACTAGCCAATAGCCCTATTGCGGATCAAACCTTAACTAAATGAGACCCTGCTGTTATTCAAGCGTATTTCAGTCCTTTCCTAACTTAAACTGTCTACTCTCAAAGTTAAACTCGGCTCTTCACTGTTACTTGGCTTCCAGCTTCTCTTATTCTTCATTCCAATCCATAAATTCAATCCGCTAGCAAGCTCATCGCAGATGATTTCAATCATCATTTAGACGACAACGACAGAACACACGCCAAGTTGAAAAAAAATTTGGAAAAAAATTTTGGACGATCACTTTCAAGCGATGAGCTTAGAGCAAGTAAAGAAGTTCAACACTACAAGAGCCAGCAATTGGTAGTATTGTTGTTATTATTCGCGAATAACAGCTCCAGTAAGATTCAAAAGCTCTCGAAGGAATACGAGATTTGTGCTTTTTGATTGGATTTCACTGACTCGCCCACCAGCTCATCGCATATTCGCTTGGCAACTTCTTAAATCAATAAGCGCACACAATGTCCTCACCTGCTAAAACACCTATTATTTCTGAATCTGCGGCTACCCCTTCGGTGGAAGAGGAGACCAAGCCCCAACAACCCGTTTTGTCGCCGGCGCCAGTGCCCACGACTTCGCCTTGGAAATCTTTGGGCGCTGTGGGCTCAGCTCCAGCGTCAGGTAAATGGCCGTCGGCTCAAGAAGCTGTCGGGCAGTTGGAGAGACGGGAAAAGACTAGCATGCAAGGGCCGGCGATAAAATCGACCGGCAAGGAAAAATGGGTTCCCATGAAGGCCTCGATTGTGGTTTCAGGTCCCAAGCGATTTGGAAACAACGGAAACAGCAATAGTGGTAGCAGCAATGGCAGCGGAAGCTCTGGGCCCAGGAAACCACAGTCCGGCAAGAAGACCCGCAGAGGCAATGCTTCACAAATCAACAGCAGTGGCGGTTCTGCCACTTCCAGGCCCAAGAAAGTGGGTACCAGTGAAAAGCCGGAAACCGCGGACAAAGACATTTCTACTGAGGACGTAGCGGGCGGAAAGATCACCCCAGCCGTGGCTGCGGACAACACCGATTCCGGTTCTGAAGCGGCTGGGTCTCATTCGGGCTCTGGTGCGGCCGCGGACGAGACGACCCCTGGCCAAAACGCCACTGAGCCATCGCGATCCAACAATGAAGGTGAAACCACCAAGGAGGCTTTCCAGTCTCAACCACATCAGCCTAAGAGCGGGTTCCACAGAAGACCTCATCCACACGGCCAAAGTAACGGCCTTCCTAGAAGAAGGTTTCACCAGGGGAATCAAACAGACGGCCACGGCTCTTTCAGGCCGTCGCAGTCACATCCACATTATCCATCCAGGCACTCATATGGTCCATTTCGCCAACATCCTTCCAATCGCGCTCATAACCTTGGTTACCGTCCCAAATTCAATCACAGAAATGCTCCCAATGACATGTATCTTTCGCAACCACCACACCCATTTGTCGCTGTTAACAACATTGCCAGGCAAATTGAATACTATTTCAGTGCTGAAAATTTAGCGAAAGACGATTACCTACGCTCTCAATTCGACCAGCAAGGATTTGCATCCCTCGCTCTCATCGCCAAGTTTTACCGTATTGTCAACATGTCCTTCGGCGGCGACCAGACCTTAATCTTGGGTGCTTTGAGAGAAATTGTTGCCAACGAGCATGCAACCGTGAACGTCGCCCAGCGTGGTGAACAGGACTTATCTGAAAACAAGCTCGACAATTATTTAGTGCGGTCTAAAAGCTGGCAGCAGTGGGTTTCGCAAGAAGGAAAAGCAGAAGAAGGTGAGCAAGAAGAGCCTTGCGCAACTTCCAATCAAAGGATTTTGGTCGAGAGCGACTTGGATTGTTTCCGTATCGAACCACCGGTATTTGACCCTACTCCAGCTGTACCTGAGTCCCAGCATAATGAACCCTATCATGCCGAACCGGAAGTACAAGGAAATGTTGAAACCAACTAACCAGCATTGACCTACCATAGTCAGCGCGAGACCCTCCTACCCAAACCCTTTGAGAAAAAGCCCCAAAAAAATTAAAAAAATTGTACCCAAGCCGACCGAGATCCTTATCTGTACCATAGCTGCATGGTCATGGCTCCAATTTCTATGTTCTCCTGCTAAGCAGGACGAAACAATGGAGAGCATAGATTCTAAAATCATTATCAGAGCGTTTAAATCAGTTTCATCCCAAAATATTATTTTTTTTTGTGGACCACGCCATAGCCGGATTTTAAACCAGTTCAAATCCAACCAGGCGAGTCTCATCAATACCTGACGTACCTGGGAAAGCCTATAATTCCATCGCACCCATCTGCGTCAACCTAATCCTTTTTTTTTTTTTTCACTTGTAATTGCAGTTTGTTTTTTGTTCATGTACCTAGCCCGTTTAGCCAACTCATTTGTACTCAAGCCTATATTCACTCTTATTTGCAAGATGAACGCTGTTTCATGGTTTCATCGATGCACGGCCCTTATCACTCAGAGCTGACCGTGTACACGCGGCAGATAGCTCCGCCAATTAGTCACTGCATTTCACGATAAAGTACCTACGCTAATGGACCTCTTGATATGCGTGTCGAGTTGATCAAACAGATGCTTCAAAACCTCAGTTCAACGCAGTATAGTTATTTCGTGACTTCGCCAATTATGACCGTGCCATTCAGTTGTTTCTCTAGTCAGTCTCCGAGCCGTTTGACTAATTGTTTCCCCAGTTCGAAATTAACTGTTTCTCAATAAAACTAGATGATCTTCCCTAATGCCCTTGCAACAAAATCAGCCAGAGCAGTTGGATGGCAGAAAGCATGAACTACCAGGCTGTCACGTCCGATGAAGAGCTTATTAATCGTCCGGAAAGAGATAGGAAATCATCAAACAATATCCTAGGCTGGTATCTCTATTGCTTCTCAAGTGAGCCTTTTATTGTATCTGCCGTTTCGACATACGTTCCCCTTCTACTGGAACAATTTGCAAGAATAAACGGGGTTTCTGTTGACGATCATTCTCTCAACTGTGTTACGCAAGACCAAAAATGCGTACTGGGCATTTTTAATAACACGTTATATCTCGATACGTCGAGCTTCGCACTATATACCTTCTCTCTCAGCGTGCTCTTCCAGGCAGTGTTGGTAATCTCCGTCTCAGGGATGGTTGATATGTGGAATTCTGTTAAACTCAGAAGCAATGTAATGGTTGGCTTTGGGATTGTCGGTGCCCTATCTACCATCGCCATATCACAATTAGATTCCTCGCAATACTATTCCCTTGCGGTTTTAGCCATTCTTTCAAATTGTTGTTATGGCGTCGTTAACGTTGTAGGCAATTCATTGCTGCCAGTTTTCGCACGCGACCTGGTTCAATACAATTCGGAGCATAAGAATGGCGACCTTGAGCAAATTACCTCGATCACCAGTGGCCGTGGCTCGGGCCTTGGGTATTTCGGGGCTTTGCTAGTTCAGATTGGCTCCATTTTTTTGATAAAGATGAGCAAAACGCATGATAGCATCCAGAGCGCAGTACTGTTGGTGGGCTTCTGGTGGCTGATTTTGCAGATCCCTCTTGTATGGCTACTTCAGGATGTTTTGCCACCGTTGGTCGACACACATGAGATGCACTTGTCATCATCTATCCAATATATGACCTATGGGTGGAAATCTTTATTGGAAGCTTTAAGGCACGCTAGTCTGCTGAAAGACGTAGTGATCTTTCTGATTGGTTGGTTCATTATATCTGATTCGATCACGACTATCAACTCGACAGCCATTTTGTTTGCAAAAACTGAACTCAGTATGAGCACTACAGGGCTAGTTTTGGTCAGCATCTTGTCACTGATAAGTGGCATCGTAGGTGCATTTTTTATACCTCAAATCCTCACCTCCTATTTCAAGCAATCACCACCTCGTATGATGGTGACCATTATTTGCTGGGCTGGGTTCATTCCACTATATGGATGCATCGGATTCTTTTTTAGTTCCATTGGCCTCCGTCATACCGGTGAAATGTATATGCTAGCTATATGGTACGGCATTGCAATGGGTGGGCTAGCTGCCGTGTCTCGTTCCATTTTTAGCTTGATTATTCCGAGCGGTAAAGAATCTACATTTTTCAGCCTTTTCAGTGTCACTGACAAGGGATCCTCAATAGTTGGACCCTTTCTGGCTGGTTTGATAACGGATAAGACCCACAACATCAGATACTCGTTCTACCTGTTACTCTTCCTCCTGCTGGTCTCTTTGCCAATTTTCAGTATGCTGGACGTGGAAAGAGGTAAGAAAGAAGCTCAAGAGCTGAGTAACATACAAACATTGAATGACTGATGATGATTTAACTATGGAAACCCCTTTTCGCTACACCTTTATTTAGCCTCTAACAACCCTCCATATTTTAATAAGACCATCATCTCCCCCAGATGCAAAGATTTTTTTGTTGACGGGATTCCAAACGACAATGTTACAATTTCTTCCAAATGTCTTAGTAGTTCCTCGCCCTAAAGATCTTTCAGTTTCGTGCCCACTCAATACACTCACAATATTACCATGGTACCGGTCCCAAATATATATTTTTCCGTCCTCCGAACCACTTGCAACCAGCTTATTATCATATCCGAAGCAGGATCTTATAATGAATTGCAGTTGCCTTTGACCATAGTATTTCTGTACAAGGATTTGCTCTTTGAAGTCCCACAGCTGTAGTTCATGAGGTTGAACGTTTATCAAAACAAGAGAATCATTTGATTCGCAAAAAGTTTTGGCTTGAGGAATTGTTAGACAAGTCATTCTCTTTCCAACATTCAAACGGGAGACCTTAGACACGCGACACCCTGGTATGTCCAAATTAGTGTCGGTTATACTCTCAACACTGTGCACTGCGGGCAACTGCGAAACGTCGTACGTGTCAACGAAAAACTCATGCGCCATGACAATTAGATACTTGTCATCATGCGTTATTTTAAGGTCGTGAACTCTGGGGAACTGTTCTTGTGAAGCTCCTGTGGTGGAGCTCATGAGCTGCGAGAGTTTGCAAAGGATGGTCTTGGTAGTAATGTCATAAACTATCACATCTCGATCAGGTGAACCAAGAGCAAAACGGCCCCTGTTCCACTCCGTGTGAAACCAGCTGCAGCACCAAATGCGAGGAGAGTTGCCGTTAGGAGTACCTTCGGCTTCATATATTTTGAAAGAATCACATGGTTGTATGATCTCTGCAACCAGCGCACCCTCGAAGTCCTGGTTTAGATCTGTAGGCTCCCCCTTTTGATGAATATCATAGACCTTTGCTTCTTCATTGAATGGGCACGAAACCAAATATCTACTATCAGGAGAAAAGGATAAGTACAGTACGCACTGATCATTACCGCCGAGTACCTTGTATACTTGAAAGTCCCTCTCTACATCATATATCAAGACTTTTCGATCCGTCAAAGAGTCAGCAGAGGCACTAGCAAGATACTTACCATCCGGTGAAAACTCTAGATACCAAATTTCATCGGCATTCTGGGTAAGCATTTTTTCAGTATCAAACGAGATTCTGTGCGAGGTAGAGCTATTGTCTTGGAGTAAATTATAATGCCGAGAACCGCTTCTAACCGAATGACCACTGTTATTACTGTTGTTGTTGTTGTCAACGTCGTCGTCGTAGTCGTCGTCATCAAAATTGAGCACGTCTTGCGAATTTTGGTACTTGATGGCTTGACTTAGTAAGGTCAGCAACCTTCCGCGTGGAACCAAATCATTTGGATCAATATACTTGGAAATGGATCTTATGAGCAGTTCCCTTGACTTTTCCACATTGCCAGGCCAGACATCACAAAGCTGCCCAGAATCAAGGGGGAATGTCAGTATACTTGTCATTTGTTTCAGCAATGCGTCAGGAGTTAGAGCATAAGAACTTTCTTGGTACATTAGCAAAGACTCCCAAAGTTGGATAAACTTTCGAAATATTGCGCGCAAGAAGAACACCGCCAGCGATGAATCCTGTTGTTCGAACATGAGTTCCAGGAAAACTTGCTTGTTGATCAAAACCAGTATTTCAACCGTATCCAAGAGACTCTTCAGCGCCCTGACATCAAAATCAGCCATGCGCTGAACCAAAGGCTCTAAAACCGAAAGTTCTTGCTGCATTGTGTTGAAGAAGCGGTTCCAATTAGTGTTGCGGGATATAATGTTGTCAATTTTCATGGCGTTCTCCTCGTCACCCCGAACTGTGGTTTCGGAACTGTGTGTATCAATTTCTTGCGACAAACTCAGGTCTTCGTGCGAAAGCCATGCCTGAAGGTTCTCGCGGCGCAATGGCAGATTAACGAGCATCCTTAGGTCAATGACTTCAAATTGGCCGTGCTTGATGGCCGAAAACAGCATCTGTATGCTACCCGATTCTACCTCAATCCCTCCGCTTTCTTTTTGCAAGGACACTGCTGACTCGGGATATCCCATTTCATGCAGGGTGTCAATAAGAAGTTTAGTAAGTTGAACCTTATCAAACGGACTTCTGGAGAACTCTAGGTCTTCATTTGACATTGGTGGCGATCGTGGAGGTCTGTGCTGATAAGCTGGAATGAACACACCTTCCCTTGTAAGGCTGCCCTTACTGCTGCCGAATTCCACTGGCATACTTTATTGTTCCTCAACGAGGTCAAGATCCTAAGACCCTAAATTTAAAGTTTACAGCTTATATATTAATTTTAGGGTATGGACTGGATATTTATTAATATTAGCTGGGGACCCTTCACATGAATACGGAACAGGTTTATGAGAATGAATAGCAAACTATCAAGCCAAATTGCTGACAATTCAGTCTTTCATTTATTTTAGTTTTCGAGCTCAGTCCATTTTATACAGGCTACCGTTGCGTAGTTTTTATGTACTTTAAATGCAGCCTTTAGCACTACTTGGCAAATTAATCTGGTTAGGCCACTAGTGCACATAAAGCAGCACCAACCCCTGAACCATCCTTGGCAATGCACAAGTGCACTTTCCGCTCTCCCTCTGGCCCAATAGGGCTCAACGCTAAAGCATGCCGGATCATCGACCGGAACCCAGGGTAGTATTCAACTACTGACCCATCGCACCCTATTTCTACCTCCCCATGGTATCTCTTATTCAAAGCATCAGTCTTCGTTAAGATCGCAGCGATAGGAACAGCTGCGAGATAAGCTGATCTGCGGGAAATGGCGCGGACAAGCTTTTGAATCTCAATGCGCTCCTCATGCGTCGTGGGCAGTCTCATGCTTTGTAAGATTGACAGCTCTGTTTCGCGCAGCTGGGAGGAATCATCAATTTCGATGTGTGATAAGACCTCCGAGGAGAGATCGAATGGTGTTCTTAATCTGTGTGGCAGAGCTTCTTCAGAGGGGTATTGGCGGAAAATTACGCCCTTGCGGTACAAGTCAACAAGCACATTTCTCAGGATTTCGCCCAGAAACATCCCCGAAACCCGTTTCTCAAATAGGTGAAATCCCGGATTGCTGGAGAACTTTTGATCAATGTCAATGTCATATCGGGTGGTGGGCAAGTGCTTGAGGTCGTTGTCAAATGAGCCCCATTCGGTGTTGATGCACATGTGGGTTTTCCCAGCCTGCAGCAGCTCTTGGCGCACTTTCTCGGGCAACTTTTTGATATTCTCGATCTTCTCCATGTATGCACCGTTGGTGCCGGTGCCGAAAATGCAGCCCATGACTGGTTCCACAATTTCACCCGAGGTAAGAGATCCGTTGTTTTCGGAGCAGTAGCAGTGGGAAAGAAAGGTGCCCACGGTGTCGTTGGCGAGAGCCACCACGCGAATCATGGGCATACCCTGCGCCTCTAGGTGTTTTTGGTACAGCTGAACGACGTCCTCGCCCAAGGTGTCTTTGATCTTGAAACCCTTGGTCCAGCGGATCAGCGTGCCCGACGACAGAGACGTCTGGTCCACGGGATACGAGAAAGTGAATCCAAGCTTCAGTTTTTCTTTGTTTTGCAAATACTCAGGGTGGTGCTTGTTGATAAATGCCAGTGTGCGCCGTGCCAGATACCCAAAAAGCTGATCGCTCGTGACAGAGTCGTCTTCCAGCAATTCTTCCGGGATCTTGCTCTTCATCTGCAAGAGCGAGAATTTATGGTTTCCCTGCAACTCCACCGAACACACACGGAAGTTGGTGCCGCCAAGATCTGCGGCCAGTAGCATCCCGTTTTCTGTTCCGTTGGGCAGACCTGTCACATACGTGGGAATCATTGGCAACCCGCGATATTCTGCGTCTTCCTTTTCCTCCCCCAACCCCTTTTCCATGCTGGCTACAAAGAAGTCCGTGAGTTCATGTAGTTTCTCCGACGTTAGTGTGAATGCCTCACACACCTCGTCAACAGCCTTGGAAAGAACTGCATGTTTTTCCTGATGTACTTTGTCGAAAGACATATCTATGTGATGAAATAACAGATAGCTAGCAAGTCAACTCTTGAGTAGAAAATGCGATATAGGATGTAGGATGTAGAAAATAGGATATAGATAATTCTTAGCCAACGATCAACTTCCTATACAATAAATGGATGGTTTTCAACCTACGAAATGAGGGCCAAGTTCCTGAACAATGCTGACTTCTCGTCCTTACCAGTCCTCCTTATATAGGCCGGATATTTCAGCCCTCGGCTTGCCGAACAAGAGCTATCTATCTAGTCGCCTGGAGCAAACACCTGGTGACACCCATCGGCATCCGACGAGGAGTTTCTCGAGTACACTGCACCCCACACATTGGAAATTTAAAGAATGTACTCGGCAATTTCAAAATCCCGCGCCTGTCCGAGTACATATGTACTCTCGAATAAGTCTCGGAACCGATTAAGCACCTGACTGGCAGACGGGGCGGGCTGGCCAAGCACACCCTACCAGAGCTCAAACCAATAGATCGTCTTTTCGGATTAGACAACGTCGCTACTACTGTCGGTGCTACTATCGGTGTTACATCTGCTATCGGCAACAGAGCTCAGCTGGCAGCATTGAATTATCTCTTACAGCGATAATGTTCAGAATCGCCAAAAATATCGTCAAAACTTTCGAACAAAGTGTCTCGGATACGATCGGCGTCGGCGGAGGTTTGGACTCGTACTTCGAGAGTATACCGTCTCATCTACTCGTGCCTGGAATTCACACGAATGAGACTCTGCAGGGTCTTCGTGTCTTGAGCTGCGACGAAACGCAGCTGCAACTACAGTCGTTCTTCGATTTCATCGTAGGGATCAACGACCAGCCCCTCCCTCTGGTACAAAACCAGCACGGCTACCTTTATCCCGATTTTGCCGCACTTACTCGCATCCTGAATTCCGCGTGTGGTTCCAGTGTCAGGGTTCACGTCTGGTCCGGCAGAGGTGGTGTGTTCAGGACCGAGTACATACGTGTAGAGCGGAAACAAAACGTGGAAGAGGTCCCGCTGGATACACCTGGTGACCAGGAATACCGCGAATTTGCTAGCCTGGGGTTTACCCTTCAGTGGACGCCGCTGATCGCAGCCACTTATACCTACCATGTCCTAGAGGTATCAGATGCGACAGGCCCAGCGAGTGTTGGAGGGCTCGTGCCGCGCGAAGACTACGTGGTGGGGTGCCAGGAGGGCCTGTTGGCTACCGGGGGCGAGACACTACTGCAAGACATACTCAGATCCAAGGCCAACCAAGATCTGGCCCTGTATGTTTACAATGCGGTCAGCGAATGTGTTCGGCCAGTTGTCGTCCACATTGGTAGTGACGGCAGACTCGGGTGTAACATGGGCTATGGCTATCTTCACAGAATACCTCCTGCTGTGGGCCAAACGGTCGATTTGTCACCTCCCGATCATCCAGATACTGCAACAGCAGCAGCAGCACTCGGGCCCCAAACTGTACCAGAAGCTGTCTCTCCAAGTCGCTCTTTTATACCCGCTGGCTCTCCGGGCACGTTTGTAGGAGCTTCAGGCACCCCGCCTCCACCTACCTCTCAATTTATCGTTCCTCCTCCTGTACACAAGCGCAAAACGAAGCACGCTAGCTCGACAAATGCAGCATCAGCATCCATACAGGATTACTTTCAAGAAGGCAAGGATCCCAGCCCTCCCGTGTCTAGCAAGGTTAAAGCCACTCCTCCGCCCCCTCCGCCCTCTAAGAACCAGGACTCAGATAGCTAATATCGTCTGAGCAGTGGAGACCAGTCCCGCCGAGAAATCTCGGACAAGACGGAATTAACATGCAGACTGCTTCACCCCAATCACTCAAAACAGATTCTCGAGATGCAATGTAATTGATGCTGGGATTTTTTCGGGTGTCTTCGGGTTTTCCTCGAGACAAATGAAGCACCTCAAATTTCCCTCAAAGAACGCTCATGTTAAATCGGGCCTTATAATTACCATGGAAGACGCCGGGTTTACTCGCTTGACTGTCATTATTTTACATGCATTATTTTCCTTGAAGACAACTAAGATAACAGTATTCTAAAATATGTAATCGTACTAAACATGCCAGACGATTGGCGACGATCGCAGTCGCTCTCCAAGCAATTGGCAGGTTATTCAAACACCTTAACGAGAGGAACAACCTGTGTCATCACATAGTCACCATGAACGAATGTGGATTTCGCTACGTGGCGCCAATTTTTCCTATAAATTGAACCTGGCGTTTGCCACACTACCTGTCAGAACTGGATTTACCTTGATCGACTTACTGACATTCAATTAGTCTCTTACATCAAGATGCAATTGTCTAAGAAGGTTCTCCTAGGGGTTGCAGCGCTGACTGCAGCCTTGGGTAATGCTCAACAGGAAGCTACTGCACCAGAAGGTTCTGCAGTTGTGAAACTTACAGCCAAGACCTTTGACGAATTTATTAAGGAACATCCACTGGTTTTGGCGGAGTTTTACGCGCCATGGTGTGGCCACTGTAAAACACTGGCTCCTCACTACGTGGAGGCCGCAGCAGCTTTGGAAAGTAAAGAAATTCCACTAGCTCAAGTGGATTGTACCGAAGAAGAAGATTTGTGTATGCAGCAAGGGATCAGAGGATATCCAACTCTTAAAGTCTTCAAAAATCACCAGGTTGACGCGCCAAGTGAGTATCAAGGTGGGAGAACTTCCCAATCCATCATTTCCTACATGATTGCCCAGTCGATGCCTCCTGTCACAGTAATCTCCGGAGAGGAGGGCGCTGATGATTTCAAAGACCTTCTGGCTGAGTCTTCATCTGCTGTTATCGTCGATGGCGGCGTCTCAGGCTTGAATGAAACCTTTTACGAGCTTGCAGATCTTTTCAGGGATGATTTCACATTTGTTCAGTACAATGAAGGCGACAGCAAGCCACAACTATCCATTTATTTACCCCAGGATGCAGAACCAATAAGATTCGAAGGTAAGAATAACTCCCTAACGCACTTGGTCGACTGGGTTCAGATTGAAACGAAGCCCTTTTTTGGTGAGATCAATGGTGAGACTTTCCAATCATACATGGGCGCCAATTTGCCTTTGGCCTACTTCTTCTACTCCAGTCCTGAAGAGCGTTCGAACTTCGAGAGTTTTTTCACCAAATTGGGCAAAGAACACAGAGGTAAGATCAACTTTGTGGGATTAGATGCATCCATGTTTGGCAGACACGCTGAAAACCTTAACATGAAAGAACAATTTCCTCTATTTGTTATCCATGATGTTGAGACCAACTTAAAGTACGGCATGCCCCAGTTAAGCGAAGAAAAATTTGCTGCCTTGACTAAGCCATTGGAGTTGAAGACTTCCGACATTTCTAAATTTATCAAGGATTTTGTTGGCGGGAAACTGGAAGCAATCGTAAAGTCAGAAGATATTCCAGAAGTCCAAGAGTCCAGCGTTTTTAGAATTGTCGGTAAGACTCATGACCAAATTGTCAACGATGAGGATAAAGACGTTCTTGTCAAGTACTACGCACCATGGTGCGGTCACTGTAAGAGATTGGCACCTATTTACGAGGAGTTGGCCGATATCTACGCTTCTGATGAAGATGCTAAGAACAAAATTGTTATTGCAAACTTAGACGCCACTTTGAATGATGTCAACGTCGACTTGGAAGGCTATCCAACTCTTCTCTTCTATCCTGCCGGCAAGAAGGCGACTCCAGTGGTGTACCAAGGCGGTAGAGACGTTGCATCTTTCTTGACTTTCATTCAGGAACAGGGCCACCATGGTGTTAACGGATCTGCTATCTTAGCTACTAAGCAAGCTCAGGAAGCTGCTGACAAGGTGGAAAAAGAGATTGATGCTATTGAAGAGGAGGATCTCAAACACGACGAATTATAGTTCACGTAACCGCTACATAAAAGTCAACAATTTCATGGTATATCGTTTTGAGTTTTATCGATGAGTACCATGCCATCTCAACTTAGAGTTTTCACTTATTTATTACATCAGAGAAAAATACCTGAATATTTCACACTAACTTAAAGCCAGAAACGCAGTAGTTGTATACATAATGGGTTTGTACTCCCCACCAGATGGTTCTAAGAATCCCAATCGGTCAAAATTGGTGCAGAAGGAGGACCCAGAGAAACCCAGTGAAGATAAGACAATTGAATTCTACGCGAGACCTAGTCTTGGCCTGCGACTTTGGGGACCACTAGTCCCCGCATCTGACAATAGAACCGGATTATGGAGCTTGGTCGGTATACAGACTTTGTTTGGGCTCTATTGCATGAGAAAGTTTAGGCTTTCCGGCAGTCAATTTTCAAAGAGAGATATTTCCGAGTTTCCCAGTTTGAATCGATTCTCTACCTCACGCGGTAAAATTTATGTGACAAATCACACGGGGACTACATTTGGAGGTACACACTCTTTCCACAGAACTGGACCTACGGGCTCGACAAGTTTCTTTAACTCCGCAAAATTCACTATATTCAAGAGGTCGATGTTTTTACTTTGCGGTTCTGTATTACTAAGTCAATCCTTGCTGGAGGCATGCCGACTAACGATATTGAAGTATGACCCGTGGTATGAGGAAGCTCGCTCAGTTCGTGAGAAACAATTCTTCAACGACATCATAAAATATTACCATGAAGGCATCGATCCTACAAAATTTAGGGTCAAAGACGCGGTCAATGGGAACGTTTTGCCGTTGAACACACCAGAGGTGAAACAAAGTGTAGCTTTTGCACGGGCAGCAGTCGAAGCTGACAATTGGATAGTTTCCTGGTTTGGGCCCCTGGAATACAAACCAATGTCGTTTACGGAATACTTGGATAGGCTTGAGTACCACCTGGAGATGACAGACTTTTTCAGCAAGAGACACACTAAAGATGTAACCAATCAGCTTTTAGGGAGAGCTATCGCACATGGACCAGAAGAAGTTGAGGAACTTAAAAAGCAGAATGCACAAGTCAGGGAGAACGTCCATTCTCTCATGGAGTCTGCACCTAAGCATAGCATACCAGTTACGAATGGCTCACGCCAAGGGACTCTGAAAGGAATAATTTTCGATCCCAATTTGCGAGCCCCAGAGGAGATCGATCTTTTCGAAACGTGGTCCACATTTAATCCTTGGTTAGATTTGGCCTTAGAAACGTCGTTGAGCATCAAGTTCTTGCCTACCGTTTTGATGGGCAATGACCCCAGTATAGAAAAAGGCAGCGACACTTCCTACTTCGATAATAACGACGAAAGTTCTGAGGAGGAGAGCCGTTGAGTGAGTATGGAATGCTGCGTCAGCGTGCGCACCGTGCCACATGACTCGATTTGGATGTCGCTCAATCTACCAAGGCCGTTCCATATTTATTCAATAGCATTAAAAAGTACATACAAAAGTGTGTTGTCCGTTCAGGTGCTAGCTGCGAGAGCCAGATGAGCAAAATATGGTCTTTTCTGCTTTACACGGCACTTCTGACCGTCATTAACTTGCCGCATGTTTGGGCTATCTTTGACGACCAAGTGAACAACATAGATTGGCAGAAAAGCAACATTGGCCGCTACAAATGCGTCTTTCCAGCGTCTAATGACAGTTCAAACGATCATTTTCTCATTCTGTCAATGATTGGCGATGACTCCCTATTGTCGTGGGTCGACAAGACTAGCGGTGAGCTCGTGGATCGACTACCTTTAAACTTCCATGCAACCGATGCAATGTTGACCGAAGACAATATTGTGGTTTTGCAAACCGCTGATAATGCGTATAAAGCATTTGACTCTGTTGACGGTTTTGAAGTGCACAAAACCAATTTCGTTTTCGAACCTAATTGCATACCTGACATGTCATTGATTCAGGTAAGAGATGGGAAAATGAAAATTCTCGATGAGGCCAAGCAATTTGTGATCTCTATTCAAGAGTTGCCACAGGCATTCAATCGCGTCGAATATTTTAACAGCTCTGAAGATGGGAATTATGAGCTCATGATTTCCACAAATGACGGACTCTACAACTTCTCGAAGTTCGAAAATCATATTCTTGCTGAGACTTGGGTGAGAGACGAATCGCTGACCAATATCATCGCTTCTACCTTTATCTCAGCAAAGGACCCGACGATCTCAAAGATTTATGCCGAAGTGTCCCAGGAGGATTCCATGACTATCTTAGAGGCCTACAAGTTTCGGGTAAATCAAACCCTCCTGCGGTTAAAAGAATATCTGATGGCCCATAAGTTTTCTGTTGGGAATATCGTTAAAAACCTTTTCGAAGAAGACGACGAGGCCACTATATTACAGAAAGATGTGAATTTTGGCCTGCTGAAATTTCTGATCGTAGCTACCGACAGAGGTACTATCGCAAACTTGGATATCCGCACCGGAAAAAAAATCTGGTCTATTGAAACAGGACTCACAGATATCATAACCATACAGGCGGTGATGATGGATACCGAAATAGAGGTTTACTGTAAATCGGGTACCTCTCTTATATTAGAAGTGAGCGCAATTCAGAGAGAGCCATTCCTTTTGCAAAGGACTCAAGGGCCATCATTACTGAAAGCGGAGCCACTTGAGAACGGATATATTTACCTGGAAACTGATGATCCGGGTATCTTAATGAGCCGTACCGACATTCCAGCCGATAAGGAGTTTTACTTTTTGAATCATAATAAAACCTACTTGGGTGCTTCTGTGTTCAAGAATAATAGTATTGAAAAAACATGGGGTCTTCAAATGGGGGATGAGCAAATATTGAGTTTCGCGTTTAGAGAACAAGATTTATCGGTTAGTTTGGGTAATATTCTTGGGGACAGAAGCGTTCTGTATAAATACTTGTACCCTCATTTGGCTGCTTACGTGACTGGTAAAGATGTTGGTGGGGCCTTTACTTTGCGTATTGTCGATACGGTGACAGGGGAGCTTGTTTATTCAGTGGCACATGATGATGGCATAGACTTACGAGTTCCTATTAACTTGGTATTTGGTGAAAATTGGGTGATATATACCTACTTCAGCACGAAGCCGGTACCTGAACAAAAAATTGGTGTCATCGAACTTTACGAATCTTTGGCACCTAATGAACGGTACTCTACGTCCGCTGTTGAAGTTGATGCCTTTTCCAACGAGCTCAAGCCCAAAGTTTTGCAGAACGCTTATTTGTATCCGGAAGTTATAAAAAATATGGCTCTAACAAAAACTAAATTCGGCATTACTATACGATCTGTGGTTCTCGAACTTGAGAATGGCCAGATCACCTACCTCCCCAAATTCATTTTGAGCGCACGTAGAGTTGCGGAATCGCAGATGAGTGCCAGTGACAAAAAGGAGTTCATGATGTCACCCTACGTGAGCGCCATTCCAATCAGTGACTATACCATTTTAACTCACCACAGACGCATCCTATCTGGTCCAAATTCTCTTCTGACATCCGTTGCTACCAATCTCGAATCTACCAGTTTGGTCTGCAGTCTTGGCCACGACTTGTACTGCAGCAGAGTATATCCATCTTCCCAATTTGATCAACTTAAGCCCAGCTTCCAAAAATTTCAGCTTCTGTCAACCATAGCCGGGCTTCTTTTGATTTGTTTCTTCATCAGGCCAATCGTAGACACAAAGAAGCTCAAGACACAGTGGTTAGTAAAGCATTGAGTGGTTGGAGTTGGTGTCGCCGTTCTGGTGTCGCCGTTCTGGTGTCGCCATTCTGGTGTCGCCGTTCTGGTGTCGCCATTCTGGTGGCCTCACGTTATTCGTGACTATTAGTTTTTCCATGTATACAGAACATTGCTTAAGCAAGCTTCATTAGGCAGTAGAATAGGCCAACTCGCTATATAACCTCTGGGAGCTTATAACAGATGTACTTTATGAAAGCTGTCACACTTCTTGTGCTATCTTCCTTCGGCTTGGCTAAGGGCCTAGCTGATTTAGATATAAAGATCGTGCAGGAAGTCCCATCTCATGAATGTAAAATCCAGGCTACTAAGGGCGATATTGTCTCCGTTCATTATTCAGGCTCTCTTGATGGGTCTGCTGATGTTTTTGACTCGTCCTATGGCCGTGGGACGCCAATTGTCTTCCAGTTAGGTTCTGGACAAGTTATTGAAGGTTGGGATCAAGGAATTTTAGGCATGTGCGTTGGGGAGAAACGAGAACTACGCATTCCAAGTAAGCTAGGCTATGGCTCCCGCGGAGCTGGCAGAGTAATTCCACCAAATTCTGATCTTTTCTTCGAGACAACATTGGTCGATATCAGAAGGCGTGACGAACTTTAGACGTTGAAGTGTTTATAAGGTAGGAGGTACCTAGACTTAATTTAATCTCGAAAGAGACCATATATATCCGACAGCTAAGAAGCATGGTTCCACAATCAGGTCACTGCTCGAAAGTGCTTGAACAGTTTTTGCGATCAAATGATGGTTTTTTGATATTTCATAGTCAACAACAACTGAACACTACTCGTAGACTTTTGGTACTAGATTCGTCTTTCAATCCACCACATGCCAGTCACTATAATTTGGTCAAAACGGCATTTCAGCACTACCAAAGGCAAGGTGATGAACTTCAAGTTCTTTTACTACTATCCATCAACAATGCGGATAAAGGGGTTCACCCAGCCACATTTGATAGAAGAATGGACATGATGTGTATTATGGGAGATCTCCTCAGAAGGGAATCGATCAAAACTTCGATAGGCCTAACCAAATTTGGGAAGTTTGTCGATAAATCGAAAGTTATACAGACTTCGTTGGGCGAACACTTCAAAATTACATATTTGGTGGGCTTCGACACAATCATAAGAGTATTTGACTCAAAATACTACAAACCGGCATTAACGGCAGAAGCTTTAAGTTTGTTTATGAATGTGACTGACTTCTATTGCCTGAGTAGAAAATGCGACATCCCCTTGGTCCGGCAATTAAACTATCCAGTTGATATTGCCAATGGAATTTACGAACCAAATATCCCTAGGTCATGGAGTGAAAAGATCACAGTTAGAGACAATGACGATCTTTTGTCTGAGGTTTCATCTTCCATGCTTAGAAGGTCGATATTCGATCCCAATGTAGATGACACACCATTCGTTTTACCGGAGATTCGAGAATATATTCTCAATGATCACGCCGGAAACAACATCTTCCAATAGTGACGATAAACCTAATGGCCGGCTAAGAGTGTTCAACTTTCGTTTGTAGAAGAAAATATATTTTGGGTTGTCGGCTTTAGATGTTCAAAAAAGTCTTGAAAGAAGTCCTCAAACGAATTGAACTGATCCACGTCAGGCATGTTGAAACTCGTTGCGGGGCCACCTTCGGAGCCGCTAACACGAGAAGTAGCCGATGAGACACTTTGCGGAGAGCCGAGGCGAGCTGACAGACTTTGTAAAGTTGGTAAAGCGTTCAATTGTGAGCTTTGGATGTGCTGATCTGGGGGCGGTATTGCCAAACCCCCCGCGTTCACCTTTTTCTTTCCAGTCTCTATTAGAGATTTTATGATTTTTCCCACATTTTCAGTGGCCTCGTTCAGCTTCTCCCCTATGGTATGCAAATGCCAATAGATTTTGGTACACAAGTTTAAAATTTGTTGTCTTTCTGAAGCATCGAAGAAATGCAGGAAATCACAAAGAGTAAGGCATGCATATACCAGCTGATACACGGTTATAGCCGGAGCGCCTTTGATCAACTGGGATGGTAACTTCAGAAATCCATCTAAGAGGTTGAAGCAATATAACTTCATAGTTTTTAAAATAGACTTGAAGTAGGTTCGATGGTCATGACAAGTCTTGTAGAATTCTGTCAGGAATGAGCGCAATATCATAATGTAGTAGTAATTGAATGCAAATAATAGAACACCACCTCCATCTTTAGAAAGTAGCTCGGCCCAATTCTTGAGCCAATATTCCAGCTCGGGGAATATGAGTTTCTCATAAGTTCGACGGGATTCGTTGAAAGAGGCATCGCCTCTCTCTTCAGAACGTGTCTTGAAAGCTTTTGTGAAACTTTTGAAGTAAGACTTGAAGTTCAAAAATATGCTGTTCACAATTTCGCTGAGATTTATTTCGCTGATTTTAATATCATCTCCAAAATTTGCTTGAGGGTATCTAGCTGTGAGATTATTGAACTCTTTCAATACTTCGTCAGGAACCAAAAAGCTTCCGTATCCAATTGAGTATTGAAGACGACATGCTGTCAAAGAGTTCAGAATTCTCAAATGATATAGGTCTAGTGGATCATAATCTTCTTCCATAAAAACTCTTTCCTTTATTCTATGAAAGTCGATTATGTTCAGCAAGCTGCTAATAGCAAAGTTGGTCAAAACCAGAGAGTTGAATTTCATTTGCCGATGTCTTTTTGATTTTCGTGAGATAATAAACATTGAACAGTACAATATCGCCTCTATGTCGTGATCCGTTAGTCTTTCGAACATAGTTAGAGTATTCGTAAGCAACCGTTCAACCAAAGGATACATAATTTCTTGCTCGTCTTCATACTTCTTATTTTCCTCAAACCCCATGGCGATGATTGCGAAGACACTTGAAATAAATAAGTGCTTCTCAACATAGGGACGGTTGATTTCTTTTATACCTCCAGGAATTATCCAGAAATGAGATTTGACCAGAAAGTCGCGCGATAGATATAGGCACAGGTCTTCGTGTTGATTGAAGAATTTGAAAAAATTGTTTCTAGCAACCACAAATGGTCTCTGTGTCTTGGCAATTCTATCACTTTCAGATTGTGCTTTAGTGGGAAATAGACGCTCATCAATATCACCGATGAGTTTCAGTGGGGGTTCCTGAAGTTTAAGACCATTGAAATGTATCCTCCGTTGGGCCTTTAAAAATGACCTAGGGTATTCCTTTCCTATAGAAGCCGGAGCCTCTCCATCATCACTCTGATATAGGGAGGTCTCCGAATCAGAGGGGTATTCGAGTTTTGCCATTGACTGTCCATCACGATTCACCGAATTTGTTCCTTCTGTTACTTCGTTGATACCATCATTGCTTTTGCGGTCTTTTTTATCATTGTCCTTGTTGACTGACGCAGAGGCTCTACCCTGACATAGCATCACCAGCAAATCCAGTTTGCTGTTTAAACTGTTGAGATTTGCTTCAAGTTTATTGAGTCTGTTGGTAAGCGTCGAAGCGACGGGGTTGGTTGCCCACGAAGTTTTTTGTTCGTTTTCACGAGCATTGTTCGTTGCAGTTTCCGTGTCGACGCGCAGAGTTGTGCCGGAAGAACTATCGATCGCTGCCAAAATTTCGTCTTGACGCTCCTTGGTTAGAGAACACTCCAAATTCAAGACGCTGCAGCGGTGGCATCGACCTATCAACGGCTCAAAATCGCATCTCGTCTTAAATTTACGACAAACATCACAACTATACGTCTTTCGTTTCTTACGTGGTTTCCTCACTGTCTCAGACTCTGGGGATCGCTTAGGAACCTGTCTTATATGGTCTCCATCCGTATCTAGCCCAATGGTTGATGGTATTTCAAGAGCCCGCTGAATATCATCTCCACCTTCCATTATAACGCTAGAAAGGCCTTAAATTGGTGGCTAATACTTCTCAGCTAAATGAAACCCCTTATAAGCACAAGGGCTGATTTACTAGACTTTGATTGTTTCAATTCTCCCCAGTAAGGCTTTTGAACTTGGTTGGTGTTTCTTTACTCGAATATTCAATGTATACATTTTTGAAGATGCTGCTAATTACGTTTTGAGTTCTCAATAATCGTATATTAATGGCATAATAATAATTATAAAAGGTTGAGATCTCCGAAGATTCAGCATTAAAATCAACCAAACCTTTGAGAAACCTGAAGAAGTCTTCCGAACAGCGTCTGAAAAACTGAAGATTTGAAGAAAGAAAAGATCAATCGATGATTCTGTGCTAGTTACTCAACTCTCAAGATGAATTCATTAGACCCGCTACTACTGTGTTGCAACCAAGCAAATCATGGTGACAATCCAACCCAATGACAATGACCACGCGAAAGCTGGTAACTTCGATTTGTCTAAAGTTCCAGAAGCCAAACTTGTCTTTTGGATAGTGTCCGGCTTTACATCCAATTGAGTCTCATGATGATCCAGCAGCTGCCCATCTTCACTAACCCGAGCTGTATTTCTTGTCTGACCTGACGTGCAGACAATCTTTCCACCTCTGATCACAGAATTCCCGTTGATTGAGGTTGTCCATTTGCTGCAGTCCATTGCGCTTGATGTAGTTCTAACCAGAGCACTTCCTCTGACCAGCCTCAGCTTAGGTAGAACCGTCTCGTGAAATGTACCTATGAATTGAATGGCACCTCCAATTTCACGCAACTCAGGCAAAAAATCAATTTTATCGACATTGGAGTTATTCGCGATCATCAAGCCACCTTGAATTGTCGTGACATTTGAAAAATCGATGTGAGAAAGATGTGTATTTTGAATGACTCCCAACGTTCCTCCCACCGTTTTGAGGAGGGGAGTCTCAAATCTTTCAAAGTTGTTTTCAATTACTTCAAATGATTGATTGACATATTGCAGCTGAGGGAAAGTAACCGAAGCCACATCTCTGACAGTGAGATTATTCGCCCAAATCAAGGATGGAAAATCAATCCTCAATTCCTTAGAGTTTGAGGACACACTTAGCTGCTCGTTCACCTGCTTTACATTGCTTTTGACATATTCTAGGAATCTGTTGTTGTTAATGTTGAGTATGTCGAGGTCCTCAATTCTTTCCAGCGCATCTATTCCAATCAATGACGTGTCTGAAAGGGTCAGCCTTTTTGCGTGACTAATATTGGGGGCTAAACTTAATGATGTCAAGGTGGGGACGACCTTCCATTCAATTGCATCAAAGTGGTGCAAAACCGGAAAATAGATGCTTGTTAATGATGTCAAGCTGTCGATCTTAAAGGTCCCACCGATGGTGGCAAGGTTGTGAGCTTGTATTCTAACTACATCAGGAAGATTTTCTACTATGAAATCACCATTGATGTTCTGCAACCCACCAAGGTCTATGACGGGATCTATGAAATCGCTGATCTGTAATGTGCCAGATAGTGTTCTGCAACTTTGTTGTAGCTGATAAAGCTGCCCTGCTGACTCAATATTGTGAAGTTCCTTCGCGCAAATCTCAGCCACAGCAGTCGACTTTTCGAACCTCATTGCCTGCATCCCGACGACATCCGCTGACCATTCATCTTGCAAGGAACTAAAAGCCGGTGCTGTATCCCTCTTGTCCAAATGGTGAATGTTCACTCTAACTGCGTGAGGTCTTGTGATATCTCTGACACTTTCAAATGTCTGCTGAATATCATAACAAGATGTCAGGCTCCCGACTGAAAGTATCAGTCCCGTGGTAAAAGCTACTGAAGATCTCATTAAAGTTCCAGTCTTTATCTGAATTGGAATCTTTGAACTGCTTGTGAATGTGAGGGTCAGAAATGAAGTTAAGTTTAACATACTCTGGTAAAATCTTTGGCTTTTATACGTGGCTTGCTTCAAGATCACAATACCATTGTGGCAACCATTGGCATATGACGGAAAAACGTCAGAAACTCGGCGCACGCGGTACTTATCGAGGTGACCAGAGAACGAGCTAAGCTATCTGTTATTATCATTACTTCGAGTATTTAGAAAGACGTCTCAACAATGTAATTCTTGATCTCCTCCATCCGAATATAAACTTCTTCGACGAAAGCTTCGCTCAAACCAGGTTGCGACTTTTCTGCTTCTTCGTAAAGGTCCCTTAGGCGGTTCACAACAAGCTTTGTATCCTCAGACCGCGCTCTTTCATAGATTCTTTCAAAGCTGTAAAGAATGATGTGTCTAAAATAATTAAGACCTTTCCCCGAAGCCTGTTGCGCGTATTTTTTCGCGGCTTTTCCCTCGTGAACTCCCATCGATATGTCAAAGTCCTTTCCATTGTGGTAATGTCTCATACTTGGAGAAGTAGCATTAGTAATGGGAGTGCTTGCTTCGCCGCTGCTGCCCATTGCTGAAATAGGACTCTTTTCTGTCTTGGGAGACAGTTGTTCCAAAGCAGCGGAGTTCATCTCTGGATGCTTGAGCTCCAGTATGCCCTGTAATTTTAACGGCTTTGGATTTTTGTAAAGCGTCTGCTCAAAGTTCCAGGTCTGCAAATGTGGTCTCAAACCCGTTGCATACACTTTATCCTTGACAGCATATCGGGGTTCTTTAAAGTAATTGCTTTGTTTCTTCAGTATCTTAACCAACTCAACTTCCCGTTTCAATGACCCAGCTCCGCGCCACGTAGTCCTGTTGAGAAATTTGTGGCCCATAAGTTCGGAGGCCGTTGGGCGGGAGTCAGGATCCTTAGTGAGACAAAGTCCAATAAAATCTCTAGCAGTACTACTGAAACGACCCTGCAATTTTGGAGGTTTCCGAAGCGGTATATTCATCAACACTTTGATTGGATCGTGTTTCGCATACGGTGGTTGGCCTGTGAGAAGTTCAATTGCAGTGATGCCTAATGACCATATATCAGCTTTCTCGTTGTAACCATTGTCTCTTCGCGCAATAATCTCGGGGGCCATCCAGTATGGTGTCCCTACGAAAGTGTTGCGCTTTAAAGTTGCCATAATTTGTCCGCTGACTCCGAAGTCACCCAGTTTCACCTCACCGTCATCTGTTACCAGTATGTTGGCAGCTTTTATGTCGCGATGAATCTTTTTCTGACTGTGCAAGTACTCAAGACCACAAAGTACTTCTCTAACAATATAAGCTACTTTGTGCTCTGGAAATTTGTGCTCTGGTAAATGCTTCAGAAGATCAGCGCACGAACCCCCTCCACAAAATTCCATCACGATCCACATGGAGACGTCCTCCACAAATGTTTTGTAGTAGCTAGTCACAAATGAGGCTTTGAGCTCTGATAGAAAGTATATCTCTTGAGCTAATATGTCAATGTCATCTTGCGTCTCTTCCAAGTTTATGATTTTAATCGCAACGACTTCGCCGGTTTCCTTGTAAATGGCACGATAAACGTCGCCAAAGCTTCCTTTTCCTACACATTCCTTTATTTCATAAAAATGAGAGGGCCTGGCATGCGCCATCCCGCTATCCTTAGCATGCAGCGGGGTTACATCAACTGAAAGTGGCAATTCTGTACTAGCAATCATTTCTCAAAAATCTTTGACAAGCTATTCTAGCGAAGGACAGCGATCCGATGGACGACCTAAGATTGGAAGTGGTCAAGGTGTTGGTTTAAGTCGTTTAGTGTTTTGGCCATAAATCAGAAAGGTTTCGTTGCAATGACAGTTCGCATAATTTTGACACAAAATGACAGTTGAGAAAATGATGACAAAAAAGAATAAAGTGATGTTTCGCTATGACGACTGAAATTCAAATTCAACAGATTTGGACGCTACCATATTAATATCTTAGGGCGGGCCAAATTTCCAGGTTTTCACCATTGTATGATAGCCTATGTCTTTCCTCCATGAACTTTCGGGAATCGAATCCCTCGATTTTTTGAGTTCGCAGTGATATTTGATGCTGAGGTCGATGATGGCATTGGTCCTCCGATGCTCCAACGCTTGGAGCTATTCTCCGAGCGCTCTGGGGTGGATGAGGATTTTTGAGAAAGTTTATGAACCCCAGATGTGTCTATATGGGTCAATTCGGGACGTTTCACATTGCTGATGGTAGCGCTTCTGCTGATTGCTCCTAAATTATACACCCCATTTGTTTCTGCTTTTGCGTCCCAGTACTCCAGTTCTGGTTTTGTTAAAGTAGAGGGATCTTGGGGCAACCCTTTCACCTGCAGACCGTTTAGCAATAAAAACTCAGTGATGAAGAAAACTGGATGTGTTCGCGTACCTTCATAATGTTTCAAAGAGTATTGGAAAACACCTTCTCCCTGCTCAAGGGGAGTTTGGTTGAGATCTACACCTTGGGCGATACATTGCTGTAAGAGGTAAATGCTGTTCAAGTGTATGGATTTAATGAGGTTGTGGGTTAAGCGCTTTTGGATTCCTTCAGTGTCTTTTTCCTCGAGAGGAGTCACATATTTTTTCTTGCCATACTTGTCGGTGATGAATGTAGCACGTAAGTCATTTGAAGATAGAGGTTCCAGTAGTTTCTCAGGTAATTCAGCTTCATAGATGGAGTTCACATTGTTGTTGCAAACGAACTTCATTAGTTCAAGGACCTCATTGGAAGTGAAAGAGTCCAATTTTAGAGATCGAATTTTGGAAACGTGCGCACCAAGGGATCTATGGGCTGCCGAACAATTAATGCAAACGACACACAACAAGTTTATGCTGATCCACTCGACCTGACTAGTGGCACCGCAGTCGCAGCACGTGGAGTTGGACTTGTCGACGCTAAAAACGACCTCGGCAGCGTTCGTCTTATTACTCGAAGCAGAAGAGGGCTCATCATCGACAGGGTTTGATTCGGTCCCAACGGCGATTTGCAGGGCTTGCAACCATTGATCTAACTCACTTTTACTTTCTGCCCTGAATGCACGTGTTGTGCCACCTGTCGTGATGATTTCAAACCCTGTGTCATTCCCGGAGTCTTGCCTTCTAATGCACGCAAATGTCAGTTTCAGAGGGGAATGCGATAACTTTTTTCCCTGAGTCTTCCAATCCGAATATTCCGAAAGTATGGAGCCTTTAAGCACCACCCACTGCTTGTGCCAGCCAGAAGATTTACCGTGCCCCTTATATGTCCACAAAATACCCTCTCTGTGAACCCTGTGCGTGGTGGCGGTCACTTGATTTGAAAAGTTTGAGAAGCTCTTGGAATTGGAAATTCGAGCCCTGATGGAATTGAGATTTTTTTTGGACGATTTGTGGTTCTTCTGGTAGACTAGAGTCTGCTTAACAAGAGCACTCAGGTCCATGTTACTGGCAACATTAGCAAACTGAGACAACTCGTAAAGGAACTGTCGCGCGTGACTACCGTCAATCAGCTCTGTAAGGTAAACAAAATAATCAAACCTTTGTAACTCAAATTGCACTTTCTTTGCTAGCTTGGTGGAGTCAGCTTTTGATAGATTTTTACCCATATACGAGTAAAATAGCTTAGCTTGATCGTGGTATTGTTTTCGACGCGTGGAGAGGACCTTAGGGTCGAGAAAGTGAAGATAATCTGTGATAGAAGAGCTAATGTACTGCTGCAGGTTTGATTGCAAATGGGAAAATGATTCTAGTTGTGTGCGCAACGCGGAGACCAAGGCGGTAAGCACGTTGTGGAATTGGTGCGGTAACGTTTGCGACAAAGTGTCAAGTTCCATGACACAGGATATTAGACCAGCTATTTCTGTCCTGGTGGTAGAAATGAAATCTGCGACTTTTACAGATTTTTCTTGGGTATACTTGAGCGATTGGCGAATAGTAGGGATCAGGTTTTCGCAGTGGGAAATGAAACTGCGAAATTGGGGGCCGTCTGACTGGAAAGGGTATTGCAACGACGGCTGGCTCCCTGGAGAAGGAGAATTGGATACTGAAATGGAAGAAGTGGCGGAAGGAGAGCGGGACGGCAGCGTGGAAGCCGGCGAGCGTGTGCCTTCTGCCCGCTGCGGTGGCTGTTGGTCCACCCAAACGGCCAGCGTAAAAAGTGAAACGCCCTGCACCTGGACATCGACCGTGTGAAGACCGGGTTTGGCCAAGATGGTTTCCAGAGAAACGCGGAAACTAAGGTGCTGCTGGTCGACAGCGGGCTGGTCGGAAACAGGGACACGGGACAGGACCGAGTCGTGAGAAGCCGTGCAGTGGATGTGTATCTTGGGATTTTGTTGGCCGGGGCCCGATGTCGACGAGACAGGTGGCAGGACACATTTGACCGAGAACTCCGCGGCGCCCGGCACGGCCAACACCGCCAATTGACGCTGTGCGGGAGGATACAGAATAAAGCGCGGCGGGGCGGTAGAACAAGTCGGAGAGAGGTCCACGAGGAACTCGGAGACCTCTCCGCATAGTTTGAGCAGCGAGGTGTTTGCACCCATCAGCAGAGGGCGTCAGTACGTTCGTTGAATGACTGTTTGAGCCGATGAGCTCTATGAGTTGTCTACTAACTTGAAATTATGGGGCATAGTGCGAAGCTACGAAATATTAAAAACATGCCAAGCAACAACATACGTGGAAAACAACACAACGGTTGCCTGCCGGTAACTTCTATAATTCAAGACAACACCTGGCACTGGAGATTTGCTAGCGACTAGTTTCAAAATGTATTTTGCGTGTGATGTATATAGCAGCTCCGAAGATAAAATTACATACGTCTCCTTCCCCCGAGAAGAACGCTTTACAGCGAGCTACTGGGAAAACACCAGTCATTAGCAGGAGGAAAGATTTTTGAAAGCTTCTAGTAAAAAAAATTTGACAGTTAACAGACCACATCCTCGGATGGAGGAGCACAACGCGCTGTTCGGGTCCCGCGACCGGCACCACCGGACAGACCGGCTGGCCGACATAAAAAAGGGCAGGAACACAACCGCGCCCGCGCATCTATCACCCCCATCCCGGGACCATCGTAACGGTACGGGCAAGTTTGAAAAATAAAGGGAAGGAGCGCCCAGCCACCTAGCAGCCGGGCTCTTGTATTAGACCCTGCAAACAAAAACAAAAAAATAAAATGTATATCACATTAAACGGCTTCCGCCTGGGAAATAGAGAAAAAATTGCTGACTCAACATCCTGAGTGCGCGCTTAGAACAACAAAGCGACACCGGCAGCGACGGCAGCACCGAAGACACCAGCACCCATGGCGTTGGAGGCGGCGGCACCGGTGGAGACGGAGGTGGTGGAGCCGTTGGAGCCGTTGGAACCGTTAGAACCGTTGGTACCGTTGGCGGCTTGGACAGCGGCAACAGAGGCGAAAGCAGCGACGATGTTCTTGAATTGCATAGCGATAGTGGAGGTTGAAACTAGTGAGTAATACGTTTAGTTATAACTTATGACCAGAAAGTAGTAGTAAGGCAGCACAAAGATATGTTCACCCACAGGTTAGCCTCTTTCCTTATATACCTCAAGCTGTGCCGGCCACCCGGGGCGAAACCCGAAGCGAAAAAAAAAAAAAAAAAAAGAGCACAGCACAGCAGACAGCACCAAAAAGAAAAGAAAGTGCGAGTTTTTCATCCCTCCACGGGACTTTCTGAGCGGAGCCTCTTGCTTTTCCTAAAGAGAAAGGGAAAGAAAAAGAGGCTGGGCCAAAAATGGAATGTTGCCGAAAAGGGACCTCGCGAAACGAGCAATGCGAGGCCACAGTATGACCAAAGTCGGGCCAGAAACGCGTCACCCGGGCCGCGGCGGGCCTGGACCAGCCTCCGGAGGTACTAAAATAGACTGCGGGTAACGGGTCACATGGTGTGACGGCACTCCCCGTGACTCGTACGTAGAGGGTGATGGTCGCCAGGCCGCGGACAAAGCGATAAGCTGGCAGAGGGCTGCTTTTAGGGACTGTTGCGGAGCGCCCAGGGTCTTTCCGCTTGTTGTTTGGATCTATACGTCATAGATTGAGAGCGGAGCGGCAGGCCTGGTGGCCAGCAATGCTAGCATGCTAGCAAGACATCCATCAGTAGTGCTTTGTTGCGTTTGCGGTGTGTAATTTGCGTCGTGAAAGCAGGTAATATATGGCGGTGTCGGTGTGATAAGGATGGATGAGCGCGTCTCAAGACAATTGCTAGCGGGCCTCGCGTCACGGGGGGTAGCTTGAGGCTTTTGGCGGCACGCGAACGACCCTTTAGATCACAAAGGGTGGTTCGCGGTTGACGCCGGTTGCTGGGCGGTGCCAAGAGCGACAAGCGGCGCTAGCGAGAGGCCAACGAACGTGTATTGGGGGGAAAGAAGAAGAAGGCTCACAAAGGGTGTTTGCGGCTGACCGTGTGCGAGTGGCGAGAGCAGCGAGTAGCGGTCACAGGATTCGGCGTAGCTGAGATATTGCACAGTTCACTCTGGCACCGGGCATGGGATTCGGCGTAGCTGTCATATTGCACAGTTCACCCTGGCACCCTCAGTTCTGGGCGTGTGGCGTAGTTGGTAGCGCGCTCCCTTAGCATGGGAGAGGTCATCGGTTCGACTCCGGTCTCGTCCAAAATTTTTAGCGTGGTCCCTGAAAGGGGTGTGTTTTTTTCCAGCACGCCCTGGAGGCAGTAGACTTTTTTTTTACCCGAGGAGGCCTCGGGTACCGATGGTTGAGTCTGCAGTAGACTTGTTTTTTACTACGTTTGGGCACTAATGGGTGAGTCATATTCTCTTCAGCTCCACGTTTACCCGAGGAGGCCTCGGGCACCGATGGTTGAGCCTGCAGTAGACTTGTTTTTTACTACGTTTGGGCTCTAATGGTTGAGTCATATGTACACGCACATCTATATATTTACATAGTCAGGTGATCTGGGGAGGGCGCTGGTCGTGTGACACGATACTGCTTCGTATCTCGCCGAGCCTGGGGCCCGAAGGGCCCTACATGGGCCAAATAAAAAACTAGCGGGTCGACCGTCGCCATCTTGGATTACTCCCCTTCCCGAAGAACCCCCTCCCCGTCAGATTACCGCACTGTCCGCCTGCCTGTTGCCCTTCACTGGATGCAGTTACACGTCCACATGGAACCCCCCGCGGATCAGAAACCCATGCGCCTTCTTCTCGTCAACCCGAACAGCACGGAGTCCATGACCCAGGCCGCTGGACAGCAGGTGGAACACCATCTGAACGAAGCGTACCCAGGACACCTGAGAAACGTCGTTGTGTCGTTATTCACGGGTCCTCCCAGCGCGCCGCCTGAGATAGACGGCGACAAGACAAGCCACGACTCTGCGCGCGAGTGTTTGCCCCTTCTCTGCAGACGTACCGCTGGCGCCAACGACAAGCAATATTTCGATACTTTCGACGGCGTGCTCGTTGCCTGTTTCTCGGACCACCCACTGGTGCGCGAGCTCTTGGCCAGAACCGAGTGCTCGACCCCCGTCACGGGCATATTTCATGCCGCGATGACCTCCTGCCTTTCGAGACCAGGAACAGAGTTCTCGATTATCACCTCGAACGACGAGTGGGTCGAGCTGCTGGATGCTGGCGCAGAACGCTTGCTTGGGGCCCCCAAGCCCTTCTCCAGCTCTCCGTGTCCCTTCAAGGGAACCGTTGCTTCCTCTGTGCCCGTGTTGGACCTTCACAACCCGAAAAATCTGCACGCTATTGCCAAGCGAATTTACCAAGAAAACGTGACGCGTCTTGGCACAACCACCATCATCCTGGGATGTGCAGGGTTTTCTGGAATGGAAACCCTCTTAGGCCAGGAAATCCGCAGTGTAGCACTTCACGAAGATCCCGAATCTCAGCTTCAAGTTACCCTGGTTGACAGTGTGGTTTGCGGTATTGAAATTTTGACTTTATTATGTCGACTGCGGGTCAACAAGGGTGATTAATTGCTACCACAGGGAAAAAATCGAATCCATGGGCCATCGATATATAAAGCGTCGAGATGAAAATAATTAGTGGCATTAGCTAAGCACTTGTTGTACTCGTTCTATAGGATTACGGTCAAGTTTTGATTCTAAAGAAGCTGATAGTACTTTAAGATGCACGCTCGCGATTGGTTTATGGTGTTTATTTCCATTTTTGTTCCTCCCATCGCGGTAGGACTAAAGAGAGGTTTTTTCACAAAAGACACCTTGCTAAACTTGCTGTTGTTCATTCTGGGTTACTTCCCCGGTCTGGTACATGCGTTGTACATTATCAGCAAGCACCCATACCCTAGCCGTCCAGGCGGTGGTTTGACACATCCAAACGACGGCTACGGGTCTCTCAGCTGATCCAAAGTCGTTGCTAGTCAGCCTGCTACATAAGATATAATGAAGTTGATATTTTGAAAGGCGTTTTGTGCGAAAAGAGGGGACCGCGGTTGCCGCTTGGTGGTACGTGGGAGCTCTTCGAGTGTGTAAGGATGTTAGTAGGACCTGTGTGTTCGAAACGGCCTTCGAGTGTTCTTGTGTTGTCATCGCTCATGGCTCATCGCCATGCTGGAGGTGCCATGTGTTCGTTCGTAGTGACTATGTGGGCCATCAAAATATACAACCGCTTTACCAGGCAAGACACTGGCGGTAGACCTCGAGTTCAGGTATTGGAACGGAGTTAGGCCATGGATCTGCTAGGGGATATTGTCGAGAAAGACGCCACTGCTCCTTCGAGCGTGGATGCGGCTCCAGCGACTGGTTTTCCGGCACTTTACGAGCCTGAAAAGATATCATCCTGGAAAACAAGACTATACCAAAAGAGACAGCGGTCGGGCGCTAAAACCACCAGCAAAACGTCCCAAGTCAATGGTGGTAAGCCACCCGCTGCTGAGTCAAAGCTGAAAACAGAACCTGAAACGGTGGCTGAAGAGATTCACCGCGAAAACGTTGCGCGCATGCAGCAGATGTCCGCCGACCAACTGGCGCAGGAAAAACGGGACATTTTGGAGTCGCTGGACCCGAAAGTCATTCAAAGCTTGATGAAGAGACTCTCGAAGCAGGATTCGGGCCAAAAATCTGACCCACTCAAAGACTATATCAAGCCAAACACAGCTCCACTCTTCGCTGAAGTAGAAGGGGCACCAGGGACCTGGATCGGCGGTTCTCGCGAAATTGCTGATCTGCCGCACCTTGACGACGAGAAAGTTAATGAAGCCCTAGGAATACAACCCAAGCCCTCCAAGCATGTCAAATTTGAGGGGGACGCTGATATACAGGAGCCTACGCAAAGCGAGCCTCTAGATTTCGCAAGACCGAGCGCCGACGAGGATGATATTGCCCCTCAAGAATACCAGTTTGTACAGCAGATGGACCACATGAAGAACGAGGAACTACTCAACGACGTTCATTTCATGAGGCCTGTCAAAGATGCTCAAGAAGACTTTGAAAGCTTGGATATTCACGACCCAGAATTCGATAACAAGCTGCACGAAAAGTATTTCCCAGATTTACCAAAAGAGGCAGACAAGCTTGCTTGGATGAAACCAGTTCCCAAAGCAAGTGCCAACGACGTAATTCAGGACGTCGCCCAGTGTAGGTTTGATTTCAAAGGTAACCTAGTGCCGCCCAACCGCAAGATCGAAAGTACTAGAAATGGTCTCCACCATCATTCAGAGGATCCTGAACTCGCCGGTTACACAATTGGAGAACTCCAGCACTTGTCAAGGTCTACATTTCCCTCCCAAAGATGTATAGCAATTAGAACTTTGGGGAGAATTCTTTACAAACTTGGCAAGCGGAACTACGACCAACTTGTTCCAGAGGTAGACGCTGAAACTTATCAGGAGATGGGTGGGGCTGATGCTATAGTGAGCCGAATTTACACGATGTTTTGGGATCTTTGTAAGTCTCACCAGGTAATCGAGTCGCTCACCGAGGCGGCAGACGAATCAATGACGAAAAACCTTTCAGTCCGGAACTATGCGATCGACGCCCTATGGCTGTGGAAAGAAGGCGGCGGTGATTCCAGAAGTGGTAGCAAGGAAGAAAGTACATAATTTAAGGATAACCAAGAAACAAGAAATGAAAAAATGTAAATCCCACAACCGATTAAAGGTCTTCAGTTGTATACAGAGACACGAACACGCGATGGGCGGCGAAACGAAGAAAAACTCTTTCATTCCAATGCACAGGGCCTATTCTTCACCGGAAATTCCGATAAGGCATAAATGCTATGGCAAACTGGTGTACATGGCACAAAACAGGAAACCGGTGCGTGTTGACAAGTAAATGGCTATGGCCAGTGGAAAAACAAGTTTCTCGGAAGACCATGGATCGCTGAGTTTCTGTGTAGTTCCCGCGAGGAAAAGGGTACGACGCCATGTATTTTCCGGAAAGACAGCTTTCAGATAATGAAAAACTCAGTATCAAAAGTGTACTTTCATATGGAAAGCGCCCAGCTCCTACACGAAGCTTCCAAGAGGCCACAGACACATAGGATCCACCGGAATGGAAGCGGGATTTTTGAAATAATTATTCTCTGCACAGAGACACATCCTCTGGATATCTCTGACTCCTAGGAGCCCATCCAACGAACTTAAGTTGTGCGGGTTTTGAGAAACGTGTCATTCCACCAGAAACACCATTGATTCTTCACATCACACTGCCAGGATGCTGTCAATTTGTACCGCTCCAGCTGCAGGGGTCTCGAAAAGATACCCGCAGACCAATCAAAGCACCTTTCGGAGATCCCAATGGCTCGTTTTGTTCGTCCTAAAGAGATGAGCTCAAGTAGACGGTGGAAAGTAGTAAAACTTTTTATTGTTGTCCTTTCGTTCAAAGTTATGCAGTGGCCATTTCATCGAGTACTTCCCAAAGTACTCATAGTTGAGGAATACAGATTACTTTACTCTCGATGTTTACGCGTAGTAAGTCCTCGGTTTGGCCGGAGACGTGGATCCATGGATGTGCCGCTCCTAGTTCACCAACTCACCACACAACTTGCTATTGTTGAAGAAGAAACCACAACTCTCAGCGAACAGGTTCTGCAAGATCAAGAAACGCACTATGTGGAAACGGTAGAACAACTGAAGCAGAGCGTTCAGCAGCTAATTGAGGACAACGAATTTCTATTTGAAGCGGTGCCTCCAAAGGTGGAGATTGATTTAGCAAGTATCTCCAGACATATTGCGGATCTTTCAAGATTGGTAGATAGCTTGAAATCAACGCATTTAGAGCAAGAAACACTTGACAACTTCTTGCGCTACACAATCCCATCTAACGACCTTTCCCACCTACTAGACTCCGAACAAGATGAACGGTATGTATCAGCTTTGCACTCGGTAGCGGAATTGAGAGACGGAGCGATGGCGGAATTGGATATCGGCGTAAATCAGCTTAAGCACGAGATTGGTCAGACGAGCCAAAAGATCGCCGATCAACGCGAAGTGGTGAATGAGCTATGTCTAAGTACCGGCGATCTGGTTGATCAATGCCACACTTTGTTAGAGGAGCTCGAAAAGCCAAGTGATCTTGCAGGTATGGATCTCGACAATAAGAGCGAGTCCCTCACTCCAGAACCGTCGGCGGAAGAGACTCTCAATGCTCTTCAAGCGTTGAAAGAGAATGTGAATCAGCGCTCTCACCTAAAGCAGCATCTGGGCCATCTGGAGCAGACAAAGTCATTGCTATCCTCGATCGCCAATTCAAAAGACGATACAGATCAAGATGTCAGCCTCAATTCCCTTAACGAGTACAACTCTTATGAAGCTCTGATACAGTTTTGGAAAAGCAAGTTCGTACACCGCGAAATGCAAAACTTGGAGATTTATCCAATGTCTAACAAGTTTCAGTTTACTTATCGTAACGTCGATTGTGTTATCTCAATGAGCGATATAGGAATTTCGAATGTTGAGCTTTACGGGACAGGTATCCCAATAGAAAAAATTGATGCTGCGCGCAAAGCTGTTAACCAGGATTTAACCTCATTTCCCCACCTTTCACGGCAAATCAGTAAAGTTTTAAGTATCATAAATGAATATGCCTCGAATTTATAAAAATAAACAGTATCAAGTGTATTTACTTACCATCGTGAAACTTGCAAATAGCTATTGTTACATGCTGCAGCGCTCTTTCAGCTCTGGAACGTCAAGAATGCTCCCATCGCGCCCAAATGTCCTTCGTGTTTCAGAAAAAACGCCTGTTTCTGGCTGCTGGACCAAAAATTTATAGCGTAGCTGAGCGTATTCATCGTCATTAGGTGGCCGCGAATGTAAGAACCACCAAAGTATATGTTGGGTACATTATGCAGTTTGGCCTGAAGTAATGCAATTTGACCAATGTTATTAGAAATGGCGTACAACAAGCTCTTCGAAATGTCAGCATTGTTGAATTTGCGCTTACGTGACTGGATGCCTTTTGTGCTGGTCTCCGCGCTGCTCATGGTATCTGGCGTGGTTGAGTCCTTGACCGTCCCACGCTGGAATACTTTGCCAAACGAGCTTGCAATATGAGTAGACTTGAGCCCTATTTTCCCATAGTCCACTCCATAGATGTCGCCTACCAGCATGTCAACTTGAGTGTTATCCCCACCTTGTGCCCAGCTCAGCATTTCGTCATAGGTTTGTGCCCCAGTAATTAGCGAAAGCAGGCCCCAGAGGGTACCACCGCCAAGCGACGAGCCTCCGACTCGTGTGTACTGAGCAGGAGCATCTACCTTCACAATGGATACACCAGATCCGATGTTCACTAGCATGTATGGATACACTTTGGCATGTTCTGGGACCACTGCGTGTTCACCATCGAGGTCGTTGTAGGTGAAGACCTCTTCTGGCACTTCGTGAATAAAATAGTCGAGGCCCTTGATGAGACACTCCATCTCATCTAGCCTGGCTATCTCGACCACATCCGGGAATTCTTGGCAAAGCAGGTCGTGAAATTTGTAGGCTCCGCCGCCCGTTGCCACGATCCTGACGTTGGACTGGCTCCCATTCTCCTGTGTGTTGATAATCTCATGCATCATTAGCATGAACTCTGATATCTTTTCTGTTTCTATCGTTTGAAACACCAGTTTCCCAGCGCCTCTTGCGAAAAACACAAGCTTCGCAAGTGATCCACCAATGTCCACAGCGATTGTGAGTATCTTATGTTGTTTCCAGGCCTCATTCGGACACTCAATGCTCTGGCCCATGCTTAGCGCTGCGCTGTCTCTGTTGTGTGCCGATTGTAGCTTTGGTCATTGAAAAATTATGGGTCACTTTAATATTCGAGAACCGTCACCGATCAATCGGTGAGTGTAACTAAATTTCAAAGGACAGAAAGGTTCCGTACACTAAGCAGCTATACAATGATTCTACGCGTATTCAAGATTGATCTTGTGAGTTTTAGTCCTCAATGGCTCCATTTTGAAGTCCTGCGGATTCAGTATGATCACCGTCACTTAAATGTTGATGACTTTAGTTCTGAATTATCGGCATCTGGTGATCCATTTATAAATCATAGAAAAATATATAAATGTGGAAAGCCTAGTCGCTTAAGACAGACACAAATTGTTTGTATATATCATACTCAAATAGCTGTCTAGTTTGGCATTGAGCCTTGAGATAGTTGGATTTGAGCTTAAAAAGCCAAGAGTAGTCAAAATGGGTATCGAGCTTAGGGAGACGATAGCTAGCACGTACGCTAAAAGCATAGAAAGCGGAGATGTGCACTTCTTCCAGTCGGACTCCAAGAAAGTTAAGGATCCTACGACTGGTTCCCAATATCTTATCACGCATGCGCCTAGTTTGCTGAGAAAACCAGAGAGAGGTGATGAAGAGGCGGAAAAACGTAACCCTTTCGCAGAACCGGAACCGCAACTTACCGTCAGCGAGGACCTGTACGGGCTGGGCGAGTACAAATTACTGCTGAACAAGTTTCCCGTTGTTCCAAAGCATCTGCTTTTAGTGACGCGTCAATTCAAGCCGCAGACCTCGGCATTGAGCCCACAGGACCTGCTGACAGCCTACCGTCTGCTCCAGGATCTGGACGATGACGACGAAATGGTTCGCAATCTGGTTTTTTACAACTGCGGTGCACCCTCAGGCTCTTCGCAAGACCACAAGCATCTGCAAGTGTTCCAATGGCCCGAAAAGTTCTTGGCATTCCAGGACCGTCTGTGCAGCGGGAAAGAGCACTTCATCCCTGACATGCGGTCTGAACCCCTCCAAGACCCCAAGCTCTCCTTTGCCCACTTTGTCGTTCCCCTGCCTGAGGATCCAGACACCGTGGACGAAGAATTACTGGCGATGACCTTTGTGTCGCTGCTGCAGAGAACCCTCACATTCTTCCAGGATTGGTCGAACGAGGCACCCAAGCTGGAAACCGGCTACAACGTTTTGATGACACGTCAATGGCTGTGCCTGGTGCCACGCTCGCGGTCCAAGAGTGCCGAATTGGACATCGGTTTCAACGCTACTGGCTATGCGGGTCTCGTGCTCGTTAAGCACGAAGACGTCTGGGGTAAAATTCTACAAGAGCCTCACATAGTGGACCGCCTAATGCTCGAATGCGGTTTTCCAAACACATCGGGGCAATCCAGTGTCGAATATGATTATTGATGTACAACTTGGTAGACGAAGATGTTAGTTTATAGAGTTTTGTATGCCGTTAGCCAATCAGATTACAGAATGCGGAAACTTTACTCATCACTTTCGACGTGGATGTTCAATTTTTCAAATTACTATAGCGTACCGGGTAGACCGACCCACCACGCTCTTTTATCCAAAGCTAGCTGAACGAAAGAGTTGGTTGACAGATTACCGAGCTGCCACGAATAGTCATTGAACGCAGTATTTAACACAATGCCTCAAACCTTTACCTCGATTGTCAAGATTGGCGACTTCATCTTGAAGACTCCTGCTTTGGCCAAAGTAGTTGTTCCAGTTGCTCAACAGTTCATCAACTTCTCTGGGTACAGAAAGTTGGGTCTCAGATTTGACGACTTGATTGAAGAGGAGAATAACGTAGCCCAGAAGGCTTTGGGAAGAATTGCAGCCGATGAGTCTTACGCTAGAAACTTCAGAATGCTCAGAGCCCATCAACAATCTTTGACCCACCACTTGTTGCCTAAAGCCCAGTGGGTTAAGCCAGAAGAAGACACTCCATACATGTTGCCTTATTTGTTGGAGGCCGAAGCTGAGGTCAAAGAGAAACAAGATTTGGACAATTTGGAATTGGTCAAATAAGGAACCCGAAATGCTTGTATGAAAAGGACGATCGGAGCGACCATCAGTGTTGTGGTTAATGCTGAACTTTGATTGTGATAAGGCTCATATTCTGTTTTATTCCCAAACTGAAGAATTTATTTATGGGTTTCCCCCAATTCCCCATTATTTAACGGCCAATTATGATATAACGGTAGACTAATTGAAAATTTTATCAATGATCTTAGTTCGATGCTATTTGATGGTTTTGGGTTAATTTTCCTGGACAGTAATTGTCCAGTGCTTATGTATATTACATTTGCAACTAGGCATTAATTATTATGAGTGTGTATCGTCAAAGGCTTTTAAGAACACCGTCTTTTTAATCGCTATTTGGGATTTTTGAGTCGAGAAAACAGAGTTGACATCAAGTGGAACTTACCCTTGCGTTTGCCAGTACTTGTTTGCTGCCTCCCATGCATGACAGCGCTATCACTCACACTCCGCTGATCACTCGTGGCACGAATTTCACTTGACGTGGACGCCCTTTTTTTTTGCGGTGCTTTTGAGGGCGATTTAGGGTTCTGAGATAAATCCACACTATCACCGGGCTGTCCCAATAAGATTTCCTTCGGTATCCGGCTCTGTTCGAAAGCTTCAATTGTGTGCGCTTCTGTGATTGGAGTCTCTGAATGTCCAGAAGCAGTCCCTGGCACCTTGGCGGTATCCTCGTTTTGTGGCTGTGCTTTCCTAGCATCGATATAAGCATCATTCGATGCACTGCCGTCATATGGTAGGTCATAAACTTGACTTTTGAAATTGAACGAGCGGCGCGGACTAGGTGATTTATTCGCTACCTTGGATGTAGAGAGAACAGGAGTGTTTGGAGTGTTTGTTATTGCTGAGATCGAAAAGCCAGGAGTTAGTTCAGAGGATAGTGACGAACATGCAGGCTCCTGTGGGTATATGTGAGAAGAACCATGGGGGCTTGCCGCTGGTAATTGTTTTGTGTAATACAGGTATCGTTCTTTCTGTCTGCTGATCTTCAAGGTATTATTATTATATTGGTTCCGCTTTGGAGATTTTTGTTCATCCATCGTGGCCGAGCTGGTTAGAAACGGAGATTGAGATTTAGTTCGGAGCGGCGACATTAATGCGTCTTGGCTCACCAATTCATCTTCGCTCTCGGACTTCTCACCATCCTCTTCTTCGTCTATTCTCAACGGCGGCTGTGTCTGTATTGCCGGCGGCTCTAGCTTGAACGGTAGTATGAGGTTTGCGGGAGCCGATTCAGCTCTTCTGTGAGAGGTAAAAGATTGTGGCCGGGTGCTTAAAGCATCGTCTAGGTCTATAATGGCATTTGGCACATCGTCTGAATAAGTGATATCGTGGCTCATGAAAAACCTTGGGCTCATATCCTGGTGGTGTCGCATTGGTGATACGGTCGAGGCTGCATAATCTGCCTTCGAATGTGGTGTCCCAGGGGCGATGGGTTTGACAAAATCTAAATCTTGTGAAATGGCGAAAGAACGTTTATGACGGTGTCCTCTTCTCACCGGAGTGTTGTCGCCATTATTCTGCTCGGCGGAAGAATCGCCTTGTGTTGGCACTTTCAATCGCTCTGAGTCCATATCAAAATCCCTCAGGCTGAGTTCTAACAAAAAACAAGCGAATGACTATTGGTTAGAAACAAAAATGCTAGCCAGAAATAAGCAGATGCAGAAACTACGCTTATAAGCACAACTTGGAGTGCTATCTAAGTTAGACGCGTTTCGCCTATAATAACGGCCACTAAAAAATTCTCTCTAGGAGAATTCTATGCAATGCAAAAAGGGCGGACGTCACAGCCAAAATAATCGAGTGTATAAGTGAGCTTTTGAGCAAGTGTATCGATTACGCGATTATCTCACGGTATTTATTCCACTTCGCTAATGAGTATGCGTATCACAATTATCAGCACCCACAGGCGAAAATACAGAACAGCTTATCCTGAGCCTTTTTTTAATGCTTCAACAACAGCAAGGGCCTCTTCCTTACTTGACAGCCACTACCGTGAGCTTTCGATCGCTCCTCTATAATAGATGATTGTGTCTTACCCGTTTAGAGATTTAAAGATTTTTCAACTCAATCAATAACCTTGAATTAAATATATTATATTTTACGTCAAATCCAGCAATGAACGTGCCGGACATTGAGAATGATAACCGAAACACATTAATTCAATGCTATCTTGAGTGGGAAGAGTAGCTCAAAGGTTTTGATCTTCAAATACGCCAAAGCTAACAAAACATCACTCTCTGCTACTCGCCCCGGAGTTTATAAATGGAGTCTCAGCATGTGACGCAGAGGGTTGGGTTTCTTAGGGTGCCGGGCTCTATCACGGCTAGGTATCTGTCATTGAGCTTTCCAAAGAATAGTTTCGGTAGAATCTACTATTCTTTTTTTGGAGGAGGACTATTTTTGAAGTATTTCTTTGTTCCACGTCTACATAATGGCCGCGACAAATGCTGTGTGTGCTGGGAAGACAATTTGCTATCATTCTGTGATACTATGGTGACTCTCGGCCGGTTTTAAATGGATTGCAACAGCGTTTGTCTTTCTGCAGAGTCTTCGACAGCCTTTTCAGAGAGCTGAGAAAAGTCTCGAAAACAATAAAAAGTGTTGAGCTTTGTATACCTTATGCCGTGAAGGGTGGCTGAGTGACCGCAAACTCTCGAGGACTACGAGAATAAAGTGAATATATCAACTTTGTTGATATACTGTATTTTCCAGCCTTTGGTAGAAAACATATGAGCACCAATTGTGCATTAAAGACCCAGTTCTGATGACGAAGCGACGATTTATCTCGGTGAGGACGTGCACGGCCAGTTGATCTGCTAAGTGCCGTCCCCTCTAACCGGACGCGATGCAAGTCACTGCGTACGCGCACATCTCAGTTAAAGGTGATAATGATGTGTGATTATTTAGGTCCATGAACGGAAAAGAGACAACGGCAACAGCGCACCGCTGATCAGTATCAGTATACTATGAGTACGCGAAAGACGAGAGTTACGGTACTCTTCAATGATCTAGAGGAACTGGAAAGGGCCTTTGCGGATACTCCAGAGGGGATCTCGTCGTCAAGTAGTATAGTGATAACGGGATCAAATCAGTGGGTGCAGCACAGGACCACAATTGGCCTTCCTAATCATTTTGAGCCACTTAGAATTACCTGGAAGGCCACAAAGCCACTGAATTATACTTTACAGGCACCGTTGATGGAGGGGATGAACATATACTCTTCTAAGTCTTCTCAGCACCCATCGCTTGCAAATTCGATCAGTTCAGCCAAATACAATCTAATGCATTCCGAAGCTATTGATGAGGCCCTGATTAGAGAAATACTACCCGTTGAGATTGCCGGTATAAACTTCACGATCAATGAAGATAGACATTACGATATTTTACTTGACCGGCAGACACTTAAAATCGATGAATACTACGCTTTAGATGTCGGGAAGACTCAAAACATTTCTTATAGCCCGGAACTTGGGAAGTTTGAATTAGGGCTCTTTTTCCCAGAATCAAATAATGACCTTGAGGTGAATCTTAATGGAGCACGCTGCAGTTGGACTGATGATGGTGTCATGGAACAATGCAAAAAAACCTATTTGTTCTACCAACGTGCTCATTTTGCTCCTATAGAGGCCGATAGCTACCCAGTCAGGCTGTTAGAGCCCGTTGGTCTCCATCCAACTGTGTCAGTTGATCTGACAAACGCAGAAATGGTCGAAAAATGCGCTTTTTATATGTACCTGACAACGCCTGCAGATTTATTCATGGATAAATTTGATACATCACCGATATTCCTCGCAGGTGCCACGGACTTAGAAGCTCCAGAGTATCGCATTGTGAAGGAAGTGTGGGGTATGGAATCTCTGCTTGAGCTCACTCCAGGGATGGTCAACGACGTAAAGCTGCATACGCGATATGTGCTGCCACAATCAGTAAAAAGTTCAAAGAGTGTGAGATTTACGCCTCACATCTTTCAAGCTTGTGATTCTGGAAGTGACAGCATACATGAAAATCCATTCTATACAAAGTCGTTGGGTTTCGACTCATTATTCACCAACGATACCATATTCAAACACTTCAACACTCCTACCCTTGAGTTGGCTATTCCTGCTGCTGATTCTAACGACTATGAATTTGTGAGATCCACAACATGGGCATGTTTGATCATATCCGTGCTATATCTCTGCTTGAAGATACTTCGAAAATGACCACCATACTTATTAGAATTGAAACTGCCTTAAATCTATCTTAAAACTATTTTTTATGATGTTTTTTGGCGATACGCTTCAGAGCTCTTTGCTCATTCTTCATGACACCATCAACCATCTTATATTTACCTTTCACACCCTTTGGTCTACCGGATAATCCTCTGTTTTTACCTGTAGCAACAACTAGCGTAACCTTCGGTTTCTGTTTCTGTTTTTTAGTTACCTTCCTCATCAGCTTTGCAATCTCATCGGCTTTATCACGCTCTGACTTGTCGGCATCGTCATTGATAATACCTGCTTTCTTTTTGATCTTTTCGAGACGTGCCACAGCGCGCATCTTCTTTCTTGCCTTCGCCTCTGCCACCTTCTTGATTGGTCTAGCATTCAGAGCTTTCATCTTCTCTTTGATCGCCAGAGCAGCCTCTTTTGTTATAGGCTTGTTAATCTTTGAATGACTCTTTTCATCCTCCAAAAACCAATCAGGAAGATTTTCAGTATCGCGAAAGGCATATCTGTTGAAACCCTCGTCAATCAAATCATGCTTGGTCCTCTGTCCTAAAGCCAGTTGATGTGCTAAGGTCATAGCTTCGACCGTTGCGATGTCGATTTCCTCAGAATGTTTTGCCCTGTCTGATTCCTTCTTCTCATCTTCTGAATCATAATCAGAGTCCATAGAATGATCCACGTCTTGTTCATTTGCAACAATTTCAAAATCTGAATCCTCGGACGCGCTGCTTTCACTTTCATGATAATTATTTCCGACAGCCCTCTCCAGCTTTGTGGAGTGAACGTCAGCTTTAGCTGCCTCTTCTGGTAGATCCGCCTCAACACCTTCAAAAATCGATTGATCAAATAACGACTTCGCCTTAGAGCTTAGCCCCTGCTTTCCAGAATCACTCTCAATCTTTGCAATCAATCTGTTGATCGCTTCATCATCATCAGAGTCAGAAGCATCAGATTCTTCGTTGTCACTTATATGATCTTTGTCCGCCTCAGGTTCGCTGTCGTTCTCTTTCTCGGTAAATCCTGTCCATTCTCCATCGTGATCTCCACCTCTAGCTTGCTTTGCACGATAGTTGGCATCTCTTTCGGCCCTTTGTTCTTTGTAGGTGTGGTACATGAAGTTCAGTTGAGACTCTAGCTCATCTGCGTCCGCATATTCATCACGGTCGGCCAAGGGAGCATCATCTGCAATGTGAATATCATCGTTATTTTCCAAGCCATTTTGAGCGAAAATCATTCTTCTTTTACCTTTGGCAAGTTTATCTAACATTCCTGTCTTTTCGGCGGTTTTAAGATTGAAAATGGCATCTCTTCCTATATCCGCCGATTCTATACCGATGTCTGCAGGTGTCAGCATGTTCATCTGCATTCTGGTCAGCTCCTTTTGCTTCATTTCGTTCTTCTTTCTCTTTTCACGCTTCTGAGACAAACGCTGCTTTTCCTGTAGACCCTGCAATTCTTTCTGAATTTGCTCTTCTTCGTTCAATGGTGTTTCCTCTACTTCCTCTTTTTCATCCTCCTTTTCTATACCCAAAATATCCCTGGCGGCCTTTCTCCATTTAAGAATCATCTTGAAATCTTTCTTCCCCAAAACCTTTAGATCCTCTATGCAGGCCATGAACTCTGATGTCGTTTGCTTTAATTTCTTCAAGATCTTCCATTCATGTTCGTTGGGATCCACCGTAAATTTGTTGAGGTTTCCGAGCATATCAATAGGTTCCTCGGATGTGACAAATTCCATGATAGGTTTAGTATGATACAGTAAGTAGTCACCTTCTTCGTAACCTTGTCTTTTCCTTACTTTCTTCTCGGGATTGAAGACCTTTGCTTCGTTGTTTTGCGGACCATCAGGTAATTCCTCAAAGACCTCTCTGGCATCTAGTAACCTCGGGTCCATCTTTTTTGGTGCTTTGAAACCTTTGCAGACTACAAAAATTTCTGCGGAAACATTTCTGGAAGCGGGCGGCTTGGTAGCCTCTACCTTCTCGAAAAGCTGACTGAATACCCAAATAAGCTTATTATAATCCTTCGATCTGAAAATCTTTGTCACAAATGTTCCCCCAACAACCAAATTCTCAACAGCTAGTTTCAACGCTTGGAGCGTTAAATGCGATTGTGTGTAAGCATCCTGAATCCAGCCAAGACCAACATTGGGAGCACCATCGTGCATAACTGTGTCAGCTTTCCATGTCTTCATATAACCTCTCAACTTAGAACGACAATCCTCTGTTGTAATATCGCTCTGGAATGTAATCACATTGGGCATCGATTTCATGGGCACAATATCCACACCGATAATTAATGAGTTGACTGGACACAAGTTAGAAGCCACCTGGCACCACGATCCGGGTGCAGCACACAAATCAATGACTACCTTAGACTTCTCCAAAAAGTGGCCAAACTTTTCATTTATCTGAATGATTTTGAAAGAAGAACGAGCACGGTAACCTTTCTCCTTGGCCAAGTAATAGTACTTATCCAAACGACCTTTACTATTTTTCTTCTGCGTCTTACCCATCTTGCGTTGGTGGTGTACGAAGAGTCAACTGTAACTGAGGTTTCAAGTGGAACAGTCTAGTTGCAAGTCAAGCTTTGGGAAGATGCGCTCATCTCATCTCATCTCATCACCTTCACTAAAATTTTTTTTTCGGGCACAGCGTCGAGTTTACGACGACAGGAAAAATTTAGTGACAGATAAAACCAAAGTGATCACATCATTTTGACACTGCCACGCGCTCACAATTTTCACGGAAATGCTGGCCAATCTTTGTGGATACAGTAGTCATTAGGAGCTTCTTTTACTTCTGGGTTCATGACCTAAAATCTTCCTAAACAATGCTGCTCACTGACGCTGAAAAAAAAATGAAATGTTTTAAATTTTCTGAAGTTTTGATACTTGGAGACCCAGTAACTGATTTCAAATATACAACGTCCTGTTAAAGCTCTACCATTGGTCGTGTTTTTTGGCGTCTCTATCGTCATGAACTTCATTGAATTACAGTCCTCGGGAAAAGGAAAATTCGAGAAATCTTTGGGTGCGCCGGCAATTACATGAAAAATCAGGAGATGTATATCACACGCTGCTTTGCAATCGTAAGCTACCCTCTCGCTTTCGATTGTACAAGGCAAAAAAATTGAGTTTTCGAATACAATCTAGTAACACTCGTCCCCAGTACATACGTATTTCTCTTAAATCAAGTTTGACGTCCGTGGCTGATGTTTTACTGGGACATCCAAAATTAAAGCCAATACTAATGATTTTTAATAACTAGCTATTTGCTAACCAAAGAGAGCCACGGTTCCAAAGGTTTCACGAGCTTTAAGGCAGCTAGTAGTACTTGCAACGCTTACGCTTTCCATTTCTACCGATTGATATGACCAAATAAGGAAAAAGAGTGTCAAGCTATCTTACAAAATACTGGCTCCAATTTTAAACTTTTAGTGACGCTCAAGTTTTCAGCAGGACATTTTTTCTTTGTATCTTACAGCTATCAAAGAGTAAATGGTATTCACGTACTAGAGTTACTTTATACAAAGTCTGGAGAGGATTGAAGCCATAAGTAATATGTAAAGTGTGTTTCCTGAGCATTGGGACTTCTTTCACTTGACTTTGCTCAGAGTGTTCACTTTTGTCCAACTAAAATTTGAGACCGGATATCGTAAATCTAGCCATGCCTGTCCACATGAACACACATGTCAACTTGTGAGCTCACGTGGCACTAATTTGATACTAACTTGCGTCATCGCGCCCCCACTTCCCCCTCCAGACCCTTCTCATAGCTGTCTGTAATATCTGCTCTACGTTTTGAGGAACCGTTTTCGAGACTAACGTCGAATCACCAACGTTGAAACAGGCTCACGAGCTCTTCGTTCAGAGAGTGGGTTAAAAAAATTGTGTTGAAGTTATTTTAACCCCGCAAATAAAGCAGGCACCCTTCAACACCTTGTCTGACTACAGTGTTTTTACTATCGATCACGTCCAGTCAGCTCAGAACACTCGTCGGAGGTCAAAATATGGCTTGTTAAAGATCCTCGGTCGTGCATAGGTTCGCAATACACATTTAGGGGCTTTATGTTACCTCTTTTGCATTTGGAATGCTGTTCAGCTCCCATTGCATCTCTCGGCTTTTCTCGACTAATGTAAAGGGTCTCTGGATTCATTTCGCCGCCTGGTGTCGTGGTACGATGGTGCCTAGTGCATAATATGATAAATGGATCAAATCACGCTTTGCTGACTCTGCCTGTGACTAGCTACTTGCTAATAAGCACTTTCCATTAGCTTTACCTATACTTGAACGCCATGTTGAAGCTAAACCTCATCTGAAAGGTTATGGATATTATCCTGACATCTTGAGATTTCCCGATTAATATGACACTGAATCAACAAACGACGGTATTTGACCTAAGTGACAAGCCTCGAGAAAGTTAAACGATTTTCACGTGATTGTTTTTTTTCACTTTCGAACACGACAATGCTTTCACGAAAAAAGCCCTTTTCCTTCCACCGTTAAGCTTGTCGTCCAACACACCAATTGAAGCTCACATCGATTTTCTCTGTTGGGAAGACTCACTGCCTGTCCCCAAATGTCATCCTTCCCGTTTGATGGTGTGAAGTTCGCAGCTACACCCGCTGCTCCCAAACCAGATCCTTCAAACACCAAATATGGCGTTAGAACTTCTAACTCGCCTGCTATCAAGAACGCTCCATTGCCAGCAGAGGGGCCTAGCTCGAAACACTTTTCCAACTTAACTGTCTTAGCGCTAATCATTGGAATCCCTTTTTATGCTTCCAGAAAGCTAGGTGGCGGATTGAAAACTTTCCTATTCTTTTTCTTGCTGTTTGTTTTGCCCATTCTCATGGCGTATTGGACACTAGCCTCGACGTTCTCGCCACGCTTGAATGATAAATGTCAATTGCCTGGAAAACCCATTGAACACTACTTGACTTTCCATGATGAACAGCTCGCCAAGAAGTATCATGGCAAGAAAATTCCAATGGAAACGTTCCACGAACTATACTTCGCCAATAAGGTTTCATTCAATGGAGATGCGCTCGAGGTCTTGGAGTTCAGACACGATTGGTCGCAGTTTTCGTTCACGTTGTCTCTCTTTAGATTCTTCTTGCTGGGCATGATCCCAGAAGTGATCATGCATACAAGATCGCAAGATGAAGAACAAGTTAGAGATCACTATGACCGTGGTGATGATTTCTACGCATGGTTTTTGGGATCAAGGATGGTTTACACCAGTGGTGTAATCTCTGACATTGAATCAGAAGAATCTCTTGAGCAATTGCAAGACAACAAGCTGAAAGTTGTTTGCGATAAGATCGACTTGCAGCCCGGTGAGTATCTGTTGGACTTGGGGTGTGGTTGGGGTACCTTGGCCACTTATGCGTCTAAAGTTTATAATGCTAAGGTCACAGGGATCACGTTGGGAAGAAACCAGACTAAATGGGGTAACGGGAAATTGGAATTGCAAGGTATCCCTCAATCTCAATCGCGCATTTTATGCTCAGATTACAGAGATACCCCATTACCTTCTCCAGAGGGCAAGAAGTACGACAAAATTACTTGTTTGGAAATGGCAGAACATGTTGGAATCAGAAAGTTTGGCTCTTTCCTCAGACAAGTTTATGCTATGCTTGAAGATGACGGTCTCTTCTTCTTGCAAATCGCCGGTTTGAGAAAATCGTGGCAATATGAAGATCTTATCTGGGGTCTTTTTATGAACAAATATATATTCCCCGGTGCTGATGCTTCAACCCCATTAGATTTTGTGGTTGCCAAGTTAGAAGCTAATGGTTTTGAAGTTGTCTCTATTGACAACATTGGTGTTCACTATTCTGCCACTCTATGGAGATGGTACAGAAACTGGATGGGCAACAAGGATGCTGTCGTTAACAAGTATGGTATTAAATGGTTTAGAATCTGGGAATACTTTTTAGCTTCGTCGACCATCATTTCTAGGCAAGGTTCTGCCACTTGTTACCAGATTGTCTTGAGGAAAAACATCAATGCTTATCACCGTGTTGAGTACATTCCAAAGCAAAAAGGTTTGTTACTACCAATCAAAGAAGGTGTTACAAACTGGTTTAAATAAGTACTTTGCAATCTTCGACGCAAGCATTGTTTAGCGAGTATATGCTTTAAATTAGACATTAACTTCGAAATTTATTTCGGTCAACATTAGGTCAGTTTTAGATGCCCGAAGAAAGATTATGATCAAGTCAATCTTTTTTGAGTAGGGCTTTTTGGCCTTAAAGATTCGATGTCATTTTTAGCAGGCAGATGAGTCCCAATTTTACTGATTTCTGCCAAATATCTTGCACACTCAAAATTATTCAGCATCACGTCCGGACTCATTATTACCCAGCCAGGTCTAACCCTTACAGGCATTTCAGTACCTGTTCTAGCGGGGATAATGTGAAGCCTTCTTGTTGCTGTTGAGAAGTTTTCGGCTATTTTATAAAGATGAGCGGGGACAGCGCTATGTTGCTGGTCATTGGTTTCTAGAGCAAGATCCGTGTCAACATTACAATGGATGAGATGACCATCTGTTGCTCTTCGAACCGTTCCAGTTATACACATCCAGCAATGCCACTGCATCTTTTCGAAAAGCGTCTGATCATCATTGTCGAGACTTGGATAAAAGGGAGAGCTTTTGTCGACTGGAATGAAAACTAGCTCTTCGCTTTTTCGAAACTTCTTTGACCACGCCTCACTCTGCAATAGTTTCGTTAGTTCGTTGATTTTCTGTGCACTCCCCCAAATAAGTAGGAAGCCGGGCTTAGTTATCAGCTTATGAATGGGCAGGGAAGTCAAAATTTGGTAAATAAACTGATTCTCAGTGAGGCAGCCAATCATTACAACATCAAAAACCATTCTTTCGTCAGAAATCCAATGGTTCAAAGTGGGAACCATTGCGTCAATGTCAATTTTGCATCCAAAAGGAGTTGTAGCGTTTTTTGCCACATGCCTCTCTTTTAGGCGAAAAAGCTTCTGCAGATTAGGATAGCCCTCGACCTGATTCTCCGAGTTCTTGATATATCTTTGAGGTGGCACAGTAGTGTGAATATAATTTTCAGTATAGTCATTGTGATGTGGCTGAGGAGAAGGCTTTAGAGGATTACTCTTCTTTTTCCGTGTACTCTCGTTACCATTTTTTGGCCTCCCACGATCAGACAACATGCCTTCTTTCGAGTATAGTTGATTTTTGCGTACTTTCTGCGGGCTTGGAATCTCATGGCCTTTAGTACTTTTTTATGTGTCGTTGGTTCCAGGTGACACACGCTGAAACCAGAACATTTGTCAAACATAGCGGTTTCATAAAGACAGAGTAGGTGAATCTTTTTTGCTTTAACATACTTAGCGTTTCGTGGCCATTGTTTCGGGTCGCTTTGGCTTTAAGCAATCACGGCTAATTGTCACTGACTGGATACTCTCTTTACTCCTCATATATCCGCATTTCGTGCTCTCTATGAATATCAAGCTTGGTGCGAAGCCTTAAAGTGATAGAATTTGGGAAACAACTCGTTGGTATAACAAGTACAAACATAAAAGGCCCTGAAGCGAAGGCGTTTTTGATGTCGTTGACAGGTTGTTCTTAACGTCAGTCAGGTTCCGACGACCTGTTATTTTTATCAGGTACACACAGATGTAAAATTGAAGGTGTGTTTAGTGTTAAGAAGGAAATTAACAAAGATTACTACTCCGTCCGTAAGGTAAAATAAACATGCAATACACAACAACTTTGTCCAGCTTTCGTATCAACATTAAACTTCACTCATGAATTTTGATGAAAAAAACAGAGGTGTGATTCCGATGGCTGATACCGACGTACTTTCCAATGGATCTTGTATGCAAGCACAAAATTGTTCGCCTTAAAGTTCCTGAACTTAATGTTTGGTTATCATTTGTTTACTTTCACTGGAATTGATGTGATATTAAATTGTCAGAATGATTTAAGAGTATGGAACTTTGCATACGGTCGAAAACAAATTATACAGCAAAACAAAGCAGCTGCGCTTCACATACATACTAATTCGACAAAAAGCGAAATAAGATTCAATGACCCCGTAGTCCATATCAACATCGCCTAAGTAATTTACAGCAAAAAAGTGCGCATGAAAACGCGGATAGAAATAGACCTGAGAAATTCCTTTATGTATTAAAATATCTTCTTGTCCCTACAGTGGTCGATGAAGTTTTTCTTGTGGATTAAGCCGATAAATACATTCTCTTCAAGAACTGAAATGGATCTGTTGCCCAGTTTAGTGAAAAGCAGTTCAACCAGAGATAAGGGAGAATTCACATCCAGCATCAGTGGCGACCGCTCCACTACCTTTCGAAAATCACACAAGCCGTCAAGCATCTTTTGTAGGGAAACTTTTTCATTGTCAGTAGCTGAATGAAAAATATCACCTGCCATCTCATTGTTGCTGAGAAGATGGGAATCCAAGACATGCATGTTTCCAGATATGGCGTCTGGATCTAATAGCTGAACTCGAAAATCTCCAGATAATCGATATGCTTCGCAAAAACGCTCCAATTTATCTAGAGCTAATTCCAATTCTGGGGCGGGTAGTATACCTGCCAATTGTCCCTTTTTTAAAATTGGCAGACACCCGTCCACCAGTCCACCTTTCTGTAAATCGTTGAGCATCTCCCTTAATCTAAGGCAAGAGAAATCATACGAAGTGGTAAGATCTATGAAGGCGCTACCACTTCCTCGTCCAACCTTCGTTACAATATCTCTCACGTCGAATTCGTGGTCACCGAAGTTTCTGATTTGATGATTATCAAGGAAGGGAAAGTCATTTTTTCTTATCAACATTCCATAGAGTGACTGCGGCTCCAAAACATGAGCCACCATATTCGACACGGCAATTGCTATTGATATAGGAACCACATAGTTGTATGATGAGGTCAGTTCAAAGATAATGACTGCAAGTGTCAAATTCATTCTGGTAATTCCTGCCATAAAAGAACCAGCTGAAATCATTGCATAAATTCCGAGGTCAATGCAAACACCATCCGTATTCGTCTTATTGCAGATATGCGAAAAGAAGGATATTTCGGGGTACATGTTAGCCACGTAATCAAATGCCATGGCAAAAATTCTACCAAATAGAGCTCCTATGACCATTGAGGGTACGTATATGCCAGCTGGTACCTTAATGCCAAAAGTTATACTTGTTAAAATTATCTTGATGACAAGTGCGATTGAGAGTGGAATTATCTCGCTGGGAAAACGATTTTTATCTACGGGACAAAGCCCATACGCTCCGGTAAAGTCATCGGGAGAGTAGCACGGCGACGCTAAATTGGCTAGTAATTCAGCGACAGAAATGTTGGTATATGTGTTTGAAAAAGTGACAAATGCCGTTATTGTAGTAACTATTAGTACCTCGCGTAGAGGCCTATCACGGACGAAGCTTCTATTTCTGAACCAATTTGACCAAAATGACACGAATTTGCAAAAAAAGGCACCAAAAATACCCCCAGAGACTCCTATAACAACTGCAAGGAGTAGCTCGGTAGTTTGCCAGTCGGAATTGTACTGTACTTCAAATAAGACAGCTTTTCCAGTGCCATATGGATCCAATAACCTGAGGAAAAGATTAGCCATAATGGCGGCGAAGAATGTCTTGAATAATTGATTACCGGGGAGAAAATAGCTGACCTCCTCAAAAGAAAACATCACCCCCCCTAAGGGTGATCCGAACGCCAGTGTCACCCCAATGGCCGCTGATGCGGATAATACAACCCTTCTCTCAATGCCGTTTTGTTTATACTTCTCAAAATATCTGCTCAATATGTTACCAACGCATGTGGCCAGATGAACATAGGGCCCTTCCTTTCCCACAGAAAGACCTGAAGCAATGGCGAGGATCAGAGCCATAGTCTTAGAAAAGAGGGTGTAAGATCCAAGGAATTTCCGGATGATAAATCCAGACAAAATAGTTTTCACTTCTGGCACACCACTACCATAAGCGTGATACATAGTCTTGAAAGTCTTCTTGTCAGTCTTTTTTGCGAGTGGATTGATATACTTTGTGGTTAGCGTCACCTTGGCGGATAAAAATGCAAGTAGTAAGCTGAGTATTACGTATATGGTAAAGTCGGCTCGTAATGTACCACCCTGGAAGGAAGGAAAGACCTGGGGCCATAAAGTCCATGTGGCACAGGTGTAGCTGCTACAGCACTGTTGCTCATTGAGCAGAAAGTTTGATTTACAATAACCTCTTTTCAAGTCCACCAATAATTCTTCCGACTTATCAATTGTGAAGGCTAGTAGTGCACAGCTTAAGGCCGTAACGACAATCAGGACCCAGTCCTGGAGAAAGCTGTACATTCTTCTCAACTTCCCGGATAGTCCTTTTAAAGAATATAAATACTCCCGTTGTTGAACGTCAAATAGATAATCTTTCACCCAGTCAACACTTGTGAAGTCATCATAGTAATTTCGGGCTAATATTGGGAGATTTCCCTGATTTGGTGATGATCCTGTGAGGTTTGCGGAAGTTCTTGGAGAAACCTCTAATGCACTAGAAGTACGGAGTTGAGAAGAGGGACTACTCGGAATAGTACTTCCATAAGTGATAGGCGAGTCCCCCTGTACCGCAACCCCAAAATAATCTTGTGAGGTGGCTCTCCGAATTGGAGAGCGAATGCTTACCTCTCGTCCGAGTTGGCGCAAAGTCTTATTGTAATTAGCAATGGAATCATCCGGCTGGGATGATAGTTGGCCACGATTGACATCTAGCAAACCCTGGAGAGGTTCACTCACGCGTGTTATATCAAGCTTGAATTTAGCATCATCACCAGAAATTTGTTTCTTTCTGAATCCACGAGAGTAATTTTTCCCATCATCTTCACTATTGATAGAATCAGTGTTATTCAGCTGCGGCATAGAGCTTGCTCAAATGCTTAGCTGCAGTCCTGATCTGGATGCCTTTCAATCGGACTTCATTTGTTTATGTATCAAGTTTGCACGAACATAATTATCGACGACATCATCGACAAAATGACGACAATTACAAAAATAGCTGCGGGGCTACTTCATGGAAGCCAATTCACTACTGAGATCTCGCTATGATTAATTGAGCAAAGCCGTGTAGGCGTATGATTAGAGGGCAAGACCTAGAGGATCTTGTAGGACTCCTCTTTTCATCAGTACACCTCTTTTATGGTTACTCGTAAAAGTTTCAATACCTACTATACATGCTTAAAAACAACTAACACCGTAAATTTCATTTAAGTTTAAGATCATAACGTGGCCAGGACTTCAATGTGTGGGCGCATACACACACTTGCTCAGCCAAAAAGCGAGCATACGGGAGCCCTGATGTGAGCCACCAACAGGTGGCTCGCTTGTAGTAAATTCTGCCAAAAACGACGGAACTTTTGTACGCCTTGAAATCAGTTCGTGAAGTAGCGTCCTCTCTCCAGTTCTTCAATAACAGTCTCTATGATATCATCATCATCATCTTCCTCCATCATCTCGACTGCGCTATATTTTATCATATCCCAACGTCTCCAAAACTTAACACAATCGTCGAAACTATTGGAATCGTGCACACTTTCGAGATCATTCTTAGCTCTGCACAAACGATCTTTCAAAGACTGCAAACGTACTGAGTCCGGGAGATTCGAAATTTTCCGATAATCACAATCAGTCTCATATTCCGTGGGATTGGTAGCCTCAGATTTGTAACCACTCGTATCATCACTGTCCACATCAGAAAAAGAAGAAGCACTTGCTATTTTACTCTTGTTGTTAATGGAAGTGAGAGACAGGGTTCTAACGATACGAGGCGAATTCGAGTCTAAAATACGCGAATTGCACGTGTCGGTTGTGATGGGGGAGAGCGGTTCTGGATATGTGACTTTGGGCTGGCACATACTGTCGTAAACCTTGACTTCTGCAGTGGACGTTTCATTGCAGTAGCGAGCCCATACTTCATCAATGGACTGCAAAAGGTAGTCGAAACATCTCTCTTGAGCTATCGAGTCCGAGTGGGGTACAACCTGCTTACGGGTGATGGAAGAAAAAGAGGCGTGCCTCGATAGAGACTTGCGTCTTTCAAGAGAATAGCCGCTTTCAATGGCTTGTGGCGAGACCGCCACGGAATCCTCGGAGCTCCCAAAAACACCTTGTTGAGCCGGTGCTTGGTTCTCAGCTTTTGTGTTGCGAGCATCAGGTTGTTGTTGCTCAGTATCGGTGTCTGCGTATCTGGACACAGCTTCAAAAAGCAGGGAATCCACAGCAGGTGAGGATTTGAAGTGAACAGCTGGTTTCTTGGACAGACTAGCACCAGAGTTAGGCGCAGCAGTGAGGGCAACGTCGACTTCGTCACTGGAAGATGAAGTATGCTCACAACGCTTACGCTGAGAGGATGGAAGATTCTTGGTCAGCAAAAACGAGCTGCGAGGCACCGATGACCGATTCCCAGATGCCAGTGGGGGAGACGAAGACGCTGTGGCAACACTGAGAGCTCTACGTTTCAATGGCGTTTGCTCGGTGTTAGTGCCGACGGCGGGACGCGCACGTTTGCTATGGAACTCCATGGGAAGAGAACTTTTATTTGTCGGATACATGTACTCTTGAACTGCACAGTGAAGGCGTCAAAAGAAGGAGCGCGAGACTCTCGTAATGGTCGGAGATCCGGAGCAGAGCTCGAGGCGAGGTGCGCTTACGTAGCGAGGTTGGCTCTGTTCACACGTAGTGGTTCAGATCCAACGAACGCCAGTTTCCTACCTGTTGAGCAGGAAAGTAGGTCAGCAGAAAGGACAGTGACCTTTACAGAATCGCACACTGGGAGCTTTCGTCTGTCCAAACAATGGGTTGGGCGAAAAGCGATGAGGAAGTCCGGAGTTAGTGCGGATCTAACGTGGAAAACGTAGACGACACAAAAAGCGAAAAAAAAAAAATAGACGCGAAATCTAATCCTCTCGTATGAAAAGATATCAACGCCAAAGACTCCGTCGAGAGTGATAAAAGTGACAAGTGCGAGAGGGTAACGGGTAACGTGGTCACTGGTTTTTTTTCTTTCAAAAACGAAAGAAAAAAGTGGTGGGCAGGATGGCAAATAGATACCTCCAACAAATATGTTTTTTCCAAACCAAAGTCGGGCCCCGAATACCGCAAGATGATTGGCTACAGATCACGTTTTAACCCGGGTAACCGAAGGGGCACAAGTTTTTTGGGACGACGACCCAAGACCACCGGGTTAAACGAGGCCCCAAAAATCAGCAAATACACACAGAAAGAACAGACTAGCAAGCGGGTCTACGCACTGCAGGCTACGAAAATGGGATAGATGGAAAGAGCGAGACCGGCGGATGAGAACGAGCCCGGTTGAGGTGCCCTGCACACCGGGAAAACGCTGAGGTTACCTCACAATCCTTACATTTTTTGGGCCAACACCGCCACCGGCACCGCCGGCGCCACCAAGCGAAGCACAAAAAAGGAGAACACAAGTCACACGGAACGACAGAAAGTTTCGTGTCACGTGGCAATTTCGGACGGATGTCAAACGCTCCAACGTGACTTGGCATATTGGGGCCCAACCGGTCACGAGACACGCTCCATCGCTGCTCATTGTTGCCTTTGTGCGACCCAGACACGACGCGCAAACGAGCCGGAGGCTTCTCAACTCGCAAAAACTGCAAGATTGAGCGATATAACGATAGAGGAGCTCTGTAATGGCCACCGGAAGTTTCATGATCGTAGCTCCCCAATCGGTCGGCTCTTGACCCATCCTTCCAGCACTTTTGGCGGTGCCGAAGAAAAACAGCTTTGGTCGGTATTGAAATTACCGGGCCGGGCGCCGGATACGTGTTGCCACCTACTTGCTGGTGCATTCATCGGTGAACTTGTCCACCAAGCGCATTATTAGGATCCGGCCGCCTCCAAAACGGCTGTCCCAGTACTCGGCGAGCGGCTGGATTTGTAAGAAGTTGGTAAACGCATCTGGGCCAAAGAGTGTTTCCCTTTCAGCTCTCTATACCAACCAGCGTTCTCCGTCATCTATCGACCTGCTCTTCATTGCTGGACCTTTTTTCGTAAAGGTGGTGGGTAAGAGTGCAAGACGAGGAATTTTCTTTCGATCGGATGGCCTTGGGCCAAAGCTATAGTAAGCGGACCCATGGTGGTAAAAACATCACTCCGTACGCGTCGCGCCATTTTGTTCGAGAATCATTCCACACGTATGAAGCCATCACTGGAATTTCGCTAAAATCCGACGACGTTCCATTTTAATACTGGAATTACACGGAAGAGCCATCGGAAACCATTCCGCAAGGATGAGAGCCAGTTGTCGCGCGCGAACATTACAATGGCCAGCTCTATGACGGAGGTCGAGGTCCCCCTCCAGCTCCAAGCGGAAGTGGAATTGGGGCCAGACCACACTTTAGCTCGTCCTGAGAGATTTTCGGCATATCAATTTGGAGCTGATGGTAGACCACTACGGAAAGTCCTAAATTAACCGGGATAAGGGCTGCGGATTGAAGTGTTGCGGTTTCCATGACTCTGTTTTGGTGGTTCTTGTAAACTTTTCGGTGCTCGTTGTCTGTGACTCGTCGTAGCTTGCCTTTGCTGGGTACTCCAGTGATCTCAAGCCGGCCAGTCTAGCGACGTTCAACAGATGGCTGGCCATCGAACTTGTGGTTTCACTTCTTGAGCTCCAAAGACTATTATTATCTGAATGGCCCAATAGGTTCTTGTAAACGGCCCGTAACTGATGCCAAGATTGGTTCAAAGATTAAGCGTTCGGCCTTGCCTTTTTTTAGGTGTTGTAGTGGTTCATGAGGCCCAGGAGGTACCTAAGTATCAGTGAATGGGCCGAAATACCGTGAGTACCCAAAGTTCACAGAGTTCAGTAAAGTCACAAATCGGCCGGAAGTTGTTCTCTAAGGGTAGTCATCTGAGGGCTATTTAGACCCTGTCGTACATAAATATACACCAGAAATGTAATGGGTAGTCGAGTAACGTTATTCATGGCAAGCAGTCAGTATACTAAAATAACCAGGCGCAAGCTCGAGTATTGCTAAAATCAGGATAATTGGTGTAAGCGCTGACTTCAGGAAATGGAGGTGCAATGGGCCAAACTACAGACGAAAAACTCGCCAAATTGGGACAGATATTTCCTGAGTATGATGAGGCGGGCCTCTTAGATGTGCTTGTAAGTTGTGACGGATCAGTTAAGCGCTCAGCCAGATTTCTCGGGCGTGATGACAACGAAGCCAATGTGGTGGGCGGCTACACTGGGGCCAAGCGCTTGAAATCTCAGCAAACGTTATCTCGATTCTTGAAGGGCACGCCAAGCGAAATCAAATCGGGCGTTGACCGGCGTCAAGGGAAGGTAATTGATCTTCACACAAAGGATGAAATAGAAAAAACTTTACGATACTGCTCCTATCATACTGATGTTCTGCCCAATGAGCTCGCCGATGGCTTACTCCGATCCACCATGAATGACCCAGGTTACAAGGCATCTCAGTTTTATCTGTTTGGCAACAAATGCGTTTCCAACCACAAGTCCCGTCTTTTCTTACCGGAAAGCAGGAAAGAGCCTTTTTTTTACAACGGTCACGAAGTTAAAGACTACGGTTGGTACGGCGATGAGATGATGCTCGCCCAAGTTATAATAGAAGACTTGGTGAACGTGGAATTGACTAAAAGAAAGCGTCTTCCGTTCCAAGTCAAACCTGGCGAGTGGGTCGCACAGGCGGCTTTATCAAATTCCTATAACGAAGGCAGTAATCTTGATTGGCACTCAGATCGGATGACTAACATCGGGCCGCACCCTGTGATCGCCTCTCTGTCCCTCGGCTTCTCACGCGAGTTTAGAATTCGCAAAGGTTATCCTTCAAATTCCCAAATATACTCTATAAGACCCAAGCACAACTCATTGATCATAATGCATGCTGGTTTTCAGGAAGAGTACAAACACTGTGTACCTTTGATACCAAAAAGGTCCAAAATACCAACCGACGATCTAAACCCGATATCACATACAAAAAGAATCAACATCACATATCGAAATTATTTGCTCAAGAACACTATATTCTGCAAGGATTGTGGATCCGCCATGGATCTACGCCGGATGTTCAAGGACCCTCAAAAAAGGGGAAGATACTTTTACCTATGCAGTAGGAGCTACACGGAAGCCAACGGTTTTAAAGATGGTAATGAATGCAAAGGATTTTCATACGCCAACTTCCAGAATGATCCCCCTTTAACAGATAACGAAGACCACTGCTCGTCGTGGATAGCTGAAGATGACCATGAAGCTATATATTTCAGAGATCAAGCTGACAGAAGTCAGATGCCTTTCAAATCATCCACGTGATAAGTGCTACAGTTTTACAATCATTTAATGAGTAACTTAATGTCCAGTTCAGGTGTGGGGATATAATAGAGGTCAAGAGTGGTAGGATGGTAATGGAACACAGTGCCCTGTCACACTTCTTCAAAACAGGAAAGGTGTTCCATACAGTAGATGCGTCGGCGCCGGGCAAAATAGATCCGAATGTGGAAAGTATGCTTATATCTGGGCTAGAGACTTTAGCAGGCTTATTCGACGACGTATACCTGCTGAAAAGCTTCGGCATCATTAGTGAAGTTAATTACGTTTACAAAAAGGTTAACAAAGGAGGACTTTGCTCTAAAATATGGTTGGTATCCTTAATATTGTCCTCAAGGCGATGCATCAGCGACTTGTTCCAGTTAGCTGTCTCAAGATCTAGGCTGAAGAGGGAAGAAAAGCATTTCAATAATTGCATCACAAATTCTTTCCGCAAAGCACTGCACGAGAAAATTGCGCTTAAAGTTCAAGAGATCGATAGAAGGCTACGATTGACAATTTTAGACTTATTACAGAATTTAGCGTATCTTGTCGTGGTGGCTATTGATGTTTTTTCCATTAGTATAAGTCAGAGGTGGAGACACATTTTGGACAGGTTATCGGGATTTTTCAGCGTCTTGAAATTACTCTTAATGGGCAATGTTATTCCAGGCACATGAGGTGGACAAGAAAGCGACTTTTTCTTTTCCCTCGCGGCATCCTTTGGCAAGGTTGAGATCGGATTTTGAAGTGAAGCGAGAGCGGTGCGCTTAGAAGGTTGGCAAGGTCTAGTGTTACAAACGACAGAATGCCAAGATAAAATGAGGTGGCCCCCTTCACAGTAACACTTTTCTGTTTTCAAGAACACAGTGCTGAACAATTAGCCCTTTGACTACAATTTTATTTCAGGCAGCTCTTAATGAAATTTTTAACATAAAAGTGGTTCACGAAGCCAAAGCTTACTTGGTAGGAAGAGTTCTTGTTTCAATACTTTCTAGAATGGTCCTCGGTCCGATGCAGTCTATTCTCTCTTGGGATCTACGTGAAACTTGCACCATTACAACGTGAAACTTGCACCATTACAACGTGAGACCGAGCTGGCTCTAAATGTAAATACAATTTTAATGGAAACATGAGTGAAGAATGATGACCGTGTTCTTCAATGACTATATACTTCAGAGCTAGCATCTAAAGGATATATTCGACCAGTGTTATGGCCTCCCAGTAGAATCAGCCGAGTAAAAATTACCCGGACTTTTTTAATGGTGGTCGGGAAAATTTTGAATGAATGTAGTTAACTGCGTAAAGTTACAGTGGACTGAAACTGACATCAAAGCAAAGGTATCGAAGGCCAATCTCTAAGTCCAGTAATGTCCGAGCAATTGAACACAATTCCAGTAAGCAGATCACTTTTGAATGACAAGTGGGACGTTGTCCTATCGAATCTAGTGGTCAAGAGCGGTTTGGGCCTAGGAGCCGGAGTGGTGGCTTCCGTATTATTTTTTAGACGCCGCGCTTTTCCAGTTTGGATTGGCGTGGGATTCGGTCTCGGAAGAGGTTATGCCGAGGGTGATGCGATTTTCCGTTCTTCTGCCGGTTTGAGAACTGTGAAAGCCTAAGAACGCCCTTCGAACGAGCACAATCGAAGTTGCCACGATTCGGTGGCTCAACGCCACCAAAAAACTTTATTCATACATTCTTTACGTACTCTGCAAAAATGTAACATAACTCATTACATATAATTTCAATCATGTAATGCCAGGCGACTTGCCGTCGTGCTGATCGGCACAAGGGCAAGAAAATAAAGAAATGTCCCGGGCTACTAAAGTGCCTTACCTCAGAAAAATTAAACCCTGGTACCGCCTTCGTGTCCCTTCATCTCATGAAAGTCTCGCGATGGAGACAATTTGCCTGTCGTGGCCCATTACCACCGTTCAGTCCAACCTCGGAGTTTTGCCGAGCAACTCCAGAATACTAGTTTCCAAAAGAACCGGTTACAGTGATACTCCTGAGATCAGTTCCAGTTGTTGTACCATATCGCTTTCTGTATCTTTTTTCTGTTGAGCAAGACTTTCTTGCGTATGCTTATCCTTCTGCTGGTCTTCAAGAAGTCTATTGAGCTTCAAAGATTTCGATCCAATACTTTTTGAATTCAAACCATCTCTTTGATTGAGATCGGATATTAGGAAGGCCTTCTTGTTTGCTTGTTCGACTTGCAACTTTGTCTTGATCTTTTGTTGTTTCGTAATTCTACTTTTGGCCATTTTTTTGGTGGACGACTTCCCACTTTTCTTCACCGAGCCTTTACTTGCCATACCGTACGTGTTTAGTCACCGAATATATCAAAGAAGATCCGTTGTGGTTGGTTTCAACTGTTCGATGGGATGCGATGAGCTTCATAAATTCATGACAGTCAAGTTAAAAAATGTCCATCCGAAATTACTTAAGGACAAATGAGGCAAAATTACCATGAATTTCTAAATAAATTTAAAATAAAATATAAAGTAAAATAAATTAATAGTAAGCATGTGACATAATGTGACATGAAAATTTTCTAACAATCTCAAGCTCATCGCATAGTTAAACTCTAAGTGGTCGCTCTTAACACAATTCACCACTTTAGAAGCTGGCGTTATAACCATAAGATCAATAAGGGCTATTGAGAAATTCATTTGGAGCCACTGCTAAAGCTTAGCTAGGGATATTATTTGAGATGCCGTCCACACATAATAAAGACAAGCCATGGGATACGCCCGACATCGATAAGTGGAAGATAGAAGAATTCACACCTGAAGATAATGTCTCCGGCCTTCCCTTTTCAGAGGAGTCGAGCTTCATGACTCTATTCCCCAAATACAGGGAAGTGTATCTCAAATCGATATGGAAGGATGTTTCCAGGGCTTTAGAGAAATTCAATATAGCATGTGTTTTGGACCTCGTTGAAGGTTCCATGACCGTTAAGACCACTAGGAAAACATATGATCCTGCAGTTATATTAAAAGCCAGGGATCTCATAAAGCTTCTTGCACGTTCTGTACCCTTCCCACAGGCCGTCAAGATTCTACAAGATGACATGGCTTGCGATGTCATCAAAATTGGCAATTTTGTAAGCAATAAAGAAAGATTTGTCAAGAGAAGACAGCGCCTCGTTGGTCCAAATGGTAATACACTAAAAGCATTGGAGCTTCTGACCAAGTGTTATGTCTTGGTACAAGGTAACACTGTCAGTACGATGGGTCCCTACAAGGGCCTCAAAGAGGTGCGCCGCGTGGTAGAAGACTGCATGAAGAATATTCACCCTATCTACCACATCAAAGAACTGATGATCAAAAGAGAGCTGTCTAAGCGGCCTGATTTGGCGGAGGAAGACTGGTCTCGGTTTTTGCCAATGTTCAAAAAGAGGAATGTGGCCCGTAAGAAGCCTAAGTCTATCAAGTCCAAGGAGAACAAAGTTTACACACCATTTCCACCAGCACAACTTCCTAGAAAGGTTGATCTGCAGATTGAAAGTGGTGAGTATTTCCTAAGTAAGAAGGAAAAAGAAGCCAAGAAACTCGATGAGCGCAAGAAAGAGCAGGCAGAGAAGCAGATTCGGAAAGACGAAATCAGGGCTAAGGATTACGTGGCACCGGTGGAAAAGGAGTATCGCGGCTCCTCGAAAAGAAGTAGAGACGCTACAGAACCGGGGAAGCGTACCAAGAAGCCCAAGGCGTGAAATATAAAGGGCCACGAGAAACGGTATAGACCCAAATAATACTTATCCACTATCATAGCATATAATAAGGAACTTTTAGCACCAGCATTTTCGATTTTTCGTAGTTGAAGGTTACAAAGGCTTCAAGCATTACACATCATAACACTTCTGGTTATATGTTCTCACACATTAACACTTTTAGAAAGCAAGCATTGTGTTGGATTGTGCCGCCATATTTTACCGATGGTCGAGTTTTCGGCTACTTTTGCAGCTCCATGCTAGAACAAAACTCTCTATACTTTCCTAAATAATTTCTGAAGACCCTAAGTATTCAAATCTTTGAATATCTCGCTCAACCTAACCAACGTCTGTAAATCTCATCCTCGTGAGCACAGCACTCTTCCAAAGATGTAAGGACCATCTTTTAATCTTATCATCAGGCTAAAGTCACTGGACACGAATTGGGTGGTGGTTGGCGTGTGAAGTTTACGCGTCTCAGGTTCTTCAGATCTTCTTCTACCAATGACTTGAACATTTCGGATGCTAAGGCCAGGACTATGGATCTTATTGATCAGTTGGGGACTAACAAGCCCCACAGAAGTGGTTTGGCAAAAAGATTAGCTCGCTTAGAGGAGCATGAAAACTTCGACGTATCAGGGACCGGGTTTTTATTTGGCAACAATTCTCTTCTTAATCGCGTCAGAAATAGACTTGACGGCAATGAAAGCAGTGGGGAACAGGGTCTAAATGCCCAGTTCAATGACGTCCGCGAGTCGAATTTACCTCCAACTCAAATTTTCACACCCACTTATGATGGGGAGGATTTAGAGCAGGATTTCTCTCAAAAGAAGACATCTATCGAACTTGCAAGGTCAGAAAAGGCGGCAGAGGCTCGTGCAGTTGAAACGGTCAGAGAAAATGGGTTCAACCCCGAGCCGCTATCCGTAAGGCAATCCGACATTCCTCCGAAACCCACCACGCAATGGCTTCACAACGAAACCCAGCCAGTCGAAAGAGATCAAAGGGAGAGGTCGCGGGAAACCGGAGATGAACTTGATACTCAAGTTCTTCAGACAGAAATCGATGCGGGTGTCAATGGCTTTGAGCTAGATCCTACTGTAGCCGACCCCGAACCAACTGCTGGCACCAATCTGGAGCAAACCATAACTGATCATACCCGAGTTGATAAAGGCGACTTTGATACACACTCGCAGGGCACAGATATCTCGAGCAGAAATTCCATAGACTTAAGTGGAGAGGTCGAACCACACAACGAGCATCCTAATGAGCACGTCGTTTTTGAGAGGAGTGCTAATAACCCAAGTAAGTCGTCTGCCACTCGAGACTTCGTGAATGCTTTTGACGAGGACTCTGATAACTCTTCCAGTGATCAGGAAGAATCCACACCCCACAATGTTTCAACGGCTCTCTCCTCTCTCGGAACCGCCGATGCTGTGGTCAACGAAGGATCGGAGCAACGCAAAGACCACCTTAAACTGATAGAAACCTCACATCAGAAAGATATGATCCATGAAGAACCTAAAGCCTTAAAGTTATATCATGGTATGCTAAGGCAAAAAATTGATGTTACCAAGAATGTTGACTTATCAAGTGACTCAGAAGGAGAAGGTGAACATGGTTCAAGATCGCTCTCATCTAGGGCTGCAGTCCTTGAGTTGAAAGCCCGCCTTTCAAAAAAGAAACGACTCTCTACCTTAAAGCGCACTGACTCGTCCACAAATTCTGAATCCTTGAAATGTCTTTTTCACTCTTTGCGCAAAGCAAATAAGGAACAGATTCTAGAGCACCAAAAGGACCAATTTCAACTGAAAGGTTTGGATCTCACAGCAATTGCAGAAGAAAAGGAATCAGTTGAATCACTACTAGAAAGGGAATTGGCGAGGAATAGAAAAATTAGGCTGCGAGAACTTCGCAAAGAGAAAGAAGCCGATTTTCAGGAAACAGATGACAACCTATCAGGTGAACTGAGCCTAAGTGGTAACGAACTCGACTTAGGATACTCAGAAGGAGAACAATCTAATAAAAATGATTCAGATGTAGAGAGTACGAATGCAAGTGGGGAGGTTCCTGAAGCAGGTAGGTATCCTGATACCGATACAGATGTTCAAAACGCTGCCAAGGATACCGAAAAACAGACGAACGAACGAGATGCAGAGGAAAAAGAAGAAGAAGACGAAGACGAAGACGAAGAACAAGAACAAGAACAAGAACAAGAAGAAGAAGAAGAAGAAGAAGAAGAAGAAGTCAGGATGCTGAGGCCTAACAAAAGAGGTCACATTGTTCACAGCTTGTCTGAAGACGAAGATCAAGGTGTGGATCAGCTGGCAACAAGAAGAATAGACCTTGGATCTTACGGCAATAATTTATTAAGTACAGATACGCCTTCAAGAGACGAGTTATCACTACGAATAGGTGTTGGAGAAAAGACAGACGATGCCAATGCTTTCAAAAGCGTGGATCAGAACCATTTTGGTACCGAAGCTGTGACAGAAGACGCTTTCAGGGCCATAATGAAAAAGCTCATAAAGAAGAGACAAGAGCAAGAACAAAAGAGGGAACGCCAGATAAGAGAAATGCGGAAAAGCAAGGTCAATCATATGCTGGAGATAGAAGCCGAAGAATCTGACGATGAATGGCATGGGATTGGGGGCATTGATGGCGAAGGATCAGACGGTTATGATTCTGAGCTCGAAAATATGATAGATGACTATTCCAACTCTAATTTCAACCCCGATGAAATACGTAAGAAACTCATTGAAGAGGACATAACGAAGGATAAAGACCTGGTGAACAAAATCCTACACGACATTGAAAATGGAGGATTTCGCAAGAGAGGCAGGGGTGCACTTGACATTGAATTCAGCGACGATGAAGATGAAGAATTATTAAAGTACCACGCTAGAAGGAAGCAGCTTTTGAAAAAGAAGATATCCGGGAGTGCTGAACTCAACTCGATCAGCACTAATCCGAAATCGAAAGCTTTTTTTGATAGCTTGCAAGAAGACTTCGAAGGAAGAGATAGATTGTTCGACGATGAAACGCTTAAGGCTGAGCAGAACACAACAAGCTTCCGTAAAGCGGAGGAAGAAGTGCCTCTAAAGGAATCCAAACAGAAAATGATTCTCTCAGAGGATTTTGTACAACGAACCCTTTCTTTCCTCACATCACAAGAAAATGGAACAGAATCCGCCCCGGAGCTGGACAAGCTCGATGTGGAGAAAAACTACAGTACCCAAGAGCACGACCTCTTTTCTTTAAAACAGAGCAGTAGTATCAAAGGTTTCACTACATTTACAAGAGAGATCGACCATAATGTGAATGATGACGAGAATGTTTTTCCTGGCCGTAATGGGGCATCGTTAGTGAGCAGATTTGGTCACCATCAAGAGGCTAATGAGAAGTTCAAGGAGGGTCAAAAGACAGTTCAAATGAAAAAAACCTATAAGATGGCCGGCTGCACCAGGGCCTCAGTAACTTACCTAGGTAGGGCAAGGCAACTAAAAGCGCGCAAGACGGCACGTCCACGACTGGGTGCGAAACCTAAGACTGTGACCAGAAAATCTACACTTCTGGCGAACAGTTCAAGTAGCTTCGATAATTAATCCGTTTGCGGCCTTGCCGATTGTAGGCTAAATAATATCACTATTTAATGCATCTCGCAGCGCATCGTGCGACACCTTGAAGTGAAGTTCCGTTTGTCGGGGAGCTGTGACAAATTTAGAGCCACTGGGCCCGTGAATTATAATGCTGCCATAAGGCTGTGGCGGCTGTCTATATTCGAAAGGTCTTCGTGATTGTTTGAGCATTTTGGCTGCTGGTAATGGATCATGTCGCTCAGTTCCTGTCTCCGAGGTGACCTGCACCTGGTTATTGAGATTCCTGATTGTCCCGAGAAGTTGACCGTCGTTAAACCATGACTTCGTCTTCACTTTGGATTTCGTAGTGTTCTTGTTTTGGGACTTCGTGGTGGCAACTTTGAACAGCAGTTCCCTAGAGGTTCTCCCTGAGTACACAGAGATCCCGCTGTTGATCTCTGGTTTATAATCGACAGAAGTTATTCGGCACTGAGCCACCGTAGGAGTTTTCGGGAGTAACCTAGGCAAATTGAACGTACCATTTACTGGCAAATCAGTTTGGGCGGCTTTGCCAAAATTGTTAGCTTCTTTGACCACAGCTTTCCTAAGTACACTTGATCCTGCAACAGTGTTGTTTTTTAAAAATGGCGTGTTCACCGGGCTGGGGGATATGACCGTCTCCTCGTCAGATGAATATTCATCATCTTCGACAAATGAAATAGACAGTCTCTGTCGATCTTTGAAAAAACTGAGCCTATTCTCATGGGGATCATTTGCCCTATTCAAGCCAGCATCACAAGACTTGGCCCCTCGCACATACCTTGGCTGAGCCGTTGGGATTGGTGATCTTGGTGGGCTCGAGTGCCATGAATTCGAGTAAGTTAATGAATTACCCATCGAGCTTGAAGTTCGCAGTGGCGGATACGAAGGCTGTGCATCTAAAGGAACCTTGGCCGGCGACTCTGGTTTTCTGCCCCCGTGCCTTCGTTCTATTATCTTCAGGGGTCTCGGCTGGAACGAGAATGCAGAACTAGGCGATGCATTTAAATCTAAGGTGGTAGCCGTTTGTTCCTGGAATGCGTCTGATATGTTATCGAGCTCTTGGAGAAGCTCTGCTGCCGCTATCGATTTTTGCGAAACAGTTGCGTCTGCTTGTATGCTCTGGGCCCAGAAATACAAATCATTTAGTTGACTCAAATGAACATAGTATGCCTGCAGACTAGAATTCAGGTCTTCCAAAGTGTTAACCTTTCCGGCTGAGTGTAAATTTCGCTGCTTCTCTATACGCTCATCGAGCTGTTGGAGGGTTTCTTGCGACCGCCTTAACAGGAGCTGACTTATCAGGTCAAATTCGTCCATTCTGTAATTCTCCAACTCGCCCTTGCTGGTTCTAGAGAGCGACATTCTCAGTTAAACGGTAAAGTTCAGATCTTCGATCTAATGCAATTAGTTTTCGTCCTGTTTTTTTTCTTTATTGTTGATTTTAGAACGAAACTCAATTGGCATCATTCTTCTATAAGTCCCTGCGTGCGTATCTGCGAGGACGGCAAGAAAGGTAAACAAACATTTGAGAAATCAAAACAAACACTTTTCACCTGACATTCGCTCCTCCTACCTAAAAACAAAACACTGGTAAAGAAACTAAAATGAATCGAAAAATATACTCCGAAGTCCCGTGACATAAAGGTGAAGATAAAGTTCCGCCTGGCACATTAAGATATTTCGAGGCGGAGGTGCAAGTCCGCAAATTGGGTGCACATTCGATGATCAAGCCCTTTTGAAGCTTTTTGGTGTAGAGCATTTGCATCTTAAGTGCACTGAGGTGGAGAAAGGAGTCCGCTCTTTCTTCATAAAAGGAATTTGTAGCTTTCTATTTAAACCCCTGCATCGATTATTGTGTTAATCGTTGTCTGTGAAAGACATTGTCCTACAATGAACTCTGCTTTTGTCAAAACACTATGACTCGAACATGTTTCTGTTCCAAAAGCATGTTGAGCAAGATATCAGGCCCTCGGTTCTTCCCAAAACATGAATTGGTAACCACCCAGTAATACTAGCTGGTACTCCCCAGGGGAAGTTATCAGACGACGATGTAGTGATAACTTTTGGTTGGTGGCCATTTGACATTTTTTGGTGATCTTATGCGATGGGCCAATGATTCAAAATAGTAAAAACTGTTTCAGCCTCTGAGGCAAATAATGCATTTTTCACCATAGCTTACGAAAGAGCCACTACAGAACAAGTGCGATAAGCTTTCTATTAATGTTTGTGCGACCCTTTTTTTGGACATTTTAATGAGAGCAAGTTGCATTAAAAAGGATGCAATGATCTTAACTACATGGTAGAAACCACCGGGCTGCAATTAACGTTCTCTTTGATGATCGCAGGTTAAAAGGCAGTCTACACTCCTGCCTTCGTAGCTGCCGAATAAATAGGGTTGTTCCAGTTTACATAAAGGTCGTATATATAGAGAGAAAACAAAGGAGGCACGCTTCGTCAAAGTTTAAAGTGGATCCGATTCGAGAAGCTGGCAACCTTTTTAGAACAGCTCTATATATGAAAAGACACCAGGGTATAAAAAAAGTGCACCATTACACTTTAGGCTTGCCCTCTAGAAACTGTTTATCGTCATTTTGACACAGACGATATTACATCATTTATCTCACTCACAACATTTTTTCATGATAGGCTTAAAAATCAATTAAACTTTAGGTCTATGAAAATTGAATATTCATACACACTTGCCGCCCAACCCTCTCACAGCTTGCTATATTTTTAATGCATGCGAACTCTAAAGGCGTTCGGAATTTTTTTACCGGCGTTCTGAATTTACTGTAAGCTGTCTTGGCTCTGGCAAACACAAGATATTACAGAAAATCAAATATAAATAAATCAAAGAGACTTCGCAGAGAAGCAAGGAATTGAGGGCAAAGGTTTGTATAGGTTTCTTCTTCCTGACCCTACCTGTAGCCTCCTTGAGAGAGAATCTGCCACAGAACGCCTTGTACGTTTTCTTGCTCTCCATGGCTGTACTGTGTGCCCCATTGGTCAGCGTTTCGTAACTGTAGGTTGATGGTAAAAAGAGTCAGCTACCCTCAACCGCCGGTACAATTTCTTGCAGCGTGAACGAATGAAATGAGGAACTGTTCAGACTAAGGATCATTTGTACGGTAAACTCAGGATCTGTCGTCGCGCATTGGGCAGCCCCACCAACATGGGTCAAAAATCATGACGGTGGTTGAGAGTGGACATGGTGAACCGCGCTACGCTAGTAATTAAACAAGAGAAGAAACTATGAGACATGATATGTTGGCACGATAGTAATCAGTTTTGGCTACACATCACTAATACAATATTATCATTCCAAGATATTTTCTAGCGATGAGTCAATAGGATTTCTTTTGAGTTTTCTTCGACGATTTGAGAGCCAGTTCTCGACTTGCTTAATCGTCAAACCTGTTTTTTCAGAGAGGGTTCTGGCCTGGGTCTTTGTAGGATAGGGATATGTAGAGTGACAGTGGAACCACTCCTCCAAAGTAAATATGACGCACTTCATGAAACGCTTAGGTTTTCCAATATCCTCAAAAAAATCCCCAGAATTTTCTACTAACAACTTCTTAGCTATCCCATCGGCTGCAACCATTATATCTTTCAAGATCATCTTTTTGTCTCCATCCAAAGCTTGGTGATTCAACTTGAGAATGCTCTGCAAAAGTTAGTAGCTGGGTTGGAGCACAATGATATGTCAGAAATTCATACTACTAAGACAGTTTGTAATACGGCTTGCAAATCTTGCAAATTCGATGACTTGTTGAATGTCGCCAGGGAGCTGCAAATGATGCTTCTTTGGGAAAGCAGGCTAAACTTCGTTAGTTAAGCACTCTAGAAAAGAGACAATATACACTTACTCATCTACAGAATAGTAGTCTTGAGCAGAATTGAGAAGCTTATGCACCGGAATTTTGGTCATTATAGAAAAATGGTTTCTTAATAAAGATTACATTTGAAATGGGGACGTATTAGTGGGAAGTGTCATCAATTTATATAGGGAGGTTCAAAGTTTGATATTGTGCTGCGCCGTATCTTGCAATTGTCACAGTCGGTTTTTAAGTTCAAAACAACATGTTCCACTAATCATGCATGCATAAGTCAGTAGAAAAGAAATTAAGAACCTATTCCAGCATAGAGTGTAACAATTTAGTTGCCGATTTGAGGTATGTAGTTGATGGTCACTTTTTTAGGTAGGCAATCATATAAAATAGAGGGAGCTGCTGTTTGTTGAAAGCAGTAGTACAAATCAAATTCAAGAGAGGACGAGTATAAAATGAAATCAACGAAAGCTAGTTTCAAAGTCGCATTAACAAGTGGCAGAAGTAAAGTTCACAAGTCTTCGAAGAAGATGAGAAACAAAGTTGGGAATAAAATGGACGTTGGCGTAAATTTATACATGACATACGCTGGGCCAAAATCAATACCCGGGACTCCACATATTATATCAAATTTGGTAGAGATTACAGACCAACGAGCTCCAACCAAACATAATTGCCATAAATCAAGGAGCTGTTCAGAGCATAATCCGAGCAAACATTCAAATTTAAAGAATAAGCGAAGCAAAGTAACTAAAAAGAAGTTGAACCCATTTATTGGATTCCGCAGCTACTATGCCAATTGTGTAAAAGGAAAAATCAAGCAGCAGGAGCTATCTGTACTCCTTTCTAATTACTGGTCTACCAATTACCATATTCATAAGACATGGGAGTTTTTCACTCAACACTATAACAAGCACGACACTGGCATGTGCTTCACGGACTGGCTGAAAAAGAACTACGAGAGCGAAACCGAGCAGCAACTTGAAAACACACAGAAAGCTAGTGTTAACGGTGAGCCCTTCATTGAAGATATTTATTCTAACACAGATGAACTTTTGAAACGCTTCACTTCAAGGGAGCTTATCGATATGACGAACTTGCATATCGAGTACCAAGATTTACTAAATTGTAGTATATCTTTAGAGGATTCATCGTTAGACAATAGTACAAGTGCCTTAACTGCAGGTATAAGGCAAAATAGTGATGCCATATTTTTTTGAGACTTATATTCACCAACCTTCTAAATAATTCATAACCCAGTATTGAAAATGGATACGAAAGACATACTTCTCACTTTGGAATCAATAAAAAAAGCCTGTAGCGCTTTATGCCGCCAAGAGCAAAGAAGAACTCTGTTATCGAAGGACACTAGACTTTTTTTGGAATCGGTTTTTGAGAAAAAGAGATGCCCCAATTCAAGAGAACGTAAGGCAATTGCAGACAAATGCGGCTTAACTCCTGTTCAAGTCGGAGTTTGGTTTCGAAATAGGCGAGCGAGGTTCGTACCTCATTTCACCTAATTTCTTGCGCGATTGCTCAAGCGCACCTTCCAGTTGCACTATATGCGCTTGTAGATCTAACTCCGAGTCTGGTAAGGTAGTATTCTGGCGGTTCTTGCCTCCATGGCTTTCTACAGCTGCTTTCACAATTCTGCTATACTGTTCTAGACGTGGCTGCGATGGCGGGTTTCTCACTCTACACGCTGCTACCAATTGAGCTGTAGACGCTAATACCTGATTAGATGCTGCCGTAAAGGTTTCATAATTGGTGGATGATACCATTCTTTCTGTTGATTTTGCAACCTCCTCAGCTGCAGATACTAGACCACGAGTCCATCTGTTATGTTGAAGATACGGGTCAGGGTTTTGGGTAGTGGCAATTTCAGCCTGGCATGCTGTGGAAGCTTTTATCAGATTAATAATTGCCTTGACTGCATCATTCTGAGGTAAATTGACTAATTTTTGAATGGGCGAGAGTTTAGTTTGTAATGCAATATTAAGATCTATGACTTTGTCAATTACTTGTTCTGGAGCCCCCACAACATCCCTCAACGCATAAAGAAACTCTTGATCATCCAACGCTCCGCTCATTGCTTCACTCATTGCTTCGCTAAATGAGAAAATACTATAGCGGCAATACTTCTGTTTATTTTCGCCATGAGAACTCTTTCAACTGAGCTGACGACCTTGAGTCTTACTCTGGATTTTAAACCTCTTTGTAGTTTTCAGATTTCTCTCCACATTTATCGCTATAGCATCATCTACAGTTGAGCTAAACGACCGGTGCTCCATTTCTAGCTTATGTATCTATCAAGACCTTCTATTAAGTGGAGAGTGAAGCGACAAAAGAAATCCACGATCCAAGGCGGACAAGGCTAATATCATGCTTTTCCTTGATCTTCTCAGACTAAAATATAAGAGCAGTGCAGAAGATATAGATCAGAAGTAGCAGTGGCGGAGTAAAACTTGCTAAAGCTCCCGTAGGCTAGGGCTGCTTAAGTAACTTTAAGTTGCATAATAGGATACATCAACTTAGTGTCAGGAGAGTACAAAGTGATATTCACAGCATCAGCACATCAATAAGCGCAGAGCGAAGGATCACTCAATGGGATCCGGGAGAGCAGTGGCCATTCTGGTCAATACAACCATCTACCATCCCAATATGTCAATTGGCGGTTAAGGGTTTAGGATTCTCAAGGCGTACCCTTTCCGCCAGAGTATCACGTAAATACCGGCTGTACTTTCCAGGTATGGATCAAATCTATACTGTTAATAATGACAGAGGAACAACTCGAAGTAATGTCAGGTCATTGAGACCCATTTTCTAACACTCAGAGCTGACCACGATGTAAAGCGAAAATGGAATAAACAGTTTGGTAAACCAACTACGTCTGACGTTGACTTGACACAATATATATAATCACACTAAATTTTGAGCGACTATCGCAATTCGCGACCGGTGAAAATTTATCAAAGCAAGACCGGCTCGGCAGAAGCTAACCTGATGAATTATCAGTTCAGTAGGTCCATGGAAATCGTTGAAGTATTGTCTAATTGTGAGGAGCAATCTGAGATATAAGGTGATTTTTTAGTTCTCTCATTGAGGTTCTCGGACTACAGAGTTGATTTATTAACGGATAATAAAGGCAATAGATATACATAATTCCTGCAAGAATCATCTGAAGAGTGTAGCTAGTGTCCAACTTGTGAACTTTTAAAGGGCCAAAATGGCTGGCCAGATCATCGCTATGAAATTACAATTTTTTGGCATAATAAATTTACTGGCGTCGGCTACTTCACTTCGTACCATCTGGTGCTATGGTCATGTTTACAAGTATCCAGCCCGAAGCTAGTCAAACGATCTAAATAGCGACCACCTGGTAGTTCAAACATGCTCTTTTACAGAGAAAAATAAGTAGCACTCGCAGTTCAAGCGTTTCTGGACTAAATTTACGACGAGGACTTATTCACTTTTTAACTACTAAATTCTGCCCACATTTCGATCAATACAAAGAATCCCCCCTCTTAATTAACAACTTGGCGAAATGTCTGTTTTTCCGTTTCCCTGTGTTAAGCGTTTAGTTGCCCTTTTAATTCTCTTCATCATCGAGCAAAATGGGAACCATGAAGGGATTACTCCAATTTCAAGCTCTTGAGTGTTCGAGCAGTCGCAGACCCAAAGCATAATATGAGGGGTTTGGCTTGAAAGTTGACTCGTCTTGGTGTAAAGTTATTTCATCAATTTTTAGAACCACCGAATTAACCAGTACAAAAATGCCCGGATCTGATAATCTGTACGTTACGAGTTTACCGAGTCCTTACAAGCCCAATAGATTAGCAGTTATTCTATTGGAAACCGTGTCATTATCTACAGCTATCGCGCGGTCTTTCAACTCCAGTTGTCGCTGTAATGTTGTGAAGAGTAGGCCCCAACCCATATCCCAACTTCTAAGTTACTCAAGCTCCTTTACGCAATATCAAAAGGGGATGTTCTCCCCGGTTTATGCCGACTACCATCTGCTGTTAACTCTGCCGCATCCCCAGCATAATTAGGACCTAGATATTATTTAGCGATAGCATCAAAAATAGTACAGTTGTATCTCTCATCTACTTCATGGAAAGGTTAGACTTGTCCGCTCCTGTCAGAAAAGTATTATTTAGTCAAGAAGCTTCGCCTAGGGAGCGGCCACTTGACACAGAGATTAAACTTTAAGTACGAAGCTATCCACTATTGATTGTGCCATCAATATGTTGAACCGATAAGACGTATATGATCTACATTACTCTCTCATATTTCCTTTGAAGTTGTTGCTATTTACAACTGTCAGCTTGGGGTCTCGTGATATATGTACTGTGGAAAAGCTGATAGATCGTCGACGGTGCTCAATAGATACTGATAAGATTAAACCAGTTATATTTCCTGGTTTTTTTTTAAAGAAATGACCAACTCTGCCTGAATCACACAATGAGTCTCACATAGTCATTCATGTCATAAATTGTTTTTGAGTTGCAAAAGCTTACTCTTCCCTGGCCATACACTTGGTGGGCTCAAAGTTGAACATCAATTGGTGGTTTTTTGGGGCCGGCGCACAAGTCAAGTAATGTCAGAAGAAATTACTTTGCCACAAGTGGTGGACGACCTAGATGATCAACCGAGCTTTAATAGAACAATCAAAGACATCGTGGCTGGAACATCAGGTGGAATCGCACAGGTCTTAGTGGGTCAACCCTTTGATATTACTAAGGTACGGTTACAAACCTCAGAGACGTCCACGACAGCTGTGAAAGTAATACGGAACTTGGTTCAGAATGAGGGACTTACGGCGTTTTATAAGGGCTCAACTACACCGTTGATTGGTGTTGGAGCATGTGTATCATGCCAGTTTGGGGTTAATGAGGCAATGAAAAGGTATTTTCACAGGAAGAACAAGCAAACACACTCCACTCTGAGACTGCCAGAATATTACGCATGTGGGTTTGTTAGTGGATGTGCAAACGGAATGCTCACTGCTCCTATCGAACACGTCAGAATCCGTCTTCAGCTTCAAACGAAATCGCTAAATAGTGCTGAGTACAGTGGTGCTCTAGACTGTATTAGGAAGCTGATGGCCTCAGGAAATCTAATGCGCGGGCTTACCCCAACACTCTTGAGAACATCCCACGGATTTGGTGTATACTTTTCAACCTACGAAGCACTTATTGGCATGGAAGCTAAGAAGGGTACTGTCAGAGCTGATATTTCACCCTGGAAACTGTGCACGTTTGGTGCCATGTCCGGTGCCTTGTTGTGGATGATGGTGTACCCTTTCGACGTAATCAAGTCTGTGATGCAGTCTGATAACCTTCGCGAGCCTGTTCACGGAAAAAATGTTGTAGAGGTGGCCAGATACATCTATCGTGTGCGCGGCCCCAAGGCTTTTTTCAAAGGATTTGGCCCGACTATGCTGAGATCCCTCCCTGTAAATGGCGCAACCTTCACAACATTTGAGATGGCCATGAGAATGATGGGCTGAATGACCCCAGAACTTTTCTGGAGGGCCTGGAATAAGTGCGCTATCAATTTCGGTCTTTTTCAATCTATATAATGTGAGTAGACTTGTATACGCAATTTTGATAGAATGAAGTAATGAAAAGTTTGCACTACCCCACTTGGAAGCCCCACGTCTCCAGTGCCATATTGTTTTTCCCACCAGTTTTTGCCATACCGACACCTCAGATTAGTTGTCTTTTTTCGCCATATCGTCCTGGGGTGGTTTCATATCTTTTATCTTCAAGCCATGGATTTGATGAATTAGGCAGCGCAAGCTTAAATGAAACTGTCACCAACCTGCCCTTACACTCCTGACAAGAGCTGATATTTGCGAGGGCATAAAAATGGCGCCAAGAGCTAATTACTGTCAAGTAAAAGGAGAGTTTGTAAAATATACATATCACTCTGCTCTCGGAAGACTTACATCTAGTAAAGTGGATAGAATATAGGTGATACGAAAGATCTAGCAGAAGTGATTAAGTTTATTTCAATGCTTGCCTGGTACTACTGGTCACCCATAGACTTCGGTCTGCAAAGAAAAAAAAAAATAGATGGCGGAGAATACCTTCTCTATATAATTTTTAGGGCAGTACGTATATAGGCAAATTAAGCAGTTACAAGATAACACAATACCAAAGCTTAAACTGATTGATCTATGGTATTAGCCAGCCATGCCAGCTTAACGAATTGGACAGAAAGGTTAATACAGTTCAAAGAAAAACGAGCTCACTTCTAAGCCAAGGATAGGCTAAAAAGAGCTTACTTGATTATAGAGATGAGTGACTCTAAAAAAAGAACATTGATTGGTGTCTAAAGTCATAGGGCAATCGGGCTACTTACATATACCTGCTGTAGCCCAAAGCGGCAACGTGTTATTGATATATATTGAGCTAATCAACTGTCAAAACACAAAAACTTTCATTCCAAATCAGCTTGATCACTACCGATTTGGAGTACTTTTTTGAACTTGATGCCGAGGATCGTCGCTAATAAAATAGAAAAAACCAATTCTAACCTGCAAGGTACTCTTCAACCGTCTCATAAAGCGTTTTCAACCGAAAATAGGCACAAGTAGGCTATTCGCTATAAATCCGAGCCTTTCAAATGCCTAAGGTAGAGGACAGGACACAGGAGCCAGTTTAGTCTTGATCTTGCTGTTGTGAAAGTACTTTTAGACTTTCTGTCGAGGGTTTGGAATTTACGCTGAAGTTCGGTTATTTGGGTTTTAACACTTTTCTAGTGGTTGCTACATATTTGTGGATTGGCTAGTTCAAAGGGATGTTTTGAATTAAGTTGAAAGAACAGCCCCTTTCTAGCGCTGTCTTTGGTAAGCTATGACCTTGATTGTTTTTGCCAAATCATAGTCATGTTTCTACTCAAGTCGCCGAGGAAATAAAACAGCCGGTCAACTCGAATGATTTTTTGGCACATTTCTGCCCACAATGCATTTTCTGGATAACCAAGTTATACTGGATAGTGGAGTATGCACTGTTCGGTCTTATCTCATTGCGAACCGCTCTTTGTTGGACCTATTTGAGTTTCAGATCTAAGAACGTAGTACTTCTAGAAGAATTAAAGAACCAGGTCAGAATAAGATATATCGGACGTGAAATCCACAACAAAGCCACCAGAGAGGAAGCCAAGTTATTCTGACGGTCATCAACGTGTAAGTATTTAGGCTTACTTACCCGGTATCATATAAGCGTGACAGATGGTTCAAAAAGGCGCATCTTCTCTCGGATTGTGTGTGGTATAAGTGCAACCATGATGCAAACTTTATGACTTGTTCCGAATATCCAGAAATATGAACGTACCTTATAAAAGTTGACATTTTGTTAGCATACTTCCATTTTTGGGATAGTATATAACTCAAGCAGTGACTCCCATCAATATTAATTAGCAGCGAGAGGAGTGATGTTTATCTCCCAAATAAAATCACTTTAGAAAATCAAGGCACTGAAATAGTTTGGTTGTTTCATTCAAATTTGTGATGTGCGATATTATAGCCAACTTTCAGCAAAGCCCCAATTTGCATTAGAGACTTGTCCTATCAGCTGAATCAAAAAAACCGCGATACAGAAGAGTATTGAACATCAAACTTCAGCTCACTTTGCGTATAAAAGCTTAAACAATTTTTTTTTTTTGATCTTCGATTCTGTGAATGCTGGTACCAATATTGCCTTCTGTACAAGTTGATTTTTATAACGGTCGAGAGCACCTTCGGTAAAAGAACGCATGTTCAAACCATTACCAATGTCTATCATTCAAGCATAGAGATTCATTCCATGTTTTTCTCTTTGAATGCAGAGTATTCACCTATTCTGCTGGTTGCAGCTAAAAGCTATGCAATCAGTCTATGCGATTTAAAGTGCCGTTTGTTAGTTTCGTAAAACTAGAATCACTTTCCCGTCGTGGTCTGACTCTGTGTGATGCCTGACTCTTCTCTGAAACTTTCCAACTTTTGAAGCAGCGCTAAATGTTGATTAGAATCATTATATTTGTTGCTTGTGAAGGTAGTCTCTACCATGGGCTCATTTTCGAAACCAAAAAAGAACTTGATAATCTCTTACTGACGTGAGTTTCCATGTGCACTAACTGTCTGATGAATATTCACTCGAGGCAGGGGAGTACCTACCAGTCATCGTAACACTGATTGAGCTCTGGGTGTCTTGCTCATGCCTCCTCATCTGCCCCCTCAATCTGTATGATCTTTCAGAACACCCCCGTATCAGTTGTTTACTGTAGTCAGAGGTTTTTTTCTCCTCTGACACATTCAAGCTCAGAGCTGCGGAGAGTTTGGTAAATTATAACAAGAAACACATTGATAGCTTCCAAAACTCAAATTCTTGCCCTCAAAATGGAGTAAATGCAAGCACATCACTTACTTTGGAAAGTACTGTTGATAACCGTTAAAACTCTCAAGTATATGACAATCGTACTTGAACGAACAGTGGTCTCAAGGTGAAGACCTAATCATAATTTACCTTTTAGAGTGATTAGTCGAGATTAGGTTGCAGCTTGGTAGCCAAACGCACTGTTTGTCTATCCATTGTGAATAAGAAACTCCAGATAATACAAGTAAGACTGCTAAGTTTGCTAGCTATCGATAGCAGTAATGGTGCTCGGTTTGTATAGCCGATATACCTGCTACTGAAGTATTACATTTCGTCTGTTACAAGTAATTCCATCCTAAATTGACATTCTAGTTATGTCATCTTACGTCTTTGAAACCAGAACGGCTGCACAAGCACGAGAGCTCCTGCAGCTCTTTAATTTTTTGTCCTCGAGCTCATCATGGTAGTTGATACCCTCCATTTCATGTGAATGAATACTAGCTAACATAAGAAGTTTGAGACCTAAGGAGAAGAGCCATGGTCCCTAATGAGTTCAATACTTGAAGTCGAACAGGAGGTAGCAGAATGGTTGAAGTTAGTTTGCAGCTGCCTTTCTTGAACTTTGATATTGAGATTGAATGAAAGTTACAAACATTTCCTAACAACGGAACTCCTCCGGACTGAAAATCAATGGTTCTGATAAAACCGTAAGGCTTTTTAAAGTCATATATACTAATTCTGGAAAGAGTTATATCTATTGGGAATAATGTGAGTTACTAGGGAACTGATGGTGATGTACGTCTAATCGCATAATCAGCGTCAGGAAGTACGTGACACAGTGGTACAGAATGATAGTACACAACCGAGGCCATACAAATAGAGCTACAAGCTAAGACAAACCGAAGAGAACAACTATTGTCCAATGGGATTGGCCATTGATAAGTTACCGGTAGTGTACGGCATTTAAGCCGTAATCCTTGGGCAATAGAATGATCTAGAATTGGTGATTAATAAATATGTTGACCAGAGTCACCGAGTGAGAATTGTATAAATACCAGGCTTTTGTTCAGGTAACTGAACCAGCTCTAATGCCTAAAATAATCACGGAGAGATAAATAGAATTCCCTAGATCCAAGTTACTCATCTTACAATGACTATGTCTGACTTACAAGACAAATTTAGTAAGCTTTCTACTGATGAATCAGATTCGCCTCAATAAATTGTATAAATACCATGCTTTTGTTCAGGTCTCTATTGTTTAAAATAATCACGGAGAGATAAATAGAATTCGCTAGAACCAGGTTTATCATCTTACAATGGCTAAGACCGACTTACAAGACAAATTTAGTAAGCTTTCTACTAATGAATCAGATTCGCCTCAATAGAGCTAAGCTGCTGTAGGATATTGATCCCTTAGCAGTGCAGCTATTTCGAATAATATCTAGCTGAATCTCAAAAGAGTGCCTCATAAACACTTTCTTGAATTGAAATTTATCGTAAATAAATAAAGTTTTTCAATAATTTAAATATCGAAGTTGCATGAAATTAGAGTCTGCGCGGTAAAGAGAAGAGAAACTTAGCGGGTGTTAAGCCGCATTTGTCTGCAATTGCCTTACGTTCTCTTGAATTGGGGCATCTCTTTTTCTCAAAAACCGATTCCAAAAAAAGTCTAGTGTCCTTCGATAACAGAGTTCTTCTTTGCTCTTGGCGGCATAAAGCGCTACAGGCTTTTTTTATTGATTCCAAAGTGAGAAGTATGTCTTTCGTATCCATTTTCAATACTGGGTTTATGTAACTGCTCAACCACCGTCAAAAATTCTGAACTTAATTAAATAACACACCAAAAGCTGCCGTTCATTTCATATATATTCTACAGTATGGTATCGCTATGCTTGCTCAAGATCTAAGGGAAGGATCACCACGGCAGTTGAGAAGGATATGCGTGTCAAAGAAAAAAAAGGAAAATGAACCGCTCAAACACCTCAAGAAATCATAGGACATGAAGAGTTTAAGGAAATGAGGATAACAAAGAAAGGGAATTTGAAACATATTTAAAGGAAATGAGAAGAGGTGAAAACATTTTAAGGAGATGGTGGAGCGCCAGGTTATAAGATTCAAAGAATCTGAACAGTAATCCATCTCGAAGAGTTTCGGTCTCTCTTTCCAATAGAATACAGACTGCCATATTTCTACAAGAATGAAGAGATGTCAAATGACTAGAGGGTATCTTGAGTATCAAATACCTAAAAGTCAGCATTCAGAAAGATTTGGATCTGAGCACAAATCACTTGTCACATCTAAGTTTCCATGTATAAGCTCCCCTATGCCCCATGTTAAACAGTGCCATTTCATAACAGATCAGGATGCCGGTGGTCTGTGCAAGGGTTCTGTCACCCGCTCAAAAAACAAGTTCATACTAATGAGAAGTCTCCTTCACAGCATGGTGTTAAAAATTGCCAACTGTGCCAAATCAGATCAGTTAGCTCAATCTAATGTTGAAGAAGTATCAAAAATTGCTTCATGGCTGTGGAAGAGAAACCAAGGACCGTTCCAATCTTACCATGCGTTACTGGCTGTCTTCGAAGAACATAAAACATTTGACAAACCTACCACCCAACTAACAAAGCAAAGCCTGATTGATAAAATAGGAAAACAGTGCATACCATCAACCTACAGTTACGAAACGCTGACCAATGGGGCACACAGTACAGCCATGGAGAGCAAGAAAACGTACAAGGCGTTCTGTGGCAGATTCTCTCTCAAGGAGGCTACAGGTAGGGTCAGGAAGAAGAAACCTATACAAACCTTTGCCCTACGTTCCAATAATATTGAAGATATTTTTTCGTGGGAGGATTCTACCCTTTTGCTTTGAATCTTTGTCTATCTATACTCATTAAATACTGTCAAGCGTCGAAAGTGATTGATTAGGGAGAGGCTATTACCATTTTTTAAACTAATTAGAATTGATTAGATGATAGATAGTTTATGCTCACAAAAAATCCTACGAACCCTCATCTAGTATCTTTCGATATGATACATAACAACTCGCCCGAAACGACCCTCATGTTATCTGGTATTATCAAACACAGCATTTGCGAGTGCTTGCAAGTGCCAATTTCACTACCAAACAACGTCCCTACTTACGCACTTTTTGTTGGGTCTCGTGCATTGAAAACACAATTAAGGTTGTGGTAATTTTCATGATGTGGACAACATAGGAAATCTTCAAAAAATTTATGGTTTTTGATCCAAAAAATTCTGAGCGGTACGAGAATCGAACCCGTGTCCCAACCTTGGAAGGGTTGGATGATAACCACTACACTAACCGCCCCTAATTCTTAACTGTGTTAAGCTACGGTCCGGCATAATCAATCCGAAGTAGAAGTGGGACTTAGCGATAACTTCTATCATACCAGACGGGTATAATAATGGTTCAATTCTTGATTACTGCTTACTTATTAGCTTCTAATTGATCTCTTCAGTACTATGGATAACATTAGCATGGCCAATAAGGTCCTCTTTTATATGCCGTTCTGCAGTGAGCTCATCGGGTGTCAACGCAATCCTGAAGTGAGCTCATCGGGTGTCATCGCTCCCTTGAATCCCTGACACTGATATTCCTGTCTCTGATCTTATCTCAGATCGAGTGGTTTCGTTACTTTTAATATAAGATTCGTATCTAGTCATTTCATGACATAACTACTTTGCTAAGCACTAGAACTAGATCTAAGTCTTGAGTAGACATCTGTTTGAACAATTATCACAAAGTCAATTTATAAAATAGAAGCTATTGGAAGAGTATCACAACAACTAGACCGTTCCAGAACCACTATAGACTTTATTATTATTATTATTTATTTTTTTTTTTTTTTTTTATTCTCATATCCCTATTTTTTCTGATCCACCAGCCCCTTTTCTTATGTGTTTCCCTCGTTTTAAATTCACCGCTAGGAAACACCCATCGAAGTACAGAGTTCAACCTCCATTCTCATAAATGCATGATGGCTCTTCAATCCCATCGAATGCTCTAGCCGGTTTTCCTCATTCTTCTGCCCTGGCATGTTAGCAATCGGAGGGTTAGTCTCGAGTAACAAAATATGCCCATTATACCCTTATCCGTAGCTAAGTGATGTAGTTTGTAATATTCCAGAGCTGCCGCAAAAGCTCAACTCATCGTATAAATATCTTGAGTACAAATATCCATTATGTCAGATTCTATCCATGACTTTAAATTTGTACTGAATCGATTCTATACACAGCATTTGATGTCCCCAGAACTCTTGTCATGGTCAATGATCCGTACGCCACCGATAACTAATCAATCGCCAATCCTATTGGACAAAAGTTGTTTTCTTCGGTTTGTCTTAGCTTGTAACTCGATTTGTATGTCCTCTGTTGTGTACTATCATTCTATACCACTGTGTCACATATTTACTGACGCTGATTATGCGATTAGGCGCACATCACCATCACTCTCCTCACACGATTCCCAACAAAAAACACCAGCCAATTAGTACAGCAGCTCCTATTGACGACTGGGAGTTTCTCAGCAACTCTTCCGAAGATGGCCGATCGATCTCTCCCACTGGGGATACCGTCACTCAGAGCTCTTCCCTCCTCAAATCGCTCTTGCGAGATAAGTACAAAGGGAAAGCTAGTGTGTTTGAGTTTCTCGGGTTCACTGGGTTGGAGCACCGGGACATGACTCTCTACGGCATCGACCATCGCTACTTTGCTACATCATCCTCTTCAGATACAACACAGAGGAGCAGTGTGCTGAATGCTGCAAGACAGGGAGATCGTAGCTTATTTTAACACTGGTAACTTTCCTGTCACAGAGGAGTACCTCCCGGCGCAGTTTGAGGGCGAGCAGGAGATGGCGTACCTGTACAACAGCTCCAAAGACTTTGAGAAGCGCCGCGTGTACTTCAAGAGCGAATGGCGGGCGCCGAGAGTCCGTGTACCATGGTACATGTACAAGCTGATGCATTTCGGGCTGTTCTACAATCTCGAGTTTCGCTCGGCGGTGTACGCGAGGTTCCCGGAGCTGCCGGCGGTGAAGCTGTTTACCCATTGGCTGAGACTGATGAGCATCGGCGTGCAGCTGAGTGACAAACAGAGTGTGCCGCTGTACATGGTGGTGGCAGTGATGTACGCCAGGGGGGGTGAGGTACGATGGTGTCCGGGTGTAATATTAGAAGTAAGTAAGGACGTTATAGTGTGGTGCAAGTCTGGGCGGCGTATTTGGAGGTACTCTAGAGCTACTCCTGGGGCGCATAATATGATAGAGGTCGTAAGTTGAGAAATAGTGCGGGAAGTGTGGAAACCTCAAGGGTCTAAACAGCCGAGGTACGATGGTGTCTGGGTGGAGGCGGTAGGGATGGGCGTAGCGCTCCCGTGACAAGGCACCGTATGGCGATGGGCTGGCAAATCTGGGGCAGGAAGCTCACCCAAGGGAAGGTGCGGAACGCTACTTTTGGAGCTGCCGAATCGATTGAGTGCTTAACATTCACGAGAGGGCGGGAAAACTGGCGGAATCTCAGGGGTCTAACTGCTGAGGTACGATGGTGTCTGGGTGGAGGATCGAGGAGGTAGGGATGGGGCGTAGCGGTCCCGTGATCAAGATGGTATGACAAGGGCGTGGTGCTCCCGTGACCAGGCACCGTATGGCGAGGGGCTGGCTAGTCTGAAGCAGGGCGCTGCATCAAGGGAAAGCTGCGGGATGCATTTTTGTGAGCTCCCTTATAAGGGTACCACACCCACTTCCGCCGTAATCCCCATACTAATTCCACTTTTTTCACCTTCTGTCCCGAAAAACTTTTCTCACTCGACCCCACTTGTGCCGAAAAACTTTCCCTCGAGTACCGAAAAAAGGATTTGCACCCAGGCCTGACGAAAATTACGGCTTGCCTTATAAGGGTACCACACCCACTTCCGCCGTAATCCCCATACTAATTCCACTTTTTTCACCTTCTGTCCCGAAAAACTTTTTTCACTACTCTACCACCTGTGCCGAAAAACTTTCCCTCGAGTACCGAAAAAAGGAATTTGCACCCAGAGGGTCACGTGATCCGGCATTGAGGTAGCCGCTTCAAGCGGTGTTTCCAGGATTGACGAAATTTTAGCTACATCATGAGGTAATTGGGGTCAGAAGGAGCCTAGTCGAAAGTGTCTGTTTCTTCGCATTAGCGTGCTACGCTACAAGGTTTTGGAAGAATGCATTTTTAGTGCCTGGAACTGCTCGGGGGTAGAGTAATACAGAAGCAAGGGTAAACGCACAGCGGGAAATATACATGGCCGGCTTCCAAGTACGTGGGAAAGCTCGCTGGCACTGAGAACATCGCACTTTTCGCAGACGGGCCGATCACGTGCGTCTGTTCCTCGAGTCCTCACTCCTGCGATACGTAGATCATGATTGATGGGAGGTAAGAAAAGTCACGTGGCGAAGAAGCACGCTCTCGCGGGTTGAGAGGCTGGGTAGAGGAGTACTTCTGAGGCACAGTCGAAGAGGCATTGGGAGACCAGGGAGAGGGGCGGAAGACCAGGAAAGATAGAGGTGGGGTGGCTAAGGTACTCCTGAGGGTGCATAATATGATAGAAGTGGTGAGTTTGGAAAATAGTGGGAGAAGTGCCGAAATCTCGAGGGTCTAAACAGCCGAGGTACGATGGTGTCTGGGTGGAGGCGGTAGGAATGGGCGTAGTGTCCCGTGATCAAGAGTGTATGACGAGGGCTGGCAAGTTTGGGACAGGGAGCTCACCCAAGGGAAGGTGCGGAATGCTACAGTTGGGAGCTGCCGTATCGATTGAGTGCTTAACATTCACGAGAGGGCGGAAAAATGGCGGAATCTCAGGGGTCTAACTGCTGAGGTTCGATGGTGTCTGGGTGGAGGATCGAGGAGGTAGGGATGGGGCGTAGCGGTCCCGTGATCAAGATGGTATGACGAGTGCATAGTGCTCCCGTGACCAGGCAGTGTATGACGAGTGCTGGCAAGTCTGGGACAGGGAGCTCACCCAAGGGGAGGTGCGGAACGCTACTTTTGTGAGCTGCCGAATCGATTGAGTGCATAACATCCAGGAGAGGGTGGAAAAAATGGCAAAATCTGAAGGGTCTAAACAGCCGAGGTACGATGGTGTCTGGGTGTAGAAGGTAGAAACGGGCGTAGTGTCCCGTGATCAAGAGTGTATGACGAGTGCTGGCAGATCTGAAGCAGGGAGCTCACATTATATATGATAGTTCGTGAATTATGAGACAAGGCCAGCTTGAAAAAGTTATTTGGGATTTTTAGGACATGGCGTTCAAGGTGCGTTGGGAATCGTAGGACATGGAATACAAGAATTTTGGGACAA